CGCAAATCCAGGAAGAGGAAAGCAATCCTATTAGACCATGCTCTGTCAGCCTCTCAGATCCAAGAGATAGTTGAGCAAGAGGAGGTAGAAGCACAAATAATAGAGCAGATGCCGAAGCCTTCAAAGCGTGCTAGCAGGTGTAGCAAGTGTGGTACATTAGGCCATAACTCTAGAACATGTAAAGTAGAGTAGCCAGTATTGATATATAACATATCTGAGTTTCAGAGCAATTCATTGAGTATTCGTTGAGATAATCAATATTGAAGGTGGTTCATGTTGAAATTGGTGGCCACGCCCTGGGGGTGGCCACGCCCTGGTGCTTGGCGTTAGGGATTAAAAAATATAAATATAGTATATATATAATAACATAAAGAGTTATATTACACTTCGAAGTAATATTAAAGTTAAATAGATTATATAAGAGGAACTAATAATATAGAGTATTAGAGAGAAAGAGACCCCTAGAGGTCCTACAGAGTCCTCTACCTAGAATCTTTAATAATCCTTAGGTTTCTTAAAATAATAATAACTTAGGATAATACTAAGTATTAGGTTCTATAGTATAAGCACGAAGTATTAGACAATATAAGCTAATTATCCTTGAATTAAATCTTATAGAACGCTTTTATAATCCTAAAGATTTCGAAATATTAATTAGGATATATCTACCCCTAGAGATATCTCTTTATCTACCTTAGAGAGGCCCCGAGATTTAGAAAAGATTTAGGACTTAGAACTAATATAGGGTATTAGTTAATATTAGTAAGTATTTCTAAAAACCTAAAACCTAAAAATATATTATTAGTTTTAGATCTTTCAATCGATAAACTCGACGACTCTACTTCTAAAGAGCTCGTTTAATTATATTAAAAGGGTTTATCTAGAGAATTTTAGGTTTATAGAAAGAAGTATATAAAGATATTACTAAAGAAATTAGATAAATATTAGAAAAGAAGAAAAGAACAGCTACTAGATAAAACGAAAATAGTATAAAGAAATAAAATAGGGAGCTAATACCTTCTATAAAAACCTACTATTAATTACTTTATAAGATACTATCTTATCTTATAGGCGACTTTAGCTTAAGTATATACTACGATAATCTTATATTATAGACGATAAGTATATAGCTCTTATATAGATCCGAATTCTATACTTACTTTAGCTTTAGGAATATAAAGTATATAACTACTATATCTAAAAAGAATATACTTAGTTAAGTTAGTAACATTTTATAAAGTTAGGAACTATAATATAAATAGTTATTTTCTTTTAAATAAATATTATACTTAATATAAGAAACATAACTCAAAGTTTTATTCTAATTATATATATTAAATAAATCTTATAGTTAAGGGCAGGAGGTTGAGTCTTGCGCTTTCCTATAGGAGGTCTAGAACTCCTACCCATATTATAGCCAAAGTCTACCGCTAGCCGAACACAAGACAAGCAGCCCCCGTCGTCGCCCTTCGGCATGTCTTAGAACGGTATGTGAATACGGCTATTAAACAGAACGGCAGGGTACATGAACATCGTGTTCTCTGATTCTGGTTTGTACTCTGTACAGACTTCGAAGTAAGTTTCTCGATAGACGCGCTAAATCTTATTGGAATCAAGTGAAGAGCTTCGCGGCACTTCGCATATAAAAGCAATTCTTTTCTACATGTACAATGCTTGAAGGGCGAGAGCCATAATACACGAGACCGAGCACTCACTCTTCGGTCGGGCTATCGCCCTTCTTACGCTTTCCACGCTTCTTCCGTCGCTTCTTGCCATTCACCAACTCGCCGCCTTCTACGCGAGAATTGTCTCCTGTCGACGGCTCGCCGTCCGAAAATACTGCTGTTGCGCCGTTCTCGGTAGCTCGCGCTACGGGCGATTCGTCCTCGGCTTCCTCGGAAGATGACGAGGTTGTCTCCAAGACGTACTTGCGGATCCCACCGGATTCTACCATGGTCTCTGTGATGCTGCCCGAGCGGGCTTTGCGTCGGACTGGGGTGATGCGGTCGCCAGCGCTGTTCAGATCGCCGGTACTACCGACCAATCTGTCCGGCTGTCTGAGAGAGTAGAGCGACGAAGCACCTGCCTGGGCAGTGCCTGAGCCCTCGACTGCAGACATGGAGTTGGAATGGACAAGTGGCGCGTGCCCGGTGGGGGATTCGACCTCGGTGTTCTCCTTGGCTTTTGTGGATGCCTCGGACGCGGGGATCGTGTCGGCCGACGGGACATTCTCCATCGTACCATAGCCGGACTGGATGTGTAGCGCCACAGCGCCATCTGACGCGTCGGCGTGGTTCACACCCCCCTCCTGGAGCACTTCCGGTTCGTGGTCCCGAACATCGAGGGATGCATGTTGGGAAAGGGTTTCGGAGTCGATCGTGGAGGATTTCCTGTCGGCAGCGTCGTCAATCGCCGCCCCCGGTTTGATCTTCACGGCAGAGAACTTGGTCGTTTTCGGCCGGCTTGCAGCATTGCTGGGTCCGAGGTGTTTGAGGTGTTGCTTCATATCCGTCGTGTTTCCTCGCACCGCGACCGGTTTAAGGGTCGTATGGGTCGAGTCCGATGCGGCACTGCTGCGTCGCCGCATGAGGAAGGTCGTCTGCATGGTCTTCCGTGGCGGATCGGGCTTGTGCGGGGCCAGCAAAGGCGAGTCCTCGCCGGCGTCTTTTCCATCGCCTTCGCGGTCGCTGTGGGTTTGGTCGTGGCCGTACCGGCCGAACTTTGACTTCGGCGCTGGGGCGATACGGCGGATGGCCTTGTGGACGTCGACGAAGACATCCGATTCGTCAATGATCTCCTCGCCGATGAGCTCCTCGATGACGTCCTCCAGGGTGATGACGCCGAGGGCCCCCTTACTCGTCCCCGGATACTCCGACACCAGCACCATGTGGCTCTTGCCCTCCTGGAAATAGTTGAGGATGTCGAGACATGACGTGTTGGGCCTCGTCTCTGGGAGAGTCGCCAGGGCGAAGTCCCTGACGCGCAGGCAGTCCTCGGGGTCGTAGGGGATCAAGATTTTGACGAGCAGCATGCCGATGAAGTTTTGTTCGTTGTCGGGCACGTGGATGGGGATGCGGGAGTAGCCCTGCGACAGGATGATGTCCATCATTTTTTCGTCGAGCACGGTGTCGGCGCTCATGGTGAAGACGTCCTGCATAGGAGTCATGACCTCCTCAACGGGTTTATCCTTCAGGTCCAAGACGCTGCTGATGATGGTGACCTCGTCTTGCATGAGCTGATCAGCCGAGGGGAGGGTCTTGTGCAGCTGCACCAGCGTCTTCAACCCGGCCTTTTTGTAGAGGGTGCCGTGGTCTTCGCCGAGGAGGTAATCGAGTAGTTTGGCGGTCGGCCAGGCGACGGGACACATGATCCACATGAGACTCAGAACGAATGGTTTCATGAAGGCACCGACGGATAGGCCGTAGCGGACGCAGATGGACTGCGGGACAACCTCGCCGAAGATGACTGTAGGTGCAGGTCAGTGGACTGGTCGCGGGAGGGATACGGTCTCGCGGCCGGGGAGGAAAGTATGGCTCACCAATCAATACGGTACTCGAAAACACGGCCGGCCACCCACCGCCGAGGCTCCGATCGAGCACGATGGGCAGCGTCTCGTTGGTAATGACATTGCTGAGCAGTAATGTGACCAGGACCCAATGTTTGCCGCGCTTCAGCAACTCTTGAACCTTGAGGGCGTGCTTTCGCTCGCTTCCCTCGCCGGAGTGGGCGATGACGTGTAGATAGGTCTCATCCTGGCCCATGTACGCAATCGTCAACCCTGCAAAGACGCCTCCGAGCAAGACCAACAAGACGGCAATGGCCAGGTAGATCCAGAGGTTGGGGTCGTCGAAGCCGTCCGGGGCGTCATGTGTGTGTCCGGCCGCATCGACGCGCCTCTCTGCCCATAAACCCAGGGGAGCTGCACTTGCAAATGGGAGCGGCAAGAGACGGGCGAGGCCCAGGATTGTGGTCCTCAGCGAGGCAAACGCGGCCCCGGCCGGCAGCCGGCGAGCATGGTGCTGGTGGAGCTGACGAGTGGAGCCCACGACGGCAGACATGCGAGACGCGGGAAGTTGGGAGTGGATGCGATCTTGCGGTGGAGGTGGTTTGGCGGCGACGAGGTTGGATCAAACGTGGAGGATGGACAGGAAGCCGAATGGAGCAGAGCGCGTCATCCAGCCCGAGCGAGACGGGGACTGTTTTCCAGGCCCAACGTCGTGAGCGGTCGAGGAAGTTCCTGAGCGCGCAGGCTTCTGTCTCTCCCACGCCAAGACGTTGCGAGGAGGCTTCCGAAGGTGCAGCAAGTGCGAGGACGAAAAGGCTGCAAAGCTGGTGAGCGACGATGGTCCGTCTCAGCTGTCCGATCGGATTGGACGGGTGGTGCTGTACTGTAGAAATTGGTGCGAAGTTGGGGAAGGGTGGAGGAGCGAGCTTTCAGGCTCGGGCCAGTTCCAGTAAGGATAAGCCTCGCTTCCTGCCGCTAGAATCGCCCGCAAAAGCCGTTCTTGCAGCCAGGAAGCCCCAGCTTAGACGGAGAAGTGGAGAAAGGAAGCGAGCGACAGATGATGAAGATGACACGGAACAGAAGGGAATCCGGTGTGCGATTGACGAGGAAATGACCATATATTTGGGGAGAATGCGAGAGGGAGTGTGTGTGTACGTGCTGCGGTATGGGTGTGGATTTGATGAGAAAGCCAAAGAGCGAGAGTAGAGAGATTGGAGAGGGAGAACGCACCAATGCTGCCGATCAGTGAGAATGACGACGGCCGTGTGTCGGGTAGGAACGGGACCCCAGTCGCCGTTTCGTGATGTGCGAAGTGTACTACTATCGGTACTATTACTGACTGCAGCAGATTCGAGTGCGGTGGTCTCCAGTACTGTCGTCGTCGTCGTCGTCGCTGTCGTTGTCGTAGCTGTTGTTGTAGTAATAATTGTTGTAGTTGTTGTTGTTGTTTGTGGAGAGGGAGGAGAGACAGAAGACAGATGGCTTGAAAGGATGAAGAAGCGATGAGTGGTATGGATGGATGGATGGATGGATGGAGACGTAGGGAATCGTATAGTCGTTCGGCATTGCTCCAGGAGCCGTGTATCCAGGCATTCAGTATCGATGCGCTCTCTGTCTCCGTCTCTTCTCTCTCTCTCTCTACGTCTCTTACTTACTTACTCACTCACCAGACTTACATACACTTATACATACACATTTAAATACACATGTACATATACACATACACACACTCTCTCTCTCTCTCGCTCTCTCTTACACACACACATTTGCACCTGCACCTTTCGTCATCACCTTAACAGTAATAAATAGCATCGGAGCTATTCACCGTACCCTATCTTCAGCACCCTCTAGGGTTGACCATTAGGGTTTCGGTCACAACAACTCACCATGAAACAAGCGCACACATACACACACACACACACACACATTTACATCTGGAAACGGAAAAGATAACAGACTTGGGCATGCAGGCAATGGGCACAGCTTCGATGATGATGATGATGCCCAGTTGATTATCATCACCATGTGTTTGCTTATGTAAATCATTGAAATCGTGATCAACATGATTGTCACTCCTACATCATCATGAGGCTGGATTTGGTGGATTTCCCTTCCGCATGAAGCAATTCAGCACGCGACGGGATCAGCCTCGCGCCACTTGCTGCGTGCAAACTATAGCGCCGAACCCTGGCCAGAATTTATTCTTTTTCTACAGTTGGAATATTTAACATCTTCATTGTTCACCAACCTATAATTAAAAGACCAAAGGTCCACCTTATTTTCCAACACGATCAATGAGACCATGGAACTGATTCCGACGCACCCTTGAACTCTCTTCCATTTGTCATGTCGCGCTTGCACGGCCGTAATAGAAGCAAGGACTTCGAGCCTTTCCTCTCCAAACACGCCATCGGTGAGTCGAGTCCGCGTACCCCAAAATCCTATTCGCAATATTTCCGCCTCGCCCCTGCTAATTATCCTGCTCGCAGAACACGACCCCGAAGAAAATCCAGCAAATATACCATCGAGCGATGACGAAGCGAGCAACGCCACCGCCGAGAGCTTCGACGGCCGTGAACACTATGCGTCAGTCTCCAAGAGCACCTTACGCAAGTCGAGACCGGTCGCCCTGGGACCACGATACTCTGGAAATAAGGTCGCGAGGGCCGCGCTAGATGTGGCGAGTGAAGATGATGGAGCAGAGGATCACGAGAGCGAGGAAGACGTCAGCAGTGGGGATGCTGAACGGGATGCGACGGAAAGCCTATCAGATGAGATAGGATCTAGTGACACAGAGGAATCCATGTCGGTCGCTTCGTCCGATGCTGATGTCCCCGGGCACCAAACTCTCAACGGCGTCGACCAAGAGTCGCAACGGCATCGAGCCCAAGCTGAGCTCCGAGATATGCTACATCGCGAGCAGAATGGTTCTGCCACGGCTTCACTGGCGCAAGCCAAGAGGGAGGACATCGAGAAGGGGAAGGGCGTCAAGCGTCAACGTGCAACCTACGACTCCTTTTTAAGCACACGAATGAAGCTCCAAAAGACCTTGGTAGCGGTCAATACTCTGGTTGGTTCACACGTCGATCAAGCGACCGACGCGCGTGGAAATCTCCGAGAAGCCTACGAGGCCGCGGAGCTGGCTGCATTTACGCTGTGGGACTCGCTTGATCGCCTACGCGATCAGATGAGTACGGCAGGGGCAGGTGGGGATTCTCCAGCTGAGCGGTTCTCATTAGAGAGCACGACCGCCGATCTCTTCGCTCACTGCCTCACCCAAGAGCGCGACGCGCGACCCGCTCGGGACGCAGTGCTGCAGAAATGGTCGAAAAAGGTTCAAGGTCCGGTTCTGCAGTCCGACCGGGGTCGACTCAATCAGGAGCGGCAAGCCACCATCGTTGATGTGCTACAGGAACAGCTGTCGAATGTCGACCGCTTGGTGAGAAAGACGCACGCGCCTCGGTCATGTGCACCGGTACAGTCCTCACAGCGCATCACGGAAGATCCGAAGATTTACGACGACGCCGACTTTTATGGTCTGCTTCTCAAGGAATTGCTCGAGCAGAAGAGCCATGACTCGGTAGCAGCATCAAGCATCGACATTGGCTTCCAGATGCGGCGAGAAAACAAAACCAAACGCAATGTTGATACGAAGGCGAGCAAAGGCCGCAAGATACGTTACACCATCCAGGAGAAGCTACAGAACTTCATGGCTCCAGAGATGCGCGGTACATGGGAGGAACGTCAGACTGACGAACTCTTTGGTAGTCTGTTTGGCTACCGGACGGGTCTTGCGGAGGTCGACGATGCGCCGTCTGCCGAGGAAGATTTCGACCCGCTGGAAGCAGGACTGGTGATGTTCCGAAATCATGCGGGCACATGATCAATGCCGTGATCATGTCTCTCTTTTCGCGGACTTGTCTAGTTTACCTTGTGGCCGTGTCAGGCCCTTCTCCGGGCTGGAGATCCTCTTTCTCGCCCGGCAACCAAATCTCGTGCCCGTCTCCGTCTCGCACCCAGCGACCTGCGATAGCCCCGAACAATGCGAAGGCTGCCAACACCCACCAGGCCGTCCCAACAACGCCTTTATCCAAGCCGATGCCATACAGCCAGCCGGCGACGACTGGGCCAACGGTCCTCGTCCCTGCGCTGACGGATTGACCTACGCCATGGATAGACCCGAGCACGCTGGGATGCGGCGAACAATTGTTGACAAGAATGGCTGTCGCAGGTAGTGCAAAGGTTCGCGCAAGCGTCTGAATCGAAAGCACAAACGTAATCGCGATCCAGATCAGTAGTCCGGACGCCTGACTTTGAGGTGGTGTGTCCGACGGGACCATTGCGAGATACGGTGTCAGCACATACGCAACAGGAAACAGGATCAGCGCGGCCCGATAGGATTTCACTGTGCCAAACCGGAAGTTGAGGCGTGGATACACCAGAAGCTGTAGCGATATCCCGATGACCCCCAAGATCGAGAGCGCAGTCCCCATAGAGGACGGAGGAAGTCCTAGGCCCCCGGTGAAGGTGAAGGGCAGATGAGGCTGATATCCGGGCGGTAGGGCGGATGTTTTCTGACCGTCATTGCCACCAGGTATCGCAGCTGGAAGATATCTCGGCGTCGACAGGAAAACAAACCACAGGCTGCTGAAGGTACCGACGTGCATGGCCAGGAGACCATGTGCAAGGAAGGTGAACATGACGTTCGGTGTCCACATCAAATGAAATGGCAAGACGCGAGGTTCGGTCTTGGTGCGCGCTCTATGTGCGCTGTGTAGTTCGACGTCCTGTTCGGGCGATGTGTGCCTCAGGGGCACAGAACCCGCTCTGCGTCGATTCCGAGAGAAGAGCCTGCCGATCGATCGCGAAATCATTATCCCGAGATCGGGTTTGTTACTAAGTCTTTGCAGAGTCTCTTCCAATCCCAAAAAGACGGCCAATGCGCCGAAAACCAGAAAAGCCGCACTGATCAGGTTGGGCAGCGCGTACGGCCATCGCATGAACAGCCATACCCCATATTCGCCGCCGAAGGTCCCTCCAGGCCCAAAGACATCGGGGTAGTTCCCTGCTGGATCAGCGAGAAGGCCACCCAGCAAGGGCCCGATAATGACGCCGATGTTAAATGTCATGGGAAGGAGAAGAAACGCCCGAGACTGAAATTTCTTCTCCTCCACAATTTCCGATATCATCGTCCGCATGACCCCAACATTCCCATTCAATGCTCCGCCCACCAAGCGCCACGTGATGGCCATCCAGAAGCTGTCGCTGAAGCCAAAGCCTACAGTTCCGATAGCAGTTCCCAAAAGGCCGATGAGAATGACGCGCTTGCGACCCATCCCACTGTCTGCTATTCGGCCCCAAAGGATCGCTGTCAGGAATTGGGTACCTGTGAAAGCAGCAGCAAGCATGCCAGCTTGCCTAGCAACCACACTGTCACTCGGCGCCGATCCATCGGACAGCTTGAAAGACTTGAGCTGGTAGAACATGTAGCTCTGGAGGCTGGTCTGTGTCAAAGGCTCCGACAACCGAGCCAGGGTCAGAATCGCCAGCTGCTTCTTCTTCGGCAATGCTGCCCACGACACTTTCTCGGTGCGGCAGGACCGGGGTCGGCCATGGTCGGATGAAGCATCGGAGTGTGAAGCGTCACTAAAATCCCGGTCGTCTTGCGGACGGAGCAGTCGCTGTCCTTCTTGGAAGCTTATCGTTACATCGTTGTCGTCGTCGTCGGGAGCGTCGTCGTCGCTCCCGACGACTGCGACGACGGGAGGCGGTTGTGTTCTTTGCATTAACGCGGATTTCGTAAAGTCAAGTGCTTTGACACTTTGCGATGATATGATTCAAGGCTATAATCGATTGACATGTCCGCTAGTTCGAGTAAATCCAAGATATAGTATCATCAAGCTTCGAGAGCATTGTGCATGCTTCACTGCTGAGGTCTCGCAAGTGAGCGTGGTCAGTCGTTTCATCAGATTGCTGATAACACTGCCCAGCCTATACCCGCGAGTAACGAAGCACACGGTCTTTCATGACCTGTAACGAGAGAATATGGATTCACGAATTCGCTGGTGGATCTATGACCTTGTAATGCCCACCCGCGGCAAAATTTCCAAAATGGGCATGACGCACTGTACTATTCGGTTCATGCATGTCCCACCTTCACGTCCCACCTGCACAAATTCAGATTCCTGAAGCCCATATCAAGGCTAACAGCTCGGGCAACGGAGGCATTTAAATGAGATAGAGCTTATATGACATACATCATCTGTGACCAATAATCGTCCACCGCCACTTCAGACTTCTACTCAAGTACAATCCGTCGAGGTCTGGTCTGCAACAATTTGGTGAGGACTCGATGTCATTAAAGATCAGTCACGGCAAATTTGTTTGAGCTGGAATGCCGTCTCTGACGTACGGTCGTCGTCGTCGCGTCTGGAGACAGCGCGTGTGGCCGGCAGGTGCAAGCCTTCAGCCGGAAGCTCTCCCATGATATGTGCCATGAGGTTGACGTGGCTTCCGTCTGCAATAGACGAAGTCCTCCTCCGTGAAGCCGGATGCTGGCTATGCGGTAGATGAACATGCACATGAACATCCTTGCGCCCTGGTGTCTCCCGACAAGAAAGCTCTAGGGGCCATTTCAAGCTCTTAGAAATCATTGTCATCGCTGCCCGCAATGATGACATTATTCACCTTCAGGACCATGCGGCAAAGCTGCGTCGCCAGGAGAAGTTGCGACCGCTTAGAGATCAGGGGATCAATGACGAAATGCTCTTTCATGTCTAGATGGTGAGAAGGTCAGCACAGAAACACGCGCGGGAAGAGACGAGGCAACATCGCTTACCATTAGAACCCGTTTGCATACAGTCCACACCCAATCGTCCGCAGCCTTCACCTTTGCTTTGACGGGCCTTGATGTCGGACAAAGTCTCAATTGGGCTCAGTCCGCTATTCTCGGCCAATGCCATCGGGACTGCATCGAGAGCGGCTGCGAAAGCACGCATGCTATATTGTTCAAGACCAGGCGTTTGAAGCGCTTTCTTTTCGACCGCCAACGAGCACGCGATTTCTGCAGAGCCACCACCATAGACAATGCGGTTATCTCTGACGAGGTTGCGAACCACACAGAGTGCATCATGTAGCGAGCGTTTGGCCTCGTCGATGATCATCTTGTTACTTCCACGGATGAAGCAGGTGACTGCGCGTGAATTCGCACACTCCTCGATCACAAGCATCTTCTCTCGCGTTGTACCGAAAGACATCTCACGGACCAGACCAGCTTTCCCTAGTTTTTGCGCGCTCAAGTCTTCGAATCTGGGGACGATTCTTCCGTTGGTGGCAATGGCGATTAATTCGATTTCAGGTCCTCCCACCCAGCGAACCGCGGGCAAATTGTTTGTGAGAAGCAAATGATTGGCCTCATCATCGAACCCCCATTGACAGATGACCACGTTGGCGCCGGTGTCTTTGATCTGCTGAATCATCTCTGCAAACTTGGCCTGCTCGTATTTCTGCAACTCCTTAAATTCGGCGACGCTGGTGATGTCGAGTTTGTGCTTCGTCTTCGGCTTCGGGGGCTCGAATGCACAGGTAAGAATAGCAATTTTCGCATCGTGAACCTCTGAAGGCATTTGCGGATGTGAGAAGTCCTTGTCCACGATGACACCCTTTACCAATAGTGTATCCTCGAGTGACCCTCCTACCTTGCCATCGACCTTAATGAGCTCAAAATCCACGTCTTTCCGTTCCAAATCAGCGACGGAGAGCACGGCATCCACGGCGATCTGTGCGAATTGATCATGTGCTTTGGACACGATTTTGCTGCCCAACGAGGTTTTGGCGACCTTGAGCAAATTTCCCGTCGACTCCTTGCTGAAGGGCATAACGTCGGAGATGCGGTCCAGTTCGGCCACAGCAACCTCACATGCTGCATCATAGCCGTCGGCGATGCGGATCGGATGGATGCCCTTGTCGATGAGCTCGGCCGCTTGCTCCAACAGTGCACCGGCCAAAACCACTACACCAGTGGTTCCATCACCGATCTCAGCATCCTGTGACTGTGATAGGGAAACCAATAGCTTGGCGATGTTGTTGGTGATTTCCATCTGACTCAAGATGGTTGCGCCGTCGTTGGTCACGGTGATGTCGCCATCAGGAGAGATTAGAATCTTGTCTAAACCTCTGGGGCCTAATGATGTTTTGACTATGGACGAAACTGCGCGGGCGGCGTGAATATGTTGCTTAACGGCCTCGGTACCATGCGTTCTGGTCTTCTTGCCCTGGTCTCGGACAATGATGAAGGGTCTACCTTGCTCGTCGGTGGTGACTTGAGCTACTCATAATGTCAGTCGGTTGTTTCATGATCTGTACTCCGGCATATCTCGCGAGCCAGTTCAACAAGGATTCCACCCTACCATTGCTCAAGTCCAGTTCTGCCGTTGAACGTCAGTAGGTGCTCCTCCTCAAAGTTGTGCCGTCCAGAACTCACGCATGGGTCCTCCAGCCATGTCTGCAACAAACAATCCTTCTTTTTCGTCTGGGTAACCACGTCTCGCTCAGCTCTCGGGTGAGCACCGTCGAATATGTGAGTGCAGGCGACTTGTAGACGAAATGGCTGACTGCTCCCAAACCAGGCGGGTAGGCCAATCTAACGATATATGCGTGGGTGTGCAGCAGTCGAAACGTGCGTATCTGCAGCTCTTCTGTCTAGCAATATTACAGTGATGTCCAAGTGTCAGGCGAGGATTGGAGTGCACAGCTGGCGTGAAAGCCTCGTCGACTCTTTGTCCAGAAATTTGAATGAGGAGTGTTTTGCTGGTGAATGTCGAATGTTGAAGATTTCGTGTCTGCTTGCCCGCACCGTCGTGTGCCCGCACTTCTATCATAATTGACTGTCCCCGAATAGATCATGAGAAATTTCGTGCACGGACCGTAGAGCTCTCTTGCAGCTCTCTTGCGCCGTCAGGGTTCATATCGTTCGCGTCGGCGGATCATCGCGCCTCGCGTAATCAGACTGCCCAGGTGGTTTGCGCTCACTGCTTCATCACTTCTCTACTCTACATATAACGTTCGCTTGGTAGAACGAGACGGTTAGCGGTTCATCAACGCAGATCTGAGCTATTGAACTTATTGTGTTGGCGCGAAGAGTATCATAATAAGTATTACTTGGCCAAGCTTTGCGCTGTGTTTACAAGATGCCTCGTAGGTTCCCTGCTTGTGATTCTTGAGAGAGAGAGCTTCATGGATTACTAATTGGTTGATTTAGCTGCTCTTTCGGACGATGAGATGGAGGAAGTCGATGATGTTGATGTTCCAGACTCTATTCCTGCGCGCATCCCGCAAAAGAGCGCATCAAAACCTGCGACTGACCCTGCGGACAACGATGACAACGATGATGAGAAAGAGGAGGAAGAAGATGACGACGACGACGACGACGGCGATGAGGATGAATATCAAGTCGAAAAGATCCTCACACATCAATACGACCAGGCGGGAAATGTGCTCTATCAGATTAAGTGGTTGGGATATGAAGCCGAGTCAGATTTGACCTGGGAGCCTATCGACAATCTGTAGGTAAAGAGGCCTTGCAAATCACGGCATTTTCCTGACACGTCACTTTAGTTCTGGAGCCAAGGCCGTCCTAGAAGCATATCATACAAGTATTGGAGGCCGTCCGTCCCCGAAGAAGAAAACCCCGGCTAAAAAGGCCGGCGTCAAGGAGAAGAGCACAGGTCGGGGCGGTAAGCGCGCAACTGATGTCTCGGAGGATTCGCCGGCTCCCACCAAGAAGCAGCGCGCGACCAAAGCCAGCGATGAAGGGCCAGGCTTGCCCCTAGGCTCGTGGGAGGACTATGCTAAAGTGAACGCTGTTGTTCAGCGTGAGGACAAGTCGAAGAAGCCAGACACTGTCACCTCATCATTGACAGGGCTACTTGAATGGCACTCCACCGGCAGGAAGACCGAGCACGCCATGGAGGTTTTGCGTCAAAAGTGCCCTCAACTTCTGCTTGATTACTACGAGAGCCATCTGTAAGTTTGCACTATACATAAAGACATCACCGATGTGCCCCCACTGGAGCGCCACTACTTATTAGAGGGCCGGTCTGCCTGGCGAGAGGGACAACATTCACTGACGAATAAAGCCAGGCTGTTTAAACCAAAATGAAACAAAATTTGAGGTCTTGAGGTCTTCAGACAACACGCATACAATCGGCCATGGCCCCTTGAGCGAGTCCAATCGGCTGCAGCGAAGCATTCCCCGTGGCCTGCTGTAAGCGGCGCCGGAGACATACATGGCAGGTCCTGGACAGGCTGATCTGGCCCTGGTTCCCAAATCGTTCAAACTTCAAGGAAAGAACCACGACGCTCAAGTCCTTTGCCACGGGCACTTGGCTCCGAGCGAAGCCAGCACGGATCGCCACCGGGGCACAAAGCAACGGCTAGTGTGCTGTGCAAGATAGTGAGGAATTTCAATGCTAGAACGATGAGCCCCGGACTCTGGCAACATGCGATTGTCCCCAAGAGCCCCAAGAGGGCGCCATGTACGGCCGTCCATTGAATATTCTCTTCGTCGTGTGAGGAGTTCTGCTCAACTCGACATGGGCTTGCGCCAAAGATGTGGGAACGTTCATGATTGAGCAGATATATAACCCAAACTTTCAGGGCTGGCGGACGAGAACTGGGTGAGGTGAGGCATTCCCTTGACAGCATCATAGGACTCTGGCCCTCGCATGGCTTGTGAACATCGCTGATTGAGCCTCTTGTGATCATAATGCGTTGAATACATGCGTAGGTGCCAGCACAAGCCCACTTTGAGTTGGCCGCTTGCCCGGTGAGCCTCGTGGTAGATATTGAGGTTGGCATCAATCATCGAAACGCGATCGTCCAAAATTTATTCGCGAATGCGTAACCCCTGGGAGGTGTTTGCGCCGCGGTCATGATCAGGTACCTGCTCCGCGTCCAATTGACAGGCAATCAGCGAGAGTCTCGAAATTCCAGCTGCAGGGCAGACATCACATGAGGGACCATGCCCGTCCGTGTGCGGGCTACTTGCAGCAGATGACCCGAAGGATATGTATGCGCTGGCAACTTCTTCGAGCTTCGCTTGCAGATGGTCAGACGACAGGAAAGAGAGCACTATGTCATAATTGAAGCACAGTGATCTCGTCATCTTACCGTGTCAATCAGCAGGAGGGCGGATTGCCAGCTCATCGGAGGTCGGATCCGATACCCGGAAAAGAGGTATCTATCGCTTCCCTAACCCGCGCAGTCGAGAAACGCCCTTTGAGACTGAGCTGCAGCGACCCGCCGCATGACAATGCCGGGCCGACACAAGAATACGGAATGATGAGAGACCGACAGGTCCAGACGCTGGTAACGATCGGACCTGCGACCTGCTCGGATGGCATGAATCGAGGTCCAGATATGCCAGACACTCAAGGTCCTGGATATGCATATCACTGACTACACATTCCAAGCCATCAACAAGCAGCCCGCCCGTGACTCTGCCTTTCTCGAACGAGGCCTGTAGCAGATGCGCACATGAACGAATGGGACTCGAGGGTTCTTATCGGCAAGCTCGAGCCCAACACCGGGCAGAATGACGGGCCCAATGGTTGGATCGGTACCATGGGGCTCGATGAGTTGTAAAGCTGGAAGCAATTATGGTGACACGTGAGGTCGGATACATGTTCTACTGGTGAGGGTGCTTATTCGAATTGGAGGCAACCTGTCACAGTACCTAGATGTTTCCTCTGACGATATACAGTACGAGGTCCACATACATACACACAAATATGACATCCCACATATAAACATCTAGTTGTACACGTGCGTCTTGTCGTCATGCACGATATCTCGATCTTGCACTCCACACAAGCTCCAGCGCATATCTAGTTTTTGTAACTATTGTGCTGAAGATGCATGGAGTGGGAGAAAGCTACGACGGAGCCGTCTCGCAGGTGATGCTCTTGATGCGGAAAGTCCTTCCATGAGGATTCGCGATAGTGACAAGGATGGAATTCCAAGGAGGCTGAATGTGTAGCGCAGTACATTCACTTGCGCGTGTCTGGTTGTCTCGACCATCACAGGCAGTTCTCCGAGGATTTCGTCACAGAACGGAGTGCCACATGGTATTGTCCGGGGGAGAGCAAGTGAGAGCTCCATGTCGTCAAAAGCGGGATCCTGTAGAACGCGCATTCCCGGATGAGCTGGTATCTCGACAGTCCATGCGAAGCGACTGGTGTCCGTCCAGCTTGCTGACGCCGGAAATGATAGAGCATCGAAGGACATGCGGTCTCAGCTTGATCCGAGTGTCATACATCAGCGAATGCTGGACGACATCTCTAGACGGGCAATCGTCTCGAGCCCCTTGCCGCAAAGCCAGGGCTGGCAGTCGAAGCCACCGTGGTTGTCGACGTCAATGATGGCGCGTGGGGGTTGTTGCCCTCCGCCCACTCCACGACGGGCGCGAATAATAAGGTGCATCGCGGTGGTCGGGATTTCCAGGGTCCTTGCTCGGATGAAGAGCGGTGAGAGCCATCACCAAGCCCAGTATAGGCAGGGTTGTCGGCCAGCAGTATATTTCTGATCATGAAGTACTGCACAGGACGATAGCTGCGCGATGCGCTGGCACCCGTGGTCATCTGCTCACTCCTCTTAACACGCTACACGGGATGAGCTGCTCCGTCGGGATGGTGTTGCTCGCAGAACACCACGCCGTTATCATTCATGACGAGGGAGGATGGAGATGGTCATCTCATTAGTGGACAGAACCGATGTGTGACTGAACGTGGGAGGGACAGCCGGACGTAACACTCCCGAAACGCGACTGCGCTGGAGCACGTGTCTTAATGGAAGTGCGCGTGTCGGTTTTACAGTAACATGTCGGAGGCAACATATCGTAGGATCCCGAGCAGAAGGATCTGGCCAACAATTACACCTTGCAAAGGATCGGTTTGCTTCTGTTGATGCTGCGGCAGCGGTTGGATTTCCGCGCACGACATCCCACGTCCCGGTTATATTTCTGGAGGATGGGGCTCTGCCGCACTCGGAGTCGCTCACTTGTCGAGATGCCAACCTTCCGCGACAAAACATGACCGGGATCCATTACATATTCACTTTACGCGTCGCACAAACCGGAGGAGGTTAGCTGAGGGGTATTGGAGTCGGGCAGGCAATCAGGCGTAGAGACTCCGTGGAGAGGTCAGCGATCGACATTGGGGGATCGATCCACCACACACATCCTATTGAGAATGCGATCAACATCCCATGGATCCTCCAGTCAACACAGTCGCCCTATGGAACCGCTGCATGTCAGCTGACACACGGTCCCCGCGGCCTGGCCTCGTAGACAACACTGGCGGACGATCCGAGCGGGGCGCGAGTGTATCTGCATTGACTCTGCAGTGGCTGTGAGCAGAGCATGTGTGAACTGTGAAACAGGCGACGGGAGAGTCAGTCGTATTCGTCAGTTGGAGCATCTGACAATGGCTGAAGGCGTGGACGGATGGGCTTGCATTGGGCGCCAGAGTGAGCAGTCAGGACGGTGTACAGGACAATCGGTAGTGCATTCAACGCATTGCATGCCATTCGCCGCTTTGGCTGCTCTTGATCAACAGGGCTCTGCTGCGCATGCGCATGGGCGCGTGAACAACGTGACGTGCGTGACAGGCCCTGCTCCACATGAAGAACAACCCACCACCCTAAGTCCCAGGAAGCCGAGGTCGAGGGATTGCACCACGATTCCCCACTGTGGTGGCATGGTGATGAAAATGGTCATCTGCCGTCCGAATTTTCTTCTTCCTTCTCAGCTTCGGCCGAGCACGTGCTTGATGACCGTTTCGAAGAAAAAAAACAGTCGCCCCTGCCTCTCGGGAACGAAAATGTGTCAGCTTGTTAGCACTGTACTAACGATCGCCTAGGCAAGAATCCAGTCGAGAGGAGTCCACGGATGACGGTCGTGTGGATGCTCCCTTATTTACACACAGGAACGCGGCACCGGAGTCTCGTTCGTGATTATGCTAATCATCAGTAGCGGCCCTTTTCTTCTGCCGCCGGTGTCTCACCATTCCATTGATGTTTTCAGCTTGAGCACGAGGCCAACACGGCGGGAGAGTCGTCAACGGCTCGAAGAAGTGTTGTTTGCGCACTGCATCCTACCTGCACCTGTGATCAGTGATGTGGTGATATTCGAGGAGGTTCATGGATGCGATCAATGAATGATATTCATGAGTCCCATACGTTGCAATTCTCAGAGGTGGTGGTGAGCCTGAGAAGGAGTGCATCTTCCCGCCAGGCCGTAGATATACTTTCGTGACCATGTGCTCTTCAAAAGTCATCGCACGATGCTGACGATGAGAATGGCAGATGCAGAGGGTAGTGGCGATCGACTGTCCGACCCGTCTGCCGGAGCCCGTCCCGGCATCCAGTTCTCATGAGCATACGTAGGTACCACACCCGGAGATGTGTATGAACTATACATATATGAACGACTGACATTATCATACAACAGTGAGTGAGTGGGTGAGTCAGTGATTAGACCTGCGCCCAAGTGCAAAGGCTGGGACGTCCGTTGCGCTACCATTCCCGCTTGTCCTGGGCGGCTGGACGGGGGGAGAAGAAACGATCCTGTAGCTTACCTTTAATCCTCGCAAGGCTGCGGTATCATCTGACGGCTCGACTTCCGCGCCACACCCTTTATCTAACACTTTGCCCACCTGCCCACACACCTCTATTTGAACAGACAGACATATAATAGACACCCACACCCACACACACACGTACCTTCACACACACATCTACACACACCACTTCCACCAATCCCACCGTCATCTATGCACCATCGTTCCCTCGCATCCCGGGCCGTTCGGGCCTACAACAGACGTGCACATGGTCCAAGGTTGCTGTGTGGGGATGACTTTGCGAGGCCGGTACGAGATCTGACAACTCACTCACACCACAGTACATTTCTGTCTCCATCTCACATGAGCCATTGGATTACCTCCGCGTCACATGTCCTGATGACACTGCTTGCCAGCATGTGACGATCCAGACAGGGAGAAATCGGCCTCTTCGCCTTCAACTTTGATTTGACGAGACATGCCTAGGATATGCAAGGATCTGGTCGACGTCCAGTGACGCCAGCCAACAGATCGTGCGTTGGCATTCCACGGTCACGTTGACCATCTGCTGTTCACAGTCGTGACTGTTATCATTGTTACCAGGACATGATTCGCGTGGACACCTAGGTATGTAATCTGTATATACTTCTCGCGGTTAAACGTCCGATATTGCTGGGGATCGGGGCACGACTTCCGCCAAACGGCCGGCCTGTCAGTGCCTGTCATTACCACATTGCAGGTGAATCACATGCACCCTATAGCATGGTGCACGAAGAGCAGGTACGCGTGCACTCCACAAAGTTCAGACAGAATCACAAACCCCGTGCGCGTACGATGGAATATAATCTTCCTCGGCCTGGTCCCACAAGCCCGGTCACGCCGTGAGGTGATGGGATCTGCGTCTATCGACGGGCGGAGTGGCCCAGGCGTGCATGATGAACAAGAGCCACTGAGGACCGACCGGTTCTCCGCGGCATGATCCATGTTCACGGGTCTCCGTCCCTGATGCAGCGCATCCGCTCCTGTCTTAGCATCTGTCCATGTCTAGACAAATCGATCAAGGTTCCACACCGGTGTCATTACACAATGTCTGATTCGCGGAGCAGTCATCAGAATTGACGCCGAGTCGAAGCGTGAGCCGTCAGGTGACGATGACGATCATGTTGTTGGCCGTGACGACGACGATTATCTACGTGATAGTCAGGGGTATGGGGCCACGGTGGATGAGCGCGTGAGCTTGATCCCTGGTCGTGAGACTGATTACCATCACATTGATCGGTCGCCGATCTACATGTAGAAACAGCTGCATGAGTCCCGAATCACCATTCGGGATCGAAAGAGAAGGGTGCATCAATGGTCCTGATGGAATATTGGTCAGACAAGCGAACATGGTGGACCTCGGAGATTTTATCATCATGGCGCATCAAAAGATGGAGAGGTAGTGCACAGGTGTGGCCATCTGACCAGTGTTCCAAGACGGCAGTAGGTGGATGTACAGCGCTTATGTCCTAGATGGTAACCTATTGCGTCGACAGTTGTTAGGATATCTACGTCTGTGTGCATCTTCTTTCACCTGGAACGCGCTTGGGATGTCTCCTTCCCCGCGCATTCAGGAGTTGTGGCGACCGTTGATGGTGAGACCTTGTGGTTCACCCAAATATGTAATGGGACGATGCAAATAGGGATGCGGGAAAGGTCGAGGAATCGGGACTGTGGGACTCTTCGATGTGAGACGGGATGCTCGTCTCGGCGCCTCGCACCTGTTTGTCGAATGAACGTACGTATCTTAGTACCTAGGTAGGCAATGCCATGCCCCCACTGTCAGCTTGTCGGAGAAGGAACAATAGTCCATGAAAAGGATCGAGTGACCAGCATTCGGATGGACGATGAGGTGGAGTTCAATGTTGCTCAGGCCGATGAACGCGTAGACAACGATCACGATGAAACCCGTCGCGCCGCGATATCTTCCATTGCGCGCAGCATGTTCGTTTTATTGCATGCTCAGGTTCAAGATCGAGCATGTTGTCTCGACCCTGAACATGACGTGTGTATAGCTTCTCACCGGTGTTCCGGGAATATTCCCGTCGCATCGTTGGGTGCGTTCCAATTGCTACTATACAGAAGAGGACGATGATGAGGAGGTTGAGAATAGTACCGCTATGGACTCAATCACCGAAGAGGAGAAAATATACCATCAATAAGCAATCATGGTCCTGGAATTCAGGCGTGCATCTCCGGCTCTTTGGGACATCGGACACACGCCCCCCCTCCTTTCGGCTCGCCGCTCATGCGCACCGGCACCCACACACAAGAGTTTCAACTGCCGACCGAGCAACCCACCCACCCGGAGCGCGCGTCGAGGATGATACGGCAACTGTATGGAAATGATAGATCCCGTCCACGACGCTGAGCAGTGTGGAATGATGTTTACCACCGCCGTGCATTTAGCAGGCGTGTCATTGTCAGCCTCGGACATCCAGACGATCGTACATGTATACGATTGCGAGGGAGAATGTATTTGAGCACCGCAGATGCTGTACACGTGCTGGCGGGTCATGGCATGTCCATGTGGCCCTGAGTACGTTGTAACAACTGTCCGGTGCACTCTCTCACTTTTCACCTCTGGCTCTCCTGGTAACAACATCCGCGTTTGCAATGTAGGGAGTGAGGAAAAGAGACGGGAAAAATCCGGATCTCCTCCTCACTGCCGCCCTCCCCGCGGCGCACACCCGCAGCAGGGGAGAGGGACATGCTGTACGATGGACGTTGGACTGTACAACACATTCCCTCCACACCGGCTGCACCTGTCCACGCGCGCCCCGAATCGCCGGCACGATGCCGCCACACACGCATGCAGCCTTGACATGGGTGGAAATCGGCGGCAAGTTGCCGGGAGGCGGAAAGGGAGAGCGACAGAAGAAGGTGTGAGTATGGGGGTGTGTGTGCGTGCCTGTGGGTGGTGGATATGATTTAAGATAAAGAAGGTGACGAGCAAGCCCCGTGACAGGAAGGAGGGACGCGACCCATGCGCATATCGGTACTATACATGCATATTGTGATCATTATAGTGAAGTCCTACTCACATGCCCCATTGGTAGAATACAGTAATAAATTGGAACAAAGAGGAGAGAAGGAGGCGGAGGCGGAGGCGGATGGGGGCGCTTTTGTGTGCGTACCTAGGATGTGTGTAACCGTAACTGGAGGTGTGGGTGAATAGATGTGAGTGGGTGTGTGTGTGCGCTGGATTTTACTGCAATTCATCTTTATTTTAGTGATGCGCTTAGAGGAAAGAGAGAAAAAAAGGGAAGGGAATGGGATGTGGCAGCTGACCGACTGTTTGACCTCTAGGAAGAATAAGAAGAATACCTAAGAAGAATGAAATAAGGTACTGTGATAACTGACTGCTGACTGCGGTTTCTGGAACTGACTCTGGAACTGACGTGCGTGGTGATGATTGTTGGTGCAAAGATTCTCCTACATGCTCCACGACGGGCGGTGTTGGTGACGACCGGGACTGGACTGACTGAACTCGGGCTGAACTGGTGATGACTGACGGGCTGAACTGGCTCACTGACTGGCTGGCCCTCTTTCTCCCTCTCGCTCTCTCGCCCTCTCTCTCTCTGTCTCTCTCTCGCCGCGTCCGTTCGTCTCTCTTCCCCGCACAGCATCATTGTTGTTATTGTCGCCCACGATCTGTGTAGCTATCACACACTCATCTAAAGGTAGCCTCAACGGACTCAAAACTGCCCAGGTGTACAGTCCAGTAAAGTAATTGCCTGACTTTTCTTTGTTCGGTCGTATGTAATGTTATTGCACACACATCCATCCGGTGCACGCGCATGTATTGTCCGTGTTCGGATGGTGTCGCAATCTCTCTCATCCACCGAGACTCCCTGCGATTTCCTGTCTGCGGGCGTTGTTTTGCCCTTGCTTGTCATCAGCAGCCCCCCTCCACCACCTCCCAAGGACGACCACCAACACTACTACCCTACAACAACCTCCATGAACAACCTTGGGGGGAGGGGAGCCCAACCCGTTGGCATCATTTTAGCCTGTTAGATCCCGCACCCACGTTCGGGACTGCGTGGAATCTACAGTCGATCCGTGCTGGATTAAGAAGGAATCAAGGAAAAAAGGTTATTTGACATATATAACATCATCATCGTCAGCAGCAGCAACAGCGTCGTGTCAAGCCGCCCAACAACAGCCCTACCCTTTGCCCTGCTGCTGCTGCTGCTGCTGCCGCCGCTGCTGCTCTTCTGCGGGACTTGGACCTGCCCCGAGAGTTCACGTTTTCGCTCGCCCGGCCGCTCGCCCCCGGCTTGAGTTGAACCTACCTTGCGTGCTTGCCTTCCCTACTTGTGTATGTATCGATACATATACGTACACGCAACACGCTACACACCTGCACCGTGTGTGTGCTTTGTGCTGGACTGACTGCACTTGGACTGGACTGTACCTACCACGCCTAACACGCCTACCACGCCTACTACCTGGACTGTACCTACCCACCTACCTACTTACCTACCGCGACCGACCGACCATCCGCCGCCGCCGCCGCCCAGCTGCTGCCCCATTCTATCTCCCTCGTCACTCCTCACTACACTCCTCCTCCACACTCCACACACTCCACACACTCCTCGTCACACGCCGCTGCTCTCCTCCTCTCCTCTCCTCGGGCCTTCTTCTCCAGTTCTTATTAATATCGACCACTATCCGTCCGCGGCCACCATTTTTCACCACACCCACCACTACCACCACCACCACTACCTCTACCAATACTTACTACAACCACCATCACCACCGTCGACCGCGTAATTCTTTCGCCTCTTCTCTCGTTGCTCCTCTGTCCGTCACCTCTCGATATACAGAACCCGCGACTATCTTCTCGACGTCGCTGCCCTCCTCGCCTTCCTCCACCTCACCTCCATGTGCCAAGTGCAGGCTTCTCCCCGCCTGTCTTGCTGATACAATCCGGAGCTGGCATCAATCGTCACATCTCACCACAACGTTCAACGACCCATAGGGAAGTTGCTTTTGCACCCGCAATCGCGCTGTCCAGCGCCGCTGACCCCGGATCAAAAATCGTGGCTACTCTACAATCAACATGCCGTTTCTTCCTCACCATTCGCTGCTGCGAGTGGACCTGCCCGCGTTTCATGCCATCGACACAACCTCCGTCGAGGATCTATATGGGATGGTAGGTCCTTCTTCTCGTGCACACTGTGATTGCTAACGACAGAGCCGTCCGCTGACCGACTCCCAGTGGTCCGTCTTCTCCAAAACGTCGCACGCCATGCACAACGGCAAGCGTTACGAAAACATGAGCTGGCGGCTCATGAACCGCGAGACATTCTGTTGTGCACCTGAACTGAAGCGAAGGTCCGCTGCTGCTACTTCATCGACGGTCTCACTCGCGGCGAATTCGGCAACGAGCGCTTCCGGCAGCCTGACTCTGCCAGCGCTGTCCTCCAGCCTCGACTCTACCTCAGACGACGAAGGTCTCCCGTCACCTTCGATCAGCAATTCCGAATGTCGATCCTCGTATAGGCGCGGCGAAAAGTACATGGCACCCATCAACCTCAAACGCATCGTCAACACCATCCAGGAGAGCGGTCTGCAGCCCATCCATCTGTCCTTGCCAAGCGCAGCCACCCCGTCGCAGGAGCACATCTCTCCTGCCCAATCGCAGGAGCTTCCCTCGGAGCCCACCAGCACCGAGAGTTCCCAGATTGCGCGGTCGTCGTCGCAGAGCACCATTATGGAATCGTCCGCATCCACCCTCGGCTCGAACCCAACTACCAAGAGCTGCCTCATAGACCCGCGGTCACAACCGGTCGGTTCACAAGCCAGCTCCCACACCGAAGTCAGCACTCACAGCATCATTCGAGGCTTCGTCCCAGGAGGTGCGCCTTCATCCTACCGCTCACAGACCCACCTTCCCACCCAACCGACGCCCATCCTCAAATCAGCCAATCGCGCACCCTCGGCGGCAAAGAAGAAGGGAGCCATGTTCACCATCGGAACGTCGTCGGGCGAGGAGGAAAGCTCTCTGGACAGCCACATGCACAAAAGCGCCGTGGTCGAATGCATGCAGCGGCCCGCCACCACCACCTCAGCCACCAAGAAGCAGACTTCGTTCAAGGACGAGATCGAGATCGGCTGTGCCGCCCGGGACAGTCCGGTCTTTGATGACTCGGACGAATCGGACGAAGAAGTATCCGAAAGCGCCATCGAGGACGACGACGACTCGTCTGATTGGGAGGATTCGGATGATGGCAGCGGTCCCTCGTCCATGTACGATCGAGAGCTATTCCAACGGGTCGACTCTCGCCCAAACCTGGCCTCCCGCCGTTCGCTCCTCACCACAGCGCTCCACGAGCCGGATCGTGCGCAGGCGCTCGCCGACGCCGCATCGCGCTCGACCCCGGCCCTCCATCGCTCACGGAAACCGACGCTCAACGGCCCGTCGTTGGCCACGTCGCCTACGACGGCCATCGCGGACGGAGGCATGGAGTGGGCTGGACAAGGTCCCTCGCACGCGCGCCCCATCATCCGGACGACATCGAACATCCAGGGCCCGATGGCACTGTCGCCACGCACCACCCGGCGCAACATGCTCTCCACGGAACTGACGGAGTCCCTCCGAAAGAATCTCCTATGGGAGCGACAGCACCGGAGCACGGGCAACCTAGCGGCCCTCAAACGACGTCACACCTCCCACGACGTCAAGAACCTCCGGCAGCACGCCGAAGCAGGCCCGGTCCTCTCCCAACGCGATCCCTCCCAATTCAACAACGACTTCTTCAACGCCGGACTCGGGGAGTACCACACCAAAGGCTGGTGAGCGCTCGACCTTTCACCTACCCTTGAGGAGGACCCTCGACCTCTCTGCGTGAAAAAAGCTTTCTCTTCTCTGTTCTTCAATTCAATAGCGCGCGTCCTTACTCCATTCGAGCGGTTCAGCGAGAGTTGTTCATTTTTGATGATCCTTTACCACGCCTGTGGCAGACACAGGGTGTCGACGGCCACAAATCGTTTCGCGGCATTGTTTCCATCCATTTACCTTTTGAGAATTCAGCGAAGTGGGAAAAGAAAAGAATCACGGATTTGTTTTTGGGAAGTCTCGAGGTCACGCCCCGGACACCGCAGCCACCTGCGGTTTATTTCTCCAGAGCGTTGACGATTTTGGGATTTTCTCCTTTTGACTTTGGTTTTTTTTTCTTTCCGGCGCATTTTGAGAGGAACTCTACGACATGATACCAGCCAGCATGGGCAGCCCGCGTTGTCGCCGACCAGGCATCCGCAGTGACGGAAGCTATGAGTCTATTTGTTTGTTTGTTTGTTTATCCTATGGGAGATCGAAACGGATCTTTTCGGGTGGAAGGCCGTTGCTTCTTGGAAAAGGTTGCTTTTTCGTATCCCTTCGATTCGGCTTTATCATCCACGACCTGACTGGTGCACGACCTTCGAGAGCGGACAAACGGTCGACATGACTCTCAAGGATGGAGCGGATCGGCAGAACTATCAGGCAATGAAGAAATCGATGTGTTTTTGTACATTAAGCCAGATCCGCAACCTATGTAATATGCGCAATTCGAACCTGACGATATCCGCCGACTGTCTACAGTATCATCGACCGCGTGTCGCATGAACATGCCCCGTCTGTATCATGCATTACCGTGATAGCATTGTACAACACTTCAGGCGCTGTAGTAGTAGTAGGTCATGTCTCACCAGCAGACCGCTCCTTGTGTCTTTGGAGAGCCGCACGTGAGATGGTGGGCCTTGGACGACGCCGCACAAGCTGCTGCCTGACAGCCAGACTGTTCTGCACTACTGTAAATAAGTCTATAACAACATAAGAATTGGAACTAGTGAAGCGACGAAGAAGAGTGGTGCTGGTTGGCGGTAGCAGTGGTGGGAATACCGCAAGTGGTGGTGGTGGTATGTGTAGCTGGTCAGCCTAGGTTCTGCAGGCACGAGACACTGGGCGCAGTCGACCGACGAACGACTGCTGGCCTCTCCCTGACCCAGGCCCAGTGGGTGGTTCGCCGGGCGAATACCCCAGATTGCGCACGATCAATGGCCTGAATCATTCGCACGGGTTTACGCTAAATTTGATGGAGAGAGCTGTGCCGTGAAACCACCCGTAGGCGAGAGGCACAGGGGAGTCGTGAAGGTGAAGGTGATTGAACCGGATTCTACTGGTTGGTCGGCGACGAATGATGGTGAGGCAGCCGATCAGTCATCGGTCACATCAATCATGAGCCATACTGCATCATGCATCTAGCAGCCTAGGCCTCGAGGTTTACAACAGAGGTGGTGGAGCATTCGGCCGCAATACACCAAGCTCTCGCCCAACAGAAACACCCTCGTGGACACGATGGTAGCCTGCGGCTGATGGCCGGGATTGATTCGATATTCGACCTCGGAATAGGCAGGTATGGTGGCACAGGAAGGAGGAGAATAGAGAGAGAGAGGGAACAATGCAGATGTACGATGGTCACATGTCGAGTGTGTTGTTCGAGGCTGCAGTCGGCGTCTCTTCACCTCTCTCTGTCTCAGTCTCTGTCTGTGTCTCTCCCTCTCTCTTCCCCCCTCTCTCTTATATTCTCTCTCACTTTTATATTCCATCTCGCTCTTGCCTCGTCGACAACCTCCGTTCTCATTGGTATATACACCTAGTACATTACTATACCTCCCCAATCATTAATGGCCGGCAATTAACAAGTGCAGCCTCTGATCATCACACTACACACGGAACATACGATCATCTAGTTCTGGTCCTGACCTCGGGAACGCACGACGATGAATCATAACATGTATAATATCAGAAACATCATTATCATCGTCATTTCTGAGGCGCAGTTCTGTCGAGACATGAGAAAGAGACTGGTCATTTGCCTTCTCCTCCTCCTCCTCCTCCTCCTCCTCCTTCTCCTCCTCCTCATCCAACTAACAACGATTAGGCTGTCGGGCCGATCGTGCTAAAATGATGAGATGGTGATGGATTGCTGGATGATCCGAGATCGAATGGTTCCAAGCTGGAGGTTAGAGTGTATGCTTTAAGGTACAGTACATTTAAGAAGATGATGCGCATCTGCCCTGTTCTAGGTACAGTCCACCACCCACCAGTGCTTGTTCTTGTTCTTCTTCGCGTTAACCTCATCGTCGGCATCAATCTCTTTCTACTTCTCCTCCTCCTCCTCCCCCTCCCTCCTTCTCTGTCGCCATGGTTATTTTGAAAATCTCCCTCTGAATTCTCCTCCCTCTTCTACACCAAGGCTCGATGCACTGTACAGTGCTGTGCGCGATGATTGACCAGAGTGTAGTACTGTAATATGCACCGTCATTATTGATACGCATCAAACCACCCGTCGTCATCAACGTGCAGGTCGAGAGGAATAGAAGCAGTAGTGATGAAGAGAGTCTCGTGCTCAGTGGTTCCTGTGCTTGCTTGTCCGTATCGGCCCTTCTCTGATCATCATCACGTACAATAATTAAGCAAATGGTGTTTAATTGTAATAATAATCTTGGAATCAATCGATCATCGGTGCCTCGGCGATCACTCGCTGTCCACCTCCACCACCCCTACGACGACGACCACACTCACCTCCTACACGATGGGCATGCTCGTACCGGTGCATATGCCTGCCTGCCGTCCAGCGCTACTGTGCTCCCTCTGATGGGGATGGGAATAATGATGATGATGGTGGTGGTGGTGACACTCCATGGGTAGTCACGGCACGTCTGTTGCATGACGATGCCTCTCTCCCCCGAGAGGATCCCTCTCCGGTGACCCGCGCAAATTGACAGAGGAGTCTGGGTGCGCAATAACACGTTCGCCGCCTATCAAGGTCGCTCCTTGAAGCCTCAATGCACATCTATTGTGCACTCCGCATGGCCGGCGCTAGACATTCAGCCGCGCAACGGAGCTCGAATACGACGGATGTCTGATGACGATGACGATATCGACGATAACGACGGAGGGTGTCGATGACATTACCCAAACATGAGATGATCCACCTACAGGCCTGTACTGTACATGATCCTATGTATACACATGATCATCTGGCCAGGGAGATGTGTATCTGCGGGTTTGTCCTTGCACGCCGAAGAGGTCGCTTGTCCCATACGTCACTGATCCTCCAGGGCACATCTTCCTCCACCTTTCGAGGCATGTTTCAGATATACAGTATTCAGTCATGTCCTTCACTGGCCTGCCAGGTACATTGCAATTCCATCAGGCTGAGTGATACCGTCGACGTCACTCTCACGCGTTCAATCAAGATGGGATGAAAACGTACATGTTTCTTGTTTTCCACCTGATCAGTTGCATCGTCCTCCTCCGGTGGCCATACGGGAGATTACAGGCCCGCTCGAGTGTCCTTGCATCAACGGCAAAGTCGCAGGGTCTCGCGAGAGTCTTTCCCATCACCTGAGCACAACGGTCCTGGTCGAGTCGCAACTTCATCCCTCTGCTCGGCTGTCTTTCCCGAGGTCCACCTAGCAGCAGCCAGAACGTCACCGAAGAACATAACATACAGGATTCTGCAACGACTTGGCTTGGGCGCAGTACATGTGCGTGTCTCTCACTCGCTTTCGGTTGGTATGCTCCGCCAAAGGGCGATGGGGCCATGCGCAACATCCGGAGCCTTCTACTCTTCTCTGCCCACAGTGTACTCTATGCATGAAGTCGGGAAAGGGATCAAAGCGTCGACCATGCAAGGGCAACCCAAGAGACGCGCCATGTGCCTTTCCACATTCTTTTCCACCGTGCTCACGGTCTATTGACAATAGAGTAAAAGCAACGGCCATCAGTGCGCGCGTTGACCATTGGATCCTCCACGCATCTTGATCTCGTGCAGTCTGTGCCCTTTCATCGCCGTCACCACATCCTCGGCATCGTTCTATCAAAACTGTTCTCCACCAATCTGTCCGTCGCTTGACGATGGTGCAGGTGGCTTTGAGCTTGTGACTCGGCCCATCATACCGGTACTGTACCTGCCCGACTCCCCCTAGTGCCCGTTTCTTGACAGCTGCCACCAGCAATTGATCATCTTGTCCAAGGAATCATCCGTCATCATGTGCCTCGTCAACTCATGCCTTCTTGACGACTATACGATCTTTTTACGAACTAGTCCCCGACCTTCTCGGCCGATGGAATCTTCATCGAGGCGTGGAACAACAACAACAACAACAACAACAACGTGCGGATCCCTTCCTTCGGCGCATCGTCGCTCTCTCACATGATTTTCACTCCGCTCGGGTCGCGTGGAGCACGCATCTTGTTAGGGTTATGATGCGCCAGACTCGAACGTGAGTTTCACAGCATGTGAAGACGAAGACAAACGATGGTAACACATCGGAGTCTACCCATCGTTATCCGCAACATGCGATCGAGAACGACACTCCCCCTAGCAAATACGAAATATATCTATAATTGTTATGAGACCCATCTGTAACCAAACAATGCTGTGCGCCGTTCGCATTTCCAATTAGAGGTCGAAGCAAGTACGTCGCCCGATCTCCCACACATGACATGGACATCTCTAGGATGAATCACTCAAAACCCTGCGCCGTCGTTCTCAAAAGATCGTCAGATGTATATCATCACCAGCATCCTCGCAATCTCTGGCTCGATGCAACCTCACCAGCGTCGACCATAGACATCGTGCTCCTTGTGCAGATTCTGGCGCCCACTCTTTTTGCCTTGCGTCCTCTCCGGAGCGCCGTGATCGCGAATCCTCTCCGATGTACTTCCGTGACCTTCCAATATCCTCGCATCGGAGCCGAATTTCTCCCAAAGCTCGCGGTCTTTGGCGTCGTGATCGCCATGATCGGCATCGTGGCGGAACAATCCGAGAATGTCCTTCAGGGACAGCTTGCCAGCAGCCTCTCCGCCTTCAATGGCATGCTTGGCCAACTCGCGCTTGCGCTCTTGCAGGGCGATGATGCGTTCCTCGACGGAGTTTCGGACGGTCAGGCGAAACACTTTCACGTCGACGGTCTGATTGAGCCGATGTACCCGGTCAATGGCCTGCTCTTCCACAAATGGATTCCAGAACGGTTCCACAATGACCACACGCGAGGCGGCTGTGAGGTTGAGGCCCAGACTACCGCATTTCAGCGAGCATAGTAAGACACGGGTGCGTTTATCGTTCCGTAGGGAATCTAACGCCCTCTCGCGATCGTCGGGCCGCATACTGCCATCGTAACGGACAAACGTGATTGACGCCTGTCGTAAGTGGGGTTCAATTAGATCAAGCATCGAGGTGAATTGTGAGAACACAATGGTCTTGTGCTTAGGGGTCTCTCGGTGTAGGATGCGTAGTAGGTGACGGATCTTGGTCGAGGGTTCATGTTTCGTCTTCTCGCTTGTCGACATGCCCTTCAACATGTCATATTTCGGTCTTGAACCCACCGAATCTCGACTGCCATCTTGTCGATGCAAATTTTCGACATCGTCGAGTATATGAGAGCTGCTGTCATTGCTTTCGGGCGACGTACTTTCGTCATCGTCTTCATCACTATCACTATTACTGTCATCCTCGTCATCGTCATCGTCATCGTCCTCATCATCATTCTCATCCGCATCAGCAGGATCTTCGTGAAGATGTTCGGCATCCTGCGTTGCATCTGCAGTCTGTTGTTTGGCATTGTGGTCGCCAAGGTCATTCACGATGAAGCTATCATCCTCAGTGTCCTCTTCCTGACTTCTGGCCGACTCAATAGAGCCCAGGGTATCACCGCCTCCTTCTGCATTTTCATCATCAGACCCGCCGGCTGTTCCGAGTTCGATGTGACGCTCGGGACCTTCGGCAATCCATTCGCCTTCCTCTTCATCACTTTCTTCAATGATACGGCGATTTCGAGCACGGCGTGGCACAGCTGTTGTTTGATCCTTTCTGTCAGGCGTAGATGTCCGCGAGTTGCCAGGCTGCTTTGACTTTTCCTCTCGTTTGATTTTGCCGCCAGCTCCAATCTCCGTCTCGCACTCATTGCAGGTTGATGATGGCTTTTGCATTTCTGCTGAAGAAAGTTTGACTTGACAAACACGACATGTTGTGTTCTGTACGGCGATGCCACCCATAAGATTGGCAAGGTCATCCATCTGGTCATTCAGCGTATCTTGAATTTTCTGCCCCGGCAAGTGAGTGATGGCCATAGCATCTTTGTCCTTGTGCATTGCCATGCTGATCAGATGTGGATGATTACATGCTTGGCGCAGTCTCAACAGCAGAACCAACGCACCGATATAATCGGGCGCACTGTCGCTTTCCATCATGTTCTTCAACTGTTCGTCAGCTCGTTCTGATAGAGTGGTATAAAAGTGCTGTTCGGCGTCGTCGAAATCACATTCGATAATTTCAACGTCGCGTTTGACAATCTGCATGCCACCATTCTTCGACTTGCCATCGGCATCAGCTTTGCCACCGAAGTTCAGTGCGCCTTCCTTCTTGAGAATATCTTTTGTTCTTCTCTTCATCAGCGCGCGCAGGAAGACCTGCAACCGGCGCATCGCAAGACCGCCGCGACCATTTTTCATGGGTCGAACAATCTGATCCTTCCAGTTGCCCATGTCACAGTAAGGCTTTACGCGTAAAAACTTGATCAAGGCCTGAAGTTCGTCGAGATTGTTCTGCAACGGAGTGCCTGTGAGACACCATCTGTAGCAGCTATTGAGTGCACAGCACGCCTGATGTGCCTTGGAGGAGCGATTCTTGATGCTGTGTGCCTCATCCAGAATGATTCGGTACCAGTGCACGCCCATGCACCCTATCTTTGTGCCACTTTCACTGTTCATGTTGGAATTGGCGTGCTCCGACGTCAGCGACTGGTAGGTAGTGATCACCACATCGTACTTTTTCAAGTCCAGGCTTGACTTCGTTCGGTTGGGACCATGGTGCACTAGGACTTTTAGCGCATGATCTTGGGTAATCTTCGTCTTGATCTCAGACTCCCATTGTTTGATCAGCGCAAGAGGTGCTACTACGAGAGTGCCCTTGCCAGTCTCCTTGGATGGCAACTTTTGCTTTGGATGCTCTGGCTTGGCATCCAGGGCCGGCCGTGGATTGGTGAGGATCAAAGTAATGGACTGCACCGTCTTACCTAATCCCATGTCGTCTGCTAGGATGCCGCCTTTGGGAAGAGCTCCACTCCGCTGCAAGCGGCCGACCTCTTTATCGATCATCCAGGCTACACCTTCGACCTGGTGGGGCAAAAGCCTAACGTTCAAGCCTTCGACAACGCCGTCCTCGACCTCGTCTTCTTGGTCTCCTGCTTCACCTTCTTGAGGGCCAGATTTCTCTTTGGATTGCATATCAAGTGCTGCTAGCTTGTCGGTAAGGCTCTGGACACCTTTCTCGACTACCACTGCTTGCCGAGGACGTCGTGGTAGTCGTAACTTCTCTGGATTAGAGCCATCATCAAATGCCCCTTCCAGCAACTTGCGCATATTATCGTTAGCCTTTGCCGCATCCATGTAAGAGTGAGGATCTGTAGCTCCGTAGTCGTCACCCTCTGCTGCAATGACAGCATCGGGACTGAAGCTATCATCATCGTCACTGGAGTCATTCTTCGTCAGATCGATCGGTTGTTGAGGACGAGGCCGCCCAACCATCTGAACTGGTTTGGGCCCGATCGAGGAAAATTTGGGTTTGCTTGGAGGTCGAATATCTGGAAGCCGAGCGTTCCCGGGTTGCATGATTTGCGTATAGTCTACTTCATCTTCGAAGTCATGAGTATTGCGGCTATCTGGTTGAGAAATTGTGGCTGGCCTTTGGCCTGGACGATAGAATCCGGTTGCATTCTGAGAACCGCTCGATTGATGGCTTGGTGGATAATGATCAGGCAACGTCCTCTTCACGAAAACCCTTGGTTTTGGAATGAATACGCTTGTAGCAGGGCGTCGCAGAGGATTACGGAGCTCGCTAGTTTTACCAAATTCAAAACCACCCGTCAACGATGTTCTCGTTGTCTCGTCGTTTTGCTGAGGTGCCATCTTGTCCGAAGATGAGCTTGCTTTTTGATTCTTCACACTCATCGACGCAACCGCATCATCGAGACTTGTTGCACCTGGCCGACTCGCTGCAGGGAGATCAGCAGGGCGTTCGCGAACCATATTGATGTTATTTTGCCCTGGTGATCTACGGATGCCGGTGTCGAGTACAGTGTCAACTTGTGATATTGCTGGTACTAGTATTTGGCCCTGAACGTTCTCACAGAACACAGAGTGTTCTAGTGTTGCAGCATCGAGGCCTCTTATATCTTTACAGAACAAGCACTGTGCCACTGATATTCAATCACCGTCATCCACTAGCTCCGTATTTATTATGCACGTATTGTGTACAGGCATTCTGGCGCGCGTGGTTGCCTAGAGTGATGTGAGGAAGCGGGATGCGTGCCTGAGGCATGATCATCGATTCAGCAACAGACGGCATGTATAATAATAATATTGACTACACCCTGCATTGCAGCATTGCAGCATGGCCATAAGCCTTTCTTTCAACTCCAAAAAAATAATGCGAAAAATCAGCTCACATGTCTGACCGTTTAGATGCCCACGAGAAGCCTCCAAAGGTCCTGCAAGATGTCTACAAATTCTACCAAAAGGTAGATGTGAGAAGGATCCCGTCAACAATAAGCTCGTACATTCATTGTGATGGAGGAGCTGCCAAGCACGAAGCAGCCGTGATCCCTGCCCGATCGATTGAGATACCGAGCGATATACAACATCTATTGCAGGACTTCGAAGATACGGCGCTGGCGAACACTTCAACTCGACTGGTAGACGACCGTGAACAGGTGCCACAAGTCTTTGAGGTGCAAGGTCTTCCAGGTGAGTGAGAAGAAAATGTCAGCACAATACCTCCACGCTGCTGAAGACGGGAGGTCTTTTCATATATCCCTCATTGCTGCCTCAACAGGCACAAATCACATTGCTCGAAAAGCTGCTCCACCGCGATCTCTCCACGTTCGAGCATCAGACCAACGTCCACCTGCATCATCACATTCCCGAGTTGTCCAAGCAGAACGACGAAAGCTCAGCCTCATACTTTGATCGCTCATCTTCAAAGTTGGAGTTCGTGCCGAAGGATCCGTTGGTTCATAAACCCTTCTCTACACAGCAATTTCTGAACAAGAAACTCCGTTGGATGACCCTTGGCGGACAATATGATTGGACGGCGAAGGCGTACCCTTCAGGACCGCCGCCCCCTTTCCCTCCGGATATCAAGCATTTCGTGGAAGGAATATTTCCCATGAAAGCAGAGGCCGCGATTGTGAATCTGTACTCTCCTGGAAACACACTCAGTCTCCACCGTGATGTCAGTGAAGAATGCGACCGGCCACTGGTGAGTATCTCTTTGGGATGTGATGCCATCTTTGTGGTAGGGACTACAAATGGTGAAAGCGACGATCAATCGGAAGTCGCTGCTCTCCGGCTGAAATCTGGAGATGCGGTCCTCATGAGCCAGGGAAGTAGGTATGCTTGGCATGGTGTTCCTCGAGTGCTAAAAGACACCTGCCCTGAGTGGTTGCGGGCTTGGCCCTGCGAGAAAAACGCAGATCACAGTAGCATTTACGAACATTGGAGAGACTGGATGAGTGAGAAGAGAGTAAATATAAATATCAGACAGATGTTTGAATAGCTATATGATCCAAGTATGATGATGATGATGATACCAACAAGCCGCCAGGTCTCGCGTTCCTGATCGTGTAGTGTTTGCTTGGCAGTGGACAGGCACAAGCTATACTACGCGATCCACAAATTCCGTGAGGGATAAGCCTGAAATGTGAAGCTGACCACCCTGATGGTGACCGGTCTTTCGTCTCCCGACTGATGTTGGTAGAGCGATGTTCTTCGAATTTGAGCGATGTTGTTGCGAAAGAAAAATGCAGACCAAAAATGCAGACACTTGATGGGGCGTTTGTTTGGCGTCGTTCTATTCGTACTCTCAAAACTTGGAGGCCGAGCGTTGTCGTAATTTCTCGCCGGCCGTGCCAGCAGCGAATGCGATGCAGATGAGTACCACCAATTCGAATAGTGCGATCGCTTGGGGATTGCTCTTCGAAAGGCTTGAAAAGAATTGGAGGGGCTTCATCACGAACGTGAACATGAAACCTAAAGCTGGGGCGCTGTCAGCTGAGGAGCACAATCATCATGTTTCATGCAACGGTACCTAAGCAGCCGATGGCCGCGCATATCACGGCCAATGGCATTGGAGCACCATATAAGCGAAAGAATGGCAAGATGCAACAGAACATCAGGATGGACATTGCTAGGAAACGGACGTGAGTGGTACGATCAAGCAATGCACCCAGAAGATCCGTGCCGGTCTGCCACAGTGTCTGCAACAGCTTTGCGCATTCGCTGAGCTCTCGCAAGGACTCCACGGTTTCTGTCGCTTTGGCCGATATCTCTCCGAACTGTTGCATTAGCTTGGCATGGTTCTCTTCTTGAACGCCGGCGAAAGCGAGTGATTGTAAATGCATGTCGGCCATGCGTATAATCTGGCCGTCAGCCTTAAGACCGATATGGCGCAGGGCAGTAGTTACGTTGCTGGTTAATTCATTGACAAATTTTAAGTCTCTCGACACGCCATAGGTTTGACGTGTGAAATTCCTCAGAGTCATCTCGGTTTGAAACGCGAACCAAGCCCTACTTGCTTCCATTTCTTGCTTAAATTTTGCAACATCGTCACGTCGCTGGATATCCATCCCGGAAGCGAATTCTGTCGATCTGTCGAGCGTGTGACTGACCTTTGATGAATGTTGAGCGAGGCTTTCCTCGGCGTCCCGAAGAGAATCAGCCATGGATAGAATTCTCTCGGCGAAAATGGACATGTCTGTCTTAAACCGAGCCTCGGCATCAGCCCAAGACGCCATGACTGCGGTCTTGATTTCTTGATTGTCGCTTTTCACCTTTGCTTTGAATTCATGCATACTGTTTGAGAGATCGTGGAAATCGCGGATCATCTTTCGAAGCTCCTCGTCGGACGCTGCGATCGAGCCCGTGACCATCGAAACTACACTGATGAGGTTGCGTAATACCTGCAATTGGTCCTCCTTGTCACTTTCGCTTTGCATGGCTTGGCAGATGAACAACGCTCTGCTCTTCGCATGATTGAATAAATCCCAGGAGCTTGGCGCGTGGTAAAGTTCGCGAAGACAGTCGGCTATGCATTTCAAAGACATACCATCATCCTCAATTGGAGCGAGAAGCGGCGTACATGCTTGAGGCATATTGATTTGTGCATCCCCGAGGTCACAGGCCGTCATTTGGAGGGCGTAAAGGTTCCTGAATGGCTCAAGTGTGTCATGCTTGCTGCGATGATCATCTTTACGGGAGGGATCGAAGATTTCGCAAGAGTGGATCAGTCGCTTGGTGGGGATGCGTTTGCATGATGGTAGTCGTTCGAGTTGCTGAACTTGTTCCAGTGCATCAGTCAAGATGTGCGTGTAGTTCACATTGGCTCCTGTTGGTTTGGCGAGCTCGTTTCGTTTGCTCGCAGGCAGGAAGAATCGACCTTGTCGATGTCAGCACGCAATCAGATATCATCCGTTTCAGTCAATCTGCCATTCTCGTAACCGAGCTCACCATGTACTTGAGCTTCGTGCTGCAAGAACAGAAGAGGAATCAGCAATATCGTAGCAATCACGCGAGCGAAGGAGGCCGTCATGGCGATATTTCAGTCGTTGGACTGTGGACTTCAATCCTACTGCTGTTGAAGCATCAAGAAGAGAGAAAGAGAGAAAGAACTACGATGACGAAAAACAGTTCACATAAGCCAGGACTGAGTGTTAAGGAGCTGTAGTGGTTGCGGCAGATCATTGGCACGTGGAACCCTTAAACTGTGTCCGAGTATCTTTCTGGACAGCTGTGTCGTACTCGAGCGCAACTATCGTGTGATTACTCGATCTCACATGACGTGGACAATACGGAATGTGTCGAGTTGCTCTCGGTGTACTGCGATCATGATTATTCCAAGGGATGTGGATGTTGTGAACTGACAATGCCCTTGGTCACGGCAAAACTTCGGGAGGAATTGCTCAGAAAGTCGGAGCCGCGCGAGAGCCCTCGGATTTCATTGGGGTTCATGAGCACGACTTGCTTGTACTGTAGACTGTAATCATCGTCGTGACCTGCAAACATCATGGAAATATCACGGCGGCGCTGCGCCCAATCGTGCGGGTCGTTCAACGTCATTTTTGGACTAGGTCGCGTCCGAGAAGTCACCTTACCTGCTTTCCTGGTTCCGGCGTTCACACGACCTGCACAATCAAGTCGATTCTCGACCTCGCCCCAATGTCGGTCCAAAATTGGCGCGATGCCGATCACGATACCACCAGATGTCACCTTCACGATCAATTCACCACCATCGTCGAACGCTCTCGGTCGAAAGGGTTCCCAAGCTTCATGGAGGAGAGTGGAAGTTGAAGGGCCATTGGGAAAGATCGACATGCCCCTCGCTCCTTTCATCACAATTACACCAAACGAAGAGACGCGGACGCGGACGTTAACCATCGCGGATGACAGAGACAAGAAGCAAAGGGGCATGTGGGGTGAGTGAGGATCCAAGCACGTGGAGAGATAGCCTCCCAGCTAATCGAATGCGCAGGAATGTCACGAGCGGTCCTCCAAAACCACATCCTTGGTGTCAGCGAAGGGCACGCGGCGATCTTACGACTGGTCGGTGTCGGATACCGTGCGACCGTGGAGAAGAGTGCAATCACCAAGACACCAGAGTATGAGGGTCAAGAGTTCGTCTCTCTGAAGGTCGGATACTCGCATCCTATCGAACTCGGCTTGCCGAAGGGCGTCAAGGCGAGCACACCACAACCGACGCGGATATTGCTGGAAGGCATCGACAAGGAGGTCGTCAAACAGTTCGCGGCTGAGATCCGTGCATGGAGAGTGCCCGAGCCGTACAAGGGAAAGGGCATCTTTGTCAACGATGAAACGATCAGGTTGAAGGCGAAGAAGATCAAATGAAGAGGCTGTTTCTGTACTGTAATATATCACATTTGTACAATTGTAACAAATCATTGCGACCAACACTGGGGTATCCAAGAAGTAAAGCCGTGAAACACCAAAAGGTTCCCAAAGTCCAAGCGTCCGCTGAAGCCGATTATCAAATCACCAAATTTCGAATGGTCCATTGTTTGGATGAACGTGGAAATGTGCGCATTGTAGCGGAGGTCTCGTCCCGTCCGTCAGGGGCAAAATGTTCGAACAATCTCTACGCGACCGCCAAAACGAGGCGTGGCATTTCCATCCCCTTGGCCCTGGCATCCTCGAGACGTCTTTGCGTGCGACGCTCCAGCAACGGCGGCTTGCCAATTTCCATCGGGCGGCCGCGAGTGCGCGTGTTGAAGCGGCCGACCGGCGTCGTCACCTTGAATCGATGTTGCAACGCCCTCAACTTCTCCGCATCTCGCTTGACTGGGATTTGAGGAAGCAGCTCAACTCCAGCAGCGCGTGCTTGCTCTTGCCGCTGCTTGACGCGGCGCTCGTATTCAGGTTCCCAGTCGAGAAATCCGTCCTCACAGTGCTGCTCCACAATCTGCCTGTATTCCTCCATGCCTGGACGGACGTCCTCGATGGCTGAAATGTTGGCCGCTGTAAAATAGCTCGCATGCGCGCCCGCCTGTGCCCAGAACTCTTCCACTGTTGCGCGCCGTAGCTCACAGCGGTAATCGATGGCTACCTGCATGTCCAGCTCGCGCTGCCACCATCGATCGACCTTGCTGTGATCCACACGATTCTGTATCCTCCGATACGCTAACGGTCGACAGTCTTTAATGAATTGACCGAGCTCGGTCAACTTCGTCCCACCGTGTCCCTTGACCACGAGAGCTGGCGTGTCTTCCGGGTTATCGTAACACCAGAGGGCAACGGCGACGTTCCGACCACAATCGAAGCATTGCCGGTGTGCCTTGTCGTCGCACATGTAGCATCCATCTTTTGCGCATGCATGCAAGCAATGATCATTGATGGACCTCAGCAGGGTCGCCGCTCGGCAGATGGGCGGCCAGAAGACAATAGAGCGATGGGGCGAGACTGCCTCTTCGTATTCGGTGATGAGATCGTCGAGGAGATCGGCGCGGTAGGTGGGATGCCGTGAGGCTGCCTTTGCGTGAGTTCGGCTTGTCTCGGCGTAGATTAGTTTGCAGGTAGCCCGCAAGGCATTGCTAGGTCCCTTCTTGGACAGTAGATCGAAAGGTCGGGCCTCCGCGAAGACGTGATCATAAATCTCAAGCCTGAGCTCCGCTGGCAAAGTGAGCAGACGTGATCGGCTGCTGTCCGCAGCCATGTCGTTCTTCAGCAATACCGTATATTATCGATGTTGCAGAATTGCACTGCTTGTGATGTCCGCAGGGTGTCAACAAAGTGCCTTCTCTAGACTTTTTGTCTTTTTGGGTCGAGGCTTCAAGTCTTGCTGATCGCGAAGAAGAGGTTATGGAATGGCCAACGGGAGAAATGTACTTTAGATCCAAAAAGGTGATATACTGGGCAATGCAAGGCATGGCGGAGGCAAAGAAAGCATGATATATACACGCGGCGGGAGATGGATGTTCTCGGCGCGGCGATCCCACGCAAAGGGGATCATGTACCGCATCGCACGTACATCTCGGTCGACGCTACACAGTGGATAAGAAACGTTCGGTGGTGGAGTGGTGACTAGAGTACGAGGAGTGAAATGGATGGACGGACGGAACGTCGTTACATTGATGTTTGGGGGTGGGTGGTGAATGGACCGGGGCTGGACTAGTGTGATGGGGTTTTCCAATGCGAAACGTTTGCCTGTCCACCCATGAACGAGATGTGCAGATGCTGTATGATCTTGTGCGAGAAGACAGTGACCAAATTGTCGATCTCAGGCAAAGGGTCCACGGTAATGTATGTCGTCAAGGACTTTGATCAACCCTTGTGCATTCATCGGTCTTTCATCGGTTGAGGCTCGAATGCAATGGACGAGGGTAACACGACGTTCTCCTCATCTACGATTGTCACCCACTGCCAGAAAGTCTTATATTCGCATAACTAGAGACTGCATGAACTGGAATCATCGCTGTAGAAGAAGCGGCGACGGCATAGGGCAGACAAATAGAGAGACACCTGCAGGCGGACAGACAGGCAGGCGGGCGGAGATACGACGAATGCGCCGAAGGGGGAAATCGTCACGAGGCAAACCAGGGTCATCATCATTGTGCATGCGATTACGGGGCCGCCGCGTCTAATGCGAGAGGTACGTACTGCGCAAACCCTTTTGTAGGGGAAAATAACGTGCGAGAGACAGAAAAAAATTTAAAGAGAAACCGAGGAAGGTTGTCTTCCAACGTTGGTTCGCTGCAGGGCAGCACAAGCGGATCAGCAATAACCCAGATTTCCCATATCCTCACCTACAGTATGTTACCATATCGCACAGTTCTTGGGATACCTCGTCCCGTTGTTCCACCGTATTACAGTACAGTACCGTGTATGTGCAAGGCCTCTGTGTGCAAATATCCGAGTCGGTAGTGGGCATCTACAGGAGACCATCAGACGAGGAAACGCCTCTTCATGCATATGCACGATGCAATACACTCCTGACCGCTCATCCCACGTTTCATTCCAGTGCCCAGGGAGGTATGTATGCATATATGTAGTATTCGTGACGATAAGGTTGCCTGTTAACATGGAAGGTCTAGAGAACCTTGTAAGAATGCTAATTAGAACCTTGGAAAGAAGCGAAACTTAATCGCCGGTGCCGGGGGAGAGGATGCGCGGGGCGAAAGAATAAGCCGGTGTTCGGCATATACATACACACCCACCTGCAGCATACGATGTGTGGTGCTGGACACATTACATAGCCCTGCCTGGAGGACATACTGTAGAGACCCCACGACGATGGACGGGGCGGGGGTCCATGTATGCACGCCAACAACGGCCGGAATCCTCTTCCGGCGCGGAAACAAAAGTTGGGGAAGTCATTTGACGGCAGCTGTACACTCGTGACAGTCAGAGTCCATCCTGTGCTCATTTCCTCCTCCTCCAAGCATCAACCTTCGTTCTCCCCGCGCGCAGACCGTTCCGAGGGCCCGCCTTGGGACGATCATTCATGTACTGGCTTGCAACTGCTTGATGGCAAAACGGTGAACCAGTTTGACAGCGTTAGGTCTCGCCGTAATCTCCGAATGCCGTGTCATCTCACTCCGTGCATCTGCTTAGGGTTGATGCGTTCACCGGTCGTGGAAATCCCAGTCATTACATGGCGAGAGTGTCAGTGCAGCATGCACATCGACCAAGTTGCGCATCTCGGACGCCATCCGAGGCGGATTCTCACCTGTAGCCAAGGGGACTGATTGTCGACGTCGTCTAGGATATGGCTGGCGAGACCCGTGCTGCCCTGCATGGCTTGCCTCATCTGAAGGTCATGATCAGTATTTCAGAAGAATACGCTGCATCTCGCCCGTGGCTCGCATGGTATTCGCGCGTATCAGGTGATGTTCAGAACATGTCCAATATGTCCATTGGAGTGGCGACAGCCGATTCTAGAATAGGCGGCGAGTGAGTGAATGTTATCCTGGAGATGCACCTTCTCTGGCACACGTTTACGCCCGACCTTTTGCCCTCTCAGGCAGCTCGACAGAACTGCAATAGGTCAATCGTCGCATATTGTGTGCTTCCAATACGCCTGCGCAGTACGCAAATTATACCTTGCTTGGCACGGCACAGCATATTCCTTTCTTTGCCAGGTGCCACGAAAAGGTATCGCCGCCACTCGATGAAACCTTCTCGTAGCAGGAGCCGACGTCACCGTGCAGGTGGCATGTTGATCTTACTAATACAGCTCAAGGGCTCGCAAGAGCGCACCGTGATTATTATGACCACAATGCCATGGACTGTGTGTTGTTACACTGATAAAGATCAGCATAGTCGAATTGTAAACAACCCTAGATGATCGAATTGGAACCGACATCGGCGCATTCATTCCTAGTTTTGCGTGCCTGATCATAATGTGTCATACACAGCGGCGGTCTCGTCGCAGAACTTCACTGCGGCATTTCCGAGTGTGAGAGCATAAACAAATGACACAACAAAACATGTCTCTTCGGCTCCGTAAGCGACCGCCATCAGCATCCACCATCACCATCACAATTCATTCTGAGAGATCACGTGCGTGGTGTAAGGCACGGACGCGTATGTCCTCGTCGACGTGGAAGATGAAGTCGAAGACGACGTCGTTGTAGTAGTTGCAGGACAGCTGAACTTGCTCGTCTTTGTCATCGAAGTAAGGTATCCATACGGCCTCATGCTCGTCGAGCGTACAGAAGCGGAGCTCGAAAACGATGCTTCTGGAGGCGGGTACTTCTCCACCATTTGGTCGGAGGGGATCAGCCAGGTTACCACTGTGGAATTCGGGATGGCGCCTGCCCAAGTATGGCCGGCTTGCGTAAAGGAGAGACGGACGTTCTGAGTGCTGTTGAGATTGTTCATGAACACGATCGCCCACGACTGATCCGGGTTGTGCGCTGCCAGGATCAAGAACTGGTTGCTGTCTCCATTAGTGCCGACCGTACCATTTGTGACACGATGAACGACAGAGCCGCGGCGAATGAAGCGGCTGAATTGGCCCATCATATAGTAGTCGTTGGTCTTGGTATAAATCCTCGAGGAATTGACGATGATAGAGCCGAGACAGCCATCACACCCTCCATATGGTGAATGCGGCCCGTAGTTGGGATCAGTCGCCATGACCCACATAGCTATTTTGGCAATCAGTTTTGATGGCGGGTAGAGATTCGCGATTGGCCATCGACTCACATGCTCCCGATGCGCCGTGCTGTACAGAACTGATGAAGTTCCTCGCCACGCCAAAATCCAAGGTCCCAGGGGTAGGCCTGTACGTTGTACACTCCGTCATGAACTGCAATAGATCTGGGTATGCATAATGGAGGTCGTCCAACACAGAGTAATTGGGCGTTGGAGTTTCGTAACAGTGCCAAGCTGCAGCTCTGACATGTCCTGGCGCGCCTTCGATGACACGTACTGGATAGGCAGGTTGGTCGGTGTTGTGATCGTACGCCATTGCGATAACTCCACGCTCCTTCAAGGCTGTACCCAGACCTTTTGCAAGAATCGAAGCTTCGTCCGCCGGATCCAAGAACATCGTTGGATAGCCGCCTGCACAAAAGTCAGTCGCCTGAAATCACTCATCTTCAGGGTGTGCCGACCTTGATAATTCAAAGGCTCATTCATAAGGGATAGCCCATTAATCTTGACGCCGTAGTCGCGCTGATAAGTATCAATATATCGTGTGAAGTAGTCTACCATCTGTGGGATATATTGAGTATCGAACGAATTGTTGAGGACATTCTTGCCCAGTCGCGGTGCAATGAGTAATCCGTTATGTTTCGTCCATCCGGGAAACGACCATGGTGCGCCATATAGGAACACATCGCCTTTGTAGTCGCCCATATGTGCAATCATCTTAGCCATCGCGGTGCCATTCCGCCCAAGACCGAATGTCGTCAAGTTCAGATCCGGTTCGCCCTCATTGAAGCTTGGCCCATTATCAGTGTAGGAGTAGAAGCCATCTGAGAGATCAGAGGCTCCTACAGTGTGTCTCATGAATCCAAGATTGTTGGCTTCTGGTGAGAACAAATCCCACATGACCTGATCTAGCACATCGGCTTCCAGGCTTTGAAAAGTGGTCACCGTCGAATCTGTCCAGGAATGACCAAATCCGACCATTTCCTGACGCGCTCCCTTGGCAGATGAGTCTACAGTGACTGTCAATGGCGGCGGACAGACCTGCAGTCCTTCGTTGCCTTTTACGAGCCTCGGAGGGACCCCCACCGCTAATTGCCGTGTTGTCTTGAGGCGTAGAGGGATCAATGCGTCTGTGATGAAGGATTGAGCCTTCAAGACAGGATGATCGGCATCGCCAATTCCGCCCTTGGGCCCGCGACCACCACTCACTCCGAGGCCTTTGATGGACTGAGCGTGAATGCACACAACGCAGCTGAGCAATACGATGGCAAAAGACAACGCCATGTTTTCGACTCGAAGAGACAGAATATATTGAGCGAGTAAGAAAGTTGCAATCGCCCTTGAGCCAGCGGCATGGTGTTTCTCGACATTTTATAATAGCTGACATTGCTTTTGGAGGTCATGCACTCGATCAATGCAATGTGGCTGTGCCAGCATGGACTAGCATGACCACACATCTAGCTTAGACGCAGCAAATGATGCTGATGATCCTGAAGGAGGTCGAATGATGTGTACATGCAGTGTACATCATGTCCAAAATCCTCTGGAGGACGACATCTGATCGGCATCGGACCGGACTTCAACTGGAACTGGCGGGAAACCGAACCTTGGTTTTCGGGAGAAGGAGCACATGATGGCAACCACTCCACATTGAGCGTTTCAAACACGACCTTTCTTGTGTCTCCACCGTTCACCAGAGCCGGAGATTATTGTGCGTAGGATATATGATGAGTTGTGGAACTGAGGTTGGGGAACAGCAACAGAATACTCGGAAATGGCCCATGTCGTCACTCGTCATGCAGGATAGCTCTCATAGCGGCTTGGGGCTTTTCATTAGCTTGCAGCCCACGCAGGCAGCTCATGTGCAGTATATGTATATGCGGGACCACAGTGCCACATGACTGATCACGAGCAAACGATCGTCGGTGTACATCTCTCCTCTGTCATATATTGCAAATATTTAGGCAATTTCTGACATCTAATCGGTCGACGGGTGGAGCTATGACATCTGCGTTGTGCATGCTTCTCCATCATCATTGATTTCCATGGCCAGCGACTCCACTACTCTATTGTTCACATTGAGAGACGTCGAGAGTCTTATTGTGGAGCACAGGTATGCTCCACTAAGCCCAACGTACCAATACAGCGCAACATAATCTTGTTGTGGGGTTCCTGCGGGATGACTCCTGCATACACAGGGGCACTGAATGTGCTGTTGTTTGAGCAGTGCTTGAGGCCATCACTTCGAGTGACAAGCTTCTGCATCGATGGAGGTGTATATTCGTCTTCACCCGAGCATTCTCTTCGACGATGAATTCGCGTACCCGATCATGTCGAGTCTCTCATGTGCGTTCCGTCTCCCGCAAGATGCGGACACCTGTATGTTCGATGTGTTGTGGCTGCAGCCAACAGATTCCACTTCAGAGCGATCGTCCGACTTCATAACTCTGGCGTCAATTTCCCATAACGAGGCGGACACTGATCACACCGAGTCATGTCATGTGCAAGCTTTCCCTTTGCCCTTGCCTTTCGAAAAACCTATGCCATCCTCAATCACTTGAGGCTCCGCCGCTTCCAGGTTACTGCTCTCTTGGTTGACACTGCCGGTGCCATGCATTTGATTTTCGCTTCTCTCTTCGTCGTCGTCGTCGTCATCGTCATCCTCCTCGTCGTCGTCCCAACCGTACAAGCTCATGCCTTGATTCTGGCGGCGCTCGGATGGGCCTGCTTGCCCTTCGTCCGATGAAGACGATGCAGATTCTTCATCGTCACTAGCTCCCATTTCCTCGTCCTCGTTTGAACTCTCACTGCCAGTCGGCTCTGTGATAGAACCTCCGTCCCTCATAGCTCTCAGGACCGCTTCACGAGTCTTTTCCTCGGCGAGCTCTTTGCTCTCGACGTATTGCGAGTCCAAACGGCCCTGGTTGGCTCCGCTTCGACCACTGCGAATATCCTCCTCTCGCTTCTCGGCGGCATCAACGATAGCTTCCCATCGTTTCTTCCGCGTCTCCTTTTCTTGTTTCTCCATCTCAGGCTTGATTGCCAGGTACTCAGCTAGACGTTTGGCCTCATCTACGGTCCGAAGACGCCGCCCGTCTAGGTTTCTGTTTGAGCCATTTACATTCTCCTGTCGATCGCGATTCTTGCGACTACTCATGCGACCACCAGCAGCCCTGAGCTGAGAGCCGAAGCCACCCTTGCCACCGCACAGTCGCCGACTTAGACGGAGGGACAGTAATCTGTCCTTGGTTGTGCTAAGCAAAGCTGAAACTGGTGTCTGGTCATGCGCCGAGAGTTGTTTGTTCGACACAGTCGTTAAGACCAGCCCGTCGACATTTTGCGGTAGACGATCAAAGACTAGCGTGAATAAGTGCCCAATGGGTTGCGATGCTTTGATCTGAAGATTCAGAGTACGCGGGAGACCTAGGCCAGCAAATGTCGCAAGCAAAATGTTGATGGTTGGGTCATCCATGGAAGCTGTCGACAGACGCTGATAGTGCGACGGATGTTTTGAGGACACTGTGATGGCTAAGGCCATTGTTTCGAAGCACCTCCAGGGCGCTTGCGGGTATAGGTTGAGCGAAACCTGTGGTCGGTTAATCGTCAAGAAAGAAATAGTATTCAGGTCAGGCGGTTGGGGAGTAGGATTGACGATCGCAGCCGAACATCCAGAAGTCCCAAGCGTCACATCACGTGTCGCAGCCCTGCGTCCCGCGACGTGGTCCGTGTTCGGCTCTCGCCGATAGGGTTTTCGGATTAACGATTTTCCGAGATCGGGAGTGCGCACTCACGAACTTCACGATCATTCAAGTTCACGGATGAAGAAAGTCAAAGTTGCAGTTCGATAAAGACAAGCAAACCACCGCCAAAATGTGAGCAACAATTGTGGTATATAACTGAACAACTACTGATACCGCGATATGTAGGCTGATTCCCAAGGCCGACCGCAAGCTCATCCACGAGTACCTCTTCCGTGAGGGTGTACTTGTCGCAAAGAAAGATCTCAACCAGCCCAAGCACGGCGAGATCGACACCAAGAACCTCTACGTACGTGGACATCACACATTATTTTAGCAATCTGGGAAATCGCCATACTGACGGCCATGTAGGTTGTCAAGGCATGCCAATCTCTCACCTCCCGTGGCTACCTCAAGACTCAGTTCTCCTGGCAATGGTACTACTACACCTTGACTCCTGAGGGTCTCGACTACCTTCGCGAATGGCTCCACCTGCCCGCCGAGATCGTCCCGCAAACCCACGTCAAGCAACAACGTTCGCACGCCCCTCCCCGTGGAATGCTCGGCGGCGACGAGCGCGGAGAGCGCCGTGGCGGCGGACGCGGTGGACCCCGCGGTGACCGTGAGGGTGGTTACCGCCGCCGCGAGTTCGGTGAGGGCAACAAGGAGGGCGGTGCTGCCCCCGGTGGCTTCAACCCTGAGTTCCGTGGTGACGGCGAGCGCCCCCGCGGTGGCTTCGGACGTGGTCGCGGTGCTGCACCACCATCTTAGGAGGATGCTGGTTGGGGATCTGCGGACACGGCGCAACAGGACGGTGGTCAAGAAGACTGGACGCGAAAGAAGACCGAGGGAGAAAGCGCACGTGAGAACACTGGGCCCGCCTGGTGATCCTCCAAGCCATGCTCTCACTATCTTGGCCAGCTACGGCCTCGCTTTCTATCTTCGCGACAGCTTGACCTGATGACTATGGCAGTGCAAGTGAGCACAGGCAGTTTACTCGGCTCCTCGCCCGGATAAGCTAGAAAACCCAAGTCTGCCTTTAACGATAGAACTTCACACTTCTTCATCTTCCATTTCCTCTCACGTTGTGCAATCCCTGTCAGTAAAGTGATCGGTAGCCATTTAGCTCAAAACTTTTGACCTCGAGCAAGATCATAGAGCAAGCATATTTGCCTCGAATTCTGTATGTGGTCGATGTCTCGATTTGAGTTTTGTACTGTATGTCATCAATTATCCCTATGCTGCGATTGTGGTGAATCCTCGCGGGAAGCCGCCAAGACCCAGCGGGGAATCATCTGTGCTCATTTAGCGCACCGGTTGTACTTATATTCGTCCCGTTCATCACCGTCATGTCTTTTCTTCTGCATCCGCCATCACACGGTGGTGTATTTGCATTAGGAAATAGCATTGCCCGCCATGCCGAGAGAGCATTTACGCCCAAGCATGTATTGGCGCCGATTGTATCACCTTGTTCGTGGCGCAGTGTCATACAGCTAGAACATTCTGCGCGAGCGTTTTGCGCATCCGGCCATGCAAATCTGAGGATCAATAAAGCGCGCTTGATGGACGATATCCATGCTACTAGCTCTTGGGGACAAGGCGAGAGATGGGGCCGGTAAGTTTTCTTGTTCCTTCCATTCCGAATCTTCAAATTCCCAACGAGAGCTTTCATGACGAAGAAACAATTCAATATGCACCTTTTAGATCTGTACTCTACGAGTCTTGATGATCGAACAGCCATCTGATCCCTTAAGCTATTCCCTCCGAATCCAGTCAACTTCACCGATTTCGAGGAGATTAAGGCTAATGAAAACTTCATAGTGGTCCTACTGAGATTGGCATGGCTCGTTTGTCTCTCTCTGACGCAGACATGCACGTCCGTGACTGGTTTCGAGCCACGACAGAAGGTTTGGGATGTGAAGTCTCTGTTGACGCCATGGGTAATCAATTCGCTGTACGGCCTGGTAGATCCAGTGGCGCCGCGACTTTCGCAGGTTCTCATTTAGATACGCAACCATCGGTAGGCTGAGCATGCTTGGTAAATGTAGTAGAGCCTGACCGAGCTCCAGGGAGGTCGTTACGATGGCATTTTGGGCGTTTGTGCCGCGGTGGAGATGTTAAAGGTTCTCAACGACAATGCCGTCGAGACTCGCTTTCCTGTTGGCGTGGTAAATTGGACAAACGAAGAGGGTGCCCGCTTTCCCATGTCGATGGTATCTTCTGGCGTTTGGGCCGAGGAAATACCTCTAGAAAAGGCCCACAACCTGAAGTCGGTCATCCCGCCTAATGACCTCGCAACCATGAAGTCGGAGCTTGAACGAATCGGGTACCTGGGCATCCTGCCGGCGAGTTTCAGAAGCATGCCAATGGCTGCCCACTTCGAGCTTCATATCGAACAAGGGCCGATCTTGGAGGCTGAAGATCGCCGGATTGGCATAGTCACTGGTGTACAAGCATACAAGTGGTTTACCATCACTGTCCGTGGACGTGACAGTCATACCGGAGCTACAAGCTTTCAGCATCGCGCGGATGCTTTGCTCACTTCGGCAAAAATGATCCTTGCAAGCCACAAGATCGCGAAGCAGCATGACGCATTGGCCAGCACTGGTATCTTGGCGCTGAAGCCCGGGTCCACGAACACTGTGCCCGGGTTCGTTCAATTCAGCTTGGACATTCGGTCACCGTCCGACGACGTCGTTGACGCTGTGGTCGAGGGATGCAAAATCGCGTTTGACCAAATCGCCGCCAACCTCGACGCTGAAGGCGTCAACCAAGGTTGTGCCCAAAGCGATCGCAAGTGCGAGGTTGAATGGCAACAAGACTTCCAGTCTCCGGCCACCAAATTTCAGGAAGAATGCATTGCTTGCGTCACCGCAGCCGGGCAAGCTCTGTATGGCGCGGATATCGCACAAGGCTCGGATATTGGTACTTGGGGTAAGTTGATGACTAGTGGTGCAGGGCATGACTCTGTTTACACAAGTAGGCGATGCCCTTCATCCATGATTTTCGTCCCCTGCAGAGAGGGTGTGAGCCACAATCCGGCCGAGTATTCAAGCCCCGAAGCCTGTGAAGATGGCGCAAATGTATTACTAGGGGCTGTGCTACGATTTGATCAACGACGCAAAGCATGATCTACTGTCCAGCGAAATACGGCAATTTGGCAATAGTTTAGCATTGTGATATGCAACATCATTTCAATTCGCTATACGTTCGTACACTCGGGGCTCCTGTCAGCAGGCTTTGCCAGTGAATGATTTAGGTTCATAAGCATATTGCAGTACCCGCTTTCGTCTAATCAAACAAATCCGACGGGCACCTGGCCTGGTAGGCGATACCTCGAATCGCTTCATTGTTACATTCTTCCCACAGGGAGATCATCTCGGCCACGTCCCCTTTTTCGACATCGTTCATACTTCGCCGCCCGGTCTGCTGCAATGACCGGGCCAGATCTATGAGCAGGACATCGGCCAGCCGGAACGTTGCGCCTTTCCAATCAATCCTCGAGCTGATCGCGAGCGCGGTGTGCAATGACACATTGTTTGATAGGATGGACGATTCAACTGTTCTCCTCATCAGTTCGAATCTACCGTAGTATGGCTGACAGTCGTTAACGATGCGGTCTGTGACGGTGAACAGCTGCGAGACCAAGTCATCGATTGGATCGCCGAGGCCTGGATATTTCAAAAGCCACAGCTCAAATGTCAAGCAGTCTGGCAGGAACTTTGGCTTTCTGATCGGATTGCGCTGCCACACCGGAGTACGGAGCTCAGCGACTCTTGAGATCACTCGCTGCAAAATCGGACGCGCATAGACTTGCCAGAGAGGGGTGGTATCCTTGTCTCGGCGTGGGTCGAATCTGAAAGGCGAGAGGTATCTGGTGATGAGCGAAGTCTGTGGCTGATTATACATGATCAGCTTCTCTATCGTTTCGAGCACGATCCTCTGAACTTGGTCACGCGCGATCCCTTGATCGGACAGCGTGGGCCAACGAGTCATGAGCAGTCGTGGTAGCAAGGGGTCGGAAAGATCGTGTCGGCCAGGCTCACCCCAGATGGTCTGCCAGAACTTGAAAGCGTTCGAAGGACCGGATTGGTTCACACTCCGAAGTTCGTCACGTGTCTTGCGCAGCAGTTCAGCGTGATCGTGTCGAGCATGCGTAAATGCGAAATAGTCGTCCAGTAGATCTTTTGTCATAATTCTGAGGTCTTTATTGAGGAGCTTTACCATCAGCTCGTGATCTATCGCGGCATCTACGAGGGCATCAGGTAGAGTGACGTTGCGCTGAGCATGGAAGATATACATCCAACGAATCATGTTAGATCTTGATTTCTGGATCGTGGGCAACAAGAGCTCGGTGGTGATCCAAGATCGTTCTGCCTCGGAGAGATCAGTGGAGCGGGCGAGATCCAAGAAAGCAGTAGCTATTGGCGACTCGTCCGAGGAAGGTTCAGGGGCTATTCCTTCAGCTTCAGCCTTGACCCAATCTTCTTCACGGATGATCTTGTGAACGTCGATGCTTGCTGCTAGCTCCACAGCATCGCCTTTGAGGCTCGTTACAATGTCCGACTTAACGGTTTCAGCGGAGGTTTTGAATATAGCGATAAGACCTTGTACGATGACGGCTTGCACATCGACATGACTACACTTCGCCAGCAATGTCAACAGAGTCTGCACTGAGACGGTATGGTTGACATGACGCGAACTGGCAATCATGATGGAAAATTGCTTGAGAGTCGTAATCTTGACGGACCCCTTTTCTCCGAGTCGTTCTTCGATGCCACGCCCAATGTCAGTAATAACCTGCTCAGCCTGTGCAGCGGGAAGCCTGTCAAGCAGTCGTGGCGTAAGTAATTGGCGATGCCAGGAGCTATCGTCCGGCCGATCCAAAATGAGACGCAAGTGTAGATCCACAAATTTCCAGGGCATGTGGCTGTCAGCTGTGAGATTGAAGAGCAGGTACATTTCGCTTAGTTTCGACCTCGCTTTCGGATCAGCCAGCGCAGTCTCAAAAGACTCCACAATCGCGCGGAGAGGCTCAGTAGGTACTTCTGAGATGTGCAAGAGTAGCGCTCGGTAAGCGGACTGTATCTGAGGGTTTGAGTGCTCCAAGAAATCATTGTCGAGAAAAAGCGCAGGGAAGCGTGCATCTGAAGACGTCGGAAAGGGTTTGTTCAACACCTTTGCACTGGCCACGATGCTCTCGGACAAGAAGAGAAGCGCAGCGGCTATGATCGCGGTTTTAGATGCTGGAGGCATCTTAGGATTGGTGATTCCAGGGACGGATGTGGTCCAGAAGGTATAAACCTCATGTGGTGCTCGAAGCTGTGATGGTCTGACACCGAAATCCTCATCTAAATGATGGGAAGGCCAAGTATTCTGGGCCAAAAGACAGTCCAGGACTGTCACGGCTGCTTTTGGTTCGTCCTCGACTTCGACGGTTCCTGTTGGATCGGGGTTCCATTCCGTTGGCACATCTGGCTCGTCCACGAGCGGAAACGTTGGGGTCCGATATTCTTGATCTTCCAGCACCGGAGAAATATGGAGCCCAGAGAACATATCATACCAAAACTTTTGAGCATCCCAGGACTCCAGAATCCCGCGAGACAATGTGCCCGTGACATACTTCCACGCACGTTGAACATTCGCCTCACGTTCCTGGCCCTTCGGATAGCAACGTCCGAATACCATGAGAGCCGCCTCAAAACTGTCAATGTGACCACCGATGGCTGCCCGGATCTCCTTGGACGACGGAACCTCCTTATGGGCCAGTGCATTACAAAACACAATATCTGTCGCCCTGGAAAGTAAGTACGGCGCCTGAAAACTCCACGTATTATCATGTAGAGGAAATAGTACTTGGAGGGGAAGACCGCGAGGAAATGGCGGTGGAATCGTCAAAACGGCGGGATGAGTTTGTCGCCTAATATCTGCCCACAACTCATCGCGTGCTCTCACATACGTGTCCACGAATTTGGTGAGGGCTGGTGAGGGCTCGAGGGAACCGTCTAAGCGAGAATTGATATAAAAGAATGGACCACCAGGTTTGGTCCAATTGAGCTTCTTGTTCTCTTCCGTGTGTGATAATCGCTCGAACTTGAGGAGTGTCTCGACTGTGCCGCTCAATAAGCGCTCGAATGCAGTTTCGTCGCTCAGACCCAGAGCTCGCTGTAATTTCGTCACTCTATGAAGCCTGCGTTCGACGGCCTTCGGGAAGCTATCTCGCACATTGTTCCAATCCCAATGCTGGAAGCTGGGCTCGGGAACAGCCAGACAGGCAGTCTCTACCAAGGTCGTTGCAATCTGGTCTCCAAGCTCGAGGGTGGATACAATCTCTTCGATGGTCTTCGAGGAAACTTCTTTGGGTATCCCACATACAAGGTCTAAACATTCGTCGGTCAATATCACAGAACGGTCGTATAGTGTCTTCACTGTCAGAGGATCTCTCGTGAAGCGACGAGCCCAGATCAAAGTCTCAATATACTTTGTGCCACTGCCAGATGCAACCGCAGCAGCTAGAGCTCTCTGAGCCCAAAAGGCCCGTTCAGGCTGATCTCGGCTTTTCTGTGACTCCATCTGACACTGACGAACAAGCTCACTCGCAGTCGTCTCTACCCACTCTTTGTCCGTAGAAATAGCGGTGAAAATGAACGTCAGATCATTTCGTTGATCTAGATCCAGAATCGACTTTTTACCACGACTGAAGTTCCAAGCGAGAAAAGCTTTGTCCGCCCTGAGCTTGGCGACGCGCTCCAGCAGTCGAGTGGCATGTTCTGGTTCCAGAGTGAAAAAGAGCTCTTTCGGCCAAGGAGTTTCACAGCGCTTGACCTGCAGATCATCATTGACGTCGATCTTGAACGCTGGTAAATGGAGCAGCAGCAACCTAAGGAGCTCCTCTCGCTTCTTGATGTCCACTAATTCGAGGATTGGTACAAAGCTAGCCATGGTCGTGGAGTACTGATTGGTCCGTCCCAAGAAGGAAGTAAGGTGCTGCTTGTATTCAGCGTCATACTCGCGGGCCCAAAGCCGTACCACAAAAGAGATTAGACTTTTGGAACCAAGATCATAGCAGACAGTATCCGGGTACCCCTTGATCATGGTAAGTATGTCCAGAATGAGAGATTTCGGGCATCTTTTTCGCCACAAACGGCGCACTAATGCTGTAGCACTTCCTAGATCGAATCGTCGTTTTTCCCGGTCGGATTCTTTTTCGCCGGTTTCGACTTGGCGTCTCCAGAGCTGTTGTATCACCAGCAACATCGGATCGGAGACTTTACGGTAAGGCCCATCTCGTCGCTTTGAGACCTCCCAGTCGTCCCGTAGAGGAGGATATCGTTTGTTGCGGACTTCAGAGCTGTCCTGGGGTATTTCCGAGGCACCCTTCAACACCTTCTCGATCTCAAGGCGATTCTTGACACGCTCACTAAGCGGCACGAATGATAGGGCCGGGTTTTTGGACCAAGCAAAAGCCGTTTGAGTGTGGCATACGAGCAGGATAGGCTCGTACAGCTTGACTATTGGTCGTGAATCGGGATTGCGGAATTTCGCCTCTGGGAAGTAGTCCGAGGCCAGCGATATCAAAAGCTCGGACATTTTGTCTCGATGGACTTCTTCGGCAGCAAGATTGTGTGCTCTTGCGAAGGCCAAGCATAGGGATTTGACTTCGGCAATGGATAGCTTGGCCATGAGTTGCAAGACACCGTGCGTCTCTCCAAGCGCTGTCCACAAGTCGGAGAAACGTTCTGAGCGGATCCATTTGCCGATATGCACGATGCCAAGCTTGCGAACGTCGACTGACGTTGACTGGAAGGTATCGACTGCGCCGTGGGGCTCGGTACAGACGGACAGCCAGATGGCAAAGATTCGCGGTGGAATAGCCTCCCCCTCGACCGATGCCAGCAGATGTTTGGAGATGGCTGCTGAACTCTGCGGCTCGGCAGCCAATATGGATAGGAAGTATTTGGCGAGTGCCTTATGATCTGCTTCTCGCACGACGCCATTGTCTACAACGACTGCCATCTTGGCAAGATCGTGGTATGTGGTCGATGGGCACATGCGAAGATGAAGTGACGAATTTCTGGAAACTGGCAGCATGCAATCTTAAACTCTGCCGACATCAGCTTGACACAATATCTTCTTTGCGAGATCTTGACGTCTGTGATTTGACCAAGCGGCGTCGATTTGGGAAGGCGGGCTGCTTTTCATGACTCAGAGTATCCGGATCGAGACACCGCATCAGGTTGTAAGCGACGATCTTGCTTGACTGTGCCGCACGCACGGAATTCCTGTGATGAGTTTTCGTCAGTTTCTGCGTGGAATCGATGTGCATTGGCAGACTTGCATGTCACGGTTCGTCCTATGTTCTCTAGCTGCAGATGAAGCTGGCGATGAAGCTGCAAGCTGGAGCCATGCCGCGCGAATCCTCATCCTCCGTTTTCCTCAACTTGACACCTGCATCATAATAATTATTCAAGTACAACTTCTTCCACCATAATCTCGATCATCCGTGCAATACGGCGGCGGCTGGTTCGTGGAAGCATCAAAACCTGCCAAAATACAATCGTCCTGAAATAGAGGTAGATCAAGACTGAATTTCTCGTGAATGTGTGGAGCGAGTGACGTTCAAACATTGGTGATTCCCTAGATAGAGCATGTCGTTCAATAATCTGTCCGAAGCTGACCTCAAGCACGCACACAATAGTATTCCATGTGAACTTGTGATTGATTCACGGCATCATCGAACCGATTCGAAGTTCTAGAAACTTCCCAACCAAGTTTCCAACAATCAAAACATTGCTTTCATGAACTAAACATGTGCTTGAACTTCTCAATCTTTGTCGAAATATATTTTTCCACCTCCGGCCCTTGAACGCCCTCCTTGCCTTCAGTCTGCCATGCGAGAGGAATCATCGGTACCCTTTCAACGACACGCACTTCCTTTGCTGGACCTTCCACAGCCCGCACCTTTTCCGGATTGTTGGTCAGCAGCCGAATACCGCGCTCGCCGCCGAGCCCCAAATCCACCAGAATCGCAGTCGCAAGGCCGTACGACCGCGCATCACCAGGATGCCGCAGTAGCAGATTCGCTTCCATGGTATCATGGCCGAGATCTTGCAGATTGTATGCCTTGAGTTTACTGAGCAGACCGATGCCTCGACCTTCCTGCCTCAGGTAGACTATGACACCTCCTGCTGAATGTGTTACAGGGGACGCTGAGGAATCCTGATCAGGCTGTGCTATTCCCGGTACCGGTGTCGGAAGAGACATTAATCGCGCTGCCTCGTCAAGCTGCTCTCCACAGTCACACCTTGCCGACCACACAGTCTCGCCAGTGTAGCACTCGGAGTGAATACGTACTAACGGTGGGCCCAAATGTGCGGGATATGATGAGACCGGCGCATCGTCGTCAGGAGGGGTGTCGGTCGACGATGCTGTCGACGAAGGCCCCGGTCCATTAAGCTGCGCAAGGTAATTCTTGGACGCTCGTGGAGGGGCGCCAGCATCTTTGCGCAATTGCTCGACTCTGCTACTAGTCCGTCCTGGAAAAAGCGTTCCTGCGTATGCTCCTCTGATCATCCGATCTCTTTCAGTCTCCCCTGGGCGTACCGCGTCGAGACTTCTACTTCGAATGTATGGGCCGAACACAATCGCCAGATGTTCTTTGTTATCTGCATTGTTGTGGTACAGGTGTAAGAACATTTCCTGTCCCGTGGTAGTTGGTATCCTGGCTCGTACTTCGCAATGCACCTCTGGCAAAGCAGCTAACAGCGCAGGTGGTGCTTGATCGGCATGTCCATCACGCTGGCTGTCTACATCCGCGGTCTCCGCTTCTCTATCGTGCCTTTGCCCATCTGTGAAAGGATTGCGTTCGGAATCGAGTGCAGGACTGCCCAAGGGCGGTAACGTTGATCGCTGATTATGGTCGAGGTTGTAGTCGGATACGCCGCGGTCATGAATCGGTGGCCTCGGAGATGCGATTGGAGCGAACGCCGGGGATGCATGCGCAGGATAACTAGGCATTGGTACTGCAGGGTTGAGGTCAACTTGAAGAGCGTTCTGTGAGATTCGTGATGGCAGACGTGTTGTGTGATGGGATTCGTGGGTCACCTTCTCATGGCAATGACTAGAGATAGGTATGCAGATTGACTGTAATTTCTACAGTGTCCTACCATCCGGCGGGAGACGATGATGATATACGAATACATACACTACAAATTGTGATTAATAACCCCTCTCCGTCAATGACCGGACCCTCGAAGTTTCGGACAAAGGTGAGGGACCGGAGCACGCCACTCTGCGCATGCCACCATGCCGCTTTGTGACAATTAACCTCATTTCTTGCCCCGGTAATTCAAGCGGTATCGCAAGACACTCGCAGCGACGATGTCGTCACTTGCGACACTCGGCAAACGCAGAGATTCCGCCGGGCGGGCCATTTGTTTAGGGTTGTCTCTGGTGCCGCACACCACACACGGCCTTGGGTACATGCTCGTTCAGAACACCAACGACGCCGCTTGATGTGGATCAAGATAGTCGAATTGTGAGAGTCAAGATATCCGATGATCTGAATGTGGGAATGTGGCTCAGCAGTGCTTGTCGCCAATGTCAAGTTGTGAGGAGGCAGAAGTGATGGATGGAACGAACGACGGAAACCAACCTTGGAACGGAGAACAACGAGGCTTTCGTCCGTCGTGCTCGAGTGGAAGTGATTTTCATCAACACATCATTCATTAAGCATTAATCAGATATACATCGGCGCCTCTCATTGCGCTGCGGTGTTTACTTCCTCTTATTTCTCATTCTCCCTCTCGTCCAGGCAGACGCACAGGGCCGCGATCATACTGAGATCAACGTTTGGCGCCACAGAAACAAAGTACTAACAGGCATTGTCAGAGCTTGTTCTACTAACATGCAGCGAGAAGGGGGTGACTTACTGTCTGCTTGTCTCCGAAGATCTCTCGTACGTTGACGAAGCTCCTGCTGATGTGCGCAACGGGAACCCCACCGAAGACGATGTCGGCGCTGCGGTCGAACCAGTCTCCGCGAATCTCCAGCTCAACCTCCTGGCCATTGGAGAAGTTCTTGAAGTGGCAGGTCGACTTGGATTTGCCAACTGCGAAGTGACCCTTGACCTCGAAGTCGTGTCCCACTGGCGAAGTAGCAACGAAGCTTTTGAATAGCGCCAGCGTCTTGTTCTTGAGTTCAAATATCTCTTGACCTCCCATGTCTGTGAAGACCTTCTTGGCGTGAAGCGAGATGAGCTTGCCCTTGACCTTGCACACGGGGAGTCCGTCGGTGGTTTGGACAATGAAATCGTCGCCGGTGAGCGAGAAGACCTTCTCCCTCATCTGAAGAGTGACTTGGTTCGGAGAATAGAAGCTCGGGTTGGGAGGTTGAGGGCCCAACGGAGGCGTGAAGGCGGCGAGCCTGGTCTCGAAAATGTGCGGCGCCATGATGTGAGTTTGAACGGGGTGAACGGAGTGGACAGGTGACGATGTGAATGAAGGTTTGTGATGTTTGATGTGATTACACAAAGGTGGGACGGAGAAGGAACATTTGCGTCGAGCAGGACCACCAAGCTGTCTTATATATCCCGACCAGGCAAACGATGACGGCTTTCTTCAGCCTCCAGAGCCTGACATTGGCCAAGATTTGGTGAAATGCCCATCCAGGTTCTACATTGTGGCACAGTACAATGCAATGACAAGGCGACACTCACTGCGCCTCATCGTGTCGATCTGATGATGGCATCGAACATGAAGCTTACGCAGCTACTGCGAAAACAGCCCCCGAAGTTGTTGGTTTCCAGCTGATCATGTTCGGTACAGCACCACGTCTGGATCATTGTATGGCTGTGCGCGGGCAGAAGGATGCACTTGACAGTCCTCTATTGACGAGGAGATCCCGTCTTTGGAGGGAAAGATTTCAAGAAAGACTGGCACCAGGGCTGGAAATAAAGTGACCACAACGTCATCAGCGGGATCACCACTCACCTCACAGACGGACGGGCAGCTAGCACTGGAGGCACTGGATTGCAGGGCTCCAGCTCCTCCTCCTCACTCACTCCAGGGCTCACCCTCACCTGCTTAGGGCTGCGGAATTCATCACTCCAGGGCTCTCTGCAGCAGAGTAGGGGACAGCAACACCTTCTCTCGACCCTCGATGCACCCAGTAGGACGAGAAAATACGTAGTCACTCGGACACTTGTGTGAGAGTCAGGGAATGAGCGGCGTGTGCGTGCCTCAGGCTGTAAATTCCATACTGTACATCACTTAGAGAGAACTCGATGGGGCTGAAACGAGACAACGCACACACGCGTTCATAAGCAGAACAGCATATATACGCATGGGCGATGGTAGCGACCACAGCAATGAGGCCGTGATGAAATCTGTCATCGACCATTCAAGGCTTGCCCAGCGTCTGTATATTGGATATATAACCATCATCCTGTATAGTAAATTGGAGCTGAGGATGATTGATCACGACCCGCGCCTGGCTCTTTTGGCGCGCCTCCAGGGCTGCTGGCTCACACGCCGGACTGTCTCAAAGCCGCCGCACCGAAGAATGCCCCACCATCAGTCCAGTGCACGCCCCGTCACATCGCGTGCGCGCGTCACCCTCGTGAATTTGATCATGCATCAGAAATTCCGCCCACCGAAACGTCAACAACTATTGCAACGCGCGCGGTCACAGAGTCAACTGCTCCGCCTGACACGCCGGTCGCGATGCCACGGTACGAAGATCTCCATGCGCATGTCAGGCACGCATTCGCCGACATACCGCTGACAATGCGAGCAGAGAGATCATCACAATCCAGGCTGGCCAATGCGGCAACCAAGGTGTGTTGCGGACTTGTGTCGCATCGATCAGATCCTTCATCAGGAGTCACTAGGCTAACCCTCCTTCCACAGTTGGATCCCAATTCTGGCAGCAGCTCTGCGAAGAGCACGGCATCAACCAGGATGGAAACCTAGAAGACTTTGCGAGTGAGGGCGGTGATCGCAAGGATGTCTTCTTTTACCAATCCGACGATACTCGCTATATCCCGCGTGCCATCCTTCTCGACCTCGAGCCACGAGTCATAAATGCCATTCGAGCGGGCCCATACAAGAACATCTACAACCCCGAAAATTTCTACGTTCACAAAGAGGGTACCGGTGCGGGCAACAACTGGGCCATGGGCTACGAGTTGGGCGGAAAGATCAACGAGGAAGTTTTGGACATGATTGATCGCGAAGCAGACGGCAGTGACAGTCTCGAGGTTGGTCCGGCAATACTCTAACACAACATGACTTATGCTGATGATTTATGCGCTGCTAGGGATTCATGTTGCTGCACTCCATCGCCGGCGGGACTGGTTCCGGCCTTGGTTCCTTCATGCTCGAACGAATCAACGATCATTTTCCCAAGAAGCTTATCTCCACATACTCGGTATTTCCTGATACTCAGAGCGATGTCGTGGTTCAGCCATACAACTCTCTTCTTGCTCTTCGGCGACTGACCGAGAATGCCGACGCCGTCACCGTCCTCGATAACGAAGCCCTGGGCCGGATAGCAGCAGACACGTTGCACGTTCAAAAGCCATCGTTCGAACAGACCAACCAACTTGTCAGCACTGTCATGTCAGCATCGACCACCACGCTTAGATATCCTGGATATATGCACAATGACTTGACAGGCATCGTGGCGAGCTTGATACCCACCCCGAGATGTCACTTTCTCCAGACCAGCTACACACCATTCACCGGCAATAACGTAGAGGAGGCCAAGACTGTCCGAAAAACGACAGTGTTGGACGTGATGAGGAGATTGTTGCAACCAAAGAACCAGATGGTGTCGGCGAAACCCAGCAAGACCAGCTGTTACATCTCTATCCTCAACATTATCATGGGAGAGGCAGATCCCACTGATGTATGGATTTCCAATCATTCTCGGGACTTTGTGAAATTCAATGACTGACTTCGTGACTAGGTACACAAATCATTATTACGAATCCGAGAAAGAAATTTCGCACAATTCATCCCATGGGGCCCTGCTAGCATCCAAGTCGCGCTCACACGCACATCGCCCTACACCCGACCCCCTTACACCACCCGTGTTCCTCCGAGAGTATCCGGGTTGATGCTCGCCAATCACACCGGCATCGCAACGCTGTTCAAACGCACAGTCTCGCATTATGACCGATTACGCAAGCGAAATGCATTCTTGGAGCAATACAAGCGCCATGAGCCCTTCCGTGATGGCTTCTCGGAATTTGATGATTCGAGAGAAGTCGTGATGGATTTGATCAGTGAGTATGAAGCAGCTGAGCGGTCCGATTACCTCTCCCCGGACAGAGACGAGGATCCCTCCGATGCTGCAGCCGACTCTCGTACCGACACGGCGACTGGCCGCTGAGAAAAAAAAGCCCTACTCGCATAATTGCCCATCATGTCTTTTGTTTGATTTCTTCATGACACAACTAGCGCTGGCGTTGAGGAGTTTGCGGAAGATGTGGGCTTGGATCTTCGATATTCTTGTTGTTCAGTCGATTGCGGCGTTGAGGTCACAGTCCTGGGCGTCGTGCCTCAACGGTAGATGACTCGTCGACGATCTTAATGCCTGCGCATGTGTTTCTCCCGCGGGCGCTTCGTCTTCACTCTGATCCGGGGCATTCTTCCGGGCTCGAAGTCGATCATGATCTTGATGACTAATGTCGGTCTCCCATGCGGTCCGAGAACCATCTTCAGTTGGAACGCGGAAGGGGAATATTCATCTTGAAAGTGGACATGCCGTCGATAGTGTTCGCTCGACATCTTGATGGTGATCTTTTCGCTCGCGATCGGGAGATTCTCGTGCAGCGTTCATGTCCACGGGCCAAAAGAAAATTCCCCGGTGGGCGCCATCGTCGTTTTAGCAGAACCGTCGATCGTCATACGCTGATTGCAGGTGCGAGGTTGCGGCGATGCTGATGCGAGCAGATGGGGATTTGTTCGAGATGACTTTATTTTTCCGCAGGGTCGCGCGAGGTCATCAGTTTTTTCAGTGAGACATGTTGTGGTCTCACGCACGTGATGCCATGGACGCTTCGATCATGGTCACCTGGACATCATATCGAACCGCATGCACAATAGCATGATGAGATGGCATGCATATATATAGAAACAGGCGAGTGTGGACTGTCGTCGGCGTTCTTGTCGCAGCTTTGGATGCGCTGACCCCGGAAAGTGTGGAAATGATAAAAAGATGCGTTGGTACTGCCTTCTCGAAAATGCGAACATGACATGCTCATGCGGACGTGCTGATACCGGTTGCATGTGTGATTACTTGTGGATGAGTGTGGGGTGATACTATCTCGCAAAGAAAATCACGGGCTCAGTAACTAGACATATCGTCGCTCGTTAAAGCTCACGATAGATTCATGACGATCATTGTACAAATCTAATTCTTCGAGGCTCAACCATAAGCTTTGAGTCCTAGCGCGACTTTGCCATCTGCGCAATAAAATCTAGCCTCGAGCATCTATTCAAGATGTGTTGTCATGAATATAGAGAGCGTGCGCCGATACCTGTCCGTTCACTCCGACGCTTCACTCTCAGCATGAGAAGGGAGCCATGACAGTGCCCTGGTCATATGCATCTGTAATCCCACGGACCGTGACGTACATTCCTGCGATACAGATGAAAGCTCCGAGAAGAATCGTCAGCAAAGCCAGAGTCGCCTGTCCCCACTTTCGCAGCCATTCACGCCAGCCTCGGCCATCGTGATAGAGCATATGAAGCAAGAAGAAACCCGCTAGTCCATAGGTGTACCACGCTGCGAAGAGTGAGGCCGCGATGCCGATCAGGTAGTTGAAGATGGGAATGCCGACTGCCAAGACAAATGCCGCGGCATTCACGAGGAGAATGAGGAATGTCCAGGTCGCCCATCCGATTACCGTATGACTGTGGAGGTGTCGAGAGCGGCGGAACAAGCGGACGAAAATCAGCTTGGCGGCGGTGTGCGCGTAGAGACCTCCAGCGAGGATGAAGTTGAGCAACGAAATCCCGAATGCGGCCTTTTGCCAGCGTATCTCCAATGAAAGGAATGAAGGCGATGAGACGGTGTCTCCGAGGAGAACATACGTGACCACGGCGAAGACGACATACAGTGTCGTGGAGAATGTCTGCAGCGTGACTGCTGACTTGAGAGCGTCCTGAGGCCGCTTCATCTCGCTCATGAGGATGAAGAACATGAAGTGGCCGGCATACGCAAAGACTGGGTTAGTGATGGCGAAGAAGCCGTTGAAGAAGGTGGCAGACGTCGTGGCGACCACGACTCGGTCGGGAGTTGGGTAGAGGCCAGCCCCGATCATTCCGACGAGGGCCGCCACGGTGAAGGTTGAGACACTCGCGATTCCCAGAGTCTTGAGATTGTCGAGTGTTCGCGGAAAACTACAAATGACGGAAGCAATGGCCAAGATCCCTGTGAATCGTGTCAGCGCGCCTGTCCGACTGAAGATCCAGTTCAATCAGATATACCTGTAAACAAGACATTACACAGTGCATGATCGCTCAAGGATGACAAAGCGATCTGACCCGCCAACATCTGGCCTCCAGTAGCGAATACAGCGAAGATGATCGTCCCAGCGGCGAGGACTGCCCGGCCAATGGGTCCGAACAAGATCTGGCCGGCATCGCCCATGTTATGGACCTCCGGGTGCCTCAATTTGAACTCGATCAGTAACCATGATGTATAAGTGGCGAAGATCCCCAGGAATATGATGATGATGATACCCGGCACGAGTCCAACAGCCGCGATCGAATATGGCAGTGCGAGCATTCCATTCGAAACCTTCAACAATGTCAGACTATTTTCGTTCTCTTTGCATTCCGGCGAACGATGATCCGCGAGCACGTACAATTTCCGCGATCATCAGACCTGCAACCATCTGCCATGATAGCTTTTTATACTTGATCTGCCGTCGATCCGGTCAGCAAGAGATCACCGCATCGACCGGGTTGGTATCTCGCGTACATCATGCCCAGCTTCGTTGCCAAAGACATCTCCAGGACCCGACTCCGAGGCGACCTCGTGGGCATTGTAATCACTGCTGATTTTATGCTTTACCATATTGTCTACAGTCGGGAAAGAGTTCGCCAGTTCGTGTGATGCGTCGCGACGCGTTTTTCGCTCGAGGGTGCTGCACTGCGTCTCGTCCTTCCTAGGATGGACGGACGGATGTGCAACTATAAACACAATTGATTTGCAATACCTCAGCTTAGGAAGCACACCACGACTGTGCCGCGATGCATGCAGCCGCAGAGGCGTCGCATGGCGTTGCAGGGGACTCTCGAGGAAGATATACCTTGCAGGGATTTGTGCCTCCTGTAACAATAAGCAGCTGTCCCAGAGCAGCAGGTGGCACGAAACCGTCGCCGATTACCAGGGCCCTAGGAGGAGCTCGCATGCGAATGAAGCTCTGCCATTGGCCTCGGTCGGGATACTGCACACTCTGATGGCTTACAGTGGGTGAGACAAATAAAGATACGCGCATGGAAGTCGATCAATCACAAACTCTAAGGATTGTGGCTTCTCTTGTGGCGTTTGTGCGCCATTTGCCTTGCTCTCGGGGAAGTCCGAAGATCCCCGGCCACCGAGGGATTTCAGTCGTTCCTCGCCTGAGGCATCAAAGCGGAAGGCGCTCCGATTTTGCATTTGCATTTGCACAGTTTCCTACAGTACAAGGTAAAGTCCACGGGTGTCTTCACATTCAATCTCATGAGAGCCGCGACGCGATTGATGAATGACTGCGCATTTTCCACCGACCTCTACAGGAGAATCGTGAGCATGAAATATTCGCAGATATATCTCCTATCCAAGGCCAGGCGGCACAACAACAATTTCCATTGCGTCGCAAGTCATCCAAAATGGCCCTGCCTGAGACGATGCTCGGGACTAAACACTTACTTGTTGAGCTCCTTCACGGTATCGTAGCCGTACTTCAAATCTAGGTGCCAATAATTCGCAGCCGTGGGTTTTGCAACTGCCCAGGCTTCGTCCAAGACTTTGAGCACTTCCTCGGGCAGAGGGCCCTTTTCAATGTCCGCCAAGTTTGATTCGAGTTGCTGTTGACTCGAAACTCCGATGATCAAGCCATCATTACCGCCCGACTTGATATTGAGCTCCGAATGGTGAAGCAACCATCGGAATGCGGTTTCCAACAATGTCAGATTGTGCTTCGCAACCACAGGCTCGATGACGCGCAGCGCATCGAAGGTGGCATCCTTGAAATAACGCTCACGGTATCGCTGTCCTTGCATAGAGGACACGTTACTGTAGCGACCCTCGGCAGGGATCTCGCTTGTCTTGTATTTGCCGCTGAGGATGCCGCCTGCGATAGGGTTATACACGACAATGTCGATGCCAAATCGGCGACAGACCGGGATGAGTTCGGTTTCAATGTTACGCTGGATAGCATTGTACATGCCCTGGTAGATCGTCGGGCGGACCCAGTTGTTGTACTTGCAGTGCATCACAATCTCGGTGACCTCGAATGCAGTGAAGTTGCTTAGGCCGAGCCTCACAAACTTGCCTTTCTTGTGCAATTCATCCAATTTCTTTAACGGCTCCGTGAAAGGAAGGCTTCGGTCAGCAGCATGAAGATAGAAGATGTCGACGCAATCAGTACCCAGTTCTTCCAGGGACTTGTTCAGCGTCTGTTCGACGAGCTCGGCTCGGTGTGCGCCAGCCTCAACTGGGTAATACTTAGTTGCAACGGTAAGACCACGTTCCTTCCATCCTGCATCTCTCGTCCACGCCTCCTGCTTGCCGCCGATGTAGACTCTAGCGGTGTCGATTTCATTGTAACCTTTGGACTGGAAATGGTCAAGCACACTCTTGTAGTCATCCAAAGATGTGACACGGGCGCCAGTGCTCTCATCCGGACTACGATATACTGGTCAGGAACAAGCCGATCAACAGCATGACTGATTGCTGAGACGGATAACCCACCCAAAAGTCATGGTACCCAGGATGATGCGCGGCTTGCCTGTGCTCGTGATCAATGGCATGATGAAGGCTTGCTATGAGTGGCCGACGAGAGGATGGTGCAATTGCGAGGTCTGTGCGATAAATCCACTGTTTATGTGTGTCAATGCAGGCGTCTCTGTCACGTCTGTTTACACTCGTGATGGGAACTTGGCAATGTCTTGTCGCCGTGGGGCACCTCATGTGGGCGGTAGATGGGACATGTCAGGACTGCAGCTAATGCACATGGCGAACCATCAACGCCAGAGATGACGCCATTGCGATCGCTTCCGGGGTCAGCGATGCTTCAAAGCTGGAGCTCTGGAGGACTAGGCATTTCACCGACTCTGCGGAGATTGTCGGAACAGGAACCATTACGCCTGACCGCTGCTACAATCATGGCTTGCACGCGGGACCAGCAGCAGGTGAGGTTGGTATGTATTGTAGGCATCTTGTATGAATCCCCTCCAGCGCTACACATCGTGCCTGCCATGGTTGGGAAGCAACAGCTCACGTGCGGGTCCCGTGGAGGGCACCAACCACTCATGGGCTGTACATGTCCCGAGTGAGCCATCGTTTTGTGGAATTACTGTCATTATTATTACAGACTTGTACGCGGACAGTCGGATCGGGTCTGATCCTATCGTGCTATCCTCCAGCTGTCTGCATTGGTGTCAACTATGTCTGGTCTTGATCAAGAGACGGATCGTCCAGCAAATCGCTGGAAACGCGATGCGACGTACAGGAGATGACCACCACCGCCGCCCGCTGATTTTCCCCACAAGCCGGCGGGCGACTGGCGGACGGAGCGGCCCCTTGATGAAACTCCCTTCGATCGTGAAAGCCCTGAGTTCACTGCCGCGGGGTTTCTGGCCCAACCCGTCCCATGCATTATCAGCAAAACCAATACGACCCAGGAGTTTGTGGAGAGTGAACAACATCCCCAGGAACAACCGTGGACCTGACACATGTGCTGCTCTCGATATTCATCAGTAACCTCGGAATACACATCGTGACGAATACTGTACAGTCCTGTACTATTGTGGATCTCGTCAGCCGATAACAACGCATTCCACTAATGCCGCCCGCGCTCGTCACCGATGTGACAGACCCGGTCTTCTAAAATAAACCCCATCGCGATCAACCTAATAATCCTCACCACCTCCACCTGGCGATAACGTGCGCGCTTGTCCTATACGGTCACATGCCCACGAGCATTCGCGCGCATGTCTAATAATTTCATAGCTCAGCAGTCCGATTCTTTTTCTGTGCCCGACCACTCACACTCTTTTATATCCACGCCTGACCACGACCACGATCCAGGCGCAATTGCATCCGGCTCCTCCTCATCATTCGTGTCCGTCAGCCGGGAAGTCTCACGCCAGGCTAGCCCTTTCACAACCCAGTCACGATTAGAGGGACGAACTGTTGGAGAACCAAATACTATAGAGACAAGAGCTGGACCTTCACGAGCAATACAAGAGATTGAACAGGACGATTTTGGATCTTGGGCAGACTCTGAAGTAGATGATGCAGACATGCCGTCCGACTTGAAGCCACAACTGAACCGGGCAGGGTCCCATCTCCTACACCAACCACTACTCGCCGGCGACAAACCACAACGATATGCATCACCTTCAAGATCACGCAATGCTTCGAGGACGCGACAATCCTCGAGGTTTCGAGAGCGGGAAAGCCAAACAGCGACCAGAGATGACACGCGAACTCGCTACACATACGCTGCCATCTTCCTCGTGATCAGCTTGATCACCTTTGCTATTCAAACCGAGACTGCCGTGTACATTCAGCACACTCTGAAATGGAACAAGGCATATTGTATGCTGTAAGTCTGCTGTAGCACATGTCGTCCGTGCATCTCCCTCAATATGCTGACGTGCGGTCTTCAGATACTTCACACATGGCTCGTGGACATTTCTATGGCCTTTTCAACTTTTGATATTGCGGATACAGAAATGGAATCAACCATGGGACGCATTCTGGCGGCGGCACGTGTCCATCATTCGTTCGACTGCACAGATGATTGAGCATCGGACACTCAACGTCCCACCTCAATTGCAGAAGAAGAGTCCTGTGCCATATTTTGTCCGAATTGTCCCGTTTGTCACCTGTGCACTCACTGTTGCAGGCGGCAGTTGGTACGTGGCCGTGAACATGACAACTGCGTCCGACCTGACAGCCATCTACAACTGCTCTGCATTCTTCGCCTACGCCTTCGCCGTACCGCTGCTCAACGAGAAGCTACATTTAAGCAAAGTGACCGCCGTTGGCATTGCCATCGTTGGCGTGTTGGTCGTCGCCTATGGCGATCAAGGGACCGCAAAGCATGGAAACAAATCCGGCGGAGGGGCGGGCGGTCCAGACGCACCCGAGGACCATGAAGCCTCAAATCGAGTCGCCGGCAATCTCATAATTGGCGTGGGCAGCGTCTTGTACGGATTTTACGAAGTACTGTACAAGAAGGTGGCTTGCCCGCCCGACGGGTGCTCGCCGGGCCGAGGCATGCTATTCGCCAACACGTTCGGCACGCTCATTGGTCTTTTTACCGTGACGGTCCTTTGGATTCCATTGCCAATCCTACACTACTTGGGCTATGAGACGTTCGAGCTTCCTAGAGGAGAAGCGGCGTGGATGCTGGCCATCTCCGTCTTGGCGAACGCCACTTTTAGCGGGTCATTCCTCGTCCTCATCTCACTTACTTCACCCGTCTTGAGTTCCGTGGCTGCACTCTTGACGATTTTCTTGGTCGCGTTATGCGATCAGATTTTACCTCCCCCTCTCTATAATCCGCTCACCGCCGCAGCGGTTGCCGGTGGTATGTTGATCATTTTCGCCTTCGCACTGCTGAGCTGGGCGACGTACAAGGAAGTCGAAGAGGAGAGCAGGCGGAAAATGGAGGATGGCGTCGACGAGAGTGATGCTGAGGAGGTTTAGATGCGGGAGCCCATCTGGCAACTTTCATTCGTCCTGGTGTTAGACGAATTGCATATGCATTGGAAGGCGTTTTTTCCTTTCTTAGTGTCGGTATGTGGTGCATATTGGCGAATGCATTAGAGGATTTGGGAACCTGTGATTAGAATCCATGCCATGTTTTCCCATATGGGGAAAGAATCATATCAGAAATGAAGTGTCGAATCCTTTGAAACTTCTCTGTTGGCATCCATTATTTTTGAGGTCCGCGAGCTGTCTGCAGTACCGGCGCCTTACTTGTCTACTACAGAGTGACCATTCTGCGCTTAACAATGGAATTGGAGTGGTTTCTCGTTTCGACCTTGATTCTCCTCCAAAGCATCCAAGATGCATGATGTCAATGCGGCATGAAGCCTGCAGTCCTGACAGTGAGACATACCTCTATTCCTCCAGATTTGCGAGCTCTGAAACTCAGCTTAAGGATGACCTTTAGATTCAGGTTTCCCGAGTTCCAGCAGTCGGCGAGCACGGCATCGGGCTGCAATGTCCCTAACTCGAAGTAGGTGAGTTGACTTGAGATGCAAGGCATCGCTATTGGCAGGGAGCAAGCCACAGTCGGTCCATTCAAAGCTCTCGTGCTCAACGGCGTGGAAGTATCGATGATGATTAGTGGTGCTTTCACTTGTCCAATCCAGGAGATCTCCTGACTGCGGCTATAGCCAATCACTTGATGCTGCGAACAAGTTCTCTCAAATCCCCTCCCTCCACCCACTCATCAACACTTCCACCCTGCCCGGCACCATCGCCGACTTCACCCACAATCCGAGCAGGGCGGCCAGCGACGATGCATCCCGCTGGCACAACCATGTTTGGAGGTACGACCGTGTTGGCCAGAACCCTGCTGCCCTCTTTGATCATGCAAAAGGGCGACAGGACGCAATTCTCGCCGATGTAGACATGTGATGAGATTGCGACGCTTGAGACGAAAGTGTTGGGTCCGATGAAGACGTTGTCACCGATCCGTATGGGATAGAAATTCATCTGGCCATGGCTCATCCGCATGGGAGGATGAATGATGCAATTCGTCGATATCACAGTAAGCCTGAAGAGTTTTTCAGACGGTCACTACGTGTCTTTTCTTCCAGTTTCATGGTTGAGAATCGGGAACCATCGTTACCTTCCAATTGTGATGGCCGTGACAGGGGCTTTGTCAGGCTCGCCTTCTGCGGGACGTTCTGGTTTGCGGTGGAGATCTCCACGTAAATTGACACCGGCCATCACGACCGATTTGCCGCCGAGCATGATGTTCTGTTTGCCTTCGATTTGGGCACGTCTTGAGATTTTGTTACCGGTATCCTATGACACCGATCAATACTTGCAAATGCGAAGTCCTGTAAGATAGGAATACTGACCGTTTCGATATACTCACTTTTCGTCGAGCGCCGCGCACCCGGGCCTGGACGTGACATTTTTGTCCGTTTGGTTCTATATGCTTATTAGAGACACTGAGCGGTGGAAAACCTCAGATTACTGCGCAACATGTCTTTCATGTCGACTGTGGATGTGTTGGAGCCAAGGTCAGCCATACTGTAACCCTACAGGCTTTGGCGCCTTCGCAAGCGCTGTCACGCATTCAATGTGCACCTGGGCACGACCCAGAATGCTGTCCAAGATGGAATGGACTCTTGAAAAGCACGCAGTCCATGCGACAGACGACAGGTTATAATTTCGGTCAAATGAGATGCTGGCTGATCCGTTGAGATCATATTCGGCATAGTGAAGCCGACATATGCAGCGAAAATTTGAGGAGAAGCTATTTTATACATGTGAATAGGTTGTTCTACACTGTTTGTACATCTTCATCTGCCCGCAGGCGCCGTATCCTCCTAGGTGACACCAATTTGATTCCAGCCGGCTCGACGTTTTCCTCCATGACCAACTTTCACCGCTGGTCAACAGCAAGGTACCCACGGAGGATCCACACTCCGTTAGGGGCGCGCCAGAGCTGAGCTGCCAGATTTGCAGAAGACGCGCCCAGCACGCCATCATCTGGACTTTCTGTCTCCTTTCACAGTCTGCAATCTTGTTCTGTCAAGCTGCTGCTGCCCGTCCGCAAAGCATGCTAAGAATGTCCCCACGCCTTGAACACATTTCGAACAGAGCGTAGATCATGACAGACGCCTGTCTCATGAAGTTTCGGCAGGTCGAACATTCAAACCTCTGTTGGTCGAGCGAGCTGAGAAAATTGTTTTTCTGCACTGTTCATGAAGATGGGCCTTCGATTTCTTCTAGTCCCCTCACCGTCAGCTCCTTGATCTTCAGAATGGTATATCGGTGTTTGCTCCGGATGGTCTGAACATGTCGCTGTCGACGCTTGGTCTTCTCTTTCTCGCGCATTGGCTCGTTCTCAACCCCCATCACTACAGCTCTGCACACAAATAGCCTGTCGTCCAAGTACCCGTGCTTTCCTTTTGCAATATGTGGGATGAAGTGCGGCGCGACGGCGCCCACGGCCGAATTCGGTGATATTTCTTCTGACTGTGACTCCACCTGAGCCTCGAGAGGACCGTTGAGACCCTGTGCGACAGGTGTGCTAATGAAACTGCTCTTTGACTTGGGCGCAGGAGCTGCGGCTTTCAAGGTGTAATCCCTGCTTCCAAGAACGATGGCACTGTTCAATCGAATAACATCTCCAGGCTGCACGCCGTGCATCACGAAAGGAAGTCGTACGGTATCTCCTTGCGTGATCAGGTAAGGAAATCCGTGAATGTGCACTGTGATGTAGTGAGGTCCTTGAGCTTGTAGTAACGGCAGAAGCTCGCGAACAGTGGAGGACAGTGGACTTGATGCCGGTGCGATTCGCTGATTATGTTGAATCGTTTCTAGTGATGATGATCCGAGCGTGGATCTTGCTGTTGTGGTTGATGCTGATCGTGTGACGGCTTTGGGTACAGATAATGCTACAGGATTGCATTTTCGAAGTGCGATATTGGTTGTTGACGGACCTGATAGCACATTGGAGAAGACGTTATCCAATACCGGGGCTGAAAGCGCCCGTCGTAATGCTCGTGTCGACATTTTGATGGCGAATTGCTCTTTCGAAAGCCTCCAAGACAGATCAAGTCGGATATTCAATGTTCACATTTCTTGTCCGCGCGGGAGACGTGCTGTTAGCTCGGCTTTCCTGCCTCACACAAGAGAGCGACGCCAGGGGCGGGAACAGCCGGCGACCCGGATTTTCTCCGCTTGAGGCCTTTATCGATCTCGAATTAAAATTCCGCCACTTTTTTTTTGAACCGGATCACATCGATGTTCTAACTGATCCAACAACACAACCGACAACATGCCTCAGAACGAGTACATTGAGCGCTTCCAAAAGCAACATGGTCGACGTCTCGATCACGAGGAGCGCGTACGCAAGCGGGCTGCGCGAGAGGGTCACCGCGCTTCGGACAATGCACAGAACTTGCGTGGTCTAAGAGCCAAGCTGTACCAGCAGAAGCGTCACAAGGAGAAGATCCAGATGAAGAAAGCGATCCGACAACAGGAAGAGAAGAATGTCAAATCCTCAGAACCTGCCCAGCCTTCGAGCACCCCTCTCCCCAGCTATTTGCTTGACAGGAGCAACACCACAAATGCCAAAGCTCTCAGTTCCGCTATCAAAAACAAGCGTGCCGAGAAGGCAGCAAAGTTCAGTGTACCGCTCCCGAAAGTGCGTGGCATCAGCGAGGAGGAGATGTTCAAGGTTGTCAAGACGGGTAAGAAGACCGCAAAGAAGAGCTGGAAGCGTATGATCACAAAGCCTACTTTTGTCGGTCCGGAATTCACTCGACGACCCGTCAAATACGAGCGCTTCATTCGACCCATGGGTCTCCGATACAAGAAGGCGAACGTCACCCACCCTGAACTTGGTGTGACAGTACAACTCCCGATCATCAGCGTCAAAAAGAACCCCCAGAATCCGATGTACACCCAGCTCGGTGTGTTGACGAAGGGTACCATCATCGAAGTGAACGTCAGCGAGCTTGGTCTCGTCACGGCCGGTGGAAAAGTTGTTTGGGGACGTTGGGCGCAGATCACCAACAACTGCGAAATGGACGGATGTGTCAACGCGTAAGTTTGAGCGAGGTTTGTAACCAAGTCGTTTCTAATCAGCCTACAGTGTCCTTCTTGTTTAAGATGCAAGCGAAATCTCAGGCAACCTGTAATCGCTATTCAGATTTGTGGGCTTGCGACAAGCCGACCATCACGGTAGGATTGGTCACTCTTCGCAATCACCGAGTCCGTTCATTGCGCCATCTCGAGAGGATGACGACACTGTTTCGATGAAACTGCACGAAACCTCTCTCCTCCATCCGGCACTAATTTCAAGCCGAAGATTGTACGTTGCGCAATAAGCATGTCCGCTCACGCCTCGACCACCATCGAGGATGTCATTCATGCAAGATGATACGCTCTCGTCCGGCACATCGCAACAAGGAAGTCACGCCATCATACGCACGTGCCAGACCTTCAGCATCTAGCACCGAAATTCCCGTGTGCTACATCAGGTGCTCATTCAGCATGCCTGCAGAATCAAAAGAGCATCATACTATGGTCATGGAATCCGCTCCGTGGCACAACAAGATTGCTGAAGTGCTAGCATTGCGGCGTCAGAGGGGATCAGCGTGCGTCCGCAGGTGGGACACCGTCACATACCACATCCCTGTTTCGGATGATCCAACCAAAATGCAAACGGATTTGTGCAGCGATAGAACACTCGCGCATAGTGCAAAGCAAGCCGGCAGCTTCTGCTGATGAGGAATGTTCCGTGGATGAGACAAGTTGCAAGGCAGACTTAGGAATTCTCATAATTCAGTCAAGGCATGGCAACCTCCCCAGCAATTTCCGAAGGTCAAGTAGTCATGAGTACTTGGTTGTGCCATAATACGCACACCTTCTCAGTTCATAGTCAATAGCGTCATCATACTCATGCAATCTATCAAGATCGCAACTCAATACTTGTAGCAATGCGACGAAGCCGTAATGATGAGTGAACGTACCTAGGTAGGTTGAGATCCAGTGTGCTAGTGCAAAAGGTGCCCGCAGAGAATGCACGGACCCATCAGCACGTGAAAGGATCTGTATGCACGGTATTTGAAACTGCACATGACGCCACTCTCATCCGTCATATTCCTCTTTTCCATTTCTACGCACACTATTGTGTACTCAATCTGCAGTCTACGTGACTCTACGCGATTTATAGCCTCCCTGCGAGTTATAACAGCCAGCATAATATGGACGAAAACGCGCGACTGCAAGCCAGAATTGCAGCACTTTCCGGCCAGATTCAGCAGCACAAACAACGACCAACATCAAATTCGCAGTACGGCCACCAGAGTTCTGCTCCGTATGCAGCACCATACGCTTACCGAGATCCTCGATGGGCTCCGTATCCCCGCGGTGGTCGTGGTGGTCGTGGTGGACGGGCAGGATATGCGACCTCTCACAAAAATCGGACTCTAGTTTTGAATGGTTCGCAAGCTCTTGCGCCTACTGCTCAAAGTGGCGAGGCTACTGCAAACACCAGCGATGCCACTACAGCCACGCAAGGAGCAGATTATATTTCAGCACGGTCTGCAGGAAAACATCAATTGATGAACAAAACCACATATGACCGGGAAATGAAACAGAAGCAAGGACAACACGACGATAGTGACGCGATCAGGAAGGCCGCTCTCGATGCTGCTGTGCCTGTGTCGCAGGTAGGACAAAGCTCCGCGCAGAACAGGCACGAGTTGACGATCAGCGGTCTTCAATTCCGAATGGCCGACGATGGAAGTAAATTATATCGGGTATCTGGTGAGACCGCGCGTGGAACCATGACCGAAAGGATGCTGAAGATTTGCGTTTCAGATGGTCCTCAAGAGACGCCCAAGACGGCTAAAATTGCAGATGTCATCTTCATTCGAACGAAACGAGGTAATCTTGTACGGGCGAGTGCCTCGAAGAGCAACTCAAGGTACAATTATGCACGCGACAGCGATGTTGTACTCGGGCCCTTGCTCACAGCTCGCAGACTCACGACCGCACGCCGAAAGGCACAATGCGAACACTTTACAAAATTCGGTACCCTTCACCTGATTCACCAAATGCCGGACTTACTAGCTGCAAAGATTAGCACAATCAGACCTGCATATTGTGAGCCGGTAAGCAAAGACCCCATCCACTAACTGATGTTGCAGGAAAATGTCCATTTGGACCCGGCTGTCGATTCGCGCACGATCCAAACAAAGTCGCAATCTGCAAAGATTTCTTGCGCAGCGGGCAGTGTCCCTCCGGCAAGCACTGCGACCTGTCCCATGAGCCAACTTATCATCGTGTGACGGCTTGCGCACATTTCCTTCGAGGCAACTGCACCAACGATGCATGCCGTTATCCCCATGTTCACGTCTCCCCCACTGCACCTGTGTGTCGCGCATTTGCCACTTTGGGATACTGTGCTAAAGGCGCCGAGTGTCCTCGGCGCCATGTGATTGAATGTCCCGACTATAGCAATCATGGCCACTGTGCTGCTCGCGAGAAAGGCACATGCCAACTTCCTCATATTGATCGTGCGCATACTCTCCGGAAGGCAGCCAAGCGTCAAGGCACGGGTGGCCTACAAGATGATTCTGATATATCCAGTGGTGATGAAGCAGCGGACATGGATCTCGATGACGATGCTGACGACGATTCCGATGGGCCCGAGGACTTTACAATGACAGTTGACGGACATAGTCATGAACTTACGCAGCAGGACGACTTCGTGTCCTTTGCATGAAGGAATATTGAAAGACACAATCGCATTTGCGAACCAGATGAGCATTCATGAGATGTGGCGCAGATCAAAAAAATGAGACGAGGAAGAAAAACGCTTGTGCCAAGGACAATGTTTGTACTCACTTCAATCGATCCTAAATGAAAATTATTGAAAAGTGCAATGTAAATGATTGCCCACCTGCATGCCTCCCGAGGTCTGTTCTCAGGTTGGTTCGACTGAAGCGCCGCCCGATCACTTGATTTCTGCCCCAGTGCAATGAAATGTTCAGCTATTCTGTGAATGAAGTGACGATGGTTCCCTTATGTTTAGCAAAAACACCCAGACCATGATCGTCGTTATAAAGGGTTGCCAACCGCCCACGCCAAAAAAACCCCACCAGCAACGACACCTGCATCATCCGTTCTGCCCCAGATTCTTCGCTGATGAGCGACACAGGAATAGCAACGTCAGCTCTCACACGGCACAGCCACAGCCTGGGCGTCTTCTTAAGAAAGACAAATCAGCCTCTGTAATGGTACCCATCTTTACGCAATTGTCTATCGTCGTTACATTTCATTCGTGCTCGTGATAGTAGAATCTGGTAGGCGACTGCACATTTCATTAATATAGTGTACCACACTCTATCCGTCGTCCTCGAACCGCCACCACTCGTTCGCAACCCAACCACAAGATGCCAGGCCTTAAGGACCTCCTCAAAAAGAAAGACAAGATCGCCAAAGAGGCGCATAACAACTCCAACCTCGCAGTTCCGGAGTTTCGGTTCATCAGATCCACAACGGAATCCGAAGAGTCGATTCGTCCACCTTCATTCCCCGGCGATGAGCCTTATGGCAGTCATGATAAACGAGCGCGTGAACATAAGTATCATATGGGATTTCGCGCATCCCCGACAAGCGACGCAAGAGAAACAACAACAGGATCCGACGCGACTTTCGCAGCCGACGGCTCGGGTCAATTGACTCCCTCCAAAGTCAAGGGAGAACGCAGACTATCATCACGACTGCATCTCGGCCGAGATCGCCGATCACGATCTGTCTCTCGAGAATCCAGTGTCAATCTCCCCGATCATCTACCTGATGCGCCCGAGAATCTCCCTGCGCCAGCCAGACCTCACGCATCCGCCGTCGGAGGCGACCAGGCCACAACCGAACAACGAGAAGCACAGTGGGAGAAACGCGCGACCTTACTCGCCATGAACAACCCGCTCCTCGGCCAGGACGGATCCGAGAAACCGCGCGGGAGGAGTCGAAGCCCCGGCATCTCCGACGCCAAAGGCGACGTCAACATCCAAGAAGCCATCCGGCTCCACGAGGGAGGCGACTTGACCGCATCCTCGAACATGTTCGGCCAACTCGCCGACCCGCGGGGTGCGAACAATGCCCTCTCGCAAGTCCTCTACGGACTGGCGCTACGTCACGGCTGGGGCGTCCCTGTGGAGCCCGAAAGGGCGATTCATTACCTCTCGCTCGCGGCGTCGAATTCGGCGTCCATCGAGCAGGAAGCGCTCGCTTCGGGGATGAAGAAGGGCGGCGCCGCCAAGGGCGAGTTAGTCCTGGCTATGTTCGAGCTGGCGAATTGCTTCCGGCACGGGTGGGGCGTGAAGAAGGATGCGGTTGCGGCGAGACAGTATTATGATACTGCAGCCAATCTTGGTGATACGGATGCCATGGAGGAGGCGGCTTGGTGTTACATGGAGGGCTTTGGTGGTGCTAAGGACAAGGTACGTGTTTTGCTCATTGTGATTTCAACTTGAGGGGCAAGGTCACGCTTCGCCGCTTCTTCATTGTCTCCTACTTGCTTCAAGGTCTCGGAGAGAGACCTGCCCGAGCGGGCAACGCGTCGTGTCACGCAGACTCTCTGTATTGCAGAACTTTGGCTGACCTGCAACCGTTACTTGTCACAGTTCAAAGCCGCTCAATATCTACGACTAGCGGAGGAGAAAGGCAGCAAGACTGTCGGCAACTCATGGTACGTATCACCTAAAGATCTCGTGTCACCCATACATCGGAGAAATTCCCCAGGACAGCCGGGTCGTCACCGAGCTAACAGGGCCTGCGTGACTGCTCCCTTGGGCACGGGTATGGCAAACGATGACGCTACATTTCAACCCCAAAAGGCAGGCGACGGGTCATGAAATCATCTCACATGCTGCGCAATCAGACTGCTGGCATCGGCACTAGTGGGAGGGCGACAGGCAGCACAAACACGAGTCATTTTCCACTGACATGATTTTTACAGGATCTGGAAGGAAAAGTACAATCCAAAATAGAGATACATGGTTGACGAAGCCCTCGCTCGTTGAAGAGTGTGGGAGCAGTTGGATGCTCATGCAAGAAGTATCTACGATGGAACACGTCCGTTCCCATTTCTTGCGAGTGGTTGGCGGGATCGATGCGGATGAAACGATGCGACGGATCTGTATGCTATCCCTTCAGATAAAGCGAGCGAGAACAAAAAGCAAATGTTTCGATGAGACAATTGGATGGAAGATTCCACAAGTCGTCACATTTCAAGGTTGGCATGGTCACGATGAGATCCATTTTCATAAAGCTAGATACAATCATCGTGGTCGTCATAGCTCACAAAGGAGAAAAAGAACAAGAACTGGCCAGCAAAAAGGCAGGAGAATCTCGTAATCATCAAGAAAGCCACAAGTAGAAAGGAAAATCGTCATCGGCTGTTCAAGCCAGGTGTGTGTCAAAAGGGCAACCCACGTGCCCGACATGTCCTTGGTACAAATAGAACAAAAGGCCCCAAGACAAAATAGGAAGGTTGAGTGAGCTGGCGGAATCACATCGCAGCAGCATCACCCGTAACTCCGCTGAACAAAGGTGATACCGGAAAGGCCCAAACATAAATACGTGCTTCCAAGAAAATTCTCCGCATCTCCCGCGACGCTGTTCAGTAGAGTAACGGCGTCGTGAGATGCATAAGAAGGTAGGTGGAAGAGAGGCTGTGCGCCCAAGACGCCATCACCGATGAAGATTTCGTGTTCCCGCCGGAAAGAGTACAAAGGATTGGAGAATAGTGGCTGGGAATACCGTCGGCAATGGAATTTCATTATTGCCGTCAAGGAGAGGAAGATAGGGCGGTGTCGCTCGTTCTCTCAGTAGATCTCGTGAGAAATAAGAATAATTTGTGTCATCAAAGTCGTAAAATAGTCAAATTCGTAGGAACTGGTAAAAATTCCGAGGGTCGTCATAATCATTTCATAAAAGTCGTCAAGCGTGATAATAAATCAGAATCGCGTCCCACTTTGTAGGTTGTGGGAGTCGTAGATTTTTCGTTCGTGGGAAGTGGACAAAAGGATGTGAGATAGGGCGTGTGATGCTCTCATCGGAGAGCGGAGAGGAAGCAGCGGCCAGAGAGGACAAGTCAAAGAGGTGGCGATCAAGGCTCGGGCTTATACATCATGTCCAGTGGGCTTGCTGTGGTGAATGGCTGTCCCTGGTCCTGATGGCCTTCGATGTTTTGATGATCGCGCACCATCTCCTTGAATTCTTGGATGACCTGTTCGGGGATGTGATCCCACAAAAGGCTCCGAACGTAGACATCGGCATTGTTGCTCTGGGCGTGCTTACGCTCTAGATCCATCAGTGCTTGCGCAAGGTTACGCGAGCGCCGTCCGATGCTGTAGTCGGGCGTGGCCTCGGCGTAGTCTGGGCTAGTCAGAGATGTGTACTGCGATGAAGTGAGTCCGAGGGCGTCATGGGAATCTCGGTGCTGAGTGGATATCGTTTGACCGTGGTAGGAGTTGTCCATCGGAGTTGATTTCACGGCAGATGCGCGGACATTTCCAGTTTGCATCGTTTCCCGAGCAGCGCCAAGCGAAGTGTGAATGGCATGGTGAGAGGTCGACAAATCCGAATCGAGAAGGACCTGCAAAATGTCGCTGGCAGCGGATCGAACCATCTGAGGGACCACAGGCATGCCGGAGGTTTGGGAGCTCGTCGGCTTCGAGGCAAACAGCGCACCGCAAAGGAGGATCATGAACAGAAGGCTAGAAGCCACGGGTTGGTCAGTGGCGCTTTCAGTCTTGCCTTGACCACTCGGCACCAAGGTTGCGACAGAAGCTTTCTGCTCAAGCCCTCTCTCGGGCTCGATGTGACTCTGGGCGTTGTCGAACGACGAGGGATCCTGATAGTCTTCGGCCATTTCATTGATGTCAATAAAGTCATTCCACTCTTGATTAGTGGACTGCTCGTAACCACTGAAATGCAACGCCGCGATGCTCGCGTTGAGCTCCGTAAACCCTGTACTGCTGGGCACTGCAGACATACTTGGCGCAGGGCCAGCCTCGAGGCGATCCTCGAGGGCTCGGATTCTTCTCCGAAGCTCGGTCGTCTCGAGGGTATGCTGCTCGATAAGTTCCATCTTCTCTTGCTGCAACAAGGCAACTTGGTCTTGCGATGTTTTCAAGATAGGCTCGAGTGATTCGAGTCGGGCAAATTCACTTTCATAGGCTTTCAATTGGACGGTATTTTGCTTGACTGTGAATTCCAGCTGTTCCGTATAGGCCTTCTTGCGTTGGCGCGATGTCAAACTGTTTCCACGTTAGTCATGAGTCAGACTCAATTCAGGAATAGCACTCACGCTGCGTCGCGGTTACGGAGGAGCCGCTTCTGTTGCTTGAGCTCAATGACCAAGCCCTCGTCATCAGCATTATCAATCAAAGCATCGATATTGTGAATGTTGCGTCCTTCCGGTATGGGGATTCGGTTGTTCTTCTTGCGAATCCCATCGCCTTGCCTGGCGCCGAGCACAGTTCGCTGAGGTGTACGGGAATGAAGGCGTCGTGCATTCTGACGCTGCCCGGCCTCTTGCTCTGCAAGTGCCATGTGGTCTACGATTTCGTGTGGCGACAAAGATCCCTGTAGGTAATTTGGTTGCACGGTATGTGTTGCCGGTTGCGATTCCATTTGCGGGTGACTCATGTGAGTGTCGGTCCAAGCGGCGTGAGTAGCGGCCATTGTTTGATCTGCATATTGACCGTGACCAAATTGTGGTTGATTGGATACGTACTCTGCTGCGAATCCAGGGATGACCGTGCCTGTGGTGACCGACCACTGCTGATGCATCGCCGGCTGCGCGAACGCGGATTGGTGGGAGAGGCTCGGTGCCATAAAGGTGTGACCGTCGTCGCAGTATTGACTTGACGGGTCAACAGTCAAAAGCGATTCCGCAGGGAGCGCGGTAGTGTAGTGTTGTTGGTCCCAGACGTGGTGTTGAGACTCAACGGGCGACATGACTGCAGAGGTGGTCATCGTCGAGTCTTTTCGCTGGACACCACTAGAATCATTGTCGTTGATGAATATGGGTTGATGTGGCTTGCCCAGTTGCTGTCTCTGACGTTGTTGTTGATGTTGCTGTAGGGGAGAGTCGTTGAGCGGTTGAGAGTGATCAAATGATCGAGCATGGGTATAGTCCATGGTCTGCTGTTGCGAAAGTATCAAAGGAGTCGATGAAGCGATCGTAAAATTCGAATGTTTGACGGTAAAGTGTGGCAGGCGGTGAATAGGTGAGGCGTAAGCAGCAATGTGGCGCAAGGACACACCACAGCCGCGACGTTGATGGACAAGCGATGAGAAGGCGGGCGGTTATTGTCGAGTTATTATAGAAAGCAGACAATCCGAGAGACAGTCGACACTCAATTGCAGTGTTGGGAAGGTAGTGCAAAGTGAGCAGTTGACCAACAACAAAGGAATCGATAGCTTTCCCAGCTACGATATCGACGGTGGGTAGGTGATGTTGGAAGAGCGGCGTGACGAGGGGATCGGTGGCAGCAGCGCACGTGGTGGATCAGTGCAAGGAAAGATCACGGGACACAGCGAGCGTGATTGTGGTGAAGATGAATACCTAGGTATTTGCAGGGCAGAGGTTTGAGCGAGCGGTCGTGTGGAATATGCAAGCTGCAAGTCCAAGCCGGGCTGCCTGCAGTGTCGTTTCGTGATTCGAGCCGCGCGGTTGGATGGTCGGAATTGTCGTTGTTCGTGCGGTGTCTGATGGCGACAACGGACACGGACGGTGATGGACGGAGGAATAGTGTGCTGAAAGGGAATCGAATAGAATGCAATAAGTAATTGGTGAAAAGATGAAGGAACAAGAAAGTCGGATTTGGGTGTGGTTATGTGTTGTTGCACTGGTTGTGTGATGGTTTGTGGCCGATGGAGAAAACCGCTCGGGGGGCGATCGTGAGTCTTAAGCCAAACGGGTTCTGCGTGGTGGATTTTCGCCAATGAGCATGGGCTTCGAGGTGTCTCTCCCAGTCACGACAATCCGGGCCGGGGTTAAGCAACGAGGTCGGGAATAGAAAACAAACAGAGCGAGAGATCATGAGTCCAATCGAGCGGCCCTGTTCTCCCAAAGTGGAGACTCGCCGTTGACGGAAATGGGGAATGGCGCGGCAGAGATGTACTCGCAAAGTGATATGATAATAAATTGTGACGATGCGACATGCGCGTGTACGTATAATGTAGAATGGTGAACATGGACATGAACCAGGCCATGCGTCCACAGTATACACACACCCACAGAGCAGTGCATCAAACAGGGACAGGGACAGGGCAGGCAGGCAGGCAGGCAGGCAGGAAGAGATGGAAGGGGCGTCCCTCGTGTAATCCATACAGTACAGCACCTAGCTTAGTAGTGACTACACACTCGACTCGTTCACACACCTAAAGCAATCAGTGATGGGAAAGTTTGGGCAGTGCTCTTGCAAGTGGGCGAAGGAAACAAGCCAAGCCCGATCGATGAGCAGCACCAGAGTGTGTACTGTAGTCCAGCCGGTAGAGAGGACACTGTGCCATGCGCATTTTCCTGAACGGCAGCAGTGATGCAAAGTGAATGACAGCAGCCCAAGCAAAAGGAATATTGATTGATGGGGCACAGGCAGGGCAGTGGGCGCGCGGGCGGACGGGGGCGACTTCGCTTGCTGTGTCATGAGACAGGCAGCCCCAATGGTGGTCCAGAATGTGTCGGCGATAGCGATGTCGATGGTGAATGGATGTTTTTTTTGGTCGGTGCGTGTGTGGGGAGAGTCGGCGTGAGTGCATGTGCGGTACAATTCTTCTGCGGTACAGTATACTGTATAGAGTAGAACATCAGTCCTCTTCGGGCAAATTGCCTACCAATCCCACTTGGGCATGTATACTTGGAAACAGTAGGTGCGAAATCGCTCCCACGACCATCATTCGTGCATCTGCGGAAAAGGTGCTCACGCCGCCAACATCAGCCGAGCAGGCTCGATCACGGGCAGGCGGCACGTCGACCGCGAACAGCTGCGACACTGAGCATACGCAACGACCGTACGGTGGGAGGGTGGGGGAGGACAGACGAGGCGATGGGAACTTCTCGACAAACCAGTTTGGTAAGCAGAAGACGAAGAAGAACCTGTTTGTGTATATCGTCGGGCAGGACTGCATTAGGGCGGAGATCGATAGGCTGGCGGTGACGGGTAGGTGCAGATATCCGCTGCAGACTTGCGCTCCACCGCCGATGAGGGCTCAGTTCGCACGATCCCGCCGCCCATGTTGCTGCTGCTGCTGCCCGAGTAGAGGGAGGGAGAGAAGAGCAGCCTGGCGAACTGTGCCATTCCGCGCGTGTCCTCCACGGGCGCGCGGAAAGGATTGATTCCCATGACGATGATTCTCACGTTTCAGGATTTGTGTGGAGATAGACCATCATCATGCTCCTCCCAAGCCCATGAGCAGCTGACTTGCCCTACGCGCTTCCAGTGACCATCGCAAACACGATTCAGATCGGCTGCAAGCATTTTGAGCAGTAAAATCCGTCTGAATGGACAGTTCACGACGAGCAGAAGCGCCCTCAATCAAACTCCCAACAGGCGATGAGGTCCAACTGACAGGTTGTCGTCGACGTTTGGTGTCTGCGGAACGCGCGCGTACGGCACGGCACGCCGGGGCGGAAAGAACGGTCTGAGACGAAGAGGAACGTGGGAAGCGTGTCAAAGAAATCTGCGTTCAAACGTGCCAGCTCGAGCCATTCTTCGATCCGTGTGTAGAGCCCAGCGTGTGTAGCACCTCTCCCGTAAAGCGCCGATTCTCCATCTCTGGTTCTACAACGAATCGTCCACGAGACAACCAACTTTCGAGTCACATAGGGCGCTTTGTATCAAACCATCGTCTCACGCTATGTTTCCCTCTTCGGAAAAATACAGTAGCTCGACTTCCAAGGTTGTTTGTCTTATGCTGCACGTTATCATGGGGTGACCCTTCGCGGAACTACGGGTAATAAAAATGATGAAATCAAGTAATGGAATAGCCTACAGTTTGTTGTTTGGCGTCGGCACTCTCGGACTCATTTGGCAATCAGCGCAACTTGTCCGAATCTAGCAAACGAGCAAATTGTCGTTACAGCGGCGCAGCTGATCGCTCGTTTCAGCCCGTCGCCCTTTCGCACGCAGAGATCGTTGATTGTGATGAGGAGCTCTGAATCGCGTCGCTTGTTGGCAGATCTACGGTTATTTGGGAGCTTCCCGGGGTGCTTCATCGAAGCCACTTCTTGCATCATCGTGATCCCACCTGGAAGGTATGACCCGGACATTGTGAGCATAGACTGAAGGTGGACGAGTAAAGTCTTCAGCTTGTCCGAGTTTATGGCAAGCACACTTGGTACAATACATCATTACTATGCATCAGATACAGCACCAAGAATCAAGCCATGCATGCAGGATGAAGAAAGCCATGACACGGCTGTTTGACTAAATCGTCGTCTGCATTGCAAACTCGCCTTCCCCGTCTGAGCTTGTCCCTCAATATACCTGGGCAGATTGACCAGGGCATATCATCGATGCTCAGGGTCCTGCACATGCGCAATCAAGCTTAATAATAAGACAGAACATATCTATAAATGCGACGTCGGGGCATACTCGACTTCACTCGATGGCCGTGCCGGTTTAGGAATGGTTCTTACCTGTGCCATATCGAGTCTTTCGTCCTTTGCATGTCTCATCTCAGTGAAGAAACTTCCAGGGCGTGATCGATAACACGTCAGTGAAGCAGGAGGTGGAAGTGGGTCGTTGATCCGTGTCGGGTGCATTCCGTTCTCAATTCCACGCAGCACTGCCCTGGAATTATCCCATGAAGAGGCTGAGGCTTACCAAGTCAAGTGCACACTTGGGCAGCAGCCGAATCATACTGGTCGGATATTTATGGCTGGGTCTTCGCATCAGACTATCGGGCATCGAAAGCTTGGTCTAGATGTTGGCCTCGGAATGGTCTTTGGTCTTAATTGGCCATATCCCACAGTATTGCGGCCTCCGACCACGGGTGAGATGGAAGGCGCGAGCGAGTGATCAGTCTCGCGTCGTGGCTTCGACGAACGACAAGTAGACATGCCTATCATATCAGGTTTCCCGATCAGGTAGCATCGAACGGCAGCCGTAAGCCTGCTACGAATAGGTCCAGGGGTTCGTCTCGGCAGGACAGATGCAGTAAAATCATTCATGCGTCATCCACGCTCGTATGAACTGCTTGAGACACACTTGTAGTCTGCTCAAAGTCTCGAACCGATACTTGCATGCCCATGCGTCTTCCTCGTGCATAGCATGGGCATATACGAGCCTCGTTATACCCTCCAAAAGCGATGCACTGTCAGCATCGGGCGTCAAGACAACCACCAAAAAGAAGACTTGAAACGTACCGAAAGGTCAAAATTTTGGTCATCGTGCCCGGCACGGACTTCGCGCGCATCAAGCCGATTTGTTCGCCGCACATCAGCAGGCAGGCATGGTATTGAACACAAAGCTATGATAAGGTCGATGCGCACATGTAGAGGCTTCACGTGCGTACCGCAGAACGGCAAGCAAGGCATGCAGCATACCTAGGAAGCTATACTAGGTAGTTGTGCAGGAGGGACGTCGCCCGGTATTCGGAAGTCGGCTGAAGTCTCCAGCAGCAAAACCGGACCGTGACAGCCAATCGTTGCTCCGAAGTGTCCCCGCGCGCTGCCGCCCGAATGAAATGGCTTTGTGCGACTTTCCTGCTCCCCACCTCCACCATCCAAGCCTGCACGCCCGCTCCACGCTCCACGCTCCACTCGTGAACAATCGTGCAGCATACAGGACTGTGCTGCGACCGGCATTTTCGACGAGAGCAAACTATCGTGGTATATTGGCGAATGCGTTGCTTGCAGCATCACCGGTGCTGATCGACAAATTGGCCTCAAAATTGCTAAACCGGGGCATGCGACGCATCTGCTCTGCTGAATCCTGCCAGGACTGCGAACTATGTCCTAGCCCGGATGTTGCACGACGGAAGCATGTCGAGTGCTCAAATTCCGTCACTCTCATCCAATCGTTAGCTGTACGGATTGGTCGACCTTGCGAATCGGTCTCTGCAAAGCAGTCAGCGCAGTCGCAGAGTGCATTTTCCCTTGCACTGTTCCGCCAAAACCGGTGTGTTCAGTGGCTGTTCACGCAGGTATCGACGCAGGTCCCGCCAAAGGTAGGGCACGAGTCGGACGCCCAGCCTCAGCAATATCACGAATGACGGTCGTGATGCGCAGAGTCATGTCCAAGCGAACAACGAGACTGCCCTGGCGAACAGAGGCCCCTGATTTCGCCAGGTAGGTCAGCTGGCGCCGCTGGCTGACTGACATGATCAGACAGCCTCGGAATCACCTTGGCGGCGCTCAGGCACCAACGCTCTCGACAAATGGCACGCCTGATTGAAAACTTCGTCCGTCGGTATCAGTCTGCCTCCTATGCACAGACATCACAAACGATGGCTTATCAGAGGTCATGCCTTGAACCCTGTCGACGTTGAATATCGTGGACCAACACTCGATCTGCCTACACTAGCCAAGGTCACTACGGTCTGGTCGAGTCTGGTGTTCGCACGCTTTCTCCTCGTTGGGCAGCAGTTCAGGCTTCACATCCTGCTACATTGACCCATCACGGCATTCCCCGTAGTAGAGTATGCCCAGTGTCGACTGCAAACCCCGTCTGATGTTTGTCATCACAGGTAGGGACAGTCTTGATTTTGTTCGATCCCGAGGTCGTCCAATCTCAAGCCGGAGGGAATCTGATGCCTGAAGACCAGGGTCGAGAATTGACATCAATTTGCTCCCTATACTTTGTGTTTATTTTTTTTCCACTGACAGCAGCGCCGACTCTGCCCGTTTCTGGATCCGCAGTAAGAGGGTGTCCACAGCCATGTCAGCTACTTTGTACTGCGCTGAGAGGCCACATCCACTACCGAGAAGCCGACTGCATGTACTCAGGAACATCATCTGCACAACATGATACTCCCTTCCTCAACAACATGATTCATTATGCCAAGGTGCATCAAGCGTGAGCAGTCAAGTTACACGATGACGAGAAGCACGATGTACCTTAATCACGACTTCAATCGCTCAATCGCCAAGAAGTACTTCCGGGTGATCAGGTGCCGGATTCCGGTACTCCTACAAGCCGAGACTATCGTCATTGTGGAACGATTCCATTCGTGATGGCCTCCTAGGTCGACGATGATCGTGGCGCCGCGGACGTTCCGATAGACTGCTCGTTCCGCGACGCGAGTATGTCTCTTCTTCAGGCAATGGAGAGGGACGTATTCGTACATAACGTCGACAAGTATGAATCCGCGCTCCCATCGATGTCGTTATCATACTGCCAAGGAGGCTCGTGATGGGATCCACAACGAGCAAATGTGAAAACCGGGAGCTGGCCATGCCCTCTCGAAGCAGAAATTTCCAGTATCGATAGGCGTCCGTTCGTATTTGTCCTCTGCCCCCCAAGGAGCCCCGTTTTTGATGATCTTACAAGCGAGGTTGAGTAGAACTCAAACGCTGGACTGATGGCACGTAGAAGATTTCAATCGTTCAATCGAAGAAACCCATTATGAATGCAATTCACTTTTCACTCCCCCTCCCCCGTCCCAATCGCTCTCTCTATATTACAGGAAATTACATACCGGCTCAGACCGGTCGATTCATCTTGGTCCTCTGTTGTGCCTTGGTAAAAGCTTTCTCGGAAGATAATGATGCCCGGCTCCCCCTTTCAATGATATCAATGATACGCAACCAACATTCGTGCTTATCAACACACCAAAGCCACATTGCCTCCGGCACATCTGTGCTAATTCACTCTCATTGGAAAGTCTGTGTAGACTTCCCATGCCTCGGTCTATAGGAAACGTATCGTTGTTGTTGTTGTTGTTGTTGTTGTTGTTGTTGTTGTTGTTGTTGTTGTTGTTTTTCTTTTACAATTTGGCTTTGATGCCAGCGCTGCCACCGTCGGTGGCTTGTTCAGCTTCACCTTGAACAGCAATGCATACCACGACGGCGATATCGTCGGGTTTCCCACCGACCCAGCCTTCGCTCGGATATCTCTGACGAACCTCCTTTGCGAACGGGCCGTTGCGTTTCCTATCCAGACCGGTGACCTTGGCCTCCCGCATGACCGCCTTGGAGAGAAGGCCGGGCAGGTAAGATTCCGAATTGCTATCGTTGATGATTGTCGGTAGCGCGCGGATCCGAGCGTCGTCTTGGATGGTCTCGTTGCTCGAGGAGGAGGAGCCTTGCGGCTTTGACCAGTAGCCAGCGTCTTGCATGACTTTGGTCGCGATCGCGAGGGTGTCTTGGGCAGAGAGATTGTCCCAGACGCCATCGGTGGCGAAGAGCACGATGTCGCCGTGTTTCAAGTCATATAAGGTCTCGTCTGCATCCGCGGGAGTTTCACTGAAGTGTTCGGTGCCGCCGAAGATGTACTGTTGCGCTTGCATTCTGGGCGTTAATTTGGAGAATTGATAGGGTGTGTTGAATGCGTGGGTCTGTGATGTTGATCTGTGAACCACCTTCCCTGGACTTAGCACCAGGAAACCTGAATCTCCCAGACTGTAAAATTCGGTCAGCGACATGAAAACATCGACCTCCAACTGCTAGATCAATGAACATACTTTGCAGTCACCATTCTGCCCTCTGCATCTGCGATAGCCAAGCTCGCAGTGCATCCTCCCGCCTCAATACGAGGGTTTTGCATCACGGCATCATATGCTGTTTGTAACAGGTCCCTTGGTTTGAAAGTATTCCCCGACGCCCAGCCTTCGTGAATGTAGGATGTGCCTGCCATCAACCCACAAAGTGCTTGACTGTAAATAGAGGGGTCCACGCCAGAATCCGCCCAGCCTCCTACACCATCTGCGACACCGAATGCCACATTATGCTTACTTCCGCCTATTGTGGATGCGAAGAAGGCATCTTCTCCCGAATCGCGCTTGGTGGATGATAGATATGGCGGACTGGGATTGGCGTGGGTCGATGCGAGATTCCAATAGTCCTTGCCGTACTGCGGTACTCGCGCAGGCGCACGCTTTGGTGATGAGGCAGCCGACAGCCGATATGTGAAAGAATTAGAGTTATGTTGTGAATTTGTCGTCGAGAGGTTTCTGATCGCCGGCGACATTGGCTTGGCTGTCGACCGGGATGTGGTGGAAGTCGCTGTACACGTCAGGCCGCGTCTCATGAGCACTCTTGAGGAGGAGAAAAGAGAGGCGGACATTGCAACTCGGCGGCGAGTATGTAGCAAACGACGGCGGCGGTGAAAATCATCACGAGAGCTCGGCCATTGATGTATATGTGTGATTGAGCGAGTAGAGTAGTGTTCGAAGGTGATGCGCGCTCGGCAACGTGGGTCAAGAGCACACGACAGCAGACTGCAAAAATGGCTTGCTACCGAGTGTTGGTTCGAGAGGCGGTGGTGGTGGTAAAGTGACGGGAGTGGTTGTTACAATGGAGGAGGAGTCTCGTGGTCGTGTGAGCACGAATAATTGTCCGCTGGACCAAAAGTTGCACATTCAAGGGTTCCAGTCCGCACATCCGTCGTCTCGAGCGTTTCCCTCTCCACCTGCACATGGACATGCGACCACTACGGGACGCCATCACGCGCGGAAGAAACGTAATGAAGATGCAATGGATGTATTGATGACCACTACCCAATTCCAACTTATATATAAACAGACCACGTGAGGGACGTCTCAAATGCCCTCTGCCTAGGGAAGATTCTACTGGTGTAGAACAATTCCATACGATTGCTCATTATGTCTCTTCATCACCCATTGGCGCTGGGCAAGGACAATCTCCCTCCAACAACTTGAAACCTTGGAAGGGAGAGTAAAAAGACATCGGGAGTCGGGAGACCACTTCAAGCTCACCTGGGCACTTTCTCTCCATTTCAACGTCATGCTGGCAAGTCACGTGTGTCGCATCCCGCCGGATGACTCAGCGCTTCACATTGATGCGGCTCGCGATTAATTGAATCACAGAATTGTAGCGATTCGCCTTGAGGATCTACATGCGCTGTAGATGAGAACAATGTCGCCGCCATAGTTGCCAGCAAACACTCTCTTGGACTGCTCCTTCCGCATCGCTGCCATACATTCACCATGGCCGGGCAAATTCATCCTTCGCGCCAGGCCTATGTCGAGGAATCGCACGAGGTAAGACCTACATTCATACCCCCTATCGAAATGGCGCATCATGTATTCACAATCACTCCTACAGCGAGCGTTATGCCCTCGGCAGCCACCGATGACCATGTCGGAAAGGACGGAATTTGACTGATGTATCAATACCACAGGCAGATACTAGCATTGACCTCGCAAGACTTCGTATGTACCCAAGATGCTTTCCAACCAGTCACGAGCGTCGCTGACAGCTCTCTTAGCTACCGATAACAACTACTCAATTCCCTCGCTTGCAGCTGGCGTACCTTCACAGCAATCATCCGTCCTTCTCGATGAGTTCGCTCGCAAACGCAAGGCCGCCCAGATCGCAGTACCGACAGATGACCTTCGAGTACGCGCTGAGCTTCGGGCACGAGGAGAGCCCATCACACTCTTTGGCGAGAAGCGGGAAGATCGACGCGATCGACTTCGTGAGATTCTGTTTGCTGTGCAAGAAGGGGCCGATGACGATGATTCCATGCTTGAGGGTGACGAGGACGAGGAGGACGAAGAGGTGCCTACAGAATTCTTCACCAAAGGCAGCGAGGAATTACGCAAATCTCGACAAGACATCTTGAAATTTTCGATTCCTCGAGCAAATCAGAGAGTGGCATTCCAGAAAGCCGAGTCGACCATTTCTGTGCAGACTCACGTACAACACAGGCATGCGATCAAACAGAATTTGGGCGCGTTTGAGCTATTCGGCAGTCAGATCGCTTGTGGACGAGCGGTATCAGCTGTGCGGTTTCATCCGAAAGGCGAACTCTTGGCTGTCGGAGATTGGACGGGTTCCGTTCAACTTCTCAATGTGCCCAATCTTGATACCAAAATGGTCCTCCGGGGACACAGGGCTATGATTGGTGGTCTAGCGTGGCACCCTGACGCAGACATCACATCAACGCCGTCACCGGGAACCATCAGCCTAGCTTCGTCTGGCGGACAGGGCGATAACGATATTCATCTCTGGTCTCTAGCACAAGATACGCCTGTCGCAACACTTAGTGGCCATAGTGGGCGTGTCTGCAAAATCGAATTTCATCCATCTGGAAAATATTTGGCAAGCGCCAGCTACGACACGACCTGGCGATTATGGGACGTGGCTACCACAACAGAACTATTGTCACAAGAGGGTCACAGCAGGGAAGTCTACGCTGTCGGGTTTCAGAGCGATGGCAGTCTTATTGCTACAGCTGGTTTGGACTCGATCGGACGTGTCTGGGATTTGAGGACAGGGAAGGCCATAATGGTATTGGAAGGTCATGCACAACCCATCTATGGATTGGACTGGAACCCTGATGGATTCCGGATAGCAACTGGCAGCGTTGACGGCTTCGCCAAAGTCTGGGACGTACGAGCCGTGCGCGAGAGCGCAAGCATCGGCGCGAACGTTGGAGGTGTCACTGAAGTTCGGTGGTTCAAGGGCTCAGACGGCCCCTCAATGGCAGCATCGCCCCTGAAGCGCGATTCGGTCATGAATGGCGACAGTTCTCATGACACCGAGGATGAATACATTCCGAAGAAGAGCGGCACCTTCCTCGTGAGCGGTGGATTCGACAAAGCTGTGAACGTCTTCTCTAGCGATGATTGGGCGCTGTGCAAATCGCTGACCGGTCATGATGGAGCTGTCTTATCAGCTGATATTTCCACTGATGCGCAATGGATCGCCTCGTGTGGCCGTGACAGGACTGTCAAGCTGTGGGCGAGCGACATGGCTGGAGGAATTTGAGAGCTCGTATCTTCCCGATGACTCGCGACGCTCTCAGCTGAGCCTTCCGGCACCAGCCGGTGCGCAGCGCGGCTCCAAAACACTGATAGACAGAAGATCCGGCCAGGATGTCCCTAGCATATGCATGCGAGAGTTGATCGATTGCGTTCAGAGTTTCGTCTCCGGAATTCGAGCGAGCATCCGGTCATGATGACAGGTCGCAAGAACGGCTCCGTCACTTTCTCGTCGCAGCACACCTCGCACGGTTGCGACAGACCTCCCAATGGACATGACTTCGGCCTCCACGATCACCGCATCGCCCTCGACAGGTGGTTTGTAATATGTCACGGCGAGGTTGCGCGAAACTCCAGTAGATTGCCAGCCGGGAACATCACAGGCGCAAATGGCCATGCTGGTCGTGATGTCGAAGAAGGTGGCAATTGCGCCGCCGTGGCTAGTTTGTGGACCGACGGGCGTGTTGCTATAGCCGCGAGGAATCGTGAATTCGAATACAGCCTTAGCATTCACGCCGGGAGCCTTGACCACGGCCGACCGAGCCTTGAGACTTTTGTTGAATGTGGTATCAAAATTGTCCTCGGGCATCCCACCAGTGTGGTAATCAATGAACGCCTGCATATTGCTTACCGCCTGCTCTGCGGTAAGCTTATCGTCATCCTGCTGCATTATTGCGAGAGACTTCGGTGTGACAGATCAATCAATTGACCATACAAGGGTTGGAATCGTTGCACCTTCGCAGACGGTCGAGATATGTACAGCACAGTTGGTACTGCTTGTCCAAGTAGAAGTTGGTCCAGTTCAAAAGGATAGCCGAGGTGGACCCCGAATCGGGATTTCGCAAGCGCGGAAATGTTGGACCTGACTCGATTTTAAAGCTCGCAAATTAGCTGGCCATTATAATCCTAATGAGGCAATTGGTCAGCAATCGATTGTCAGCTAGCGAGAGCTTAGCCATTCATGAAATGTACAATAATGATGATTACCCAACAATTCGGAACTTCCAGCGACATCACGATCTTTCTGAATCACCTTCGATTGTCTATAAAAGAGGCTCGTCAAGACCGATGAAGTGGTTTTCGTCCATTTTGATTTGCATACTCGCCATCGCAACAGGAATCTACTACCAACAAGACTCCGTCACAACCTTCATGCAAGCAATTGTTCGTCCATCGATCAAAAACATCACCAGGAATATCTCAACCCGCTTGAATCACACAACAACCTCTGCAATGGCTCCTTCTTCCACTTTCGTCGGCCTACCCGTCATCCCTCCACAAGACCCATCGCTCAATGCAGCATCACCGAAACCTCGCGGAATTCGAAAGGTCTTTGAGGCGCGAGAACAAGCCGAGGGAGCTGGCGCCACTGTGCGCCGGTCGATCGGCACTCCTCAATTGAAGAACTTCTCGCCGTTCCTGATGTTGGACCACTTCAATGTCGCCGTCGGCGCAGGCTTCCCAGATCATCCGCACCGAGGACAAGAGACGATCACTTATCTGCTTTCCGGAGCAGTCGACCACGAGGACTTTGCTGGCCACAAAGGAACGATCGAAACCGGCGACTTGCAATTCATGACCGCCGGTCGCGGCATCGTCCACGCCGAAATGCCTCACGACAACGGCGACGGCAGCAGCAACGTCGGCATGCAGTTGTGGGTCGACCTGCCCAAACAACTCAAGGACTGCGAGCCGCGCTACCGCGACCTCAAAGCCGCCGAGATCCCCCAAGCCAAGACCTCCGACGGCAAAGTCCTGGTCAAAGTCATCAGCGGCCGCAGCGAGGGCGTCGACAGCCTCCAGGAGCTCGCCTACACCCCCGTCTGGCTCCTGGACATTGAGATCCAACCCGGCGGGAAGATCGCGCAGGCGCTCCCGGCCGGCTGGAACAGCTTCGCGTACATCCTCGAGGGCGCGACGACCTTCGACACCGGCGCGACCAAGCAGGAGGTGCAGCAATACCACAACACCGTCTTCGAGCAGCAGGGCGACCAGATCGTCGCCGAGGTCCCGGCCGACGCGGTGCGGAGCTCCCGCTTCATCCTCGTCTCCGGCATGCCGCTCGATCAGCCGGTGGTGCAATACGGCCCGTTTGTCGTCACGGATACCTCGCTCGTGTACAAGGCGCTCAGGGATTACCAGTCGTTTTCGAATGGGTTTGAACGGGCGAAGGATTGGCAGAGTGAGATCGGCAAGACGATGATGTGATGAATGAACGAGAACGGGTCGACGATGATTGATTTGCCATTATGGCCTGAATTGCTTTTTTTCTTTTGATATGAGAGTCTATAGATGAGTACCCGGACCAGCACAGTCCGTTAGCATTGGGTGTTTTACATTGTTGTACATAGCAAAAAGAAGAAATTTGACTCCATTGTCACAATTACAAGCGCTCTCATTTCGTTGGCCTGATGAGGAATGGTCTGACAATGAGGCCTGCCTCAACCTTCCCTAGTTCCTCTCGCCGTTGGGCATTGGATCTCATCATCGGAGTCACACTTGGTCGTTCGAAGGCAAGACTTCGATCGGCAAGGATGCGTGTTTCCCAGACGCCGCCGAAGGTGCGCGTTTCTGCTATCGTGCAGCATCTGATCATGGACGTCGATTGGGGCAATTGGATCGAATCTCCGATGACGGGCGGAAGTGCCCTCACCGACGCATTCGGATTCAGCCGCGATGGGAACTGAAACCTTGTCCCGCACGCCTGCCTGCTCTCACCGGTGATGATGAGGGACTCGACGGATTTGGGTGAATGTTTGGGTTGGGCATCCATGGTCGGCGTCACGATATATCTCCGGCCAATGCGGTGGGCACGTGTGGCGTACGAGCGTAGTGACTAGCATCTTGTCCATCACGGCCCGAGCGTGTTCGGCGGTTGTTCTTCCTCACGGGGTGAAGCAGCGTGAGAGCCCAGGAATGGGCTTGTTCGCTCGCGGCGAGATCTGCTGCCATCGAGCAGAGTTGCGCATGCCGGCTGCCCGCGCTGTGGCGAACAAGAAGAGGGAAACTCTACCGAAAGTCTAGCAAGTGAGTCCCAGCTCCACTTTCATAGTCCATCATCTTTCGATCGGACCTGTTCCACCCTCCTCGTATCTCTGCTCTGCACCACCACCTCGACGGGCTTCATCCTCTCCTCACTCCTGAACCCAATGATCTGCCCCAAAAGCCCACCGGGCTTAGGAACAGGGCATTCCCTCTTCGGCCTCTCGTCCTCGCTCAACGACGCAAGGGCCTCGTCATTCGCAGCGGCGGCCGGTGAGGAAGGCGCGTTCGCCGAGTTCGACAAGGTTCCATCCGCGTCTCGCTTTTTCCGTCGGCGCGGGACGCGTCCGTCGGGACATTCGGCGCTGTCGGCGAATTGGCGGCGGTCGGCGGGACAGGGGAGGAGATGTGGGATGCCGACGACGAGGAAGGATACAGCGAGGGTACCCGTGAAGAGGGTGCCCGTCATGCTGGAGCGAGGGTGGAGGAAATGCATTTTTCGTTTTGGCGTTTGGCTAATCGGTCCGGTGAGGACCTTCTTGTGTTGACCTTCCTGAAAGTTTCCGCGGGGAGAGGATGGGTTTCCAAGGCTGAATAGCGGACTGTGCGAGAAGCGAATGTTTGTGTCCTCGGTGCTGGGATGGCGAAGTCCGAATTTCGAGACCCAATGTCCTGCAATTCAGATCTGGGGAGTGTAGTACAGATCCGGAGTACAGCAGGGCACGATCAAGCTAAGGAATTTGACAGCGGAGAACGCGGGAGTTGTGATTGGCTCAAAGTTTGAGTGCCGAGGAGACTTGCCCGCACTTTCGATGTCTGTAGGTGAAGTCCAAGTACAAGGCATTCCATTTCTCCTGACAACACTGAATTGAGGCTCGATAACATTCTCGCCCATCTTCATTCTCGGATTTCACTCGCCGTCTGGCTTTATGTGCAGAATTTGAACAGAGAAACTAGCCTAATTGTGGGGTTGTTGAAGGTGACAGATCATCCGGTGGCGTTGCAAACATGGCTGATTAGATTCATCACTTCTTTCATTCTCTACAAATCAAACCATGCAAGTTGGACGTTGATGCAAGGTTCACTCCCAGATGTCGGTTCATGTGTGTGATTTTCACAGCTATGTGGATATATATAAAAGTCATCGACATTCAATCGTGAGTAATAGAGGGGATCGTATATGCCAGAAGAAGTAGAGATGCTTTCGTGCAGATCTTCTGATCTAGCACGCCAATGCAGTTTTTTTGAGAAGTGAAAATCATACTTTTGAGGTCTGGTCATGCATGATAGAAAATCTAGCAGCCCTGGTCAACATCGGCAGCCAGGCCGTACGCGGCGGTGGTCGCGTTGTTCTGGCCGAGCAGAATCAATGTGTTGGCTGACGGGTTGTACTGAGGCCAGTTGAAGGGCGCCGAGCTGAGACCGGTGGTGGGGTTGGCGGCGAAAGTGGCCCAGGCCTTTCGGATGTAGTTCCCAAGGCCAACCTGTGGCGGGGTGGCAGCCTCGAGGGTGGAGTCCTCGGAGGTACCGAACAAGGTCGGGATGTCGGAGGTGTGCCACGCCTGGGAGATGTTGGCGGTGGGGATGACCAGGTTGGGGTACATGCCACCGTAGAAATAACGCCAGACGGGGCGGCCGAGGGTGGCTCGGTCGCGGGAAGCGTAGGAGGCCGGGCAGGTAAAGACGCTCTGGTCGATGCTGTCCCAGACGTTCTGCGGGTAGACCTCACCGGCACCGGCAGCGATCAGGATGAGCAGACCAGCCTCGTAGTTGGTGTTACCGATCAGGGCCGGGACGTTGGTGAAGTTACCGGCGCTGGAGAGGGCGCGGTAGTTGGAGAAGACGACCTTGTTGTCGATGGTTGGGCCGTAGCTGCCCAAGAGCGAGGCGAGACCCTTCTTGGGGTTGGAGACGCGCTCAATGTCTTGCCACGAGGTCTTGGAGGAACGCATGCAAGCCAGAACGGCGGCAGCAGTGGAAGTGGTCTCGTTACCGCAGCCAAGCTGGGTGCTGGCCGAGTACCAGCTGTCGGCGGCATCCTGAGGTTGACGGATCACGTACGAGTTGACGTTTCCACTCTGCAAGATGGTTCCCTTGATGATGGGGTCGTTGACGTATGCGTAGTTGTAAAGATCGATGGACATACCACCAGCGCTCTGTCCAAAAAGGGTGATGCGGGAAGCGTCACCGCCGAACGCTCCGATGTTGTCGCGGATCCACTCGATCGCGAGGCGCTGGTCCAAAAGACCGACATTCTGGGTGATACCGGGAGCACCGGAGAACCCGAGGATGTTGGATCGGTAGTTGAAGCTGACCAGCACGACGTCCTCCTGGTCGGCAAAGTACTTTCCGTTGTAGGCTCGGACGTTGGTACCTCCGAAGTTGAAACCACCGCCAAAGATCCAGACGAGAACCGGCTTCTTCTTGCTGCCAGTCTGGGGCTTGGTCCAGACGTTGACGAACAGGCAGTCCTCACCGAGAGTATCGTTGGTCTGAGCCAAGTCCTGCAGCAAGTTTCCGAGACGAGTTCCCTGGATGACCGGAGGAACCGCCGGTGGGACAGATGGGCAATCAAGGCCAAAAGACGATGCGTTGATGGTGTTGGATCCACGGTAGGCGACCGGGGCAGCGAAACGACGGTCTCCAGTAGGAGGGAGAGCGTACGGGATACCCAGGTACTCGGAGACTCCAGTGGCGTTGAACGCGGGGTGACCGACGATGCGACCCGAGGTGGTATCGACAGCAGCGCCTACTGTGAAGCCCGTCGCGGTAGGAGCGGCGGAGGAGGTCTTGGAGGAGGTCTTGGTGGTTGAGGTGGTAGACGTGGTCGGTGCGCTGGATGAAGTGGTGATCACTGGGGCGTTGGTGGTCGTGAAGATGGTCGGAGTCGGCCCAGGCGAAGTCACGGCGGTGGTCGTGGTCGGCTTCGCGAATGGGTTTGGGATCGAGAAGGTCGGGAAGTTGAATGGAGGGAAGCTGAAGGGAGGGAAGGTGAACGCGGCAGGTGCGGCAGCAACAGGGCCAATGGCCATGGCCAAGGCGGCGTGGTGAGCGAGCGACATTGTGGTTGACGAACGCAACGAGGATCGCAGATGTCAGAGATCGTGCCAGCACGAGAGGGTATCGAAGTGAACGGCAGTCGGCCGGGGTATATGTAGCTGCAGGCAATTCTATCTCGACTCCCGATGATGGCAAACCATCAGCTAACTTCCGGTGGGAAGACGACGAACCATGTCGATGGCTAGCGGTGGATCACAAATCCCTCCGCATGGACGATTCTCTGATGGGTGAGATCACTGTGAGATGTACGAGCCTCGGAGCGGAGATGAGTGCAATAGCGTGGATGGATCGTCGTTCGGAACGATCATCATGCGAGGTTAGCCCAGGAACGAGCGCAAAGCCATGCTTGTCTAGACCGAATGTGGCATTCCCAAGAGCCGACCTTTTCTGGGGCCTGATGCGCTTGGCTCTGTGAAATGGATGGCGGATGGTGGTTGTTACATTTTAATTTGGTCCTTGTCATTTCATCATCATTGTCGAGTGTTGGTCTTTCGCTCGTTGATCCATGGAAACCATGAAGATAACCTCCTTGGCCTTGAACTTCCCACCAGACGACGAGTTGACCGCAGTGGGTCAGTTCGCTTCGCCTAGCCGTCTGGAGTGCAGCAGTGGCGGCATGGATGGGCGGGAAACGCCAAGCACGACTTGGACGAGAAGAGAAGAAAGAGGAGATGATGATGATGATGATGTGTGTGTGCGTGTGTGTGTGTGTGTGTGTGTGCAAGGGCCGAGGTGTCAACGGTTCGGGCGGGATTGTAATTGTGACATTTGAACTGTGGCTCACGCTATACTGTAATGGATCGAGGAACGAAATCTCTCCAGGGCACCTTCTCTGTCTCTCCGCTTCTCCAGACCAGGCGTGCCAGACGGAATTTCCTCTCACGGCCAAGTCGTCATAGTTTGTTGTGTTTCCCCCACAAGTCCCAAGGTTTCTTTCCTCCATGCCTAGGTAGGCCCGGAGTGCTGTAATGTAAGTGCATCGTTCTATTCTTTATTCTGCCGACCGAGCGAATATCACCACCATACTAGGGACCATCCACCTGCGCGCGCATGCCGCATGCATGATGATACGGTAATAATAATGTCAAAGATCCGCAAATCACCAAGATTCAGTGTACGTACTACAGCACCATGCGGCGGGCAGGTTCGCACGCACGTGCAGACACCATGCACTCCGCAATCGTTTCCCACCCGCAGAACGAGAGCGACCACGCAATGCATCCCATGATGGTGTGAAGAACCAGAATGTTAGAATATCAGAGCGAGGATATTCGTCGTCGTCCCGAGGCGAAAGCAGCACACATGGAATTTCTCAAGCGAGCACCTAAATGCCTGGGAATGTACACACTGTACAGTCCCACACGCGAGAGAACGTCCCTGTTGTCGTCCAACCTCGAGATTGTTATTACAATTAGGGACTTGGGCATACCATCATGACCTTGTTCTCCCTCCCGCACATTCAACATTGAGTACCGTATTATTATATTGTGTCATGATGCTTGTGGAAGTAGTGCATTGTGCAGTAGTAGTGAGCGGGTGGAAATTGCAAGGCACAGCGTCTCCCGCGGCGATCCCTCTTGAAATCACCTCCAGAACGCCCGGTGTAATTGTCGTGAGTGGTATTTATGTCATGTCCCTCGTCGACACTGCGAGCACGTCTGCAGGACAATTCTGGACCTCATTCGGGTACTGGCGACTGGCATAACGATGATGCGATCTGTAGAATGGGCATGAGAAGGTTGAAGGATGGAGAGTGAGACGACAGTATCTGAGAAGTGTATGTAGTACCTGTGGTGCCTGCAGGTGGGTGTTGGGATAGAGTCGGTTCCAGTCACGTGATCTTGGTGTGTCCATCCTTGCCCAGATGCGCATCTGAACCCGAAATTAACCCTAACAGCCCATGACGGAAAGGTCCCGCGTCCATAGCTCTGCAAGCCCTACCAGAAGCTGCACGCTTGTCACGACTGACGACGACAGCGCGTCTCCAAAAGTTTCAAAAGTTCCCCCAACATCGTAGAGGCAAAGGACTGAGAGATCTTTATTGCAAAGCGTCCCTCGACAACCCGTCTGCTGGAATTCGTCCCTTTACAGTACATACTGTGATACATGAAGACTTGCTCCCCTCACGACTCACTTCTCGGTATTTGAGGCCTACGACAAGCTTCGCACGTCCAGAGGCTTCGCGCCTTGCGTCCCACGGCAATGGAAGGGGCCATTGAGGTCGCTCAGCATCCCACTGTTGTTCACGAGATTCCTGAGGAGACAGCTGCGCAGGCCGCGGACGCGGTCCGCTTGTCAGCAAAGAGGACGAGGGAGATCTTCGCCGCAGATCTTGGGAGTCTGTCAGCTCTAGACAGATCTCTTCAGCCAGCGATCGCACCAAAGGAGCCATCGGTCAACGAACGCGCACAGAAAGCGAGCATCGCATCAAGGATAAGGAACGAGTATGCCGATGTCAAGGAGCTTCCTGCTGCTCTTGCGGCGAGACAGGCGCAGGGTGTGGTAGCTGCCGCGGCGCGGAGGAAGAAGACCAAGGTCGAGGAGGTGGTCAGCGATGCGGACATGGCGAGAATGATCGACGACATATCAGAATCGGGTCCTCAAGGGTCCCAGGCGGCAGGCGCATCCATGGCCCTGACACGAATCACTGGCACTGCGACCGCCAAACTCCCTCCGAACGCGCATGGTCCCACACCTCAGAGGGATACAGCCTCAACAAGCCTTGTCCGGCGAGATACGGTCCGAGCTCAGAAACCGAGCTGGCATGCTCCATGGAAGCTTTTCCGTGTTATCTCGGGTCATCTCGGTTGGGTGCGATCTTTGGCGGTCGAGCCGGGCAACGAATGGTTCGCATCTGGTGCAGGCGACCGCACCATCAAGATCTGGGACATGGCGACGGGCACCTTGAAGTTGACACTGACCGGTCACATCTCCGCCGTGCGTGGATTGGCCGTCAGTCCTCGACATCCCTACCTCTTCAGCTGTGGTGAGGACAAGATGGTCAAATGCTGGGATCTCGAGACGAACAAGGTCATCCGACATTACCACGGTCATCTTTCAGGAGTCTATTCCCTAAGCTTGCATCCCACGCTTGACGTCCTATGTACCGGCGGCCGAGACGGCGTCGTACGCGTGTGGGACATGCGCACGCGGTCCAACATCCACGTCCTGGGAGGACACAAGGGCACTGTTGGCACCATTCTCACCCAAGCCACCGATCCCCAGATCATCTCAGGCAGTCTCGACTCCACGATTCGAATGTACGATTTGGCAGCCGGAAAGACCATGGGTGTGCTCACCCACCACAAGGGCGGCGTGCGAGCGCTCGTCAACCACCCGACCGAATTCACCTGGGCGTCCGCCGCACCGCGACAGATCAAGCAGTGGCTGCACCCGCGGGGCGATTTCATGATGAACTTCGAGGGCCACAACAGCGTCATCAACACGCTGGCCGTGAACGAGGAGAACGTCATGTTCAGCGGCGGTGACAACGGCAGTGTTGCGTTCTGGGACTGGAAGACCGGTCATCGGTTCCAATACGGCGACAGCGTCGCGCAGCCCGGCTCCTTGGATTCTGAAGCGGGCGTGTTCTGCAGCACGTTTGACCTGTCGGGGTTGCGCCTCATCACGGGCGAGTCGGACAAGACGATCAAGATGTGGAAGCAGGATGACACGGCCACCGAGGAGACGCACCCGCTCGATTGGCAGCCGACGTTGGGTCGACAGAAATTCTGAGTGGTTATCTCGATGGTCATTACCTTCATGGAGAAGAGAAAAGCACTACGTGAAACTGGCGACATGGGACTTCCTACCGTGCGGAAGCGCGACGTCTTCTCATCTACATCAACCGTTCAAACCTAGTCCCCGACATTCCTCGTCATCCCTCAGTGCCGCCCGAATCTCATCCTCTCCGACCCCAAGCCGGACTCGTCCCGCCCGCTCCCCATGTCGATGCTCCACGCCGATAATCCCCGCCTCGGCCAATTCCCGTGTCGCGGCACCTAATCCCAATGCCCGCGCCGACCGGACCACATCCTTCTTGACCGCCGCCGCCCGTCCACGTTTCGCCGGCGGATTCGCGCCCGCCTTGGCCTTCTCCGCGGCCTCGCGCGCTAGCGAATACGCGACATCCACGGGCGTGAGGAGGAATTCCTCGACAAAGGGGTTCATCGCCATGAGGCCCAATTTGCGCGCCTCATCCGTGACGTCGGCGAGGGTGGACTCCGGGATGCCGGTCCGCCGGAGCCGGGCCAGGAGTGCGGCGAGGAACAGTTTGCTGGCGAGAGGGAGGGAGCGGAGGTGGGCGGCGAGCGGCGTCGAGGTGGCTTCGTTGATGGCGCGTTTGATGGTGGCGATGGTGACGACGCCACGGGGCGGCTGTCGAGCTAGCGCGTTGATCGTGAGGAAGGACTTTTGGCGGCCGGGTGTCTTGCTGGGAGTATCGGGCGCGAGGTTCTCTTTGCCTGGATCGCGAACCATCGCTTTGTCATCGGCGTGGGGGGCATCGTTAGCCTTGTCGTCTGCTGCGGGCTTCGTGTCTTCTTCGGCAATTTCTACGGCTCGACGACAGATGTCCAGGGCACGACGAGCGTCGCCGGACACGGCGGCAACTTTCCGGCTGGCGAATTGGATGGCGTCGGGCTCGACGACCACTTGGTCGATGCCGCTCAGTCGGCTTTGGATGATGGCCATGAGCTGTGTATGGGTATAACCTGGAAAGGTGATTCGCGTAAGGCCCAAACGACTCGAGATTTTATTTGACAGCGTCCGCTCGGGAAGATCCATGGTGTTGGCGACGGCGAGGACGATGAGCCGGGAATGTCGCAGCTGCGGCCAATTGAAGAAGTTGTACATCACGCCTTGGTTGCGGGTGACGAGCTGGTCGAGTTCGTCCATCAGAACCACACAGGGGACCCGCCGCGGGCTGGGGGTGGTGAATTCCCGTTCGAGCAGTTCGAGAGCATGGCTTGGGCTGACCCGGTCACCTTTTAGCGCTTCCCATAGGAGGCTGTATGATTGATGAGGATCCGTCACTTTCATGCCATTGATCTCGACGAAGTAGAAATCGTCCAATTCCTCTTCGGCCGCCGCGGCTTGTAAGCTGGCGACGACTTCCCGTACCGTGGCTGTCTTTCCCGTGCCGGGGGTGCCTGAAATGTAGATACATGCGCCAGTGCCGGCGGTGATGGCGGCTTCCAGATGCGATTGTACGGTTTCGAACTCGGTCTCGCGGCAGGGCAGAGCGTGAGGTACGGCCGAGACATGCAGCGTGGATCGTGCGATCTGATGAGGTGAGGCCTGCGTCTTCTCGACATCCAGCACCCTTGTTCCCAGTGGCGTGAACTCCAGAGGCCTTCTCGCGATGATCTTGCGGCCTGTCGGTGTCGCAAGTTTGCGAGGGGATATTTGATGTCGTTTGGAGGGAGTGACGGCTTTGGACCCTGCTTTGCGCTTTTTGCGTGGTGTGGTCGGGCCGTCCTCCTCATCGTCATCCTCGACGAAATCATCCAGGTCCTTGGCTCGAGTGGCTCGGGGTGCCTTCTTGCGTCGCGTCTTGACTGTCTGCTGCTCCACAAGCTCATGAAGACTTTGGAGATCCTCCCTTCCACGGAACCTGTCCTCCCATTTGAACTCCTCGGTGTAGGTAGTGGTCCGATCGTTGACACCTCTTCTACAGATGAAGGTCTTGCCGTATGCTTTAGAAGTACGAGGGACGGTGCCAGCTGGATATCGGCGGATGAATTCCGCGTGTGACATGATGTGAGCTCTGCCGTTGATCGTGGTCAAGGGATTGCAGTCGAAGTTACACGTCAGGTAGAGTTCGTGTTGGACATGGTCGGTCCTCTTCTTCTTGGTCTTGATCTCCCTCTCGGACATGAACCATAGCATCTTGGCCTGCTTCTCGAGCCTGGCGTCGCCATCTTCGTCTTCAACGTTGGCCTCCAGAAATTCGTAGATCAATGCAACCCAGGCTTCATTGCTCGTCGGAGCTTTCAACAGCACGGCGTCACCGAGAAAGCATTCGAATTCTCCCATGCGGGCACCGATGATTTCTGTGCCATTTCCTCCATCAGCAGATTTGGATTTCGACTGGGTGATCCATTCCCAAGGATGGTCCTCCAGTCCGAGTTCGTCGTCTGAATCCTCTCGTAGAATTCCGCCTCCAGAAAGATAGTGCCGAGCCTGGTCGACATTAGTTCTCTTGCGTTTCCCTGGCATTATGGCGCAACTATGGCAGCGAATCAATTGATGATAGGTTGGGATCTAGCAAGACGTCTCTGAACCAAACCCAACCCGAATCATTTGACGATCCGTGGATGGTGAGCACACAACCCTAGTAAAGGGAAGCGCTTCTGAAAGGGACGCGCCTGAGAAACTCACTCACGCGTGGGAGAACGCGTCGCGCATGACTAGCGCGAATTCGTAAAGTGTGCTCGACCCTAATAAACTTACACACCTGCACCTGGGCAGTGATCCATCTCCCTGGAGGTGTGTGTGTGTGTGGAGAGGAAAGTGCGTGGGGACTGCTGTACTGTACATATGGGCACCTCGGCACCATTCGCAGACGTGAATACCTAGTAACGACCAATACTCCTCCCGATGTCTTTCAAGGTTCTCTCATGCAGGATACAGGCCTGCGCCATCCTGGGGCAGAGTTCAAGATATGTCACCAGGGAGCAGGAGAAGAAAAAAGAAGAAATGCTCTACCCTACCATCAGCAAGTGAACACCGACACATATGCATGTCCAATTCCTTCGCTTCCTCGCTGAGGTAATCGGCCAATGTTCAGGGACGAGCAGGCGAAGTTCCGTCAAGAGGACCTACACTACGCGAGGCGACTGTTAAATGTTTCTTGCTGTTTCTTCAAGCGTGGTCCACTTTCCAAGATGACGGACGCCCAACGACCGAATTCTGCCAAATTTCCAAGTGGGCGTACAGCGAGCCATACAGGCTGAGCTGGGTGAAGCATTAGTTGAACAGAAGGGAGTCGTGGGTTCGAAGTAGAGCAGAGAAGGCTGGATGGAGGAATAGTTTGTGATGAGCCAAAGCTCTGGTGCGTACTATATATCTACATACATCAACTCACCCTGTCAACAAGAGCATCAGGTAACAGACAGGGCTCCAGAACATGCTTGGCCTGCTGCTCGTGTGTGCCCAGGTGTATACATACAGGTATAATATTAATGGAGATGTAGGTAACTAGTATGTAGGGATGGGACTTGGTATGGAGTGTCGAGTCACGGTCGGGTGTCTGCCGTTCTGCCCAGGTGCTGCTGTTCCAAGGTTGTTTCCAACAGTGGAGGGTTGTTGTGGTGGTGGGCAAAACTTCCGTGCATGTTCCGGACGTCGCTGCTGTGTTTACCCACCTGCACCTACACCACCTGTGCCACCTGCATCTTCGGAACAAAAGCATCTCGTCCTCGATTGGACCTTACCTAGGTATCAAAGAAGCGCCGCAGAAACGGAAACTTCACAGCAATCGACGGCATCGTAGCCAGCCACTGATCAGCCTCTACCCATTACCCATCAGCTGCTGACCTTTCACCCTCATGTCGAATCACGAGTGGACGAACGCTGCAACTTGGGACGCTACCATCAGGGCGCACACAAACATCGAACAGACCAATGAAGCCGATGAGTGGAAGATTGTGACAGGGTCTCGGCCTCGTGGCAGTCGCACCAATGCACAACCTGTACCTCACTCAGGCTCACGGAAAGGAGTGCCCGCAAGCTCGCGGAATACACCGATCCTGTACTCGCGAAAAAAGCAACCGGCCGATCGCGGCCAATCGCAGGCGCCTGCGGGTCGCCAAATCTCAAGACAGCAGCGTGTCCAATCAGGGATCATCGAGCAGGACTTGATTTTGCTTGATGACCCAGTGGCTACAGCGGAAACAGAATGGCGTTTACGCAAAGCACCTGTGGCTCGCATCAATTTGCCGATTGATATCGCTCTTCGAGATAAGAAATATGAAGAGTTGGCCCGAGAGCAAGGCACATTTATTCACACCCTCACCGATTGTCGTCCGGGGAATCGGCATGTCGAATTTGGCATCTGGGGGGACCCCTCAAAGGCTGCAGCAGCCAGACAGAGGATACTCCATTTGATCAATGCAAGTACTAGGCCGTCCAGGGATCCCAGGAGGGCTGGATCCGGGGCTCTATCCTTTTCCAAAATCGCGTCTTTGACGCCCGAACTTCGAGTAGAATCAGAGAACAATTGGCGAAGGGATGTTCAAAAGGAGAAGTTTCGGCAACATCCACCCCTGGACATGGCCCATGACTCGATCGGTCACTTCCATTGGCCAAACGATGGAGACCTCAGACCTGACGAAGTCATGGGCAAGACTTACGAAGCACTCGATCCCATTCGCATGGAGTGCAAATGCTACATCGTCTGGATCGATGACACGTCTACCTTTGGTGTCATGGGTGATCTCGAGCAAGTCAAGCGTGCGTTGCATCGCATCCGCATGGCCTACTTCCAAATCGCTGCTCAATCAGTCATACCTGTGCACTTGCACGTCCTTCGTGTACAAGAAGGTGCACGCTTGTCCTTACGAGTCAAGCGCGAGCCTTATCGCGGCCAGACATCCCTTGTCTCCAATGGTGACATGCTGCCTCCATACTTGGTGGCCCCACAAGCACGTGGCCGATACTGCTCTGAAGAGAAGCTGCAGACCGTTCGGAAGCAGGCGGGGATCCATGAATTGCAGATCAAACACATCATGACTGGACTCAGGCAGCTCCATTACTATCGAGGACAAATAAAGTTACGCTTCCGGCTAGGCAGGCTCATGCTCGAGCAGGCATGGCTCCCAAAAAGCAAGAATAGTTATTCGCTTGAAGAGTACCTGACTATGACCAAGGAGTCACAATTCAAAGCGAGAGTCACGGACGAGTAAGGAAACCGGGATTTGAACGCGCCGATCATCGCGCTGACTTATTGACAGGATTGGGGACTGGATGCTGGAAAGCAAGCTGCTGGAAGTAATGCTTCGAGCGAATCATTTGTTGATGCCACCGGGAAGTTTACACAAATCTCTATCAGAAGTCCGGCCGACCTATCATGCCAGATTCACTTTTCAAGATAAGGCAGGCGATCTCTGCCTATGCATGTCATGGTCAGAGCACTTCGACAACCAACGGAAGACATCTTCTGTATCCTCCGGGTCTGTGACGTGGACCAGACTACCTGTGGGTGCATCACGACCAAGTATGCTCATGAACATGAGTTTGCTCGACTTGAAAAGCGGTCTCGCTTGGGCCATCGAATTGACTGGCAGCCGGGCTGTTGATGAGAAACGTCTGCCGCCCAAGCTGGCAAACTTCCCGAACGAGGTCTCGATAGATGCGCAGATCATGTCCAGCGCCCGCGAGACCGATCAGCGCTTCCTTCGGTACCCGGTGATTTCCGGACTGAAGCACGTCCGTCAGATGATCACATATGAATTCGACATTACGAGGACCGAATATACTCTCGACGTCACGAAATTCAACGACACGATGTATGATGCAAGTCAGCCCCTGCAAACACCCACGCTCTCCAAGGACGCATGGTCCCTCAGCCTCGACTGTGTCGCCTGGAAGACGAATTTCGCAATGAACGAGTCCTTACCGATCGGCGAGCGGGCAGATTGGGACGATGATTTCTCAAAGTGGTTCGCCAAGGATATGGGCACTGCTGATGATGATGACGACGACGACGACGAGGAGGAGCCCGATGGATTCCTACAGTTGTTGGCGAAGCTGAACGAGATCGAAGCCCTCGTTCGCGATGGCAACGTAGAATGATCGTACACACAGTGCGGGATTTCCATGGGTCACATGGCCAGAATTCAAGGGGTTGAACTTCGAAGGAACCGTTCCTTCCTCGTAATGCTACATTTCTCTGTGATCGAAAATAATGATCTGCGTCCAGTAATTCTACACAACAAATGTGACATGATGCCTCGAAGTCCTGTCAATCGTACATCCTCTAATCCCACATTGTCGCTATATCTTGAGTGACTAAACATTGAAATGGCCGGACAACTCTACCAAGCCCAAATACTGTCCCTCAACCCAACAGAGGGAGGACGGGCATTTTCCTTCCCTCGTGCCCGCTGCTCCCTCGATACCCCTTCTTCTGAATCTCCACGTCGTACATTCCTGTATCTTTCTTTCTCCTGAATCGCCTCGGCACCTCGTGGGGAGGGGGGGGGAACTCAGCATCTTCGTCACACGCGCACGTGCGGTCGAGGGTGATGATGGCGACTTCTGTGCTGACGGCAACGGCGTTGACGCACGCCGGGGTGATCGTAATTCCATCATATGCGTCGACGGAGCTGGATGTGGTGATAGGACTTTGGATGGCTGCGGGATCCCTGGCAGAGAGAATGCGGGCACCGCTGGTGGGGCGAGAATTTCGTAAGGTTGACATTCGCGACCGTCGAGTGTTTTAAATCTCTTCGCGTTCACTTTCGGATGGGGCGAGATTGTGTCACATTTGGGTGCTGCGCGGGTCCGGCTCTGTCTGAGTGGTGTCGTGTCGCGGGTGGTCGCTGGTCGCTTTGGTGTAGATGCAAGTATCGCCCTCATCGTACGACTCAGCGCGGACGGGACTAGAGAAGTAGGACCCTGTTTCGGTTGGTGAGTCTCTGAAGGTCTTGCAGTCATGCCTGTGGGTTCTCCAGAAACACCCTATGCCTCGAGAGAGATTGACAGGTCGCGCTGTAGGATCTCCGGCATGGCCTCGAGCTGTTTCAGGCAGCCATTGAAATTCACATTGCTGCGATTCTGGGTCGTTGCCGATTTTGGGAGTTCGACAAAGGCAGCGTGCAAGACGGCCATGACGATCTTGCCCCAGAAGTCGATCGCGCGAGGAATGAACGTCACGTCGGTCAGACCTTTGAGTACTGCGTATTGTGATGCTGTTTGCTCCCGAGGTAGAGCTTTCATGTTGACGATTCTCGCCACGGCTTCCCAGTACAGGCGATTTGGTACCGGGCTCTTTTTGGTGGACTTGGAAAAGTCACGCAGGGTCAAGGCGGCAAAGCCAGCGGCGAGGCCACGCATGCGGCTGTAATGTGCTTCGCCACTGACCCAGACAAGCTTGCCGGTCCGCTCATCGTCCTCTTGTGCCCACCCTAGCTTCCTTCGACCGTCCCCTGTGGACTCTGGCGCATTGATTCCGAACAAGGCTGGGCAAGCGCGGTGGTACTTTGCCCAAAGAATATCGATCAGTGGGGTGCCGTTGATCTGGTATTTGACGTTCGCAAACGTCGCTACAGCCATGATTCCGATGGGGTCTGCGGAGGCAGGATTGATCGCGGCTTCGTAGCCAAATTGTGCCACAATCTTCTTGGCGATGATGTTAAGCAGGTAGACGGTAATTCCAGAGGCCTGTCCGCTGATGGTATTTCCTAAATTGTTGATGATGAACTGTGAGGCGTCTACCATCGGTTGAGGTTGGACTTGGCCGGCAGCGTCGAGGATGTTCTCCACCTCCTTCATGGCTCGACGATTGCCTTCTTTGTTGGTCGGACTCAGCTGACCGCAGCATTTGCCGATGCTTCGCCTCCAATCGGAAACCTGATTCTTCAGTCCTTTAATCGGGCTCTGTTTGCACTCATCCAGGACTTGCTTGCGCATGGCCTTGAGCCGTAAATGTAGCTGACGAAAATTGGTGTGAATGTTCTGACGCTGTTGGGAGGTACTTGTGATCAAGGAATTGGAGGACTGCTGCGATGTTGCAGCTGGCGCGGCTTGGACGGGAGGCGCTGCTTTAGGAATCTCTTTGGCAGCCTGTGCTGCCTTATCTTGAGCAGCGAGAGCGGCAGCATCCTGGCGAGCCTTTTGCTCAGCGGCTGCTTCCTTCTCCTTCTGAATCTGCGCCTCTCTTCTCGCCGACTCTCTCTTGATCTCTTCTTGCTGTTGGATCTCTATGCGGCGCTGCGCCTCATATTGCTCGCGCTGTCGTAGCATCTCATTCTGACGATGCATCTCCTGTTCTGCTATTAATCTCTTTTGGATTTCCGCCAATCGAGATCTCTCGAGCTCCTCTTCGTGCAACCTTCTCCGCCGCTCTTCCAATTGATGCTGCTCAAGAGTCCGCTCTGCTGCTTGTCGTACTGCAGTGTGTTGTGCGAGCGCTTCTTCGAGAGCTGCGATGTGCAAATTTCTTTGCGTGCTCATCTGATCGTCCAAGGCCTGGTTAAAGGCATGGTCATCAGTCTTTTTCAGCTGCTTCATGACCGAAGCATATTCAGAAGCGGACGCCATGTTTGTTTCTCTTCGATGAGAAATGCAGTTGAGCTGTAAGGACTGCGACGAAGGTGGAAATGTGGTGACGAGGCGCGATTGTCGGCAAGGTGAGGTGTGTGAATGACGTCGAAGCCGTTGGATATGGGTGTGCTCTGCAGTAGTGACAAAGAGTGTGAAGTCCAGCGGTAATGTGTGCGATTGTGAGTGTCAAGCACGTGCTGACTGCTTTAGTAGAGGATGGGGGAGGTCTTGAGTGTGCGCGTCGAAGATTGTTATTGCAGCAAATGTAGTAATATTGTGAATTGAATTACAGTATCTAAGTACTTTACGCGCGTGGAATTCCCCACAGAAAAGCTCACAGGGTCGAAAGAGCTCCAGCTCCCTCCTAGCGCTTCCGTGAACCATGCTTACTCGGACCGCGATTTGGTGTGCCCGGGCCGAGAAGGGGTTCCTTCTGCCATCGATCGGCACATCTCGAAGCTCAATATAACCCACGCATGCCGACGATACCTCCGCGTTATATTCTGCGTCCGACAAGCCTACTCATTCTTGCTATACTTAGCACAATGTTGATGGACATCAATCAAGCCGAGACTGAAGTTGATATTATGATCTTATGACAATGCTACATCTGTTGCAGGCAATGATGTCTGTCTCTGTGAATCATCAGGCATATTTCGTCACAAACGGACATGGTGCCTAACTCGCTGCCGCGTGGAAACGATTCCCACCGAATGCGATCCGCGAAGAGAAGCCTGAACGGTCGATCTTCATTTGGTTCCTAACCATGGAAGAGTGGACCTTGAGCCAGTGCCGAGTGAGTGGTATATGGATGCACGCTATGCGCCCACATGCTCCATATCGCACGATGATTCTAGCTCGGCCACGATTCCAGGAAGTGCTTCTTCGACCTCGTCTTCACGTATTCGCAAAGCGCCCGTGATCAGACGTCTGTACTCGGCCTGTTTGTTACCCAAACCTGCGACCGAGAGATTTTGCACAATGGTTTCAACCAGACCGTGCCGTTGCTGCATAACAGTAAAAAGCTCGCGAGCCAGGTCCAGCTTCTGCTTGATCGTCTCATTCTCATCGTCGTCGGCTCCATCTATGTCTACGTCTGCGGGAGGTGAATGAGGCAGAGCTGCCTTCTCCTTCTCAAAAAGGCCATTCAGCGTCCGATTCTGCTCCTCCATAGTAAGTGAGGTGCACTCATGCATGAGTTGGTCCAGCTCAGCTATCAGCCGTGCATCACTGTCGAGAGCACCGTTGGTCTGAGCCTGGTCTTTGGTACGAAGCTCATCAATCTGAGCTTTCAGCTGCTCAATCTCTGCTCGCCTGGCTGCCACAACCCTTTCGGCTTCTGCTAACTCGGCCTCTTTCTCAGCCATTTCCGTTTCGATATTATTTGTCAAGCTCTGAAATTTCTCCATGACAGCGGGGATGACAGAAGTCTTCATCGCCAGCGCAACCTCGGATTTGTATCCGACGGAGCCACTGTCAGTTTGAAGTGCTGAAAGCGGGTTCGTGACGACGGCGTTACCGTTGATGTGAGGTTGGACTGCGCCGCCGATCGGAAGATTACTGTTCCCCTGAAATGGAGAGGACGACATATGGCGGTTGTGATGCTCTCTCTCCTTGCGACGATTGTTCAGCTCGATAATGTATTGCTCTGCGTTTTCCCCGGCAATGTTCATAATGCTTGAGTCAGCATTCCTGCAGATCAGACTTCTGATGCATTTTCTCGCGCCGTTACGTGCAGCGATCAGGATCGCAGTGTCACCGTTTTGATCAGTCTCGTTGAGTACCCGCTCGATCTGATCAGGTGAGAGAACTTCGGTCATTTTGTTCAGGATGCAATCGAGATAGTATCGCGCACATTGATATTTGCTTTTGCGCTCGGTCGTGTTTACGATGTGATGAAAGACCGTGCTGCCGTACCATTCCTGCATATTGACGGTTTGTATGAGAAGGCCTGCAAGCTTCTCCATGTTCTGGCGATCGTAATTATTGGTGAAGACCACGGCACGCATGAGTGGTGTCTCGCCATTCTTTGATTGCACATCAATTCGGGCTCTTCGGCGTATCAAATCTTTGACCACTTCGATGTCGCCCATCGATGCAGCCCAGTGCAGAGCTGTGTGGCCCTTGTCGTCGATGGGCCGATCCAAGTCGGCGCCTGCTGGTGGGACGGGTGCCACAGGCAAAGAATCGTAGGGACTATCCTGGAGCATGAAGTAGTCAAGAAGTTCATCCGCCCATAGCTGATGCTCCTTGTCGGCCTGTGACAGTTGCTCTTCTACTCGTCTGCGCTTACGCGGATTTGTATACTGTGATTGATCGTACTCGTCAAACGCCGATTCGGAGAATGCATCGCGGTCAGGAGTAGCCATCCCGTGTACGCTCATATCCATCTGATCGTAGTCGGGGGCTTGCGCATAGACTGTATCGTCGTGAGACAAGGCCACGGCCGCCTGCTGTTCCGCCTTCTTACCTTGTTGCCGCTTGTTCTGTGTGGTGCCTCTTGCGCGTGGTTTCGATGACGCTGTCGCATGCTTCGGCGCTGGCGGTGGTGATCTTTCTCCCGGAACATAATCGAATATGGGCAACAACTTCTCCAGAACCCCGTTCTTCTGCGCCAGCTCTTTTCCATCCGGCAAGGGTATCCATGTTCCTGAATGGTGGATGATATTAGCCGACGCACCGTTTTCGACATTTTTCCGTCATGCATCAGAAGCGCTACATACCCTGGTATTTGCCATAACCTCCCTGGACTTTTTCATGTACCCCCTTTTGCACCTCTCTTTCAAGAATGCGAGTCCTGGCTGGCTTGTCGTACTCGGCGACTTTGAGAATGTGTGTAGCGTTGATCCAATCGTCGGATCGCCGCCGCATGACATGATTGCCATCGCAATTGTATTCATACACAGGCACCTGGTCGTTGTCAGCTATGCGCTCGGCGTAGATGTGGCCGTCGAATAGTTATGTACATTACTATAAGTGGCACTGTAAATCTTATCAGAGCGGGACATCTTGTCTCAGATGGGCGCCGAAGCGCACTGCACTGGATCTCAAAGGCTTTCTACACGTCTACGATGGAATCGTCCAAGGAGTATAGAAGACGTCAGGCCAGGAAGTGGTGTTGGCGCACGGCTGCGAGGATGACGCGATGTGCAGGGCGGATTTCTTTGGAAGGACGTGTCGCGAATTTGGCCGACAGTTGATAGCGCGTCGTAGTCTGCATCGCACTCTCACGTGTTCGGAGAGGAAAGTTCCAAAGTTGCATTTGGCTGATACGGAGTACTTCGTCGGCTCAATTGAGTCACATACGGCGAACTATGTCAAGCGGGGCCCGCAACAGAACATATGGCTGAAAGAGAATGCAAATATTGTGCTGCCATCAAGATATCGATTCCTGGTATTCCTGAGTATGCGATGAGACTGATCTGCGACGATGAACTACTGAAATCCTGCTCTGCAGCTGGGTACCACGACGGTGGTTTTCGCTCGCGCAAGTTGAGTACCTGAGGTGGCCATTGCCACCAATTTGGTTGTGACGAAGACCGAAGCCGGAGCAGCGGCGGGGGCGTATTTTGGCTGGAACATTCATTGAGAGATGTGCGGCATTGGGCGAGGCAGATCTTCTTAGATACCTAGTAGAGTAGAGTCACACCATGGCGACAGATAATTACAGATGGGGTGAAGTATGTTTTCTGATCGATTGGAACGTGTTGCATGTGTGGAATACCGTCGTTCCAAGACAAATACATAATACCTAACATACCTAGTATCTTTAGTGAGGTCCCCATGAAACTTGTTCTGTACAACATCGAGAACGCCATCGTGAATCATCATACATCTTTTTTTGCCCCAAAACAGCTCGGACGCTTGGAGTTTTGGCTCAAGCGACGAACTTTTTTCATCCTTGATTCATTCGCCCACCTTGAACACATCACAATGAATGATTCGGAGATCGTCGATCACTCACCACAACAACCTTCCGCTGCAGCTCTTATTCCGACCGCAGATAATGTAATCCTCATTGACAACTATGACTCATTCACTTGGAATGTTTACCAGTACCTCGTTCTCGAAGGAGCCAAGGTCTCCGTCTATCGCAATGACGAAATCTCCCTCGAGGATCTGATTGCTAAGAAACCGACTCAATTAGTGATCAGTCCTGGTCCCGGTCATCCTGTTTCCGATTCAGGAATCAGCAAAGATGCCATCGAACACTTTAGCGGGCGGATACCGATCCTCGGTGTGTGCATGGGCGAGCAATGTATTTACTCTGTGTTTGGCGGCACAGTGAACAAGACTGGCGAGATCCTGCACGGAAAGACTTCGCTCCTGAAGCATGACGGCAAGGGCGTCTACGCAGGCGTTTCTCAGGATGTCCCGGTCACTAGGTACCATTCACTTGCTGGTACGCATCCGACTTTGCCAGAGTGCCTCGAGGTCTCTTCATGGGTGGCTGCTGGAAATGACAGCACCAAGACAGTGATCATGGGAGTTCGACATAAAGAATTCCTTGTCGAAGGTGTTCAATTTCATCCCGAGAGCATCCTTACTGCGGAAGGACGAACGATGTTCAGGAACTTCCTGACTCTACAAGGCGGTACCTGGTCCGAAAACGAATCGATCCGAAAGCAAGGAGGCACTGTCAATGTCGCCAAGCCAGTCGCATCCGCCCAGCCGACCACGTCCAATGATAAGAAATCTTCTATATTGGAGCAGATTTACGAGCACCGAAAGATGTTAGTGGCAGCTCAGAAGGAAGTTCCTTCTCAACGACCTGGAGATCTCCAAGCTGCGTACGATCTTGGGCTATCGCCATCGCTCATCGATTTCCCTCAGAGGCTGAGAAAATCTCCATTCAAACTTTCATTGATGGCAGAAATCAAGCGGGCATCACCATCAAAGGGAGTCATTTCGTTGTCCGCATGCGCACCAGCTCAGGCTCGTACATACGCGCTAGCTGGTGCCAGCGTGATCTCCGTCTTGACTGAGCCCAAATGGTTCAAGGGTAGCATCGAAGACCTCAGGAGCGTTCGGCAAATGCTTGAAGGCATGCCAAACCGGCCAGCAGTATTGCGAAAGGAGTTCATATTCGACGAGTATCAGATCCTTGAGGCGCGCCTATCTGGTGCTGATACCGTCCTGCTTATTGTCAAGATGCTGGATACTCCATTGCTCACTAGACTGTACAACTACTCACAATCATTGGGGATGGAGCCGCTCGTGGAAGTCAATACGGCCGATGAAATGAAGATTGCTGTGGAACTCGGCTCCAAAGTCATCGGTGTCAACAATCGTAACTTGACCAGCTTCGAAGTGGATATGGATACAACGACAAGGCTAATGGAGATGATCTCGAAAGAGACCATTCTCTGCGCTTTGAGTGGAATTTCTGGTCCTCAGGATGTGGCTCCATATCAAAAGAGTGGAGTTGGTGCAGTCCTCGTGGGAGAAGCCTTGATGCGCGCAAAGGATACTGCACAGTTCATCGAAGAGCTTCTGACTGGTGATGTCGAGGCGGCTCAGGTTGTCCAGCCACGACAATTGCTCGTGAAAATCTGCGGCACGAGGAGTAGCGCCGCTGCAAAGGCAGCAATCGAATCAGGGGCCGATCTCATTGGTATGATACTTGTGGAAGGGCGTAAACGGACAGTCAACACAGAGACCGCGCTGCAGATTTCACAAGCAGTGCACACCACAACTAAAGGTGGCACAAACACGTTGTCCAGCGTTTCATTTCCAACCGGAAAGGCTTTAAGCTTCTTCTCACATGCAGCCCAACATTTCATTCAGCATCCTGAACGCGCACTACTTGTCGGTGTGTTTATGGATCAGCCTCTGGAGTACATCCTGGAACAACAGAAGCTTTTGAAACTCGACATCGTGCAATTGCATGGCTCTGAGCCACTCGAGTGGGCTAAACTAATCCCCGTGCCTGTCATTCATTCCTTCAAACCTGGAGCTGCAGGTCTGGCAACAACAGGCTTCCACGCTATCCCTTTGCTCGATTCTGGCGCTGGAAGCGGCACACAGCTCAACATTTCGAGTGTCAAGGATGTCCTCGCTGCTGACGAGGGTCTTCGTGTGCTATTTGCAGGCGGCTTGAATCCGGAAAATGTTATTAATACAGTCGAAGCACTTGGTGAGGCGAAGGTCCGAGTAGTGGGCGTGGACGTGAGCAGTGGGGTTGAATCAGAGGGAGAACAAAGTCTTGACAAGATTCGAGACTTCGTTAAATCTGCGAAAAGCATTAAGTTGTAGGGAGATGAATCTGAACTCAACGATAATGTACTCACGTGCGTTGATGAAAATAGACCATATTGTACATAGCCTTCCATCAGGTGTTCCGAGAGGAATACTCACCCGGTGCGTGGGTGATGTTAGCATGTGAAAGCACTCGGTTTTGGAGGTTAAAGAGGTCCACAAATGCAGCTCCTCTCCAAACACATTCTGAAACAGGGTTCTCATTCGCATGTGAATCAGTCCACAGTGGCAATACTTGCACGACACCATTCCAGCAAACTCGTCTACCTGCCATGATCATCACTGCATCTTCAGCTTCTCGACACCAATGAGCTCTTATCTACCACAACATCGCCTTTCTTGCTAGCTTTCACATCCTGTGTCAACCACAACTGCGACCATGGGTCGAAAGTCATTGGCAGGCTGTCACATCGTGACCTGCGGTAAATGGAGTACTGAATACAGCACAGAGAACATGAAAAAATGGATCGAACATCGAGGTGGACATCACCAAGTCAAAGTCAATGGGAAGATGACACATCTTGTCGTCACAGAAGACAAGTGGCGTGACAATGACAAGCAGGTTCAAGATGCCCAGGCGCTTATTGAGTCAGGAAATAAAGTTAACATCGTCAAGTTCGACTGGCTCGTCGCCATCTTCAACAATTCTGGTCGGCGCAGTGTTTCGAGGTTTCTCTGGACCGACCCCAACGGAAAGAGCGATGGTCAGAAGAAGTCTCCGACCAAGAATAATGAGATTCTTGAAGAATTGCAAGAACACGTCAAGACTACCGCCAACGAAGAGGAAATTGCAAAAGCGGTTAAGAAGCACGATGAGGCCAAGAAGTTGGCCAAGATGGCAGAACGATCGGGTCGACCAAGCGTCTTGCAACATGGCGAACAGTTCAAGGATGCCGAGAATTCCGATACCGCAACTGTGTTCGCGCGAGGAGCAAAGAAGGCCAAAGATGAAGGGCTGTCCTGTAAGTCCCGCACATCACGTACTCTGTCTGCTCAAAGACTGACGACATATCAGCCAACTATCACGTCTTTGTCGATAGCACAGGGTTTGCGTACGATGTTACCGTGACCAAGATCGAACAGCAGTACAATCGCAATCACCGCTGGGCTATCACGGTATGTCGCTTGCCCGACTTCGCTACTCGTATCACATGAGCAGAATGCACGAGTAAGGAGACTGACTGCTCACTGAAGTTCCAGATCTACGAAAGCAACACGGTTCCCCACACATACGCTGTCAACGCCATATTTGGGGGCACTGGTCTCCTGCCGCAGAACAACATGATAACTTCTATTGGTTCCACCTGGGCTGCAGCATTCCGACGCTTTCGTGGATTCTTCGAAGCGAAGACTCATGTTGCCTGGGAAGATCGCATCGCGTTCGCAAAAGAGCGTGACCTACTTGACGCGGCTCGCGCAGATCGGCGAGCCCTCAGCAGCAAAAATCGCCCTAAGTTTCGAGAAGTCAGTCGAGATTCTCCCGACTTTGCCGAGGAAGTGTTTCACTACTATCCACCTGTTTTCGGTCCCGTAGGTTTGATAGATCTGGAAACGACATCGGCCGGCGTGACTTTGCAGGCCGAACGACATGATTCTCCACAGCGATCGACCGAAGCTGCTGACCGCATTGACAAACAGGAACTCGCTAGTCCGCTCACTAACGAGCTTTCTGAGGCCACTGTCGATCGACCTCCAATCGGTATTTCCGAGACAAACTTGAGTTCAGGGGCAAAAAAGGAAGAAGTCAGCGAACGCACCGTGCGTGCAGACTATGAACAGATGCAGGCGAAGGATCGCGCAAATGGAGACACAGTCGACCCAGCAACTACATCAGAGTTCGTGGTGTCAAAGAAGCGTATGCACTCTGGTGAAGACAACAATCAGATGCAAGCAGTAAAAGCCCTGAGATTGTGAGCGAAAGTCGATGGTGTTTGCTGCTCAAGCAGCTTTTGATCAGTAGGAAGCGACGATCTTGCTCAATTGAAATGCACAACTTACAAAGATGATTGATTTGAAACAGGAGAGCGTCCCACGATTGGTGAGGTGTCCAACAGGGTACGCGAGCGGTCAGGCTCTGCTCTATACCGTACCCCATCCTCATCTGGTCCGGTGGGCTCGACGCCGCGATCGCGATCGCGATCATGAATCAGAATGGACAATTCTTGTGAAGCAGTACTCCATTTCCATGTGTTCCACCAAATAGTATCCATAGCCGGTGTAAAAGTACAATATCAACTGATAATCCCAGCATGCTTTAATTCCGACATCCCTTCAGAAAGTCATCCCGCTTTTGCCTTCTAATTGCTCCGCGCACCGTTCTTCTCTGCCCGAATCTGGTCCATCTTCTTCACTCGTAGCTTAAATTCCTCGTACTGACACTTCTCGTACGAATGTCTCTCGTCCTGAGAAATTGGTTAGATCTGTCGCGCTGCCAATACAGTGCGTGTCGCATACCTGGCATCGCCAGTTCAAATAGTAGTTGTCGAATCGGCATTTGTTGAGCGGGATCAGAAGGTGTGCGCATGAGTCTCGGTACTGGAGAGGTAATCTGGCAGCGGCCATCTCCTCGCGCGTAGCCGCTGGTATTGAGTATGAGTATTGAGAGTCCATTCAGGATGAGGAGCGGATGTACATACGAACGCTGGGTCCGCCATGGCCCAGGCCGACGGCTTCTTTCACGCTCTCAGCAGCATTTGAAATGGTCTCTGCGACTGTCATGGTGATCGTCTGGGCAGGATATGCAGACGTTTGAGGATTCACGCTCTGGCGGACGAGCTGGTTGATCTGATGTTGAAGTTGTGGAAAGCTAGCGCATGGGCCATTGGATGATGACTCGGTTTACCTTCCCTCACCACACAACCTGGTGATGCAGGAACAAAGTCACTGGAAACTTTGGAGCTCTATTAAATAGCCAACCGTCGCGTGAAAGTGGCGTGTCGCAAGTCGACATGAAAGCTGGAATAATTGGCAAACAGCAAATATCGAACTCGTGATGGAAGCAGTTGGGACAGTCCTGCATGTGGTCGGTATTGCCACGAAATACAATTGAAGCATTTGCGCCTGGCCGAATTTATATCATACAACGCGACAACGACAGCTGCAGACATGAGCTACTTCCCTTCACTGGACAAGTGCCTGACGGGCGAATCCCAACTGATCGGATGGCGCCTAGCATACATAGCTTTGCGCGATAACGTGGATAACAAAAACCTGCACGATTTCGTGAATGATCCGGACTCTCTCTCCTGTCTGAGAAATTGTCTGGATCCACTACCCCGGCCTTCCCCCAAGAGCGCAGGGGATTACGAAACAAAGATAGCTCCAATACATGTCACTCAAGCGGCGGAGAGCGAGTTAGACCTTGACGAATTGAAAGAGGATGCGAAATGGCTATCGAAAGAGCTACAGATAGAGGAGCTTGGTGCTCTGCGGCTGGCGATTGTCGAGCATCAGTCTAGGACGAATGCGAGCCTGACTGCAGGCACACCAGCAATTTCCCGCGCCGCGAATTCCGACGATTCCAATACGGCTAGATCTGGAGAGCAATCAAAAGAAGGAAAGAAGTTGACTCAGGAAACTCGACGAGCAGCGCTGCTGAATACATTCCTTGTTGAGCGCTCGCACATCTTGAAATTAAGCGCACATCTTGCTGCTCGTTGCGCAGTCAGTAGAGGAAGAGGTTTAGGCTCGCGACCTGGTGCAGTGCAAGCATCAACAGCACAGCCAGTGTGGATCGATGAGCTTGGGCATGATCTTGCAAACGACCGTTGCAGTGGTCAAACTCCTTCTGGGCTCGCCAATTTCTCTCACAAGGTTATCGAGAAGATCGGCACTGTTCTCAACACGGCTGAGGACACGAGCGCTTGGCCAAAAGCAATTGTCGATAATGGCCTACAGGAATCATTCGTGAGAGCACACTTATCGGACATCGTCTGCTTACTCCAACTGCTGCTCTCAAGCCTGTACAGCTTACACGGAGTTCCTCCTCACTCATTGGTGACATCTTGGTTCGTGTTGATGAAGAGGATCGAGTTCCTGCAGAACAGCAGACCGATCTTCGCAGCAGCCGGACTCGATGTTTCCACGGCACAGCTGCTTATTTCTGTAATTTCCATCGAAATACTTCGCGCGGAGGGGGTCATTGCGGAAGTCTTGAGCGCCGTTGGTCCGGACGATCGTTCAGCAGAGAACATTACATATCTCGGGGACGCAGAATGTCTAAGATCGATCAACGAGGCGTTCAAAGAGAGCGCATCTCTAGGCCTGAGCCTCGCGGCGCCAGCTCTTCTCGCTTGGAGCGCTGTCACCGCTGTAATACAAGAAATTTCCCGATTGCACCAAGATCCAAGTGCAGATGATGCAGGCCAACTGTCAAAGCGCAATCCGGGCCCTCTGGCGTCCGACATCGAGAAGGCAACCGATATCTTGAGTCGAAGCGTGCCCGAGACTATCGATGATCCGTCTCGATGGTTTGCCATGGCAGCCGTTGATGGTCTTGGCGTGATGAGCGTCATCACCATGCTCGCGTCGACCCTAGGAGCTCTGTTCGGTTCCGCATCCGATGCACCCGTAACATACATCAGCAAGGAGACATTGTTTGAGGCGCTCAAGCATACCGTGACCTTGGTACAATACGGTGGCGAGATCCTGGAAGCCTTGCTCGCGCTCCTCACGCCATGCGGCAATAGCGATGCCGCTCGATTACATTCGGAGATCCTCGCCGGTCGGGTATTGTCTGATCAGAATCAGCTTCGTCCGGCTGTACTTGAGCAAGCCATGGCCCGGTATCCGTACGAGTCCTCGCCTCTAATACGATTGCTTGCAGCTCTCGCAAGTGCAAGGAATGAAACAGGTCAAGCAACCGATTTGAATGTGATAAGCCTGCTCGATAACCTGCAAAGCTTTACCGTCATGGTACCTGAGGGATTCAGCTCGTACCAGTTGGAACACGAAAACATGAACAGCAACGAGATGATGCTAACAGAGCATTTGCCGTTGTTCATGCCACGACAGGGATCCTTTGCCTGGAACTCAAGCGCGTCGCATCTTAAAGCCATAGCAGGGGCCGAATCGATAGAAAATGACTCGACCGTCATTGTCGTTGCGGGCACCACAGGAACCATCGTCAAGGAGCCCAGGCCGTTCGTCTTCAGACTCAATCATCAGCACTCAAGCCTTGAGTATCTTGGTCTCATGCTGCACACCTTCATGCCCAACAGTACGCAAATACCTGCTGCACCCGGCGCATATCTCGATCGCGTAGGTGCTGCCGAGATCATAGATTTGTTTGTGAGCCTTCTCAAAGCGGTTCTGCGGGACCAGCAAGACCATGCGGACGCACAGCATCTTCTGGGTCGACTGAGCAATGCACTGCCTGACCAACTCGACATTGTTAGCATCATCGCCGAGATCCTCGAGGCAGAGCTCATAGGCTTTCTTGATCAAAACCCCCAAGACGGATCTTTGGAACTCGCGAGTGCATGTACTGAGTTCTTCTACGTCCTCGTCAAACTGTCACCGGAGCGGGTCTGGTCGACAATGGCACGTAGTAGCTTGTTAGGAGTGGTAGACGGCGCCGCTTCCCTGGGAACAGTTGTTGGTAGCTGCGAAGCTCAACTAGGACGCTATCGATTCCTCACTGCTTGTGTTCAACTGCATACCAACTTACTAGAGAATGCCATCAATGGGCTCGTCCGACGCAAGTCAAGCACTCCAAGGGCAAAGGCTAACCGTTTCGAAGACACCAGAGACTTGCGCGATTCGACGCCTGAGAGGACAATGAGCGCTGTGCTTTTGGCGTTCCAAAAAATTCTTTTCGACGTGCTTCAAAACATACCCGAGTGGAAGTTCTCAGTGCCGACAGAACGAAGCGAGATTCTAGTGCTCATCTCTACGTCATTTTCGAAGTTACTAACGTGTGCTTATGGGGTTGGGCGATCTGGCCAGGATTCACTCACAGTACCAGGTGTACTGGCCAGCGCGGCCAGTGCTTTGCGTGATTCCTGCGCGCCAGATACTGGCCCGAGCCCCGTAACAGAGATAGTAACCCGGCTCCTTCCTGATGGGCTTTTGGCAGCGGAAGACACCATTCCAACACAAGTACAGGCAAGTGTCGTCGGGCAAACGAACTCACTGTTGGACTTTCTCAATGTAGTGATTCGTTCTGCCCAAGACGTCCGAAGCAGCTCTGAGAGCGAGCGATCTGGTGTGTCGATTTCAAGAAGCAAGATCTCTGTTGGCTCAAGCGCAATATCATTGGCCACAGATCTAATGAAAACCATGCCGATGATGGCTGCTCTCTTGGCCACCGACCATCGATACAGGGTTAAGATATTTCAACTTCTTGCTGAAATTGTCCTGATCACGGCATCCGGCGAAGCCAGTCCACCTTCACTTCTCGGGTTTCTAGAAAGGCATACAGCCAATCTGTTCCTGACCATGGTGACACGTCTCGACCGTCCTCTGGCAGACGCTTTCTGCGAACGGAAAATTTGGGACTTCTTCTCAGCAGTCATGGCCGGCAAGCAGCAGTGGTTTGGCATTTTCCTTTTATCTGGCAGTCTACCTAAAGCACGAGGCCAAGGTGGAGAGCCAGAAAGGCTCAAGGGCAAGACGGTGCTGACCTATGCGCTGGATCAGTTGTCGAACATTGCGAACCTCGCCCCCGAACGCGCTCTCGGCATGCTGAAGTTCCTCGCTCTGGCCCAGCAAACATTAGTCTGGTCGACACAACAACTACGAAATCATCCAGAATTCCTTAGAGCAACCGTTTCATGGCTAGACGACCTGAAAGGTGTATTCAAGGAACCCGCAGTATCGAGCGACGCTCAGATTCGTCGAGCTTCGGAATATGAAATGGCCGCGTACCTCTGCGACGTACTTGCAATCAATGTCCACGCCAGTCTAGAGACGGGCAACAAGACGATTTTACGATACCTCATTCCCCGTTTGACATTCCTCCGCGACTATGGTGTCGCTGTGGATGGTTACAACAGATCTCTCCACAAGAACCTCGCGGACAACGTTTCTCGAAGGTTCCCACAATGTTATATTAGCAGCTTCCGGCGGTCGTCAGTTGCACCCGTGAACTATGGACCAGAATACTTCTACCACCGAGACTTTGCTGCTAGTGTTCTAGGATATGATTCATCCTGGTCCGGTGGCTCTGGCAGCGGAAATGGAGGATTCGTCAACGAGTTTGCTCGTGCGAACATCAACATGAGTCTGGTGCACGCACAAATGCAGCTACTGAGAAGTTGGAAAACATTGACAACTACCCTGTGCGAATGCGCAGATGCCGAGCCGACGCTTCACACTGCAGCTGCAAAGGTAGCAGAGAAATGTCTATTCGCCAATTCTCAAGCACAACTCGATGAACCATGCATGGCAGAAGCGCTCGAGTTGAGACTGGAGTTGGCTTTCATCATCGCATCGCGGCTAGTCGCGCTGCAAGTCAACGGCCCTTTCATGAAAGATCTGCTTCCAGCGGCTTGGGAACTTCTGGTGCGATCGCCGGTCGATTACGAAGTCGCTACTGCGTTAGAGGATGTGCAATATTACCGTCGTCTCCTTCAGGTGCTGTATCTCGCGATTCAGCCGCACACGTATATGACATCCGACAAATCCGACCAGGCGGCCAACAAGGAGGCAATGGATTTCCTGCCCGCTAGTACCTCAACGCACCTGGTGAATATTGCTAGCAAAGTTATCGCACCTGGATTCCGAGCGCTGTGCGCTGACCTACACAGCAATGTGCGTCTGGCACTGCCAGGTGATTTTGCGCTCCTCACAGCTTTACTGCAGGCCATTGTGTCGGTGCCCGGTATTGGCTCAATACAGACGCTCCTCGCGGACGTTGTCGCTGGCTCATCCATGATCCGAGGTGCTTTGAGCCTTTATTCCTGGTCAGATCAACTAGCGGAAGTGACGGACTCCGATCCTGTGTATGGCGAGATCGCAATCAACTTCTTGCTCGCCATGTCGACCATACGACCCATTGCAGAGCAATTGGCTCTAGATGGCGTGCTGGTTCGACTGTCCGCTGCCAACCTTTCGAACTACTTCCGCAAACCAAACGGTAGAGGTCCATTCGACGAGCCTATCCGCATGTTCTCGATATGGACTGAGGGGTTCCTTCCCCTTTGCCTCAACCTCCTCGATGCCGTGGGTCCACCGGTGGCCGCCGAGCTCGCCGTTTTCCTCAACACGTTCCCGGAGCAACTCCAGCGGGTCGTCAAATCATTTGACAACGAGCAGCCGAGTCTGCGCAACCCACACGGCGGAGCGATCACATTGAGCATGGTGTCAGAAGCGAACAGTCTATCCATGATTGCAATGATTGTCAGCTCGGATATTGCCCGTGGCGCAGCAGAGGGCATTAACGCGGCCGATATTCCCCAGCTCGCGTTCGACGTCGCTTCAGTCAAGGCCAAAGTAGAAGGGCTATGGCGGAACAAGCGCGTTCTGCGAGAGCGCATCACTGCCACCAGCAGCCTCGAGGCAAGATGGCAAAGGACACCTACTTCCGGCGCATTTCAGAACGTGTTGGAAGGGAAAGTGATGAAGGAGATTGCAAGCATGTTGGCTTGTTTGGGCGTCGAGGTCACAGAGTAGCTACTGGGACTGTGCTGTACGGAGTATGGTGCTCCGGAGATTTGAACGTTTGGCCCATAATATAGAAGATCAAGTCTTTGAGCGAGGCGTTGAGGGGCAAAATGGATTGCGAGGTCATTACCTTTTGTACTGGATCAGTTCGCCCGATCATGATTCATTGATAGATTATTGTTCACTCTGATCTCATTCCCGATCAGCATTGTTTTATTAAACGGTGCTTTTAGCGGACATGTGTGTACTATTGTCCGCTCTTTGCAAGATGCGTAGCTCTGTGATTTTCATGTTTTCATACCGGAGCACACTCATTCTTACTATAGCATCGATGTCCGACATCCCCAATGGCCGACCACGTTGGGTATCTCGAAATGTCAGGAGGTCATACTATACAGTACACACTTAGGTCTCTTGCCGTGGTTCCGTGTCGGTACCGTGTGCAGCAGTACTTGCTGTAAGTACCGAATCCTGCGCATGACGTCCTTATCTCTCGGGTGGACTGTGGGTTGCAGACAAGCAATGCTGCATCGTAAACCAAACCAGACCTCCCAACGAGGATACAGAGAAGAATGTGTGGCCCTTCCGACTGGCAACGACTCCATGTTCTCAATTCCTCCTCCAGCTCCACACAAAGTTGAGACGACAAAGCTTTGAACGAGTCTAGAGCGCGCCATTGTCGGCAACAGACCCGTGCACACCCTTGGTCGTTGTTATTCTATCCACACGTTACGTACGTGCAGCAGAGTCCAGCACAGTACAATTATCAGCTCGGTCCCGGAACTCTCTCCCGTCCGAGGATGAGGAGGAGACGATTTCGCTTTCTTTTCTTTTTCTGATGTGATCGGTACGAAGTTTCCTCCTTCAAGCAGGCAGGAGCGAAGCTTTCCCCTAGCTCCAGATTATCCGGTTCGTGTGTCCCGCTTGCGTGCGCGCGCACACGCGAAAGGGAGAGAGAGAGAGCGCGCGACGCAACTACTCCAATGGCGCCCCTTCCCTGCTCGCCCGTGTCCAATTCGACGGCATCCGAGTCGTACTCGCTGCCGGCCTCTGAAGAATCGTCCGATGATTCCCTTTCCACTCCGCGGCCTGGCCCGGTCGATCCAGCACAGAGGACCGCCGCCAACCTAAGTCGGCCCTTGGTTCCGACCTATTCCGCCTCGCCCGATTCGGTGCGTTTGGCAGAAGGCGGCATTGCCAAGCGCGATGGTGTCGCGCGCAGGACGAGCAGCGATGGTCAGAGTGCTGCACACGACGTCGACGGCCGACCTCGCAATCCATACACATATGGTATTGCTGAATCTTCCGTCGTCCCCGAGGCCACCGCCATCACTACCGCCGTCCCCGCGTCCTCCTCGCCGATCGCCAACACCGCCAAACACCAACTTCCCGAATTACCATCACGGCTTGCGTCTCCGAGACGGACCAGCAAATCGACCCTTTCACCGAGCCAACTCCGCACTAGTCCACACCCAGACGCCCGGAGGCGGATAGCTGCTCGACTTCCAGACGATTTCATGGAGAGCAGTGCGGACGAGAGCACGGCCATCATCCGGCGCAGCTCGGGGAAGGCCAATTATGGAGCTGCTGAAGCAAGTACTACAGGCCGAGCCGGCGATGGGACTCGTGCACGGGATGGACGAGCGTCGATCTACGATCAGGTTATGGAAGACGAACACGACGCGAATGCTCTAGCCCGGAAGAAGAGCCCGTCTACGAGGTCCGGCGGCGGAGAATCTTCGACAAGGGACGCAGAAACGGCGCGAAGATCGAGCTCGGATGGAGGAGGGAGCCGCCGGGGCCGCGAGAGTTGGCTCAAGGGATTTGCAGAGAAATATGGGAGTGTGGAATTGGAGAACAAGGGTAGTGTCGCGCGCGACCATTTAGCATTGGGTTTGTCTCTCGAATATGTATCTACGAGAGCGGTGTGATGCGGACGGGGTTGCTAACCAACATGCTTGCAGAACGCACATTCCTTGCATGGCTGCGAACATCGCTCTCATTTGCCAGCATCGGCATCGCTGTCACGCAACTTTTCCGGCTGAACACCACTATCACGACTCCCGACGGCAACCAAATTCACATCTTAGCCTCGACTGCCGAATCCTTACGACAAGTCGGCAAGCCTCTCGGTGCCACCTTCATCGGCATTTGTAAGTCATTGGAAAGACCGCGGTGGCGTCTGCTTCTCCACAGCACAGCCAGCCACCTGGGATTCTATGCTGACATCGAACCCATCAAGCAATTCTGATCTTGCTCATCGGATTTCATCGCTATTTCGAGAGTCAACATTACGTTATTCGAGGCAAATTTCCGGCATCGCGCGGCTCCATCCTCCTGGTGACTTTTGTCGCAGCCGGACTCATCGTCGCCAGTCTCGTCGTGGTGGTTGCTGTAGCACCCAGTGCTTTTGAGAAACGATGATGACTGCTCTGGCACACCTTGTCGAGTTCGAAGGCGCACAAGATCGAGTCGAGGTCGAGTATTCCGCCTCGCTGGTGCGGAGATATTCAGGAGACGACAGACTTTCGAGGCATCGTCGGACTCTGCGCGCATCACGACCACTGCATTCCAGGCCAGCACGACCGCAGACTAGATCAAGAAGGAGCTGCGTCACTGAGGTTGTGGGTCTCGATTGATCAGCACAGATCAAGACTGAAATGAGTCATTGAGATAATCGACGAACAACTCCCGGATGCGAGCTTTGCTTAGGCTGTGTTGCCTATTCAATGCAATGAACTGCCGGCGTAGACGCTGCAGCTGTGGTAGTGAAGGCGTTGCGATGGGCAGGATCAAATTGCGCTCTGAATCCGGGACGGCCACCTCTCCACCACTCTCGCCAGCGTGGTCTTGCGCCCAGCTCGTGATCAAAGCGACGACATCCGAAGTGGTCCTGTCCAGTTCGTACAGGTAATTCTGTTCCGATGCCGGCTTCAACACCGTCGCGGCGTTCGGTCGGACCACCTTGGCCTTGCCATCAGAACCGATGAGAGCTTCCCAGATCGCTTCGTAGGGTGGCTCGGGATCATCATATGGGACTGTGAAGAGCGGCTTGTCCCAGCGGCTCATCCCGTTCGGCTCCTCATACCGAAAGACGAGATTGTCAAAAACTTCGGGGGTGTAGCAGGGTTTGGAGGATGTGGATCGCGCTTCCTCGTTCAGCTCCCGACACTTGTCACCGGGCGTGCCGACATGCACGACGCAGTTGGTCGTCTGCACGGCCTTCGCTTCGCAGTAGAGCTGGTAACGGAACCCCTTGATATAATTCATGCCGTCGGCGATGATCAGCGCATCTCGCGTCAGGAATCGCTTGATCGCGGAGGCGAACGTTGCTCGCGCGTCCTTCTCGGCCTTGGCGGTCGCATAGACTTCCCGGGAGAGGGCGAGGCCATCATCGTCGATGTGGTGGATCTGTAATCGTTTGATGCGCGGGTCGGTGGAGTCGGCGATCTTGCGCTCAAAGTGCTCGATCAATTGTCGGCTGCGGTACGTCTTCCCGCTGGAGGGATATCCGGAAATGAGGAGCAACTTTTAAGAAGACACAGCCGAATCAGTCGTGCGGAGTGGATTGTCTTGTGCGAGATAGCTTTCAATTGGGATTATGCCATCGCAAAGGGCTTACCGGCATGACCGTGGAGGCCGATTGATGTGGGCGAGGGAGGGGCACAAAGGAAAGGCGGCACACTCCACTTGATTGCTAGGGTATGATTCTGCGTCGATACAGTTGTAACTTGGGCTGGTATCTAGTCCTTGCAATTGAATGCGCAATGATGCATGTTCGTGTGTGCTGCGACGGTGACGTACAGTGGTGGCAGAAATTTGTCCCAATCGCTGTTCTGTCTGCTGCTGACTGGGTGGGCATGCTTTCTGGCGGGCGGGCTTGCAGCTGAAGATTACGACGGAGGCTTCCGCGCTGGTCTACGAACAAGATGGATGATATTCTGGAGGGCATTTTGCAAGAGTACCTAGGTCGATTCTGTTCATGATGATAGAGCTTTGAACATTTCGACTCCCGCCCGCACCCACGAAGACCTACTGTTGGTGGTCTACAAGCAGTGGCTTGCTCTAGAACGAGGAATCCGCAACGCTGCTTCCAATTCACTACCTACCTAGTAGATAAGTTTTAATCCATGCCAAACAATACCTTTCGTTGAACGAGGAAGGCGCGCGCGTTGCTCATCAGTAATAGTAGGAGCCTTGGAAATCAACGGTACCTAGGTAATAATCCACCAGAGTACGTAGGAGCTTCCAAGTTTACTCGGTTGTCGAGGTACTAGTGATACCGCCTGTAACCCGTGGAGCTCTCGAGGGGCCATTACTGTCATCATTACTGTATGTGATATATCGTATGTGCTGGATCGCACACATCCATACCCGTTTGAGGAAGTCTTTGCGTGCCTACATGATAACAATGCTGGATGGACTCTCGCATGTAAAGGTATCTTACAGGCCGCAGTATATATTATTCACAGTACTTGTTACTGTATTTTCCTATTTCAGTCTGAACGCCCTCCTCGAGCAGATACTTTGCGGTGTACAGGACCGTCCGTTCCGACCGACAATGAGATACTGTACAAACTGGACCTACAGTAGGTGTACACACATATCCTCGTGCGAGACGAGTGAAAAGTTACAGCACAATGCACATGCACTCTCCACGCCACAGGCAACGCTGATCCGAGAGCCGACCAGGACAAATCGGCCTGAGAAGCGATATGAAGGTGTATCGGTCGGAGAGACGATTGGTATCGTGATGGAGGTCGGGCTACTGCATGTACTGCACTGTATGAGTGCGGCGATTTTGATCCGACGCACGTCCAGTCGGTCTGCATCCAGGGTCTTTCCAGCAGAAACGGCCGTTGTCCTTGCTCCCCAACTTTAATCGACGTTAAGCCGAGACTATAGTATGCGCCGAGCGCAGATCTGTGCGTTTGGGATTCACTTGTCGGATTCGTAAAAGTCAAATATGCGATCCAAGGCCTCGATGAATTTGGCGGCAATGAATCTTCGCGTGAATATATCATCGCACAGTCGGTGTTGGGAAATGCTAGCGGTCGAGAGAGATCGAATTGCGGAAGTTTCTCCTCGGCTAGGTGCCCAGGTGGTGTTGATGATGCGCAATCAAGAACAATGATGATGAGGTATGTCGTACGTACACCCCCTGGCAACAGCGATATACCTAGGTATGTATAGTATGTACTGCATGACAAGGCTAGATGGAGACGATGAAATCAAAAACGAAAAGCATGTGCAGTTGGAACAAGGATCCAGGATGGCGACCGACTCCACCATCTCCTCCCCGATCCCTGTCTCCGACGTGATATTGCATGTTGCCCATCAATACAGCTACAGCACCTAGGTAGTTGCACACTCGCAGTACTACAAGTGCTGTATCATCAAAGACTGCGGGCTGCTTTTGTCGAAAGTCGCGCGCGCGCAAGGCTGTTGCTGGGCGGGAATTTTTCGTCGTCGTTGCATGCCTTGCCTACCTAGCGAGGTACCCATGCCATGCCCTTGCCGTGCCCGTGTCCACCCTTTGCCGCTATCTCCAGATGCTGCTCCACACTATCTCCAGCTCTTTATTGCGCTTCCTTTTCTTTCATTTCTCCACAATCGATACGCACATGCCTCGTCCTCGCTTTTGCACCTCGGCGTTTTTCTTTTCTGGCGATCCGTCTGGTCTCATCTCACCTCATCTCGTCTTGTCTCGTCTCTTTTGTGACCGTCAAACGTTTTCTTCACAATCGACCGAACTGCGCCGCGACTAGCCTTAAGCCACGGTCTTCTCCCGGGTGACGATCCTCGCGTTCTCACTTCTGCCGTGGACCGACCGAGAGACCACTACCGGATCCTAAAAACACTCTGTCAACGCGACATTGCTTTTTTAAACTTTTCCAAGCTTTTCGCTCGTATGCGGGTCATGCACCTCGCTCATCATCGTCAGTATTCGGAGGAAGGGAGATCAAGGCCCTTGATTTGAGCCTAATCGTGCCGTTCATCACGACCAACCAACAGTGAGGACTGCATGCGCTGTACAATACTACCGTACCTGCCCGTCTGATCTCATGTCACCTACTAGGTAACTCAGGATAAAGGTATCGGGCTGACCGACCGTCATTTGCTCCGCTTGACATCTAGACCCGTCAAACTCATCTTTCTCTGTTGCTTCTTATTATTACCTGTTGAACCATATATGACACACCGATGCTTTCCCGAAATCTTGTTTAGTCCTCCTCACCCGTGTCATCCTCGTCCTTGCTCCATCATCTCCTCTTTCTTTCCAGCAACAACCTTGCAATCGGCTCTTCTTGCCAGCCTCTCCCACGCCGATCTCCTGTGCAAGCGCCTTCACCACCAGACACGACCTGTGATTCATCGTTGCCTGCCGGACACCACCAGCTCCTGACCCAAGCATACATATTCTCGCTCCACCGCTCAGGCTCCAACTCTGCTTCTCTGCGGGTGACAACTTCCTCTCCAAGTCTCTTGACATCGATCGATGGATTCGAGATCTCAACAATACATGTCCTCTCCATACGATTCCACTCGATCCTCATTTCCTACCACGCCGACCACCGCCTCTTCGACCAGCTTTCCAAGCTCTACCTCGCTCCAAGACCTATCAGCCATGTCATCATCCTCACAGACATATACCATGTCGTCCCGCTCGGCAGGACCTCTCCCGTCACCTGCGAGTTCGCCACGACCGACATATTTCGCTACACTCCCATCACAAGCGAACAACATGAACGCCGCACAACTACAACAGCAACAACAGCAGATGCGCCAGCAGCAGCAGCAACAAGAGCAACAATATCAAATGCTCCAGCAGCAACAACAGCAACAGCAACAAATGCAACAGCAACAACAGCAACAACGCCAACAACCACACATGACGGCGGCCTACATCGGTCAGCGTGGCCACAACGGAGGCGTACCCAACACAGCGCAATATCTGCAAGACTTCAGCCTCCTCGCGGAAGCCGCCAAGCGCGCAGAGATGGCCTGTCTGGCAAGAGACCTCGGTGACTGTGGACTATGAGAGGGATCGGACATCACAAATCGATTGAGGGTTGCGACAAACACCTTTGATGATGCGCGCACGAAGGCGAGAGACAGACCGATCTGACGATTGGGATCTATCTCCGAACCAAATGCGAGGCGGCCGAGGCCCAGCCGGTTTACCACGCGGGCGGAGTGATTTGATGACGGATACATATTTCGGCCTTATTTCTTTAGGGTCCTTTTGCGGGAATTTTCCTTTCTTTTGCAAGCGTTTGAGCGGGTTTACCTTGGAGAGGTTCTTTTTCCAATTCTACTTTCACACTTGCTACTTCATTCAATGAGGAGGGAGAGGGGGGAGAGAGAGAGAGGCAACGTGATCGCGTGATACATACGGCGATCGGTGGTTCATTACGTATAACAGAGGGTTCATATGGCGATCTGGGGAAAACTGCAAGTCGGGGAAATATTTCCCGTCACTTCTCTCTACTCCAAATTAATTTTCACTCGTTTCGTCTTCTTGGAAAAACGGTATCGGCGTGAGGTCTATGTCACCAGCAAAGCGTGGTAGTCGCCTCGCAGCGAGATGGACATCCATTTTTTTTCTCTCTCATCCGCCAGTCGCCGTCAAGCGTCTCGCCTGCCTCACTAGCGACATGAGTAAACACTGTCGGGGAGAAAGGTACGCAATATTTGGCTGGCTGCCTGCCAGCCGAGATGGAAATTCCGGTCGCCCGGAGTTTCCCCAGCCCTGGAGGGCAGATTGGATGCGGATCTTCACGGCAGCCGCCCTTTCGAGGGAGGGGGGACATCGTCATTTGCTGCACAGTGATCGTTGGTGGAATGTTGCGACATGGAAGTAAGCGCTTATGTACATAGGTATAACGCAAGCTTCCTTTTTCCTTTCGTTTGCGGAAGATTCAGGCTGCAATGATGAGAATTGATGATGATGTTGATGATGATGACGGATGATGGATGAGGCAGCTGGCGGTGACGTCAAATCTCGTCTCAAATGCCGAGGGCGGCTTTACAATTACAGATGAGAAAAGCTGCTGGCTGCTGCGACGAGACAATGGATTCAGCTGTCCTCCATCGTCGTCACAGATAACACAGAGACAATACCAACAAGGCATTTTCTTCACATCACCAATCGCTGACAATGGTGGTGGTGGTGAAGAGGAGCCCGCCCTTGTCGGGGGTTGATGTCATGGGCGCAGTGTCTCCTCTCTCAGATACGAACCAGCAACATGGACTCGATGCTGCCTGCCTGCCTGCCTGTTTCGGTCGGCAGGGTGGACAGATGACTGTTGGGTCTCGCATCTTATTACGCTGGTTATGGAGAATTGTTTGTTATCATCATAGGCTGTGACGATGGGAACAATGGCCTTGTCTCTTCTCCATGGGCGCCTTGGACAGAAGGGACCTGCAGTCCTGCCATTCGGGTCTCGTAAACCCGGACGCTACACCACCACGGCGGCCGTTATACAAGCAACGTCCTGTGCGGTCCGGAGGTGGAGGAAACGATGGAGGATATCTGTGCCGAACCGTGGAGGGAAACAACATGTGCTCTCGGGCAAATAGAAGGCGACACAGTACTGTCCACGGGTATAAGAATCAGTGTAGTGTATACACTATCTTGGAATGCTGTAATAATAAAACTACCACGCTGGAACCGACCGCTGGACGACAATTTCACATCCACGGTACAGCTGGGGGCAGTTGGACGGATATGCACGTGGCCCGTGGGATTTGGGACGACGATGAAAGAGGATGTGTGTGTGTGATGATGATGAGATTGCGCGGACTGCTTCATTCCAAGCAAAGCTGGTGCGTGGGAGAGAGACAGAGAGAGAGAGGGAGAGAGAGGTTGCCGTGAGTGCACCCATCGGACAGGAGGGATCTCTCATCTGAGGGAGAGAGAGAGGAGAAAGGATGGGACATGCCTCCGCTTCCTCCACATCTTATTACACGCGAGATCCAATCGATCTGGTGGAATCCCGTCCCATACCATACCATATACCATACCATACCATCACACGCAGGTACCTCCTATGGCATTCCAAGGATTCTTTCTCCCACTCATCCATCATCGTTCATTTCCTTCGGCAAATCTTGAAACATTGTCAATTACATACATGCATGTATACAAAAGAAAATCCTCGATGATCGGGTTTCTGGCGGATGGTGTCAGCTAGAGAGCGAGCTTGCTGTACGAACGTTCCCTTTCCAATAATGCTGGTCGTTATCATTACCGCCTATGTATCCTTGGGTTTATCGATGATGGGGGACTTCTCTCGTGCTTGAATGGTGGTTTCTGCGACGGGACAGGAAACTGTGCAGCAGCATTTGATGTACTCGGGCAGTCCAGTCAGTCAGTCAGTCAGTCGCACTGATGAATCCGCCGCCTGCCTGCCCGTTCGCGTTTGTCCGCAACCGTCACTCACTAGGGCTCTCTCCCATGCCCTTCATTTCTCCTCTCCCGCGTCACAGTCCGCCCGCCCACCCAAATTGCACGCCCATGCATCAGCGGCAGCCGTGGACTTGCCTGCACCCGCAACCACCTGCACCTCTCTACACCTGCATCTATTTTCATTCCTCTCTCCAGGCATTCATACAGCGCGCACCGTACATTGGTCGTCGCACTGCCGCATACACTACTTACGACATCTCTCTCGGGCGTCGTATCCCTCTACATCATCCTGTCCAGCATCTCTTCCTCCTCTTCCCCTTGACGCGCACGAGTAGCTTATCCCGACATGTCTACCTACAATCAATACGCCGACTATGGCGGAAACCCGTACGGCGGCGGCGACAATGCCGTACAGTCAAACCCATACACGTCCGTTCCAGCCTCGACTGCGCCGACGACTCAGTACGCTCCCGCCGCCGCCGGACACGCGACGCTGTCCCAGCAGGACTTCCTTTCGCGCGTCGAAGCCGTCAAGGCCGATATTCGCACATTGACCACCCACGTCGGACAGATCGCGTCGCTCCACCAGCGAGCCCTCTCCTCGCCGGACGCGACCTCTTCGGGCCAATTGGAGTCGATCATCACCCAGACTCAAGTGCTCAACACCTCGATCAAGGACCAGATCAAATACCTCGAGACCGACGCCGCCCGGAGTATCAACACCTCCAACCACACCATCAAGACCACTCAAGTCGGTCAGCTCAAATCTTCCTTCACCAAGCAGCTGCAGGAATACCGTCAAGAGGAGTCCACCTATGAGAGACGCTACCGGGAGCAGATCGCACGGCAATACCGCATTGTGAACCCCGATGCGACGGATGCCGAGGTGGAGGAGGCGACGCAGGCCGACTGGGGCAATGAGGGCGTTTTCCAACAAGCAGTAAGTTTGCCCGCTGGACCACCGTCCATAGGACGGTCAGACTGTCGCGAATCCCCAGCGTTCGCGATTGTGGTCTTCTCTGTCTTCCGCGCGATTCGTCACTGACCACGGTCGTCTCTAGCTCCGATCGAACCGCTCCGCGACTGCTAACAGCGTTCTCGGTGCCGTTCGCGCCCGACACAACGATATTCAAAAGATCGAGCGCACCCTCCTCGAACTGCAACAGATTATGGAGGAGCTCGCGACCGCGGTCATCCTCCAGGACGAGCCGATCCAGCAAGCCGAGCGCTACACCGATCAGGTCAAGCAGGACACGACAGCCGGCAACGTGCAGCTCGACAGGGGCATCAAGTCGGCGCGCAACGCCCGCAAGCTCAAGTGGTGGTGCCTCCTCATCACTCTCGCCATCCTGATCATCGTCGGATTGATCGTAGGATTATACTTCGGTGTGGGCCCGGGCAAACCGAAATAGTCCCCGAGAGCATAAGCCCAGCACTGCATGACTTCCTTCGCAACCCCAAAATCTCGTACCTGCACGGCCTCGATTTCAAATACCCCAAGTCGTCTTCCTCCAGCTTCCTCCCGCTGCTCTACCCATCACCAACTCCTCGGCCGACTACCGTCCCAATCTTCAATACCCTCCACGTCGGCTCACCTCTCCATCGTCCAACATCATCATTGTCAATAATAATCTTAATGCAAAGAATGAATCATTTATCTTCCTCACGAAAAAAATATCTGTACCAAAAACAACCCACCAATTTCTAAACCACACTTTCAAGTGCTATTTCCCACCCCCATCTCGTCCGATCTTCGAAACCTCACTTCCGGTCCTGAAAAAAAAAGCACGAGGCTGATTCGCGGCATTCATGTCCTTCGCGTTCTAGGCCTCCCGTTTCTCTTCCGCGCTTGGCTCGCTTGGAAACACCACTGTGCCTGGCGCTGCGACCTCCTCGGCGTCCCGCATCTCCATCGCAGACCGCCCGCCTATCTCGCTGTTGCTGCTGCTGCTGCTACTGCTACCGTCACCTTGGCCGCGACCGGTCTCCACCGCTGATCACACGCCTTTCTTTCGAATCAGGCAGGATCAAGGGTGGATCGGTGTCACGCGGCTGACGTCCGACGAGGGGATCACGTCAAGGGAGAAGAAAAAAGGCGGAAGAGGAGGAGGAGGAGGAGGAGGGAGAAGGGGATGTCGGCGATCCCGATGCGATGAGAAAAGGCGCCGGATTCGCAACCACTTGTATGTCTCTATTGGAAACGGGCGGGCCTTTTCGGGGGGATCGATCCTCGTCTGCGTACACCCTGGCTTGTGTTGTGGAGAAACAATCAAGAAAAGCCGACTTTTTTGCCGTACTGATTCTTCTCCTTCTTTTCTTTTTACTTTCGCGGGATCTAGTTGCTCCGTCGTTAGTGTTGTTGTTGTCGACGAGGTAGATCCGTGGTATGATTGGCATCTGCGTCGATGTCGTCGGATGAAAACCTGTCATGGTCACCGGGTGCTTCTCGCGTCTATCATGCACGTCGCCGGGCGAGGCTTTGGATCTCGACAGATCCTTCGATTTCATGGTTTCGATTCATACCAAATATACATACAATGGGACAGAGGAGATGGCCGATATTTCGAACGGTTCGGATCCCAGGAGGACGGTCGTGGGAAATCAAGGTTCGGGGTCGTCATGACAGGAGGGGTCGATGTCGTGGGTTGGCGGCACGGTGCTGCGGACGGTTCGGAGGGGACTGCTATGGGGGACAACAAGTCGGTCAGGGCAGTGATGCTCCATGACCCTGATATACCACGCATGAAAAGACACGATTCATATTGCACGCCGCGTGTATTGATTTGCTTCGGATGGTCGTTCTCTCATCTCTCTCTTCCTCTGCTATTCATCATCGGGAGGTCATGTCTATTCTTCGTCATGTCACTCCTCTTCCTTTCTGCCCCTCATCTTGCGATGTTCGTCTTTCTATGTATGATGGCGGCGGCGGGAGCTGGTGGAAGAAGTCTCCCGAGCAGGCTTGATGAGAGACGGAGGTATGCCTCTCAAGCAAGGGGGATCCTGCTCGGCCACTCCTTGCCATATTTCGTCACTGGCTGCAACCTTGCCCTCCAAGAATCAGCCTGGAGAAAATATGGCATCATGTTAAGATGTCTCTCTACGTCTCTGAATGAGATTCTGCAGCTCTGCTCTTGCAACTCGCCGTTTTTGAATTGTTGGCCCTGCCCGATTACCCTCGTGGGATTTGTCTGGAGTGACGCTGCCCACAGGAGATTCGTATGACTTCGAACATCGCTGAGTCTGTGAATGATCGGATCAAGCCATTCCAAAACCTGGTAGTGTTGACTGTCGGGTCGCCACCCGTTGTCGCCAGTAAAGTAGCAGATTTGCTCTTAATAATTGGCTATTAGTCTTCAGCAGTGTTCGGCAGGCTGACCAGTATTCAGTCGGAGTCAGATCTATTCTTTTCCTCGACGCTTGTCGACCCGCTCTGTGAAAGCGGGAATGATAGGTGGCCTATGATCTAGACTGCTGCAATCATGGAAGCCCTCGCCCTGTGAAATCTGTGTTTGGGTCAGACGAGCAGGGGCTGGCGCCAGTCACGATATGATGAGCTTTCGAAATATCGAGGGCTCTCTTCACCCCCCGCAGCAACAACCACCGCCTCCACCGCTCTGATCGTCATCGGGTTTGACCTCGTTGACGACCTCCATAGCATCGTGCGATGTGTTATTCAAATCCGAAAGAAGGTATTCGTCTAGGTTCAAAGAATCTGCGCCCGCTGGCAACAACAACTCAGATCCCAGAACGAAAGAATCGAAAGCCAAAGGATCGACAGGGGGGACCATATTCAGATCACTGAAGTCCAGTTGGAAATTCTGATCAGGAAGAGGAAACGGCGGGGATTGTATGAATCCGTCGTGCACGATCGGCTGATCGGCCTGCATACTGGGCACGACCTGCTCCGCCATCCAGGTTTGTTGCGGAGGGGCAATCTTCGGTGCGATGACCGGCAGTGTCGGCGGGGGCGGCGCTTCGCGAGCGTGCTTCCGTCCACAATATTGTGCCCACGAGGTAGTGCCAAAATTTTGAAAAACGGGCGGACAGTTGCGGCAAGAACAGCCATACAGACCGCAGTTCTGACAGATGGCGGATGGAAATTGATAGTTGAAGTAGTCGGTTTGCAATCGCTGGAAGTCGAAGGCAGGCGTGGTCTGCTGCATTTGAGCAGTCGTGGCTGCTGCAATATGCTCGTTGCTGTACAGCTGTGGTGTCGGTAATGGGCTCGTCAATGGGACTGCTTGACCTATCATCTCCTGATGCTGCTGTTGAGGCGAAGGAACACCAAGGGTAGGGACGGTCGGTGTCGCAGGCTGGCAACACGACCCGGACTCCTGCTGCGAACCTGCATATGCGTATTGTGTTCCGCTGTCCCGGGCCGCCAGCGGACTTTGGCTTTCCCACACCATGGCGTCTTGTGCGACACTGAGTGGCGAGTCCATTGCTAAGACACCGAACTGTGGCGACAAGGTGCTCGGTCGTTGTGGATAGGCACTAAAGCCGTTCATCATGGTGTGCATCGGAGGCATGTTAGGCGTTGTGGGTGACATGGTCGACAGTCCACTCGACGGATGTGGACTTGAAGTGATAAAGGAAGGTGCCGGCGAAAAAGCCATGGACGAACTGACCACATGGCGGTTCTCTAGAGCGTCACGATTTGGGTAGAAGTCGACGGTAGGATTCTGCAACGCCAGGAGCAGCTTCCAGTGATCGGGTTCTATGAGGCAACAATATCGACCCTGCTCATCACAGCGGCATTCGCCTGCGCGCTTCTCGCCCTTCTTCGACTTGTGCGGACACGCAGATCTCGCCACAACGCACTTGCAGCCTCCAGTGGCACCGTAGCGACAAGTACAGGAGTTCGAAGGCCGGCCCGGTCTCTTGACGGTCCAGAAAATTTTGGTCCGGCAGACGGGTATGCCACAGGACGTTGTTCGGTGACCCCGGATGCAAGACATGCAAGCGACCTTGCACAACTGCTTTGTGCGAGAATCGAGCAGCTCGATGGTCTTGAAAGGCTTATCTTGCTCCATTTCGAAGACTGTGAGGGTGTGGAAATGGAACAGCAATTGTGATCGGATCGATCTCGTCTGCGAGGCGTTTCATCTATCAGCTATTGCAAACGCAGGGAGAGTCCGCCATGACACGTGAATCATCGCTAGTCCATCTACGACAAAGTGACTCTTCAGCGTGAGGAATGCGAATCCGATGCCGTCGAGTCAGAACACCCTCACAAGAGAGATCAACGAGAGAAGGGAAGATGTCGGCGAACGGGAAGTGATCGCTCGGGGAAGAATGACAAACAGGCGACATTGTGTCGTGCCTGACAAAGAAATCGACAGGTAGGGGGACGACTATGGTGGACCTCTTAGCCCACACGACGTAATGCGGGCCAGCACGTCTTATACATGCCAACCGCACCGCAGACCTAGCAGACGCTCACCTGCGTCCGGTGGGTTTTTTCTGTCTGTCTGGCTGACCGGCCGTTCCCCATTCGTGGTAACAACGTTCTATTGAACTGACGATGGGGTCTTTCAGGTGCGTGCTGGTGGTGAACAAGCGGGCTACGACGGAACAAGAGGGGTCCACGGGTCCAACATCGCGGCCGGAAAAGTGTATGTCGGTGCTAGACGCCCTAAGGCATTCCGTCCACTCACCTCACGTTGTCGCTAATTATTATGTACCGACAGACAGGAGTGGGAGTTCCCTCTTTCGGACGATCTGAGCAAGTTTACGCGCACGGACCACCACACCGCGCTCCGCTCCTGGGAGACACGGAAGAGACCACTCTCTCGCGACACCCCGGAAAGCGATTGTTGGCCGTTGGTGGGCGATCTATGATCTCGTGGTAGAAGACGATGGTCTTGGAAGTCTTCGGGCAGGATGCATGAGTTGCTGACTGACTGACTGACTGGCTGAGGAGTTGGGGTTCGATTCGAGTGCAAGAGGCCGTATCAGCCGTCCCCGGTCTCCTTTGCCGTAGAGCAGGCGGACGGCAGAGATGATCGAAAGACAGATCAGGAGATTAGACAATGATCTTATTTATGTGACAGATCCGAAGGGCATCTTTATTCTCAGGAACAAGAGGGACCTCCTCCCAGCGATGCCACGGAGGAAAACTCGACCACCCTACAATTCCCTCCAAAGCCCATCTGGGAAGTGAGCCGGCTTGGATAGGCGGTGCGTGGAGTGGAGGCGGGCTGCTCTAGGCTCAGATTCGTTCAGTCGGGTGGCACGGAGGTGTTCTCTCACGAAATGCTCTCCGTGGTTGTCTTTTTTCTCACGATGGGACACGCAATCTCTTGGCAGAGTCAACATCGGAATCAAGCTCGTGTCGGATAACTACGGATGAGCACTACAATCGTTGCATCGTGCGCGTCAGTCGACAAAAAATGTTCTCCGGTGTGATGCTCCCAAAGCCTCTCAGCAAAATATTGTGCGTGCTGGAGATCAATGATATTCAGCCGCGGGAAAGCCACCTGCAATGCTATGCTACTGTAGGCTAAGGTTCCGGGCAAGCACGACTGCCCAGGTGTAATAATAATGATGACTACCTATGTACCATGAAATTTTCAGACCACAGCAGCTCGGAGCAGCATTGAAATTCCGCTGCGACACAGACGCCGCGATCGATTTTGCGGGACGTTGTGTACCAGATGTGCCCATTGTGATTGCACTGTTCATGAAATTGGCTCTCCCGTTACCAAGCTTCTCACACAGATACTGGTATCCGTCTACGCCTACACAACAACCTCTCCAAGCCAAGCTATCGATTATTCGCAACACTCTCTTTGGCTCCCCGCCACGATAATCTGACCTTGATGGACAGTGACAATGAGGAGAACGGCCTGGATTTGTTCGCCGAGCCGACAGATTATTACAAGCCCGAAAAGCAACCAACACAGGTGCAGCATCAGACTCTGAGCCATCAGACGCTCACATTGCACCTGGTGGGCAGTTCTCCATTGTGGGTAGGTCGTCTGTAGCAAGGGTTCGATTTCTTTGTCAAGCGTTTTCTTCCAGGTAGTCTGGATGCAAGATGAAGGAATCTACCATTCATTACGTTGTACAGTATTCACGTTCTCTGCACGCATCATTGTTGGTTGCTAGCAAAAAGATGACCCTGTACTCGTCTTGTTTCCCGCACGGAAACATGAGTAGATCGGTGCTGATCGCATCAATGTGTAGGGTCACTTGCTATGGAATGCCGGCCGTACTATAGCCGACTACCTTGAGCAAAACAAGGCAACGCTGCTCAAGGACAAGACTGTGCTCGAACTGGGGGCTGGCGCCGGTCTGCCAAGTTTGATCGCGGCCTTGAATGGGGCAGCACATGTGGTCGTCACAGACTACCCGGATCATGACTTAGTTGCGAATCTACAAAAGAACATTGACTCGTGTGATGTACTGCCCAGCCCGAGGAACATCTCCGCAGCTGGCTTCCTCTGGGGCGCGGACGTATCCTCGTTGGTGGAACAGCTGCCATCGAAGGGACCGGCTCACGGCTTTGACCTGCTGATCCTAGCCGACTTGCTGTTCAATCACTCCGAGCATCACAAGCTGGTGAGGAGCGTTCAGGACGCTCTGACTCGGAGTCCATCGGCACAAGCGCTAGTGTTTTTCACGCCATATCGGCCATGGTTGTTCCAGAAGGACCTCGCATTCTTTGATTTGGCACGGGAGGGCGGATTTGTCGTAGAAAAGATTCTCGAAAAGACCATGGAGAAAGTCATGTTTGAGGAGGATCCGGGGGTAGGTGGCACGATCACTGCTCAACGTGCTGACGTATCAGTGCTGACTTGGAAACTTCACAGGACGAATTGCTTCGAAGAACGGTATTTGGGTACAGCTTGCGGTGGGCCTCATGACGTCGCTTCCATTTGTTTTACAAATTTTCTATCCGTTATTTTTGCTGGAGCAGTATACACAAAGGAAAAACATGACCATGTGCCGATGCCTCTAAATTTTCGCTTGGAAAGGTTGTCTACTCGGCGTCAGCGAACTCTGCACGGCCGGCCTTTGAGTTGAGGTAGTGGTTTCTGTGAATATATTAGCCATGTGCCTACTCTCCTACTGATGCGAGAAACTTTGGCCCCGAGGTCGTCTATTTCATGATCGCTCCATCTCTTGATACCGCAAAGCTACTTACCGCTCTGTCGCCCACTCCATCAGCTCGTATCCGACCAGCAGAGGAATCGACCAGTAAAGAATTTGGTTGCGAGTGCGGCGGAAGGTGTTGAAGACGGCGGCGCGGGAGGTACCAGCGAGCGGGTTCTGTCGGTTCTGAGCAAGACCGTAGTGGACAATGCCCTTCTGGGGCATGGAACCTGAAAGAATGAGGTGTCAGAGCTGAGTGCGATGTTGCTGGCGCGTCGGTGTCCACAATCGAAACCTCGGCGAAAGTCGGGCATTCGCGGGTGGGCCTCGAGGGCACGAATATTCACGAATGTTCACGTTTCACATATCTCAGCTCATCGCTACTCACCAAGATCACCCCATGGACCAAGGTAGCTGTATTTCCGTCAGCAAATTGCTCTGTGTCCTTCTCGTGCTCGTATCTCCACCCGTCGCCTTGCGCCCAGCTCTTTTCGGAGGATATGCGACTCACACTCCAGGCTTCTTTTCACCGCCACCACCACGAAGAATCTGCGAGGCTCTCATTTTGATTGTTGGCGGGCGAAATGCAAATGGTCCAGATGGCGAAATGTGCTGATTCGTCGGCAATGGCTTTGTCGAAGGAGAAGAAGTCGTCGGCTCGTTGTGACATTCGAAGCTCGGAATCATGGGAGGAGCTGCGGCACGGCCCGTGCCATAATAGCTTTGCCTATGCCTGGATTGGCTGCTGGATCCATGATGCGGCGACGCGGGTGCTTCTCGAGATCGGAGACGATTCACGGCGACAACATCATCATAGGCATCAAATCTTCGCCAATACCGCCTATCACACTCGTCGTCTCCCATCGACACCTGGCTCCTTCGGACCGGACTTTTCACGATGGCAGCCAATACGCTCAACAACATCTACCGGTATGCCGTCCCCACGGCGGTAGCTATGTCTTTCGCCTCAGCATCAATGTACGATGTCAAGGGCGGCACCCGCGCCGTCATCTTCGATCGTCTACAGGGTGTAAAGGACGTGATCTCTAACGAAGGCACACACTTCCTCGTCCCATGGCTCCAGAAAGCCATCACATTCGATGTCCGGACAAAGCCTCGAAACATCAGCACAACGACTGGCAGCAAAGACTTGCAAATGGTCAGCTTGACGCTGAGAGTCCTCCATAGACCAGATGTGGAACAATTACCAAAGATCTACCAGGTCAGTCGCCATGATTGTTGGTGCTCACAGTATGCCCAAAGCTGACGGAAAATGCTCTCGTAGAATCTTGGTACCGACTATGACGAGAGGGTATTGCCATCAATCGGAAACGAAGTCCTGAAGGCCATTGTCGCCCAATTCGATGCTGCTGAGCTCATCACCCAGCGAGCAGCTGTTTCGACGCGCATTAAGACCGAGCTTACGAAGCGAGCGACTGAGTTCAACATTGCGCTTGAGGATGTCAGCATCACCCACATGACCTTTGGTCGCGAATTCACCAAGGCAGTCGAGGAGAAGCAGATTGCACAGCAGGAGGCGGAACGTGCCCGGTTCATTGTGGAGAAGGCAGAGCAAGAGCGACAAGCGAACGTTATTCGCGCTGAGGGCGAATCCGAGGCTGCCGATGTCATCTCGAAGGCCATGGCCAAGAGCGGTGACGGTCTCATCCAGATCCGAAGATTGGAGACTATGCGCGACGTCGCCGAGAAGCTCGCAGGCAACCCCAACGTCTCATATCTGCCCGGAGGCAACGACGCCTCAGGTGGTGGCAAGTTTCTCCTTGGTCTCCGGGGGTAGAACGCGGTCGACTGAGGGGTGGCGAGTTGTACAACAGGCGAAAAGTTGAATGAAGACCTAAGAATCTGGCGGAGTGTATATCGAGGATTACCTACTCACCTCCACACCCGTGCATGTACTCTATCCCATATGTGGAATTGCACCTCAATATCTTCAGAGTCTCTGCCATGTTGTTCTGTTATTCATAACTTTCTGTCACGAAATTATTATCACAAGCTTTGGGAGCGACCTTAGCTCGGCTCTTCACCATCCTGAAGCAACAGCCCTGTCATGATAGTATTGACCTTTAGGCATTTGTCCTGGGATATTCTCCACTGCTTTACGCCCAATTTGACCCTGGCCAATCGAAAGTATAACAGGTCACTGCACACGTCCAACGATGGGGATGCCATTTGTTTTGGCATCGAGGGCTCACGCAGAGTGACAATGCGAGTCAAAAGTACATTCTCGCACGAATGCGCAGGCTGCTCATCGAACGCCGTCGATGCCCCTTGATGGCACACAAGTTGACCCGACGAGTTTCCAAACGATTTCTTGCTTCTAGCATTGTGGCCACGTTCGCAGCTTGCCTTAGAAACGCATTTGAGGCGGAGTGGAGGTAAATTGCCATCTTGTACGTGAAGGCTGTGTCAACTCTACCTCTCCTTCTGTGTGTCGAGGTTGTCTCAAAGTCTCTCCTGGGTGGTGTCGAGAGGGAGCAAACATGCTACGAGATCCTCTCTGAATGCCATGACTTTTGTAGACTCGATACATGCTGGCCATGATGAGCACCTCTCCTAGCTGATAGGTGAGCTTACCTGGATGCGTTGGTATGTCTCTGTCGACATACGTCGAAAGACGACTTGGTGCATCTTTCCGGAAATGAAGTCAAGAGAGTTGCATCATACATGCGTGGCGCGATATTCCAGTAATCCATATTGCTCAATCCTCCTACCGTTCAAATAAAGACGCGTGATACTTCACGAGGTTGACACTCTACGACCGTCCCAACCTCGAGATTCTGATTGTCCGAGAACAAGCTTGAGACCAGGATAGTTGCGATGTGCTGAACACTTGTTGTATTGTCAGATCGGAAGCGGCTTTGACTTCGAGAAATCCACAAGCACGACACCCGCGCGAATGATTGTATGCTTTTCGCGTGTCTCGTCGGCGGGAAAGCACAGATTTTTGGCTCCTCAGGCCAGAAAAGGCATCTCCGACGAGCTGAGCCTTGCGAGCTGAGCCCAAGGAGGGCTCGAACCTGCAAATGGTCACATTCCTGGTAACCAAGCCTGCTCAGTCTATTGCGTCGAAGCGAAGTCCTCTGACATTCGACAGGGCACTCGTGAAGAGATGAAAGATTTGACAAACTTTTATCCACGAGAGAATGCCGTATACCATCGGTGTTTGTAGCAATCTGATGCGATCATGGTTTCACATTGATAGGACCTTCGTCATTATGTAGTCGGAAGCTTCTGATTTTTGAGAAGACCACGTGAAACAATGGGTCAACGATATCCCTACCGTTGTGACACAAGCGTGATCAATCAGCTCGCGGTGATCGGTGTTGAGACTAGTCGGTACGCTGCGATACTGATGACGAGGATTTTGTGGTCCAAGTCGAACGGTCTTTCTGAGTTCGCCAGGGGAATAGATCTGGATCCTATCCTTTATTTCAGGATGGCGAGAGGGGCGCAAAACTGACATTCACAGACTTCATAATGCAGTGTTCCATATTGATTCAATTCACAACCGTCCTCAATTCGCTGAGCCATATAAAAGTCCTGGTCACTCCAGGCGATCGACAGAACCTGTGAATCATCGAGCGCAAATTCGATCCGGCGGCATATCTGGGTCCTGTGTGCGATATGAAATGAAACCATCATGAAGCACGTTCTCCAGCGATAGTGCAACTACAGTACGATACGTGCTGGACGGACTGGTCCAACGGTGCCGACGAACCACCATGACGACATTGACACATGTCGCGACTGAGATCCAGCGGGTTGGAATATCGCTCAGCCACGGCTGAAGCAAGCAAGTTCGTCGATCAGCTGAAGTCTAGCATGTTCGTGAATCCTATCCTGTAGGCTCCACCAAACATAAACATGTATCGCGAGATAAGCGAGTGATGAGGGAAGAGTTGGCCGCTGATGTCATTTTTCGGGGCAGGGTGCGCGTCGAGAGCCTAGCGGGAATGAAATCTCACACACACACCACCCTCAGGCAGCCTGACAGACACACGAGCAAGAAAATCCAATCCTCTCTCCACTCGTTGTTCCTCCACCTCGGCTCGGTTCGCGAAAGGGCGACTGATTCGTCTTATGATTATGCGCACCCAGTAGAACAAAGATGTTGTATCACCAGACTACACAACGCCATGTCCAATTAAGGGCTCAACTCATTCAGAACAATGTTGACAGCATCCGGTCGTAGCTATAGATTGTCCAACGCAGTAACCAGTCGTGAGAACAGTAGGTATCGCACACGACCTCGGAACCGATCTGTGACTCGAAAGCTCCAGGTTCGATGCGCCGGAATACGCTTCGACGCCTCTAGGACTGTTGTCTCATGTGCTGGACAGCGGAAAAGAAATTACACGGTGAGCGCGCACTGATCGCGCCAACGCTGATACCATTTCTGAAGTGCTCTAATCATCACAATCACCGTCATCGTCAAAGTTTCTTCCAATTTCCTGGCTTTTTCAGCGTTTGTCGTAGAAGAAGCACGGATCTGTCAGGGTGGGATCGCGTCGCGAATTTCACGCGCATTTTTATGGTGCCGTGTTCGGTCCCGGGGAGGCTTGTTATGCACCACCGTCATGCCGAGCAGTCTGTCATGTGAGTCGACGACGCTCGATAACGTGGGCCGGTGCGAAAACGCCCTCACTTGGTCGATTCTGCCACTCAGCGAGGAGCCTCACCCGCCACCTCGTATCGCAACAACCATCATCCAACTTTAGATTATGTGGCGCTGTATTGCGACAGGTGGAGTGGTGAGCGAACATCATCGAGGCACCATTGTCGCCAATATATCTGTAGATTACCAAACAGCATGCTGTATGTATCGCGCATCGCGAAAGACTTTCGCATAGTAGATTTCTTGTTGAGCGCACGGAGATGTTTGTCCTCAAATCGTTATCAACGGCCTGTGGGGCGCAATTCCAAACTTACAGGGCAGAAGAAATGAAGTTGTCGGCTACAAGCCTGCCGTGCATCATGGCACAAATTCATGTGAAGAAAATTGACATTTCAAACGCTTCCCATTCCTGCTCGGTCGATTTTGGAAAGCTGTGACGCGCTTGTATGAGCATCCAAAGGTCGGTCGGTCACTGTGCTAGCCGTGCACATCACTATGGCCATCGCGAACGGTCATATCAGAATGGTGTGCTCTCGCTTCGCCAAGGGCGCGCGCTGTGGACAATGCGTCCTCGCCTGATGAACGGCAGAACGAGGGCCGAGAGCGAGGGCTTGCCATTGTGCTCGTCCACGACAACCACCCATGACATACATCTGAACGCACAGAGCACCTGGCCTGCCTGTCAGTTGGGCAACCGGTGGCGGTTGTCCTGCATATGTGGGTGATGGATAAGGAAAATGTGTTGTGAGCGGAAAATCGGATGGGAAGCTACTCAGCTGCAGACTTCTCTTAGCCTCTCACCATCAATAGCCCGATTGGTTGTCGGCACACGGATGGCGAGCGACGGGCAATGGAGGGAAAATCGAATTTCCCGAAACGGCCAGCTGCGATGACTTGGAAAATCCTCTCCATGCAGACTTGCAGTGCCTTGCATAAATAATACCTCGTCGCCCGCTCAACTGCACTGTCTCTCTCCCTCCATCAACCACATTCGCTACTCGTCACTGCCAGCATACACAGCTCTCCGCACTCGACATTCACAAGACATCTCCGCCTAATAACTAATACCAACATCTCTCACCCCCAACAACCAACCACATTCAAGATGCGTTCCGCTATCATCCTCGCTGCCGTTGCCGGTGCCATGGCCAAGCCCGCTCCTTCCGCCTACGACAGTACGTTTTTGATATGACGATCACACGGGAGGAAGTCTCACTTCTAACATATCGAACAGCTACCACCTGCACCACTACCACTTGGCAGACAACCACCCTCTCGGTCCCCACCAAGCCCACCTACACTGCCTGGACCAAGGTCCCCGTCGCCTCTGCTTCGGCTTCCGCCTCCAAGCCCGTCAAGGCCTCCAGCGCTTCTTTGATCAAGCCTACCGTTGCCCCATCCGTCCCCGTCGGCAACGGAACCCGCCCCACTACCTCCACCAGCGTTCCCAGCTACACTCCTCAGCCTGCCAAGCCCAACTCCGCCAACGTCATCGTCGGCTCCAGCTTCCTCGCTGCCGTCGCTGCCGCCGTCGCTTTCCTCGCCTAAACATCTCATCGATAAGCTTTTGATGCTCGATGACCTGGACGATGACGACTAATTTACGGAGACGACGGACTTAATCGGTTCGATTTATGATTCTCGATCTTATGATCACTTATGACTTCATCTACGTCCGCCCTCGTGCGTGACCTGATGCTTGCTTTTTCTACTTAGACATGAAGACAACGATGCCTTCACGGCTACAGAATCTAATCTTTATGACCTTCACTTGCGCAATTGCTCCCGTGACCTTTGACCGTGATACGTGTGGTGTAGTGACGCGGCTCTGCCGTTGACGTGGTCGACTCTCACGCTGCGATCACGCTGGGCGCATAACACCTGATCATCGCCGGCAGTTGTCGATCGACGTTTTCTGTGCCGGCCTGTGCCGCCTCCGCACGATGTGCAGAAGATCGCGAACGGCCAACGTTGCGCGAAGAAGCGGACCATGAAACACCCACTGTTCGGCGCACGCTTGGTGAATCGCTTTGGAAAGATTTACACAACATGCGCGCCTTTGTACATTATGTACAACACTATGATCGCTCGTGGTGGCGTACAGCAGTTGTCGGATTTGCAGGAACGGTTGAGCTACTGCAGGTCCCGCTTGGTGAGCAGAAACAGCGCTGCAGAATTTCCCGTCGGGACGTCAACTGGTGTTTACACGAACCAAGCACACAGTGTGCCATGCTCTATGGCACATGACATGATTGCGGAGAACCTGTGGTTGGATCATCTTGGCACTATTGCAGCTGATGTCGACAGTCAACGAACATCGTGAAAACGGGATGTCGAGTGTGCGTGCACTGTGCCTCGGGCACACGTTACGTGAGGGGACATAGACTTTCCAAGGTCTCAACTGCAAACCTGGTTGTCTTGCACAGTGTGCGGAGATGGATGGTAGCCAAGACTCGACTCCTCAGCGCATTGCGTGTCCTGCGGCCATTACCTGGGCAGCTCCTTGTACTGTGAACCCGGATTTGCGCCATACTCGCTTTCTATGGCGCAGGATCTCTCGTGAGGAGGCAACATCTGCCAATACTGCAGGCACGCAGAGTCTCCACAGAAAACAAGCCTGGACAGCACATAGTGACCAAAAGATCTCGCCCGACTGCCTTGGACGAACGATGCAACGCTCCCCTCACCTAAAGTTGACCCCGAAGAATTTTCCGACCGGTAAAGCCGACGAAGCACAGACGGTCCTTTCTCTGTAGAACAAATAGAGTTCCCGTGAATTTTTCACCGCGGTATCAGCATGGCTATTCGGCCCGTATTCGCTCCGACTTTTCGTAATCGTCTTGGCAAACCTCACATGATCTTTACAACCACAGTCTAGACGGTATAGCCGATGTGTCCGCCTGAGGCACCAGTAAAGTGGAAGCTTGCAGTGCTCGATATATTCTTTGTGTCGACATCAGATCATCTTGTTTGACAGCGGTTTTTTTTCACTCTTGATTCGATCCGGAATCCTCTGATCCAGCTCATACATATGAAGGGCGGTCAAAGGATTTGCGACTGTGATAATACACTCTGCGTGTCGAGTTATACGATGTCGTTTGACTGACCAGTGTATGTACACTCCACGATGAACTTGCGGTATCTGAAGCAGGAAACCCTGGTCACATCATCAGCGTAAAAGGCTGGGTGTGACTACACACGTCGCGATGTCCACGGAACGAACGTCGCCCAAGTTGCGATTGGTGGAATGTTGAACTCAATCTCCAAGATATAACCGACTCTCCACTCCAATGGGGACGGTTCGATTGTTCGACCACTGGTTCGGGGATTTCAATCAATTCCAACATTGGAAAGGAAGCAAACGCTCGTTGGACATGAAATATGGTACACGATCTTATCCCGAATGTGTATTGTACAACCCTGGGGCAAGCACTAGGGTTGCGCAACACTTATCCCTTGGAGAACGTCACGTGTATCCAAAAACTTGAGATCAACATTATTTCCATGTTGAAATGCTGAAAGGCAGGTTCTGCTCACCGCAGGTCATCCCGTGCCCGCATCCACAGACCCGGTGCTGTTGTGGTTGTCGCGAGCAGAAAGGCACCGATATCCCGATCGGGTATATGCGTGGAACGAATGCACGCAGGATCCCACGATATGGAATGTTGTGGCGCCAGACACAAAGCAAGCGTGTCTGCCCATCCATCAGAAGAGATAGCTAATCAGAGCGTGCGGATATGCTGACCACGTGTATATGCCTCATGGCGGTTCTCGCCGACAGAAGGCGACGACCGAACGATCCGACTGAAACAGATGCCGTGTTCCGGTCCAGCCCTCTATGAGCATCGCACCGGTGGCATATCGGTTACGGATCGCCAACACGATTGGATGATTCGGATCCAGGGCCGCTCTCTTTGGTACGCCCGCGCTGCTATATCCGCGTGGCATGCAACGCAATGCTTTAGCGTCCACATGCTGCCACGATGTCGATCGTCAGGGTCATTACTACAGCCCTCGTCTTCAACATCAAGGACGACATGGCACATCTACGAAGAACCCTAGGTCGGGATCATGTGCAATGGCTATATTGTCAGAGACCGTCATCTCGATGGGAGATTCAAGTACCAGACATCATCGTGTACTAGAGCCCCAGTCATGTCAGCCATCAGGGGCGAGCAGAAACGACCATTTGGAGTTGATGCTCGCAAGAATAGCCGCATACCCACATCTGATGCCCGCGTTGCAAGGACACGAGTGAATAGGAGCGAGTGTGCCAGACCATTGCACGGTGTTCATGCCATTGGTGGTGCAGCTTACAAGCTTCACGCAATGAGCTTCTGTCTTGGGTAAACACGCCGTTCTTTGAATAGAGAAGCATCCCGGTGGTCGGATTAAACATCGTCCGGCCTCTTGTTCTCAGCAAGGTAATCCTGCCTCTCGGCTGAGTCGGTGACGTTGCACCAAGCATGGACAAAAACGCAAGCCTCGCAGACTTGGAGGCAAGCCTTCACCTAGTAGTCGTTTAAGCAGTGGTGGCACTGACAAGGCATGATGTGGCGCTTCGTAGTTACGATGATTTCCCACGGCGGCCCTTTGCAGCACAGCGTGGGGTTCCGAAATACAACTTCACGTAAAAGGTAATCGAACGAGATCCAATCGCCGCGCACGACTCTGCTGCAAACGTAATTCTGCGAAGATTAAACGGTCGACAGCTACGGGGAATTGCACATATTGGGCAGAGTCCGACTGATTTTGCGTGTAGGACATGTGAGATCGGAGACTCACCTACCGAATGCCCTTAATTGGTGTGACTAGCGGGAAGACGCGAGAGCAGCCCAGCATGTTAGCTCCGCCCGACTAAACTTGTCGTAGATCCCTACAGCTACCCTGAACAGCCCACGGGGTCAGATCCGAGCTCTTGATTGGTCGAGACGACCGCACCGCCCGAGGTGCGCGACGTTCGCATCAATATCGTGGCAGCCACACACACGACACAAGCAATCGCTGCCAAACAAATGACGAACTCCAAGCATTTCACAGGAAGCTTCGTGAGGGTTGGTCTTGCGCCGCCGTCGTCATGACAGCGCGTGCACAGCGATCGTAAGGTTGCATTTCTCCTGTCGCGCGGAAGAGCCTGCAAGTGCCGCCGCCGTCTCGCTATTATCGGAAGGCCGAACTGCACCAAAAAAATTCAGACTACCTTGGGCAGTTTGGGACCATTAGCACCCGCGCAATAGCGGCGGCGGCCTCTTTGGGGAGAACGGCCTCTATCGTAAAGGTTTGCACGCACCGAGTGGCCATAGTTAAACTTGACAAACAGTCTGTCCCAAGCCCAGCCGACAAAAGTCGGTCTGTTGAGGTCCTCATGACACAGTCCGGGTGATTGAGAGAAAGAGTTGACGAGCTGTGACCCCCGCAGCTACCGGCCTAACATTGGGCGGGCGGGTCTATCGCAGTCCCTTTCCTTACTCACCGTAGAATCCACTATCCACACGTCCGGGCAGGGTTTTGATTCAGATTTTTATCATGGTGATACTGTACCAAAGCGGCTGCCTCGGCCGTCACTTCCACGATATTGCATATTTGTAATATGGCAACCGGAAGCCTTACAGCAATGGATTCATGGTATTGACTGCTAAATATGCTATATATCGACTCGAGTAAATCGCACCTTGTGCATATCACTTACACACTCGTCGTCATCCCGCATCCATCCTTCCACCAACTAACAGCGCACGGATTGGCCCATTTGCCGATCCACCCGCCGAATACCAACACTGCGACCCTCGCCGTGTGGGTCTTTTAGTCCACTCACGAGCACTAAAGGGTAAAACGTGGGTGACTCGGGTTTGATCGTCTGAGAATAGAGGCCCGTATTGTTACCTGTCCATTCAGCTACACACAGTCCGAAGGAAGCTTGCTACTTCCTTCTAGCTCCGTCCTATCCCATCGATCTCCGTGCCGCAACGAGCAGAGGATCTATATAACAGGGCATTGTCGCGGTATTCCAAAACCTGATAGTCCCTGTCCATCCTCGATCCTCGAGCCTTAGCTGTGCCAGATCACTACCAATTCCCTTGTCGTCCAAAGACTTCAAGGATATCTCAACATGGCCAACAATTCCATGCGAGACTATGGTCTCGCCGCGCCTCATGGCCCCAATATGTCTGGACAACACGTCGCGACGGCTGACATCGCCGACATGAATGCCGACGAAGAAACCGTCTTCCGCTCATTACTTCTCCCCGATGACAGCTACGACGAGACCGGTACCTACTGGGCTGATATGGGTCTTTGGCGCCGCCTCAAGTTCACCAACAAGGTCGATTCTGAAGAAGCTCTCAAGGAGCTCAAGTCCATCGGCTCCATGATGAAAGCCGACCCGCTCAGCCCTGTCTCATATTACATGAGGAACATGGTCATTCCTGGTATGGGTTTGCTCCTCGAAGGGTAAGTCGTTTATCAAATGATGTTCAAACTTTTATCTAATCTGATTTCGACTAGTTATGTATTGTTCTCCATCGGCAACGTGAAGCCACTATTTTCCAGCGCCTTCCCTGCTTGCTGGGGCAACAACCCGACTGCCTGCAACGAAACCTGGGTTCAATCTGTCGAGTACCTCGAAATTGTCGGTATTATCATTGGTCAAATTCTTGTCGGCATCATCGGTGACTGGATCGGTCGCCGCTTCGGTCTGATTCAGGATGCCACGATCATGTTTGTCGGTCTGCTCATGCTGACTGCTTCGTGGGGAGTCACGCTCGGTAAGTGAACCTCCGAATCGAAGTCGTGATCCCATCAGCAGCAAAGCTAATTTTCCCGCTAGATGGATGGGTCATCTGCTACGTCTGGTCATTGTTCTTCTATGGCATTGGTGTTGGTGGTGAATACCCTATGACCGCAACTTCTGGTATGGAGAACGCAGTCGGATCCGGCAAAGTCTCCACTCGCGATGATCGTCTGCACCGTGGCCGAAAGGTCACCTCCGCATTCTTGATGCAAGGTTGGGGTCAATTCTTCAACCAGGTCATTCTGATCCTGCTGCTCCTGATCTTCAGCGGTGGCAAGACCGGTCCGCCGTACAGCCAAGAACTCACACAGTACACCTACCGAGTCTCTTTCGCCATTCCTGCTGCTGGTACTTTGTGGCTAGTCTACTATCGTATTTACAAGATGCGATCTGCTTCGAAACATCTGCAGGAGGCAAAGAAGAAGCAGTCCGTTACCGGCTACGACGTCAAATCACTCGGTATGACCTTCACTTACTTTGGAGGTCGTCTCTTCGCCACTGCTGCGGGTTGGTACGCCAACGACGTTTTCTTCTACGGCAACAAACTCTTCCAGGGACAATTCATTCAGACCATCACCGGCTCAAACAGCAACGTCATGACCACCTGGCTTTACAACTTGATCAACATTGGAGTATCCCTTGTGGGTTACTACCTCGCATCCTTCTTGATCGACAACAAGAACTACGGCCGCAAGTGGATGCAGTTGGTCGGTTTCCTTGCAGACTTCATCTGCTTCGTCATCCCGGCGTTTGGTTACGAGTACTACACCAGCCCGGCTGGAGTCACCAGCTTCATGACCATGTATTTCCTCTCATCCTTCTTCAACCAATTCGGTCCCAACTCCGTCACCTTCCTGGTGGCCGCCGAGGTCTTCCCGACACCCGTCCGTGCTTCCGCTCACGGTTTCTCCGCCGCCATCGGCAAGTTGGGTGCCCTCACCGCCGCCGTGCTTTACAATTACATCGACGTCAAGACCCGTTTCCTGGTCGTTCCGTGGTTCGGTCTGGGCGGTTTCCTCATCACTCTCATCTTCCTGCCTGACACCACCGGCCTCGATCTCAAGGAGCAGGAGCGTCGCTGGGCGTTTATCCGCGCCGGCCGCGAGCACGAGTACCACGGTATCGCCGTGCACCCGCGTCACCTGTCGCTCTGGGAGCGCATGTGGGGAGTGGGCAAGCACTACAACGCCGAGGAGGACTACAAGCAGCGCGTCGAGGAGATGCGCGCCGACTGGGAGTCTGCCATGGCTCGCCGCACCGCCGAGAAGGAGGGCCCGGCCGAGGACCGCATGGAGGACGACTGGAGCTCGGAGGTCAGCACTTTCTTCGAGCGCACTCGCGGCAAGCCTGGTGGCGTGAAGTCGCCTTTCAACCAGGGTGCTGGCCTGAACGGCAACGGCGCCAGCCGCAATCAATCGAGTATCCAGGAGAAGCCCGAGCAAGAAAGCGATTAGTCTGTCATCAGGCGACGTGCTTGTTTTGGCTGCTCTGGATTTCTTTTTCCGTAACTACGCATGGCGCAGGGTGATGGGTTATGGCGTTTTGAGGGATTGCTTATTGTCATCATAGAGACGAGGTCATGACCTATGGGGATGGCATTGATCCTTGTATTTTTTTTTTCGCGCTCGCTGATGGCGTGGACTGTACAGTGTTGATTTTACATGACCGAACTGTTTCTACCCCGATGCCTCTGCTCGTACTGTCGTGACCTCAGGGAGTTCCTGACAGCTTAGTGATGTATCGCGCCACCGCCCTGACCTTCCTCCCAACCCTGAATCGACTGATCGATGTTCATCCAATATCGCAATTTGATCGCTTCCTTGGCTGCGCCTTCGAAGTCGCCTTGCGCAAATGTCTGTTCCAAGATCTTGACGCTGCCTTCTATCCTGGCGTTGTTCTCGTCTTTCGGGGCGACCAGATCCGCCTCTGACTGCGCATCATCGATCGCCTCCCGCGCCTCCATAACCTCCATTAATAACTCGTTCTCGCTCAATTTGGCGCTCTCATCCTCGACATCTACACCCTGCTCGCGTAGTAGGTATTGTGCTCGCCGCAAGGGGTCCTGAAGTGTTTTGTATGCCTCGTTGATGCGCATGCTGAGCGCCTCAGCTTGCCGTTTCTGCTCTGCAGGTGCGAGGTCGGGATGCGCTTTGGCTTGCAATTGGAGGAACTCCTTGCGTAATTGCTTCAAGTCGGGCGTGAAGGGCGCTTTAGGTGGCGGGCCGTCAGGAAAGGTCTGAGGGAAAAAATCATAATGCGTCTGAGGGATGACGGCGTCCCGTTGGGATTGTGGAGTCGGTGAGGATGCGTGATTTTGTTGTAGATGTCGGGAAGCAGTGATATGTGTTCTGCTGCTATTGCTGATCGCTGATCGAGGCGCAGGATTCACGGCCGCATTTGCACGACAGCTTGCGCAGATGAATGGAGCTCGCCGTGATAAAGTCGAGCTTTGCGTTCTCGTTGCTGTCATCAGCAGGGTTCTGGTGCCTGTCGCCGAGGCACGCATTGTAGTTGTGTCCGTAGGATGATTGCTAGCACAGGCGAGTGTGTCGATTTCTACACGTCGTCAAGGAAGATGTTTGGATTTTAGGTCGCAATTTTCTCTGTCAAAGATACTGGAAGCACGTGAAGGTCGAAAAGTTATTAATGGTTTGTCGAGGCCGCTCTAGCGAGGCTCCTCCGCCTCTTATGACGTAGCCTCGCGGTTCCATCCTCACGGTCGGAACAGTCCAACAAGGTCGTTGGTCACTTTCACTTATAGATCGATTGTATTGAACCTCATGTTAAAAATGAGCTGCCCGTACTTCATTGCTACATCCATCAATTTTCTTCGTGCCGTGACTCCTGATGCGGCTCTAGCGCGATCTGGTCGGTCGATAGCAGCTTTTCTGGGCCAAATGACATCGGGAGTAATTGACCCAAGGTCATGACCACTGATTTACCATTTTTGTCGTACATTAAAATGGGCATGTCGAGCTTTTCAATCGTCAGCTCAGAATTCTCCGAGGGCTGTCTGCTTGTAGAAAAGAAATCTTACCTCACAGAATTCCCGAATGAATTGCCTACACATCCCACAAGGGCTTGCCGGAGGAGTGATATCGGTCGCCACTGCAATGGCTCTGAAGTCGCCCTTTTTAGCTCCCTAGGATCTTGTCAGCTATGGACGGAGACGATGTTGTTCGGGACGAAAAGGATGCACCTGGACAACTGCGGTTCCTATCGCGACCCGTTCGGCGCATGTTCCTACGGGATATGCGGCATTCTCCACATTGGCGCCTTGAACGATGGACCCATCCTTGAGCAGAATGGAGCAACCGACTCGGAACAGCGAGTAAGGGCCTAGAGATGATATGAGACGGCTGGCCTGATCGACCTTTGATGCAGAAGCTCACAATAAGCTCTGGCCTTGGCTTCGATGCTCATCTCGGATAGCTTCTGAACATCGGCAGATGATAGTCCATGAATCAAAGCAGTGTCGTGTCGAGCATGGCCTGGTTTTGCTTGAGTTGGTGTTGTCGCCATTGTGAATAGTAATGGGTTTCTTATTCGAAGTTCTCGCGGGCAGATACGAGCACTATCAAAGAAAGTGGATGTCGATACAAGTACGGTAACTATGTGTGTTCGCGTGCTGCGCTGTCAATAGTGCGGCAACGCCGACGATATGCGGCCAAGCTGAGCCTTTCGACTCAGTACACGTAGACTTCCTTCGCATCAGCAACATACAGTCGACGCACAACGTCCCTTTCTCATTTGTAAACTCTGCACGCGAGGAATGTACTCACGACCATCTGATTACCCCTGAGCGATGGCTTATTGACAATGTGCGGGGCTTGTCATCGTCAGTTCTGAGGCGATTGCCGCATCAACACGAGAAGCGGGAACGCATCTCCATCGTGTCATCGCCGCGAATTGGTTCAACCCGTCGCTTTCACAATCTTTTATAAATGAGGACATGGGCACATTCATGAAATTCAAAAACCACTGGGCTGGATCATAGAATAGATTGGGTGCATATGCTATGCAGATGGGTATAATACTGACATTCAACGATTTCAGTGCTTGCGCGGAGCCCCGGCCAACCCTTTGCCCTTCCACGACTCAAAGTTTTCACGTTTGACAATCTTGTGCGGTCGGCTTGTGCGACGCAAAGGTGAAAACTTGCTATTGTGATTGGCAACGTCAGACATCGTGAGGTCCAGCGCGGCAGAATTCTGGTCCAATATCGACGACTGATCGAATTGGGAATGATCATGCAATGGCGAACCCTGGTTCTCTCCGTCGGAAGACTTCTTACGCACAAATGGCTCTGATTTGGGTCTTGCAGGGTGATACCCAGGGCTATACTCCCGAAGTCGTTTATGCTCTGCAGCAGTGGTTTGCACATCGTCTGAGGACGGTAGTGACCTCTTGACAATGATTTCCAGATCGTTCATGCGCTGCTTCAGTCGGCTATTGCACAGTTCAGATTCGGCGAGACGTTGCTCGAGATCGCCGTTCATCGCCTCGAGCTCGCTCTGGCGTTTCTCCGCGGCCGCAACATGTGAACGGAAGCGCATCTCGAGTGCTTCAACGTGGCGTCTTGTATCATGTGGTCGAGCCTGTGAGACCCTGTAGATGTTTTGCTCAAGCGTATTGTAGGCTTTGCGTTTACGTCAGTGGGAACATACGATTGTCATGAGCACGCCGTGAAAAAGTGCCATACCTGATCCAATCTCCTCAATCTTCGACCGTATGCGAGCGATCTCAATAGGTGATGTGGCAGCTTCGGGACTTTCTCGATGGTTGAAAGATTTGGTCAAGTCTTCTTCCGTACTCTCGCTGTTGGCCATCTGAAATATCGCTCGAAAGGGGTGCGAAATATTGGATCGTGATAGCAGAATCGACAGCTGCCCTTTTTCAAATTGATAAGGCGTGTCGCACTTGCATATCGAGCACCCAATTTGTTTTCCAGAGACATCAATCGATAACCGCATATGCAAAGGATGCTAACGACAAGTACACAGCAAACATCCTCGGACAAACGACAGGTGCACAAATGCGTGGTCAAATGGGTATCAGTACAACGAAGTCAAATAAGTGAAGTGTGCGAGGCTCGACGCTTTCTGAGGGCGGCGTACGTGAAAGCGAAGGCAAATGGTCGGTCTGTCCAGCTGGTGCAGGTGGGTAGACACGTTCAGGTGGCACAGCTGCATCGCCGACATTTCGCACGTGACGTCGTTAATCGTTGACGATCGCATTGAACAATTGCAGAATCAATTTTCACTCTGATAGGCACACGGAGTTTGAATTGTCAATTCACACAATAATATGTGGCACGAAAATGTCTTTCGTATTCGTAGCTTGGAACCCTTCAGGTTCCAGAGGGTTGCTCTCTAGCCAGAGAACATCATAATGCATGAAGCACGGTCTGTACTCCGACACTCCCACTATCCTCACGCCTTAGGATATATGGTCGCAGATCCGCCTTCTCCACGCCCTGCAGGCCGCCACTACCAGAGCCGAAATTCCTCAGTCGATCGCGCAAAGCTTCTGGGCCAATGACGAACAGGTTTGCAATCTCTGTCAACACTTCCAAGCTGGGATCAAAGGTTGCAGGCAGTTTCCATGATCGGAGAAGCTCAATGTACTTGGTAATGTCCTTTGAGACCGCCAAAGCGCCGGTTAATGAAACTTGGAATGACTTGAAATGCTGAAGAAGCAATGCCCGGAGACCAACTGCGAGCTCTAATGAGAATGATTCCAACACGCGCCCTGATAGAGCGGTGGCAGCATCTGCGCGTAGCCTGCTGTAGAAAGTGAAGACGGTCTGACAAGTAGCCGTCTGAAGCTGATCGAGCTGTAGGGTAGCATCATCGCGCGGTCGGAAGTCAGTCTTTTTTTGTCCTGCGAGAGCACGTGTCGTCCACGCGAGCGCAGCATCGATCGTCTTCTGCAGGATGATATCGACCTTAGCTTCCATATTCTCCACAAACGTGCTGGTCTGTTTCTCCAAATCTCGACTGATAGTCAGATTGCTGGCTGCGAGGGGAAGAAGCAACATTTGTATTGTCGTGAGCATCAAATGAAGCACATTGATCGCCGTTTTCAAATCCCGGACGTAGCCTAGATCCAGATCTGGCTTGGTTTTGGCGTTGACCTCTGCCGCTGATGCAGCATCGATTGTTGCATCCAGAGCCGTCTCAAGGTAAACCTCTCCCAAGTTGGATACCAGCAGATGCAGGAGCTCGCGAATCTCCTTAGGTGTATCATTGCCACCACCGGCGAGCTCAAGTCCTCTGCCAACGCCTTCCGCGAGCCATTTGAGCATCCTCCTTGTGAAGGCGATGCTTAATTGTCCATCTTCGTTAGTCACCTCGATGTCCGTCGGTGTCTGATCTTTGGTGTTGTTTAGTCCAGCCACCCTCAACAGCATGGCCTTTTGACCTGGTTGCAGGTCAGTGCTATCCAATCGCTCAATGTATGCTTCTCGAGCGCTGCTGATGAACTCTTTGCTGCGGGCCGAGAATGAAGCAAGATAAGTGCTAGACTGCGCTTGCAGCTTCTTGCGCCGAGAGTGAAAAAGAGCAAATTTGAACAGCAGTCCTTCGAAGAGTTCTCCAAGGTTGCGTTTCTCACGCTCTATGTAGCTTGAGCCGGTGAAGTATGGCATAAAAACTTCGTCCAGTTGCTGGTCCAAAATTGCCGCAGTCGTCGATGACGCGGGTTCCGGATGTTCAGTGAGCCCATGTGCCTTGAGGTCTTCGACCAGAGCTGCAAGATATGACTTTGATGCTTGTAATGATCGTAGAAAAGCCAAGGAGGAAATATCATCCGCTTTGTTGAGGACCATCTCTAATCTCTGTTGAATTGATTGTTGAAAGACCCGTTGTACGAAGCGTGCAAGTACCTCTTCGTAGTACGGGAATGCACGTTTAATGATGAAACTCTCCTCCTGCACAACGACTTTGACCTCGTCTATAAGGGACTGAAGACTGAGTTCAACTCCGGGTGGCTCCATGTCAGGATCAGCAAGACGACCCCACGTATCATTGTCTATCACCAGTTCCTCTGTCACCAATTGTGATCGGTCGATGAAGAACTGGTGTTGGTTGACGAACAAAGAGACGACAGAGCTTCCCTCATTGAAGTCGCGCAACGCGATTGCGTACTCACGCATTCCAGCGAAGTTCTGTCTCCGATAGTACTCGTCGAAAGACTTCAACAGATCCTTTTCAAGCATCTCTAGAAATTTCTCGATAATCTCTCGAGGCTGATTCGTGCTCCTAGCTCGTCGAGAAGTAGCAGACGCCGGGTCATGTTCTTCAGACGTCTCGCCCAGGCCATGATTTCCATTCAGAGTAGGGCCCTGGGTTTCTGAACTCGGGTCCAGTCTCTGGGATATCTTGAGCAACTGTCGTGCAATGTGCGCGCATCGGACCTTCCCTTCTCCTCCGCCCATCTTGCGAACATCATCCAATGACGACAGATCCCCACGCTCGCTGACTTCAAGCCAGCAATGTAGAATGAACTTGGCGTCCTGCGCCTTTTGTCTCTGTCGATCTAGCTCTTCAAGTCGCTCGCCAATGCGCATCGCCGCATTCCCACTGCCGTCATCGTCTCCATCTAAAGTCCTCTCGAGCTTTTTAAATGAAGCAATGGCACGGTCGAGCTCCTTTTCCCGTGATTTGATGTTGGCATTGTGCTGGACCTCCGCTCTCCGCACGCTTCCGCTGAGCTCGTTTTCGCGCTCTTGAAGATCCTCACTGAGGGTCTTCAGCTTACCAAGAGCATGCTCAAACGTTCGGATCAGAGGTCTTGGGTCGAAGGCCTGACTTGGTTGTGTGACCGTGTTGGGCGCATATGACGAGAGCGACTTTCGATTCGGTATCGCTGATTCGGAAAGGGATTCTACAAAGTCCTTGACGATGAAGTCCTTGCTGCTGAAAGTCTCAAGGGTGAAGACCTGAACATTGCGAGTTGGCTGCAGGGTGCCTGGCCGAGACGATGACAGCGATGATGTCGCATCTGCACTGTTGATGCGCGCCATTGCCGGCGGTCCTCCGAATGTTCTAGCCCAGAGGCGAAGTCATCACTGCTTAAATTGTTGGCTCAAAACCTAGTTGAGCAATTCAGCTCTCAAGTGGCTGCGAGTATGCAGTGGGATCGAGAAGTTGTTCATGCGCAATATGATCCATGCTCGGATGTTTCGGGTCACCGCAGTTGACCCATGAATCTATCGGCGGGCTGAGCGGCAGCTCCCGCCTAGGAGACCATCCCACGTGCTTTGCTCGCCAGAAACATTCAACTTTCAGCCCTCCATGGAGACACGCAGTGCACATGGGCAATCATTGGATGATGTTGACCTCTTGAGATTATTCTTGCACATGCCACAAATAGTCCTTCATTGCGAGTGCTTCATGGAGGACGACTTACTGTCCGGCCATGTGTGCTTTCCAGCCCAGTTGGACAGGTCGATGGAGAGTAGGGTAAATCCAACAATGTTCCGATGGGGTTCAATTTGCGGAGGTTATTCGGGGCACCGTCCCTCACCTCCGATGGCGCGACTCATCCATCACGCGACCCTGGATCGTCACAATACTAAAGACGTGACGACCCTCGGAATGGACGGCCTTGGCTCTCGATGAATGGATCATCATGGATCATTCGCTCCACAGACGCACGCGTGTGCCTGTGCGAGATGGTGTGCGGCACAATCACAACAGCCTACAGCCTTCGCACTTCCTTTATCTCTACTGAGTCGCGTTTTCGTCATCGCAAGATAGTGGTTTGGAACTACCTGCAGAAAGCTTGTGCGCAGAGTCGCTTGTGCATGCGGCCGGCGTGGCATCCAATCCCGAACAAGGTATAGCCCTGCACCGGATCATAATTGTACTCGGACTGCGATCCCGCCTTCGGATCATCGTCCACATTCGGAATTGTGATGTAGCAGCGACGATCCACAAGACAACGCCACGCCACAAGTAGTGCATGAAATGGGTGCAAGGATGATCAAGGATGAGGGCCGTGGCTCGATACGAGCTTGTCTGGTGGGGCAGAATAGTGCTCCATTGTGCTTGAACGGAATGTATTTGCCGGAGGAGGTCGTACTCATATATTGAGCGAGATGGCACCTCTCATATCCTGTCGATTCTGCAGAATCAATCCTCTCACACTAAATCAAGATGGGTCTGCTCAAATCAGCTTCAATCTTTGCTCTGCTGTTTGCGTCCTCGACAGTCGAAGCATTGAGCTCCAGCCTTGGTGTACGCAAGCCTATCAGAGAGTTCGCAAAGCAAGTGAGTGCACATTACATCAGGCCATCAGAAGTCATTAAATTAACGACGCCACACAGATCGCGGATATCGAAGCAGGAGTCATTTCAAGGAGAGACATCAACCCCAGTCTACTCTATCCCAAACACACAATCGCGGTGCCTGTGGATCATTTTCACAATGAGAGCAAATATGAGCCACACAGCAATGCTACCTTTTCATTACGCTACTGGTTCGATGCCTCAAATTACCAAGCCGGCGGACCTGTGATAGTCTTGCAATCGGGAGAGACGAGCGCCGTGGGAAGATTGGTGTTCATGCAAAAGGGTGTCCTCGCACAGCTAGCGAAGGCCACGCACGGTATTGCTGTTGTGCTCGAACATCGTTATTACGGAGACTCCTTCCCTACTCCGGATTTGTCGACCAAAAATCTTCGTTTCCTAACGACTGAGCAAGCATTGGCGGACGAGGCGTATTTTGCTACTCATGTCAAGTTTCCCGGCCTCGAGCGTTACGGTGACCTTACCAGCAAGACGACCGCTTACATTTCCTACGGTGGATCCTACGCCGGCGCCTTCAGTGCGTTCCTGCGAGTACTCTATCCTAACATTTTTTGGGGATCGATCTCGAGCTCAGGAGTCACCGAGGCGCTCTACGACTATTGGCAGTACTTCAATCCCATTGCGGAAGGAGGCCCACCTCAATGTATCGCGACACAGAAAAAGCTAGTAAATGTCGTGGACAATTTGCTTCTCAAGAAAAACCGGACTTTAACCCAGCGACTGAAGGCCACTTACGGTCTTCCCAACGTCACTTACGATAATGACTTCGCGAATGTCTTGAGCAATGGCATCAATACTTGGCAGGAGTTAAATTGGGACCCTGAGTCGAGCAACCCGGAATTCTATTACTACTGTGATAATGTCACTTCTTCCCGCCTACTGTACAAGTTCTCGGAGGGAGCGAGGACTAGCGTCTCGGACCTGGTCGCAAAGGGTGGTTACGGAGACGATCCTGCTTTGGTAACAGCGGTACTCAACCAAATCGGCTATTTCAATCTCACGGCAGTGGCTCCTTGCTCACAGGACGGAACGACACAAGATCAATGCTTCAGCCACCACAACTATACATTCTATCAACAGCAGAGCTTGTCTGCCTATCCCATCCGGTCATGGGCTTATCAATACTGTAGTCAGTGGGGCTATTTGCAGACCGGTAACACTCCAGCTGGACAGCTGCCACTCATTTCACGCCTGCTAGACCTCGAGTACGAAAGTATTGTCTGCCGGGCTGGTTTCAATATCACAACACCGCCGGATACCGAGGCCATCAACAAGTACGGTGGATATGATATCAATTATCCTCGACTGGCTATCATCGATGGAGAATATGACCCGTGGCGCCCGGTCACGCCACATGGGTTTGGGTGAGTTTTGGTGAGGTCACATCTCGAAAGATCAAATCACTAATCCAACGTTACAGCTACGGCGCCAAACAGCGATCCAGTACATACAGTGAACCTTTCATCCTGATCTCGGGCGCTGTCCATCATTGGGACGAAAACGGCCGCTTCCCAAATGAAACGACATCGACCATTCCGCCGCCAGCAATAACGGAGACGCAAGCGATCGAGGTTAAATTCGTGCAGGCGTGGATGACGGAATGGCAACAGCGGCGGACAGGGTATGGGCAGACGCGTGACGGCTATGCAACAAGCTCTTTGAACATGGCGTTGTCGTAGAACCTGAATAGCCTGATTACTGCGTTGTTGAAATGCATAATGACTTCTTACATGAGGTGTGCGATTGTGACGACCGTGAAAGTACCAATGTCGTATAACATCGCCTCAAAATCCTCTAGTATACTAAAATTTCAAGAAAAACTCACAGCGAGATACGTTCGTCGAAAATCTGTACTACCTATTGTTTACTTGCGTACGTGCATGCCGAAGCTCGGGATTTCAAGATAGACATAGGTACCGACGTCAACAGATGCAGCCCTGCTGCAGGGGTACTGGCGAGGCAACGGGTCGGGATCTGTTGGCAGCGGGAAAGGACGCCGTCGGAAGAATGTCTCGTGTGAGAGAAATGTCCGGTGCGATGAAGGGTTACCGGTCTCCTTCCACAGACATAATCTGAGACGGGCTTGCATGTTCCAGGTTGTTTCGCGTCCCGGACCAAGCTGAGCAGCACGTGAGAGGCGTGTGGTGGAGAAGCGCCCGCGGGATGATAGCAATGCCTGCATACGGACTCCGACTCTCATACAGAGTGCCGCACTATGCATCGTTGTCATCACGCGTGCTCCTTTAGCTATTCGGGGACGTATGGACCGCAAAGCGATGTCGATAGCGGACGCTCACGACGACATGACGAGATTCTCCGGCGTCCTGTACCGTCGAACATTCGCAGACAGCTGGAGCACAGCGATGGTGTACCACGTGTAGGGGCAGGCTGCAGACCACTACTATTTCTTGGTCGGCATGTCTCATCACGGCGATATTATGCGTGCGGCCTACTCGTCACCCAACATTGTTGCACACGACGAGCTCGGCTATCGTGGCTGTGCATGACTGATTGACTGTGATCCATGGATTGCCAAGTTCAACGACACATGCCTGGAGGAGGTGCCATGCCCTGCCACGCGCCGTGTCACGATTCGCTTCGTCAACGAAAGTCTCGGCGGCGTGCGTCCCCTTTCTTGCGGGAGCGCCAAGGACGTCTGGGCGACGGTAGGGCAGGCTCGTAACACCCGATCCGTGACACACCATTGGCTATCACGGACTGCGGAAATGCAGTATGAGATGACTGATTTGATGAGACCGTGTTGTGTCATTCTCTGGCCTGTATATCACGCGTGAGCGCTGCGGCTGAGATGCTTTATGGTGTACACGGCCGAAAGAACGGAGAAGAATGTCGTAAGGGATCTTATTACAAGCCTGGTGATGGCGACGCTCATCAGCTGCAGAGAAGGCCTGGGGCTAGTCGGTACAGTAACGAGCTGAGAACATCGGCCAGTAACATCCGAGCAACAGTCGGCACAGCAGCGATGGCGATACAGTAGAAGGCGCGCACCCACCCACCACGTGGCGGACACAGCAATAATTGTCTGCCCCCGTTCCTGCGGCTGCGGGAGTATCTCTGCCCGGACTTTGCACAGCTGGAGGTCTTGGAAGCCCGCCGTGCGCTGCCGTTGACGTCTTTCTAATGAATATTACCTACATATAGAAGGAATGCACCAGCCTCGTTGTCCTGAATGCTAATTAGCCCATGAGACCACACAGAAGCAGCGACCGAGAAAATCGCATACACAGTACGGCTCAAGAGGCGTTTCTAGTGTCGCAGCCGACTCGTCTCCGATACTGTGGCTCACGGAGCGATACATTACCGGCGGGTGCAACCACATACAATCCACGCCTGGGCACCCTACATCACTACCGACCCTAACGCTAACGCCGCTACTCCGCGTCGTCGGCTCGCTTCAATAATAACCACTTCGTCACCCGTGATCTCTTCGAGATTGAATGGCCCATTTCGGCGCACGACATCATGTGTTTCGGCGGCAGCAGCAAAGATGATGCCGGTGCGCAAAAGAGCAAGGAAATCGAGCGCCAGCTCAAGGACGACCAACGCAAACTGGCCAAGGAGGTCAAGCTGTTGTTGCTTGGTGAGTGTCACCGCGGACGATGACGCGCTGCGAGCCGATGACTGCAAACGACATATGCTGATCATCTCTTTCAGGAGCGGGCGAGTCGGGCAAATCAACTGTCCTCAAGCAGATGCGCTTAATCCACTCCAAGGGTTTCACACCAGCGGAGCGGAACCAATGGAAGGTCACCATCTTCCAGAATCTTTTGCAGTCGTTCCAGACGATCTCGGGCGCGATGGAGGAACAGGAGGTGGAATTTGAGGACAAGAAGAATCTCGTACGTGGAATGCGTCAGGACAAACCTGTTTGCGACGATTGGTTAACAATGCTACTCAGCGTTTCGCCGAGCTTATCTTTTCCGATCCTGATATTGGACCGAACGAGCCAATGCCAATCGATTGCCTGAACGCCTTCAGAAGTCTCTGGAATGACACAGGTGTGCAGGCGGCAATCAGCAAAGGCAACAAATACGCGCTCCACGACAATCTCTCATAGTAGGCATTATTGGTCCGGCTCAGACGGCGTATCGCTGACTCCATCGTAGTTTCTTCACTAACATCGAGCGATTGTTTGCCAAAGACTACATACCAAGCGACCAAGATATTCTTAGGGCACGACTTCGAACGACGGGTATAACAGAGACCATCTTTGAGACTGGCCCGCTTACTTACCGTATGTTCGATGTCGGAGGACAAAGGTCAGAACGTAAGAAGTGGATTCGTGTCTTTGACGGAGTCAATGTCGTGCTCTTTCTGGTCGCGCTCAGCGGCTACGATCACGTGCTGGTAGAAGATCGGAATGGAGTAAGTAAAAATCGCTCCCAGTGCAATGAGCCTTGCTAACCAGTCAGAATCAAATGCAAGAAGCTCTCATGCTATTTGAGAGCATCGCAAACAGCGTCTATTTCCAGAGATCGGCTCTTATTCTCTTCCTCAACAAAAAGGACATTTTCCGCGAGAAAATCATGTCCGGGCGGTCGCCCATTCAGGAGCACTTCCCAGATTACTCTGGGCAGCCTTCCGATGTTGAGGCAGGCCAAGAGTTCTTCAGCCGCAAATTCAAGAACCTCGTCCGGGATCCCGACAAGATTGCATATGTCCACTTCACCAACGCCACAGACACGAATTTATTAGAAAACACGATGCGCAACGTACAGGACATGATTGTCCAACGTAATTTGAACAATCTCATGCTGTGAGCTCTCGAGCCCAAAAGCGTCCAAATTTTGGGAGAAAAGACGGCGGCCCCTTAAGTCCGTCTCGTGTCACTGCAGATCTCCGAACGCACACAATCTGCGGAGATTGATGACCGTGTCGATCTACCGCTGTGCGACCTGTCTTGTGCCACGCACATTGCCGCTGGGAAAGAAGCCGGAAACATGTGACAGAAACAGTCCATGAGGAGGAATACGGCCAAAAGGTCTGATTACAACAATTGCAACATGACTTCTAGACACCGCCGCATCCGGCATTGCATCGTGCCATACTGCATGCGAGTGTGATTTACATGGGCGAGCGGATTTATGGTTTCGGGAAGCCGTCGATTATTATTACTACTGTTTGGCCTGGGACAACCCGGAGGGTGTCCCGACACGATGCGGGAGGCATTTATATCTCCTAGAGTCCTGTGTGTAGATACCGTGGCTGTTTTATGAATCAAGCTTGTACAATCTGCAATCGGGAAAATTCAAGCGGAAACATGATCCAAAAGCCGCGCATGTTTCAGTGAAGATTGTTCTCGGACGAAAGCTCGCGTTATTCCATCGCAGACGATTTGCTGATCATTGGGAAGTAGATGAATTGAAAGGTAGGTCCAAAGGGACGAAAGGATGAGATGCACAGAAGTCGTCACATGCGTATCGACGTCCCCATTCACTCAATTTGTCGAATAAGTGCTCCCAATCATCTACAAGTCACGGCTTGATGACTTGTAGGCATAAGAGCTCGACAACGAGACCACACTATGCAAAAGGTTGATCATTACAGGTGAGCATGTATGGATATCATGTGAAGGGTGATAACAGAGCTTGGGTTCGCATGTTGACTTGTCGTTCCAGCATAGAGGGTGAATGTCACGACAATCGAGCAAGTCTCGCTGACCTGACTTACTGCAGTCATCAAAAGGCCTGACTTGCTTCCAATCTCTCAGATCTGCCGCTCCAAGATCCTCGGATCACGCGACGTTCAAGACTCTCTTCGAAAACAACATGCTCTCAACTCTATGCGACCTCGACCCAAGGCCGAATCTCAAGATTCCGATCCGTGTCTGTTGAGATGCTGCCGAAGTCCTAATCCTATGCCTTGTCGAAGCAGCAAAGTGAATGCAACTGTCGCAGAAGTTCGGACGAAATCTGTCGAGGAACTCATTTTTGGTATCATGGAGTGCGAATTCAACATCGATCCAAGCATGCCGGCCATTAACGGAATGACGACAAAACGGCGGGATTCTGCTTGTGACCCTGAAATCTGCTCTCAATTGACGAAGCAGACTAGGAAAATCCAGGCGTATCCCTACGATCCTGAAGGTTGGCTGAAGAGAGCTCAGATCCTGGAGGGATTGGGTTTCCCCGAGCTCGCAGTCGGAGACGCCCACAAGGCGCAGATGCTGTGTGATGAGGTGCAAAGTTCTGAAGAGTCAAATTATGTGCTGGGCTACAAGATGGGATTCCGAATCTTAATGGACGATGATCGAATTGGATGTGAGACATTCCGGACTGGACATGCATCACGCATCGAAAGAAATCTGCATGACTACCGGCAGCTCATTGCTCAGTTGTGCCGACGGAATAGCCATTATACGCCTCGTCAGTATCCTTGGACTAAATCTGAGCATCGGTATCGGGATGATGCTCAACTCAATACCTGGAATGCTGAGCTTCTTGCTAACGGGAGATCGAACCCGAAAGGACCATGCTGCATCATTAAACGTGATGCGTTTGGCGACAACAGAGGCCGTGCGAAAGAATCGGAAGTGCTTGGAGTCTGTGCTACTCGCTCTATAGCGAAAGGAGAGATTGTTTTGACTGATCCCGCTCGCTTTCGGGTGAGTATCTCACAGTGAAGTCAAGCCCAGCTTTGCCGCTGACATGGGACAGGGGCTTAACCATTTCGTGGCAAAAGTGAAATCCCGAGATCGTTCACGAAATCGATCAAAGTCACAACCAGTTCCGGAAGTCGACGAATTCGACTGGATCCGCCAAAAGGCTGGTAAGCATGCCGCCGATATCATTCTACGAGCACGCGTGCTCGAGAGTTGTGTTTCACCGCACACCAGGCATCCTTTAGACCATCCGGTCATCGCGAGGCTTGTGGCATGCTACCGGACCAACGACACCAGAGAGATCCTGCCTGAAATTGACTTCAGCATCCTCAATATGGTCTTACAATATCTAGGAGTGGATATTTTCGCTGATCATCGATACGACACATGGGTACTCTATACATTGCAGGCACGTATCGAAAACAACAGCTGGAGTGATCCTGGAATCACCAGTCTGAACATCCTCTTCTGCGCGTTCAACCACAGCTGTGAGCCAAATATCGATTGGCGCCTGGACCCAGCCGATCGGAGCCCCAGCACTATAAGGCTCGTTGCGAAGCGTGACATCGCTGCTGGTGAGCAGTTGTTTGTCATTTACGACCAATATCTTACCGAGGCCTGCTTGTCGAACAGACGGGCCAGCATGCGGCATTGGCTCGATGCTGACTGTCGATGTGTGAAGTGTCTCAGAGAGGAGGCTGTGCTTCAGAACGGGTCGGAAAGGAAATCGAAACCGGATGCGATAGATTGGATGAGTGGAGACATACAGCTTTCTGAAGCCGAGCTGGTCGATCAGGCCGCTGAATCGCAAGAGACTGGATCGACGAATGTAACCCAAGTGGATAATCAAGGCATCTTTTGGTGATCAGAAGTATCTTGCACTTTGAGTCCGGGAGCGATGATGAGTGCATTGATCTGAGCTGCAAGAATATCAGTGGATGAATGCAAACGCATCCAAAGACAAATCCATGGAATCATCTCGCCAGTGAGTAAAGCATGACTAAAGCAAAGATAAGGTCAAAATCCCTGCACGATGGGCGATTGCGCAGGTTCCGCGTAAAGTCTTATTTCTGCAATCATATAGATACATACATTCCATCGCGTTTGTCAAAAGATACATGATACAAAGCTATTTAATGGGCCCATCGCTCAAATGTCATCATCGGAGTCGCCCAGGAACTCGCCCTCATCAGGGTCCATCACAGCGTAATTGCCTCGCTGGAAGCTGCTTCGGCTGGTGTATGGACGGCTGCTGTAACCCGACCGACTCCGGCCCAGTCTAGTCGAGATGATCCTCCAGAGGCTGCCCGCGAGCATTGGTAAAGTCGCGAGCACGGCCACAACACCGGAAAGGGCGATGACGGGATATTTGATCCATGTCGCATCGCGGTCGAAGGCGCCGCGTGAGCTCGAGCCGAAGCTATCGCCGAGCTGAATGCGACCGAATTTGCCATCCCAGTTTCTGAATGCCCAGTAGCCGATTCCAGCCGCGGCGGCGATGGGCAGGAAGATGGCGAAGAAGAGGCCCACGCCGCTGATGCCGTGCTTCTGATTGAATTCTTCTTCGTGGTTGGGACAGGGATGCACGATGCTGGTGTATTCAAGGTCGCGCCCGCCGGTGCATGTGCTGAGAGGGATGCGGCGGTAGCCGGTGATACCGAAGTATTCTGTAAGTTCAGGATTCTTCTTGCACACCTCCGCAGGATCAGCCTTGCTGAGACCCGGTACGAGAGTGCACTGGCCGTGCTCATCGCTCTCGTAATTGTAGTCACATTCGAAGTCCTCTCGAGTACATGAGCAGTTGCGGCCAATGCTGTGGAGAGTCTCGGGCTGTCGACCGATGAAACAGTTCCGCTCGGCCTTCTTACGGTGGTACTCTGTCACATGGCCGAAGAGGCAATCGTCGTTCAGGAGAGGATGCTTTGGTGACCAGAGATCGTAGTCGCTCTTGCCCTCGTTAGATTCGTCAATCTTGCATTGCTCGCTTCTTTCCTTCAAGCCGCTGAAGTCGATGTTGACAGTCGAGAGCTTGCCGCCAATTCTGCCCCAGAGCAGGAAATTGCGGCTCGTGTCGCTTGGTACAGTAGAGATGTCGTCGACGATCATCTCGCTGCCGAATTTGTATTCTTTCCAGGTCACGCCTTCGTCCAATGAGTAGCGGATGGTGCTGGTCGACTCGCCCTGCTTCACAATGACGACAATGGAGCCTTGATCACCATATTCCCACATCCAGTTACCCTTAGCGACTAAATTCCAACTAATACCACCATCCCTGGTGACGAATGTGTCCGCATCAGCCTTGCGACCGAGGAACTCGCCGACATTACCGTTTGCAAACATCATGCCGATTGCACTCGCGGAACTGAAAGTGTCTCGAGGATCGACGCGCTCAGTGTAGCCATGCAGATGCAGAGCACACTTGTCACCGGACGACCTACATTCGAACGGATCTCCGATTTCCCGCGGGGGATCCTTAGGTCGGGGAATGAGCGCCCAGGCGGCACCGTCATTGTGGGTGATGTATGTCTTCAACTTCTTCGACGCACCACCGTCGACATCCTTGGCATTGGCCACGCGGTTGATGAGAGCGACACCTTCGATACCCTGCATCTTTTCAAAATCGACAAATCCATTACGATTTCTGTTGACTTCTGAGACGGACAGGACGTAAGAAGTGCCGTTGCTGTTGCTCTTGAGGATGCTTCCGTACTCTTGGTCTTCCTTGCCGTTGACCGTAACATGAAGGAATACTGCGTGTGTGCTTGAATCGAGTACAGTGTATGCCTGCTGATGTGGGACATTGAAATTGTGAGGGAACTTGGCATCCGCAAACGTTACACCGTCGATGCTGGTATCCACCTTCAAGGACTTCTTGTCCTCATCGCGAACTGCCACCACGAGGTACTCCGCCATTGACGCGAAATTGATGACGTCGGATTTCATCTTAGTCTTGTGAGCGAACATGTCGTCACTGCTCAGTAGCTGAACAGGCTCATCTCGATTCTCGTTCTCGTACTGCTCGCAAAAGATGCGCTTCTCCGACTCTGGCCGGTCTTCTCTATAGACGAAGAGACATTTGCGCACCGCGGGAAGAAGCTTCTCCCAGTCATCACCTCCTTTGAACGAGACATGTGCCATGGACGTGCAATCGGATTTCGACGCCCCACTACAGTCACGACCACCAGTCCAAATGAGCCAGTCCTTGTTCTTGGGATGGAACTGTATGATCTGAATATTTTCGTGAGTCGGTGATTCGGGAGCTTTGAAGTACTTGTATTTCTTCTCAAGGCCACGATCCGCCGAGTAGAACACCTTGTCTTTAGGAGTGATGAAATATACGTAGTCGTTGATGTACTGATGTGGGTAGATTGCGAGGACGTCTTCGCCCTTCAGAATCTCGCGCCACGTCTTTCCATGATCGTGAGTGATCCATACGTCACGCTCTTTTGTTCGCATAACCACAGTCTCGTCATCGCCACGGGCTGTTGGCTCGCGCTCAAGATAGTACCACTCCAAAACTTTGCTTCCATCGAAGTTGGTGACCTCGCTCGATATCTCACCATTTGCGACGGGTGTCTTGCTGTCCCCACAAGGACGGGATACTGGCTTAGCCAGGTCAACGCCGCCCTTACACTGATTGCCTGGGACCAAGCGATAGCCGGAAGAACCCTCAAACTTGCCACCATCACTTTGGCAAGCATCTTTGGGGGCCTGAATCGGACCCGCGGGAACGCACTTATCATCCTCAAGCCTGAAGTTGTAGTCACATTCGAAGTCTTCTTTGGTGCACTCACATTTCTCTGACTCCTCCACAGGATCGGCGAAATCGTCGTTCGCGACGATACAGTCCGCGTCCGCTTTTCTTCGCTTGAATTTTTGAATGTGGCCCATGACACAAATGGGCTTCCCTTTGTCGTCGACCCGCGCCGTCCAGACCTCGAAGTCACTATCCTTGCATTCGCGTTCATGCAAACCCTCAAAATCGAAACTGACGGTCTGCCAGGATGCCTTCTTTCCCTTGCCCACCGATGCGACTAAGAGAAATTTGAGCGACGTCGAGTCGGGAGTCGTTGTCAGTGCAAACGGAACCACTTTCTTATCGAGTTTCGTTGACGACCATTTTTCACCATGATCGAGAGACCATTTGATCTCATCCGTTTCACCATCTTCAATGGCGACAAGCACGGATCCTTGAGCACCGAATTCGTAGATATGTGGGCCCTCGAGCGCACGTTTCCAGTTGAGACCGGCATCGTCGGAGACATAAAGGTCGCCTTTTTCGTACGCGTTCAAAGTCTTTCCTGTGTTGCCGACTCCCATTACCATACCTGGCGCTGAACTGCTGAACAGGCGTCCGATGTTTCGTTGCTCAGTGACGGAGTGAAGGTGCAGTTGTTTCGAGCCAGCCTTGAGATCTTCCCAGGTATGTCCGTCGTCGAAAGATATCTTGGACGCAAGCTTTTTCTCGGCATCCCGCGACTTCTCCAGTTCTTCGTGGTTGTTCACAACGTTCACAAGGACGACACCCTGTAGGTTGGCGACCTTTTCAAAGTCGACGAAACCTTGAGCGTTTCGATTGGTGTGATCTATGTTCTTCGTGAACTCTGTGCCATTGCTGTTGGACGTGAGAAGGTTTCCCATCAGCGATCGCGTTGGCATAACGTCCACTTGCATGCTGTAGTTAGTACTCTCCAGCAAAGTATACGCATTCTCCTCCAATTTGTGCTCGCCAAATTCGGCGCGGCGCCATGTCTTCGCGTCATCTGTGACGTATAGAGCCAATTCGACGGTTGCTTTGCTCTTGGCCGCGAACACCAAATAGCGCCTCACGGCTGCAAGATTGGTGATTCCCTGGATGGTAATACCTTCGACACGCGGCTCTTCTTCCGTCTTGAAGAAATCGGACGACGTAACAATCCTCAATTCGGAAGAGAACAAGGAGAACTTGCCAGTCGCAACACACAGAATGAGATTGGAGTCAAGCTCCTTGTCTCCTGTCGTAAATAGTTCCGTGGATTTAGCCCAAAGACAATTGACTAGGCTATCCCGGAGTCGTTCAGTTGTCTTGAACCCGTCGAGAGTATAGAATACGAGATCTTCACAGAATGGTCCAACACATGACTGTCCCATGAAGATCATGCGCTTAGGATCGGTCGCATGAAACGCGATTCCAGGCCTTATCCGCGAAGCAGGTTCCGGTGTACTAAACTCCTGCCACGTCTCTCCGCGATCCGAAGTCATCCAATGTTTGTTGTGTCCACCTACTGCGACTGCAACTCTTCGATCATAGGGATGCATCAGGACGTCCAATACGTCGCCCTTTTCCACGCCCGAGAGCGGCTTCCAGTTTGCGCCTCCATCACTAGATCGGTATGCCGTATGCGCATCTTGGTCCGTGAATAAGGCGACATCACTGTCCTCGAAGTAAAGGAAATTTGATGGAATTCCGTCAAGGTCGGTGGTGATGATATCGGGCTTGTCCTTCTTTCCAGATGCTTGGAGTATCAGCAGAGACAAGAGAAAGCCGAGAATAACTCGGAACGGGCCAGCTGGCCGATGCATATTGGTGGATGCGATTCTCGAGTGATTGTAAATCGGACCAAGTCAGAATGGCGACATGTGAAGCTTCAGCAGGCAATGAATGACCTGATAATGCGAGTGGACAATTTAGAGTGAGGAAACGCGGCCAATTGACTGAACGCGGGAGTGGCTATAAGATGACGCCGCGCTGGCGATCCAAACGGGGCTGCCGTTGAAGCCTAGATAGGTACGCACGCGACAAGCTCTGGCTTGTTTCCGGCTTTACGGCGTGTCGTCAGCTCCACCAAAGCTAATTTGTTCCCGAGCTATTACGATCTCTCACTCTTTGATCCCCCTCATAATGGATAGTTGATTATAATGTCACATCACCATATTTTCTTCACCGCACTAGTGCTGAATTGTATAAATTCTCGTCGTCAGGTGCCTTGAAACGAACTCCATTGATTGATAAACACATCGTTATCGTGCTTCCCGGATGTTATGAGTGTCTTGCGGGATAATGATCACATCCTCATCAACTGGTCGCCTGCCGACCCCATCATGCCTGCCTTCGATATCAGGAACAAGTTGAAATCCAGAATTCAAACGTGCTCTTGAACTCGACCTAGCAACAAGTCGTTTGCTGGCCAAGCTGCTTGCGGAAGCCGTTCCCAGACAGACCCTCTACTGCTCGATCGCATGGCATGGTTCAAGCAACATCCCGGAGCAGCGCTTTGAGGAACACATTTTGCTTCGCTATGCTGAGTGGGAAAAACTTTCCCGTGCATTGGGTATAATCTGCTAATGCTCCGCGTGATCGGAAATGCTGTGGTTCCCTGCCCTGGTTGTTGCAATGTACGAAATCGATGAGATTGACGTGAACGCTGCGGAGTGACTTTCAAGATGCCTCGTCAGCTTTGGTGTCTCTCGCTTGACTGTTGATGATCGTTCTTCGGAATCCCTCGCTGAATCCGCGCCAGAGACTGACCTTCCTGCACTGCGTGATGGACGGGCAAACAGCGACTCCTACGTCTTCGCAAAGACGCTGCCCTACAGGGATGATTTCAGTCAGCTCTGATATGTTCCGGCAGCGCACTCCTGTCACGCGGCTGAGCTAATGTACATACATGCGTCCAACCTGCTCTCGTTGCTGCCATACTGTTCGACAAAATGTTGCAGGACCGCGGATTTCTTCTTGACCATCTTGTATATGATTTGCAGCGTCCGATATTTGGGTTTGAGAGTTAATAGTGAACATGAAGATAATTCCTCTGCTCTGCAGGAACGAGGATGCTGTGATATATGTATTTCCAAGGCGAGCATCTTGCTGTGACGAGTAAAGGTTCGTGATTTTTCGCTGCATGTATGCGGAAGCACAAAGAATGAAACGGCATTCCGCATCTTGGTGTTTCAAATACTGCCTGTTGTGCCTTTCGGCGTCGCGGAATGTAAAGACCTGTTCGTTCATCAGTCGGATCCCTGCATTGAGCATTGGCTGTCCGTTTGTGAGCTTTAGACGCTGTCACGTTCGTTCGGAAAGGCACGCATTACAAGCAAACTGAGTGTAAAAGGGTATCAGATTAACATTTCATGTACAAAAATACACAAATCGTCTGTTAAATGGCGTCGTTCGTCCTACGCCACATGCCAAAAAGAAGGCGTCCAAGGCTTTCTAGTATCGTACGTCGTGTAGTACACCACGACGCTCCAGGCCTTGACAGATCCTCCACGAGAATTTTTCATTGATGAAAAGCTAGAATTTAAAGGGCAAGGGCGCCGAGAGCGACCATTCCGAGCATGCCAGCCATGGCAGTGGCGCGAGGGGCACCGTTGGTGCGCGGCATGGTGGACTGGAAGGCAGCTCCAGTGGAGGTGGTGGCGGTGGTGGGCGCAGAAGCTGCAGTTAAGGACATCGTCAGCCTAAATGAAGAGAACTCTCCAAAGATAGTTACGTACTGGTTCCTGTGGTGCTGGTGGAAGTGGCAGTGCCAGTTGAAGGAGTCGTGCTGGGCGAAATGGTGCTGCGGATGGAGGTGGTCGGGGCGGTGATGGTCAGAGAACTGAAGAGCGAGTTGGAGGCTGTAGCGCCGGTAGAGGTGGCAACAGTGTAAGTGGATTCAATGACAAAGAAGCCCGAGTAGTTGTTGATGCTGGGGTCCTGGTCGGAGATGATCTCCAACGCGTAGTCCGAGTTGCGGGTAATCTAAGACGGATGATTCAGTGATCTGCGGCGGCTTATTGTCCATTGGACGCTGTTATTACCATGCCGGGCACCGCCCATGTGAAGGAGCCGGTGTTCGGGATTCCCTCTGTCATACTGGTCAACACGACATGCACCTGCGCGCACTCGCAAAATACTAACTCTGAATCACAAGTCCAGTGTTGAGGTTGTTTGATGGGCCGGAGCGCAAGACAAGAGTAACGGTGCCTCCAACAGTGGACGCGGACTGCCACTTGATGTTGGCGGTCTGCCCAGCAGTGACAGCGAAGCCGGGGTCCAGGGTGAAATAGAGAGGTTTGTCGCTGGTGGTGGCATTTTGCGCGAGCGCGAGGAGAGGAGCCGCGAGGACTGTGAGAAGAGCGAAAAACTTCATTTTGAACGAGAGACTGGAGCGTCGGCTAATGACAGTAAGGATATGAAAATTGTTGAAGGCGATTGATAAGTTTGGTAGCGAAGCCTTTCAAAAGAGTGTTGTCGTGGAAAGAAAGCGAGCAAGTCAAAGGATATGGGAAGATTTTAGGATAACAGTCATGAATCGCCTGGGCACGTAGGCAAACGCATCTTCGCGTGATCGCATCTGCGCGATGGCCCCTTTTGGCCGAAGCGAGAAGAAATAAGGTTTAACGAAATGACAGAATGCAGAGGGGGCGAAATGGGCTGCAGGACTGGCGCCGATTTGAGAGATGAAGTCTCCAACGGCTTTAGCCGCACTTGTGAACCTATCACGCCTCGCGCGCACGCACTCGCGGCTGGGGCAATATCCTGTAATGTTTACTTCTCATGTATGTCCACGGTTGCGCCCAGGCGCTGTCCAGGTGTCAACGCATCGTTGATGCTTCGCGCGATGAATCTGGCAAGACTATGTTCTTGCTTTATTGCTGACTTATTATTGCCTGTAGCAGGTTGCTCGGCACGAATGCCCAAGGACAGTCCACCTTCCGCTGCCGCATTTGTCACCGTGGCGGCAAAACACGCGTCGGTTCTCGGCGTAAGCTTCGTCTTCTGCGGATGTCCAAGCAACCCGACGCGAAGCAAGCAAGCATACCTAGGTAATCTGTCATGGCGTGGCGATAATTCTTCGCTTCCTGATAAGATATACAAAAATCGAGGTGGTCAGATGATGCACGACGACAGCTATGGTCGTTCGGGGTGTCTCGCACTACGGGGTTGATGTACCCGATCCTCAACACCCCATCTCGCGTGTGATCTTCTTTGAATTGCTCAGGCGTGTGTAGGACTTTGGAATTCGTGCGTGAACTTGCCCGGACGTGGAATTTTCATAACTACCTAGGTAGGTAGGTGAGTAATATTGAACGCATGAAAATCATAACTTGACTTTCATCCGCTGAGTACTTGGCTGGCTGTATCTGTCTCGAAGCAGATCGCGATCGGTTTGAAACATCTTGTGCGCACGAAAATCCCTGGAGGTGACGGAAAATTCAGAGGGGTTCGGTGAAGTTCAGGGTGCCGAGATCCATCGGACGCTGTTCTCGTAGGCTCCGCGCGCTCCGGTCTGCGCTGTCTGTCTCATGATTGATGAGTTGAGACGGATCTGTTAACCGGCATCTAGTCATAGAGTGTGTAGCTACGCCCGCTATTTTCGCCCGAGGAAGGAGGATTCCGACCCATAAGAAAAGCCTGACTTTCCCCGGAGGCTGTTCACTGGCGTACTGCGTCGAGGCCGCTCTCATTACCTGGAGACTGGTAGTCTAGGTGCCTCATCAGCTTTCGCGTAGACTTCCGTCCTATGCCTAGCATTCGCGTCTCCTCAGTATATAGATCACATCATCGACGTAATAGTACAGCGTGACCATTGGCAATTGTCAGCGGTGGAGCAAAGAGTCGATAGATCGTGGGCAGCTTGCTCGTGACCGGGCTGGAGATGCTCTGAGATGCCAATGTGCAGATCCACCAGATCAACACATTCTGCGCAGCTCGAAATACGGCACTGCTCTTCGCTCTGTGACATTCGTCGCCTGCCAAAATCTTCAAAACCAGTCTCCAACGGCTGGCCGAGTGGAACGGGTCAGTGAGCGAACCGAGTGATTAGTCACGCTTTGCGATGAGTGCTTGGCTAATGAGCCTCTCCAACAGCCTTGTGCGCATGGCCAGAGATCAGCTGTGGATGGAAATCCCTTCTTTATTGAAGAGTAGCTTACAAAAGATCAAAAGCCGTTGTGCACGCTCCGTTTGAGAGGTCGTTTCCAGACTAATGATGCAGAACTCAAAAAGGGTACGAGAGAAGAACATGGATTGCATTGTGTCAGTAGTCTTCAGATTGTAGAATTTCAGTCGAAACTACTACTATGGATGAGATTGTTATTCTACAAACGTACGCAAGATCTTCGGTCTCGATACCTAGGTAGTGAAGATCGCAACAACTCGGCCTATTCTGGGGAAAGCGTTATCAATGATGCCATGTTCAACTACTAGGTACTTATGAATGTTTCGTGTCGTCCGAGGCGCTTGAACGAGGAAAGCATTGTGCAATATGTACTGCCTGGCAACAACAGTCAAGTCGGAAGCGTCGCGCCTTGCCTGCGGCTCATATCATGCACTCAAGAGCGTCCAGTTTGGGTTGCCTGCGTGCTTGTGCCCATCTTGTGCTGCTAAGCTCATGTATCCCGACGATGTTTCATGCTTACCTTCACGGGTGATCACGTGGTGAATCACGATGTTCTACAACTCTCGGAAGTAGAGAGCTCACGTGTGTTTTTTCCGCCTGGGTAAGCTCAAATCGTCTCGGCTGGATGCGTAACACAAGGCATCGACCTTGGCGGAGCGAATCATCATTACATGTATCCCACGCTTCCCGTAGACCATCTTCTAGAAACGCTGGAAACATGGGGCTGCATAATTGGTGTGCTAAGAATAGACAAATGTGCTTCCACCCACTCACAGCGTTGACTAGTCCAGATACAGTATGATTTGCATGAGGAGTGCAATCACCGAGCAGCCTTAGACTTCGGCTATGCACACAATCAAGTGCATGGGTCCTCACATTGGTGTCAAATGGATATTCCGTTGCAAAGTACGGATTCATGGTTCATAAGTCATTATATCATGTAGGAGCTGTCCATCTCGTGCACTTTCTCCTCTCTGAACGAAGGGCGGGGCAGTCTGCGCATACGACTGTGACTCATTTGTTTCCAGATCAGCTGGAAAAGTTGCGTTGCTGGCGGCTAAAAGCTGTGCTGAGGTGATAAGCCGTGCCCCCCGAACAGGAATTTGATTCTCTGTAGCACCGCCGTGTCAGCCACACATGCTTTCAGGAACAATTCACGTGTAGTAAATCTACCCAGACTTCATGCGAACAATTGGTGTGTAAAATGAACGGTGTGAGCATGAGCAATGCACACTCTTGTGTTCCGTTCTTACTAGGAACTTAAGACCTCGCAGGAGAACGCAGGTCCGGACGGCACAAATCCGTCGAATTTCAGGCATATTGTCACCTCACTCGCCGTCACACCACATCCCGAAGGACGTTGGAAAAGTTGCAAGATGTGGTACCGGGCAAAAATGAAACACGCGCCCGCGATCGCGCCATTCTTCGATGTGCTGATATCTGACTCGACCATGGTCCTCGATACTCTTTCGCAGGCTTCGAGAAGGGCAGGGTTGAGGTGTAGTCTGCGCGACCGGAGTGCAGCAAATCTTACCTGGTTGAGATTGGTCCTTCGATTGCTAGATTGCGCAATGCACTATCACGCCCTCAGCTCAGATCGAAGTGTGACATAATGAAACGGTAGTCTTGCGGATTCGAACAGCAGCGCCGTAGTGATGTCTGTCCGATGCTTGCCTTCACGATGGAGATGCGATGACATAGTTCATCACAGCAAGAGGGTGCCGATCATGCTACAGCCAATGCGACTCGCGCGACGCCTTATCCTCTTCTGTCAATTTGATCAGCCCGTGGCTTGCTCCCTTTCGCACGGAACCCTTCTCCCGAGCATCGTGCTGATGCGTGGCACATACGCCCCCTGATATCAGTAACGCAATGAAGGTGAAAACGCCAAGCGCACTTATCGTCTCACCGCAACATGTCTATTTCGATTGATTATTGGGATTGGGGCTCGCATGCAACCGCGTAAACAGCAAGCCTTGCACAGCCAAGACAAAAGCTTGTGGATGCGTGTGGTGCAGTAATCTATGCTAAATACGTTTATTTCTACCGCTCCCGCTCCCGCTCCCGTTCCGATCCTCCTGGCCTTTGCCAATAAACATCGGCGCCCGGCTCTGCTGCGACGCTTCCTCTGAGCCCTGCGAACAACGCAATCTGTTCGAGAGCCTGCTGGGTTCTTGCAGCGCTTTGCGGACAACAATTGCACGTCCATTTCCGTCGTCTACCCTCCACAGGTGAGTCTTTTCTGTGAGCCGTTGCGCCCGAGGACATCATCGAAGTTACGCAGAGGAGTGAACCACGAACTCAGCCCCCGACCATTGGACTCCCGGACTGGCAAATGATAGCAATCGCGAAACACTGCAAGGAAAGGGGACCTTGTGACAAGCCGCCTCCGCTACCATCCGTCTTGCTGCAGCCTACAGCAACACTGCACCGATGGCTCGATTGACTTTTGAAATCGCGCAGTCGGATCACCGCCACAGGAACAATCAACATTGCGCTTCCAACGGCGTCCCTCAACAACGCGCGCTGACACAGTCATTATCTAGGTTTGTCAACCGACAGCGACTCTCCTCCTTCAAACATACGTGATTGCATCACACTCGTATACTGCTTTCCGACGTCGAAAATCCCTATCTACGCCAGCGCGGCGAAACGCGCTTTCCATCTGGAAACATGGGTTGTGGTGCGAGCTCCGAGTCCAAGGAGGGCAAACAGCGGAATGAAGAGATTGAGAGTCAGTTGAAGAAGGACCGAATGAACCAGCGGAATGAGATCAAGATGTTGCTCCTCGGCGCCGGTGAATCTGGCAAGTCAACAATCTTGAAACAAATGAAACTCATTCATGAGGGGAGCTACTCGCGAGACGAGCGCGAAAGCTTCCGCGAAATCATCTTCTCAAATACTGTGCAGTCAATGCGCGTCATTCTAGAGGCAATGGAGTCCCTAGAGCTGCCACTAGATGATCAAAGAGCGGAGTACCATGTTCAAACCATCTTCATGCAACCACCGCAGATCGAGGGCGATGTCCTACCGCCGGAAGTCGGCCAAGCGATCAAAACATTGTGGGCGGACGCTGGCGTGCAATCCGCGTTCCAAAGGAGCCGAGAGTACCAGCTCAACGATAGTGCCAAGTACTATTTCGATTCTATCGACACCATTTCATCACCCACATACATTCCATCGGATGCAGACGTGCTTCGCTCCCGTGTCAAGACATTGGGAATCTCAGAAACAGCCTTTATCATCGGCGACCTGACTTACCGCATGTTTGATGTTGGTGGACAACGATCTGAGCGCAAGAAATGGATTCATTGCTTCGAGAATGTCACCACTATTCTTTTTTTGGTCGCCATTTCAGAGTATGACCAGCTCCTGTTCGAGGATGAAACAGTGAACCGCATGCAAGAAGCACTCACATTGTTCGACTCCATTTGCAACAGCAGGTGGTTCACCAAGACGAGCATCATTCTCTTCTTGAACAAAATCGACCGCTTCAAAGAGAAGCTCCCTGTCTCGCCAATGAAGAACTACTTCCCCGATTACGAAGGCGGTCAGGATTACACGCTAGCCTGCGACTATATCCTCAACCGCTTTGTTTCGTAAGTGCATTTGCTAAATTCTGATGTTAAGTTTCGAGTAGGTCTTTGGCTAATCTTTTTGTAGTCTTAATCAACACCCGACCAAGCAGATCTACACACATTTCACATGCGCAACAGACACCAACCAGATCAAATTTGTCATGGCTGCGGTGAACGACATTATCATTCAGGAGAACCTAAGACTCTGCGGCCTCATTTAATTCTTTGGCTGCGAGTGGCGCTGCTGCCGAATTGCTGAGCTGGAGGGGGATCATCATCTTGCGTCTTACTGCTCGGCGTCAACGATTTATCCGATGCGCATCTGGATATTGTCGAAGATCAAACCACTCGCAACTGAAAGACCTCGCTCTAAGCTTCATCGCTTCGACAAGTTGATGCTGGACATGCCCCCTACAGTCTACGACTCAAGAACCGGCCGAAAATTGAATGACCATGGCGTCCGGGCAGTATGACAGCAAGAATCCATATGCTCATCCAGGGTGCCATCTTTCGCATGCGTCGGAGCACCCTTTGTCCATGTTCCCTCGCATTCTTTTGTTGATGTACATTCCTTTTGTTACTGCACACCATGATTCGCTGGCTCTTCCCATAGCTGTTCAGGCGTGGCTTGCGGCCGTTTAGCTACTTGCACTCTCATGCGCGCACAGGGTGCAAGAAAGACCTCCCAGGCCAAGAGACTTGAGGCTGAGAATAGGGACGAGAATACCACTGGGCCATATTGCAGGAGTGGGGCGTTATTTCATCTCGTCATATTGTATGAGTGCGGTGCTTTTACTACTAGTTTACCTTTCATCTCACGCCTTTTGCGAAGCCTAAATGCATATCTCTCTTCTCGAGATTCTCAAATACTATCGGCTTCCTCATGGTGCGTCTACGGACCCGGCTGTACTCAATCTGAAAGCCTTGTTCTGTCTGTGGCTGGAAGAGACGAAGCAAGCGCACAGTTCGTAAACTTGTCGCGAGATACAATTGACGGTAGATATCTCTAGCGAGAGATACTCTCTAGTCACGGTGCCTCGCCTGTCTTGTGCCAATATGGACTTGATCAAATAGAGAATTATAATTGGTAACTATTATCCACAGTTGATCAGCAGAATTGTCTTCGTGTAGGGAATCTTGATATCAGCTATACACACTTCAGCATCCTGGCGAACGTAATTTATGCATGAACTTCTGGGGGTCCCGCAACACCAGCCCCGTAATTGTGGGTTGTTCTGAAGGAACAATCCCGAGGCTCAATGGCATTTAATTAGTGGGTATGCATGTCCATGATAGGCACTGTCCAGCTAGCATGTTCTGTTATGGTGTCTAATCATTAATAGAACATAACGTGAATCTCGCCACACAACCACACATTTGTCGTGCTACGCTCTTTCACGGCCAACTTCACTCGTCAGGCAACAGCAAGAACGCCCTTGTACACTTACAATCACGTTGGACGTCTGTCGACACAGCAATCGCCGTAGTCATGAGTCGATGGCTTTTTGGACCTGCTCTTCCAGCGAATCCGCTGCGGGCAGTGGATGAGCTCGCCGCAAGTAGGCAGTAGAGGTCACAGTATGCAAGCTGCCAGTTCTAATATATGTTACAGTTGACGAGGTAACAGCACAAGCCGCTTGGGCTATGAATGATGGTATGACTCGTGAATAATCTCAGCCCGTTAACACCACTGAACGATGATCCACAGAAGTCAAGCGTGCAGAAATAGAACTGGCTAAAGGAAACACGGCCTTTCACAAGGTTCGTTGCCAAGTGTGACCAAAGACGAGCACAATGCTGACTTCACCGAAAGCTCGGATTAGGTGCAGCACTTTTCTGGCAAGGTCTTCTTGGCTTCGACAAACAGATTATGTCGAAAGCGACACAAGTCCTACTCGAAGCTGAACAGAGCGCAGACGAGCATTACAACATGGTAGTGCGAGATCCAACAACTGGGCACCAGAGCAAAGTTTATCCTCCGGGATCGGAATACTTGCTCGTGCAAGCGCATGCCCAATTACTTGGTGCCATTCTCGGCATCCTGAAGGAAAGCTGGACAGAAAGTCTCACAGGGTTGAACAAACTGCGGAAAGGCTACGCAAGCTTGGCAATTCTACATGAGGCAGAAAAGAAATACCTCGCAGCAAACCCGCCAGCAGCTAGACCAAACGGAAGTGATGATGTGAACAAGCTGGAAACCGCAGACAAAGGAATTGCTGCAGCCGATGACAGTAAGAGCGTCAAGTCTTTTCGCAGCGTGAGGGGGACTGCAAATCAAAGCCTAGCGATTGCTCAAGGGACTTCGCACATTGATTTCCGAACTGTGACCTCAGATCGTATCGACCTTTTCGTACACGCAGGGATGGCGACGGTCTTCGGGATTGTCAAGATCGCTTTGTCCATTACTCCTCCGGCACTGAAGCAGATGTTGGCGCTATTTTCTTTCCATGGCGATCGTCATGAAGGCCTGCAGCTCCTCTGGGACGGAACTGACTACAAGGAGAACATTTTCGGTGCCATTGCCGCACTGGTGACACTCATGTACAATCATATCGGCGTCGCGGTCACAGACATTATTCCCGAGGGCGCGGTTCCCGAGGCGAGGCTTCAAACAATGCTGCAGGAGCTGCGCAAGCTCTACCCTGACTCTCATCTGTGGTTGACGATGACAGCCAGGGAGGCAGCTATCGAAAGAGATCTCGAACGCGCCGTTGAAATCCTCGAGGTTGAAACAGCTTCGACTTTCACGGCCCTCGAAGGCATGCGCCAACTAGAGCAAGCGCTGAACCTCATGTTTCTACATCGCTTCGAAGAGTGTGCGGCCACATTCCTAAAATGCACCGAGCTCAATCAGTGGAGCCACGCCATATATTTCTTCAACGCTGCAGCCTGCCACATCGAGCTATACCGCGATCTCAAAGCCACGGACGCAGCCCAGGCGCAGATCCACGCAGACAAAGCCGAAGAGATCCTCAACCCAGTACCCGAAATCGCACGGAAGAAATTCATGATGGGCCGACAACTGCCCTTTGACGAATTCATCGCCGTCAAGATCGAGAAATGGCAAGCGCGATCCGCAGCACGAGGCTGCCATCTCGTTGACGCGATTGGTGTCAGTCCGCTCGAGGAAATGACATACTTCTGGACCGGCTACCGTCGCAAGCAACCTCACCAACTGCAGGCCTCACTGGACCGTCTGGAAAAGGACGAGCAGCGTCCAGAGTGGACAGACGAAACGATCGATGAGCGCGCAGCTCAGGCGCTGCTGAAGGCTATCGTGCTCCGCTGCCTGGGCAAATACGACGAGGCCAAAACCATGATCCGGGAGCAGGTACTTTGCCACAAGGCCACGCAAATCAAGGCGTGCGCGCACGCGACAGAGTATCCGACAGCCGTAGGGCACTACGAGTTGGCAGTATGTTTATGGTTTGAGGGAGGCGCGCAAAATGCGCCTTTGCCCGTCTTGCGCGAGGTCCGCGCAGAGATTGAGAAGGCTTCCAAAGAGCGATACCAGCTCGAGGAGCGGATGACTTCCAAGCTTCTGGCTGCACGGACGACCCTGACGAATCTAGGCGCATAACGATACGCGCAAAACGAATCATGATTTGAAGAAAGCGCGGCACATCGAATCGATAGAAAGAGATCGATAGAACTGAAGAGCGAGATGACAAGTATTCACGCAAGAGCGTATGGGTATGGTCATGTCGCAGGCATAACGTGAATCCGTTTCAGGACGTCTAGACGTCGGAGGTATCATTAAACTGGAAACAAAAATCTTCCCAACGCTGGCTGGGAAGCAATAGGAGAAACACGGCGAGGCAGTCGTGCTCGCTACGTGAAGACTGTGCTATGCCAATCACACAAATACTATACACACTCATTTGTGTTTAGCGTTGAGTACACGTGCCAGCCCGCGCAGCGCATCCATTTGATGCACAGGTTTACCCGCCGCGGCGCGCTGTTTTTGCCGGTCTTCGAGTGCGTTTGCCGCATCCGCGAGCGAGTGATCTGCTACCCGTTCTGCCGTTTCCCGGGCGACCTGAAGTGTGTGGACACCATGTGCAAACTGGTCGACGGCAAATTCAAGATCCTTAGAGATCTCTTGTAGTCGACTTTGGATGGTCTTTGTGTCTGTCAGATCAGATGTTTTTGAGGCTTGAAGTTGATCGAAGATGGCGCGCTGCGGACTATCTAGCAGGTCTGCGCGGAGTGGGGAAAGACAGGTCTCGGCTTCGGTCGGTTCCTGATGTGATGAGCCTGCTGATGATTTGACGAGTTCATCCCATTCGAGTCGTTCGCGTTCCAATCTATACGAGTTATTGTCAGTGGTATTCCTTTGATCCCATCACCGGAGGGTCTTACTTCTGCAGCTCCAATGTCAATTCTTCCACTTTAGCGGCATTGGCGAGATTCCGAGGATTGGGCCGCTTGCGAACGGGGAGTTGTGGTGGAGTAGACTCGTCTCTGGAGAACCAATCGCTGAAAAAGCCGTTGGTGACCAGCTCTGAGGAGAGATCTTCCTGTATTGTACGGGCTATTGAAACGTCAGTCTTTTCTATTGATTTCGGGCAAAATTCCAAGTGATAGTTTGCTTACCGATCGCACGTGCCTTCGCCTCTGAACTTTCTGCTGCATTGCTCGATTGTACCGAATCAGAACTCGGCAACAGCGCTCGTGTACCGCACCAGCCTAGTAAGCATCGCATGCGACGCGGCTCTGTGAGATCTGCAGAAATGTGCTTGTAGAATTCAGAAGTTGGCACTTCTGAGTGCGGTAAGGCTGCGAAGAAACAAAATTGTCAGCCGTGGCTTCTGCGAAGATCGTCTATCTACTTCATGCTGAGACCGAGACTTTATGCGCAGGTGCCGCCACAATCTATCACCGATCCTGCCATTTCCCTCAAAAGACCACTCTGAAAAATCTACCCGGACCGCAAAAACAGCAAACTGACCCAAGTCGTCACCGAATGTAAAGGAGAATATGTGCAAACATACCATGACCACGTCCCTCGTCAATCAAACTACTCGCTCTGCGGCCTCGCATGCCTGAGCTACTGCGCCTGTGGTTCTCTGCGCTTGCTTTTCGCATTGCTCGATTTTTTCGAATGATAGGCGTGTCCGCAAAGGGTAACATGATGCGCATAACTTTCTCTTCTTCCACGACTCCGGAACCTTGTGTGCGCTTCTTTTCCACCGTGAGAGGTTGTGCTCCTTCTGCGCTTGGCGATCGCTCTGCATTTGGTTTTCGTCGTCCGCGCTGCTCTTGCTGCGGAGATGGGGCTGCTTCGACATTCTCCATTTCACTCGAGCCTCGTTTGCTTCTTCGTGTGGTTTTCTCAGGCACGTCTCGTTCGGGAGTAGATGGCAATTTCCTTCGCGTCTTCTTTTGGACCTTGGTCGCATTTGCATCTATTGGCGCTGTAATTGGCACGTCGAATTTTTTGGTCTGCGGCGGCGGTGGAAGCATGGCTTGTTGCACAGGCTGCGCCTCTGCGCCTTCTGGTGCATCCGCATCTTTGGGTGCTTTCTTCCGCTTGCCTTTTGTAAAGGCAAATCCATCGGCCTCTTCGTCATACACTATTCCGCGATTAGCGCGCGCATTTCCAGCTGCACTCTCTTTCCAACGATTACCCTTTGTCTTCTTGCTGCCTTTCGCCTTGCTGGTCGCTTTCGGTTGTTTTGTGCTCCCAGCTGCTGCTACTGCGTTTGCGCCAGTGGTCCGTGACTTCTTGCTAGGTGGTTCCTCCTCTCCATTTTCCTCATGCGACAATCGCGCACTGCGTCTCTTTTGTGCGCCGGCGCTGTTCATCCCAATGATCTCAAGCGGCGATCGAGTCAGGACCATGGACATCTCTCGGGTGTGCCGAATGTGGGACGTAATGGGACGGTAGCGATCTCGTGGAATTCGTTTGGGCTCTTCCAGGACATTCGACGCGCTCCAGTGGCGGAATGAGCAGAATGGCGCGTCGACAATCCGTCTGACGCGTGGTAATGATGATTGCGATGTGGTCGTGAAACGGTGGTGCGTGCGGGATAAGATGTTGGCTTTGGGAACACCATTGTTTACAGCGGTCGCGGGCGCCATTCGGCAACGCCCGCATAAACTCAAGACGCTGTCACGTGCTATAGCTAACGAACACCGACACCCCCACACATCACTGTTTCCAATGGCTGCAATGTGCTGTTGTGATGAACCGATTTGGCTGTGACATATCATTATGGACAGAAGCAATCAAATTTCCCACTCTATATCGCGCAAAGCTATAAGACTTACATTCTATAAAGCCATCGTCGACATATTGCCCACAGATCTATAAACCTCACGTGTGCCTTACTTCATTGGTTAACAACTGCGAACCCCGAGCACGCAGATCCGACCTCCGACTTCGTTGATACAGCCGTTCCATCCAAATATGAACGTCAGACGACAGAAAGTGATACGGTCCGAAAGTAGCTCCATCTGGTCAGAGTCCAGTCGCAAAAGGCTTTCCACGTCCCTGCCGAGCAGCTCGTGCCAAGCTTGATCAGAAAGTAGCAATTTGCCCGAGGAGATTACGCCCGTCTCATCGATGGCATAGCCGACAATCTTTGGGTTCAGGCGAAGTTGCAGGGTACGCTGGCACTTCTTGCACTGGACTGTCTGCTGGTTGGCATATATTGGCTCAGAGCAGCATTCGCCGGACAGTAGCATTTGGGCTTTCCAACAATGTACCAGCTTCATTTCCATGATGATCAAGCTGAGAAAACCATGAAAATTGTCGAGAGGCGCGGCTCGGGCGCATTCGTCAAGATCAGCAAGGGTGTAGAAACATCGGATACGACCATGCAAGATAGCTTTCAGGTTGAAGGAGTCTTCTGGAAATGCTGGATTGATCGCATCTCGGCTTTTTTGCCGCGTCGACCATTTCCGCAGCCACTCGGCGTCTGGTATCGAGGGGTCAACATCGACGATTGTGGTGCTATTTAGGCTCAGGTAAGTCTGGTAGTGATCAGTATCGACCATTCTCCGCCTTCGTAGTCATTGAGATGTGCTACTGACACCTCTGCGACTCTTTGAGCCGGGTGCCGTAAGCAACAGCGTGGTCGCGTCAGGCGTCCATCCTTGCCTGGTGAGAGTAGACTCGACATTGTTGGTCGGCCGAAAAGAACGAGCCGGGAAAGGGGATGAGGCAGCAGACCCCCATAGACCAACTGTGGCCTCGCCTGTGTCATCGTACACTTTCAAAGATGCTGTCTCACACGTAGTGTTGTCCTTGCGTGTAACTATACATATTCAGCACAACACAAGCAGATTCCAGAGGAGAGCAAATACTTGTCTTCTTGTCTCCAATGCTTTTCACCATAACCAAAATTTTCGGCTTCGCCAACTCGTGGCCGCCCTCGATGAAGCTACGCAGTGTCATGAGGCCATCCAATTGCTCGCCGACTTGATATCCGAGTGGAGAGGTGTACATCTGTGCATTGTCGCTATTTTCATGAATCATGATGCTGCAATTACGATCACGCTCAGGGAATAGAGAAGTGAAGAGAGGTGTTTGAGGACTCGAGAGTGTTCCACTTTCACTGTGGCTTACTTTCCAAAGATCAGAATCTTGAGAGCATGCGATAGATGTATTTCAGGTATGACAAAGCTTACTATGACAGGTCCAGATGGAAACGAGTGGGCCCAAACGCAAATTTGGCTTGCATGTAGCATACCACACTCGAACCTGCGTTGAGCTGTTAGCCGCATGTCCGTGAACTGTGGATGTCACGGACCGTGATGGTATTGTCGCGATCTTTGACACAAAGTTTGCAGCATCCTTTCGCTGCACGAGGTGACTTGGGCGTCTGCTGTACATCAAACATGTTGGCCACTCGACCCATGAATGTGACAGCTTGCGGTCCAGGCACGAGATCACTGATCTCACAGCTGGTGTACTCCATTGACGGGTGCCATGACTCGGCGTGTTTAGGATCTTGAATTTTCCAAATCTCTCCTCCTATAAAGCCATCACCAACAACCACCGCACCCAACGCGCTTGACGCGCCCATTGTAGGATCCTGCAACGATGTGTTTGGCGGTGGAAGAACGTATGGCAAGCTGGCCGTATCGACCTTGTTGTTCGACAACTCTGTCATCGCGCCCAGTTTATCAGGTTATTTCTGTTGGTCGCTCTTTCTGCTGTGTCGACGTGCGAAACAGAGTTATAGAAGAAGTCACAATCTGTCAACACACGCGTGGCTTCCGAGCTTGTGTAACCGCGCGGATCATTCTCGCGAGGTGCGTCATAATCGCAAATCGTTCATGAACCACCTTAGTACACACACTCCATGCATATTATCAGGCAAGTAAGCTGCATATCTTCTGAGCAGTTTCATCTTTGTGCACGCGGCCAAGATGAGCATCGTACTGACTCAATCTTTCCCACCAACGACAGGGGTTATAGCCATAGTTCACGGATGGCTACGCCATGCATTGACAACCTTCGCGCGATCCTCAAGCGCCTGTCGCAGCCACGCTTGCCTAACACTCTGGGCTCCAGCATGATCAAGCATGTCCGTATCCTCCTCTGCTGATCCAGCCGCTGCGAGACAAGCAGATTGCGCACCGTCTACAACCTTCTCCCATAGGTCGAGGTCGAACTCACCTGAGGATTGTTCGAGTAGCTGTTCTCCGTCCTGGTTGAATGCCAGGGCATGGATGCTCTTGCAGTCTAGAAGGTCCTTCTCTTGCGGGGAGTAAACAACTTCTCCATTGTTGCGCAAGATGGCCAGCACCGCGCTCATGGTCGTTGCCAGAGGGAGGCCGCTGTCGATCAGAGCTATAAAGGCTGAGTTCACGAGTGTCGGGATGATGGCGATGTCTGCAACAGTCTGTCTTGCTTTGACTTGTGGTTCTTTGGCAATTTGCAACGTGATCTGTACAAGTGTTCGGGGATGAAGGTGCACGAGAAGTACGTTCTTGATCACCGCATGCACAATTTCCTCCAGCCATCTCTCTCGAGGACCTCCGACGCCAGCAGCTGGGCGGAGGTTCAACTCAATGGCAGCTTCGTCTGGAATTTCATCACGACGTTGGACCTCTACCGGTCCATTGATACCAGCGATCACGGTGTATAGACCATCGGTGAAGACGGCAGATCCGTCAGCTCGTCGAAGTGGATGAAGAGCCACTGAGATTCCCATGTTGTTGAATTTTCCGTGAATAGGTAGGCAGAATGTGCTTGCTTTGTCGTAGGCGGATCTCGCAGTCACAAATTTCCACGGCGGAATTACAGCGCATGACGAGAGCGCTCAGCGCAGATCTACGGTAGCTCGCGTAAAAGTGCTGATGGTGTACAGTAGACTCGGATAGGCGGGCACGCTCCCATTTTCTTAGGTAATCGGGAATCCTTGGGTCGGGCTAAGTTAATCCATGAACGATTGTTCAGCATGTGGCAGTCCCACGGAAACCCTGCATGTGAATTTCCTGGGAGATGCTCCAACTTGGATGCAGAAGATCGGGAACTGCCAGGTGAGCAGTGACGAAATAGCGATCTTCTCTTCTGCGATTATCCGACAGCGAAGCAATGCTGTCAACATCGCCTTTATTGAACAATCAAAGCACATGGACCACGGATCAGTCGTGGTTGGTCAAGGACTCCACCGGACATTCTCTGGGCATCGTAGTGCTTTAGGGTCGGCGGGTCGGAAGAAAGCCCGAGCTGCGTGATCCGTTCTACTCAGTCCGCCACCTGTGTACTTACGTACCGTCTGATCCTGAAGACACTGCGGAAAGTATTGTGGATGGTACGGCGTACACGTAGACAGGCAGCACACCACATTACACAGGTTACTTGGACCAGTACCGAGCGGGTGTGGTGGCAATTCACCAACAGTCAAAATCATGCCGTGATACAGAACTATGATGGACACATGTTGTGAACGACAAGGTGGGTTTCGCGCGATGCCGCAGGTCAAGTCCAACAGCCTTCCATTTGAGTATCCCAAGAGTGTGGGAGATTCTACTCCATATCTACAGCCGGACATAATTGTAGCTTGTTTCGTGAGCGTGAAGCGCGTTCAAACAGCAGGTACCTCCATCCCATGATACATGTCCGTGACAAAGACATTCATTCTCGATCATTTCGGTCTGTTTTCGCCGTGCAGCCGTGACATACTGTAATTCAAAATAAACAAGCAAACCAAACTCCTGTTAATTGCGTGGCAATTGATGCGAATACCTCACGCTCAAAGTTCGGGCTGACAATCAAAACATCACACTGGGCGTCTCGCTTAATCCTCGCCGTGGAGGAAAGCCATCTTGACAAGTCCGGATCGGGAACTCGCATTGACGACGGCTCATTTGTGGTGCGGCGATCGCTTCTGCGACCTTCGCGCTTCCTGTTCGATCATGTTCTGCACCAGATCCGCGGAGAGCTCGAAATTGTTCGCAGCGTAGCGCGCACCAGCGACCAGGTACCCGTCCTCCTGCTCCAACTCCAGCGGTGTGACAGGTCCAGGACTTCCCACCGGTGCCAGGCGCGGACTGGTAGGCTTGGCTGCGTGACCTGGTGACGATGGGCGAAGTGTTGATGCCATAAGTTCCCGCTGAGAGAAATATAGTTGCTTTTTGAGATCATTGCGGTGACTGTAAGCGCGTGGTGAAATTGGAGGAAGCGGCAATGATGAGCCATCCAGTGCGGTCTGCATGTTGCTGTGTGCGGACGGAAAGTTTGCTGGATGAAATCGAGGCAGCGGCGGTAATTTTAACGAGCTTGTAGGCGGCCGTCGCTGCGATGCTGGCCGTGATTGTGCGCTTCTGGGTGATGGATGACCATGGCCTTCGAGATGTGAGGCGCCCTTGTAGCCCGGCGAAAGAGGCGACGATGGCCGCAAGGCTGGCGAGCCTCGAGGTGAGGGCATTGTCCGCGGATAATGCGAAAGCTTTGGCGGCGGCGGTCCCCAGGCCGACGTTGTAATGTTAGATGAGAATGCAGCACAGGAAGTGGGAATCAAATTATCAGAAGAAGATGGATGATCCCATGAGGGAACGCGGGCTCGCGGACCGCTGTGCCGACCTTGGAGGACTTGCATTAGGTCAGTAAGTTGAGGTCGTGCAACAAGCGACGACAACCAGAGGCAGTGAGAATGTTGCAAACGATCACCGGTGGGGCGAGCGTTTCGGCTTGAGCACGCGGCGCAGAAGTGTGAGAGGTATTCGGAGGTAGTGTGGATTGGCAAAGTTTTGATCAAGTAATGATCGCCTGCAGTGCTGATGAAGGATGGCAGCGTTGAGGTGGTTGATCAAAGCGCCAATTAATGGAGCGCGGAATTATGTTTCAGGCAGACCCCGAAATGGTGGTTGTTCTGGCCCGTAATATGATGAATATGAGCGAGACGAAAGAATAGATGATCGCCACCGCACAGGTGGGTGAGGACGCCGGTTGATGTCAGGATACCGCCCGAAATATGCAAAAGGCAGCGAAACGACCCTCCGAGGAAAGACAGAAAAGTGGAGCTGCCGGTGGTCGAAAACTCCACGAGGAAACGGACCCTTGGACGCTGACGGACGAAGGCACGGAAGGAAGCGCGCGGCTGCTTTGTGTGATTGAGTATCCAGGGACAGCCCTGAGGTACTGTAGACTTTGGTGAGAGTGGTAGACTGTATACTACCACACACCTGCACACAACAAACAGGCGTCCAGTTCAGCAAGGGCCAGGCAAGCCGCAAGCACTGTATGGAAACAGTTGTCGCGATTCGCGGGCCGATGTGAGAGCCCAATGGTCCGAGCCAGGAGTTGACGAGCCGGGTTGGTTGAGTTGGTATCTGCGACGATGACGAATTGATGACCAACAGTTATTGTCTGTTCCAGGAGAAGGCACTCTGCAGAGGGATGCGATGGGAGTAATGGAGACAAGGGATCGCGAGATAATGATAAACAATGGTGCTGTGCGTTCACGATTCCGCAGCTTCGATGATATGCGCAGTCTGGTCCTGTTGATCTGTATGTATGTACGGTATCGCATCCTACCACAGAGAGCAGGACGACATGCGCTATATGAATTCAAAGTTCACGATGGCTGTCCACGATGATGATCCTTCGAAACTTCGTGGTCGAAGACAATGACGACAGTTTGCTTAAGAAAGCGTTTAGTGAACGGCACGTTAGCCTGCCGGACCCGCACCGCACGCAGCCTGCCAGCCCTGACATTTCCATGTGTCTTGCTTTATCCCATCTCTCCTCTCGGGCTCCCAGTGAAGAGATGACGATGATGATGATGACCTTACCGCCGCCATTGCCTTTATGCAACCACGAAGCCACCCGCCCTGTCAATTTTCACATTCCTTCAGAATCCAGCTGTCACTCGTGCCCATTTGTTTCTCGGGAGTTCCACGGCAGTCATGTCCAACCCAGGGCTCAACCATATTGTTGATAAGTCTTTGGCCTTGTGAGACAAAAAGGCTGAAATGATTGAAATCCCCTAGAAACCCGAGGAACATCCACCGTGTCTTGCACGTACCATCGCCAAGATTGATGCGTCCTTGGTGCCGCCAGAGTGTGCGAATTTATCGGCATACTCTAGAGTATAATCTCTTGTGCACAGTGCATACCATGTTGTGCATGGCTGCATAGGGATATGGAGCCTCTTGCATTACCCAAGCATCGCCAACGGCACCTGTCAATTTCGCGTGAAGATAAGGATTCGCTAGACAACGGCTCTCTATCGTGCCTATCAGATCATAAATCACGACGTACATAGATGGCACGGACCGGCGTGGCAACTCGGACGAGTTGCATTCACTTGGCACGGAATGCTTTGAAGATCGACACGCTGCAATTAAATGAAGGGATTTGTGCGCTCATCCCTTTCAGCGTATGGACCGGCGAGTTCTTGGAACCAGAGAGGCAGACTGGGTAGTGATGTACATCACCTTGCAATGACCGAGTGTCGTGCTGTTGTCTGCTGCAGCGCCTTAGGACTTTCCGGGCCTAGTCAGAGGGACAATCGCCGATTGCTCTTGCTCTTCGGCCAACGTCTGTGCGCACACGAATGCGCGTGCCCACCGCTCCGAAACTTCCCGTGCTGATTTGCCGGCATATATGGAAGTTTGCAGGCTTTGGATCGGAGACTCCCGGACCTATGAGCGGGCTCGCCAGGTGACAGCCAGTCCCAATCTTTTCCCTCACGTTTTCCTCTGCAGATGGTGGCTTGCATACCGCAAACAGTCACGAGGCATTGTTTCTGTTTGGTTCCAATGGGAGATCGCAATCTTTGAGATCAATTCTGATGGCTGTTGAAGTAAACTGTGATCTGTTGAGGAGACACCGCCATTTCACCCATCCCTCTTGGTACCCCGATCACAAAGATTCTGAAACAGCAACAGTCGAGCTGAACGTGAGGGAAAACCATCAAAATGCTACAACGCCATCAGGGCAGAGCAACCAGATGCCAGCACTAGATGAGAGGCTGAACTTTGGAGAGGACGAAAAGTCGCGCGATCGTCGGTGGCCCACCTGTTTCGCCTTCACCACATGCAACCTGAGGAATTCCAGCTGGCAACCTCACCCGAAGATCAGCCCCCGATCACAGGCCGTTTGTGTCGAACGTCCCAGTTTCGGCTTACTTGGCAGTACGAGGATAAGACTAGGCCTTGAACCATCACCACCCATCCACAGGCGAAATACATGTGCAAATGCACAGCGCGATGTGGATGAAAACATCGCCTCCAAATGCATGTGTGCCGAAGACGTAAACGAATCTGCTCGACTGTATTCCGTGAGGCGCTCGTGTTTTGGGCAAAGCCGCTGAAGTCTCTCGAGGAGTGCACACACTGATAGGACTGATGCCAATCTTACGAGATTGGACACTCGCAGATCAGACATGCACGCTGACGCTTATGGGTACATCATCATAGCACACGATACAAGATGTTGTTCTTGATGCCAGTTTGGCGGGTCACTTCTTCCTGTCTACCCTGTGAATTCGATGGCATAGACTCAGGACCTGCTTTCGGCGTTTCATCGTTACAAGGTATTCTGTCCAAATATGCATGTTACGTGCTAGCGATCGCTCAGGGGATGGACACTGCTGTTCTGTTTTCAACCAGATCTGACCAGAAGACATGCAACCGGAGCTTTTCTAGGTTGGCAGATGACTGGTCGACAGAGGCACATGTTGTCACACGTCTCCAAGATCTGTGTAGCAAGGAGGAACTCTGGACGTTGCCCTGCATCGCACTTGGCTGGCGCTATAGTGCAGTGCGAAGTTACAGTTGTTGGCTCGGAGTTTCGCGCCGGTGTGGTTGCGGAGTTTGAACTGATGGCCGTTCAGGCTAGGCATGCCTGGTTCGAAGAACTGGCGAATCGAAAAAAGGCAGCGAAGTTCGGGATTGAGACATTTATCGTTATCAACTTGGTGTCGCTCTTGGGACATGAGCAGTGAACCCCACCAAGCCGTGCTAATAACGATCATCGCAGTTGAGGGAGTCGATTAGATGATGGCGTGCCCGCATGTGCAATCTTGGTTGACCAAGGCCTATCATTATTCTCATAGGACTGATCATGCTAATTACCCTAAAGGTGGGAATATTTTCTTGTTGTCACCCTCGAAACCTGCGTGGAAACAAAGTCTCGAGAGCGTATGAGTGCTGTACGATCTCGAGGGTCTGCTTTATCGCAGAATGTCAGGCCTCTGCGGATATACTGCACAGTTGTTGGAACGCGAGTTATGTTCGGACGCAGTCGCAGAGACTTGAGCTGATCCTACTCATTCTACCCAAGGCAGTCGATACATATCATCGACATATACAAGCTCTCATACTCCAGCTGTGAATTGTGATGAAGACTGAACGGGACCTAGTATGCACGTTCATAACGGAGACCTCCAGCTCCTGATGCGACGACGTCACGTGGACGTCTACAGCACAAGTAAGGACGAGGGCTTATCACGTGATATGGGCGCCCACCTGTCGCACGACTTAAACGCCAAGATTCTTATTGCTTAGTGCGTCGCAACGCACATCGAGTGATATCAGTAGTGCAGGCTTCAAAGGCATCACTTTGAGAGACACGCACACCCTACAAATTATTGTCTGGCACCACGACACCGTCAAAATGCCTTTCGTAAGTTGGACCACCATGTTGGAAGGATGAGAGTCTCCGCAAGTTGCTTCGGAGATGGTCTGAAGCGTCAATTGCTGACTCGTGGATGAATGTAGACCAAGTTGGTCAAGAACAGTGCGTACTACAGGTAGGTCGCATTGATGAAAACACACAAAATCACAAAATTGACCGAGCTCATCTAACATAATCATAGCCGTTACCAGGTCAAGTACAAGCGCCGTCGTTCTGGTAAGACCGACTACTACGCCCGCAAGCGTCTCATCACCCAGGCCAAGAACAAGTACAACGCCCCCAAGTACCGATTGGTCATCCGCTTCACCAACCGCGACATCATCGCTCAGATCGTCACCTCCGAGATTAATGGCGACAAGGTCTTCTGCGCCGCCTACGGCCACGAACTGAAGCGCTACGGTGTCACCCACGGTCTCACCAACTGGGCTGCCGCATACTGTGTCGGTCTCCTGCTCGCGCGCCGCACTCTCAGCAAGCTCAAGCTCGACGAGGCCTTCACCGGTGTCGAGGAGGCTGATGGAGAGTACAAGATCACCGAGGAGGAGGAGGTCGATGGCGAGTCCCGCCGCCCGTTCAAGGCATACCTCGACGTTGGTCTTACCCGCACCTCTACCGGTGCTCGTGTCTTCGGCGCCATGAAGGGTGCGTCCGACGGTGGTCTTCACATCCCTCACTCCGAGAAGCGTTTCCCCGGTTACGACATTGAGAGCAAGGAGCTCGATGCCGAGACCCTCCGCAAGTACATTTTCGCTGGCCACGTCGCCGAATACATGGAGACCCTCGCCGATGACGACGAAGAGCGATACAAGTCGCAATTCCAGGGATACATCGACGATGAGATCGAGGCCGACGGTCTTGAGGAGCTCTACACCGATGCACACAAACAGATCCGCGAGGACCCATGGTTGAAGGCCGACGACGAAGATGAGGGTGAGAAGAAGACCAAGGAGGAGTGGAAGGCCGAGAGCAAGAAATACCGATCGCAAAAGAGCACTCTCGAGGAGCGTCGGGAACGTGTTGCCAAGAAGATCCAGGCCATTGTTGCGGAGAAATAGATGTGTGCAGGTTCTGGCGGCAAACACTTCAACCCTTTCTAATTTGTTTTGTTCTTCTTGCTCGCTTCAGCACCACGGAGTTGATCATGAGGCATGGTGGAGTACTAGGAAAGGAAGGCGCAATATAGCGGGTCACGATGAGAAAATGAAAAAGTTCACCACCACTGCACGGTCCAGACTGTACTTGCCCGTCTTTGGGCTTCGCCTTGTCACTCGAGTATCTTTATGAACCTGCCGGCCATGGTATAACCACTGCGTTCATCCCGAGACTTACATTCAAACCATGTTACAAAAGTGGTACATCATGAATTCGTAAAGTCATCCCTTCCTGCCCATCTGAGGCCATTCCTTCATATTGTCTGCAGGTCCCTCTCAAGGTTCATCCTCGCCTTGATCTGCGACTCCTTGAACATCTCCCATCCCTGCGGGTCCTGCTCCTGCAACATCCGCAGATCGTCTACGTTCGCGCCGACCTTGGCCAGCGTCTTGGTCCAGCCGTCCTGTTGCACCATGGACTTGAGCTCGGTGCCTGAAATGGCCTCGAGCTTGTCCTGCAGCGTCCGGAGCCGCTCAGCCTCATCCTGGCCGTGGCCTAGCGCCGGGCCGAGTGATGGCGAGTCGACGACGGAGCGCCGGATGCTTTGGCCGAGTCGATGCAGTTGGCCTTCTTCTATGGCCAGGGCGCGGGATCGCCGTGAGGCGAGGGATGCGTCGCTGTTGTTGCGGCGGGCGCCGGGTCGTGTGACGTTGTTGATGTCGTTCTCGGGGTCTTCGTCGGACTTGCTGCCGGGATCGACGGCGGTTTGGGGATCGTCTAATGATAGAGGCGCGGGGATTTCTACGGGTCGGGTGCCGATGGATAGAGGGATCTGTGGCGGTGAAACAGGACCAATGCGTGTTTCGGGATATTCCTCTTCGAAACGCGCGATCATGTTGGCGAGGGTCTGATCGAGGAAATGTAAGCGGCGGTATGAAATCTCATCTCCGCAAGTCGCTTCCTTGATCAGAGCTGGGCGGAGCCTCTCGCGGATCTTTCGGGCACTGTCGAGCAGGTTTTTGCTCATCTTCTTCGCTTTACCGCGCTGCTCTTGATCGAAGCCAGCCGATGAACTGGGACGTGGAGTGCGGGCTCCTGTAATGGGTGTGTTCAAGCTGCTGCGTCGGAGGTCGCTCGCCTTTTCACCAAGGACATATTGGAGCGCTTTGACGACTCCTGTACCACCAACAATATAGTCATCGTCTGGAGCTGGGTCGTCGGTTTCGGCTTGGCCTTCAGCATCGGTGCGACCAATGAGGTGAATGAGGACATCCGGCACCGAGACTTCTTTGAGCTGCCGCTCGCTATCCTTCAGTCGTATCGGATTCGCCGGCGTATTGTTAGTGATGGTGTCAGCAGCGCCTGCCAATTCCGCAATCGCGTATTGCTCCATGTTTCGTAATGAGTAGGCAACGACTTGCTTTGCCAGTGCTTTGACTACCTCGCTATTGTCTGCGCTGGGCACCTGTACGACATAGTCAGCAATTTGAGCGAGATGAGAAGAGGTGAATTCAATGACTTACGTCAATGTCGATGGAGACCAAGGTGTTGGACACCTTTACCGCAGCCATGTAGCTTGCGTAAAGAGCGCAAGCTTCTTCTTGATTCGACTCGTCTTTTGCGTTGGCAAGCGCGGTTAGTTTAGGATTCTCCAGAAGCTCGACATGAGCAAGCTTGGGAGCCTCTGCTAGGACGTCCGCAAGGGCGATGGCCTGCTTGGCACTCATTCCGACATCCGTCAAGTGAATGCGTTTGAGCTCAGGCATCTTGCCGATATACCGGCGTAGGAGTGAGATTGTGTCACTGTCGCGGCTGCAGAGATCGCGATTATGACTGAGGTCAATGAAACGAAACTCCGGTAGTGTCGTTAGAACTGAAAGCAGACGCTTGACGGATCCGCCATCGAGATGACAGCCTGACAACTTTAGACCCCAGCATGATCTGCTTGTCTGCGCGCTGAGAGCTTCGGCGATTCGATCAAGCTTGCCACGCAGGTCGTTTCTTCCGATATCCAAGCCTCCACAGACCCCCGAGCGGATATACCGCACAACATGCTCCAGGCCTTCGTCGTCAATGTTGTTGCCTGCTAGTCCAAGCTTGTGAATGCCGCCAGCGATTGCACAATCAACCATTCTCTCAATCTGTCTCGCAGTGAATGCGCACTCCGAGACAATGAGTTCGTCGAGCCCGTCCTTCGCTAATCGCCCGCTCAAGCATCTATGAAAAATCTCTGCGGCATCTTGATCAACAGTGCTTTTGATAGAGCTTACTGAGGTATTGATCGGACCTGTTCCGTTTTCCACTGGAGCTGGTTTGGGGAACTTGATCATTGACAAATCGATAGCCTTTATGGACCGGCACAAGTGGAGAAACAAACCAATGTGTTTCCATCCGCGGCGAGAAATTCGTGGGTTGTTCCGGAGCACGAGCTGTTCAATGACGCCGCTACGCTCTTGATGGGGCTTTGTCACGATTCCATCTCGATGTCTTGGAGTTGTGCTCTTGCGCCGACTCGGCTGCGGCCTGGTCGCCGCGAGTAGTCCAGCAAGAATGCATCGTAGTCCCTCGTCGGGTACGTCAGCATCTTCTAGAATGAGCTTCTTGACCGGGACCACAGCCAGCCAATCGCCGAGAGTGACCATGTCAGCCAATTGTAGTCGTGATCCTGTCAAATCGAGGCAGTAGACCACGCCCGGCTCGGTCGGCACACAGCACGATGGCGACATAAGCTGCTCGGTAATTCGCTTGAGGATAGGAGATTCGCGAAGTTGACAGCATCGTCGATATATGCGCACGGGATCCGTGGTGGGCCTGTTCGCTCTGGCTTGTTGGCCGGACGTGCTTGCGCTGGCATTTGTCCCGGACTTGCTCGAGGCATCAGAAGTGGTAGCTGTCTGTGTGACGTCTTCATTCAAATCGGCATCTAATGAAAGCTCAACAGGAACGGAACCATTCTCCTCCGCCCGTCTTCGCCTCTTCTCTTTGCGCTCTTTGCGCTCCTCTTCTGATCTTTTCTTCTTCTCCTTCTTCTTGTCTGTGCTTGAAGGGCTATCGTTGGCTTCGTTTGAAGCTTGTGGTTTCTCTGCAAGATGTGATGGGGTCTCGGCTTTCTTCCCATCAGTATCGTCCAAGGAGGCCACAGCGTCGCTTCTATCCTCTATACTTGTTGCATCGTCTCCGTCGCCCTCTCCCTCTTCTAAAATTGCTTCGGGGCGGCGAAACGCTTCGCCCTCCGCTCGCTCCTTCGCTTTGGCATCCGCAGTATGAACTGCAGGCTCGACCTCCTCTTCCTCGTCGCTCGAGAAGCGCGTCCCAGTGGCAATCTCGACATCAACGCAGAAGGATACCTTGCGCAGAGTACTCGGGTCTACGTCCCGTAGTGTACACCGCTCTCGATTCGGGTCAACGTTCAGTATACGTCTCTCGCATATGGAGCCCTTCGGCTGAGTCTTTGGCGCGCTATTCTGCCCTTGTCCTCCAGCTGACCATTTACGCGTGAGCGAGGAGAAGAACGATCCATCTTTGCTTTTTGTCGGGGCAGGCGATTCTGGGTCCTGTCCATTGTCGCTTTGTAGGCTCGTTCTGGAGGCGTTGGCTGATCCAGTCGGCAGACCAGGGGAGGGTGTTCCGTTTGACTGAACCGGACCGGATTGTGCAGGTGTGGCGAGTGTCTGATTCGTAGGAACAGATGACGATGACGAAGAGAATTTGTTGCTAATGTTCGAAATCCATGATGATCGTCTCGTCACAACTCCTCCTACCTTCTCTGAGCTGGCGCGCTTGAGCAAACTTGGCCGGCGCAGCGGCGATTTGGAAGACGGCGGTGTAGCATCTCGTGCGGGCGATGGTGCAGATGGTAACGCTGTCGTGGTATCTCGCGCTGGCTGTGAAATAGCGGCCGGTGTGACCTGGCCAGGACAGGAGTTGTTCCTTTGTGCATCAGATCGGTTTGATTGTGTCATGTGCTGTTCTCTATTCACTTGTGACGACGATCTGCTGGCCCGATTGACGATATTTGATGCTGACGTAGATCGCGATCGCGTTGCTAGAACAACATGTCAATATATGGTCGTGTCGATAAATGAGCGTGTCACGGAATCAATATGGACATATGTTGAGGGTGGGCCTCGTCGAACTTTCCAAAATGACCTCACTCACCTGGGGATTTCGGCCGGCTGGGTTGCACCCAGCTCATCGGAACACCGTGAATATCCTCCATCGATGATCAGTACGTCGCACGATCACACTGACGGGTTTGGACAGAATATCTGAAATGGCGATGAAAGCGCGCTTCTCAGGTTGAGACTGTCGCCTTGGTATACTCCATATCGAAGAAGGCTATCGTTGACAGGGACTGGGAATGATTCCCACGTGAGCAGCTGAGGAGTGCTCGCCAGCCGCAGCGCGGGTCCGAATGGTTGATTAACGGCGGTCGAGCCAAGCAGCGATCGGCGCTCTATGCGAATCCCGTATGTGAATGCCCGTTTGACTTGGATTGATCGATCAATGAATTATGCATGGGAGAAGAGCGACAATGGTTCGAAAGATGTAACGATGGAATCCGTTAAAGGTTTTTGGCTGTCGCATGCACGTGGAAACCCACCGAGACGAGATGAGAATGTATGATGAATATGGCCTCGGATGAACGAATTGATCGTCAAAATATGCGGGAGTCGAAGAGAGGGGCGGTCCAGCCGGCGGTGCCTATGGCGTAATGATGGCATTCCATGAACCGCCGGAAGTTTCCTGGCTTGTCCTATCCCAACCCGGTTCCTTCGCTTTCTTTTTTTTAGATGCTCGCGCTATACTACTGTCCTGCGCATCAAAAGAAGCCCGGATTACCATCCGTTGTCTGTGGAATTCATTGCACAGGTGGCCGCCCGCTCGTGAACAACCCAAGCCTGCATATAAGACGGAAAAACAAACGAAATTGCACTGCCTTGATCTATTCCTAAGACCGTGATGACACCGTCTATCCCATCCGTGGTACGCTGCATGGTGTTTGTAGAGGTAGTGCACCCTTCAGATATAGCACAAAGTGTCTCGACACAGATCTCATACACCTGGGCACCTGCAGTAATTTAAGTTAGGGTCGCCAGAGAACGAAAGTCGATGAGGATCGCAGACCAAAGGACCTCGACAGCATTGAGATCGTTGCAGCGTGTTGTGAGACGTTAGACGTTGTTGGAATCCCCATCAACGAGTCGTCTTTGTACGGCCCGCGGACGATATTAGTATCAGGGAGAGTCCCCCCAATACTCGCGACTGCACGAGTTCAAGTAACTGTGCGATTCATGAGTTAGAAGCAACCGGCTTCATCCATACATCCACACCACCCTGGTACAGATTAGTCGTTTAAATTTTGTCGTCATCGCTATCTGGATTCTCCTGGGTGGTCTTATCATGAGAGTGGTTCGTCATTCCACCGACAATACTTCTACCGAGCGATCAACAAAGTCGTCCCTCGCTGGAGACTGCGTAGGTCCAGGCCCTCGCCAGACTGGGAACATGCTTCAGCCGCGGGAGGTGAGACTGCATGGCTTCACTCAAAAAACTACTCGAGAGGCTGCTGGAGGCAGGTGCCCATAGAACCTGGAGCCGAGCAAGTCGTTATCGGATTGGTGAACCACACGATACTTGCGTGGCGTTCGGAACGTGCTCAGACACGAAGTGCGCGGCTCATGTGATCGATTGCACAGAAGAACGCGCTTGACTGTGCACCACGGCTCTTGATTAGAGTCCGTCGCGCATCATGACGGAGTAGTGAAAACTAGTTTGCCGGAGTAGTGGATGATGTGTCGCGCAGATGCAGTGCACGGTGGGGAAGAAATAATATGTACCTAGGTACGCAACAGAGAACAGGAATCATTCATCTCTCGAGGTGAGATCGGGAGGGCAGTCGAACGAGTGTCGGAGGATCGGGAGAAAGTCCATCTGGCCATCGCTGGTCGGCCTTGGGCATGTACGATCGCTGTAATAATTGTGCAGTACTGTGTATTGTAAGAACTGGACATGCAGCTCCTGGGATGATGCATGCTTGGCAGACACGAAGGATCGAAGCACCCCGTCTCAGTGTTCGTTCCCTACTAGTGCTTTCCACCACATACATTTCCGCCGTACGCCCGAGAGAGGGTGAGAGGATGATGATACCTCTTACACATTTATCGAAATCCCCAGGTAGTGTTTCCAGGAAACTTCAAGGGTCATTATTTAGCAGCGATGATGTTTGTCCGGTCATGATCTGGCGCCACAGTGTATCGTCTACCCAAGTCAATTATGGCCGCCTTCCACCCGTGTCTCTACGCCATTGATGACTAGTTGTGTGCTCCACGGGGATTGTTGGTGACGAGAGCGACGATGAAAGTATGTGCGGTGTACTACAGTATAGCAATGGTATAGCACACTCGAGGCAGATTGTGCTATACGATGCCGCCTGCAGTGCAATAGAAAATTTGTGGTGGATTCTGGCGAGAGCACGTGGTGATGATTCGGGGCAATAGAAACCAGGTTTGGCAGCAGACCTGTGTTTTCATCATCAGCTCCAAGTGATTATTACTAGGTACAATCATCACCTGCATGGATTGATGAGACATTGGAAGCCCCATCTGACCGCCGTGCCGACTTCCACCACCACCCATGGATCGTGCAGCCCGTGCGTACCTAATGAGAACCTTGGAAGAGAGAAGAACGCAAGGTAAAGCAGCCACGCAGCCAAAAAAAGTATCGACTCTCCACCTGGGCAGGCTACACCTGGGCATACAGCAGTAGCGTGTTTGTATGGAGGACTCCTCCCGCGCCCGCTGGGACGACCCTCCCCCCTCCACACCATCAAACCCTCGCGTCCATCATCGCTCCAAGCCCTGGGAGGCTATTGATTGATTGTTCTCATCGTCCCCTTCGAACGGAGGCCTGGCGAGGGCTCACGAAAAGCAACTCCATTTCGGCCAGTTTTGGATTGTAGCAGCATCTCGTTGACCAGACCCGTCAGACAGCTCTTCTCTCACTGTCAACGTCGCTGCCGCCGCTTTCGAAGACACATCGGACAACGGTGCATGAGGACTGTTTGAACGCAGCGTCGGCTTCAAGGCCGCCGACCGCGTCGCTCCATCAACTGCTCTTGCAACAACGCTTTCCAGAATCTTTTCCGCACCTCAGAAACGGCCGGTCCGTCTCTCCCGATCTCCATTGCCCTCTTGACCTCCAATCATGATGGGCCGATCGTTTTCATTGGAATAGTGTTTATCTGAACATATCAATGGCCCATTGATCAACCCTCTTGGATGAAACACGCCGACTCCCCGACCGCTTCAGCTATGGCGGAAAGTGCTACGTTGACCCCTCCGGTGGTCACGCTGTTGAAGACGACGGGCGATGTGGGTACAAAAGACAAAAACGCAATGATGAGATCTATCAGCATGGATATCCGGGAAGAGAGGGAAGATCTCAGGAAGGCGGCAGAACAATCCCTTAACGCTATACTGGAGTTGGATTTGGAAGGTCGGGCTCGCTGGGTGAGCCCGTCATGGCAACAATTGACCGGGGTGCCTAGCAGCGAAGTCATTGGCTGCCCGATCACAGATATCCTGACGGATAATCCCACAGTCTTCGCTGACTGTGTGGAGGCTATGCGTAAGGATGATTCCAAAAGCCACTTCATACGATTCTTCACGACAGTGCGAAGTGCTCCTAACGAGTCGACGGAATCGTGCTCGGCGGACGAGAAAACGCCCATCGATGCGATACCTGGAGACCAATTGTCGTGCAAACTTGAGCAGTCTGATCACCAGGCTGCGGATGGAGGTCGAAAGGACGTGGCCAATGATGAGCAAAAGATCGAACTGGAGGCGCAGGGCATCATGGTTTACGATCGCACTACTGGCGAGGAGAGTCACACAATGTGGATGGTCAAACCATGGGTTGCTCACGAAATCACGATTGATCTGCCTCAGGTGCTCGTCGACTCGCTCGGAATCGGTGCCGAAATGCTCGCCAACTACTTGACATGGCTCGCGGATGCTGGCGCTCATGATCCTGGAAACCATCCGCCACCGCTGCCAGTTTTGTGTCGTATCTGTGAGCGCCAAATCACTCCCTGGTGGTTTGAGAAGCATACCGAGCTCTGTTCGCAGGAATATCGAGCTGAAATGGAGGTTCAGATGGCACACGAATCTCTGAATGAGCAGCGGGCGGCTCTAGTCAAGGTCTTGGACGCGCTCGAAGCACAGTCACGCTTAGCAAAGCCCACTTCTGCTGATGCCGGCTCTCTGACCTCGGCTCCTAAAGCCGAGTACAAAGGCTTAACCATCGGTCCCGTCTCGACGCCATCATCAAACCCTTCGTCCGGTCGCGCATCTCCTTCACATGTCCCAGCACGCTCCCGCGAATCCTCCTCAAGCGGTCTCAGTCATCATCGGGCGCGATCATTCGCTGTCAGGAGACCACTGGGCCGCATTGTCGAGCTGGTCCTTGACCTCTGTGATACTGCCATGGAGATTAGCACCCCCTCAATCAAAGACACTAAATCGTATGCTCCCGGGGAATTACGAACGCAATCGCCACAATCAGAAGGCCGCATCCAGCAGGTGCTGCAATGGCAATCTCCAAGCGCGGGCTCGTTGGAGAATGAGCAAGGGCTGGCCCTGCTCTGCGACGACACTTCGCAACTCGCCAAATCCAAGGTGGAAGCCGTGTTTCGCCATCGGCGCATCCTGGAATATGCCGAACGCATCCGTGTGGAATATGACATTCTTGTACAGGAATGCATCGAAGCTGCACTGCAGAAGGCCGCGAGAATCGCGGCCGGTGAGCTCAGCGATTCTAGTTCGGATGGAGAGCCAGCACAGTATCCAATGGATGAAGACGTTGTAGTGACGCCTTCGGAATCAGGGCGCGAGCCCGTAGAACACATGCCACCGGACGATTTCCTATCGCTAACCAATCACCGGTCTCCTCCAAGTGGCCCGTCGTCGATGGCAATGGCACTACGCGACCCTGCAGAATTCTCGGCGCGTCAACGACAGTCTTCTGTTGAGTCTTCGAGAGCGAGCAGTCCCAGGGGAGCTACGACTCCGAAATCATACACTGCGTCGTTCGAGCCTTTTCCATTTCACAAGCGGGGATCACTGGCATTCGAAAGTGATGCGGGCGCCGAAAGTGATACCAGCATCCGCTCTTCCGCAGCCAGCGGCAGCAATCGCCGAGCCGATTCGCCGGGCACAGATCTCAACCTCAATCGTGTCGCCAGCACGCGTTCGCGTGAAAGGAAACGTCACAGCCTAGTTCTTCCGAGTCTTACCAACACCGGCCGTCATCAATCCCCAGGTAGAGGATCTGTTCCGCCATCATCACCGCTCCGTATGGCCAAACCTAGACTACCGAGCGGCAGCGAAGCCATCCAGTCGCCCATCACTTCGCCAGTGTTGACTAGCGAGTTTACTTCACCAGTAATCAGAGCTCAGCATACGTCCAACCACCATCGACGACAGTCTTCCACAGCTCTGGCAGAGGCTATGGGTCGCCCGGCGTCTCCTCGGCTGACCGCTGTAGTGTCCAATCCCCAACCGCGTGCGGTGCAGACGTCCATTAAGGATTTTGAGATTATCAAGCCAATCAGCAAGGGCGCCTTTGGAAGTGTTTACCTTTCCAAGAAGAAGTCTACTGGCGATTACTTCGCCATCAAAGTCCTGAAAAAGGCGGACATGGTTGCCAAGAACCAAGTCACAAACGTCAAAGCTGAACGTGCAATCATGATGTGGCAGGGCGAAAGTGACTTTGTTGCAAAGTTGTACTGGACATTCTCCAGCAAGGACTACCTCTATCTCGTGATGGAATATCTTAATGGTGGCGATTGTGCTTCCTTGATCAAAGTGCTTGGAGCGTTGCCAGAGGATTGGACTCAAAAGTACATCGCCGAGGTAGTGCTCTGTGTACAGCATCTGCACAGCCGGCAGATCGTCCATCGCGATCTCAAACCTGATAACTTACTCATTGACGCACGAGGACATCTGAAGCTCACAGATTTTGGTCTGTCTCGAATGGGATTGATCGGCCGTCAAAAGCGAGCGATCAACGCGAAGCCGGGAGATGCGCCTCCCGATCTTCTGAAGGCAGGCCCGTTCCGTAGAGCACCCTCCGTCACATCTTCCCGATCCACGTCATTTGATTTCCAAGGCGTCAACCATTCCCCGGGGCAAACACCAGCTTTAACACCAGCTTACGCTAGTGGTGAGCTTTCGAATCCTTCCTACTTCAGCCTGTACCGGGAGACCTCGCGTGATCCTTCAAGACGCACTTCCGGTCATCGTAGCGACAGCGGTGATAGTGAAGCACTTTCTGGCGCCTTCCGGCGGTTCTCCATGGCCGATGGCCGCACACCTATCGAGGAAGAAACGGCCAGTGAGGAGGGGGCTGAATCTCCCGATCCGTATGCTCTCCAGCCGGTTGCAAGCAACATCAGCATTCCCAAGACAGATACTCCTCCGCAAACCTCGGCAGCAATGCCACCTCCCATGATGGCTTTGTTCGACCCAGAAGACAGTAACAGACGGTTTGTCGGCACGCCAGATTATCTTGCTCCAGAGACTATCAATGGTGCCGGCCAGGATGAAATGAGTGATTGGTGGTCACTAGGCTGCATTCTGTTCGAATGTCTGTACGGCAGACCTCCTTTCAATGCCGACACGCCCGACGAAGTGTTCAAGAACATTCTTGGTAGAAAAATACAATGGCCGCTTGATGAAGATGACGACATGGTCTCGGAAGAAGCTAAAGATCTGGTGCTGAAGTTGATGTGTCTAGATCCGAAGAAGCGCTTGGGTTCGAACAAGGACGACGAATATGCCAACGGCGGTGATGAAATCAAGGCTCATCCCTGGTTCGCTGGGATTAATTGGGAGACTCTTCGAGAGGATGAGGCCTCATTCATTCCCATGAGCGAGAATCCCGAAGATACGGAGTATTTTGATGCTCGCGGTGCCACGATGCAGAACTTCGCTGCCGAGTTTGAAGACCAGCAATCATCACCAGCGCCCACACCTGGTGCCGATTACCCTGATCGCCCACATGATGCGTTGTCCAGAGTTAGAAGCCAAGTCAATGCAGTCAAGCGAAACCTGATGCCGCTACACATCCCGCCACATGTCCGAGACTCTCGATCACGCCGACTCAGCGAGCCGGTAGCCTCCGACGATTTCGGAAACTTCCAATTCAAAAATTTGCCTGTCCTAGAGAAGGCAAATAAAGACGTGATTCTCAAGCTACGGGCTGACGCGCTATCCGCGCACTCGAAAACGTCAATGTCTCCGCCATCATCATCAGCATCGCCATCGGCTTTGCCTTCGCTGGAGTCAAGTCCCGTGGTTCCAGGTCCGCTTCAACGCACACTGTCCTCTGCTAAGAATGTTAAACGAGCGCAGTCCCCCGCAATGCTGAGTCAAGCTAGCGCCTCGCCCAACAGGGGCTCACAGCCCTCCTCTCCACTGCTGGTCTCATTCAGCACGGGTAATGGTCAAGAACGTCGCAAGACATCCAGCGGCTCTTCAGCTTTGGCACAGCAAGCGACTAGTGCGGCGCAGCCTGGTCACTTGTTTGATCACAACTCACGACTTTCGAGGGGTCTCAAAGCCCCTATCGGTGCTTCATCGCTGAGTACGCCTGGCAAGGGAGGCCCAGGGTCGGCGCCACTACAGAGAGAAAGAGCCACGTCGACCAATCGACAAACCAACGTCTCTTCGCCACGACAACGTTCGCACACTTTGGGAACTCAAGAGCTTGACGCCGATGTCGTACCTGAAATGCTCCCTTCGCATCATCACAAGCGTCTCAGCGGTGTCTTTGACGTTTCACCGTCATCTTCGGACACTGAAGACACTCGCCACCAGGCGTTCCTGCGAGTCCAGCGTCGTCGACAGAGTTCCCGCAGATTGTCGCAAGTCAACGTTGGCGACGGTCCCATATACCGAACGTTGGACGTGCTCGTGTGTGAAGACCACCCGGTATCGCGTCTCGTAATGGAGCGCCTTCTAGAAAAGCTGCGATGCCGCACCATCTCGGTGTCTAACGGTTCCGAAGCGATGCGTTACGCCATGAGCGAGGTGAAATTCGATGTCATCATGATGGAGTATAAGCTACCTCAAGTCAATGGCGCTGACGTCGCGCGCATGATCCGTGACACCAAGAACGCCAATTCTCATACCCCCATTGTTGCCGTGACTGGATACCTCAAAGAGCTACAAGCGCCACATTACTTTGACGCTTTGGTCGAGAAACCCCCGACGAGGGAGAAGCTCGAAGAAATTCTCGGACGTCTGTGTCAATGGAAGTCGGCTCCAGAAGGCTGGACGCCAACGCAGCCGCAGCCCGTCCCTCCTTCAAATCTTCGGCAGGAGTCGGTGCCCACGGATGACAGTCCTACGACAACGACGTCCTCCGGTTTTGGAGGGTATGGCCCCGTCTTCTCCAGCCACCGTGGGTCTAGCAGGGAGGACTCAATCGGATCTTCCTCATTCGGTGAGACTGACTGTCATTTCGACAGCATCCCCGTCATCATCAGCCAGCAGTCCACAGGTGACTGGGATCAAAGCGATCTCGAGCGCAACTTCGGAGGATTGGGCATCACCGATCACGACAACAATCGCGCCAAACCAAACTCTTACCACATGCACCAAGCCTCTGCTCCAGCCATCCTCGCAAGCATCGAGACCCCCGCGCCAGCGCCGCACACGCCCCGCAAACAACCATCAATGGAAGCCATCCAGGCCAAACGTCGCTCGCTGGAGAAGGTCCGACAGGAATCCGCCGCCGAATCCGGCGATGACGAGGACGAAGAACTCGGCAACATCCAAGTCCGCCAGCGATCGCCCAGCAAACGCAATGCCGGCAAACGCACGTCCAAGCTCGGCACCGAGATGATGCGCACCAACAGCCAGGGCAGCGTCGTCTCAAGCGAGGATCTCCTCTCGCCCAACGCTGCCATTGCGCGGAGCCCGCGTGCCGCTCCTGCCAGTCCCATCGTCGACGACCATCTCCATCCCGGCGACGCGGTCCCCAGCGGCGGACTCACTCCACCGGAGATTTTCCCGCGGAAGCCCGGTCACCATGCCGAGATCATAGATATGGACGCCGCGGAGCCGAGTTCGAGTCGTGAGAACGAGAGCACGCCCAAAGCAGCGCATGTCGCTGTCGATCTGGATTCCGATCCTACTCCGAAGGCGCATCCGTCGTGATAAGCCCTCTCTATCACGGACAAATGTTTCGTCGACCTGCACTTCATTTCTCGCTTTTCCCTTTCGTGCTGTGTCACATGGCGTTTCTTATCTTCCCAATTACTTTTCCTTATCGATCGTGTTGTTTTCTGTTACGAATTAATGACCTTTGAAGAGCCCGGCGTTGTTCGGAAAGCGATCTGTACTTTTTCCACTTTTTTCTCCCCATCATCTCGTCATTGGCTGTGGACCCTATCTTCTCTCTCAAATGCGTCTCTACAGGGCGATGTCTCATCCGCACCGCGCAGCGTATGTCTTTGCTTGGCGAAAAGACTCGGTCTGGGAGACCACTGGCGGCTTTATTCCATCTCACGCTTGAGGGAGAGAATGGCAATGTAGATCTTACAGGAGGCGCGTAGGGGGGGCATGTTCTCTTTTCGTTTGCTCCTGCGAATCTCCCTCTGCTGCTGCGCCAGGTTTCGCTCCTTCACGTCTGGTCGAGGCGTTACGAAAGATTTCTGTACAATTCATGATATTTGTTCATAACCGTTTTCTCACAGCCTTCTGAAAAGGAGTTTTCTACCTATTGCTTTTCGTACGTGAAAGTCGCGCAAGACTCTTTGTCCGTTTTGATATTCCGTGCATCAAGAGTTTGCGTGCTTGCGACCCCACTGCATCCAATAAAGGCTTGGTAAATGTGCGGGCTCGTCATCTACCCAGCACCAGGTCTATTCATATGGCTGTTTCGGTTTTTCGTTCCCCCCGACCAACGCCGTGCTAAACCGACAAAAAAAATACTGAAACAATGTGGAGAATGAAAAAAAAACTTTTCTCTTGAACCTTCGGGACTCGGCCCTCTCGGAAATTTGAAACAGATTCGTCCGACGAGTTCCAAGCTTGCCTGGGATACTATGAGAAGTCGCGCAACTTCGACATGTCATCCAGGACCGCTTGCAGCTGATCATCGGAGATCTTGCCTTCGAGTGACGGGATCAACGTGCGCGCTTCGTCGGCGGAGTCGCAACATAGACTAGCTGTATTTTGTAGAAGAAAGAGAAGATTATGTGAGCTCGAGATCTAGCAAGCAGCCTCCTTCTTGAGGATAGTCGTAGGAAAGTGCGTGAAGGAGCAATTCGAGGGTGAAATGGACGCGAGGAGCGTCACCGCAGCCGTGAATAGGACGAGCTGCACAACTCACGCGGAGGCAGAAGCCGAAAAGGGAAAGGAAGAGAGATTCAAAGACTTACCCAATTGTGCCCGCTCAAACTCCGTGATTCCCAACGCCCGTTGCGTCAATTCGGTACTGATCTGATTGACCTGGGTGACGATGCTGGCGTCCTTGAAGCGCGCAAACGTCTTGCAGTACTCGCGCGTCTTGAGGTAGATGTCCGTGTTCCGGAACTGGTTGTTCTCGCCGCGCGCCTCCAGCTGCGACAGCATCAAGTTCACCTCGGCCACGGACAGCGCCTGCACGTTGGTAAACTCGCCCAGCCTTAATCTTAATCCGGCCTCTTCGTCACCGGTCTTGACGGGTCTGCGTCGTGATGTGGGCGCGCCGCGCGGGACGGCTGTGGATGTGGTGGTGTTCTGGGGTCCGGCCATAGCTGATTGGTTTTATCGATCTGTTTCGTGAGAGGGCGTGGGTTTTTGTGTGATTCGGTTCTACGGAGAACTTCAGGCGATGCGGATTTGCGGATATCGGAAGTTAAGTCGTTCGAGCATGCAAGGCGCTGCTCTGGTCGTCAGGGTATAGAGTCTGTATTGTCGAGATCAATAAACGTTCGGCTTTTTGGGAAGCTATCGCCTGTGTCGCGTGTCGAACAAGCGGTGCGTCTGATGCCTGCCCTAGGTGTGATGACTGACTGTAATTACGGGAGGCGATAGCCTTCACTACATGGTGCTGACATTCATGTGTTGCGGCTCTGTGAGCACATGGGTACGTCTGCCTGAGGCCAAGTAGCCTCTTCCACCACGCACCTACACGTCAAGGGTGCCGCTGATTACAGATGCGGTGCAACAACGTACAAACTTTGGAAAGAAAATGTTGCACATTCGGACCACAGTGGGCATCAGCGTTGACAATAGCAAATGCAAGGGGCATCATACAGCATGCCCAGGTGTGCACATATAGTGGAGCCCGATCCCTTGTCAACGAGTGTAGGACACACGATCTTGAAACGTCCCCAATCTCAACGTCCGGACCTGAACGACTTCATGACGTCTCTGTGGTGCGCTCTACGCCGGAGCATAAACTGATCGTCGTCGTCACGGATGATACGAACGGGGCGCAGAACGAGCTGTCTGTCCATCAGGCAGCATCCATGCACCGTTGCTCGTGATAAAGGAAGTTATTCTTGTTCTGGTGTCCCGCAAGCACTGCGCCACTGCCAAAGCAACTAGAAACAATGATGACGGACTGCAGTGCAGTGCTTGCTTTTAGACCATTTTCGGCCAGCGTGAAGTAATCAGCGGCACCAAATTTGTGTACTACTGTCGTCAGGCACACTTCGTCCGCAGATGCCCGTGTATCAATCCATCTAATGTTGAGCAGTTTGTAGGGATGGGCTTGTAGGTACTTATCAGCGTGCAGGTAAGTCTGTATGGCCTGTAATGCCCCCATCATCCAATTCCAACGCTACCTAGTGGACATAGGTATATCTACCTGGGTACAGTGCCTGAACATCCATAATGAATACTTGGGAGGTCATAGAATGTCAGCGTTACGATCACTGCCACTCACGCCACTACGGGCCTGGGGGATAATTATAGGTCGCTGCAGGTCTGTTACCCTATGACAATCATGATGATGATGGTGATGATATAGTGGCCCGCTCTGCACGTCCAGCAGCACATTACTAGGTGTCTTCGCACATACGGCACACCTGCGTAGGTTGTTTTGGGGGCCATTGTGGGTATGAACAACATGCGGTCAAGCACTACATCTGTGAAAACACCGCCTACATCTCATCTCGCACGGTCATTTCGTCACCCTCACAACCAATTTGTGACAAGTTATCAAGAACTACTCGATGGGAATTACAAGGCATTGCCTATCAGGAGACAAGACACAAAGATGGGTTGCGCAAATGACAATTGTGAATATCCGCAGGTGTACATATATAGGTATCTATCCTGTCGAGTGCCAAACATCCGCATCCAAAACTTACATTAATCGGATTCCTCTGGCAATGTTGCTGTATATGGCTGTGCTCCACAGATCTCTAGTCACCTCTAGTCAACTCCAGTAGTCTCGTGATTCAGAGAAAAGTACTGTAAATAACACGATCGTCAATCATGCCTGTGGATCAATATGGATAGGTACCTAACACTTTTCAAACCACCAACCTTGGAAGCCCGCCAGTCAAACATGTGCCCGGGCGGGTCTCCTCCAGTAAAGTTTCAGGCTATGCCACCGCTACCACAGCCTGCCTTCACGAACATACAGTATCCAGTACTGCTATGCAAACCACCACCACACTATTATTACATTACATACACGATTCACCGCGACTAGCACTGTACAATTGCAACCACCAGGCCAATACCCCTCCGCACATAACCACCGGCAGACTTCATCATCACTCCTCACACAATTGGTTTATCGCGGAATGACACGCCTTGTACTATAGCATTTCTGTCTTTTTCGCCAACCACCACACCCACCTCCACATCTTTCCGCGCTCTCTCTCCCGTGGCTGCCACCTCCGCCTTCGGCATACGACAGGGCCCGTTTCACATCATCCCCGTCTGTCTATCCGCCTGTCCGCCGCCCGATCCTCCGCCTTCAAGGTCCAATATCCGCACTCCTGCTCTGTCGCATTGCATCGCGTGTGCATGACGACGATCCGTGGCGACAAGGCTGTCCACCAGCTGCATGTCCTACTGGGAGCAGATTGCTGTGCGGTCGACATTCTTGCCCTTTCGAGTGGCTGAGCCTGCCGTTGCTTGTTCACCATTTTCGATCGAAGATTGCTGCAAAATCTGGATTCTCGTTCTCAACCCGGTCGGCCTTGGTGGGCGTCACTGTCAGTGAACGAGCACGTGCCGGACCACCTCGACGCAATCTCATTGCGGAAGCAGATCACGAGACACCGTCTTTGAGTGTTCTTCCGCAATGCCTCAACCAAACGATGAGCGGACTCTCGACGTTGCCTCGAGCGACATTCGACGCAGCAATGATGCCAAGAGGAACGAGACCGCCGCGACAACATCCGAAATTACTCTACCACACCGACCTCACGAGCAAGGAGACGGAAACCTGCTCAATCCTGCGACACAAGATCTCACGCGAAGATCGCTGGACGACCTGAGCGAAGCGGACAGTAGACACAGATCTAAGTCAAAAGGCAGGAAGCCCAGTACACAGACGAGGATATGCGGGACGTGTCAGCGCCAGCTCATGGGGCAATTCTTGCGAGCGCTGGGCGGTACATATCACCTCGATTGCTTCAGGTGCCATGTAAGATTGGGATGAGAGACCATTGGCGAGCCAGGACACTGACGATTTGCGCAGGATTGTGATAAGATCGTGGCTTCGAAATTCTTTCCCGTCCCCGATCAACCACCAAATCAATACCCTCTTTGCGAGACCGACTACTTTCGACGCCTGGACCTACTCTGTCATGCTTGTGGTGGGGCTCTTCGTGGATCGTACATCACTGCGCTTGAGAGAAAATACCATATTGAGCATTTTACCTGTTCGGTTTGCCCGACCATCTTCGGCGCGCAGGATTCATATTATGAACATGAGGGCAGCGTTTACTGCCACTATCACTACTCGACCAAATTTGCGCAACGGTGCAATGGCTGCCAAACTGCGATCCTGAAACAATTCGTCGAAATCTTCCGCAATGGAGTCAACCAATATTGGCATCCCGAGTGCTATATGATACACAAGTACTGGAACGTTCGCTTACATTCCGCACCGACGAAAGGCTCATTGGCTGACGAGCAGGAAACCGAACAGCGGAAGAGGCTCACGGAAGGCCCCAACTCGGATGCTAGCGAGGCTGAGCGCAAGACCATTCGCGAAGAGGAAGATGCGGTCGAATACAAGGTGCATTGGATTTGGCAGACACTTTCTTCTTTCGAGGAGCGCTCTGCCACGTGTATCTCGGACATGTTGCTACACGTCAGCAATGGTGCATACATGGACGGCGTGGTTGCAGCAAGACGATTCATCACCCACATTGATGTGCTTTTCGGCGCGGCAGACGAATTGAACCGTCGTCTTCTGGCGGGTCCTGGACCAGACAATGGCGAGCGAGCGCGAAACCCGGACAGAAGTGCTCCCGTACCGCGCGGACTTAGCTACAGTAGAGAGGCGAAAGTGCTCTGCAAGAAGGTAGTGGCTTTCTTCCAGCTTCTGGCGGATAATCAAGACAACGGCGTAAGACGCCTGGGTGTCACACAGGAGCTTCTGTTCCTAGTTAACGGCTTGGCTCACTATTTGAAGCTCATGATGAGAATCTGTCTGTCCGGCGCCCTCAAACTCGAGCGAGAGATGTCCAGCGTGACCGGCTTGGAAGGATTCCTCAAAAACATCAGCAAGCTGGACGATCAATTAGACGCCGAATCGAAGCAGGACTCACGACACGATCCTGAGCTTTACGTTAGTAAAAGCGCGGACACGTGTATGGTTTGCAACAAATCCGTCGAGGACAAATGTTACAGATTGGACAAAAGAGTCCTGCATGCGGAGTGTCTTGTTTGTTCGAAATGCAACAAGGACCTCAGCGCAAATCCAAGCACTGCGAGATGGAGCGAACAATCGAAGAAGATATTCTGCGAAGCTCATGCAGGCCCCGACGCGCACATCACAGGGTTTGTGGCAGTGACAAGACTACAGCAATACGTCCATCTCTTGCGTGTGGCGCATGCCCGTCTACTCGCGACCCTCAGAACAAGCGGGGCCCTACCTCATACTACAGACGATCCAAATCTTGGAGATTATGATTCTCGAGATCTAGAAGCTGTGGAGAATGACAGCCTCGTGGCACTGGGCAGATCAAACACGCGATCAAGATCCTACGCGGGACGACCAGGCGGCGAGAGGAGCCAGGATGAGGCTAGCTACGAAGACACTATGGGTAACATTCGACGTCTTCGGAGTATACGGATGGAGAAGCAGTTATCAAACGCGACCCGAAAAGCACGAACATCTCGAATCATCGATGGTCCCGAGGCTGTCCGTCCAGGTTCAGCTGATGGCACCGAAGGACCAAAACGACGGAAGACTGGAACATTTCAGATTGTAGAGGACCGAGATGCGAACGGCGAGACAGTCACACAGTTGACCTTTGGAGCGCAGGATACCATGACCCTTGATGATATTCCTCGCATCGTTCAGGCTCAACAGACCAAGGAACAACGACCGAATGCCAGTCGATATGCTCGCAACCCGATGATACCTCAGGAACCGAAAATGCGCCTTGTCAATGGCCATACACGAGACTTGTCGAATGATGCCGGTAAAATGCTCAATAATCCGCTACCAGCTACGAAAAAATACTTCTCCGAACTGACCGCGCTCGAATATTTCATCGTTCGCCATCTTGCTGTGCTATCGATGGAGTCGTTGCTTACCGGTCATTTCGACCAAGAAGAATTGATCGATTTGATTGAGGCTAAGCGACCGACTTTTTGGAGCAAGTTTGGTAAAGCCTTTCAAGGAAAGGAAAAGAAGCCCAAAGGCAGCAAGAACACCAGCGTCTTCGGGGTACCACTGGAGCAACTCTTGGAACGCGACTATGAGGAGAGCACGGACGGTGTTGGTCCGGGTCTCCTGAAGATACCGTCGTTGGTGCAAGAAGCCATCAGCGCGATGAAGACCATGGACATGTCTGTGGAAGGTGTTTTCCGGAAGAATGGAAATATCAAGCGATTGAATGAGGCCAAGGAAGATATCGACAGCAAAGGCACAGTTGAAGTCGACCTTACGCGAGAGAATCCGGTCCAGGTGGCGGCATTACTGAAGAAGTTCTTGCGGGAAATGCCCGATCCTCTCCTGACGCACAAACTTCACAAACTGTGGATTACTTCTCAACGCATAGACGACAACGAGAAGCGGCGCCGGATACTTCATCTGACGTGCTGTCTACTGCCCAAGGCGCATCGCGATACGTTGGAAGTGCTTTTCAACTTCCTGAACTGGGTTTCAAGTTTCAGCCATGTCGACGAAGAGAGCGGCAGCAAGATGGATGTCCACAACCTGGCCACTGTCATTGCACCGAATATCATACATCGAGGCAAGGATCATATGCCTGTGGACGAGAGCTTTTTGGCCATCGAGGCTGTGCATAGTCTAATCGAGTGGAACGAAAGCATGTGTGAGGTATGTTGAAGCCGTTTGGGAGAAAGGAGGACTAGCGTGGACTCGAATGCTGACCACTACGATCTACAGGTTCCCGAGGACCTCGCCTTGATGATGAACGACAGCTCCCTTTTCAACAACACTCCGGACATCACGACCAAAGAGATCCTCAAGCGCTACAATGACTATGTGCGTGATCCGCGATCCCGGCCGGGCAACACCAATAGCAGCTTGGACAATCCGGCCAATGGAACGTCGTCACCGACGCCAGCCGCAGGCGTGAAACGGGTAGATACCGACCCATCGGTGCAAAATGCTTGGCAGAATGAGAGCTCGGTACGACATGTTGGGAGCAGCAATGACCTGCACAATCCACCAAACTTGCCGTATCTCAATCCCAGTAAGAATGGGAGTGTAGACTCACACGGCGCGAGTCCCAATCGTGCAAGCATCCGAGGCGGGCCCTTTGATAAGCCTAGAGCTGTAGGCATTGCATGAGCAAGTTGTACAGGCGTGAGGAGGAATTGGAGTCCGCTGTCCATCGCGAACAGCCAGGGTTGGCGGCAAAATATGAAAAGTGCCTGATGATTATACGTTGGCGGGAGCGCGAACGGTTGTACGAGTTCGAAAAACGGACATGACACGCGTGCTTGTCGTTGGGTTTCCTGGCGTTCTACATTTGAGGGCGTCGATCATGACTTGTGCTTCGCTTTTCAGATAGTTTTTCACGACGATATGTTTCCTGTCACGGCATCTGTCTCGTCAGATGTCTCAATAGCATTTTGAGAGATCTCTGCAATCTGTTGATTTGTTCGTTTTCATATGAATGATCACCAAAAGGATCATCGTTGACAGTACGCAGTCTCGATCGGCAACGAAGCTGAGAGTTTAGCCGACTGCCTCTGCAAAATACCACCGATGGGCACATGGAGTGGACCCGTTACGACGAACCGATCGGCATGAAATTTCTTAGAGGTTGAGAAATTGCTTGCGCGAAGGCGTCAACAACGTTGGAGCGAGTACAGTCCCGAGAATCGACGAGGTGCTGGACGCGGACATCTTGGCGTTGCACCGGTCGCAAGTCACGTCCAGCCAGATGCTCGCCTCGAACCCGATTCCCATTTCCCACTTGTGGCTCGTGAACGTTGCGAATGGGATTGGGGAAATGCCCGGCAGCCAATCAAAGTTTGCGGATCATCACGTCCCCCTTTCCCAAGTGTTGCTATAAACGCCATATCACGTGCGGCCGAGCCAGACTTCACCTCGCGACCCGCGCGCCGCCCATCCGACGTTTAATTACAACAAACAAGCCGAACGAGCTTTGATCCCGCTCTTTTCACGACCTTCCAGCCATACCGGACATTTTCGACCGCTTTCCAGTTTTCCGTCAGGACCACATTCATTCTTTTCAAGACGTTCGCTCTCATATCCCGGTCACTCTTTCGTCTTCGCGACAACTTTGCGCCTTTCTTCCGCTCTTCAGCAATACCTCCGATAATACCAGAATAATGTTTGCTAAGGCCATCCTCGTCGGCGCATTCGCGGCCATCGCTGCGGCGCAATCCACTGTCCTCACCTTCACCAACGTCGCCAACCCGATCACCGACGGCCAGCCGACTGCTCTTCTGTGGGCGACCAACGACACCGTCTCGGTATGAATCTCGAATGACAACAATTGAGCCTTCGATGCCTCGCGCAAGCCGACAACTAATCACAGTTCTATAGCCGGTCACTATCCTCCTCCGCAAGGGCCTTGCTACTAACCTCGAGACCGTCGAGGTCATCACCAGTATGTGATCCAACAGATTTGCGCTCTAAAGTCCCGAACTGACGAATGCGCCTGTACAGCTACCGGCCGCGGCAACCAATACATCTGGACTCCGTGCAGCTCCCTCGAGAACGGCAATGACTACGCTCTGCAAATCCTGCAAGCCGGTCAACTGAACTACTTCGGCCCCTTCACCATCCAGGGTGCCACCGGCTCCGGTAGCTGCTCTGGCTTGGTTTCTACCGCCACCGCGACCTCCTCTGCCAACAGCACCTCCAGCACTTTGACGTAGGTGTTCCATATCTAGAAAACGCCGATTGCCGTGCCTTGACCTTGGTCCGTGTGTGCTAATTCTCTTTGCGATATAGTCCTGTCGTTGGCGGCAGCAACAGCACCTCTGCCGTTAACGGCACCTCGCAGAGCAACAGCACTGCTACTACCTCCAGCCCTCTCATCACTCCTACTCCTGCTGCGCACAACAACGGCACCCTCCGGGACAACAGCACCACGACCGCCACTCGCCCTACTACTTCTAACACTGGCGCCGCCTTCCCCACCAGCTCCACCAGCACTGCGCCAAATGCTGGTCCCACCGCCGCCATCGTCGGTGGTGGCTCCATCGCCGTCCTTCTCGGCGCTGTCGCCGCCATGGTCATGGTCTGAGCTACTCGTCCAAGGCGATTTCCTTCAGCGGGAGAGGCGTGGGACAGGCAGAGAACATATTCGAATCTCCGTTTTACTGCAATGTTTCTCTCGCAGTTTTTCTCGAACGGCAATACCTTTTTAATGAGCATAAGGCGATGCAGAAAATTTGCTTAAAATAATACCCTTTTTCGAATTTTGGACCATCATTGGAAATCGAACCTCCTCTTACAAACTATTTCTCTCTCACCATGTGCCTTTCCTATTGCTCTTTTCGGCTAATGCGACGTCTCTTCCGCATGGCCTCTAGCGGGATCAGGCCCGTGAGTGATTTTCCCGAAAATTACTTCCTCGTCGTGTCGGGGGTTGCGATGTGCTCGACTATCACGTGTATAAATACAGCCACAGTCCCGTTTAGGTTCACAACCTTGCAGTTGAATTTCGGGTTGTGTATCCTGGTGATGGGACGTGGAAGCTCTGTCCCAGCCAAAATGCTGTCGTGAAGGAATGTGTTTGGGCTGTAGACCCATTGATATGCTAACAACCACCCACCATCTCTCTGCGTCTCCTTATATGGCAATGTCATTTGTCACAGCGCCGATGGACAGGAATTCAATGCCCTTCTCGTACATCAATCAACCCTGGAAAGTGTCACCGCGAGAGATCCATTCATAGTACTCACTGGACGTTCAAACTTCAGCGTGTATTAACCCCAACCCTATCACATCAATATTAGGGTTACGATGGCACCTAATATGCATCTCGAAGTCGAAAAGAATAGAAATGGGTATAATGTACACCCGTTTCCTGGTATACATACATCTGTCCTCTGTCGTATCTAGGTCCGCTCCAAAAAGGCTGCAGCGATAAGGCACATATTGGAACGTTCTTCTCTATCATTATGATATCGCGCTATGCTTATATAAACAATACACAAAAAGTCTAATAATGTAATATTGCAATGCTTCCGCTGAATAGTTTCCCGTAGGCATCACGGGATTTGATGATGAAGACGACGACGAAGAAGAAGAAGAGAAAGAAGAAGAAGAAAGTGCTCATAGCATATGAAGCAGCATGTTCGGCATGGTGTGAAATGTTCACATCGGATCATGCGTCATGGAGGAACCCGCCCGAGGGTTTCGAAGCGATTTGGGCGCTAGGAGAATCTGCAGGAGGACCTCTTCTGGAAGATCGCTGCTTAGAGTGGAATTTGTGGGACATGTTTTCGGGTCAGACTCGCGAACGACTGGCGGTAGGCCGCGGAGCAGACGGGCTCCATCAATCAAGAGCATCGTCGCAGAGCGTAAAGATTGGAAACAGCTGTGCAATTCGGATCTTCAAGCCATTTCCACATCTGGCCGTGCGGCTGACGGAAGAGGAGGAGGGGCGTTCGCAGGCCTGAAAGACGCAGGCGATGGGCTACGCGGCGGAGGATTGATCGCGGTGAGGCCACTCACGGGAGGAGGCTGGTGTTGTGGTGGTGGCGCGGAGAGTTCTTTCGAATGTTGCTGCTGCTGCTGCTGTGGAGGCGGCGGCGTAGCTTCGCTCTGAGGAGATTCATCCTGCAACGAGTGGTGCAAGGGTTGCGCGGTCGGCGTGGTAGATTTGTTGTCGGCGTCGGGACTATTGCCGGAGGCGTTGTTCTCCGAACCCTTTTTCTGTTCGCAAAAGTCAGCATCGGTCAAACATCAAGGATTTAACAAGTGTTATGCTTTATAAGAAACGGGAAAGACAAACACGGAGTATCACGTACACTTCTCATATCCGGCCTGCCGTCCTTGCGGATCAGCACCCCTTCAGAATTACGAATCGGTTTGGTCCGGGTCTTCTTGCCGCCGGACGCCATCGAACCTCCTTGTGAAGGGTCACCTCCCATGACGTAGGGATCCATGCCATCGTGAGGTGGACCGTGACTGAGAGGATGACCTGCCGGTGTCGAGGGATACTCACCTCCAGGTGGGCCGCTGTCGGATCTCAATGGATGGTTGCCCATGCTAGGAGAGTGTGGAGCAGACGGATGATGATGATGGTGATGATGTTGTTGGTGATGAGGATGTGGATGATGATGAGAATGATTATGGTAGCTATTCGGTGGAGGATGTGACGAAGGGGGAGGACCACCCGCGTTGCTGGTCGGCCCGGCAGAATGATGGCTGCCATATTCGGGTCGATGCTCCCATTCTGGTGTGTCTTGGTGTTCTTGCCGATCAGTAGGATGCTGCGACGATGATCTCGGTGATGGACCTGATCGTGGGCCGCTACGACCAGCACTCCGGGCTTTTCCTCTTCCGTTTCCACTCCCGCTACCACTGCTACGCACACCGCGACCACTGCCGCTGGCATGTTGATGCGAAGACGAAGAACCACTTCGATCACCGTCTCCTCGCCAGGCGTCGTGCGCATCGGGTTGCGCGGCAGAGGTGGTAATGAAGCGGAAATTGTGATGTCCACCATGTGCTGCGTTGTGGGCAGATTCCGCATCTGGCGGAGGTCGCCCGCGTTCTTCTCGATCAGGATATCCACCTGGTGGCCCACTATAACTCCCGTCTTCAGGGTAGTTGCTCCGAGGCGCACTGGGCATCAATGGCGCCAATTTTGGCCGTTTCGCACCATCTGCCATTGGTGATCCATATGGAGACCCGCGCTCATCTGGAGGACGTTTTGCAGAATGACCTGTATTGACTGCAGCCCAACCATTAGAATGTGGTTCGGAATGCTCGATTGGTGGGCGTCGATCGCCATGCGAAGCCGAGGCGTATGGGTCTGCCGCTCGCCAACCTGAAGGCGGGCCAGCTGCAGGAGGCGGGTGGGAGTCGGTTGGTCGGTATGGAGCTGGGGCTGGCGAATGCGTGGAGGCGCCGGGCGGTGGAGGACCATGCTCATTCGGGTACGCCTTGGAGTCCGGCGCTGATCGATATCCATGCGCATTTGGTGTATCAACTCCTGGAGGAGTGGGGAAGTTCGGCGGCCGTGCAGGGTCCTGAGGACCTGCTGGACCAGATCGCATTGGTGGTAGCGCTGAGTGAGCATGATGATGTGGATGGGGCTGATGTGGGTTCGAGGCGTGATGCGGTACACTTGCCGCTCCCGGTGGGCCGCCCTGTGCCGATTCATAATACGACGACTCTCGATGCGGTGTCGTTGTCGGAGGACGATGGGTAGAAGTTGCGCCTGATCCTGCCGTCGTGACTTCTTCGCATTTCCGAATCCGATTCTTCAGCAATTCCAAAGCCATCCCCAACGCATCCACTTCGTTGACCTTATGTGAAAGTCGAGTCACCTGCGATGTTAGGATTTCTAGATCGCCCGAATCTGGTCGACCTTCAGGCGCCGACCGAGTTGAGCGCATCTCGCTGGTGACGCGATCCAGTGTAGCCGCGATACCGCCAATGTCATGATGTAGCCGGTTGATGTTATTTTCGAGCTCCTGAAATTGACGACGATGACCATCGATCATCCCGGTGTTGTATGTGACTTGCGCTTGCAGGCGCGAAATAGCACTGATCCATATCTCGGGACCCGAGCGATCCGGGCCATTGCTACTGCGCGAAGGCAAGCGATTGTGTTCGACAGATCTGGTTGGCATGGATGTGGTAGGCTCCCGCATGTCTTGTGGCATTGGTCCCGCAGCGGGTGCGACGCCCTCGGTGGACTTTTCCGCCTTCATGCCCCGCGCCTTGTGAGCCATCGAACGGGTGAGCGCATGCAACAATATTCGACCAGGTTTGAGAAAGAGTGATGGGTCGAAGAATATTCAACGGTGAGTGTGGATTGATTCAACAATTCGGGCGCAGATCGTGTGGTGTGGACGACGAGGATAATGGGTGTGCGCGCGGCAATCTGGCCGCATACAAGCCCACCCACGCACAGGAAGCGGCTGAATGATCAAGCTGGATGGTGAATGGGGTGCGGGTGGTGGTGGTGGTAACGTGCACGGCGGAATAGAATTGTCTCAGCTGTGAGGTCGATATGATCTTTGAGGTCTGTTGAGCGAGGCTTCGGAGTTGGTGGGAGATCAACACCGCAGTCGTGATAGTAACAGTAACAATAATTTTATTAGAAAAAGAAGAAAAAGGAAAAGAGAGTTGGCCGGGTTGCGGGTGTAGCGTGCGTCGTGTCGGTGATCGACAAGTGCAAGCTGGAAGGAAAAAACAAGACCCGAGTAGCGCGCGAACAGCCAGGGAACAGGTAGAGATGGGCGGAAGCGCGGCAGGCTATGATACAAGGCGAGAGAAGGGGTGTGTGTGTGTGGGAGGGAGACAAGTAGATGGAGAGGAAGAGTGAAATGATGTTAGTAGCTTGCAATAGGAGCGCTGTCGCTGTATGAAGTAGACGAAGATAACGGAATGGTCCCAAGGGGAAGAGCGATGGTGGAAACACGCATCCAGGTCAGGCCAAATTCATGGATGACGAAGGGGATGAGCAGGAAAAAAAAGGGAGGGTGTGTACGGTTCGAAGATTGTAGCGCCGAACAGGAAGAGGCCGACAACGGGCACCGTAAAGTTAAACATGAAGCCACGTCCCCTGTTAATACTATACTATCAGTCGTAAAGCGATCGCGAGAGCAAAGGTAGATCCAATCTGGCCACGAACAGATGGTTCGACCCTTGGACAGGCGAGAACATCGTGTTATTGGTCGTGGCGGGTAAAAGAACAATTAAGGATGTGAGACCACCAACGGGGCGACAGGCGACAGCGAGCCTGTTTGGTTGGATGATTAGCGATCGCGTGGGTGCCGAACGCGGGCGCACCCATGACGGCGCCGCCCTTTCCCATCAATTTCTTTTCCATTTCCAGTGCGTCTTCATCGGGAATGTTGTCCGCGAGAAGAGGAGGGCGGGCGGCCGCGAAGACGAAATGGATCAGAATGCAGAAGAGTTCGGGATCGGTTGGTCCAGGTGCTGAACATGGTTACCGTGATTGTCATGAAGCATACATGTGCCTAGTGCTTAAAGGTAAACATCGATGCACAGTCTGCATAGCTGAATGATAAATGAATTTCGTGTGCCCGTGCGTGTCCTCCTATACACTGGCGACGGCTTTCGTCAATGATTCCAGCGATACTCGTCGAGGTTTGGGAATGAGTAGCACTACAGGGAATACGACAGGGAAAAACACGACAGGTAAAACACCTCTTGCTACGCTCGCCTGAAATCCGACATTGATCGTTTCGGGCTGCCTGTCGATGTTGCAAGGACCGAGGGCACAGGTCTGGTCATCGAACTTGGAAATCCTACTGCCAGAAATTCGAGCACACGATCCACAATAAGGCGAGCGGACCGGCAGCTTGCTTGCATATCGTATATGCATTTAGATAGCGTCAGTGCTGGAAGGCTGTCAAGGAAGGACCGGCGGCGGGAATCACCGAGGGTGTGATGATACAGCGTGATGATACAGTATGATGAATCGGACTGAGAAGAGATAATCAATCTTGCGAGCTGGCGCTGTTTGTTAGTGCTGTACGTATCGCGAGATGAGTCGATACCGCCGCGCTAATCTATTAGACTTCGAGGTGGGCGCGCAGTAGCCAGCCCATCCGCGACGCCCATGGATAATGGCAGGGCGAAATCTTCCATGAGGAGGGAAATGCTATTCCGGTGCCAACGCAGACATGAAGAACCTTACAGCCACGCCGCAGCGGGCAGGGTTGGGAGGGAAGCTGATGCGTGCCGCCGTGGAATGAACGGGTGACCGGTGTGGTCGATGGGTGGGTTGGATTGGATGGATTGGGGCCCGCTGAGGCGCATAAGGTTTACCTTTTTGGCGCAATTCCGTGTCGTCGTCAACGTCATTTTCCAGGATCCTGCAACTGGTTCGACTCATAACAACTCACAGATAATCCATTGCCAGGCTCGTCCCGAGGGATCAGATGTGACGACAAGTAGTAGGTCCCGTTGGGAGCTTGGAACATAATCCTCGTAGTCTATTCTCCCCCAGGTAGTCTGTTCCTTAATTGCAGATTATTTGAATCACATCAGGGCGGAAATACCGGCGGCGCGTCCCCTCGTTAAATTTCGCATCGAATCGACTCGGAAGGCGCGTGAGAGGCGTCTGCACGGGCGGCCCAGATTTCATGAGGACAGCTCATAGCTCGCAGCTCGCATATCATCTCTGAGCGTTCTACGCCGCAAATCCAGCCCACACCGACAGTCCGACAGACGGGTATGCCATGTCGTCCAGTTGTACGTAAAGCACAAACAAATGCGAAAGTCATCTATTAAGTACCTTGGCACGACAGTGCAATTCTATTTCAATATCAACCCATGCTGATATACTAGGCGCGCTCTGGTGACAATTGGCTACACTTTACAGTCAACCATTGGATAATCAAACAGAGACTGAAAATTGTGCAGGGAGGCGGTCCCATGCCATAGCAAAGCCGATCTATGCGGAACATTCCCATATTGCATGAACAGAGCACTGGCGATCGCTTGTCATCCAATGGTATGCCACAACGGCTGAACATGATCCGAGGCAGTAATTTTCATCGTCTCATGTCGAAATACAGCGGCATCTGCATAGTACTACGACTGTAATGACAGACGAAGTGCTCACCGAAAGTGTGATTGGACCAAGCACAACCAGAGCTTTCAGAGTGCTGAAGGCCGTGGACAACAGCATCATTGGTTTCGTTATCGTTAAACCACGGCGATCATCGTCAGATACTTGTCACTGATGCCGGAAGATGGTTTCAATTTGAGAATGCGTCGTCATTGGTCATATCAGAGTCGTAGATCCGCTCATATTCCGCACCATGGCCGATGAGACCGACCTGTACTTTTCCCCAGCGACAAAGCCCACACGACAAACAGCTCTGCACAAAGGAGCAATCATAAGCTAGTATAATGCAGGGGCAAGCAAATGCTGACACGGGCATGGCGCTACTAGCATTTACACATAGTGTGACTGGCAGACTGGACCTCGGTGCGGCCATGATGCCTGCCAACCTGTCTATTGTTGGGCGCCTTATTATTAGACTCGGGAGGCTCCAATCATTCACGCAACCATCGCAATACACGTCGCCAGTGTCCATTTCGATCAAAGCATGAAGTCATCGTGCCCGGGAAATGGCTGCATGATGAGGTCGAGGCGTCCGTGTCTTCCCATTGTGGACATCACACAGTGGTATATAACAACAGTCGGAAGTCGGATGTGACCTCGATTATGGTACGAAATAGCGTCTTGGGCAGAGACGGTATGCATGTGTCAAGACTTGCGCTGGGCACCTAGTATAATTCATTTAAGCCTGAGACAGTGGGTGGTGGCTACGCATTGCAAGACGGAACCAGTCCGCTACCAGAGATTGCAAAAAGGCTAGGAACACGCTCTGTACCATATCGCCGTCTCGCGCTAGAACATAACGAAATCCACCAAGCGAGAGCAGGATTGTCAAACTACGAATTCAGGTGGTGCTGTACACAATGACCCATTTTGTTTTTTGTGAGTGATGATTCCATGCTCTGGGTGTATTGTATTGAAATGGATCAGGAATGGCACATGTAGACGACAGCCTTGGCGATCGTTCACAGGAACATTTCAAAGACTCAAGAAAAAACAAACATGTGCTGCATGCAGATAGCGTGCAGCAGGCGACCGTAAAATTACCACTGCATTTCTCCTCTGGGCAATTCGTACAGATCGATGCAGGACCCAAAAGCCGGGTGGGAGTATCGTACCTTGGTTGATGTATACGATGAATACGACACTCGCTAACTAACCAGCCCTTTAGGGGCCAGGCTGGACCGTGAGAGTTTTCCAGGTTGGCGATTCATCAATGGGCAACCAATCTGCCGGAAACCAGCAGACTCAGGTTTGGGCATAGCGCGGAGACCTGACCATGTTCCCACTGGCGATATTCCTTTTTGGAGATCGCCCGCCCAATTTCCCTTGCACACGAGCTCCTCATGACTCGATCCAATTGACTTCGGCATACGTTCATAATCAGATCTCCAATTGCAATAAGTAGAAGCAGCCACTAAGCAGAATACACATGTACCTTCGGTAGGCGCAGGATTTGTGCTTGTATCCCGCTACCCATCAAAGAAAGGGTTGTCCGCCGCTAAACTTGTGGTAGATGCCTTGGACATGATCTACGCAATCACGTCAAGGCTCGTCATTTCCGTCCAGGAACCGCTTCCTGATCGTTCTAAGATAATCTCAATGATGATGGAGGATAGAGTGCAGAGAAATTGCCATGTTTCAGAGATGCACGCTGCGTGGACGGATGGGACATGCCGAGTGCTCTTCCTACCCCGTTCATGTGACCGGCTATGCCTGCATGGCTTTTGTCGGCGGTGATGTTCTGCGTTCCCTGTCAGAAACTGATGTTGGCCTGTCAGCATCAGACAATAACCATGCATACGCCACACAAGGATGACCTGAGTCAGTGGAGAGGTCACATAAACTCAAACGCACGACTCGTTGATCTGATAAAGGAATGTGAAGATGCCTGTGATGAAAAGGTTCATGGATGTGCAAGAAACAGAGGCACGCGCTTACATAAGCTGAACCATAACCCTAAGCATCATGGCGGAATCGTGCCGCGTGGAACAATGATGAAGTAAGAACTTTTTTCCAGGTATTGCGATCACAGCTTGCATTCACACCACAACCCAACACTCGCCCTCCAGGTGCACAATAGGCATATGAACATGGCGACCAAACGGGGTGCACCTGATAGTGCCGATTTGCGCTCCTCATCCAAGCTCGACCACTCTCACAAGCGCCGCAAACCAAACTCCACCACAAAACCCTTCAAGAAGGCCCACCCAGTCAATGAACTCAAATCGAAAATCCGCTCCCTAAAAAGACTGCTCGATCGCAATGATGACCTTCCCGCCGATGTCCGAGTTGAGAAAGAACGAGCTCTGCAAAGCGCCCAACATGATCTCGACATCGCCAATCGCGTTCACCAGCGCAGCGAGATGATTGGGAAGTACCACAAAATTCGATTCTTTGATCGGCAGAAAGCGACTCGTAGATTGAAGAAAGCGAAGAAGGAGCTCCGTGCTTATGAAGGTGGAGATGCTGAGGAGAGAGCGCGACTTGGTCGCGCGGTGGACGAGGCAGAGACGGAGTTGAATTATGCTCAGTTTTACCCGCTGGAAAAGGCGTACGTGCCGCTCTTCCCCACGAAGAAGAACATCAAGGATGATGAGGACGGAGACGGGGAGGGTAGCGGAGCCAAGGAGGTGGAGAGAGTAGGCGATCCGGAGATGTGGAAACGGATTCAAAAGTGCATGAAGGATGGGACGCTGGATGCTTTGCGAGAGGGCAGATTGGAAGGTAGCAGGCCTATCGCTGCGAAGCGGAAAGATGAGAACTCAAGCTCGAACAAAGGCGCTAAGTCCTCACGGCCTGGTAAGGTCAAGGATGCCAAGACAATCGGCAAGGTTGAGAAGACTACCAACGTGCGGAACACACGAGACGAACCACAAGACGAGGATGACGATAGCGATGGCGGGTTCTTCGAGTGATCAGCAATGGGACACACGTAATGTCACCACTTCGTCGAAAGATAGAGTCTGGGAGGCTGGAACTTCGCAACGTGCTATTCAGTCATGCAGCGCATTCCTATGGCTAGCAAGAACAAAGGGCGCTCGCTACTGCTTCTGGTCCGCGACAAAAGCCTCTCCACGATCCTCATGCACCCATCTTTCCACCGTCTCTGCAATTTCGCCAACCATCCGCTCGTATCTTTCATCAATAAAGAACAATCCGCAATGCGCCCCAACCTCATCGACACCCTCCATGAACACTCGGACCCAGCAAGGATCGCGTTGACCGTGTGAGTCTTTGGGTGGAAGGCTGCAGAATTTACGATCTTTGGGTGGACCTTTGTCCTTTTTCCCAGAAGCCGAAGATTCTGCCGATGCTAGACTTGGCCTCTTGCCGTGAGACCTGGCGCTGGACGCTGATGGCGTTGGTTGTAGCGAAAGGGACGAAGTCGCTGTGGAAACATCGTTTATCGAAGGGCGAGAGGGAGCCACTGCGGGAGATGTCACCCGCTCGGGCGCATCGTGGTCGTCGGATTCTGGGTCTGGCTCTTTCTCGCCGCGCATTCGCCGGCCTTCCGCCTCCATTCGCAATCGCTCTTTTTTCAAACGGAGGTGTTCTCTCTCGGAATGCGTCATCTCGGATTCCGCCTTCTTGGAGGCTGCTTTTGCCGCTTTCTTCGCAGCCTCTTGGGTCTCCTTTGCGACCCTTTTGGCGGCCTCCTCGGCTTCCTTCTTCTCCTTACGCACGCGCTTCTCTTCGAGCTTCTCGCGTTCCTTTACGGCTGCTTCGCGATCTTTCAACGCTTTCTCGTAGGCCTTGACAGCCCGGCTGTGCTCCTTTTCGACTAATTTCCGAGTCTCTTTGTCTTGAATGAAGCTCAAGTCTAGAGCTGGCGGTGCAGTAGGAAGTTCAGGCAAAGGTAGTAGATGGCTCTGTATACTGCTGCTCTCTGATTCTGTATGCGGGTTTGGCGAACGGTTATTGTTGGGTTGGTCGTTAGATGTCTCGAGGACCGCGGAACTCGTGCCTGCAGCCCCATCGCTGGCGTTTGGGCCATTGGTGGACACGAGAAGACCTTCTGAGATATTCGCAACCTCTTGACGTTCAACAGCCTCTTCTTCCCGCTCATTAATGGTCGTTGGCTTTGCAGGCTTCGGCCGACCATGACTTGCTGTGTAGTAATTTATGAACCGTACTCGGCTGGGCGTGCTTGTCGATGTGACGACCGAGCGTCTCACTGCCTCGTTCTCCTCCTCAAGCGACCGTAGCTTGACATAACGAGACTTGAGCTCATTCAAGTGCGCCATTGTCCCACCAAACTCCATATGTGAAGCTACCAAATTTTGCGCAGCTTTGGTTAAATTGTCAGAGTGTTTGTTGACCCAATGCCATGCACTCGCCCAACCTGTGCGCACTGGAAGCGTGACGTCGTTAGCAAAATTTGGATTGTAGTTGGGATCATTCTGAGACCAGAAAGCATCTGTGAGACTGTTAGCTGATGATTTCTATGAGCCTGAGATGGATTTCACTCGCCTCCAGAGTCAACGGTATATTTATCCTGATGTGTTTCCTCCGAAGGCTTGAAAATGCTCGCCAGGCCACTCCGAACGATGCCAGGATGCAGCCCTAGGAAAGGCACGTCCAGATTGATCGTCCCCAGAATGCGATGCTTGAACGCCCGATTTGCTGGCGGTGGTGGTGCGAGAAGGACGATCTCTGCAGAGAGTAAACCGCCCATGCTATGTCCGAGAAGCACCACATCTGTGGTGCTGCTCTCATGCGGCTCAAGCCATCTGCTAAAATCATCGCGAGCCACAGTGATGTTCTTCTTCGATCGATATCGAGGGTAGACCTTCGTATGCACGACGTGGCTCTCCGCAAGGAGAACAGTCAGCACATTATGGACATGTGCCGGAAAGTTTCTAAAGCTCATCTCATTGCCCATGAAGCCATGAATGTAAATGAGGAGTAACTTTCGTCGTGAGAGCTGCTCATCGTATGTTGGTACGAGTGACTGCTGAGACGACGACCGAGGATCATCCCGTGCCCAATTTTGATTTGGGGAATGTCCATCTTGCCAAACAGTCTCGTAGGGCGGTGGTGGCACATCGGCCGGTAGCTCCGAGGCTTGCTCTGATGTCGTAGGTGGCCGGGATGGGCCAGCGTGCGAATCCATGATAAAAGGTACGTCTTGTTTTACCGCTGGCCTGAGCTGGCTGTCTGACAAACCCTCGTCATATGGTCTCGTGTCAGATTTACAGGTGACCACAAATCCAGAACTCCATAATCATAGTCCGCACGAAGCTTGATTCAACGTCTTGACAGGCCCGACGGACGTGTAGCAAGCTGGAGCTCCCCAAAGTTTGTGCCGGGCAGGCTGGCAATGGAGGACAGTTACGTCATCGCACGGTGCCGCTGATCTGCAAGCAACATCACACGAACAGTTCGCAGAGCATTGCATTCTTTTCCTCAACTTCGCGCCATTGTGTTCGAAATGGAACTCTGCAGCAAGGCATGAGATTACTGCAGAATCTGATTCGGTATCTAAACATATCCACCTTCTCGGCAGAACCGAATCCTTGCAATCGATGGATTTGCTCGTTTAGCGCTGGCTGCTAAGAAGAAACCTTCGAATGTACATATCGGTAAGGTCGCACCGAATGCCGATTGGTCACGCCGACGACAGCACGGCTGCCAATGTCATTTGACACAATGTCTACTTATCAAGTATCCTTGACATTGGAATTACACCTCAATCTTAAGCCTCCCTGAGGCGCGATACACAATTTGTGCGCCAGCGGCTCGCGTACGACATGGCGACCTCAGCAGACGCGTACGCATGCCAACGACACGTGCCTTCGCTCACGCATCCCTTGAAATGCAGAATGCTGCTTATATATACTTATATCTACCTTCGAGAACGATGTGAATCCTTGAGAATCTTTCAATCAACCTTCGTGAACAACGCAACTTCAGAGACAGTCCTATCTAGACATACATCCTTGCAGTACCAGCTGGTACCCACCAAGCAGGCATGCCACACGTGAACAAATTCTTAGCCTATTGCGAGCGGGAATTACTTGAATACCTACAGGACCGTCACGAAACTGATGGGAACTTCGATCTTTCAGACATTGAAGGCTACCGGCAGCTTTCTCAACCGCAGAAGGACGAGGTTGCCATCAAGTTCCAGTAAGATTGATCCAATGATATGGTTTTCCCACATAATATTGAATATTGTCAAAGCAGAGGAGTAAAGACTCTCGATGACACTGTCTCATCTGAAGAACTTTACTCACGGCTCAGAAGGCTAGCGAAGAATCAAGAGTTCAACCAAGCTGTTGATCCAGAATTCACATTCCCTCGCCGACCAATCTACTCAGGAGATTCCACACCTCTAGATCAAAGTGATCATGATCCTGCCGAGGCTGAAAATTCGTACATCGCGCTGGGTTCTCAGAGGATTCGAGAAAACGAAAAGGCGTGTTTCGAGGAGCTTATCGAGCTCGAATTGCCTCCAGTGACATCTTTCGAAGCAATCGGGAATCTCGGATTCAGATGCGTGTCTCCGTATGATGCGGAACTACCGTGGCATGAATCTGGGGAGAATTTGAATGGTTTCGAGCACCTCACTGTCTTTAAAAGGCAACTTGAAAGCTGGTGGCGATTTCGGAAGTCGCAATGGCATTACCGTAATATCTCAGACGAGCCGGGCATCGTGGCCTTCATTGAGTCTCAGAGACGCGTCGACACGTTGTCAAAAGGCAATATCGATCCAAAAGGTTGTGGGTACGAGAGGAACCTACGAAAGTCATGGATCGCTATGGATGGCTTCCCACGCATTGCTGATGATAACGATTTCACGAAAAGAAAATATTTCGCCAAGGACGACGTCAGCCGGCACGAGTTTCAACACGGCATGGACCTGAAAGAGGATCCGCGGCAGCAAACTGCATGGGACAATTGGCTTGAGTATCTAAGTTACGAAATGGTAAGTGTGATGACATTGCATCTCTGAGTTACCTCCAAGGTAGTATACGAATACTGCAGATCTGACTTGCCGCAGCGATGTGAGAGTGACATGAATCAAAATCATCATGACTTGCATGTCTCCATTCGCCAAGATATCATTGCTTTGTCCGAGGCGAGCATCGATATCATGCGCATGTCGGAGGGTTGCCACTTGGATAGTCTCCATGCAATTATGACAACGGCCCAGCGTCTCTCAGAGTCACTCTTTCACTTCCAACAACAGCATGCGGAAATGCACGAGCTCGCGCTACGGGTGGAATGGATCGTGCAAGAGGCTCGTAGGATGGACGCCGAGCTCACGGCCGAAGCAAATGAAGGGCTCTGTTCGGAATCCAGCAGTTGCAGCAATGAGTTTGAGGGTTTTAGGCATCAAGCAGCAACCCCGTCTTTCGAGATCCGGGAAGACACCCCCTCCCCCACAGAGCCGAGCGCAGGCCGAGATCGCAAGAGAAGTTCTGACAGCAAGGAGTGTGTCGAGTCGCGAGGTCACACAAGACCACGACTGTACGATAGCACAGAACATTCCCACTTACTAAATACTCAGTGCACAGAAAATGAGAATGAAAGTCGCAAGAGGAAGAGAACGCATGATGATGACGAGCTTGTGGAATCGCAGGCTCGCTCAGCACCGTGGCGGCGCAAGCAGACAGGCGACGCTCATCCGCAGCGCAATGTGCTCACGGAGCAAAGAGACGAAGCCTGCAAGCGAAAGAGGACAGATGAGAGCGACGATGATGAAAGATTGGGAGCTGACGCTGTATCCAAATTGCGCGAGCAAGTCAAGGTAGTTCCACCGCCACGCCGGAGCGCGCGGATAGCTGAACAGAAGCGATACCACGATGAGAATTCGGATAGCGGGTCGACAGCACCGCTGAGGCGACGCACACGCACAGCGAAACCTCTGCAGGCTCTAACAAGTGCTGACCTTGAGGCGAGGCAACGTGGTGAATGAAGAAATAGAGTGGTTGTCATCAGAAGTATGATTTTTAGATGGCTTAGAAACAGAGGATGTAGCGTATGGCCGGTATAGATGAAGATATAGCAGCATGCAAGATTAACCCCGTATTATGATACGTTGACAGTCGTGTAATGGTTATATGCCGTCAGCCGAATTTAAAGTATCACTACGCCGGAGGATGCTGCGAACAACAGAATCTCATCTCCCCATCTCCATGACGGGCGTGTCGCCTTTCTTTACGGGATACGCGACTGTTCAAGATTTCGTGGCCTTCTCGCATGCGAATCTCTCAAGTCGGACTTGCTATGATTAGACATGTACCTAGGTACTCATGTAAAAGTTCCGTGGTCCTACTTTATGAAGAGACTAATGCTGATCTACATCGGCCTGCACACGCCTTGCGGGATGGTACCGACAAACCCCAAGCTGAAGCGTGAGTCAGTGCGTAATCTCATTGCGGCCCGTCCTGGCGGTTACTGATCAGGGCGGCCTAGTTTCATATGCAGCTCCGAAAGATGGGTGGGACGGACGGACATCACTTGCATGCCAGCAATCAAGGATTCTAAGGTGGCACAGGTATGCCAGCCTCCGCGCAGATTTGGGTGAATCTCAATGGCTCTCGCTTTGGCAACATGCAAATGTGCTCGCACCGTTTGCTACGATATGTCGCACGAAACGCGCAAAGTGTAGTTCGTATCATGACAAACATCAGGCATGCCCAGATAACGACGCGCCTATGCCGAATATCTACACGAAACGCGATCTCTCTATTGAAATTCAGAATCGGTCAAGTCGCACGACGCCTGGCCACTGAATGAATATGGTGACCGCTGGACAGCTCCTGGCATATGACCAGGCCCAAATGATCGACTTTATCCAAGCACACCAGAATGACAAGGGCGAAATCCTCGTAGAAGATTTAGAAGGTATCATTGAATTACCGACGGCGCTGAAGCAACAGCTCAGCGCGAAGATCATGAGAGGAAACCCTGATGCTAGGAAAATGTTTACCACTAACATTGATGAAAAGTGAAGCATGCGCACAGCTTAATGCCCGATCGCAGGCGGTCATATCCGCCGATCTCTTTCAAAGACTTGAAAAGCTGGCCCAATTCCAGGAGCATAGTCATACAGGCATCGAGAGCTCTGTGCCGCTACGGGCTCCGGACTTGTCGAAATTGATTAGCACCTTCATCGAGCAAACGATGCAGTTCCGAATGGTTTATGCGGATATCCATGAACTTGAGTTGCGTGTGAGTTGGATTCTACGCGAGGCGCGCAAAATGAATGCGGAATTCTCGACAAGTAAGCCGCTGCCAGTTTCACGACGAAAAAGAGTGCGACAGCTTGAAAGCGAGCACGTCTCTGCGCAGACTCGATCTAAAAAGGTCGCTGATCGAGACACTGTACAGCGACCTTGGAGGAGCCCACGGTTGGCAGAGAAAGGCTGATTTGTCTCATCCGTCCTTCAATGCTCAGATATCTCCTCGACAGCATGGCCGCCGAGGACCCGGTGAAGTAGAAGAGAGCCGGTGATTGCGAATGAGATGCGCTTTTGAGGCTTAGGGAATTCACCATCGCCTACGAAGCAAGACGAGAACAGGATGTCATCCATTCCTCGCATTGGACTTACACCAAAGGCAAAGCTTCGTGTTCTGCGACATGCTTGGTATGCTGGTGACGACTTGTTGGAGCGGGGTGTCAGGCGTCATAGTTTTTCGCTCAGAAATTGATGCTCGGCGGGTTTGAGCTTGCCCCGTGCAAGCCCTGCAGAGACGCGTCCATATGCCTTTCTAGCGATACATTTCCCTCGCTCCGTCAATTGTGTGTTGTAGCCAGGATACGATCAGGGATGTTCAGTTTGCTCAAGGATTCCTGGCGGCCAATCCTCAGGCTCATCTTACCGCACGAGAAGGCTTTCGAAGTCCTTCTCCAGCTCAGCTTTTCTCTCCCGGTTCTTGGCCGCCCACTCATCGAATTTATCCAACGACGCCAAATCACTCTCCATCCTCTCCTCATTCGTTGTCCCATTCAAAATACTCCACCCTCCTTTCCTCACCAAAAGATTGTATAACGCCGCCTGCCTCGAGATACCCATTTCATCTGCCAAGCTGCCCACCGGCTTCGAAGCAAGCAATTCCGGGTTCGCCGTCAACGTCCAAAAACTTTGGAAAACAATATCCTTTTCTTTACAGAATCCATAGATCTCCTTGCCATATCCTACTTCCTGACAAAACCTATTTTGTACAACCGAAGGCTGAATGTTCGCATTACCAAACAAGTTCTCAAGAACAGAAAGCGAATAGACGTTGGATATTCCCAGACTCCGAATCTGATGCGGGACATATGATTCGAGCACGCGCCAGACGCGAAGTGTCTCCGCCATCGATGGCAGAGGACTGTGTAGGACGAGACAGTCCAGATACGGCTTCTCGCCAACATCGACAGAGAAATTTCTCAACGAACTCGCGATACTCGCATGAACCTGGTCCTCCAACTTCGCGTTTTTGTCATATGGCATTCCACGTGAGGGATCCTGTCCCGCGATCGATGTGAACTTCGTCTGGATATACAATTCTTTCCGTTTGACGATACCCCGCTGGATCGCTGATCGGACAGCATTTCCAACGAGGTCTTCTTGGTAATGTTTAGGTTGCGCGGCGGTGTCGATGGCGCGGAAGCCGGATTGTATGGCTTGCAACACGAGGGCTTCGGTGCGAGCTTGTTTCCAGGCGGTGCCGTAGAGCATGCGTGGAACATAGAGGGAACGGAGGGAGGCCATTGTTTGTGGCTTTCCCTCTCTTGTTGCTGCTGTTAATCTTTGTAAAATTTTTGTCTGTCGATAGAGGAGTTGGATCTCAAATTGTATGTTGACTGCGTGTCATGGTTTAAAAGCGGTGATGATGAGGTGAAGTCAGGAAGTGCAGGCGCTTGTGTTCGAGGGTTGTGACATCACACTCGAAAGCTTCCGCGCGACAAACACAAGGCAATCAATGTCGAGTGTTCAGTCATCATACCACTGTAACCGTCATGCAGGCGAACCTGTGCCTAGATAGTTGTCGATAATCTCACAGTTCAATAAGTCATGCTCATTGAGACTGACTTTCAGCCCAAGAAGGCCAGGACATTTGAAAAACCTGAACTGCTTCACACGGAGCTCTATAATAAGTCGGTGAAAATGCCCAGCCGGAAGATGCTATTGTCATTCTCTGCCGCATTTCGACGAAGTTTAGACGAAGCCTTCATTCACATTTGATATTTGCTATTTGATTCAATTTTATGAGAATTGGAAGGCTACGGTCAAAATAGTAGTACCGACCAGATCTAATTGTTATTACAGGCAGAAATCTATAGTTTCGAAATTAAACTTTCACGGCCTTGACTCCCTTGGCTGCCTTTTCAGCCTCGGCCTTTTCATTCTCTTCTTTCAATCTGCGCGCCTCCCGAATGAGCTGATCCGGTCGACGGACGGCGATATCCTTAGGTTTGAAGTCCGAAAATAGGGTCTTGAGGGTCTTTTCAATAACCCAGCAGCCAGCATAGTCCAGAATCATGACGATGGTCATTGTGATCTTGAATTCGGTGGTGAAGGGGACAAGCTTGAGTCGCTCGTTGATCTCGGGAATGAACTCGGTGGCGCAAGAGAAAGCTACGCTGGTGACCAGCACGATTCCCCAATACATTCCTTTGTTCTCCTTGATAGATTCGCGGAAAGGTCGACCCTGGTAGTTGATTGCAAAAGTGGAAATCTGTTGGATGAGCTGGAGAAGGTAGATGGCGGAGTTCAGCAGAGACGGCTCGAACTCTCCCTCAAGATTGATCAAAGACCGGTCTTTTCGCGGTTCGAACTTGTGCACAAAGTTGGAGATATACACGAGAGTGGCGATATGGACGGCAAATTGACCCAGCACAGATGGGATGATGTACCAATTCCAGATATTGTTTTGGGGGCGTTCCTTGGAAAGTTGCTCGACGGACTGCATGAACTGTTAGCAATTTTAATCGGGGTTACAAACGAAGTATCGATCATACCTTAGCACGGGAAATGCTCAGGAAACAAACGCTCATAAGCATTCCACTGATTGTCACTTGTCCATCACCGAATTTGATTCCGTCCAGATATAGAACACTTAGACTGTAGGCACTGATCAAGCAATTCAATGCCAGGATCTTGTACATCTGAATGGTGGCAACGAGTGTGCATCTTCCTTGGCGGATGATGTTAGGAATAGCGATGACGTTGGCAAGTTTGCTTGTGAAAGGTGCAGCGACTGACGCGTCGCCGAGCTTGATACTCGGTGGCTCGTCATCATTCAATTGCTCCTCCAGCATTGACATGGACAATTTCTCTGCCATTGCAGCTGCTGCGTTCTGAGCCTTTTCCTTGCGCTGATCCTGAGGAGATTTCACGGCGGCATCCTGGTTAGATGAGGTTTCCTTGACCACGAGGGCAGCACTGGGCGTTGCACCGTCGGCTTGGCCTGCCTGAGCTTTCAATTGGCCCTCTCGTTCCATGGCTTTCTCGTAGTGCGGGTTTGTCGGTCCCGCTGGGAAGAGGTGCGCGATCTGAGCAGGTACCGGCGGCGTTGGTTGGTTGAATCGCTTCATCATCTCACACTGCTTCTCGTAAATTTCCTTCAGCCTGGTCTCGCGGAAATGCTTGGCAATTTTGTCCATGTCTTCCTTGCTACCATTGAGCAGTGCAACACCAACATGGGCTTGCTTCAAAGCACCGACATCGTTGGTACCGTCTCCGGCCATGAGGGTGGTATAACCTTGATCTTTGAGACCGACAAGGATTTCTTCCTTTTGCTTGGGTGACACACGAGCGTAGACCCAGGTGTGGCGAAGGAGCGAAGGCAGAGCGGCCTGATTCTTGAACTTTGCGAGTCCATAGCCTGTAACGCACAGGTCCTTCTCCGCAAGGATGTTAGCGTCAAGGGCTTTAGTAGGGTCAACCGGTATGTTAATCTTATCATCCACGCTCCGCCAAACCAGCTTCTCGCCACTATCGTCGTTCTCTGGCGCATCGAGGATAAGTACATCTCGATCAACGATTTCTACCCGGCGAGCGACGTGGACAGCTGTGAGAGGGTTGTCACCAGTGATCATGACACATCGATGGCTGCTCTCGTTCAACATGCGGACTGCTTTGATAGCATCATCCTTAAGCGGACACTGTAGAATGAGGAAACCTGCGAAGATCAGATCGCATTCGACTTCCTCGCGCGTGAGGTCGTTGATCCGCTTCTGGGACAACTCATCGTTGGTCGAAAGATGCTTGTATCCGAGAGCTAAGACACGGGCGCCATTGCGGCTGAAATACTTGTATGTCTCCTCGTATTTAGGTGGCACGTCGGTAAGCATGTTGCGAATGGTCTCTGGTGCTCCTTTGGCGCCGACAAATGTGCCCTTGGCTTTCTTGCCAGTTTCGCGATCAGTGGTGACAGCAGTGGCGACGGAACTTTGCCTCTTCAACGCCGAAGAGAACTGGAATCGGCGTTTGATTTGAACAATGTCCAGTGGACCGCCCTTTGCCACAGCTCCGGCTTTAGAAGACAGAGTGTCATTCTTACCGAGCGCCCAGCCGAGTGCCTCCAGAGTAGCCTTCTCCATGGGTTCTCCGACCACGTCGCCGTCCTCTAACTTCACGAGAGCGTGTGCCGTCGCCAGAGTCAGAGCAGTGTAGAGGCCGGTCTCGGAGGCTTTCGTAAGCTGACTTTGTGCTCCGTCCTCCTCGGCACGGGCTCCAGATTTGCCGAGGGACAGACCAGCGATGCCATCAACGACGAGGTCCTCGCCAGTCAGCGTACCAGTCTTGTCGAAACAGGCAATGTCCACGCGACCAGCGAACGGAATTCGGAAGGGCTCAGTGCAGAAAATCGCATATTTGCTCAAGGCAGCAAGACTGGTGTTGACGGCAAGGCTCAGTTCCATCGGGAGTTCCGGTGGCACAACGGATGTGATGATGAGCACGCAATCGAGAAGTAGCTTCGATCGCTTGCGGTCCTGCTTCACTCCTTCCTCCCAGACATACCAAGAGGCAGCGATTGCGAAGATACAGAGGAAGAGAATGAACAGCAAAGCCTCAACGTTGTTGGCGCTCACGCGCTCAGTCGAATAGATCATAGTGCGTACAAGAGCGCCTTGATTGGTCTCGAATCCGGTCTTGATCACAATCGCGAGAGCACCGTTGTCTGGCGCCGAAGGGATACCCAACGCGACCTGTGGAGCTGGTTCTGACGAGTTTTCCGTTCCGGTTGCGTGTTGTACCTGCAGGACCTTTGTCCCGCCCCAAAGGAAAGCGTTTTTGTCCAGTCCTTCAGGTTCAAGATGTGCGTTGCGGGGTCGCAACTGGATGGAGTCCTTGAGCACGGGAGTGCTCTCGCCCGAAAGCATCGCTTCGTTGACGATAGCCGTGCCCTCGACCAAAAGCATGTCGCAAGCAACACCGCTATCTTCCTTTGTTCGGCCGACAGATACCAGATCGCCTGGAAGTAATTCATCGCTACGCAATTCTGTCCATCTCTTCTCTCGGTATACCCACATGTCGTAGGGTTTGATGCTCATACCGCGGAACTCAGTTAGTGTCCTCTGGCGCTGCCACACCACGGTGGATTCAAACATGATCAGCATGAAGCCAGTGAAAAGCGAGTAGTACCAGTACTCGTCCAGCATCCAGAGACCGACGCAGAAGATCTGAAAGACGAAGAATGGCGCTACAGCGTGCTCCTTGAAAAGCTCGGTGAATGTAGGAACAGGGATATCGAAGATGTTCAATCCGTAGTACTGTTTGAGTCGATCGATCTCCACCTTCTTCTCTAATCCCCTTGAGCTCTGAAACGACTCAATTAAAGGCTTCGGCTCGCGGTCCACGTTGTAGATGAGAGGCGCAAAGGAGCCCTTCGCCTCGTCGTACAAGAACTTTCTCTTCTGGAACAAGAATGATACGCTCTCTTTCCCGCCTGTGACTTCTCTCTTAATCTGACAAATCTCGCTAGATCCCGCATTTGCACCCGGGATGACCTTGATGAGGCCGGCATTGCGAACATCCCTCGCAGTAGTCGAGGTGAACCAGGCGCGTAGGTTAACGTTCCAGAAGGTCGACAGCCAAATCAGACTTTGCAGGGTGACAATACTACCAGAATAGACAAAAGTCCACTCCTGGCCGTTGATGTACTTCTTGTAGCTTGTGGGCGACAGGTAGAAGCTGAAAAATATGGGCCAGATGATGACAAAAGGCCAGACGTATGTGTGGAGGATCAGAGGTCGTGCATTGTGTAAGGAGGCAGATTTGACCTCTGCCCGGTCGACGAGCGGCGCTTTGGACGACATGTTTCAGCGCTGATACGAAGAGCGTTAAACACGAGCAAGCCTGGACATAATTGCAATGATGAATAAACAACAATGCAGCAGAGTTGAGTGATCTATAGGGATAATGTGGACTTATTTTGAGATGTCATCCAATTCTCGGGCTTGCACGCTTTCGATCACGTGCACCGCTGATCGTATGTAATCGTTACGGCATATCTGGCAACAGAACCTTGACGAAGTTTTGCCACGCAGGTTGAGTATACACTATGGCGTGCGTAGCCAGTCTCGGGAAGATAGCATGCACAACTATACTTGGACAGAAACGGAGACGAGGGGAATAAGCTCTGTGGGGACATCTAATATTTCGCTCGCAACAGAGCGAACGAATTCGTGCAACATGATCGTGGGGCAACCAGCCCATGTTTTCGGCCCATCGTCGCCAACCTGTAAAAATAGAACGCCTTCGCCATGCCAATGATCGAGCTGCCGCGAACCGATCCGTGAAAAGCAGCCATCATATCCCATGCTCACCGTTAAATCACGCCAAACCCTGTCTTGCCCCTGACGCCGCAAAAATTGTCTGGTGAGCAAAAAATCATGCAAGATAGCCGAGCTCGTCGCCCTCCAAGCGCTCAAGATACTCCTTCTCTAAGAGGATGTCAATGCACTTTTTGATGTCGGAGACCTTGGGTGTGAACCGATTTTTGATCTGGGCGATGGTTTCAGATACGAGCTGTGCATGTTTAGCCTGTTTGCGTGATTTCATGATGCGCACGATCGCAGACTAGATGATGGTCAGCTCGAGTAAATAAATTCCGTTGCAGAAGTTTGTACTCACTTGCATAAGCATTTTGCGGTCTTCTTCGATGGTTTTGTGCGTGTCTTCGGCCTCCTGCTTTTGCTCAGCCTTGATGGCAATGTTCAGGTTGACCTTGATTTTTTTGTTTCTGAAGCCGTGATTGAGACTGTATGTCGTCCCAAGCTGCGGAGCACCACCTTCTGGATTGGCGATGAGCACCTTTGCCTTCAGCATGATGCCGATCGATGGATCGAGCGTGTCCCTTGACAAGGAGGTCAGGCTCACCATATCGTCATAGCTGACGACATCCTTTTCATTGAACATAAGGAGAATGGCCATCTGATATGTCGACACCATGAAGGTATAAGGGACCTTGTTCATTTTGACGTAATTGGCGCGAATTTCGCCTTTACATAAATGCCACAACCAGGTCAGCTTGCGACCACCATGCTTGTTGTTGTAAAATGCTGAGAATCGCTCGTAGGTTTTGACGATGACTTCCGGGGGAGCGAATCGAGTAGTGGGGGCCTGCAGAGGCCAAAATCCAGTCCCTAGGATTTGATAATTGGCGTCCACTTCCTCCTTGCGATCTTCGCCATCAATGTTCTGCGCGCGCCACAGCTCATAGGCCGAATTGAGGTCTTTTGATGTTTGCATGTCTTGGAACATCCGCTGCAATTTGTTCGTGTACTCGAAGCCGGATGCGTCTTTCAGCTTTGCGATCATGGATGTCTCTGCATCTGGGCTCGCAGATGTACCGTTCACCAATCGTTTGGCAAGTGTCTTGGAATAGAACTTTTGGAAGACGTCCTTGTCCTCAATGTACTTGAAGATAGTCATGACCTGATTGAGCATGAGCTCCATGTCATCCTCCTCATTGGCCTTGGTTGAACGCTTCAGAACGTTGTCCGCGTGCTTTGCTAACAGCTCCGGCGACCGATTGGAGCTTTTGGCGCACACCTTGTTGCGGTTCACATACTCCCGGCAAGCATTGTCTAGCGAGCGCACAAATTCGGACTCGCCGGTAAACGCAGTCTGTACCAATGCAGAGTAATGAGTGTGCACCTCGAGCAATGCGTCAATGTATGCCTTCGGATCGAGGTTGTCACCCTGATCAGCAATCTTCTCCACGGCCAGCAGACCGGCTTGTCGCACGTGATTCTCGAAGCGAATCCGAAGTGGTTCGAGACCTTCAGGAATACGCGCCAGCAATTTATACATGCGAGCCATGTCCTCTTCTCTGTCGTTATTGAGCAGAATCTGGAATTCGTCGCGAAGCGTTCCAGCATGCTTGGCGATCAGTGCGGTCTCACAACACTTCATCAAAGGCGCCATGATCTCATTCAACAGAAACAAAGGCACACGCTCTTTCTCCTCCTCGAGTCTCCTTTCTGCTTTCTTCATGTAGTCCACCACTGAATTCTCTGCCAGGAACTGCTGTGACTCCCTCTCGTAGTACGCAGACGTGGCAAGAAGATATGGCGCTTCAAAGAACTGCTTGTAGACGTCGATCGTAGTCTTGGTGCTGTCTGATTCGTCGATGCCGAGTGAAACGAAGGACTGAACCACATCCTTGATCTTTGATTGCTCGATGGTCTCACCATTCCGCTGCTTTTCCACTAGCCGCAGGACAGCGTCCATGACTGCATTTTGCGTGCTTCCGAACATGTCCTCTTTCCAGCGAACAAGATGTAGCGTGTAGATATCAAAGATATCCTTTTTGCCCTCATCCATCTCGCGCTTGACCCAGTGACGATTGAGGTATTTGAAAAGGTGGTTGTCATATATGCCAGCCTGTGTGTAACGCTTCCACTCTTTAATGTAGAACGTCAACAAAGCTTCGTCTGCGTGCTTGACCATCTCGGCGTGCACGACTTTCAAGTGGCGCCGTAGATAGTCATTCAGCCGGTGGTAGAGGTCCTCGCCTAGCAGGTGCGCTCCTCGATGATTGGAGTTCAGATTGTTCGTTTGTGCGCTCACAGCCTTTTGGGCTGTACAGAAGTTGTGAATCGTCGTGTAAAGGGACATATATGTCTTCATGTCCAGGCCATCGCTGAGACTGAACATGAGGCGTTCGACACCCCATTCCAGGAAGTTCCATGTGCCGTCAATGTCGTCTTTCGAGGTCGGCATTTGTGGTTGCGACTTGGTCGCGCTCGCCATTGCCCGCGACATATTGGGCGAACGTGGTGAGGAAGATGAGTGTGTTGTGCAATAGCTAAGAAGGATAGGTTGTATATTAGATGTGTCACCTCCGCAGGTAGCGATGTCAGAATTGACGCCGCAACACGGCCCGCCTGCCTGCAGCGCAGGCAACACACTTGGACAGTTGCCGCCAGCGTGCCCGCAGCGGTGACTAGATATGAATTATATCTCACGCGACACCGCTGCAACAGACCGATAGTGGTTGTCTTCTATCGTCCTGTTATTCGCTGAGACGACTCTCAAGGTCAAATTGTTGACGACGCCTCACAAATGCGAACTGTACCCCCAGAAGCTACGTGTCACACTCTGAAACAGTGTTGCGAAATCGCGTCATCTCCATGACCCATCCGGCCTGTGACGTTGTTAGGACCACATGTGATTGTGTTATTTGCTGCGTATGAAATGCTGCATTGAACAATCGCGCCCGACGCAAGTTGGAAAGTTTTAAGGAAGGAGTAGGGCGCATTTTTCTGTATCATGGGTGTGTGGTACATATATGTTACATTCTAATCGTCTCGGGGAGGTACTGGCGTGCACTTCCCTCATCCTCAAGGCCGCGCACCTGTTGTTGGCGCGGGAGCGCTCTGAACATCATTCCTAGCCTGCTCACGATCTGACCTTGAGCCCTCGCTCGCGGCATTCTTCGCTGGCTCTACTGAGCCCTCCAGCGCGTGTGCTCCGGCACCCTCACCCTCCTCTGGGAGTGCAACGTCTTCGTCTTCGAGCTCGGCTCCGTAAATATCAGGATGTTCCCGGAAACAGTTCTGCATGGCCTTGAAGTTCTCGATGCAGTCCACTCCTTTAGGCTCCTCCTTTGAATAGACAAAACAACTGAAAGCGGCTCGGAATTGTTCGCCACAGACACCATGGGCCATTCCCCCAAGACACGGACAGTCCCAGTTAATCTCCCCTGTCTCTTCATTGAATGCGCCCTGTTGCTCAGCTTCCTGTTCGAGCTCTCCCGGGCTCCCAACTGCTGCGGGCTCCGCGTCTGGCGTGGCGATCGGGCTAGATGTGGCATTCTTCGGCGAGTCGGTGTCTCGCGATCGCGATTGAGCGCGTCGCTGTTCTGCTATCGCATCTATTGTTGAGTAGCTCTCGCTCTCGACTTTAGCTTCGGGCTGCGTATATGAAACATCTGCAAGGCGAATTAGTTCGAGTCGGGCGCACGAACATTTTTTTGTTTCCCACATTGAGCATCATCCGCAAATATGGCCGAAGTGTTGTAATAGTACACGATAGCTCCCGCGAGTCCCCATCGAAGAATTGTGCCCTTGAATGTTGATGGCCGAGACGACCTTGTGCTCGCAAAGCGTTTCCCTAGATGTGGAAGAGCGGACGCCTGTCGGCCAGAGGCAGCGATCCTCAACGCAGGACGGAACATTTTGCCAATTCGAGGTCGCACCAATCTAATGAAAAACAAATGAGAGCAATGGAATGATGATGCAAAAATCGTTTTCACATGGAAGAGTGTGTCGCAATCCTGAATTCAGCGCCCGTCACTCATTCCTGAATGTTCATTGATGACCGGAAGTATAAATTCTGACAAAGCTCTCTAATCAAATAAGCATCATCGAGGCTCGGAGCGCGAGCAGGGCGCGTCTCGGTCAGGGGCGGGCCGTCACTGCCTGCGCTATCCGCTTGACAGGGTGCCTCCACATTGTGTGTGAAGAGAACCTGGAACTCCGCAGCGAAGGTGTCGCGAAGAGGCGCATCTCGCACTGGCAGCCAAATTCGAAGTCGGATCGAACAAATTTGACATCATTAATTAAGCAATTGACTCTATCCGTTGCGGTCGGACGATGGACTGAGCCGTTCGCGGAGTGTAATGCTTTTCGCACCATGGGCCCAGAGAGACCGTGGTCAAGGGCTCATCCTATCATTTAAAATCCCCGGGTTGTCCGACCACGAGGGAATGCATGGAAACATGTAATGGAGCGTATTTAGGTAGTTATTCCCTTGTGAAGGATTCATTACACACAATGCCGGACTATGTCGTTGTTGCAACTAATCGGGCCACACGGTACTGCAGACAAACTTGGAACCTGGGAACAAGCCAAAGTTGTCAGTTGGACCCTTCTTTCTAAGATTGTGGAGCAGCGAACTTCACTCAGCGCGGATTTAAGCCGGTTGGTCTGTGAGCGGCAGCGGGAGTCGTCCCCACCATGCTAGAGGACTTTTTTCCAACTGATGGCTCGCCGATGCCCACCTGCACTTATCAAAGAGCGAGGTATAGCACTCTACCTGATTATCTTCAACAGCACTTCGAGTTGCCCTGTCGGACTACAGTCTGGAAATTCTCGATCACACTCGGGAAACCGCACATACCAACAGTCCCGTATACCATCTGCATTCGCAACCTCAGGACGGTCTCCGAACCTTTCAACGTTTGGAGGGGCTCAAAGCAACATTCGTCATCCCACCATGAGGGTGAATTGAGCTGTATGTGGGCTCACACAACAAGCGACACCATCGAACTGGACTTCCACCGCGATACATTTGTCGAGGATCATTCGCTGCAGCAATTTCTCAGTCGGCCTGCACCTAGCTTGTGGCGTGTCCGCATTGTGCTCGGCATTTAAATCCTATTGTGCTTTCAATTAGCTTTGGAAAGTTTTCGTTGCTTCATCGCAGCGAGTTTTCAAGATCCCCAGATCCATTCAACAATCGCAATCATGGCGTGGCAACCTCGGTCTGAGAACCTGGGTCAGTTGACACAGTATTTGCGTGATTCATTAAGTGGGAGTGTCGCGACGCAGAAGACTGCGGAACAGGTAAGTCTGGGAAGGATTCCGTCCGCTTCGCATTGCTGATGTTGCGAAAAGATGCTAGCCCAAACACGAACCTCGCCCGATATCAACAATTATCTCGTCTATATCTGCATAACGCCTACTCCCCCGTCCGAGGTAACTCCGGATGCCTATCACGTTGCGCGCAGTGTTGCGGCGATCATGCTCAAAAACAACGTCAAGAACAGCTTCAAATCAATACCCGAATCCAGCAGAGAATATTTGAAGGCCAACGTCTTACTTGGTCTGCAAGATACCAATGCCCAGATACGAAGCTACGTCGGCAACGTCACCACGGAGGTCGTGCGACAAGGTGGGGTCCTGGGATGGCCGCAAGTTCTCCCTGACCTTGTCGCAATGGTCGAGGGCCAGAACGGCCAAAGTTCGCCCGAGTCAAGAGATGGTGCCATGGGAGCTATTTTCAAGATTTGTGAAGATAATCGCAAGTCGTTGGACAAAGAGTATCAGACACAAAGGCCCCTTGCCTTCCTGTTGCCCAAGCTCGTCGAATTCACTCGCAACAATGATGCAAAAGTCAGGTCAAAAGCACTTGCCGCCATAAATGTGTTCTTAAAAGAGCCTGTTGCCCTGTCGATCCGCGAGAACATCGATTCCATTCTGCCGGAGATCGTTCGCCTCTCCAGCGATGGCGACGACAATGTCCGACGATTCGTTTGCCGCGCATTTGCACTGCTGGCTGTTGGACTACCCGAGATATTGTTGCCTCACGTTCAAGGTATAATTGAATACACACTCACACAGCAAAAAGATGGCGAAAACTCAGATCTGGCTCTGGACGCAGCAGAGTTCATCTTCGAAGCCAGCGGCTCAAACAACAAACTTAGAGACGCCCTCGGTCCCCATCTACCTCAGATCGTGCCGGTGCTGCTCGACTGCATGATTTACGATGAGGATGCTCGCTTGCAGTTCGAGGATGATGTCCAAGACGCGGAAGTTGAAGACGATGAACAGGACATCAAACCACAATTTGCCACTGCCAAGAAGTCCCGCGTAGATGTGTCGGTCCCTGGCTCCTCGCAGACAGCAGGAAATGGGGAGGCGCAAGGAGCCGCCAATGGATATGCTTTTGAGGACGACGATGATCTCAGCGAGGGTGAGATTGAAGACGAAGATTACGAAGTTGACCCCGAAGAAGAGTGGAATCTGCGAAAATGCTCAGCCGCTACGTTGGACGGTTTGGCTTGTTACTTCCACGGAGCAGTGTTCAAGGAGGTTCTGCCGTGGCTGGTCAAGAGTCTCGAGGATTCAAACTGGTACAACTATGAGGCAGCCGTTCTCGCTCTGGGTGCTATTGGGCCAGGTTGTATGGATGATGTGACTCCTCATCTTCCCGAGCTGGTCCCGTACATGCTCAATCGGCTAATGGATGAGCATGCTATCGTCCGACAAGTGACATGTTGGTCCCTGAGCAGATACTCTGGCTGGGCTGCGCACGACCCCGCTGCTTCGAAACAGCAATTCTTCGAACCCATGATGGAGGGCTTGCTGAAGTGTATGCTCGACAACAACAAAAAAGTACAAGAAGCCGCTGCGTCCGCATTTGCAAACCTGGAAGAGCAAGCGACATCTGCGCTGGTTCCATACTGCAATGTCATTATCCAGCAATTCATGAAGTGCTTCCAAAAATACAAGGATAAGAATATACATTTGCTCTACGCATGTGTACAGACGCTTGCCGAGCATGCCGCATCTTCGCTATCCCAGCCTGAGAACGTCGATATCCTGATGCCGACCTTGATCGAACGTTGGGCCAAAGTTCAGGACCAGTCTCGAGAGATGTTCCCGTTACTCGAGTGCTTGTCCTTTGTTGCGACTGCTCTAGGACCAAGATTTGCACCATTTGCACCACCCTTGTTTGCACGATGCATCAAAATTCTGCATACCAATCTGGAGGATGGTATGGCAGCAGAGACCGAAGAGTACTTGGAATCTCCGGACAAGGACTTTCTCGTTACCAGCCTCGACCTGTTGAGCAGCATCGTTCAGGCTCTCGACAGCGCACAAAGCGCCGAATTGACGGCCACAGCTCAGCCAAATATGTTTGAACTGCTTGCGTACTGCATGAAGGACTCTAGCAACGACGTCAAGCAATCAGCATACGCTTTGCTGGGAGACTGCGCCATATACATCTTCCCACAACTTCAGCAGTACCTCCCTGCCATGATGACCCTCATCACCTCGCAACTTGACCTCAGTCATGCTATGGAAGAACCTGAGACCGCATTCCGGGTGATTAACAATGCGTGTTGGTCCTGCGGCGAAATATCCATGCGTCAAAAGGAGGGCATGAGTCCATACGCTGACCGTCTTTTGTCAAAGCTTGCCTTCATCATGTTCACCGACAGTGTTCCAGAATCGTTGACCGAGAATGCTGCAATTGCACTTGGCCGCCTAGGTCTCGGGTGCCATCAGCAGCTAGCGCCTCATCTTGCCAATTTCGCAGGACCATTCTTACAGGCCATGCAGAAAGTGGAGTGGAATGACGAAAAGGGCCATGCATACAAAGGCTTCGTCAAGATCGTTCTCGACAACCCTCAAGCTCTTGAAAAGTATCTACTCAACTTCTTTGGCGAGATGGCCAATGCACCAGAGTCTTTCCTGTTGGGTATGCAGGATGACGGACCGAGACAAGGCTTCGAGCAAATCCTGTCGCAATACAAACAGATGATTGGTGATGGGTTCGAGGGCTTCTTGCTGCTTCTGCCAGCCGAACAACTGCAGAATTTACGCCGATTGTACTCCTTCTAGAAGCGGGAAAAGAAATCGGCGCGGAAAGCGTAGCAGACCATTTCACAACTTTGTTCATTCAATGAGACACGGCAGCAAGGGCAGGGATTGATCTATGGTGTCATATTGCTGGTTCGGGAGATGCAGTGCTTGCACTCTTTTCATCTCATGGGTTTGTCGGCTGGCAATCGAACAATTACAGATCAGGGAATTGTGTCGGGATTTCACATCATTGTTAGATAGCTTCCGGAAGCGAATGCTTTTCCAGCATTTTTTTTAGATACCTAAGTAGCGCGGCATCTGTCGCGAGTTGTTGACAGCAGAACTATTGGCGCATCGGTCGTAGAAACGCTGCGTCGTGGCGTGGCGTCTTGCAGACAGTCCCGTAAACAGCAAGAAAAGTTGTTATTACTCTTTAAACGGACAATGAAGGCATTCTCAATCGATCGTAGGCCTTGTGTGTACAATTCGATTGATTTACTGTCGTGTGCAAACCTTCCATTGTTCATTGGCGCTCAATTCTATTCAATAGCGGATCACCTAAGATTCAGTCACTACATTCCGACAACAGTCGACATGGTTCCAACCATGCCCGATCGAGACCGCGCTGCAGATTTTTAGGTCGGCCTCATGTTGTGCAATGCTCACGGAAGCCCGCCCTTGCAAGGAGCGTCGTGAAGGGTTGGATCGGGATTGTCGAAGCCTTTGCCGAGCATGTTGAAGTAGCGGAGCTTGACTTGACTCAAGTCGACGCCCGGCTGAGGCTGATCGACAGTGCTCAAGTTGACAGAAAACAATGGAATCATGTTCCCGTTCAAGGGAAAGGCGCCTTCCATCCAGCAGTGGACACCACACGTCGAGCAGAAATATCTTTTGATGAACTTCTCCCCTACCGCGTAGTGTGCAACTTAGTCTTTTGATTTCGGACTTTTCAATATGAAATCATCTTCGGGCGCTTGCACATGATACACCGTCATGGCGGTTTTGGTGCAAAACGTGCAGTTGCATCGTGTCGCATTGAAGCCTTGCTCGTTGGGTGGTCGTGATGCCACGAAGTCGAATTTGACGGCACTGCGAGATGTTATTATTATTATTTGTATGCTCGGTGCATGATGCTCGGTCCGCCATCAAGGTGAAAACTAACCCGCAGTGACAGGCGCATTCCACGCGGTCGCGGTTCACTCCCTTGGCGGGCTCGTCCGCCGACGCGTCGTTCGACATTTCGACAGTAATTTCGCCCACAAGCTTGTTCAGGCGCGAAGATCTGCACTGCTCAACCTCAAGCGTCCTGTGTTTTGAGGTCTGCGGATAATGACAAGAGGAAGCAGATACCGTCTCGCACCCTGCCTGGCTGTCTTGTGACTCCTTCCTGCTGGATCCGCCCCGCGTCATTATCTACATGGACGCGTGAAGAAGCCCACAGAACAGCTAGCTCTGTTGCCGCCTTGCACACCTGGGCACGTTACAGTATTCTGTGCAATCGTCTTCTCACCGATCTCCGCCAACGCGTTCCAATTATTACAGCCAGACTCGCGATTCCGAAAGCAGCCCTCATCGATAATCTCACCTTCTTTGATCTAGCATGCTGTCTATACATTTTGCTCACACACGTCGAGCAGCGAGCAATGATGCGCCAGCAATGCCAGGTTACTCGGGATGGGCTTGACGGAGTGTTGCGCGCTATCTACGGGTGTCACTGCTCTTAGATTGGGTCCAGCAGGGACCTGAGTCCGCTCGGGATTTCTATATCATTTTAGGCCCAGTCCATCTTGCGTAGCGCATGTTCATTCTGACATCGGATCACGAAGACAGAACAACCTTCTTCAGACAACCAACGGATGTGTCTCTTCTATAACTCTGTCAGACGCAACTTGAGCCCGTGTTTCGGTTTGATGGTGATCATGCCGCCGGTCTCCATGGTCTCATCTGGGTTAGCCAATTCCATGTGGAATCGCATGACAAACCTGATAACCAAACATTTGAGCTCTGCGCGAGAAAAGGCTTGCCCAATGCATGATCGAGGTCCCGCAAGAAAGGTGAGCATGGTGAGCGGGCTCCTCTTGGACGGTGGGAGCTCAGTCCCATCTTCAGCTAGCCATCGCGATGGCTCAAAAGAAGCGGCAGATTTCCCCCAAAACTTTTCGCTCCGATTGATCGCCCACGGACACATGGCAACGATTGTGCCTTTCGGAATGAAGCGGCCAAGCAGCGTCGTATCGCGCGCGGCCCCTCGCCCGGTGAGTGGGACGACGGGCCAAAGCCGCATTTGTTCACTGACAACGGCGTTGAGGTATGGAAGCGCATCAAGATCCGTGTCAGAAATCTTTTCAGGCGGGGTGTGTCCAAAGCGAGCTTTGAGTTCGTCGCGAAGCTTCGCTTGCTCCTCGGGATGGCCAGCTAGCAGATAAGCCGTCCAAACAAACGCATTCGAAGTTGTTTCGTGTCTATGAGAACTTATCAGAGCTGACGCCTTCACTGAAGCGTTTTTGTGGCACTTACCCAGCAGCAAGAAAGGTCAAGATCTGATCCACAAGTTGGTCGTCATTGAAGTTACCGGATCGAATCAGAGTGGAGATGATGTCGATGTGCTTCTCGTTCTGCGTCTCCATGTCTCGACGTTTTGTCTCCATGAGCTGACGACATAAAATTCGCAGATTGTGCCTGCCATCTGCAGCATCCCTTACGTCGCGTAAAATGGGCGAGAGGGGTGGCAGGCGCCTCGCGACCTGCAGAGGTAGAAGAATGGTGCCAAGGAGCATCAGTAATTTGCTGCCGTCCGTCGGAGTTAAGATCTTATCGTACTGTTCGACGATTTTGTCGCCTGAATTATGGATAGCATTGAGGTCGCGGCCGAGACAGGCCATACCAATGATGTCTATCGTCACTCGAGAGGCGAAAGCGTCGATTTCGAGGACTCCACTCTTCTTCTCCACTGCGTTTCCAGTGCCATGTAGCTCATTCGCAAGTACTTCCACAAATTCCCCAGATTTAGACCAGAACAGAGGGATGAGCCCTTTGATCTGACTCCCCGCGAAAGCAGGCTGAAGGTGTTTGCGCTGAAATTTATGCTCGGAGCCCTCAACTACGATCAACCCTCGGCCGAGGAACTTTTCCAAAAAGATGCGATCCAATGCGACCTTCTCGAAATCGTACGGGTGCCCAATGAGAGCTTCTTGTAGGCCTTCAATCGTGGTGAGCATGACCGTCGGGAACCCATGGAATGGACCGCGCCATTGTATAAAGCCAGAATTCGGGATGGTATCAATCCATTTGCGCAAATTGTCGCCGCGAGGCATTTCGTTGACGGCCGCCACATGGCCGCCGAAGAAACTCTCTTGCGCATGGGGAGGATATGGAATGTCTTTTAAAGGACTGGTGAGGTAGGGAATTGTGATATTCCATATTGCCCATAGCCATGGAACGAGCACGAGTAGCCATATTGGTCGGAACAAAGAGCGCCAAGTCTGAAGCCCGCTCACATTCAACAGTGCCCAAATCGCGGGAGGGCCGATTGCTAAAGCAAGCACAAAAGCCAATCCTTTGGTGGTCGGCATGTCGAAAGTTGAAGCTCAGATTGCGCTTACAAGATGCAGCAGCAGGTCAAATTTCAAGTCGACATACAAGCTGGTGAAGTCTGCTAGGCAGCAGTATCGGCTCCGGTGGTTGCTCTCGTAGGATCGCGTACCCCAGAGGTACACACCGGAGCTCCTGTGCTGATGTCGCCTGTAATGGTGGATACCTGTGGGCGTAGACTTGCAATATGTGCTCAAAACCTTGGAAGTCTGCAGTACAGTCTCTGAAGAAGCACTCCTTTCGGGCGGCCTCTCTCGATGCTGACCTAGGTATAACCTTGGAAGTTATTATTAGTTGTATTCTTTAATCAAGAGCGATAGGTGACTACGGCTAGTCCCGTCCCTTATGTCCAGCTTTGGTTATTGACATGGATAGCCTCGCACGCTTCGGAATGAACCTTGGAAGGCACCAGCGGACCTCATTCGACGAATATTGACCCTGTACAACTTTATGATCCTGTGGATGTAGGTACTGTAATGTCTTGTACATCGAGTCCGTGCCGATTTGGAGTGCGGTGCCCATGTATTTTCTCCGATCACCTGCACACCAGCACGAGCCTTCTGCACGTGTGACATGCGCGATGCTCCCAATGTCCTCCACGAGGGTAGTACAGGTGGGGGAACCTTGGAAATTCATTTGTACTGTCCATCTGGGCATGTATGGATCTTTCTGACTCATCATGATGACAATCCACCTGCAACTTGCGGTTTACCTAGGTAGGTGGTATTTAGGAGCGCACACATTCGAGTGTTTACAGGCTTTTTCCCGCTGACTGCCTTTTGTACGTCTATTCATTCTCAGGACGACAATCACTGCAACCAATCTGTATCAAAATGGACCTAGTTTAACCATAAATTAATAATCACCATAATTAAAGTTATTGGGTGCACAATCGTCGGACCTCCTCATCATCACCCATCATCATCAGGCATGCAGGCGGGCACGGGAAACGGATGGTCCGTGTGGATAACCTGAGGCAATAACGACTGGGTTATTAGTGAGAGGGACGCGGAACGTTGTCGCCCAGCGAGCGTCATGTCGGTGGAGGTGATCTGTCGCCTCGTGAACGACAATCGCAACCACCATCATTCCAATCTTCTTTCGTAACCACTCGACTACTCCACCCTTCTCGCACTGCGTGCAGACCTCATTGATCGCTCCACTTGTCCTGTCTTCTCTGTATACTCTTCTTTGGCTCTAAGCCAATCTACTCTTTGGATCCTGCATCGACGACCTCGACTGCGCGTCTACGCTGAGACGAAGCTCACCGCTCTCTGGGCTGAGAACGATACCACTGGCGTGCGACAACAGATCGACGACGGCTTCGTCTCCGCGGACACAGCGCCGCTCATGGCACAGGTCGCGCTCCGTAATGGTCCCTTCACGTTGACGACTTCTTTCCTTTCAATCCAACCTACAGACACCATTCACGATCAGCAAAATGTGAGAGGGCAATTCGAGGGCCGCCTACAGTGGCAGGCACCGCAACGCACACAATCATGGGACCTGGGATCAACCGGCAAAGGCATCTTGATCGGCATGCTCTCAGCTTTCGGTACTGCAGCGCTCGTCACCCTACTTGTAGCCATCTTCTACTTTCTTCGATATACCAGTTCTGGTCGCATTTTACTGGATCGCTTCGGTCGCCCGGGAGAGTTCGACGACGAACAACAATTCTTACGAGATGAGGAAGATGCATTGGCGGACATGGACGATTTACAGCGGGCTGAGTATCAAAGGGCAAAGGGTCAGTACAAGGAGGCTTCCAATCAGGCAGAAACGACATTGACAAGGTATTTTAGCTTTCGTGCAAGCAAATCCACCCGAGTCGATACAAACGGACATTTCATTATCTCAATTTCTAGCAATACAGGAGAAGGGTGTGTCGGCTTGGGAGTTCGAGCCGGAACTAGAGATCGCCAATTGCTTTGTGGAGGCGCGGACAGAGATCGAGTTCTTTGATTCAGAGTGCAGTGTGCAAAGCAACTTGCCGATACCAAAACAAAACGAGGTCTACTATTGGGAGGCCAAAATTTATGATCAGCCAGAAACGACTACGCTCAGCATCGGTCTAACGACAAGACCTTATCCGCTGTTTCGGATGCCAGGATTCCACAAAACTTCCGTCGCATACCTCTCTTCTGGACAACGGCGATATAATCAACCCTTCAATGCCACCAACTATGGTCCCCAGTACGTCCAAGGTGACGTGATCGGTGTAGGCTACCGGCCACGGACGGGCGCGGTCTTCTTCACCAGGAATGGCAAAAAGCTTGAGGAGGTCGCCCATGGCTTGAAAACACAGAACTTCTTCCCGACAGTAGGAGCCAATGGGCCCTGTGTCGTCCATGTCAATTTTGGCCAACTTGGTTTCGTGTTCATCGAGGCGAATGTGAAGAAATGGGGACTCGCTCCCATGACTGGAAGTCTCGCGCCACCCCCACCCTATGGCAGCGAAGCGGGCAGCATATTACTCGAGTCTGGCCGCGACGGTGTCCGAGAAGGATCAAGTTGGTTTCCAGGTCACTTGCGGACCAACAGCAGTAATCAGACCAGGTTACAAGGACGGCCGATGAGAAGTCCCAATGGCCCAGACCGATCGCCAACAGATATTTCGCTCGCGCATCTCAACCTTATGGATTACAACGAGCCGGTGGATGAAACCCACGAAAGCAACGAAGCGGGCGAGGGCCGAAGCGAACCTTTCTCGCCACCTCCCAGAGCCAGCAGTCAGCGACAAACTGGAGCGCCGCAATCGCAAAACGAGGGACCCTCACACGAATCTGCCGATCACCCACCTCCTGATTACGAGAGCCCCCGTGGCAGCGTCGGTGGCACCGAAAGCGACGGGGATGGTGACGAGGATCTGACGCCTCGAGCGAGCAGCGGACGGCCGATTGAGCAACAGCCGCTGTTACGCCGAGAGGGCAGTCCACCCATCCCCTCCTACGAAGCCGCAACCGGTTCATCTCGACGAGGTGGCGGTGGCTCATGACCTCTTGCTCCCCCTCTCTTTCCCTCTTTACTTTGATACTCACTGACAGCGTGGTGGCTCTACTCGATTTATTGGTTTGGCGTCCTCGGGTGTTTTTTTGCCGTATGAAACCCGTCTCATGGAGTTCAGCGTTTGGCGTTCGCCCTTTCTTTTTATCATCATTCACTCGCTTCTGCGACCTGGACCCCATCCAGTCAGCCAGCCAGATGCTAGCCACATAAGACTCTGGTCTTTCAAGGCATCTCTCCTTATCAAATAACTGCTGCTCAGCTTGAGTCGGACCCACTCCACTCTGATTCTTTCCAATCAGAATGTTAAGTGGACGCGCCCCCGGTGCATATCTTAGCCTGACCTCTATTGGGGTACAAGACTTCATGACACAAATTCAGAATGATACCATTTGGAGACTTATGATCTCTGCAAATGCACTTTTTTGAGCTTTCGTCTTGATCCCTGCCTGTGAAGTACGATTGTTGTCAAAAAAAGCAAATTGCGCCGAGAGTCTCTGTGATCATGGTATGGGTAGATCTTTCCTCGTCTGAAATCTGGCTCGCGGACGAATGGTACGAATTGAGGGCCTCAATGGCTCGCTCGATCGATCAAGTCGTCCGCTCAAATTCTCGGGCTATGTCAAAGATCTTGCCGTCGGTCCCAGATGCCCCGAGGAGCGTTATGCCAAATGGCAACTCCTCGCCATTTGTCGTATGAAACGTTGATGCTGGCACCGCGAGACCACACAGGTCCAGCACGTTGGCGAAATGAGAATAATATCCAATTTTCGAATTGAGCACGATGGGGTCGGCCTCGATTTGTTGAATCGTCGGATGGCAAGGTGTCGTCGGGACGAGGAGGACATCAATGTGTTGGAAGACCAGTGCTGTCTGCCTGATGTACTCTGCTTGGAGGTGCAGATCTTCGAATACCTGCCATGGCTTGATGTTGGATTCCAAAGCCGCGCCAAAGACCGTCCGTGTCGCAGGATGGAGGCTCTGCAGGTGCTTGGTGAGGAACTCTGAACCTAAGCAGGCAACGCGTTCTAGCACAAAAGATGCATTGTACAGGAGATTACTGCTGTTTTCGAATAGTGTCCAGTCGACTTCGAAGGGCGTACCGCCTGCTCTTTGTAACCTCTCGCTTGTTTGCAGGAATAATATGCGGTAGTCATCCTCGCAGATTTCGAGTGCTTTCTGAGGCGGCACGCCAAACACAAAACCACCAACCTTTGGTCCACGGAAGTCTGCATGCCACAGAGACAATGACTGCTGCGGTTTGGCGTATGCATCCGCAGAATCGGGCCCGGTGTCGCATACCAGCCAGACTTCTCGTGCTGATGTAACTGATGAAGCGAGGATAGACACCGTATCAAGGCTTTTGCAAGCTGGAACCACACCTTGAGTGCTCACAGTGCCTTTGGTCGGCTTGAAACCAACGACTCCGTTGAATGCTGCTGGCACGCGGCCTGAGCCTGCAGTATCCGTACCTAGAGCGAAGGACACCAGGTTTGCTCCTACTGCGACTGCGGAACCCGAAGACGAGCCACCGGCAACACGTGAGTCACCGAATACGCTCTTTGGCGTGCCGAACGGGGATCTGCAACCAGAAAGACCAGTCGCGAGCTGATCGAGATTTGTTTTGCCTATGAAGATTCCGCCGGCGTCTAGGATTGCTTGGACGACGCTCGCAGTTGCGGTCGGCGTGCGTGTGAATGCCTCGCATGCTGCTGTTGTCGGAATACCGGTAACATCGATATTGTCTTTGACCGCAAAGGGGATGCCATACAGTGGCGGAAGCGGCTTGCCACTGAATCGATCATTCAGCTCTCGAGCTGACGAAGAAAGCTCATCGCCGGATCGTAGATAAGTCCAGACAGCGGGGTTTTTTTCGTGATATTCTGCTATGCGTCTTGAGACTTCGGTCACTACTTGCTCAGGAATGAGGCTGCCCTGAGTATATCTTGTTCGGAGGCATTTGATAGAGAGGTCAAGCTGCTGGGTATCACCAGTGGCTTGGGTTGACGGGCCTTGAGCGTCGTTTGCGATCTTAAGAAGCTCCTGTGAAGAGCCAACAAATCCGAAGAGCCCATCGTAAGCGCAAAGAACATCTAATGTGGATTCATAGAACCCGGGATCGAAGCCGGCTGTGCAATCCGCGAGCACGCAGCATTCGAAACCACGATCTGCGGCCTCTCGCGCAGTGGTATTAACACAGCATTCAGTTGTCACACCTGCAAACAAGAGGTGGGTAATCCCATGCGCCAATAGGGATCGATGCAGTGATGTTCTCCACATGGAACCCTTGCCAGGCTTGTCGATGACGAGTTCGCCGGGAACAGGCCTCAATTCGTCTACGATGTCATGACCGTACTCACCACGTACAAGTAGCCTACCCATCGGACCCTGCTCACCGATACCGATCGTATGGTGTCCCGCCGGTGCAGAGACTTGCCGGAATCGTTTGGAAGGCGGCAGGTCGGCCAGGTCTGGCGTGTGGCCCTCACGCGTGTGCACCACATGCAGGCCGAGTGATCTTGCAGCATGCAGGGCGGCTCGTGTTCGCGGAACTACTTCGCGGACCTTTGCGAAGACCTCGTCGTTCCCACATTGGATCATCCCGAATCCATTTGGGTCTAGAAAGTCCCTCTGCATGTCAATGATGATCAACGCTGTGGATTCGATGGGGAAGCGATAGGCGTACGGGCGTGCCGAAGGCAGCTCCGCGGTCGTGATTGCCATGTCGGCCGAAGACTCGTATGGGATGAACCCAAAGCTTGGGAATTCTAGGAACTGTAAGGATACAGGGGAATTGCGTTGGATGCGCGGGCACACAGGGCGGGGTGATGGTCCTCGTAATGTGGCTTGCAGGTCTTTATAAATGACATTTCACAACACAGTGACCAATCACTTCTTTCCAGGTATGCGATAAACAGTCAGGAAAATGATACAACTTCACGGCACACGAAATGGCTCCGAAATTCGGCCCACCTGGGCAGATGTCTTGCGGAAGTCTCAAGCTCTGAATTTCTGTCTTCGCGCAAGGGAGACGGCGAAAACTTGCCGAGTTCGGTCTTGAACCACCCAGCGAGCTCCATCTTTTCCCATTCTGATCAGGGTTCAGGCGATTCATCACAATCCTCCGGTCTGCAAGGCGAGCGCGCCAGCGAAGTGAGCCATGGCATGCATGTTTGGCGAAATCATGTGTGCCTAGTGGAGCAATTCGAAGCAAGGCATGAAGAAGGTCCTATGGGAGTGAAGCGTTTCGAGACTAATGCAATCGATGCCGCCACCAGCTGGGCATCTGGGCAGCAATAGTCTTCTCGAGAAGAAACAATGTTCCATGTCGTCCGCCTTATTATCGCCTGCCATCAAATCAAAGGTTGCAGGACGACAAGATCCCGTCATTGCATGGGCATTGGCTTTGAATTGACCAACGACGGTGTCATGGAGGAATAAACTTCCCGTCTCGTGGGCGGCGAAGAGCTTACCGACCTGGGCAATCCGCTTGAAATGTATCATCCACCTGCGGACCCCAATGAAATTACCGGGGCTATTTATTATCAAAAATACTAAGTTATTGATGGGAGGGCTGCTCTGTCTTCCACTGTCATGGACATTCCACACCTGATGTCCGAACCATGCAGGTGATCATCACAAGTACTCCAGGGGGCTTATCATGAACAAGATGTATGGTTTCGTGCATTCAATGCAGTGTGTGTGATGGATATCCCGCGCGACGACACATACTCAAGGGCCAGATGGCGGTACATCTGGGGCTCTTAACACGAAGATAGTGGTTGTGCGACTATTCTGCAACGATCTTTCACGTAATGTCCGGATGTAGGACATCGGTCAAAGCCGGAGTAGTTGAGGCTCATATCCAAAACCCATGGCTGCCTGCAGGTGGTTCTTCGCTTCCTAGTTGTAGCTGAATTGGGTCGGAAAGAGTGCACTCCAACTCCAGGGCTCTTATGGTCCATTACTTGCCCAGCAGTGTCCGGGTGTTCGGACAAGTGAGTATACCCACGTGCTTTTGGTTAGCGGGCGCTGTCAGATCACCAATCGCCGCCCACCTGCATGCACAGCTCACGCACATGCCGATGCAAAATGCAACCCCCACCAAAAGCCTTTCTCGCATCAAGCATTAATATGTATACCTAGGTATTTAACTTTAATATTATTAGGATAGATGATGGAGCCACGTCGTGGTGGGCAGCACTTGATCGAGGAACCGACTTCTTATCTCACTCAAGTCGCTCGTATGAAAGATCCATCGGGCCAAACCTATGCGCCACCGACACGCGTGCCACCGCGGTCAAGACCTGAAACAAGGCTTCATCCCACCTGATTAACTCCTTCGTCATCGCTCCCGCTTGAGTGGCCCTCCCGTCGACGATCGTCGCTCGTACTCCGAGTCTCACATAGACTTTCCTACTAGTGGGCAAATGGCCGCAACAGTCCCATCACTTGACGCAAGGGCAGACCATTGAATCTCCAATCTAGCGCAGGCATGCTCCTTCACGCCTTCGGGATCTTTGCCATGCGGCATCAGCGGCGACTGTCGGCACGCGATAGGCACTGAACTGAGAGTGGGATAATCTTATCACCCTGCTGGAGTTCACGCGAGTACAGGCTCGAGTTCTTCTATCCTCGCATCGTGCAAGAACTTGTCTGCTTCTTTCCTTGCGCGGTTTTCTCACTTACCTTACGCGATGGCAAACTCGCTACGGGAACGTATCACCCACGTCGGCGCAGATCTCAAAGCGAAGTCGAGACCTGACGGCTGGGTATTGCCCAAAGAACGAGCATCCTTCGCAGAGGAAGACGACTGGACGAATATCGATCAAGATGTCACACCTCTCGAGCGGCGAACATGGACGTCATGGACGATTCTGGGTTTCTGGATGTCCGACGCAATGAATGCCCAAGGTATTTGGTTTCCCGTCACGAGGAGCTTTAATGTTCTGACATATTTGCAGGTTGGGCGGCGCCCAGCTCTATTATCGCAGTCGGTCTGACATGGCGAGAGGCTGTCTATTGCATCATCATCGGTTCATCGATCAACGCAGCGGTGTTGGTCCTTAATGGAGCTATCGGTGCCCACTTGCATGTTCCATTTCCTGTGGCGATCCGGTCGTCCTTCGGATTCTACTTTGCACGTTTCGCGGTTGTCATTCGCATGATCACTGCGCTCTTTTGGCATGCAATTCAAACCTACGCAGGTTCTACTGCCATGACTCAGTGCATCAGAGCCATCTGGCCGAGCTATCTGGAAATACCGAACCACCTCCCAGCCTCTGCAGGCATTACCTCACAACAGCTGCTCTCACATTTCATTTTCTGGAGCATTCAATTTCCGTTTCTGCTCATCCCACCGCACAAGCTGCGATGGTTTTTCCTTTCTAAGTAGGTCAAGCCACTATTTGTACAATGGTGCGCAAGCTAATCAGTGCAGGATCGTCATTACCATCACCTGCAGTGTGGCAGTGGTCATCGCCATGGTGCATAAAGCAGGTGGCACTGGCGATATTTGGAATCAGGAGTATCGAGTATCTGGGTCTGATCGATCCTGGCTCACCCTTTCTAGCATGATGAGCATCTGCGGGCTGTGGGCCACGATGTCCGTGAACATTCCTGACTTCACGCGGTACCTGCGGTCTCCGAAAGGCGTCTATTGGCAAGGTTTGATTCTGCCCATGATCTCCATCATACTCGGGCTATTCGGCATCATTTCCACGAGCTGCTCCAAGGTTGTCTATGGCGAGTATATCTGGGATCCGATCGAACTGGCGTCTCGGTGGGATGGACCCTCTGGACGATGCGGAGCTTTCTTTGTCGGCTTCTGCTGGGTCGTCGCGCAAATCGGTACAAACCTGTCGGCCAACGTCATTTCATACGCCAACGACATGGTCAGCTTGTTTCCAAAATATGTCAATATTCGGTACGTCCGACGCCTGTCGCGGGTTGCCTACACTTGCAGTATCTGACCTTTGATGCAGACGCGGGGCAATCTTTGCAACTATCATCGCTGGATGGGCCATGGTACCATGGAAGATCGTGGCTTCTGCGCAGTCTCTCTTGACTTTCGTGGCAGGACTTGCAGTCTTCCTCGGACCAATCTCCTCAATCCTGGCATGCGACTATTGGCTAGTCAAGAAGCGGGCCATCGATGTTCCCAGCCTCTATCGACGAAGCGCTCGATATGCATATACACGCGGATACAATTGGAGGGCAGCAGTGGCAATCTTTGTCGCGCTCATTCCAAATTTACCTGGGTTCGTCGACCCTTACTCTCTTCAATTTGAAGCCACAAATTTCTAACATTATTTTCCAGACTTGCTCAGGCCGTGAACCCAAATATTGAGCTCGATGCTGGGATTCGACATCTGTACGACATGAACTACATCTATGGATGCTTGAGCGCAGCATTTTTGTATTGGTCACTCTCGCGACTATTCCCTGCGAGAGAGACTCTACTTGCGACCTCCATCTATGAAGATGACGACGTATACTCGGCCGATCATGGCTCGGATGAGCACTCGGTCACAGACGGGAAGAATGTTGTCGAAATGTCCATCAAACAGCAACCTGCGTGATGTATGTATTTTTCCGCGATATGACTTCGCCAAATTCACGAAATTCCTACAAATCACTGAAGAATTATGGTACAAAAACATTATTGTAGAACGTAGCCCAGGTGAGCAGATGTGTAAATGTATTGGAGTGACGCTCGCGTGGAACGGAGGAGCGCACGGACCATGCCGCGCAACCCAACGCGTCCCCACAAGGCAGACGAACAACTCATAACCTTTTGTTGTCTTCAATCACAAGATACTTATTTCTGTGACACAAGAATTGCATCCATATCGGTGACTAAAGCGAAAGATTTCTTCCACCCATGAGGTTCTTCACATACATACAATGGTTACCAAGGTGCTATGCGTGGCGGAGAAGAACTCCATAGCCAAAGCAGTGGCCAACCATCTTGCTGGTCGGCCAGTACAGGCAGTAAGTTGCCGACATAGGACGACTCTAGACCACTGGCTAATGATCGATGTAAGCGTGACATTCCCGGGACCAAATTCATCAAAAATTATGAGTTCCAATACACATTCCCTGCATGGGGTCCTTGCTCCGTCGTGATGACCTCCGTGTCTGGGCACTTGTGGAGTCATGATTTTCCCAGCCAATATCGCAGTTGGTATTCCTGCGATCCATCTACACTATTCGAAGCCAAAATCGATGCATTCATCAACAAAGAGAATACGCCGATTGCCAAAAACATTGAGTCGCATGCTCGTCATTCCCAGATTCTGTACATATGGACAGATTGTGATCGCGAAGGCGAGCACATCGGAACCGAGATCCGTGAGGTCGCCTTCAAATCAAATCAGCGCCTGAAGGAAGCGGGAAAGACTATGCGTGCCCGCTTTTCGAACATTGAGCGAGCACATGTTATCAACGCTGCTCGCAATCCTGTCCCGCTCGATCAAGCTCAAGCAGATGCAGTAGCCACAAGAATGGAGATTGATTTACGAATCGGTGCATCATTCACCAGAAACTTATCGTTAACACTACAGCCTTTATTTCCTCAGACGGAAAGCAAGTCAGTGATCAGCTACGGCAGCTGCCAGTTTCCCACGCTTGGCTTTGTGGTTGAAAGATATCAACGAGTGCGGAATTTCGTGCCCGAAACTTTCTGGAGTATCAAGGTCATGCACGAGAAGGACAAAGTCAAGGTCAACTTCAATTGGGCTCGTGGTAACTTGTTCGATCGAGCCATCGTCGTAACTCTCTTCGAGCGTAGTCTCAACGCGCGCACGGCGAAGGTCACCAAAGTTCAAACGAAGCCCACAAGCAAATGGAAACCGTTACCATTGACGACCGTCGAGCTTCAGAAATGTGGAAGCAGATTTCTTGGAATGCCCAGTCAAAGCGTGATGAAGGTCGCTGAGGATTTGTATCAAAAAGGCTTCATCAGCTATCCAAGAACGGAGACGGACCAGTACGACAAAGATATGGACCTACGCTCCTTGGTTCAGAAACAGACACAGGGCAACCGATGGGGCACTTTTGCGCAAGGTCTGATAGATGGCAAGTATCAAGCCCCGCGGGCTGGCCGGAACAACGACAAGGCACATCCACCTATCCATCCTGTGGCTTTTGTGGACATGGGTTCTCTGCAACAAGACCAACAGAAAGTGTACGAATTTGTTGTACGACGCTTCCTTGCATGCTGTAGCGAAGATGCCAAAGGCTCCAAGACGGAGGTGGAGATCCTCTACGGAGATGAGAAATTCAACGCTTCTGGACTGACAGTCTTGGAGCGTAATTATCTCGACGTCTATCCATATGACAAATGGACGAGTAGCCAAGAGCTTCCTCGTTTCACAGAATGTGAAACTTTTGAGCCAACCGAAGCTCGCATGCACGAAGGGCAAACCAGTGCTCCGGGTTATCTCACAGAGCCTGAGCTCATCGCCTTGATGGATGTCAACGGCATTGGTACCGATGCCACGATGGCAGAGCACATAGCCAAGATCAAGGACCGTCAATACGTGCAGACGAGACCTCGTGGTCGTGCTGCGCAAACAACCGGTGAGGACGACTCCGATGGAGGAGGAGACGCGCCTCCCGTTGCACGCGCACGTGGCCGAGGGCGTGCACGTGGCCGTGGTGGTCGATCTGCGCCTGCGGGAACACGAGGTACGACGGGCGGAGTCGACGAGTTCATACCTACCACCTTGGGCATTGCGCTGATTGAGGGCTACGAAAACATGGGTTTCGAAACGAGCCTGGCCAAACCATTCCTTCGCAAAGAGGTAAAACGATAAGATGTGCTGCCCGTCTCGAAGTTTCCAAACTAATCAAGGTGTAGATGGAACTCAAGATGAAAGCCATCTGTGAAGGACGCTTATCCCGACAACAGATGCTTCAGGAGACAATCGAGCAATACCGGAGCGTGTACATGCGGACGCAACAGCGTCTTGACGTTCTCCGTAATGTATGTTCCGCTCGCTTTGGAGTCGCAAAGAACATTACTGACATCTGAACAGGCAGTTCGAAAATACATCCCAGGCGCTCAGCGGTGAAACTTACATAGTAGGCGCTTCGCGCTGAAAACGCAGCTTTCTTGTAATGGATGGACACAGCCGAAGCCCTTCGCAGCGAACGAGCGCGTAAGACAGCGGATTGGCGGAGACAGCTCTTTCTGGCCGCCTCGATGGAGCAGACCTTTTTGCGCAGACGAAAAGCTGAAATGCCATGCTGACATAAGGTTCGACATCCCAATACAGTCATGAAGCGAAAGGATATCTTCCGGCAACCCGATACGGGAGAACGGTGAGAGCTGGACTCAATTCAATCTCATCGGACATCGGAGGAGCATCGGTTGAGTTATGAAGATTCGACCACTTCGAGGCGGAGGGGCAAATGTCTTTTGATGCAGATTGTGAGCCATGCTGAGGAGTTAGAAACACGCGATGTTCCACATGCAGCGAGCATAGACGGAGAATTCCTTGTGAATCTATTCAAGTCTAGAACGAACAGTTTCGGCTCAGCGATGGATTGCGTATTTCAATATGTGACAGCCAGTGTCTTGCGTGATCTCCAGCGTGAGGCTGATGTGATATCACTCATCAGTCCGGGCATGGGTACAGAGCGAAAATACCTAGGTATGTATTATTGTTGAGGGACACAATCTCTTAATCCCACCTGCAACGGCATTCGTATATGTCAGACACACATCTCACCGGATGATCGCCGCAGTGATGGACCACCTGCATACTGTTCGTCGATCTGCCCTGACGATGAGACACAATGCAAGGTTCGAAGAACGGAATCGGCCCGAGCTCCACGACAGAGCGCCTTGCCCGTGCATTATAAGAGGCGAAATCTACATAGCATTTGTTGTATGGACATCTCCACAAAATGCAAGATGGTTTCAGAGTGCTCACAGATAAGCCAATGTCCACTTCACATGCAACACATATGACCCGAAACCCGCGGCCGGACCGTCCCCAGAAATCGTAATGCGCGGCGTATCGCGAAGGTGGCACACACGGTGTTCGCACGCACCTGATTGGGGTTAGCTGAGCCCGCTGGCGAGTGGAGCCCATCGTCTGGTTCACCTCATCTGCGAACGTCGCGACCGCTTCGAAACGGACTAAGAAAACTTCCACACCAGGGCTGAGAATCGTAAGAGTGGTACCACACACACCTCTGGCCTGGTCTCAACGACGGCGTCTGGCAGCCGGCTTGCCGAACTGGCTGCTCGGAAGGGGCACTGATGAAGTGCTCCCGAGCCGGCGTGTAAGCGAATTCTCCTCACCAATATAGGCAGCTCGCATGCGATCTTGCGACAAAGACGCGATGTGTTTGAACTACTGTCGATGGATCGCCGTGTTTGGGCGGCGAACACTTTCGCGGGGCGGCCTCGAGTCCGGTTGGATGACTTTCCGTTCAGCTCGATCTTATGGGCGGTCTGGTCAAGGTCGATGAATATGCTGTATCGATGTCTCGCGCGCCTGTACCTGCCGTGGTTCCTCCAATGCACCAAGAGATTCATGCGGACAATAAATTAGGGTACTGGGTATACGGGGAAAACACACACATCTCCTGTCAGTATCGGGCGATACACAGGGAAAGGCGTGTGTGTGCTGCAGATTTGCGCCGCCGCGCTAATGCAGGTGAAGCTGTATCGATCTAAGTCGCAGCATCTGGTCCGATTGTGGAGGGTTGCTGCTGGGTTTTGAAACACATGGTACCATCGTTGATGCATGATGAGTGGATATTTGAGATTATGATGAATGGATGATTCATACTACGCACGCCGCGATAAGCGCAACGTTGACCGGTCTTAGAATGGAAGCTGGGCGTTATCGCGGATTGAGCACACTCGGATGCCGCCGGGGACGGAGATACGGTGCGTTCAGCCCTGCGGCTTCACGCGCATAGAGTGTGGACTGCGTCATAAGCCATTCGGAAATGGTAGTGAGCGTTTCGGCAAAGGTGCAAAGTTTGAGCACGCTTCGTTTCAAGACACGTGACATGTTGTGAACATTTTGTGTCGTGATCGGGATGCTGAAGACATGGCGATGGAAGACATGCCAAGATGAATCTCGGCCGACGTGTCAACTTACTGATCATCGATAGGAATGCGACCCGCGTGATGTGACAGGACTTAAGAGCACTTTGGAAGGAAATGTGAGCAGAATCAAGTCTTGATGTGCCAGCTCCCTGGGAAGCTGGTAGAAGCGAATTAAATGCAAACGTGGGTATCTAATCACGACAAATAGCAAAATAGAAGCAGCATCAGTAAAAGCCAAAAAGCAACATCTGCACAAGACTTCGGACGTGGTATATCGGCAGAGAAGCGACCCAGATCCAGTCTTCGGGCCCTCTCTGCTCCGCGATCGTGCGAGGAATAGGCACAAACTTTGACAAACGCAGAATCCACCCAAGTGCTGGGGACAAACGCCGTGTCCCAAAAGAATTTTTGCTGCTTTTGTAGCAGAGCTCACACAAACGCCTGGAATCCCAATAGTGTGTCAACGTTGTACAAGTGTTGCGCGGATCGCTCCGTCCAAATGGTATGCCGTTCTTGATAAATCCCGTGAAAGCCCAAATTTTTGCGCCGGTGACTCCGCTATCCCGCTAAATGAATCAAAACTGGTGACCGTAAGAAGTGGATGTATCTTTGAAAGAAAGAAAAAGATGGTCGTCAGGTCAAATCCTCAAGGTGGCCTGAGTCGGTGACGAAAGAAGATAGTGTGGTGTGAATAAAGTATATCCTAGCAAGAAGGTGTATAAAAGTGTGAAGGTGTCGCGAAAGTTATTAGGAATGGCGAAGTAGTGTAGTAAGAGTTGGCGAATGAAGACTGTTGAGTAGCCGATAGAGGTGCGTGGTTAGAGACGACGACTCGTGGCGATGTGATGTGGCAGTCCGAGGTGTATAGATCGAAAGTCCCAAATGGGTGACAAGGTCGAAACATCGCGAGAGGCGTCGAGGGAGACTTTGTCGAGTAATGTCGAAATCAAGCTGACGATTTCGACCTTCATTTCTTCGGTGGCGGAGTCGGGACACTGTTGTAAGATGGTCAGAAATCTAAAATTTGAGCGAGACTCGACGAAGTTGCAGTTCCGTTGACTTACCCAGTGGTGTCGTAGCCTCCTCGACCCATGTCGACCGGACTTTGTTGGCTTTGCGAAATCATGTTGTCGAGCTGCGCATTGTCAGTACAGATTCGAATGTCGGGGTTCTTTCCCAAAAGACATACCTGAGTAGTGGGTAGTCTGTGTGGCTGCGGTGTGAAGATTCGGGCAAGTATTCGTATAGCCTCTCGATGATTCCGGAGGTGTCTTTATGGCTAGGATGCGGCGATATGGTGTAGAGCGTGGACGATAGAGTCGTATGATAGTGGCTACATGAGTGAAGGCGTCGTGTTCGAGTGGAGACAATTAGAGTAAGACCAGAGTAATGTCGTGAATGGGAATGTTTTTTGAGAGACCAGATGGAAAAGCAAGGCAGGATGTTCGGCAGGACGAACGACTTATATTATAAAATCATAATATTCAACGGTAATCGGGGAGCGAGGGACGAACTTCAGAAAAGTGTGACACCTTGACAAGACAAGCCAAAGAAGGATCGACGGAATGAGCACCGACAGGTCCATGGCAATGGCAATTGAGAGCAGTCCACATCCACGCAAACACCCACCACCACCACCACCATCATCCACCACCACCATCATCCACCCGTCACTGCCCATCCGTCCGTCCACCCATCTGATCTCTACCCGCTCTCCCACACATTGTATTCACATGCAGTCACTCACGGAGCTTCTTCCTCCGGATCCCTCCCTCTCGCCCTTTCCTCATACAGAGACGCGCACCTATCACATACGAGCAAGCACACAAACATCATGTCCACACAAACACGGCACCATGGGAAACAAGTCCTGCGATGCGCGGAAAAAAGGGAAATCCCAAAAGACCAGGGGCGCACACGAAACCCCAACAGAGAGAGCAAATCTCCCTGTTGATCGGTCGGCCGAATGACGCAGCACCGTGCGCCAGGCAATTGTCGAAATTTTGAGTGTTCGGAAGAGACTCCCGGCCCAAATTCATGAGATAGTTCTCACTTCCCCTGCCTCCCCGACAACGTCTGTCAGGGATAAATTCTTCTAGACACCGCGGCCGGGCCTGTGGGAAGGCGCGAAGAGTGGAAAAGGATACGATCTTCCCACGCCCGGCTGTCCACCCGCCACAACGGGCAACGGTCGTTGAAGTAGCTCGCCCGCGTTCTTGGTCGCTCACCCATGTCCATGTCTCCAGCAGTGCGACGATGGAGCAGCATGCACATCCACGCCGCCGTTACCGTCCTGCCGTCTACTCCGTCGTTGAGGAAGGCACGCACGCCCTCAATTCTATCTCACATATCCAAGCCCACTTATTAAACATTGGCGCTGCTCATCATTTATTAGAGTAGTAATAATCTACATATCACCACTGAGAGAGAGGATGGACAGAAGAGGCAAGGTCTGGTAAGGCGGCTTCGTCGGATTCTGACTTGACAATTCGTTCCCGTGCAGTGTACCTGCATTAGCAGCCTCTCCCACCGCACCGGGTATGTGACAGCCGCGGACGCGGCGTGTTGACTAATTCATGGGTCGTTTTGGACTTCAGGAGAATTACCCGTGGACATTGGCACTGCCACTGGGCAAAACGGAGGCGAGGATAATCTCCCGGGGATCCTGCGGCTTCGTGATAACAAGTGCCCTTCCATCCACCTGCCGACGACGACGCCGCCACCCCGACCACCGCCATCATTCATCCCGAAGAAAAAGATGCGGCACACACATTGATGCGCAAATCACGAAATGTGCTCGTGGACCTGTATTCAGGACATGTGAATGCGTACTGCACCTGCTGCGCTCTGCCGCTTTAACAGACTGTTTCAACGATTGTCTTTTGCTTATCCGCTGAAGAGGTCTCGCCGAAAATGGCACCTGACATAGTACATCTTCATCTCACAGAGGATGCAACGTGCGCGTCAGAGAAGATCCCGCCTGCAAAGGCAAATAGATTTGCATTCACCGCGCGTCGCGATGAGACCTGGCGAAAACGAGACAAACGAAAGCCATGCACGATATATGACACGTCCATGATCTCCCTATCCGGCAGGTTGCCCTTGTGCCCTGGTCAATCACATCATGCAGAATCCCGTCCCCCTGGCGATTCGCACTAGAACACGGAATTATGTACCGACAGTAGTGTCAAAGGCCGAGGCTACAAGGATGGTTTTAAGTTGATGCATTCCGTCCCGTCGTGCCCGTGTGCTCGACCCCTACAGCACTCCTGCATCAGCATCATCTTGGCATCGTTCGCACCTTTGTCTATCACAGACCAACGCGATCACGGGACAACAAATTCTGTGAGGAAAAGGCTGGGAGCCTTGCGGTGCCGCGGTGTACCTCTGCTACTGCCCTGTAGTGTCCTGATTAGCTTTCATGCATGTCCCAGAATTTCGGCTCTGGCGATTCTGTCCTCCCAAATGCGCGGGCAGACGGATGGACCGGCTAGACCCATTCTAGCAGCCGATGACATTCCTTCTTCGCACCAGGAGCGATAGGGAAGCAACATGGCGACGATCAGCAGCACGATTGGAGCATCTCACTCCGGAGGATTGAAATGCACGGGATGGGTGACTCCCATCATTTTGAGATGCCGCGCTGGAAAACTTCCCACCAGCAAGTCCGCCTTGCTGACACGAGGATTGACGACGTGCAGGGTATACGCATGTCTGTCCGCAATATGGACGTCGCTGCCCGGAGGAACAAACAAGCCATTCATTTACCGTGTATATCGGTGGCGCCTCATCTTGGCTTTCGCTTGGATGATTCATCGCAGCGGAGATTGGGAGGCTCGTCGGAACCTCCGCGCGCGCCCAGAGATATCTGCGACGGTGCGAATGGAGATCTCATGCAACCGTCTGTCAACTTGTGCCCGTCGCGACAACAGCCGGCCGGGTTGCGACCCGACCGTTACGCGAGGGAAGGCAAGACAGGCAGCAACTTCGTCGTTAGCAGGATCCTTTCCACCCTTGCTGGGGCCCGCTCGTGCATCAAGAGCATAAGGGCCACTGGCCAGTCAGAATCCGATGAGGAATTATAGTTTAGGGCCGTGATTGTCGCGAGCGGTGGTTGGTGGCTGCGGCATCAATTTTTTCTCAATTATGATTTTTTTTCTAATAATTTCCTGTTGTTGTTTGTGCGCAAAATGTGTATGCACTCCGCAACGGCGTACCGGTCGCACCCAGATGTGTCGCGGGTCCAGGTGTGTGGGCCGGGGCTGCCTCGGTTTGGCTTTAGTGGCCAAGCTTGCAACATGAAGCCAGCACCAGCAGAACGTCACACCTCGCACGGCTCGTACTCATCCGTCACTCATCACCTCCAGGGCTGTCACACTCATCACGGCCCGAACAAGATCAAGCTCGGGCTGTATCAGAAAGATGCCAGCCCGCGGATGTGCACATGTGTACAGTAGCGGCATGTGGAAGGCTCAACGTCGCGTCTCAGCATGGCTTGTCAACATTTGGCATTGGCTCGCCAAGCGTCAATGTACTGTATGTTTGACTAGATCAGTCGACGACCGATGCGGCAGTTCGTATGTTGGGCTCATCACATTGATGATGGTCAGTGAGATATATGCTTCCGGCGTTGTCTGTCAAGACCATGCTCTGACGACCCTGTATGAGCACGTGCCTCGCCCTCGCTGGGATCTACGATGTTGTCATTGGACTCGATATGTAGATATTGACAATATCGAACAATATACTACGGACCAATGCCGTCGGCAATCATGATGTAGCATCCTGTAGAAAAGTCAGGGCGGCCTCTTGGTACATCTTTTCCAAATCGAATTCTGGCCAGACCGAGGGATATTAAAACGCACATGACAGGCATGTATGTTACATATCGTAGTATGCACGGTACGTTATTACAGAAAGTGGCCAGGGTCTAGGTACAGTACCAGTACAGCGGCAATGACAAAGTGCAAGCTGGTTCGTTTCGCTAAAGGAAACTAATGTATCAGTGCCGAATGACCCTGCAGTGGTAGTCACTGCTGAACATGATCTACGGTCTATGCGCGCGGCTCCCTATCGCGTCCGCATCTGCATGACCGAAGCCAGAAAGCCGAAACGATCTGGTCTAGGTGCTCTCATTTTTTCCTCGGTCAGTCCTTGCTCTCAGCGTCTTCGTCATCCTCAGACTTGACATGGAACGTCAAGCTTCCCGCTGGTCTGCCTTTCGCATCCTGCATCTGGATGTTGTATTTGCCGTTATTCCACAGATCCTTGATGGTAATTTCTCGGGTGCGGCCGAGTGATTCAATGTCGCCGATACGGACGAGAGTCGCTTCCAATAGCTCATCAAACCCTTCCTCGTTGCAGATCTCTCGGAAAGCATTCATCATCGGGACTGAGTCGGCCCTGACGCGAGCCTTGCTGTCGATGGTGAAAACGTTGATCGCATCATAGCTCTGAGAAAAAGGGTATGTTAGCGAAGCAATGTAAATTGAGCAGTTATCTCTTGATACGAACCTTGATGAAGTCTGCTCTTGTCATGATCTGTCTGGCTTTGTGAAGAGCAATTTCAGGCAAAATGTGCCCCTCCTCGGGATCATATGTCGACTCCATCTCCTTCTCGAGATCTACTAGCGCTTTGGCAAGCACACACGCTGCTGAGGCATATTTCTGATTTTCCATGACATCGTCATCCATGGGCATGCCAAGAATCCAACATTGATTCAGGAACCACGTTTTCTCGGTCTCGCAGATTTCATCTGCAGTTTTGAGCATGTCATCTGCTTTCGCAACCTTGCCAAGGAAGGCCAATCGACCACCGACTTTGTCGTAGACCTGCTCCAACAGTGATGGGTCAGGATCTTCGCCTAGATGCTTCAGACGGTAGGTTCGTAGTGCTGCCAGGGATCGTTTCTTGGAGAGGTCCAGGATCCTGATCACATTCATGCGCGTGGCGTACTGCTTCAGTCTCTCGTATATCCAGTAGTCGTCAGAATTGAATATGATAGTCACCAGGTTACTCGCCGCCCATTGCTCAGCCCGCTGCTGCAAAAGCTCGAGCAGATCGCGACCAGCTTCGTCGTCTCGAAGGAGATGCATTGCGTTCATGATCAAGACGAGAGGTCTTCCAACCGTCGCTCGTCGCTTCATGGCGACTTTTTCCAACTTATTGAATGCTCGTTCGACGTCGAGGAGTGCGTTGGCATCGCGTGGTCCGCGTATTGAGAATAGCGAGCCGATGTTGTCTTCATGGTATTCGAAATCCAGCGCCTTGCCGATGCGAATACGGAAGATCTCGGGATCAGAATGGGCATCGAACATGGCACAACCCTCTCCATCCAACTTTGCCATGGCGTCGAGTAGCATGCTAGACTTTCCAGTGCCCTTTTCCCCTACCAATAAATAGTACTGTCCTCGGATTTCGCCGGCAACAATGCCGTCCAGCAATGCTTGTTCTTCGCGTTGGACCCAGTGCTCACGGCGCTTGTCCTCGTCAACCAGCACTTTGCCGTACTTTGCCGTCTTCTGGCTGCCGGCGGCTGCCATTTCTAGTACAGGGTCACCAGGAGCAAAAGCATTTTCAATTTTGTTCAAGACCATCTGTTTATCTGCAATTGAACAATCAGCATAACAGCACTAGTCGTTACTCCCAATTGTCGCGCACATACAATATCGTGTATAACCATAGCCAATAGCTCCTAGTACCGCGACGGATGCAAGGGTCGTCAGCGCGGCCTCCAACATCTTGAATCCCGTAGGACGCCATGAGCCCTCATCTTCAGGCTCCTTGGGGTTTTTTCGCGGCTCGTCGTCCGATGCATTTCCTTGATCTGTCACTTGCGGCCCGATCGGAAATGAATAGCATCTTTGCTGTAAGGACTGTGATAGGAATTTGTTTTCTATGAAATGCGGTCGTGAAGTGTGCGCGCCATCAAGGCCAACGCGTGTTAGGGTCCGGAATCTTGATAAGGAGCGTAGGGAAAGCATTCTATCTCATCGACATGAGTGATTGCATCAGTGCCAAAATATTCATGTCATTCCAGCATGATTGAGAAATTGTCCAGGAGCGCGATGCTAGACGTAGATCGACGTGATGATGACTATACGTGTAGAGATCATGTTCTGTAGTGTGCCAAGCGATGTACCAAGTCTGTAGCACATACTTCTCCTGCGCTGCAGCCACGGCACTGTCACTCGAGGGAAGCCCGTGCTCATTGTGAACGACGTCAATCGATGGGCAAAGCACCACCGTCATAACATAAGAACAGCAACACCGCCAAAATCTGGTATTTGGTGCATATTTATCGCAGACTCTTACTTATGTCGTTGAGGCTATCAAGGTGACAGGAATTTGGAAGATTGAATCAACACAGGGCCGAACACACTACAATACTCGGTTCAGGGAACAATTCGCTGGCAAGGCCGTTGCTGCATGGCGATGCAACAAGTCATTCAAACAATCCCCACAATGATCACTCTCAAAAAGGTAGATATTTATCTGAAGGTATCTTACAGTAAAACACGTGTTCTTGCTGAAGTTTGCATTATAATTCATGCACTGTACAGCTACCGACACGTAACAAAGATTTTGGTATCGTCATGCGCGCAAAGGAAAACAACAGCATTAAATTATAGCCTTGCACCTCCTCCAACAAGCTTTTCCCAGTCGTTCTTGCCGAATCGGACATATCTGCTCTGGCCGGGAGGCAGCCAGAAAACCTCATCACCATCAGTTTTTGACGGATCGACGCCATCATTTCTTAAGTTCGCTTTTTGGTGCTTCATCGTGCCTGTGATCTCCATCTCCTTCAGCACTCGTAGGAAGAGGGGCACGGCGTATTTTGGCAATTTCTTCTGTACGTGAGTAGCAAGACTCGCGGCTGTTTGTTCATCTAGAGTCTTGCCATTACCGAGAGAAATGGCAGCACAGCCAGCTCGACCATCATGATTTGGAAGCTGGACGCCATAGACGTTGGCTTCGTGGAGAGCTGGGTGTACACCAAGAGCCTCGGCTACTTCAGCTGTGCTCACGTTCTCGCCTTTCCAGCGGAAAGTATCTCCAATACGATCAACAAACAGCCAATGACCATCCTGATCACGACGCTGCAAGTCACCGGTCCGGTAGAAGACGTCACCTTCTTTGAGCACATTTCGAAGAATTTTAGACGACGAGGCTTTGTCGTTGCCGTAGTAGCCCTGAAATCTCTCCTTGATGTTCTCGGGATCCAAAGGATATGTTAATTCGCCGACTTCGCCTCTCTCGACAACTTTGCAGAAACCGGTCTGCGGGTCGCGCCAAGGTTTGTCGGATTCCACATCGTACTTGAGCAGAACTTGGTTCCCACCGAAGAGGGCGGTCATCAACGAACCTCCACCACCAATCGCACCCTGACTGAAAGAATTGTTGCTCACAATACACGAAGCACCTGGGCCTTCTGTCGCGCCGTAGAATTCACTGACTGTCGGAATGTTGAAGCGCTCCTTAAATCTAGGCCACACATCTGGACGCATACCGTTACCAAAAGCTACTCTGAGAGAATGGGCCCGGTCATAAGGTGTTGGTGGCGTGTTGACCAAGTATCGACACATTTCGCCCACATACTGCATGACAGTCGCTTTCGTCTCGGTCAATTCCTTCATCTGAGTCCTGGCGGAGAATTTGGGCGAGATCACAAGTGCGCAGCCAGGTCCAAGCACTTGACAGGCGCCAAGCAAAGAGGCCGAGGAGTGGTAAAGAGGCATAGCTGTGTAGAATCGATCTTCGGCCTTGAGACCGTTCACTTTGGCAAAGAACCGACCAGAGGCAGCCTTGCCCCATGAGACGTTTGCTGCTTTGGGCAGACCTTTGAAGGAACATTCGTCAGCTGAGAACTTAGCAGCACAACTGTAGGGAGAATAGATCATTACCTGTTGTTCCAGATGTGTAGATGAGCATAGCGGGAGAGCTCAAGAGAGCCCCAGATCTGGCCTCATCAGATGCCCGGTATGGCTCTAACGATGCAATGCGAGACTCGGTATAGGAGTCGAGAATGTCCACTTCAGTTGCATGTCCTCGCTCATCGCCTGCCAATTCCTTGCGTGCGTCCTCGGTCAAGATTTCTTGAAGGTCTGAATCGATGATCAATAGTCGTGCCGATGCTGTTTTAACGCAATGGATGAATGCCACGTCTCGCAGGTTGCTATTGATGAAGGCTGGGACTGCGCCCAATGACCACAACGCAAACCAGATCCAGATGAATTGAGGTTTGTTTTTGAAGTCCATAGCCACCACCTCGTTCTTTTGTATCCGATGTGTGTCCTGCAACCATCTGGCATATTTGAGCACGGTCTTGTACCCTTCCGCGTATGTCCACTCTGTCTTTGCATATGGTTGAGAAGCATCCTTGGGTACGACAACGAATAGCCTTTTGGCGCTCTTGGGATTCCTGGCCAGCTCCTCGAAGTTGTAGAAATTGTTGATTCTATCCTGCTTTTCCAATTTGGCCAACGCTGCCTGATGACCAAGCATGGTCGATATTGACCATACATCCTTTGCAACCAGGAATTTAGCATTCAGATAGGCGAGCGAGGCTGCCGCCGCCGGCAGCGTCACAGCGAGTGGAACCGGCATCGTGGTGAGTGATTGGCGCAAATTCGTCAAGGGTTAATCAATCGCAAATGCAAGCATGCGACAGAGATTAATGAATTGGCCTCGAACGGGACTTTGAAGACCTCACAGGCGCATGAACATTTGGTGTCGCGCTTGTGGACATGGTTGCTGTCAACGAGCGACACGCCACCATCGACTCTACAATTGATAATCGAGCCTCGTATATGGCGATGCGTAACCGAGGCACAGACCATGAAAGCTCGTTCGCCTTCGTACTCGCGCAAAGAAGCTTTGCACTGGGCTGACCCGCCGGCACTTAGAATCGATAACAGCCGTTGGACAGATAAAAGCCTTGGGTTTCTTGGGGAAAAGCTCCGCCAAAATGTGGGGTCGTCGCACCTGCAATGCACATGCTGTCGGGCGGACGCCGGGCGGTGATAACCGCATGTCTCGCCCAGGCGATTTTGCGGGGACGAAGCGAGTCGCTTGGATGTTGCCCCAGGGAGGTTTAGATTTCCTGACTCGCTGCGGCGATGACGGCCGCAAATACACTGGTGTCGCTGCGGGACGCTACTACTGCATCCCTACGGATTTGACTGTCCTACCTACAGGGACGCAGTTGCAGACTAGACAATAATTTGGTGAACTTTGTCAATCGATTCCGTCATGAGAACCGAGTATTTATTTTCGTCTTAGTCGACCAGCGACCAACCACTCGTTTCATCCGAGTCAATGCACTCCTCTAGGGGACCGTATTCCCGCCACGATGCTCTCCTGCCACGAGGAACGCTAGTTCGAGCGCCTGCTTCTCATTCAGCCGTGGGTCGCAGAACGTTTCATATCGCTCGCTCAAGTCAGCGTCCTGGATCCCTTGACTGCCTCCGGTACATTCGGTCACAGCATCTCCTGTCAACTCAAGATGAACGCCTCCGAGTACGGATTGGCATCGGTGATGTATCTTGATCGCGGCACTCAATTCGGCAAAGATCGCCGCAAAGGATCGGGTCTTGATACCGTCAGAGGTAGATCTGGTGTTTCCGTGCATCGGGTCGCATTGCCATACAACAATGTGGCCGCTCTTGCGGACAACCTCGATGTGTCGAGGTAGCAACTCCTCTACCTTGTCTTTTCCATATCGAGTGATCAATGTGATTTTACCAACCTCCCTCCGCGGGTTGATCAGGTCAAGCAGTTGGAGGAGGTCTTCCGCTGAGGTTGTTGGTCCGACTTTGATTCCTATCGGGTTTTCGATTCCACGCAGATACTCGATATGGGCATGGTCTGGTTGCCGTGTGCGATCGCCAACCCATATAAAGTGTGCGCTCGTATTGTAGTAGCCTGTCGTGGCCTTTGACTCACCACTGCCATTGTCCGGTTTTGCATCGCTGGCAGTGTTCGGAACGCTTCTATTTGCGGGATGTCGGAGTTTACGTGTGAGGCTTTCCTCATATGGGAGAGAGAGTCCCTCGTGGCTCGTGAAGAGGTCGACGGTTTCTAATTGTCCTGAGGTGTCGGCTCCGATGGTTTTCATGAAGTTCAAGCTGCCATCTGTCAGTGACGACGGTCCGCAATATCTCAGTATGTCCAAACTGACCTCTCTCTGATACTATTGACAATTGTGGTGTACTTCTTCTGCACTACGGGGTCCTCGACGTGTCCAAGGCCCCAGTCGAGTGGATTGTGTAGATCAGCGATTCCGGAAGACAGCTGTGCACGCAAATAGTTGTACGTAGCTACCGAGTGGAAGTATGCTTGAACGAGGCGATTGGGATCAATGGCCCTCTGGTTCAGGTCGTATCCATTCAGAATATCACCTCGAAAGCTGGGCACATCTCTGCCCTCGACTTTCTCCGTTGGTGAACTGCGAGGTTTGGCGTATTGGCCAGCCATACGAGCGATGCGTACCACAGGCTTGTTCGTTCCCCATATCAGAACCAGTGACATCTGAAGAAGTAGTTTGATCTTTGAGTCGATCATATCGTCTTGACAGTATGCGAATAGCTCTGCACAGTCGCCACCTTGCAAGAGGAACGCCTTCCCAAGAGCGACCTGCTCGAGAGATTTGCGCAGCTTCCATATCTCATGGGGTGTGACAATCGGGGGTAGTGTCTTCAGCTTCTGCAAGGACTTGTCGAGTGCTGCCTGGTCTTCATACTCGACGAGTTGCTTTATGGGTTTTGATCGCCAGGAAGCTGGATGCCATTCTGGCTGCTCTGACTTGGCGTCCGACATGTTGTAGATTTAAGTTGCACCGATTGCGACCAGTGTTTTTGTGGGTGCTGTGACACCAAAACGTAACCATCTACTTGAAGACCTAGGTAGGTGTAAAAGTCTCAAAGTTTGCAAAAGGCCGACTACCCAAAAATTCACACGAAACACGCAAAAACAGAAGTTCTACTGCGACACGAAAGCCACAACACAATCATATCGACTATAAAAGAAGCCACGACGGCAATTCCTCAACCGAAAGGAAAAGAAATGGATGCAACTGCGTCTGCTATAGACATTCTGCAATAAAGTAGCTCCCACGACGGCCGTTGACAGAGGTGCACCTGGGCATTGGGGTTGATTATTAGGGTCACGACAACCCTATGTACGTCACATGCTGCCATGGGTCGCACCTGTTTCGGATGGCAACGCGACCTCTTAAGTTCACAGGCATTCGGGATATTGTAGTTACCTAGGTACCTAGGTATGCACCAGCATAAGTCCTGAATTGCACAGAAGCTACGTCGAGGAAAGAAACATACAGAATGGCGGAACCACAGCCATCGAATGTCAAGGAAGGCAGTGACCAGCCTGATGTCCTACCCGCCAATGCGGAAGACCGCAAAGCCGCGCAAGCTATGTCATCACTAGATGTACGAGGTGACGACGACGGTAATGCGCCGAAGAAGGAAGCCGATCTGAAGGCTTTAGGAGAAGCTTTAAAGAGTCTGGACGTGAACCAGGCGCAGCAGAAGCGTACGGAGATCGCCAAGAAGGAGGAAGCACCTAAGAAGGTGATCAAGGTCGACCCAACAGACGTATCCCTACTGGTAAGATGAAACCAATGTGGCATCTCGTGTGGGTGAGTCACTGCTAAACTTTCTCGTTCACAGGCTGAACAGCTTGATCTCTCGAAGACCAAAGCTACAGACCTGCTACGAGCTCATGATGCGGACGTGGTGAAGGCTCTAACGGCCTGGGTGAAGGCGGCATGAGCGGACGACCCTTTCAAATGACTCATGAGCACGCAGGTGTGGTCAAAGAGTAGGCTCTGCGTTAACGATGACCAATATCAAGATCGATCACATTTTGGCGGAGGCCCGCCGGTATGACTTTACCATGATCACGCCTATTATACCCTCGACTCATACCGTACTTGACTGCCAGTGTTTCCAAGGCAAATTTTCTGGCGCTATGCCCACAAATTTACAACTGAAAAAGCAGAAAGATGCTTTCCCGCCGAGACGTCAGTAATCTGAATTATCGTTCATCATTATCATTCATCGTCAATGCTATGCTTCCTTATATCTCAAGCACCACCATTCCAGAAAGTCAGGCGTCTGCCTCGACCTAACTTGTCGGTCCCCTGCATGTCCAGTTTTTGGATGCGATTAGCGGGAGCTGTTTGCTGTACCAGTGAAGAGGGCTCAGCCAAGTACGCGGGAGTGCTTGGCGACCAAGGTTCATTCTCGTTGTCGTCACGATAGCCCGATGGAGTCTCCATGTCGAAAATTTTATCGACTTCGGGCTCAGGTGTGCTGCACTTCATGGACAATCGGCTGAGTGTGCTGCGTCCAAGGCTACTCTTGCGATCACGAACAATGTTTCCACCTACGACCACCAGCGCCGAAGGCTCCATACTCTTGCGCCTGCGCTTGCCTGCCCTCGGGACTTCGTCTACGTCTACCGCGTAGGATTCGTCATGTTCATCCAGACGTGTGCCGTCGGCATCGCAATCAGAAACCCATCGACTATTCACGCAAAAAAGCTCGACTCCGTTGCCTGACTCTGCCACCTCCTTGTTGTGAAGTCGAAGACGCTGTAGTGTAGTGGGCGAACCGTCCTTGAAGACGACGTGCGTGATCTTGCTGCTCCAAATCTTGGTCGTCCTGGCACCCAATCGCTGTAATAGCGCAACAAAGCTGGACGACGCAGATGCGCCCTCGTTGGTAAACACCTCTACCAGAGCGAATACGCCCCTCAGGGGAGCCGAAGGGTGCGGTGTCATGGAAACAAATCCTGGTGTCATTGCAGGTGCTTTGAGCGGTGTCTTGGTCGGTGTCCGTGAGCCTTGCATTGTGGAAGTTCGCATGACTTGCTCACGCATTGACATAGGCTTGCGCGCACTTGCAGGCCGCTGTGCGGGTTTCTGAACCGGGCTCCGAAATCGTGAAGCTGGCATTGCGGTTCTAGAATAGTCGTCAAAGTTTCTCTTTCGAGACTCGATGCTGTGCACCTCATCTGTGCTCTCATCTGCTGTAGGCGTCTTTGCGGTGGGCGTCTTAGGCATACTAGTCTGTCGATTGTAAGAACTGGTCGCGACTTGGCGTCTTGCTCTGACAGGAGTGATACACAGGCCAGCCATTAGATCCTGTGATGGAATCGCAGAGAGACGGACTTTCGGTCCTTCTGTCTTGCACGCTCTGACAAGCTTACGGCCTGTTGGTGTCTTGGCTTTGGGGGTTCGCCTTGTCGAATTACAGTCAATTCGAGGAGAAGCGGGTTGGGATTGAAAGTGCTTTGTCGGTGTTGCGACAGCGCGCGCTTCATCTAGCCAAGATCCCATCACTTGAGGTGAACCCTCAGCACTGTGTAAGCCGTCGGAAGTTTTCGGTCGGCTGTTGGCCTGGGTAGCCATCGGGCGGCTGGCAGAGGGCATTGATTTGCGGCGAGAGGAAATTGTCGACATTGCGAAATGCGGCTTGGGTACTGAAAATGTGAACTGAAAATTGCTAGACCACAGGTCAGGAAGTCGGTTGCTGAAGGGAGTAGCCTCAACACTGGACGTAGCATTCTCGTGCTCATGACCTTCGCCAAAGGTTGGTTCGTGCACCGATTGCTCTTCGATGGTACTAGAAGCCACGGAGTCGATGAATTGCGAAGTCTCAGACAGTGCTCCTGCATCGATGAATTCGCTGAAATGTACAGTCGCATCCATGGACTGACGTGCGCTTTCCACGTGCTTCTTGTGCGAGGAAGGTCGAAAAGTCGACGAGGTTGGTGTTTGCGTATCCAGACAGATCGAGTGCTCAATTGTGCTTGAATCGTCAGTCTGGCCGATTGGGCCCATCATCACATCCTGGGTCGCTTCGCCAGATGGCGACAAAGTTGAAACACACATTTCCGAATTTTGCTCTAAATTATTCCAGACTAGCGTTTGTAGTGCCGGGTCGTTGACCGTCAATGCCACAGGCTGCGAGACTGGAACAATCGATTGCTCTGGAGACTCAACAGGACTGACTACAGGAGCTGTCTTTTCCAATTCGATATAATCTTCAACATCCTCGGAGAGAGACAGATCTTCAACCGCAAGCCCTTGAGGAGAAGTGATTGCCTCGTCGTCCGACTTGCGCGCACCCTGGGTAGGAGAAAGGTCTTCCGCGGCCTCGATAGACACGATGCTGGAATCAGCTGTGTCCTGCGAATCCGCATAGTCTTCGTCATGCTGTTGTGATGGGTGTACCTCACTCAGATCGAATTCGTATATGACCTCGCTCGGTTCGTTCACCGCAGCAATGCTCTGATCCAGATCGTCCTCTGTGATAGGCTTGTCCTCGACCGCATGCTCGATGTCTGGCATCTCTGGTAGTGCTTCCAGCTGCCTGAAAACCATGGCCCGATCACGCGCGCGAGCGACAGTCATCGACTGAGCAGAATCGAATTCGAATCGGTCATTCTTTGCGTATGGTCGCTGTGTCTTTGGTGTTCGAAGCTGGCCATCGAATACTCGGAAGCGTCGTACTGGTGTCCGCAGCCGACTTGTGCTTTGAACATGCGTAATATCTGCAGCTGGCTGGTGGGGCGTACAACGCTTCATAGGTGTTGTCGGCCCACAAAGTTCGTCGATCGAAGTGTCAAGGTCGTAATCTGCTCCCACGTCATTCAGTTCCGTCGGAAGAACCAGACGAGCTTCAATTACGTGGTTTGCCGGCTCTCCTGTGAAATCGACTGCCTTACTGTCTGCGTCTGCGTCCTGCGAAGCTGACCCCAGCAAAGCATTCTCGAATGTCTCGTCTCGCCCAGCTTTGGCCTTCCTGGGTCTCTTAGCTCTGAGGATAGGTGATTGGCACAACGATCCAGATTCTAACAGACTGTCTGCATTCTCATCCGAAAATGCCCTTTTGCGAGTCACTCTCTTCGCCACCTCTGTAGACCCATTATCGATCGCTTTAGATTTCCCTGCCGTCGAAGTCGATTTGGTGGTCTTTGAAACTTTTGTTGTCACTCTTGAGACCTGCGTGATCTTTTTGGGTGACAAGGGTCTGGATTTCTCTTTCGCTACTGTGGCTCTGGTTGATCTGGTCGCTCGTGTAGCGCGAGTTGCCTTTGCAGGTTGCACATCATCTGCCAGAGGATCATCCACAGCTGCTGCCGTTGCCTCCTTGATTTGCTTGGTGGTGTCCTTTGTAGTCTTCGCAGCAGCACTGAGTTTCGTACTGGCTCTATTCTGTGACCGGGCTGGTGCCTTTTTGGGCGCGCTGTTGCCGTCTGCTTCCTTCTTTGCACGCGATGTGGTCCTTCGCGAGGTCTCTGCGATGCCCTCTTCTATGGCGTGCACTGCCTCAGTTTTCTCTTCCTCGGGTATGACGCCCCGTTGCTTTGTCCTGGTCGCTTTTGATTTCTCTGTTGGTTTGACGGGCTTTTCCTCGTCGCAAGTGTCCTGTTTCTTTGTTCGGCTCGCTTTCGCCTTTTCCACTGGTGCTTTCACGGACGCCTTGCGAACTGGCTTCTTTCGCAGGGAAAGTTCGCTCTCAACGGCGACGTCGGGCACCGATCGCGCACCGCCTCTTGTCGAAACCATGTTGTACAGCTGTTTGGGTGAGATAATTGTTGTGGACTCCGCATATACTTCCGTGACTTACTTCCGCAAAAGACTATATGAGCGATGTTTGTTTATGTTTACACGAGGCTCCGCGGGTATCTAGGCTGGTGTCCCAAAGCGGTAAGAACGCACGAGTCATGTATGGGGAAGGCTAAGCTTGAGGCGAAACAACATTCATCACGTGCGCGTCCCGTTTCACGGACACGTTCATGGCTGCAGCAGACACAACAACCTCGGAAGTTCGCCGTCTGCACGATGAGATCATGTTGAGGCGCATGTAGATGATTGATCCGCTGGATACACTATAAAATGCAACTCACGCGGGCTCTCGTCAACGGATTCTCCAGATACCCGAGTGCGTTGCACTTTATCGTCTTCAGCAGTTCAAATGAATTGATAAAGGTGCAGCGTGTGATTGACTGACCGAGGCAATTGAAATGTATGTGAAGTCCATTGATGCTGTTAGAGGGGATATGGTCCAGCATGTTTGTCATGTCAATGGACAATCGACCTTCTAGATCCGCCCCTACGAGGGTTCGAGGCGCCTTTTGACCCCGAGAGGTGCCTATCTACCGATAAAGTTTCGCCTGGACAGATGGGGAGCGGAAAAATCGCGGCTGGTGATGGTGGTAGTTAATGCTCTACTCTGTGTATTTCCCGAATCCCGAGGTACCATAATCCATATAAGCTGTCTCTGATATATCGTGACGACCAGCGCAGATACCACTTTGCTTTTCTCGTCAGTCCTGAGAAAACAGCTCCTACGCCTAATATTGTACATAGATTAGAGCGTTACGACGTCTTGCTCTTACTGAAAGCTTTCATCTCCCGCAGCATCGTTAAATATGGTGGGACCAGCAAAACACGATTTGCGATGCCTCACGATTGATGAGCTCGAGCGGCACGCCGCAGATATCATGGACAAGCAGACTCGCGATTACTACAACGAAGGCGCTGATTCCGGTTCGACGCTGCGAGAGAATCTTGACGCTTACAAGAAATATCGCATCCGTCCTCGGGTGCTCCGGGATGTATCGTTGATCGACACGAGTGTGGACATTTTTGGCCACAAGAACAGCATTCCTGTAGGCGTAGCACCTACTGCTATGCAGTGCATGGCCCACCCCGATGGAGAGATCGGCACCGCACGCGCCTGTAAGAAACGCAACATTGCCATGGGACTTTCAAGTTTCGCGACAAATACTGTGGAGAATGTTGCTCAAGCCAGCGATGGGATTCCTAATGTGCTGCAATTATATTTGTTTGAGAACAAAGACCATAGCCGGAAAATAATTCGGCGCGCAAAGGATGCCGGATTCAAGGCAGTCTTTCTGACCGTGGACACACCGTACCTGGGCCGCCGGAATGCGGAGATACGAAACCAATTCAAGATGCCGCCACATCTCCAGATCGCAAACTTTGTCGCGGAATCAGGAAGTGGTGCTGCAGTACCTGGTCATCATGATGGCGAGAAGTGGGTCTCGCCCTCTGGCAAGATCACTTTCCACAGTCATGCTGCGAATCCAACTTTGAGCTGGGAGAAAGATATCGAATGGTTGAAGCAGGAGTGCCATCCTGAACTTCAGGTTTGGGTCAAGGGCGTCGCTACGAGCGAGGATGCACTTCTCGCAGTTCACCATGGAGTGGATGGCATTGTCGTGTCGAATCATGGCGGGCGACAGCTGAACGGTGCTCTCGCAACGCTTGATGCTCTGCCCGAGGTCGTTGAGGCTGTGCAGGGCAAGATTCCAGTCCATGTCGATGGAGGAATCAGGCACGGTACTGATGTCTTCAAGGCACTCGCGCTGGGCGCTGACTTTGTTTGGATTGGGCGACCTGTCCTATGGGGCTTAGCATACGGCGGACAGGCAGGCGTTGAGCTTTGCCTGCAGCTCCTGACCGACGAGTTCAAGCTCTCCATGGGTCTGGCCGGAGTAACGAAGGTCAAGGATATCACGAAGGACTATCTGGTCAAGATCGATAAGAGTGGCTTCATTTCGCGCCTATAATCGGGTGGAACACTGTTTTGCTTATTTTTGATTCCAAGTCTGCCTATGCGAATCACGTTTCGTAGGAAATGCGGGTCAAGTCATCTCTAAGCGTTGAACGATGCGAGCGCAGACATGCAGGAAATGAAGAATGGCCGTAGAAGTCGTGTACACCATAATTTGTGTCGTTCACATATCGGGTTCGGGCGTCCCGTGGACCTGACTGCTGCAAGTACAGGATCAAGAGAAAAAGGCACTCTTCGGCTTTTTCGTCATGCTAGACTCACTAGACTTGTGTGTGGAAGAGCTTGTTGGTCTACCGCGCTTCTTCTTGTTCAAGCCGGCGTTCGTTGTTGGAATGCTTGAGGTGAGGGACTGCGGAGGATCCTGAACGATTTCTCTGATGGTCCGTCTCGATAGGCAGGTATCAATGTGCTGATTGAAGGTCAACTCACAAGCCGGTTGAGCGATGCTACATATAGGACAGTCCCATCGTTCCGGAACCTGGTCATTTGAGCTTGCCTCATTCGTACGAGCTGCTGCAGCTTCTGTTTCAAGTAGCGAGCGCCATGCGAAGCCATTTGCGTATCTTTGGTAGTCGGCGTTATTTGAACCTTCCCCTTCTTCTTTGGCAGACTCCTCATAAGCTTGCGAGAGGCGCAGTGTCTCATCCATCTCATCCTGTAATTCTTGTCGTGCAGCGTCTTCAAATTCGCTGTCAGGCCATTTCTGCCAGCCATCCTCGCCCACCTCGATTCTACGATTCGAGTCTCCTTTGAGCTCGCCAGCTTGTCGAGATCTTCCGAAGAAATCCGTTGTGCTCTTCTTTGTGGAGACCAGATGTGTGCATCGCAGACCCATCAATCGAAGTTTCATATCGGGCATTTCTTTCTTCAGCTTTTGGAGCATAGGTAAACTGTAATTGTAAAGATCGTCGGCCGTGTAAACGGCCTTAGGAGGCTGAACTTGTCGTGTGAAGACTTCGTACGTGTGCAACTTGATCTTCAGCACCAATGTTCTACCCTTGAATTGTGTTCTTTCCAAATCTTTTTCCAGCTCATTGGCATTTCGTTTGAGTTTTTGTAGAAGCTCGTTGAAGTCTGATATGTCATGGAACGTGCTCTCAGTCCCTACACTCTTGCGCTCGAATTCCTCCGCGGGTCGCACATCTGTACGTCCGAGTCCAAGATAAACGCTCACGAGGAACTTGAAAGCTTTTTCTCCAAAGAGTCGATTGATGTATTGTCGTTGTGTATATATATCACCACATGTCTTGACCCCAATGGCGTCTAGTTCACGCTCCCAGACTCGTCCGATGCCATTTACTTTGCGAGTTGGTAGATCTCGCATGAATGCCATGATGGATGAGCGATCAGCAGGCAAGCGAAATTGTCCATTAGGTTTGTTTTGGTTCGAGCATATCTTCGCCAGCTTCGCATTGGCTGCAATGCCAGCTGAGACTGTGATTTTGGTTTCCTCGAATACCTGCTGGCGCATTTGCTGGACAACCGCTTCCGCGTCCATGTTGTGATCCTCACAGTATCGTGTGATATTTAAGTAAGCTTCGTCTATACTAGCACTCTCGAAGCGAGGGTCATACTGCTCCAAGACTGCGCGAACTTCCTTGGCCTTTGCTGTATACTTCTCAAAGTTCAAGGGCAAATGTATGAGTTGCGGGCATAGCTTGTCAGCGACGAATCCGGCCATGCCGCTCCTACAGCCATATTTTCTCGCAACATAGTTGCATGTGGTGAGCACTCCAACACCAACAGCGAACGGAAGATCCTTGAGCTCGGGCCTATCCAGTTCCTCTACAGAAGCGTAGAATGCATCGCAATCGATGTGCAAGATCACCTGAGAAAGGTCTCGACTGCATTCGGATTCAGTTATACAATCGTCCGCTTTCTTTTGCTCGCCCTTCAGACCGCCTTGCGCCTCGATACGCTCAAGCTCGCGTTTCTTCGCTAGAATCCGGTTGATCTTCACCGTCAAGTTTTTGTCCTTGTTCTCTTCGTTGGTGAAGAATCTACTGCCCTTGGAAGCTTCGTAAATTATCTCGCTTACCTGCCGAAAGTTCACACCATTTTGACCTGCCTTGGATAGACTCGGACCCAAGAGCGAGTGTTTCAGACTGCGATGTTCTTGTGATGATGACGATCCATTTGGCCCATCCGGCACTTCTGGCTTCGACACAGAAGAGGCTTCGCCGGCATCCGGTTGACATATGACCATGTTGCCATCGTCATTCAGCTTCGCTCTGCTGGAAGGGTGCGACCACTAACGGTTGCGTCACGATCGCCGAAAGTCTTGTTCAAGGACTGTAGGGAGCCGGTTGACAGCGCATGGTTGGACACGGGTAGTGATGAATACTCGAGTTACCCTAACTCGATAACTCGAGTATTCATCATACCTACACGTGAAGTGGTTCTTCTGCGCGTCAGGTGTCAGGCGCGCTAAAGCACGAGCCGTTCCGGGATCGGGCACATCGGTTCAACTCAGTCGCCCGGCTAACCCTGGAATGGTCGATTATCAACATGGGGCTGCAGACGAGGGCGCCTGTGAATCAACAACCACTCGCTCACAAACCATCGGCCCTTAACTTGTGTGGTCTCCCCTGGAAAATACAGGATATTCAGCCGACACAGCGCATGCGAAAGCGACAAGTAGCGATCGCTGCAGATACGACGACATAAATTCGAGCAGACGAATACCGAGCTCGAGCCTCCCGCCGTTCACATGCAAGTGGTGTCGTAGACCCTGCAGCACAACATTACCATACGCCCTTCACAGCCTGCATCCACCAGATGATGCTGTTGATCTGACGGCTGACGCTCGGTCATGTCGTCCGATCGTGTCAACCCTCGACCTCTCAGGCCGGTGCTCGCCTCGAACAGGACCGCTCGATCGCCCTTGGCCCCGCGTGTCGCCGTCAAAGCGGGACCGACGGCTACACCTTCTTCCGCAACACCAAGAGCTTTGACAAGGACGTCCATAACAGCACCGCGGGCGAACAAGACGACAGATGATGCTCCTGCCAAGGAGAGCAATGGCAGTGGTAACATCACACCTCGCTCAGGAGTGCGAAAGTCGAGGGCTGAGAGCTCGCATGACTCTCCCATTCAAGATGATGGACAATCGGGAACATGGCCAAGGTCTGCAGCACCGCCCGCTTTGGCACCTTCGGATCGTAATGGAGGTGTAGGTGGTCCTGTTCTTGGAAGACCCAAGGTCAGCAAGTCATTAAGTGTTGTTGGCGACAGTTCAACGAGGGGAGCACAATCTGCAATGGTTTATCGTCCCTATACGACACCTGATGCTATGACTCCAGGTTCTGGCGATGGTTTTGAGAGTCGTTTCTTCCACGCAAGCGACATGTTGAAGCAGGAACCAGCACCGAAACGGCCGGAGCCAAAGAAGGTGCCAACTTTTTTCTACGCGGATGGACAAGAGGATGTCACGACAGTATCGATACCTGTGCCACCGCCAAGGTCTCCGTCACCTATAAATCCTGCTGTGGTTGAGTCGCGGCCTTCTGCGCCATGGATGCGCTCTGAGCCGGTGCCCAGCACGGTCAAAACCACGCCGGTATTGTCGCCGACGCTCAGTTCGCTGGCAGCAGGATCACCGTTCTTCACACCGATGTCATCTTCACATTTGCAGCCCCGCTCGCCTTCGCCAAGCAAAGAGAACATACATTTGTCCTACAGGAAAGGTGCTTCACAAATCTTTGGGACACGACCACTATCGCGACCCACTACGGCTTCCATCATGGAAAGTGCTAGTCTGACGGTTCATGATGGTACGGCGCGACCAAGATCATCACCGAAGCATCGCAAATCTGGTAGCCTTTCTTCTATCGATTCTGGAAATTCTCATCAGTCTCGAAGGCGTTCTGCCACCGCTGTTGATTTAGCCACTCTCGCATCGAATCTGCCGCTGGAGCCAACTGCAGTCGCTCCCACCCAGATGCCAGTAGTCCCGACCATTTTACCTACAATTGATACGTCTCTAGCAATGTCGTCACGCGCGATTTCTCCTCCACTAGACGGCGCGCTCAGCCCTACGAAATTCGGATCATCCGAGCTTGCAGCAGACGCACGACGGGAGAGGAAAGTGCTTGACCTCGAAATTTCCAACAGCTCCTTGCTGGCCATTAACGCAAGCTTGGAACGAGAAGTGCGGCGACAGAGAGCTGAATTGAAAAGGTACCGGCGATTGTCCCGTGCGGGCCACTTCCCGCTTTCATCAGGAGAGCATTCAGCACGGCATTCGGATGGCTTAGACACTTTGGATGAAGAGTTGAGCGAAGGGCCGGAAGCATTCAATTTGTCGGCTGGAATGACGCATCTGCAGGACGATTTCACCGACTCGGATGAGGACGAAGGCAGCGTACTCAGTGGAGGAGACACAGTATTAACCGAAATGCAATCTGGAAGACATCAAGATCGCCTAGCTAAAGATGAACTTCGCCTGCGGCTCGACTTGCAGCGTCACAAAGAATTGCTTGTCCAAAGCCAAGGCATGAATCAGAGCCTGAAACGATGCATGTATGCCACTGAGGAGATGATCAAGGATGGCAGACGTGCTCTGCAATATCACGTCCGTGTCTCAGACATCAAGCTCGGCGGCCGAATTCTCACCGGACATGAAGAGGATGACGATGCGGAGAGAGAACAGATTGAAGTCGAAGACGATTATGATTTAGATGTCACAGATGTCACCGAAGGCGATCAAGGTGCGATGGAAAGTGCTCAAGACTTGCTTGACGTTTGGACCGGCCTCGGCCGTCCGAGGCTACATGGCAGTGAAGGATCTGGCGATCGTGACTCTGGTATCGAGGTCGATAAACCATTCGCACGAGCATCAGCTGGGCTTCACTCGGACGTGTCAATACCTCGCAACGACTCTGGCAGACCACCCGAGATTGATCATATCCAGGAAGTCACTGCCGTCCATTTCACTGCCAAAGCATCCCCTGAAGTTTCAAATGAAGCATCTGGAGTACCATGAGGTGATCACTCGAATGCCAGATTCGCGGGAGCCATGGCCCAAAGGCTACTCTCTAGCCTTTCAATACCAAAGCTGGATTTTTATTGTTGTTCGTTGCATTGTGATTAGCTTTTGCCACTTATTGCATCGAGATACCCTTACAGGATAGATTTTACTTACCCTCTCTTATGATACCATAACCTAAGAACTTTACAGTCGACGTCCTGGGAACCCGACCGTTAAAATGTGTCCAGTTGCCACTTACTGCACTGCTAGATGTTTATTATACATATTTGCAGACTCCTCGTTGAGCGCTCTTTTGCTCCTTCAGCTTGGGTCTGGAGCGGACCCTTGCTTTCGTACCACGATTTTAGCGTCATCCATAGCCGAACTAAATCATGACATTTCGAGTCGAAATCGACGATAATTCGTCTCTGTTGAATTTAAATATCTATGAGCACAGGGCATTTCGATGCTTGCATGCAGCGAGCCGCCTTTCGTCAAGTTTGGAGATAAAGTCGATTATTTTACAGTGAAATCGCGTGGCAAGCCCTCTCCCAGAAGCCTTGACTCGACAGCAAGATACCCGACACCCAGGAGACTGTTTAAGTAAGTTCCATGGCTTGCCTGAGCACCCAAGATGGAGAACAACATATTGACCTTCTCTGAAACAGTCATTTACTTCCGAAGCGGCTATGGAGTCCCTCATTGAGCATACCCGTTTTTGGGATCGAGCACTTTACATCGCCACCGGATCTCTAGCAGCAATTTCCATATTTTCGATAGTCTACAGCTCACGTCCAACAATACCGAGAAAATACCAGGGACCCATTCGTCGGCCCATAGCCGCGATCGACAACCATCCTTATCATCATGAAGCCATTCCAGGGGGCCGTGATGTGAACACGCCCTATGGCCGTACCCGGGTCTACGAATGGGGTCCCGAGCATGGCCGCAAAGTCCTGTTCGTGCACGGTATCAGCACACCCTGCATCTCGATGGCGGCATTGGCAGCAAGATTGGCCCGCCAAGGTTGTCGTGTGATGCTTTTCGACCTTTACGGAAGAGGCTACTCAGATGCTCCAGATCCGCGGGTGTACCGTCAAGACACTGGACTTTACAGCGCCCAAATATTATCGGCATTGGCTACTTCGCGGGTTGACTGGATGGCCGGTTTCACTCTCGTAGGCTACTCATTAGGCGGCGGCATTGCTGCAGCGTTCACGTATCATTATCCGGCTCTTGTAGACTCACTGGTCTTGATCGCGCCGAGCGGCGTCATGCGACCCAGCCGTATCAGCTGGAGTAGCAAGGTGCTATATGGAGGACTCTTACCCGACTGGTTGGTCTTTCCACTCGTGGCGTACCGTATCAGAGGAGGGGTTGACGTGCCCACGCTACGTGCGCCGAAGAACTCCGGCGGGAAGAAGGGTCTTGACGTTGCAGACGCTGCCAGAGAAGAGGTTCCTGGAGGTCGGGTGTATGACGATGATTCAGACAACAAGGCGGCTCTGTTCGAAAATCGACCTCCACTGGACCTGAATGCTAGTGTGATTTGGCAAACAACATCACATCCTGGCTTCGTTCCCGCTTTCGTCTCGAGCATTCGATATGCACCTATCCACGATGAATACGAGAGATGGCAGGTGATTGGCAAGCGCTGTGAAATGCAGCGTGCCGAGGAGGATCAACCAGCCGAGTCGAGGGGTTTACTGGAAGGCAGAGTGCTGGTGTTGCTAGGCGCGCAAGATAAGGTGACACTCGCGGATGAGACCATTGAGGATGCTACTGCTGCGTTTGGACGAGGGAACGTCACCATCCAGGTTCTTGATGGCGGGCATGATCTACCGTCAGCGAACAGCGATGCTTGTATGCAGGCGATCATGGAGCACTGGGAAGGGATCTAGATGTGCGTGTCCAATACGCCGCCGAGTCGTAAATATTGCATCAGAATTCAGCATACGTAAATAGTACATTGAGCGACATGCCATAGATCACCGGAGCTCTGTACCACGAATATGGTGCCTCGACAATTGGTCAGCTTCGGAAGTTTGTTCAACTTGGATCAAGCTTGGTCCACTGGGAGCACGTGACAACTTGTGTCCAACGAATCATTCGAGTGTGCCTTGCGGCGGTTGTGATGCTCTATCCCTTCCAGTGAGGTTGGTTGGTGTCACTCATTTCGGAATCACGATGTGTGCCATGTTTCCGCTCCGCTCTGCTATCGCAACGTAACGCTGTCCGGCAGTGACGTTGTAGTTATCGCCAAGCATGATGGCTGACATGGCAATCAGATCATCGATCGTTCAGAAGTCATCGTTTGTTAGTGTTGGGACGAGATCCGCATGTATAGTGCAAGGTCAGTGCGATCAAGCTATCGAGACTTTGTCCAGCCACCAAGATATATTGGTGAAACAAGGCTAGGTAGCTACTACCAAACGCAGTGTCAAGACGTTAACGAGGAGGAGGATGTGATGATTCATATGTAGGAGGACCTGTCTGGGTCATTATTACGTTCGCACAGTAACAAAGAGCCTTCGTGATGATGATGATGCGAAATTCGCAGAGATCCCGCGCAATCAAGGATGGTCAAAGTGCCAGTGCGCGGATCAAGCTATGACTGCGGCCACGAGCCTCTGCCATGGCAACACTATGTCAGAGTCATCATTCGAACGGTTTTCCAACAGTCACCCGCCTTGAACAACCCGGCAATTGATGGAATTAGCTTCAATATTGCCGACGAAAGCCCATGGAATAGACACTTGAATTTTCATCGTTTGGCCGAACCGAGGCCATGATACTTCAATAGATGCAACATGTAACCAGCAAGAGCGGAGTGGATATGTCGGGGCTAAGTGGTCCCGCAGAATCCACCACGCCGCGCAAGACTACACGAATCGAGGCCGCTCCGACGTACAGAGCAAAACCTTATACTAGGTCCTTCACGTTCCTTGTTGAGGCGTATGAAGACCAGACGAAAATATCTTCTCTGTTGGCTTGGCATCTATACATGTCGAATAAAGACAGAAAATGGAAAGGCCAGGGTGAGGACTCCATAGTGTGGACTTCACACCGACATCAGTAATTTTGGGTCAACGAGGCTAGTGGTGCTTGCATCCGACCGTGACGCGACCTTGACTATGTAATTGCCTACGTGGAAATACATCGATGACACTGGCCATCAGTTGCTCTGACATGCTTCGAGCCCGTCTTAGAGGTCTCGTTACCTGCACGACCTAGTAATGATGGCTACGCGCTCTCTCCGTTTGTAGAGCAAGTCACTATCAAAACCCGATCATGTCGTTGTGTACTCGGCTCATGATGAACGATTGGTAGAGAAGCACATTGTTGCTCTGCGAGCACGAACTGTGTGTGCCTTCCAAGGTTCCTAGGCACTGCAACTTCCCCAAAACGTTAAGCGCATCGGCATGGACTCCGTGGCTTGGCATGACTACCTAGGACAAATTCGGCCAGTCAACTGGACATCCCTACTTCCAAGCGGTCACGAAATGCCGTTCGTGCATCAATCACTAAAACTTAAAAGATTGGCGCGGGACGGCAAACATCGCTTCCACGTTTCTGAGTCCGAAAAGCGAGCTTGTCATTGAGGATGTCATGGTGGATCTGGGCGCGGCTAGAGAGGCCTGCGTGTTATCCGGAAGTCTTGCTTCTGCTGTTCCGCATCCGAGGACTGGTCGAGAAGAGGCTCGGATGTATCGTGCATGAATAGTTCAATTCGGACCACTAGAACGGTCCGAGCGAACGGTGTGAGACTATGAAGGTTCTGCACAAATGGGCTCGCCGATCAGAGTGGAGTAGCGACGTGGACGACACGATGGAATTTACTGTCTCTTGGGTCGGCCATTTCCTGCACCAGGTGCTGATGTTGCCCCGTCATGTAGTTGACAGGGAGGATGTTGCAATCACATATCACAACCGTGGCGGAGATTGTACGCCGCGCACGGAAGGGATGATATAACATGCCTGAAGCGCACAAGCCGGGCTGCGCCCAGCCATGTTATGCAAGGTAATACGAATCTACGATTTGCGGCAATTCCAGACTCCGCCAACCCCCCGTGTTGACCAGCAGGGACGATGCACGCACGCGACACAGAGAGCATGCTACGCGTGCTGCAGCAGGATCTGCGTGTTTCTCATCTACAGCAGCGCTCGTTAGTCGTGATTTTGGCTTTCGCTTAGTCGTGTTCTGGCGCGTTAAATTGCTTCGAGGGTTGGTGTGCTCGATAGGGCTGTCCGATTTGTGTGCAATCTTTTGAGGCGCCCATTGGCGGTCCAACTCAATGGACCAGGACAGGAGTTGGACGCCTCGTTACGGACCCTGCTCATGGTCAGCGGGAATTTAGATTGTCATTGTGGAAGAAAGCATTTTGCCGCCGACGAAAATGGGCTTGAGATACAAAGCGACGGTGTAACAACACGTAATTTCTGTCTTGCGTCGAATTTGCCGACGCCGTCGTGAATAGTGGGTCTGGGCTCTACTCCCAAACCGTGCGAGCACGCGCTTTGGAGCAGCACACCACGTGAAGCCTGTTGAACTCTTTCACTGCACCATGTGTAAAGTATAACCCCAAATGGCTCGGTGCAACAAGCTGTCTCGTTCATACAAGCGCAATCATCCAATCATCACAGGCTATCGAGGTGATCTTCTGTATCATGATGCGAGCGCCAGATTGCATGTTGAATGGAATCTCCTCCTGTCGGATTTGCGTGGTACGGATATCCAGTTGCCTTCCGCATGCAATCGAGCGAGGAAGGAAGAGAGCGCACTTAGGAGCCAATCATCTCGATGCGGAACGTATCCAGTAGGGATGGGGGACAAGAATTGTTGCCGACGGCGCCTGATGACACCCTGGGTAAACTCGAACGCGTCTCACAAGTCACGACAGCGCGTTCGGTTCACTAAAGTGTGTGCATGAGGGGAGGCGAAATACAGGCACCCGTGGAAGTTTGTTCACGATCCTGCAATGTTCGCCAAATGCTTGCTAGTCCGCAGCTGCTAATCGTGCATTGACGGACGACGATGTGGTTGCTACTGTACCATAAGCTCGGGTGGGGGCAATCGGTTGGAAAATTCAAACATGACGTTGCTGGGCATCGAAGATCCCCTTGAGTCTATAGGCATGATGTTTGATTTCCTGCGCAGTGTAAGCTGGAATGCTGTGCGAGTAAATTTCTGGCAGCAGAAGAAATATCAATCTGACCCGTCGTCGCAACATGGGTGGTCCCGGTACAAGAGACGATGAATGATGAGCCACTGTGAGGCATTGGCCACCGAGGTGCGCTATGAGCTGCAGCACTGCAACCGCAACAGGTCGGCAAAATATACTTCTCCTAGCGATGTTAAGACCTGCATGATGTGAGCAGCTTCCAGGATTTCCAGATCATCCTACAGCACAGGGCTCGCCGTGAGAAATCGATATGTCGCTAGATCGAGCATGATGACCAGGACGCAGCTCCAACCGAGCCGTCCACAGATTGCGCAGCAGAGAGGCCGCCGCGGTCGGATATGCCCGCCATTGGCCCGCATGTCGATGCTAATGACAATTTGTGGTGATCATCATATCCATGCCAATAAAATGTCATGTGAGGAGACGCGACCGAACGAGCAAGTGTAGTGCACGCATGAACACGACACGACGACGCGACAGAAGCCGGCACGGCGCAAAACGCCGCCAGTGTCTACTGGTTCGGAACAGCTTGAGGAATGGCTGGTGGACATTTGAGCAGGCTGGCTGTGTGAGCTGGCAGATGCATGCAGGCGAAGACGCGCTAATCCTTATGGGGACAGCGATGGCAGTGCCGCCGAAGGATTGAGGGCGTGGCCAAGCTTCCTTGCTTCATGCTTCAGACGTGAGAATGGAGCGATGATACCATGATAATGTTGTAGGCTGGAGTGAGTCCACTCATGAGAGGAGCAGGTGAGCTCCCGAACCGAAAGAGCGACCAGAAGCAGCGCTCCGATGGAAGATACATACGCTTTGGATCTGCCATCGCGTCACCCAAGCACGGCTCTGCATTGCGGCATGGGGCGACGGTGGTGTGATTCATCGGGCATGATCAGTAATAATCACTAAGGAAGGCTCTGCATGATGCCGTATAAGCTCCCCGACGATGTCACTGGCTCGGACATGACGACTGGTGCTCGCCTGATCGTCTCGAGCGAGTCCAGCCCGACTTGCAGCCGATGATAATCATACAGGACACGTACATAATGATAACCAGGATCTCATGAGATGGAAAAAGTCAAACACGCCTCTCACCGGGCGCGTCAGCCAGAGAAAAGGCCAAGCGGCAGCAATGGTGCAGCTCACTTGCGTCCGGGGCTCCACCCTCCGCATACGCTCAAGACCAATCGTGGCCTGCTGCTGGAGCTACAGGCGAGAAATGATGAGGCACAGCGCGTCTCACACGCAGGACCAATTCCGATCGTCTATCGCCATACATGATGCAAACAGGAATGAATTGTGCCTAGGCTCAGTGTGGACCAGTAGGTGTGACAAACGGCACCGTCACTGAGGGCATCCACCACCACTATCATCATCATTGTCATCATCCGAATGAGGCACGGTAAGGAGTATCCATGGATGCTTCCGCGATGGGGACGAAAAGGTACCCACAATACGCAGGTCGATCGGGGTGGGTACCTGGGGTATCTCCCATCCCAAAAGGTGGCCCGTTGTTGCTGCAGATTATTACCACCGAGCAGCGGTAGCCCACACTCTCTCCTGTGTTGCACCAATACCAATATTACTCCCGAAAGCCAGTCTCGCGGCAAATGAGATCTATGTAATGAGATGCAGTTAAATTGGCATTAAACCTCAAGACATAGATCAAAGAAATTTCCGAAGACACCCAAGGATATGCATGTAGGGAGAGGCCCGACGATGATGATAATAATCATCAGATGGGAGGAATGCTGATGAAGGATGCAGTGAGAGAGGTACATACAACACGTACAGTACTGGATGTACTACCATCGTATAGGATTGCTGGAGAGGAGGAGAGGGTAATTGGATAACAGTGGGCAGTTCCTATCTTCGTCGGGCGGGCCGGAAACATCCTTGTGCGTCTTAGTCTACCCCTTCCTCTGCATCCGGACTGCCGTAGCCTACAGCCCGCAGTACCAACTTTCTCTCACGGACCTGGGCAAGCAGCAAGCAGCAAGCTCGCTCGTACGCTTGCACACCTGCACACCTGCACGCACTCTCCACCACCCAGTAGTTGGTGTGGGCAGCCTCGAAATCTCACACACTACTGTCCTCGATCATCCCTCGCGGACGCTCTCGAGCACTTCCCCATCATCTCTCAACCTCTGTTTCCTCCTCCTTATCCTCTACCTCCTCCCTCTCGTCCGTCCGCCGGGTGCAATGGACTGTTAATTGAAACCGGAGCAGCATTCGCCAGAGACCGTCCGTCTTTGTCCCGCAGAAGGCACTCGCTCCCGTCCCACTCCTGGTTCTCGCACGGCCTTCACCTCTCGTCACTCGGCTCCCTCTCAACGGTATCGTCACCGACGCAGCGTCTTTTCAATCCTGAGACATTGCCCGGCCAGCACGCAGACCACTCCTCCTTCACACTTACTCTCTCTCCCTCTCACCCGCCAACTCTGTCCGTCGAACCATTGTAAAGGTCGAACTCTCCTCTTCGTTGATCGTAGAGCCTCTCGACATTCGCCTGACAATCACCTTCCCGAATCCTCGTCCGCCTACCTCACCCAACGGATCAATATCCATCTATCGAATCGTGGCCATCCCGCAGTCGACAATTGTTTTGGGCTGCTCGCAATCTGACCGCATGAGCAATATTCAAGGTAAGAAGCGATTGTTACATCCTACATTACGAGATCACGTCGATGGGAGGATACGAGGGGCACTTGAGGATTGCAAGAGAAATGAGAAGACAGCATCTCACGATAACAGGAAGGTCTGACCTGCGCTGTTGGTCAGCCATCTGCTTGCTTCACCGTGGCATTCTGGATTGTGGCTCACTAGGACGCTTCATTCCTGCTCTCTTCTGTTTGCTCTATGTACGACATGAAAGGCGACATGACACGAGACCGTTCTCTTCACGATCCCATGTGATTATAAGCGCCTTTCGAGCTGTCGTTTCTCACCAACCCATTCCGAATTGAAGGCATACAGAGCTTTGATTTCACAAGAATGGTGCTCCTGCATTTCATGCCACAACCCCTACCCAGGTCTTGTCGGAAACATGACCTATATAACATCACATGCTGAGCTTCATGATTGTTACTCATCACCTTCACCACCACCCTACCAAGACACTTCGGCCAACATTCATGTGCCACCGAATCCATACAGATTGACGTGCCCCAATACAAAGCAACATCACATGCTAACCAGCTACAGCGGCATCGTCCAGCTTCATCTCGCAAGCTGCAAATTTGCATCCTGCGCAGACACAAACCATCTCGACTTCGACATAACCCGTGGAGGCGTTGACTCGCTTTCTGCAACCGAAGGCGTTTAGAACCCGCTGAGCCTCATTCTCATGTGCTCGGACGACCTTCAAACCTCTCATCACTCATCACCAGACTCATTCCGACGGGATAATTAAGAGTCGACTTGCTCCAGGGCTTGGTTATTCCGCCCTCACATTCTTTCATTTTCTGCTTTACTGAAATTAATCACGATCCTCGACGACTCGCCTACACTTTGGCAGCACCACTCTTTTTAATTACCGGCTTCCTGAACACCGACCATTCTTTTCATCAACTGACCTTTTTTGTCAATCCTGGAGAACTGACATACAAACCTCAAAGATTCGAAACCACAGCCAACCAAAATGGCATTCCAACTCCCATCCCAACAAACGCAGCAAATGCCAACAGAAGCGCAACCTGCGAAAAACTCCGCTCCCTTCGGCTACTGTGATTCTTACTTCGTGGAGAACCACGACGATGATAACGACGGAATCTTCGCACGGGCTGCCGCCGAGCGTGAACGGAACCGCAACGTCGCCCGTATACGACAAAAGGCCCTAGCCGAGGAGCTCTCACGTTCGACTGCTGAGGAGTACCAGGACGATGTCCTCGATCATATGGAACGTATTGAAATGGAGTCCATGCCGGACATTCATTCGATTGAGATCCAGACTGAGATTCAATGGTACATGCGACCCTACCTCCTGGATTTCCTCCTCGAAGCCCACCATGCATTCGGCCTTCTCCCTGAGACCCTCCACCTAGCTTGCAATTTGCTTGATCGATACTGCTCGCGTCGAGTCGTCTACAAGCGACACTACCAACTCGTCGGCTGCGCATCGCTCCTCATCGCTGCTAAGTATGGTGACAGGAAGGAGCGTGTTCCCACCATCCGGGAGCTGAGGTCGATGTGCTGCTCCCTCTATGACGACGACATGTTCACTCAGATGGAATGGCACGTTTTGCAGACTTTGAACTGGATCATTGGACATCCGACAATCACCGGCTTCTTGCAGCTGGCCCTGACGGAAGTAGCAGCTGATCCGGAGCTTGAGCATATGTGCTGGTACCTATCCGAATTGAGCCTCTACCACAAGGAGTTCATCTCTCTCCGACCATCAGTGATGGCGCGATCGTGTCTAGCTCTTGCCCGGTGCATTCTTTCTCGTCAGCAGCCTTGCTACGGCAGCTGGTCGGCACGCTATGACGCTCAGGTGGTGATCGGCCTTTCAAACCATCTATCCCACCCTTCACAAGCACTCGTCAGGAAATTTGGCACCCCACACTTGTCATCGGTCTCGACCACCATCGATTTGTTCCTTAAGCACCAAGCCATGCTTGCTCAAAGGGCTGCGCAGGCTTCGATGAACGAAATGAACCACATGGAGATTGATCATTCGTCTATGAATGGTTACCTCACCCCTCAGACACCCCAGAAGCCAGGCTACGGCCCAGGACCCGTCGGCATGCTAACACCTCCGATCACACCAGACAAGGACTATGCCAACATGGCTATGTACAACGCACACCAGGTCCCTGTGTCACGTCTGAGTGTCGCCACGCCCACACCACCGAACGTCGATCACATGCAACACACATTCGATGCTATTCCCAACTACATCCGTCAACCGCACTATGTGCAATGAAGTCCTGCATAACGAGTCGGTCCTTGGTTCAGACTCACTGACCCGAGGCCTTCTCAGCCGGAGCTTCCCGACTCTACATCTTCCTGCTCTGTTAACAGGTCATTTCTTTTCCCTGCCAGATTGATACTTGCCAAGCATCAGCAGCAAGCGTTGCATTTTTCCAGCGTTTTCATTTGTGTATTAGAGCGTTGTCCTGTTTCCTCACTCTGCTTTTCGTCCAATGGTCTGTCCATGCATCGCCCTTGATGGGCTCCATGGACAGCGTGTACTGGATATATCATACCTCGGGAGATCCGCATAGCCGGGAAAAGGGAATTGCGCCCAGAAAGCATCAGCATAATTTGAACTTTGCTTGAGGTGTGCGCTCATCAGAGAGAGACCCCAGATTGAAATGGAAGGAGTCGACAGGCGAGAGACATTCGACCTCGATGTTCGACTTCTTCCGCTTGTCCGCAGTGGTCTGCCGTTGCGGCGAGATTGCTTTGCGTGTGCTTGCTTCGGCTGGGGCGTGCTGCACAGCCAATTTTTCTTTTCTTTTTTGTAAGTAATATTATTGCTGGCGACACAGATACCCTCGATATACATATATTGCTTCATCCGTTCTGTGCCATTGTTGACGAAATCCGAATCATACTGCACCTGAACAGTATCATGTATCATCCTTACCTTCTCAGAAGCAGCTGACTTGGAAATTACATAAAAATAGAGCACGTGCCTCTGCCCGCGAGCCGGACTGTGCTCGCCGAAAGTCTCAAGACTAGGTGCAGAACAATGCGACGGAAATTTTCTAGGGTTCATTGATGAGAACAATTTCAATATCACTTATTCACAACGAAATAGCTTGGATACATTTTGCGACGATGTCTACCTCGACTTGAACCATATCTTGAAGAGTCGCTCTCATGGACGTTCACAGAGCTCGTTTCGTTCCGTTCCCGAGCTTTGCGGTCAGTGCTGTGGCATTCTCGCGGTCTTCTGATTCGGAAGACGAAGTCCAGCCGGATCTCAAGTTAGCGATTGGGCGACAAGATGGCTCAATAGAAATATGGAACCCTATATCTGGACGCTGGACACAAGAAATTGTACTACATGGGGACGATAGCAAAAGCGTGGACGGTCTGGTATGGATCCGGGGTGAGGACGAATCAAGAGATGGCATCGTCACATTGGGCCAACAACGGCTGTTCAGCATTTCCGGTTCGCCTGCGGTGACGGAATGGGATCTTACTCGAGCTGCGCCCAAAAAGCCATCTTCTGGCAACTTCAGCGAAGTATGGTGCTTCGCAGCTCAACCTCGCGCCTCGGCCGACGGTGGAAACGGCGAGGTAGCTGAATCGCAAGATTTGGTCGCTGGCTGCGCAGACGGAACGCTGGTCATCCTCTCAACCAAAGATGACGACCTCCAATTTCAGCGAGTACTCGCTCGTGTGAGCGGCAAGAAGACTCGTTGTTTGAGCGTCACTTATCAGCATCGGGATCGAGTTGTAGCAGGATTCACAGATGGCACTTTGAGAATCTATGACGCAAAGAAGGACACCTGCCTCCGCACAATGAGCTTAGGTGCGAGCCTGCCTGGTTCGCCCAAAAACATCTACGTGTGGCAAGTCAAGTGCCTGCCTACTGGCGATGTGGTCACCGGGGACTCGAGTGGCAACATTACCATCTGGAATGGGCGATCATATTCAATCTCTCAACGAATAACGGCACATGATACCGATTGCTTGGACATTGTCACCAGTTCAGATGGCAAATCAATATACTCAGGGAGCATCGAAGGTCGTGTCGCTGTGATAAGAAATTCTCCGAGCCTGTCGGGCAAGAATATGTGGACCAAGCAAAGTCATCGCAAGATACACGACGGCGATGTGAAGTGCATGACGGCGTTCGATGCAAAAGACATGAGCGTCATCGTCTCTGGAGGAAGCGACATGAAAGCTATTGTGACGCCTCTACGAGACTACGGTAGAGCCTCTAGTCATGCATTGCCGCATTTGCCACAGCGACCATCAGTGACAAGCGCGCGTCATGCTCGGTTGCTTGTGAGCTGGTGGGACAAGACTGTCAGCATCTGGCGCATGAGCCGCAAACCAGGATTGGAGCTAGATCCACAGCCTCCTCGCAAGCTCGTTGCCAAACTAACACTTGACACGAAAGCCGACATTGAAAGTGTCTGCATCACTGAGGATGGAAGGCTTCTGGCTGTTGCTACACGTGCTGAAGTCAAAGTTTTTCAGCTGAGAAAGAGACTCGACGATGCTGGACTCGCAATCCGCAAGGTTGATTTACCTCGTGATCTCGCATCACTGTCTTCGCATGTCGTCGCTTTCTCTCCTGATGGCAAATGGCTCGCGGCTGTTTCCGATTCCAACGACCTGCAAGTAGCTCGCATCGTTAATGATGCATCCAACTCGAAACGATTGCAAGTTCTGGATCAGGTCGTCGAACTAGAGAGACGCATGCAACCGGCGACCCAATCAAGAGGTTTTAACCAATACGATCGCACAGTAGTGCGTATAACATTCTCATCCGATAGCAACATTCTCGCAACAGCTGATTTAGCTGGATATATTGATTCATGGACGCTCGAAGGCCACGAAGATGCCGCAGCGCCGGCAGTAGGTAGCCTTGTAAGCAACAGCACGACAAAAGCTTCAGAGGAGTCCGATTCGGATAGCTCGGACGACGATGATGAGCCCGTTATCTTTTATGGTCAACATTGGATGGAAAATCCTCGGGGGCATTTGTTACCAAAGCTGGAGTCAGTGCCTCTAGTCTTCACTTTCCGCCCTCAGGTTCAATCGAAACTTGCAAATGGACAAGTAAATGGCGATGTCCACCATGGGTCGAACGGCCACTCATCTCATCAACTCACTCGTGATCCACAGCATCTCTTTGTCATGACAGCCAAGCACCAGATTCACGAATTTGACGTAGTAGCTGGTCACTCCAGCAGCTGGGGTCGCCGCAACCACGCAAGTATGCTTCCGACCGAATTCCGCAAACAACGCGATCGCGTCATGGGCTCACTATGGGATGTGACTCGAGACCACCAGCGATTATGGTTGTATGGCAATTCCTGGATGCTCATGCTCAATGTCGCGGGCGACCTCGCAACGCCCACTCTCGCGACCAAGTTCGATCTGCCATCGCACAATGTGTCCACCAGCAAGAGGCGCCCTAGCGGACGAGAAGATGCACCTGGGACCATCACAATCACCGCTGAATTTGAAGACACACCCAACAAACGTCGCCGCGTCGATGGCCCTTCCCGCCAGCCAGCCTATCGCGAGGGGCTCGCCGGCACAGCGAAACGATATGAAAAGGGCAATGTCACCACTTTCGACCTCGATGCTCGCGGAACTGCCGCTGCGCATGGTGGGCCCGATGAGGACGAAGAGGACGAGGCGGCCGGCGCCTTTGTTCGGGCGGCACAACTGCGCCGCGCGCAGCAAGAACCAAACGTCGACCGGGACCAGGACGACGACGAGGATGCGGACGATCACGATCAGGACGAGAATCACGTCAATGGCGATGGGCCACAGTCACGTGGCGCGCTCGTTAGCGTCGATCCATCCGCGCAGCAAGCGACATCCGATTGTCGGTTCTGGCATACGACTCGGTACCGGTCGATCCTCGGCGTCGTGCCTCTGGGCGACTTCGGCGTCGATGAAGCGGATGGAAGCATCGCCCAAGCGGGAGCTCTGGTAGGTGGAGACGAGGGTGTGCTCGAGGCGGTGGTGGTCGAGCGGCCGTTGGAGACGGTCCCGTAAGCTGATGGTCAACGGCTCTGGAGGAAGGGGGTATGGGTGAGAGACTCTGAAAAGAGCTGCTGAATGCTGATGCGAGCACCAATGTATGAGAAAACATGTACCATTCTGCTCGTCACTTCTGGCGATCATATCTTTGAGAGCGAGCTTCGCGTGGATTGCCCGGCGCATAGAAGAGGAGAACATCGATGAAGAGATGAAGAATGATTTTGATTGCTTTCCCGAAGTCATAAAAAATAGGCAAACGCCGTCGCTAAGTGCTAATCATGATGAGGTACCACACGAATAAAAATGACCAAATCCCCGACCAAGCTCAAGCTGTACGCTATGTCGCTGCTCTTTCTCACATCAAATGGGTATCCTCTCTACACACACACATGACATCCCTCATCTAAAGCTCAAGTCGGACAGCCCCGCTCACGGCTTAATGCGATCGGTACGGCTCATAGCTGGGGTTCGCCGCATGGGTGGGTTGCCAATTAGGCTGGGCGTAATGGCGAGCGGGCTGCGGCGAGGCACCGCCCATGGGCTGCGGGTAGCTCTGGAGCGGGACATGCTCGCTGGAGGCGTTGCCGAGATAGGGGCTGGCGACGCGCTGGTAGGAGCCGGAGCCGAGCTTCTCGGTGCCGCGGTAGCGGGCGGCGACGGCGCGCTCGTCGTCCTCGACCCACATGCCGCCCTTGTTGCTGCGGTGGTGCGGGTTGCTGCGGCCCGAGCAGCAGCAGATGCTGAACATCCAGAACAGCGTCGCGATCCAGATGAAGACGACGGCGAGCCAGGTCAGGGCGAGGGCGCGGCCGTTGAGGTCGAATTCGACACCGTAGGGGTTCAAGATGATCTTGAGGGCGCCGACGAGGGCGGCGAAAAGGAGGGTGCTGGAGAGGACGGCGCCGAAGGTGAAGATGGAGGAGAGCTATAAAGGGATACGAGGTCAGTGTTGATGTTCCTTGTGGGAATGTGTGTGATCGATGGGGAGAGGGGGTCAACTTACGACTGCGAAGATCCAGGTGAGCAAGCTACCCCATCGGCTGCAGATGGCAATCAGGCCGGCAGCGATGGTCACGGCGGTACACCAGAAAGCGACCTGGTAGGCGATAAACATCCACTTTGCCACAGTTCGGTATGCCTCCAAGGTCTTCTCGCCAGCATCACCAAGTAGCTTCTTCTCAAACTCCGCCGTCTTGTTCTTGTAGCTGTTGATGACCTTCTGCACGTCGTTGTTGCCAATAGGGGCTTGAGAGCCGGTGGTGGAGTTGGTCGCATTGAGCTGCCAGACATCGAGAGGGTCGAAGATGAAGCCCATCTGCTTCTCGGTACAGAAATCGGTATTGCCATCTGGGTTGCTGGCCTTGTCACCCTTGGAGGCAGTGCAGTAATTCCACAAGTGAATCTGGTAGAGCGGCGCAATGACCTTCTTCTCTTTGGCGTAGGTCAAGGCGGCAGTCAACTCGGTCGAATTGGCCAGCTTGGATGCTTTGGCGATGTCGAGGTTGGTGAAATTGGCCTGGGCGAAGTAGTATCCGTTCAGGTTGGGTGACGACCAGCCGGATAATTGGATGAGGATCAAGCAGACGAATGACGCAAGGGTGAATAGCATCGGCGTGAAGATACACGCGACACGTCCGGCGGCGGGCATGATTGCAGGTGGTGGTGGTGGTACCGACCAAGGAATGCGACTCGGTTGACGGAAGTGATTCTTGTCGCAAACGTCGTGTGACGAGAGGTGGGCTGCGTCAACAGGGAGTGAGTGCCCAGGTAAGATTGCAGTCCGATAGACTTTGGCCCTGAAAGCCGTTGGCAGCTAGTCGGAGATCTAGTCGTTAAGTCCGTATGAAGTCGTGAATTCGTGATGAAGTTCGATAGAACAACAGCAATGTCGACGAAGGTGATCGGACGTCGAGGTTGTTCGTCAAATTGATGTCGAGGGTGGATAAGGCAAGGGAGAAGAATAAAGAGGCCGGGTCAAGTAGAGCCAAGATGATCGGCCAGATATATGTTGGAGGATGCGACGATGGCGGAGGAGCGAACGTCTAGCCACCACCGAACGGACCACGAGAATGCGGCGTCGAGATGAAAAGATTCCAAAAATGGCCCAACACAGCCTGTGTGTTGTACGTGCCGCGAAGGTGCAGGAGGATGGCGGTGGGGTTGAACGGGTCGTGATGGACGAGTGCGTGGTGGTTGGGTGATAGCAATTGGCTTCCCGTTTCAAAAGTCAAGAGGCACAGTTCAATCGATGGATGGATGGATGGATGGAGGAGGGATCCTTGCGGGAGGTGTTGTGACAACGATGATAATTTAACAGGCGGCTTCGGGTCGCAGCAAACTATCGGGCGGTGATATCCTGTGTTGAATGTGCGCGAAGAGAATACTATTATCTATTTATTGATTTATTAATCATTTACTAGCTGTCAGGATATTTCGAAGGTGGCAGTGGATCGTCAAACAAGCGGAGGCAAAGGCAGAAGAAAACGAGGCTGTCGTGCCCGGGCTGCTGCGCCTCTGCCACGACACACGCCTCGATATGCACGACGTTGCACCGGCCGCAACGCACAACCAACAGAGGCGAAGGGAACGGGTCACAACTAATGTATGTCTTTCTTTCTCTATCTCTTGAATCCATATGCACTACGAGACCAACGGAAGCCTTTGGAGAACACTGGGCGAACTACTGTAGCGGACTGCATTTCGCATGCAGTGGACAGAAACCAGAACACCTGCAGTTTCCAGTATTTCCATCACATACAGTCGGTCAACAGCTGCCTACCTCTGGGTACTGTACTGCTCGTAGGTCGGGGAACATGTCAACAGCATAATCGCTCATGCACCTCCAGCATCCCTATCCCTACCCAGCCGTCGGTCGTCGGCCGGCAGCCTTACCTTACCGACCCAGGGTTTTCGGTCCATGTCAGATCTTTTACAGCTCTTCGTTCAGTTCTCGGTTCATGCCCAGTCGTAGATTCATCATCAATTACGACAGCAGACCACGAGAGATGCTCAAAGGTGTGTCCCATGGGTATGGACGGGCCTCTGCATCTCGACTGCACATTGCCTGTATTGGATCGTCGTAACGAGTGGCAGACTGGTCCCCATGATGTGCCTTTGCATGTCCTCATATTGTTCTGTCTCTCGGGTTGAGAATGATTTACGCCGCAGACGTGCAGGTGGTAACATAGCGCATCTCCGAGCAAAGGCCATGCGCCGAACATCTGACTGAAACGAACGCAGATCTGAACGAGAAATCCCCCATCATGAATATTGGGCAAAACCATGGCAGCGCTGGAGATGCCCAGATAAAAGGTGGACATGCGGAAAGTCTCCGGCATGTCCCTTCACTATTAATAGCTCAATGCGACGAACTGCGCCGCCCGCTGACCGGTCCTTGAGTCCGCATCAGACCTAAACGGGCTTAGCTCGAGGTTTCAGATTCAGCCCCTCCGCCAGAGATGAAGCGATTGCCAACCCTAGCAAGCATCGGGGAAGCACGCAATCCGCCTTGCACGTGAGACACCCCCAGGCTTGAACCACGTCCCTCAAGTCCCTGCTCAAGTGACCTCGGATGTCATAGGACGCGTGGCCCGGTCAGTCAGGCTTGACTTGGCGCTTTCCCGATCTGGTCTGCGCGCGAATTATTAGGGTTGTGCTTGGGGCTATATGTTCCCCTGGTATATCGACAACAAATCTTGATATTGGAGATGGACATGGAGAGGAGATGGACTTCGTTTGAGCCGTCAAGTCTCGGTTGCAACTCGACTGATCAGGGGCATTCGACAAATGTGACCGAAAATTCGGCCTGGGTATTGGTCGGACGTATCTTGCCATATCATGGTGAGTAGTGTATTGTCACTGGATGTATCGTTGGCAAGCAAGCGATTCATGTTGTGTCAGTCACATGCAAATGAACAGTCATAAGGCGCAAATACGACAGACAGGAGCGAACAACTTTCAATTCTGATCAAGTATCATTCTAGACGATGCGCCATACCCAAGCGATGCAACGGGAACGGATTTCCGCGCGGCCCAGTTAACACCGCCGTGTCCCAGAACTCGCCACTGTAAAGAGGTACATGAAAGATTCAAAGAAAAACTCCCGCAGCAAGATATATGGACGCCAGTCTGTGGTCAATGCCGCCAAATTTGCTCCCGCCATCGTGTTCATATCCTGCCATTACCCATCGAACACATCGCTGAGCCCACGATATGATCTCATCCGAGCATCTATAATGCGATGAAATCCCCTTGATCGACGGTAGGTGAGCCACCGTTGATCCACAATTTAGGAAAAGCCTCATCGAGAGGCAAAGTAACAGAGAAGAAAAAGAGGAAAGCCGACGTCTAGTCAAGTCCCCAACGAGAGGAGGAAGAGTTCGTACAAAAAAAAAGACGCAGGAGATGAGGTTGAGTGTAGCTCAACACATGAAGTATTGTTGTTGTGGTTGTCGTCGTCGTCGAAGACGAAGTGAGCATGGATCGTCCTTGCTCAGACGTCCCGACAACGGTTGTACGTGCGGCGGAGGTGACCGCAGAGGTGAAGTGAATGATGGTCTCGCGCCACTGCCGACAACAGCGGCACGCGGTACAGTGGAAGCAACGACTGACGATTGTGCTGAAGTACCGCCGTGCGTAAAGCTTATGTTGATTGTGGTGAGCCTCAACGGAACCTGATGCCGATAACGTTGAGTCTGTGCGTCAAATCGGTCCGGCACTGCATGGAACGTGCAGAACGGATTGCTCTTGGTGGATGCCGTTTTCCCGGTATGCGTCGGGATGATCGGTGAACACAAGAGGATGCAATGAAGTGAATCGAGTCGTGGTGAAATCACCGCTGATGCCAATGTCAGTCTTGTGGGGGCTGCTGCTGTTGCTGCTGTTGCTGCTGCGCGACGTATGCCCTGCGAGCGTCGATTCCACCCTGGCGGCGCTCCGCAGCTTTCTGCGCGTCTGCATCGACGCGGGTGTTGGTAGCGACGACACCTTCCATGGGAGAGGCGCCAGGCGTGTACGCGGCCGTTGAGATTCGGGCCACGTTCCGCGCCAGCGTCTCAATGATGATCTTGCGCAGCTCGGCATCCTCGCGCATCTCCTCGGCATTGAGACGGAAGCGATCCTGCTTGTCGAGGTCGCGACGGCGCAGGGCCTTGATCTCAGCAAGAATGTGCTGCAATTGAGCTTCAGTCGAGCGTTGTCGTGGAAGGGCGTGCGCAATCGGATCCCGAACGTAACGGCGGGTGACATCCTGACAGCCGTCGGCCGAGAAAGCAATACAATATGCGATCTGTCGTTTCCAGCCTATCATCGAGAAAATAATAGTCAGCATGACCGCGACAAAGTATAAAGTCAACGTGGTGTAACACATGAGACGAGACGTACCTTCAGTGTAGAGCAGGGGCTGATCCCACACACCCTCGCAACAGTCCACATGGACCCATCGCTTGCGATGAGTACTGTAAACCTCCGTCCAGACGTGATCTTCAGAGTTCCAAACCCATCGCACCCGACTGCCGATCGCACGGCAAAGCATGCTGAAGCAATTTGCCCATTCACCCACCCGGCCTCGTCGAGTCTGCAGCAGAACGAAGGCATCGTTGTAACGGGGAAATCGCTCAAAGGACTGGCACAACTGATTGCTGCACTGGTATAGCTCGACTCGGTTGGCACCACGGGCAGATTCGTCAGGCAATGGGGCCACCATTCCCTGCGCGATTGTGACGGACCGGCAGGTTGCGCATTTGGGATTGTCCACCCACTCGAAGAACTCCGCCTTGAACCACTTCATCAGCGCTCGAACCACACAATCTTGGTAACCCCAGGCCGCGCGAATGTTGTCTCCGAGGGACGCGGCCTCTGCGAGGTAAGTGTCTGCCTCCTCCTGCGCCTCATCGTAGATACGCTGCAACGGCAGAGTGCGCATTGCCTCGTCCAGAAGTCCCGGATTCTCCCATTTGGTAGGAATGTTCGACAGCGACATCAACAAGCTACGGAATCGAATCGACTTGTTGTCGTCAGGCGCGGTAGGAACCATAGGCATGTGTCGCAATGAAGAATATGAGGGCGGTGGCGGCGTCGAAGTCGCAACCGCAGTGATGGCATGCGGAATTGGCGTCTTTGAATCATCTCGTGGAGGGAGCGCTGGCGGGCCCTGTGGTAGCGGCTGCTGAGTGGATAGATCTGACGTCGTAGGCCGTGACGTGGTTGATGATTGATTCGGACGAACGACGAGCTCAGCCGGCCTTCGTCGAGAATTCTTCCTCAAAGATCCAGGACGCCCGCTCAGCTCATTCATGCGCTTTGTCGATAGAGTGCGTCGGAATTGAGCAGTGAGATCTGCTGCCCATCCGTCCGGTAATGGCTGTGCTGATCGAGGGACTGGCTTTCGGCGTGGCACTCCATTGTTGGAGTCAGCCATGTTTGCAGATGACTGAGGGCAATGCCCTTTGCGACGTCGACTTCGGATATGATGCGAATCTCCTTGCTGTTCAGTAGGATGTTTGTCCTGGGTTGTCGGATTGCTGAGAGAGGGAAATCGAAAACGGCGGGAGTGATGAATGTGAACGTCCTACCAAGCCCTGCACTGCCACGACACAGCGCGCGGTGACGTTTGGCGCGGAGAATGCACCTGAGACAAGACTCGAATGAAGAGACTCTGGAAGTTGTATATCGCTGCGCGGTGGGTTCCAACGTTCAGACGGTGACTTGCCAGCCGATGGTATATGCGAGAGAGGGAACAGGGAATGTTTCAACGGATAATTTGCAGTCGTGGTGGTATGGTGAATGGGTCTAGGCGATGTTCTCTGGTGAGGGAATAGAATAGCGGGCAAGCGATAGAGGCAGTGGGCTCGTTCCGCCGCTGTACATACGGTCCTGGACTATGCTGTACTCCTCCAGGGCTCTTGCCAAGCCGAGAATCGTCAGCAAAAACAGCCCTGGACGTGCCAAACGTGTGAGATCCTGGCCGCGTAACCTCTAATTTAGGAGGCGATCGATTCGTGGACGCGCGTCAGCCCTCCCTCACTTTCCTCCTACCTCCCCCAAGCAGCCAGGGACCCACCTCCTTCTCCCATAGCACACTGCACTCCAGCTTCTCGACATACTGACATCTCCGCCCATTGTTGTAGAAATTTTCCCTCGAATCACGAATTTCCACTAATTCAAAGACGCATTCAACGGCTAAAATACAAATCAGAACGTGCTCCTTACTGTGCGAAGGTCTGCAATGTTTTGCGTTTGTCCTGGTCGCAAGGTTTGACGGCATCGTCTTCCAGATCTCTTCCGACTAGCCTAGAGCGAGATCTCCAAGACCCTGCCTGATGTAAATGCTCTGTTCGACTGCAATTGAACTCAAGTACCCACTGGATCTGACCCGTGCGATGTGCAGTGGTCCCTAGATTCGCCGCAGCACGCGCAGGTACAGAGAGTCGTCGTGGTCCAACTGTGACTGCTGATCGCCCTCGGTATCATGTGCAGTGCGTGACTGGCTCTAGAATCCGGCTGTTGCCAACGTGCCCGGGCCAGGTCGGAGAAGGTCTGTCCTCAAAGATGTTATCGCCCATGGCCGTGGTTAGGATGAACGCGCAATCATGGCCGCTCGATCGATATCATCTCACTAGGGTGCTGTAGCGAAGTTTTCGGTTTCGATGTGACCGCCGCGCATCTGGTGAGCTTGGTATCCATTTGCGATGTCTGCGCCGAACGGACGGTTACGCAAGCTTGATGACGAATATCTCGGGGGAAGGCTTGAATCCTGCTCCGGGTAAAAATCAATGGAGTGCCGCTATTCGGGGTAACACTCTGTGTGCCCACCCACCTGGGCACATGGGTAGATATGTACAAGACAGTACAACACAATACCAGCGCCATATATTCACGCCGGTGATTCAATGCAACGTTATCTCTGCCGGGTTTGGGACCGCCGTACTTCATACCATACTTCTATATGCATCACACGAATCGCTGTCATGGATCCGCTCGCTCGAACACGATGATCATCATCGCTTGATGATCGTCGTTGGGTTGGCCGTAAAGCTGCCGGCTATCCGAGAAGTGCCCATTCTTCATCATGCCATCGTCAAGAGGTCTGCACTGTATGAGGAGTGTAGCGGTGCGTAGCATTTTCGTTCAGTGCGTGTCATCAGGATCAGAGATGCATTGTCACGAGGAACGGCGTCCTGTCAGTCTCGAGCTTTTCCTACGCGCGGCCAGCACGTGCTACGGTCCACGCCGGATTTTGTTTTCCGTGCCTGCGAGGATGCTTCGCCATCGTTGAATAATATAAATTGAAGGGAAGTACTACATGAGTGATCAAGGTGACGAGATCTCTATCAATGGCGGATGCGTAAAACGCTTGCACATCTGGGCAAGCTTGGCTCATCGTTCGACGAACTCTATCACAGGGGAACTAAGTTCTCGAGAGACGGACCATTATGACCGACGCAAACACGGTGCCAGCTTGACGCTGTACAGAGGACTCTCATCTTCAACTTCACCATCGGCTATGTCTGCCCATGCGGGCATTAAACATATTCTCCGAGTGGTGTCATGCTCCATCTCTTGGGCCACACTGCCCGTGTTCCTCGGTGATCATCCAACGTTTCCCGGGACCGGTGTGCCTGTCCGCGTGTACCCTTCTCACTTCCGAGCGTACGTTACTCTTGATGTCGTTGCCCAGACTCTCAACGTTCAGATGATGGAAAGTTCCCGTTTGTGCAGTAGCATGAAATTGAATCCTGTAAGACTCCCAGAATTCAGACCATTGCATAATGACAAATGCCACAACGTTTGCTTGACACTAACGCGTGCGTGTTCACCTTCGTGCCAAGCTATCAAGTGATTGCAAGCTCGTCGTCGTGTGATAGTTTCGTTGCGATGATTAATGGTGATGTCCCCGACATCGAAGCCTCCCGTGAAGGATGCCGCTTCTTGTCAATGACCACACCTCCCTTCGTGACTCGCTTGTTTGGTGATTGCCCCTCATTGCTGATGACGATAGATATGCGCCGCGCGTCTTCGACACCGCCTTGGACACACTCGACTATGTGACCTCAGAAGACTCCTCCTGGCGACTTTCCTCGATCCTTTCCGGATTCCCGAAGCTGGAACATGTCGCGGCCTGTGCAATCACGCTGAAAATTGATCCGACACTCATTCCCAGAACGCCATCGCCATAAATCATAAGATTGTTGTAACATTACGCCCATCCAGCACTTCCAGTCCAGAACCTCTCTCCCTTGTTTGCGTTGAACTGCCAGCTTACTGACTAGAGTAATTCTTCGCACGTCCAGTCCTCGTAAAAGCCGTCGGGCAGGTAACGCCTGATGACTAGAGGAATCTTCTTTTCGCGCAGTTCTTTGAGCGCGATTTGCAAGGGATCCGTCTCCGATTCGACGTCAACAAGCACAGGAGCGCCCATGCTACGTGATCGTTAGCATACTCCATAATTGGGGCCTCCATAGACCGAACCTCCGTACCTTATCTGCAATGCTCGCGTGCCCAAGACACGAGCCCGCTCGTACTTGGTCATGTATGGTGTTGTGATTCTGTTTTCTGATGCAATCTTCTTGCTCTTGACTCCTTTCACTGTATTCAGTCCGGGCTCCCCACTGGTGACGACATTGTTCTGAGCGTGCTCGTTGTAGTCCGTTGCATCGGTGTGAAGATTTCCATTTGCCTGGTTTGCATCGCCTTCCGCGACTAGATGTCAAGGTGTTAAAAAGTCCATGATTGCTGAATGGTCTCAAATGCGCCCCCTTCAGTGCTCACCTGCGTCTTCGTAGTTCTCCTCGTAGTCCGCTTCATCTACGAGATTGCCCTCGTCATATCTGCAGCGCACCCAATCTGGTCAGTGTCTTGAACCAAGGACTGAGCCTTCAACGCGACCAATGTCACTAACTCTCCGGCTCCGTAATCCTGCATATCATCGTCACCACCGCCATAGTCGGACATTTTGCGCTACAGTGGATGAAGAAACGTAATTTGAGAAATTCTCTGTAGTGAGTATAAGTTGATCGCGTCTCGGAGTATGCTGAGCTCGTCGTTGCGCGATAGATCCCTGGGGCACTGTATCGTCAATTCGCAGCGATGAAAAGGAAGACGCGACAAGCTGCAAATTTTGGATGCTGCTCGAGTTTGAGCCATACCACAAGCCACACATCCATATGGCACGAACTCGGGTGGCTGTGCTTGCCCTATTTGAGCGCGTCAGGGTCGTAGCCGCAGGTGCTTCTCCATGTGTGTGCCAAGATTTCACGGATTTTGTGATAGCCCTGAGCGCGATAAGACAGTTGAGAAATATTTCTGACACCCGTGGACCTGAAAGTTCGAAGCAAGCAACCAGCAGCGTCAAGATGTCGACGTATGCGAGGACTAAGCGGAAGGCTTCCTTTGATAATGACAGTAATCAGAATTTCAACTGGGGATCTTCGCCTGCGAGGTCTAAAAAAGCACGACTTGAAGACGACGACAGCCAATCCGATTATGCCAGTTCTACAGCTCCGACGTTTTCCATGACCGATCGCTTCACCCTTGCAGGCACACAGACGCCGCTCACCGAGTCTTCCATTTCACGCCGCAAAACAAAACCTCGCGAGAAGAGGTTCGCCTGTTCCTGGACCGGATGTGGGAAAGTCTTCGACAGGCCAATCCGCCTGCAAGCGCATTTCAATACACATACAGGCGAGCGGCCTCACCCATGCCCACATGACGGTTGCGATAAAGCGTTCTTCAAATCTAGCCATTTGAAGGCCCATATCTCGGAAAAACATAATGCAGATCGAAGTTATGTCTGCAGCTTCGCAGTCTACGGAAGAGATGGAGAGCTAGTGGCTTGCGGGCGTGCCTTTCCCACCAGCACGAAGCTTAATAGACACATTGCGCAGCATGAAGACAGGGAAGAGACAACATGTAGCTGGGCGGGCTGCGGACAAGTGTTTCGGAAGCAAGAGACGCTGCAGCGACACATCAAAAAGGATCATCTACACGAGTTGCCCTACCTTTGCACTCACGAAACTGCCGATGAAGGTGCATGCGGACAATCATTCAGAACCCCCGGTCTTCTTAAATCTCATGTAGCGCACGACCATCGTGCGAGAAAGTACATTTGTGAGATTTGCACTGCTGTCGGTTCTGCAGATACTGTGCCTGAGGAAATCGCTGTCGCAAACGATCTAGACGACGCCTTTCTACCTCAACAAGCTGACGAAAAGATGGATGGAAATGGTATCACAGCACGATCGTATCCTTCCGAAGAGAAAGCAAAGGGCTCGGGAGATCTTTCTGCGGTGACTTTTGCGACGTTTGCAGATCTCCAGCTACACAACCGGATCGTACACCCTCCTACTTGTACAGAATGTGGCAAGCAATGTAAAAGCAACAAGGATTTGAAAGCTCACATTGAAATTTATCACGCCCCATTGGCAACAAGTACGACAGACGTTCAAGTCAAAGATCTTCTCTGCCCGATAGTCGGGTGCCCGCGAGCCGTGCCTGGCCACGGTTTCACCCGGAAAGGTAACTTGGATGTCCACGTCAAGAATGTACACGCGGGCGAGAAGGCGTTCGTCTGCGGCACCCACGACCTCTCGAACACTCCCAAGGTGGCTGGATGGAACGGCATCGGATGCCAGCTGGCCCTAGGAACCAAACAAGCATTGGTTGCACATGTTCGGACGCAGCATCTCGGCCTGGATGCTGCAACTGGCGTCAAGACCGGCCTGCAAAAGAGCGACAATTCCAAGAAAGGCCGACCTCGTAAATTGCCTGGCGACGAATCGGGCTCAACAGCAATGGACGTTGATAACCAAGCGTCACTCCCCCACCGCTCCTCTGCGCCACAGGTCAGTACTACCATGGCCATGTTGACCGGAGCCGGTTACGAAGTTCTACGACCGATCCCTTGTCTCGTGGCTGCGTCACGGCAGTGTCAAATGCGCTTCACCCGGGAGTGTGATCTCGCGGTGCACATGGAGTTGACGCATGGTTGGCAAGTGGATGATATCGAGGAGGCATTGGCTGGCGGCGCGACTGCACTAGCTGCGGCTGCGCAAGTAACCCGTGACATGTCGGTCACGTCGGACCATATCATGGTTGACGCACCAATGCAGGAATATGAATTCGTCCATGTTTTGGACCCGCAGCTCGAAGCGGCCTGATTTCAGGTCATGTATAAGATCATGATGATTATGAAGGATAGAAACGAAGAACAATGGGAAATGTTGGAAGTATGACCGGGATAATCTTCCTGGCCTCTGTATTTCGTGATCTCATCGGGTACTTTGTCATCCAGTCCCTTTCTATGTCTATATATTGTGCATGGCGGGAGACTTTCGTGTCAACGTTGTATCGTGAAAAGTCCACACGTGAGTGAACGACAGGAATGAAAACAACCATGTAGAAACTCGTGGGCGAGTGGACTCCAGCCACTCATCTTCCCAAACGCCCGCTAGAAGCTCGAAAACCACAGAGACCGAGAACTAAGGGAGCAGCAACAAACACGATTCGCGTAGGTTCATGGTCGGTAGTCAGCCTTCAAATGGATGAACTCCTCGAATGGAATGCCACGCATGCGCATTTCCGTGCTACCGGGGTAGGCCGGTTCGTAGACAGCCGGCTCGAATGAGTTCTCGCCGTAAACTGAAATGAGGCGGCGCCAGTAGCATGAAGTCGCTGTCGGAGCTAGATATCGCTCGCGGAAGATACGTACTGACTCATCAGCAACACGTTGGGCATCCTGTGGTCGCGCGAGGTACCACTGCACAGTTTCCGAAAGGTCAGACCAGTCGCGGCGTACCGCGACGTAGTTCTGCTGCGGACCATCGGCGGTCAGGAGATGGGTGTAGTGGGTACGCCATTCAAGATCATGAATGACGGGCAGACTGCCACAGTTGAGCAGGAATGTGAGACGGCTTGAGTAGCTTCGGCCTTCAGTATGCAGGATAGCAGCGTAGCGGCAGAGCTCCTCGATGCTGAGTTGATCGTCCTTCGAATCGTCATCGACGACAGCGGTATCAGCCCAGGTTTGATCGTTGGTCGCGGCAAGAAGAGATTTACGGATGGGCTCATTGCTCCACGTCACGCCTCGCCAAACGGCCTGTTGCCTCTTATCTGTGATTGGAGCATCCGCAGCAGCAGCACGTCGCTGAATGTCTGTAAAAGCACCCGCAGGAAGGGTCGAACTATGCAGGTTGAAGTCTGGGATAAGCCAATGTCGCTCATGTGCAGAATCATTGATCCGAGAGGCCAGAGTCCAAACAGTGTGATTCGTATCTTGGGGAATAAAAGAAATGTCATCCAGAACAATGGCCGCCTCGACATTAGGCAAGCGTTCACCACGTGCAGTTGCTGCCCACAACGCATGCTGAATCTGGCTGAGAGTGGCGAGTGTTCGCGGCCGATATGCATCATCTCGGAACGTGTTGCATGTTTCAAGGATACGGAGTTCATTATCCATGATTAGTATTTTGAGGGCGCCCGATGAACGCCAGCTGAGATCTACATCCTCGAAGCCAATCTTGTGGTTGCGGTCCTGCCAGAATGAGCTGGCTCGAACGAGTTCATGATATAGATTGGGATACTCTTGCTGACACTGGTCTGTGGAAAGCATGAGGTTGTCATTGATATTCTGACCGCTCACCACCGAGCGAGCGGCAAAAGTGGGCGTTTCGAAAGTCTCAACTCGCGGACCATCACGAGAGATGATGTATGCCAGTTGAAAAAATGATAGAGCCGCCAAGGCTATGGTAGCTCTCCTCCAGGAGATGCTTGCTCCCGACCCTCCTCGGTATAGTGCTGGCATTGTGGCATTCATTCAGCCAACGAGCGTCTGTAAGCAACTGTCACGAGCTCATCTCGAACCAAGGCTTTTGCGGGCAGAACAAAATTTGGTATAGATTGCACTCAAGATCAATCTTGGTAGGACTAGCGATGAGGTCGGCGAATGCGGAAGAGCTCAACGGACGAGAACGATAGCGAAATGATTTATTGGGAAATGTTACCGTGACCGGAAGAGACGGATAGATTGGACACCTGATCCGGCTGGATTATGCAGTGGAGTAGTACCACGTTGCCGCTCTTTCCGGCGAGCTGTATCCATCAGTGCATTGACGTTGGGTCAAGTACCGCGCGTATCAGGAACGTGAAGCACAACTCGGATCGTTGATTGAAAGCGAAGAATTTCCCGGTCAGACCCATCACTTGTACATTGCTATCGCAAGTGGCACATTCGAAGCAGTCGGCTGGAATATCGTGAAGTCAAGGCAGTGGGGCAGGACGAAACCTTGGAAGCGGAAAGGGAAAAGCACCCACACGGAAATAGCAGATCATCAGCTTCGATGTGTACCTACTAGGTAATGCTGACAAGACGACGGTGAACTCAATGATAGCCAGCATGTCCTTCCAGGAACTACATACCTAGGTACCTAGGTAGTGTGGTATCACCACCATCGGAGCCGGAGGACACGAATAGTAACAGATGTTGTGAGTTCTTGCCGCCGCATGGCATTATTAGAGTTTCGCTCGCTTCAAGACCGTTGTGTCTTTCTCGGACCAGCGTTTTACACGTGTGTGTGGCTGAGAGAAGCGCCGGGTGCGCCATTTCGGCCTAGGAATTGTCACTCACCACATTCTTCTCGCACTCCAAGGTTCTCATTAACTTTTCATCATTATATTCTGTCAGGTAACCATACTGCGGCAGAAGAACGGGTCATGTCCTCAGAGCATTTGCTTAAGTATCTGGGCTAGAGACGTGTTGTTCTGCAGACCTCACAGAAATCGTACGAACACGCTCGAGCAGATCACACTGACGCTCTCCTAGACGAACTCACCTTCTCAATGCACAAACACGGAAAAGGCCTGGATTTGGGCTGCAAACATTCTCAAAGAACACTTTTCCACGTCCGCATGTACTTCTCTGTCCGTCCTGGTCGATCCCGCGCGGCAACCGCCGCCTTAAAACCCTTCGATTGCGCCAAGGTCTGGAAACCAATGCCTGCGGGCGAATTCCGCGTGATACCATCAAAGATCGTCGCCAGCTTCTGCGCGCCGAGCATCTGTCCCTCGACGAAGCCATTTATGACTTGCTTATGCATCCAGTTCTGATCACACGGCACCGTCGCAATCCGGTCCGTCAGAGACTTGACCGCGCTGTCTAGTTCCGTCGCAGGCACTGTCTTCAGGATGAGCCCCATACGCTCCGCCTCGCGGCCATCGATGAGATCGCCTGTGAACAGCATGCGCTTGGCCCTTTCTACCCCCAGACGCACCGCCCACATAGCTGTCGTCGGGCAGCCCCAGACACGGGCGGGTGGGTAGCCAATGCGGGCATCTTCCGCCATGACGACGAGGTCGCAGCATAGAGCGATATCGCTGCCGCCGGCGACCGCTGCGCCATGAATCTGTGCGATCGTGGGTTTCGCGCTGTGGAACAAGTCTGAAAAGCATTCGGTGTTCTCCTTCATCGATTGATAGTCGATCAGGGGATCATAACCTTTCGTGACGTCCTGACTGCCGTCGGTGGTCCCACGTTCCGCGTGTTGCGCGTAAGCCTGTAAGTCATAACCGCCGCAGAAGCCTGGTCCAGCACCTCTCACCACGATGCAATGGATAGCCGGATCGGCATTGGCACGTTGCACAGCGGCGCGGATGCCTTGTGGCATGTGCTTGTCGATGGCGTTGAAATGCTCCGGTCGGTTCAGGACTATATGGGCGACTTTGCCATCTCGGGACGTTTCGTAGAGTACGCTGCTCGATGCTGTTGCCATGATCGTATCCTTGAGGCTGACTTACAACAGATCAAACTCAAACGAACGGGCTAACGAGGAAATGTGAATGCGATGCACACGTGGCCGGACTCAGATGGCATTCACGCAAAGATCGACAGACTCCAGTGGTACATTATTCGTGCCCAGGCGGGTAATCGTTCCAACCTCGGAAATTTCCCCCTAAAGTATGATGACTCATCAGTTCCAGTCTGTGAGGCTTAGTAATCACAAGACAGTCGGATCTCATCAAGAACGGCGTATGTACGTCCTTGGGAGCGTGTGATGAGACCGATCATAATGCTCGCATCTGCCAGATATGGACTACATTTTGAAAAGGATGGAGCCGGATCGACGAAGTTCGAGGTCACAGCGTATTGCTTGCCTCGAGGTCTTCTATTCGACACGCCGGAGAGTTCCCAGCAATGCTGTTTAATTGTAGCACATATCATGCTCATCATGGATAGCTAGATTATGACCTGCCGCCATGTGGGCAAGGACAAATCATCACTGCCACCCTTCATTTTAGTGCATGAGCCTGAGGGGGGTACATGCATCGCCCATGCGTAAGAGAGATGCATTGTGTCTACGTCCAGCATGATGAGGAAGCCTATCATCGGAATTCGAGGTTTCACCACCTGCAGTATTGTGCCTGGGTCGTATCTGGTCGAAATCACTACAAGGATTTTTGACGATTTTTGGGCGGCGTCGTAGAGATTTTGATATCGTCCTTCGTCAGTTGGCCAAAATTGTGCTATGACTGTCACGTTGGCCTCCACAGATTACCTAGGTATTATCGAGTAAAATGATCACCTAGGTAGTATGAATCGATTCCATCACGATCCGCAAATGCCAAGAGCGACCGGTCTCGAATGCGAGGGTCACTTAGTAGTGGAAATGTACGAGTTGACTTTGGGTTTGCTGATTGATCATGATCATGCATGCACTGTCCCGCAAGTTCCCCTTCGTACACCACGTGGAGTTCAGCAGGACCGGACTCACCTCAACCGGAGGGCAGGTGCGCAACGACAACCTCGGAATGCAAGCATTGATCTATCGCGCAACAGTCCTCTACGAATGTACATCTCAACTTCTCCCACTGTCCGTAGGTCCCGACCACACTAAAGCGTCTGTAGCCTTCAGCAAGGTTTGAGCGCTCGCAATAAGACTGCATGCACTCCACGTTCGAAATATGCTCCAACATAGAAACGACCATAGATGCAGGCAATGGCGACCCGGTACCTGCGCAAAGGTGAAATCCGCGGGTTGCACTCCATGGCTCCTGCACTTTTCAATCCCGATCCCGTGGCTATCCTCGTGATCCCGCAATCGCGCCTGTCAAAATTCCAATTGAATACGCGCGCGCAACGAAACACCGCCTGGCTCGATAAAAAGCTCGCACACGTTGCTAATACAGTGAATACACTACCCTGCGGTCTTTACTTTAGACATTTTCCTCGTCGCTCGTACCGATAAGGATGACAAGGCCAAATGCGGTTGTGGCGCGAGACAGGGTCTGGAGGACGCCATCGGGGGGTACGCTTTTGAAGGCACGCCCGATCATGATTCCGGCATCTGTGACGAGAGATCAGGACCGATCTTCTGGGTGCAAAACACCATGACACGAGGAGACCGAACCCGCCTGTAGGCGTGATGAGCAAGCTGCTCCGTGTCTGCGGAGGGTTGTACACACACATGTGATCATACAAAGCAAGTTCACCGAATGCACTGTTGTCTGGCACATCGACAGGACTTTCGACTGGCCAATTCACAATTCAATGGACGAGTCTTAGATCTGGGCGGTGGAGCAGGATGGCCAGGCACAGCATTCTCTTCCTTGGCGCCACAAACCTTCCTACTCGGGACATACCTCAATTTTTTGGTCTGTCTCGAAGTGATACACATGGCCAACTCGAACATAGCCAGAATCATTGCACAAGAGTTCGGGCAACGGTCGTCGAACATCGGACGCGGCCACCGACTGAGCTGCGTGATGAGGCCATGCTCCCACACAATTGCGTCCTCTCGCGTCCTCGTCGCCCACGCGCTTTGGCCGGAAGGAGGGGCTCTGAGGACGGCTGTGCTAAAATTACCCCATTTTCTGATTGTCTCACGTTGTGGCCTACCAGCAGGTGCCCAGTGCGTCGATGCAGAAACGTTTCTTGTGGCTATTGTCTGGTGGACTTATCGGCGACCAATGTTAATCCCGCCTAAGTACGCGGCGCGGATATTGTCATGCTTGGTCATGCTTGCGACATGGTCTCGGACGAACACGTTGCCGATCATATGGGGGATTCGAGACACGACGATGTCATTGCGAATAAGTCCTCCTGCGGGTAGGGAGAGACACGATGTAGGTACGCGATGCGCAAAGATGCGGAAGGAGCGCCAACGATGACAATAGTGTATTGGAAAATGAGGGTGTGTGGTTGGGTTCCTCCGTGGACTGCACATCGGATTCTTGCACACGCCCTCAAGAGGACAGTCCGCGCCGCGTCACAACGAGAACAATGGGATCGAGAGATTGATCAGCGCGCGACTTCTCACCCACCACCACCCCCGTTTGTGGCGAGTGGTCACCTGCGAGTGATAGCTAGCGTCTGCCCGCGCAGCCGACGCCTGGTCGCTCCATTTCTCCGGTGCGTGCCCTACGCCTATCGATGCGAGTCCGACTGAACAGTGATTAAACAAGAAAATGGAATGATCGTTTGCAATTGGGTTGAGGAATCCGTCGTGTGAACTATCTCGAGCCGTATGGCTTTCAGCTTGGACTTCAACTCGTAGAAAGGGAGACCAGGATGGAAACCAAGACTTTCCCTACTAACACGGTGATACTCATACAGGACGCCGCAACTGCGTAGTAGCACCGCTGGATGTGAGAGCATAACACCATTACTGGATTCGGAGCATAGCACTAATGCGCCCCAGTCAATACATTTCCCCTGTCGTGGTAACATTGTTGTTACCGATGGAGACTTTCAAAAGGACCTTATTGGCGATCCGAGCGGCTACAGTGGCGACGTGAACGGGATCGGGATGTCTGAGGTCGTGGACTACTTCTTTGAATGTGAAATTTGTGAAGATTGTTCACTGTCATCAATAGTCAATTGTCGCCCACCTGCATGTACGTATTGGACAAGAATGAGATGAGGAGGAAGTGGATACGGTACAGTACAGTACGTACACGGTTAGCACTGCCTCGTGCTGTGCAGCGCTGGATCGATTTCCTGGGCAAGCGGCGGCACCTGACCTTGAATCACATTGCCAGAATGCTATGGTAAATCTCGCCCGCTCTGATCGCTCGAGTCCGATAATTAGTATTTTGTGCCTTGCCCAGCAGCCATTTCATTACGCGTGTGTTGAACAATGCAATGGAATATGGACGAGTGCTCCATGACTACCTAGGTACCTAGGTAGCGTCGTTGTTGTAATCAATGGGCGATAACAACGAGGACCTTGGAAGTCACCGATTCATGACACTGAATGCGCTCGTACCAGTACACCCACCCACACCCACACACCCATCCGCCCTGCTTCTTCTTTGTTCTATGTATACTTCCCATTAATTTTTGTCTTGGACCGAACAATTTCCCTCTCTTCTCCTCTCTTCATATTTGTGAACCATTCCTTCCCAGCATTGGATTATCTCGATTGCCGGGTTTCGAGGTCTTCCAGCCCGTCGAGTACAACTATCAATTGCTTTCGTTGACACGAACGAGCGCTGCATCACCCCGCGGTTTCCACGTACCACAGAGGCACACACGCGCGCCCACACAGAGACAGACACCACACACGAAATTCACTTCAGGACCCTTCTGTCCGAGACTGAACATCGTCGGTCCGGCGCGATCACAGTCCCACTCGCTTGTGTGAGTGAGACAAAGGTGGGATAACGGCGTCCGGCGGTCATCATCCCGCAGCGTCCCAGGCCCTTCGTGTCTTGGAATAAATTATATTCTGCCACGGGTTATTCGCAGTCGATCAAACTCAACAATTTTTGGTAACATCTTTCCCACCATGACTAGCCTTAAGGTATGCCTGCTATCCCTTGTGCTGCGATTCTGATTTCTCCGTGCTGCTCGCGCTGCTTTGAAATCTGACTGGCTTCCAAAGGACTCACGCCCTTCAAGTCAACATCGACTTTCAGTCGGACCACCTGCAGCCAATGGCTTACCCAGCCGTCGAACGCATTCGCACAGCATCTCTCTCGGCTCTGTATCGGGCACACATCGAGTGAATCGACGGAAGAGCTCCAACTTCGGTCCGAGGCCGACCTTGACTGCCGCCGTCGAAATCGCTGTTGCAGATGGATCCGCTTCTATCCGACAACGTACCCCGGCTTCAAGGGCTGCCCTCGGCTCCCTGAATGACATCGCGGCGCCCATGCCCCGTAGCCTGCCACACCATGTGCTCAACGGGGGAAAAGCTGGATTCAGTGAGAGCGCGCTGGAGGACGGGCCTCCGCTGGCGGCATTCCAGAACTCAGACAAGACCAAGTCTGATGCTCGTCGGGCTAGCGATGGGACGCATTTGTCCAAGAAAGAGAAGGCCTCCGCTGGGGACTTGAAGTGCGAGCATTGCGGAAAGACATACAAGCACGGCAGTTGTCTGCACAAACATCGGTGGGTCGAGTTCAGCATCGTTCGTTGAAAGTGTCATTGCAGTCTTTACTGACTGTTATGTTTCTTTCTCAGGTGGGAACACACCCCACAATGGCAGGTGACATCCAAACTGCTCATTTCCAAGCACCAACAAGTGCAGCTTCTCGAAGCAGCCTCGGCGCTTATGAACATGAACCAGGATGGCACTGGTCCCAACGACAGCGATAATTCGTCGTCGCCGGCTGCTTCAGGTTCTTCTGATTTGCGAGACGACTCCAGCTCTCCCGAGACGACCCCCCCGCCTACCAGCGAGCACGACCACAAACGCTTCAGCAACCACAGCAGCAGCGCCTTCTCACGCTCATACCAGTCTGTCTTCTCAGACAACGCTCACGGCGAGCATAATTTCTCACACACGCGCAACTGGAGCGCCTCCACCCACAGTCGGCCTGTCACCGCCAACACATCTTACGCCGAAAGTTACCGCGACGAGGATCCCGCTGACCTGGCCGCCGCCGTTGGCCTGCTCAGCTGCAGCTACGGTACTCCCAAGAGTGGACCCTCGCATCTTGGCATGGATGTCCCGCCTGTCCCCCCGCTCCCAGAGAAATACCAAATGCACTCATACCACCACCAACAAGCCTCGCGCTCATCAAACGCACTACCGCCACCAAATGCCGGCCGACAGGAGGACGTCGATATGGACGAGGATTCAGATGTAGCCGACGAGCGTTCGCACGAGGACGATGATGGCGTCTTTGCCCTGGATGCGTAAGAAATTCGCACGCGGGAGATGTCGAAACCATGAAGGGAAAGGGCTTCCTTTAACAAGCCGCGACACTCTGAAGGATGCAGTATTTGGAAAGCATTTAGATACATGCAATGCAGCAGGCGTGGTCTGAAGCGCTTGATCCGCAGCAGGCTGGCTCACGCTGTGCGGAAAAAGAACGATCATGCGTGGACGAATTCGAATTTCGTAACATTTTCTACGATGACGATAACTGTACATAGGACACTGTGGGACTATCCGGACGTCAGAAGATCCGATGCATGTCAACAACATACGAGCTCACTTCGGGAAGTAGGAAGGAAGGAAAAAATCCAAAGCATTTTTCAATGAAAATTATCATTTAAAGATATAAAGTAACGAAGTTTTCGCCGTGGGCGGTCCTTATGAGATGAGTACGAGCACACCCGGGTGAGAGTGAGGATGGTGAGAGTGGTGTTGGATTTTTTTTGTTCGCGATTCAACAAATACATTTGAGCTGTCGTTGACACTGAGACACAGGGTTTGACATCAGAACGACCCTCTCAAAACTATTCATCGATCTCGCCCTTTCCAGTCCATGCTCCCAGTCCCGCCCTTTTGCTCCGCGCTCAACAAGGTTGTCATCAGCCAAGCCCGCCACTTGCTCCCATGGTCTCTGCCAACGATGTCGGCGTTGCCTCCCTTGTCGTTGCTGGCACACGAAGCTTGTTGGTTGAGGGGGCATACCACTTGGCGGCGTTGATGCATTTGGAAGCGATGCAAGTCCCCGTTGTCGAGTGAGACTGGCTGAAGCTCGGGAGTCTTTGTTTGTCGAGAGGCTGGCTTGTTTGAGACTCCAAAGGCTTGACGATTGATGCAGGTTTGGTGGAGATTCGCTTGGACCCAGCGATCTTGTTCTGACTTTGGCTGCGATCTGAGACCGGTCTTCTGCATAGTCGTTGTGTGAGTTCTTGCGCCATGTTGTCAACTGTTCTCTGGGCGACTTACCTGGACACTGCAATCGCGAAGGAACAAAGGCAAGATCAGATCAACACCATCACCACCCCCACCTCCCAAAAGCCCCATCCTCCCTGCCCATCCACCCTCCAAATCCTCTCAAGAGGACTAGGGCTTTCCTTCAAATCGAAAGAAAGCCCACCACTCACGCTCTCACCCCCACACTTTAAGAAATGGTGAGCGACCGTACGAACTAAGTCCGAGGGCCAACTGTGTCTCCGAGGAGACGGGCGCGCCGTGTGGTGCGGACGATGCATTGTCAGCCAACGATAGCATCCCGGAAGACACCATGCTGAACAGACAAACGCCAGCCGAATTGACTTCGACCCCCAAGAGCGCGAGGAAAAGCACAAAGCACCGTTCATCTCCCGAAATGAACATCCCGAAGGGGCCATCACGATCGAAGAACACTGATCAGATGTGACTCCAACCAGCAGCCAAGTGAATTTTCATGTTGATCCGCAGAAGATAGCAATCCGTAGGAATGCCATACCACCGAAAAACGCCAAATTGGACGTTGTCCAATCAGCAACCCGCGAAACACACCAGAAGCACTGTTTGAAAGGCGAGAAATGAGCATGCTGAGCACGCCATTACGACAGACAAACGCCAACGAGACCGAGTCTCACCAGCAGCGCTTCAGCAGTGGTTGATAGCGATCCCGAAGGATCCCAAATCATGACCGACTGGACGCTGAGCCGGACTAAGTCCAACCAGCAAGCTCGCGGAAAAGATCAAAAAGCAACAACAAAACAAGCAACAGCAGCAAGCAGCAACCGCGAAAACAGCAACAGAAAACAAAGGACAACGCAGGAAGGTGATACGACGACCACCTGTGAAGTGCGCCAAGGGGTACACTCACAGGTGGTCGAAGTGGTGCGGAGAGTGGGGAAAACGACCAGCAGCTTGGTGATGACGAGTCGAAAGTTGGGCAGGGTCGAGGCTGTGGAAAGCTGTGAGTTGTTGGAAAAGAAGGAGAAGAAAAACATTGGGGAGCAGGCGACGATTAAATATGTTCGTCACTTGGAAAGCAAGCTACGACCACCAACATTACGGATGTTCTACGGAACTCTGACCTTTGCCTGTGAACCATAACATCGTCACTTGCTGCATTTGTTCCTCATCTAATAAGTGACTTGGCGGCAGTGAAATTGTGAAAATGTGGATGGCCGATCCAAGGACTGACGTGAAGTCGGAATCGAAGTCCGCTAGCACACGAAGCCCGAATGTATGTGAGTCCCACACGTTGGAAACAATGGATGAGACGACTCCGTTTCGGCGGGCCAAATTTGCCTTGCAAGTGCTCCTCGACATCCTCGTTCAGCAACTTAATGATCTCACCATTTTCGCAATCGCGCGTCTCAAACACAATGGAGACTTCATTCACGTCGTGATGACTAACCAAGATGATCATGATGTGCTTTGTCATCATGCACTTTTACCAACTGGACTAACCTTGGAAGTGCCTCGTTTGTCTGGCCCAGAACAGATCTTGACTGTCAGGCATCTCCAACCTCGATGTCCTTGCAGTGGGCCAGAGATTCAGGAAATGTAGTGCGAGAAACATGAGAATGAAAACTCGGACGGCTGCTTCGACATGAGATTATTTGGAAGTAGTGGAATATCCACGTATCGTAAAGGAGTAGACCTATATTCAACCATGCCAGACTTAAGCGGAACCATCGCCGTACATGCGGACAGAGGTGGAAATTATCGCTCGAAATTTTTAACCAGAAATGGGAAGAGAGGGTATATGTGTCCAAAATGCGCGATCAAAGATTCCTATGATTGTGCTCAAACGCTTTGCTCGACAAAGCTACGCCGCGGGTGTGATCCCGGAAACAACGGAAATCTTGCAGAAGGAAGGACGCGGATTGCATATGATCATATGCCAAAGAGTAGGTCCGATCTGATAGCACCGAGCAAACAAAGTAATAGACTGGCCCAGCTAAGTACCGGCGGCGAAAGTCGGCCAGAGCTTGCGCCTGATGCGAGTGGAGAACCACTCGAGGTCGAGGTCGTGGATGGTGATGAGGTCGTGGATGGTGCCGAGCTCGGACTCGGTAGATTCGTAGCAGACGCCATAGGCACATAGGTCGTTCGACCGTCAGTCGTCGCCATGACTGAGAGCTGGGATGGAGTCATCGAGCTTGCTACGCCATTGACAAAAGCGGTGCGGGCGGATGCATCGAGAGAGTAGGTCGTGCCTTGGATGACAGTGCCAGGCCTGCCGGCGGTGACGTACGTGCCCCCGATAGACATGACAATCGGGCCGCTGGAGAGCTCGGGGAGACTGGTCGCAGCGGACGGCGGGGAGCCCATACCGGCAGGAATCGGCAGGAAACCGGCGCTGGCTACGTCGTTTGGATTCTCCAAATTTATGGCCGAGGTTTTATGTGTTGCGCGGTATGTGTCAGGTGGCCCAGTGGTTTCGCTGGTTTTGGTGACTGCGCTGCTCATGTCGGGGATGGTCTTTGTGTTGGCACTGGCCGGTAAAGTTATCACTGTCAGGGCAGATTCGGTGGTCTTGGTGGCGGCACTCGGTGCGATTTGCACAGTGGTTTTGGTGACGGCACTCAACGTCATCGGCACTGTGGTCTTAGTCTGAGGAGAGAAAAGTGTCTGATTGCTGGTTCCATGGCTAGTCCGTGAGCCATCATCAGTCCCTGGTGATGCGGGAGTATTGGTCTGGGTAGGGGAGGCGCCGTTGGCCATGACAGATGCCGTAGAGGTAGTTTGGAATAGATCATGTTCAGTAGTTTTGACGTCTGGTATCAGTTTCTCTATAGGCACGCTATAGCTGGACGTCGTTTCGGTTGGCGTAGCCGTCGCCGTTGATGGACCTCCCGGAGCGTCTGTCGAGCCCTGTGCCGGGGCTTTATTCTCAGCTCGGCGATCGGACTGTATTGATGTCGGATATAACCCTGTGACTGCTGTCTTGGTGGCAGCCCAGAAATAGCGAGGATCAGAGATGACGACATGCAGGCGCTGCGAACTTTGTGCAGACGGGCTAATAATCACAGTTTCTGAAGCTGTCGCCGACGGCTCGAAATTGTTCCGCATCGTCGCAATACTAGTCGGCAAGGGGATGGTCGAAATGAGCGGCGATGATGCCTCGACAGGCAACGGCGCGTCTGAGATGCGATCCGGAGTCGGGCTTGCTGAGGAGACCAGCTGTGGAGGTATGCGATCCGGCGGCGTCGTATCTGAGGATTGAGGGGACAATGTTGTGGAGTCGCCCGATGCTATTCCCACAATGCAGGTCATGTCAGTTCCTGTCGTTTCTGAGTAGCTATGAAACTGCAACGGCTGATACTCACGCGAAGGATGTGCCAAGGCGTATGCGTTCCATCCTAGCGATGTCGCCAGAGCGAGCTTTTGGAGAGGAGCCATAACGAGGGAGCAGCGAATGTCGGAAGGCTCGCGGGCGCTGAGGTCGATAGGCGTCGTCTCTATACGTGACAGGATGAAGAGACAGCGTGCGACGGCACGATGAGTGACGAATGTGAAGAGCGGCGTGTCATGTCTTGTGAATCCTAAACCGCGCGAACATCGAAGCGCATGTCCGACTCTCGATGATGGAATTGACGTTGTCGTTAAACTTGTAACCTCGCGGCCATCGATATCGAGGCTTATTTACCAGCTTTTATTGTGGTCCTTCAACTTGGAAGTGCAGCTTGGGTCGTGAAGGTAAGATCATCAGGCGTCCAACTGCTGAATGTCAGCATTGGAGAGAGTACGAGGAGGAGACCGGCTCACGCGACGAATCAGGGCAAGTGCAAGTGTGAGTGAGAAGCATGAATTGGGTCCCAGGGCTCTCATCGATACTCCTGCACGCTGCGCCCGCGACGCCATCAATTGCCAGACGTGAGGAAATCCTCCGCTTGTTCTTTTTCAGTCTGGTTGAGGATTCAGAGTTTGAAACGGTTCCTAATTGCCTGTCGGCTCCTCTCCTTGCTTCCAACACACATACAACATATCCAGTCTCTCTGGGTACTCCGTGTAGAAGGGTGGGATCACCAACAACTCGCCTGTCCTTCACCCCTCAACCAAAGCAGTTTAGTCACCCATGATGACATATTGTGCAGAAAATGACCTGTGCATGATCTCTACGATACGAACCAGGGTTGCTGCAAGGATATTTGCCCACAGTCTCTTGCAGATTACAAATGTCTTGTGGACGAAAACATACAACCCGGGACCAATCATCAATAGAGCATTGATCTCCGGCTGACAGCAAAGGCGTGGCTGGGGGCGGCCTGTAACCACAATCCCAGAGGTACAGTACATGTACATCTAGGTAGTCACGGTAGTACACATTGCTCGTGCCAAATCACCCAACAGCACAATGGCGATAATTCTTCGGCGATATAGCCACCTTCCAAGGTTCTGAGCATTTTACTTGACACGCTCCAGAATTTGGACATCCTCGGATGACGAATCTTACGGGCGGCCTCCGGAACAGACGCGAACGCAAATGCAGGAGTAGCCTTGGCTGTCAGCACCCGGACGGCCCGACATTAGCGACCACGTTCAAGCCTGATCGATGTACCGAGCAAAGGATGAACGAAACTCTCGTGATGGTGCTCTCTGCGGGCCCCGATGTCCCAGAACCATGATACACCAACTTGTCATCCACATCACTTTCGCTTGGCAGGCTGACCGGAGGATTGCGCGGGCGGCGTGACGTCTTACGCTGTCCCCTGGACTGCCACTTGATGCGTCCATGGTGCGACAGAGCCAGGGCGATCGTGACCGATAGGATCAAATCACTGGTCTACACGGGGATCGCATGTAGTTCGTGCGAGAGATGTATCATTGAGAGGACTCGTGCATCAGCATGAAATGTTTCTAGGAATCTAAAGTGTTGTTGCATAGCTCTTAGGTAGGGAGCGACAGAAGGAAATCGGCTGTCCTTTCACCGACAACTGACACCCGGGTTCCCCCAGCGAAGGGGCTCGTTAGCCCCCTCCCATCGTTGTATCGTCAAGTCATCAGGCCGATTATCAGCTCCGCCGCCCGCCCTCTAAATGTTACCCAGCGATGCCGGAGTTGCTTGACTGCGAGCAGAGCCGCCTCCTGCCCCTTGCGGAACTCGATGATACTCATATCCAACCGCGATGACCATAATTGGCCGTGGTGCTCATCCTTACAGATACAGTGATGCATCGGCAGACATGGGCGTTCCAGATGATCGTTAACGTGGCTCGTCAGAGCACGCGCCGTGCTCCGACGCAGATCGATTCCGAATCGTCCATCTGCGCACCTCATCCGCGTTAACCAAAAGGGAAGCCTCCACCTGGGAATCCGCCACGTCCACCGCCCATTCCTCCTGGGAATCCACCTCCACCGCCGAACTGGCTAAATCCTCCGCCACCTCGACCACCGCCGCCCATCATGTTGAACAGCATTTCAGGATCGATTTGAACACCGCCACCCATGCCACCAAATCCCCCGCCACCGAACCCATGTTGCTCGTGAGGATCCATAAGATCTATTCCAGAGTCATACCGCTCCCGCTTCTGCGGGTCGATCAGCGTTTCGTGCGCCTCCTGAATATCCTTGAATCGGTTCTCCGCATCGGGGTCGCCTGGATTCTTGTCCGGATGATGAATGACTGCGAGTTTTCGGTAGGCCTTTTTGATACCCGTCTCGTTGGCATCCTTATCGATTCCTAGAATTTTGTAGTAATCCTTCCGCGAGCTCTTCTTGAGCTCGAGTTCGGCATAACGTACGTCCTTGGCGATGCCTGGCTCCTCAGGGTTCTGCTCAGCAATGGATTTGTATGCCCGTACAGCTTCCTCCCAATTTCCGCCCTCACCCAGCGCCTTGGCACGAGTCTTTCGTGCTTTGGTGTAACTTGGATCGAGCTGGATAGCTTTGTCGCAATCAGCGATCGCAGACGTCCACTCTTTTTGTTTAGAGTAGCACATGGCGCGGTTGTTGAGGATCTTAGAATTTGTGCTCTTGTTTAACGGGTCCACCTCGAGCGCAGCAGTGTAGACATCAACTGCCTGCTGGTACCTTGCCGCCTTGAAGTGTCCATTACCCTCCTCCTTCATCTTATCAAGCTTTTGCACCAATCGCAGATATTTGACGGCATCTTTATAATCAGGATCGCACGAGAGCGCTTGCCGGAGATGTTGAATTGCCTTATCGTTCTCGCCTTGAGCGTACAAAGCGCGGCCACGCAGGACCAATGCCTCCGGGTCGGCATTGTTGTTGCGCAGTAAGCTCATTGCCACGTTCTGTGCGTCTCCTAGACTATTGATCGTGCCTATCCGCAGGAATGCATCGCCTCGCATCAGCCTCCATTTCCGTGGAGGGGCCACAGTCGATCCCAAGCCTTTCTCCGCCTGATCTAATGCGTATAGCACCATTGACCCACTCGTCCCGTTTGCCAAGCTGTCCTGCGCTTGAGTGATGTGTGATTGCATGTTTACAGCAGCCGCCTTATCTTTGGCCGTCGCGGGCGGCTGCATCCGATCGTACACGTCGAGAGCCTCTTGTGGTCTACCCAATGATGTGTAAACCTTGGCCAATCGATGTAGGATTTTTGCACTGTTCGGCTCTAGTTCATCGGCGAGTTTGCAGTCCTCCAAAGCCTCGACGAATCGGTTTGCAGCCATATAGGCTGCCGCGCGGTTGGAGACATAGGTGGACGATTGTGGATTGGCATCGATGGCTATAATAGACGTATCATGTCAGCGTTCCATTCGGCCATCGTTAGGATACTTGCTGTGCGTGCACGTGAACTCCTGCTAACCTTTGGTATACTCATCAATGGCATTTCCATACTGCCCGGCTTTGTAAAACTTATTGCCTGCTGCCTTGAATGTTTCCGCATCTTCAGGCCGATTCGCAGGTTTGGGAGGTGGGCTTGTCGGCGTTCGGTGGGGAGGAGGTTTCGGTCGATTCTCTTCTTCTCCCTTGCTGTGTTCCCCGTTGACGCCGTTGGTGGCAGGTGTGGTGCGGGGTTCCTCGGGAGCAGGTGTTGTCTCCATGGGCTCGGGATCTGACGCAGCAGCCATATTGGGCTCACGTTCTTCTCGTGGACTGCTCATAGCGGAACGCGTGCTCATGCGACGAAGTTCGTCCGGGTGCAAATTCAGCGGGTGTGAGTCCTCATCCGGCGAGCGGCGGGAGGAGCGAAAGGACAATGACGAACGTGGTGAGCTGGGCCGCCGTTCACGATCCCGCAATTTTGACGCAGTGGATTTTGTGTCGAGAGAGGGTCGTGTGGGCTTGCCACGCGAGTCGGGCCTTGGTGCTTTCGCAGAGGAGGAAGGTGTGGTAGAAGATGATGGTGGACGTTTGTCGGGAGTGCTGGTGCTGGTGCTAGAATTTTTCTTGAACGTGAACAGCGACGGCATCGAATTGACCCCGGGTGTGTGGGCAGCTTATTCTTTCGAATTCCCCCGAATTCCTTCGATACTGCAGCCGAAGCTGATGTAATTTGCGTACCAGATTTCGTATGGTTGCGGGGAGAGGACTCTCAAACGAAAGATTAAAAACTGGTTGCAATAAATTCCCTGATGTCCGATGATATTTGCAATAAATGATGTACTGGCAGCAGTGCCGATGAAGTTCGATGACTGGAGACAATGCTCCGCTCGCACGATGCAACAAAGAAAGTTCGAGTTTACGAGCACCCAAGGCGAGCGGTTCGAAATGCTGTAATTTCGTTCAAGATTCGCATTGAAAGCTTGCAAGGTTCTGTAGTATTAGGCACACTCGAGAAAGGGTGAACGAGCTGGAGAGGATTTGACCGGCAATTCGGCGGGGCGAGCGGCGAAGATAGTATGCCCCGTCCGAGCAATTATATGTACAAGACAGCCCAAGTACTTCCTTCCTCCAACGCACACAATCCTGAGCACGCATGTACACCATCGTATCCTCATTCGCTCAACTACTCGCGGGCGCCTAATCAATGCCCATTCATATACCGTAGCTGACTGCAGTATAATTCGATCTCTCGGTACATGTTCCGGCTTGTGCACAAATAATGAAATTGTCTGCAGGATTTTCTTGTCGGATTGACCGTTGTTGTTTTCTCGAAGCTTCTCTGAGCCCCTTTCGTATTCCTCACCAGCTACGCCAGCAGCATTGCATTGATCACAGGTGCTGTTGACATGTGATTCTGCCTACCGCTCTGCGGGCGAGAAAACCTCCATATCACGAGTGAAATTAATCAACATCCCTCATTAAGCCGATATGTGATATAACATCACGCTACGGAGACTTCCTCTCCTCCACCTTATGCTTTCAGAAAGTCCGTTCCTGGAGAGGTCAGGAGCAACATACGGAGCGAAGCGTAGACTCCTCACATCGAAGTGATAAACCTAGAAGACGTGAGTGTTTCAATTAGCGAGAAGCGTGCTCGAGCGTGCTCGTTTGGTCGATTCCTGTGAAGGCAAAGCGGGTATCCGTCCTCGATACAGAATAAAATTCACAACAAATTCCATGTCTTGAAAAGAAAGATCAAATTGTCTATGTTTATGCTTGTACCTGTTGAACTCTTAGATCGTGTATCGAAAATTGCTCCACTGCTGTTTCGCCTGGGTCGGACTGATCCCCTCCAATCGTGCCATCCTCTCCAAGTTCGCCAGATCACGCTCGGACAATTCTTTGCCATTGCTGCCGTCCATGATAGCCAATTGGCGATTCTCCTTCTCTAGGACTAACTTCAAGACCACAGCCAATATGGCCGCACTGCTGATCAGGCCGATGTTGACTCCCATTGCAAGTCGAAAATGAGGCGCAGACTCGGCCGTGTAGATGAACGGTGTCCAAGCGGAAGCTATGTTGCCAAAGCAATTAATGAATGCCAGTGCCACTGCTCTCTTCGCACGTGGTCGCGGGATTGAGCTTGCCATCCATGCATAGATCTACAAGATGGGTTCATTGTTAGCATCGGGAAACTTTCGGTGGCGTTGTTGGGAACTACAAGGGTGCCACTTACGATCCCGGACATTGTGTAAATGAACACAAGTAGGAAGAGACTGAAGTATCGAGCACCAAAACTGTCCGTAAACATGAACAGCAATGCTCCGATGATCACGACCGGCACTGGACAGACGAAGAACCAGAATCTGACGCCCTTTCGATCAGAGATGAAGCCGTACATCAAGGCAATCGCTGTAATTAGGACAAATGGCGGCGCCACGAGTAATAGACTGATGACTCGGCCGAAGCCCAGACTTTCCGTCAAAGTCGGGAAAAAGTTGGAGATTGCAGCCATGCCAACGACGCCTGTATTGCACGAGCTGTCAGAAATTAAAGCATCAAACATAAAAATGCAACGACTGACCGTGATAGATTCCGGCTAGAATGTATGTCTTGGGATCAGTGAACGCGAGCTTGATCCCTTGCCACTGGCTCATTGGCTCCGTCCCAGGAGCATCTGCTTCTGTGCCGTCGAGCGTGATACGCCTGACAGCGACGCTTTTCATTTCTGGAGAGAGCGCCTTCCAGTTCTCAGGCAAGTCCGGGAGCACAAGCACAATGACGATCCCGACCGCAATAGTCACCGAGCCTTCAACGATGTAGAGCTTGAAGACGGATCAGTCAATGGAATCACAATTGGAGCCAGAACGCATATCAAAACATACCCATTGCCAGGCATGCAGCCCTCGCGCATTGTTGAGACCGCTGAGAATTCCTGCGGCGACGAGGCCACCAAATGCGTTTGACAGCAAGGAGCCAGCGAAGAAGATGGTCATACGTAAGCTCAGCTCCGCCCGCGTGTACCAGCAGGAGAGGTAGAACAAGACACCGCAAAAGAACGGAGCTTCCACGACTCCAAGAAAGAAGCGAGCAACTACGATGCCCGTGTAATCCTTCACGAGAGAGGTGAGTAATGAAACAAGTCCCCAGAGGACGGTACATGATCCAATGTACAAGGAGGGTCGGCCTGAAAGATTGAGAAGCGCATTCGACGGCACTTGCATGAGAATCTACGATCGCAGCTTAGTCTGGCGTACGGCAAGAATTTGGGCGACCTGAAAACTTACGTAGCCGACATATAAGATGCTGAGGGCGATTTGGTAATCATTTGAGGTCAAGTTGAGATCTTCTGGCAGACCCTGCAATTTCGCAGCTGCAAAGTTGCTCCGGTCGAGGAAGTTCAGGATATAGACCAGGATGACCAGAGGCATGATTAGAAAATCAATCTTGTGAAGCAACTTCTTCTCAACTAGTCGCTCCTGCTCGTTGAGCGCCATTACCGGGTCAGTCGTTTTTGATTCGACAAAGGAAGCATCTTTGCATTCCTCCCATGATGTCGAGATGTCGAGACCGTTGTCTTTGCTCTCGTGGAACTCCATTGTGACAAACGACCCAGGTGTAACGACGATGCAATCGGAGAGCAGACTGGTCAAGGCACTGCTCTTCCGGCAGCATCGAAGGGATCCCGGCCATTCTTAATACCTGCGCCTTTAACGGCAACAGTGCGTAAACCAGATTGTATAGCGTGTCCCGAGCCTGTCAGAATGCACATGATCAACAGATCGGCGGTACGCACCAGGGATTGCTAATGGTTTAGAGCCAACCTGACCGCATTAGAGGAAAGTCAGAACGGAACGGCAAAGCTGTTGGAGCGATCTGCGACCAACATGCATGCTGGAAGTGCATGGCGCAGTGGGCAGATAAGCACATATCAAGCATTTGCCAATCCGAGCCGTCGTATAAGTAAGGCGTGATCCGCGTTCCGGGCGTTCCGGGCGCAACATATTCGGGACCTCAGCTACTGATTGCATGGTGCAATTGGACGCTATCAAGCATCCGCGATATGTCAGAAAATGGTGGAATGTCAGATTCAAATTAAATTGCCCCACGCGTTGTGTTGCTAACAATTTTCAGCATCCAGGGCCCATGTACGCATCGTGATCAAAATCTATCACAACGAATGCATCCGGTGACAGTGACCAGGGAAGTAGTTCCTTAAGCTATCGATTAATCGCAGGTTCGAAGGCAGGATGATGCATATTTGCTGCACATCCATGGATGTTGTCGGTACAAGCTTACCGCTGCTGCTGCAGCAAGACGCCACCAAATCTTTTGCAACGATGAGTCCCCGCATACATGATTTTGGCACGCTTGAGAGTTCATACGAGATCAATCCGCGGACTGAATTGAACCCCATTTCTTGCTTCAATTATTGTTTGTGCGGATGACATACCTCACGCCTTACCAGCCAATTTTCGTAACGAACAAAGTAAAAATCTATTTCGGAGGTTCAAGAGGTCCTTGTGCGATTGCTTCACTCGTGTTCTCCAACACCCATGTCAGTGCAGTTTTTGGATCGCCTTCGATTGGGGATTATTTTAGTCCGCAGGGTGGGGATGTCCTGCGAGCGGCATATTGGTCTGGATTTGCTGCTGTTGGTCTGGCACGTGTGCCCCATTGCCTTCGTACCGTTGCACCCACATCTCCCAGATCAAAACAGATCAATACATATTTTCGAATATGCAAACAATAATACAATCACGGCTCGAAAGCCTTTGGAAACAGGAGTGGTGATGGTAAGTGTACAAAGTGGACGCATTTTGAAAAACCTCGGGGCCGTTTCCCAGTGCCTCTATTCTCATCATGGACCGTCATCGAACAGAAACACAGGCAGGATCTGGTCAAGAAGGGTGTGATGTTCCGATCGAGAACAGATTAATCAGAGGCGCAACTCGCAGATTAGTCACCCAGAAATCGCGAAAAGCGAGATCCATTGACAAATATTGCACCTCGAGCATTTCACCCTTTTTGATCGATCCTTTCATAGCATGACAAACCAAGCACGACAATTCGCTATTTCGTGGTGCGAATACCAACATCGAGACATGATTCTAAGTATGTATCGCCGAGAGGATAATATGATTTGTCCTATGCTTTCGGTCCTCACGCAGCAGGACGCTGCTGTGGTCGACGTCGTGGGTTGGAGGTCTTCTTCTTCGGTGTCGATTGCTTACTGCTCTCACCGTTAATGTACTTCAGCAGCTCATCGACATTGCGCTGATCAACGCCGCCGCTTCCGGGCGCCAAAGAGGAAGGCAACGCTTGCGCACTGGTGCTCTGGCCGACTGACGGCTGGGGTCTTGTTCCGGTCGGGACACCCGACTGCTTGCCACTGCGAAGGAGGATTTTGCGGTTCTGAAGAAGCGCATTTGCTTGCTTGGCCTGGTTGACTGCCGAATGAAGCAGGGTTTCGAGCCACATCTCGGCCTCCTTAGTGTTCTGGTTCTCGGGGCCAAGCTCGGCCTTGAAAATGCTGTAGCTTTCGCGCATCTTGGTGACGGCAGCTTTGCCGTCGTGGTCAAGCGCCAATGCTTGGGCAAGTTGGAATAGTAAGGTAGCCGAGTTGACAGACTGTTTACCGGATACCTCCTCGCAGATGTCCAAGGACGCTTCGAACCATAGACGTGACTCGTGGAATTGTTTGAGGGTCTGCAGCATAACGGCAGCATTGTTGATAGTGGTGATGGAGTCAGGGTGACGGATTCCGTAGACGACCTTCCACAAATTCAATGCGTGGCGAACGTAAGCGAGCGCATCGCGTGTGTTTCCAGTGGCATGTTCGAACAAGCTCAAGTTGAGATAGGCAAGTACAGTCTCCGCGTTGTCGATTCCAAGTGTGCGCTCGGAAACGATGACAGCCTTCTTCGCGAGCTCAACGGCAGCAGTCTTCTCATCAAGACCATAATACAGTGTCGAGAGTGCGTAGTAAACGCGCGCGACTTCAGGGTGGAGGATACCATAGATCTGCTCATGAAGACTCAAGCTTTCCAAAAGGAGCTCCTGGCCGAGTTCTTTCTGATCTTGTTGGATGCTCATGCGTCCAGCATCCAAGGCCTCCTCAGCCAGTACGCTCCTCGGCGATGCCTCCTTCACGAGCGGCACGATATTAAGGATGTTGTCCGCAGAAAAGGTGACAGGCACCGCAATTGGTGTCTGCACAGCTGGCCGAGCGGGAGAGTGACCGGTGCGTTTTGACTTCTTCTTCTTGTTGCTTTCGTTGGCTGATGTACCATTCACTTGTGGTACCGCCAATGAATCTGATGACTTCTTCTCGACGACGGTGTCACTGGGAGCTGTAAGCTCTTTCGCGAATTGATATTCCTTGGCTTCCAGCTGGAATCCCAGCTTGAGGCAAATCTCACGAAGGAGTTGAAGTTGCTTGCCATTTTGCACAAGATCTCCAGTAGTGTCGTACCTGAATCGCAAGGAAATTTGCTGCCGAAGTTCTTGCTCGAGAGCGGCTGGCTTGAGCTTCTCGAACTCGAAGGAAGTCTCCGGGTACATCGCCTTAACCTCCTCTTCGATCTCTGCTTGAGGAGATGAATTGAAGCCAGTCCCCAACAAACAGTTGAGCATGTGTGCTACCAGACTCTGGGCAAAGCAAGGAGGGAGGGCACGGAGCTGCTGGTTGCATGCGTGCTTGAAGGCACGGGCGACCATTTCCTGCTCGCAGAGCTGTTTGAGCGCTATGAGGCGCTTGTCTTGCTTCTCATCACACAAACTTGCCATCAATCCAAGGTAGCGGATGTTGATACCACGTCTGTGCAATTCGCGAACAAGACTCTGGCCGTCCATCGGAAATCCGACGTCACCTTCTTTGAGGTCGTTGACCAATTTGGGCAGGACATCGCCGGTCAGATATTCGCACACCGCGCGCACCTGCTGCTCATCATTGGCCCATTCTTCCTTCTCCTCGTCGGTTTGAGGCTGCTGCCCACTGAAAACATCGGGGTTGAGAGTGAAGCTGAAGTTTGACATGTCAACAGTTTCTTGCTGCTGAGGCTTGGGCTTCTCGGCTTCGCCCTCGCCCTCGCCTTCGGTTGCAGCTTTCGCTTCGATCTCCTTGGCCGCTCGCTTCTTCTCAAGCTCCTTGGAGATGTATTCTCGCATCTTCGTGATGCGGTAAGAATCAACAAGTTCTGGTCGGAGGACAGTCATGCGATGTGGGTAGCGATTTTCCATCGTTTCATCTTGCCCTCTGTGCTTTTCCAACCATGCGATATCAAGTGGAGTCACACGATACAGATCAAGCACGTACTTACGGCCGTCTGTACCCAGAAGACCCTTGGTCTCGACACTGGCTTCGAGATCGTGCTTTTCTCCTTCTTTATCCCACACCGCATGCTTCTTCACACGCATGGCTTTGCTTAGCTCACTGAACGGCTGCGCGAAACCCTCGTGCGTCGCGATGACATCTTTACCCTCAACACCACCGTAGTCGATTTGGTGCTCGCCAGGCTCCCGCTGTTTGAAGATACCTGGGACGATGCTCTGTCCGACCACACGTTTACCAAGATAGTCAACGACAACAGTACCGGGTGTGAACAGTCCGTCAATGTCCAATTGATTTACAGCTTTCACACCCTGGACATCCTTGCCAGTAGCCACTCTGGCTGCTTCGTCACCGCCGTCACTGGCGAAGGTGCCAACGCCGTCGGCGCCAAAGGAGTAGAACACGTTATTGTATACGAAAATCTGTGCATCTCTTGACTCCGTTGGGTTGAGAGGCTGGACTTCTCCACGAGCCACCAGGCAGGCACCTCGGATAGCTGCTTCATTGTACTCGGCAAACAGCTTGTTTGTCAATCTCTCTCGGAACACCCGATCCTGAACCGTCTCTTTCGGCAACTCGCGAGTTGATTGGAGTTCTTCGTTCCAGTCTCGGAGGGTTTCGGCGTTCTCTGCACCTGCCAGCAGGAAAGCTTCTTGTGTGCGAGTCAGATCTGCTTGATGCTGTTGGATGGATGCGGTGGACACCAACCACGGCGCCGAAGGGATGCTGTTGGTCAATTGGTACGACGCAAGCGGATCTCGTTGACCGTTGTACTCTTGTAATCGAGTGAAGGCGGCTTCGAAGGAGGGCGAAACCTGACTAAGAAGGTTGATGAGAGAATGAGCAGATGCAGACTTGGGCGTGACTCGAGGTGCAGGGTCGAACTTGGTGTTGGTCGACTTGTTGACAAAGAATCCAGAGACGTGGGAAGTGATGTAATGCTGTTCACCCTCGTTCGTGGTGACTTGTAGGTAAAGCAGATGCCCACGCATTCGGAGGTGGTATGGTGGCGGATTCCAAGCAGAGAGGGAGAGCTGTTTGACGGTCTTTGGCGAAGGTTCCCGCGGTTGTGGGATCAAGGTTGAGATTGTCCCAGGTGCGTTCAAGTCGTAGTGTGACACGGGGCTTTCATCTTCTCTTCCACCGTTGCCTCCAGTCAGATCAACTCCATCGCACAAACTTGTCCCCGCATCGATACCCAGCACCAAGTCTGTTCTATCGCCAGCAGCTCCTATCAACTCCCGTACACGGACGACATGCATACGTGCCTGCGCTTCTGTGTAGGGATCCTCGACGAGGGTGAGGATCGGATCCGAGACAACGTCCGGGATTTCGGATAGCTCGACAAAGTCGTTGATACGCTTGCCTTGATGTTCGAGATGAAAGCATGAGTATTGGAAAGTATGCGGAGTGTCAACGATAGATTGGCGAATGTCCTGGACCTGTTCCTGAGCGGAGACCATCACCTGCGTCTGACCTGGAGTGTGTGGCAGCTTGATCGTGAGTTGAAAGACGCTCTCGGCCGGCTGACCAGCAGCAGTAGAGTCATCTGCACCATTTGCACCCTCCTCTGCCGAGCCATTGGTCACTGTGCCATTGGTCTGAGATGTCGCGTGATTGGTTTCTGACTCGGTGGCATTTTGTTGATCCACAGCTTTTGAGGCTGCTTGCGCTGCTTATGTATGCTGTCAGCTAGGATTGAATGAAGAGCATTGCCAATGGATAATCAAATATGACGATGCTGTCGTGAGATTGTATGCATGCATTCAGGGAAGAACTTACAGCTCTTCGAAGCGTCATCGGCAGCCATTGTGACACGGATCAGTCTATCGAGAATCTCGCTTGGCAAAGAAGGATGAAATGAAAGAAGTTGATAAGTCGCAACAGAACCGAGATGAGATGATCAAGAAACTCTATGGCACATGAAAAGGACAGATGATGATAAACGCACCACGACCCAAGAGATGCGAAAACTACCTAATGATGATGCCGGCTTGTGCTCCCCCATCGGTCCAAAATTTTGTCCCGAGCATAGGCCACTTTAGCCGCGATTATTACTTTCCACAAGCGACTCTTATATGAAATGTCAATATAGGAAATATGCATCGACGATGATTTTGATCAACCAAGATTAGAAGGAATGGGAATATGGAGACCTCGATGCATGAACGTAGTTGTTTGTTATTCTATTGAATAGGAATTGCTTTGGATGAATTGTTTCGCCGATGCATGCTGATGCACTTTCGGGAGTGTCATTGATGAATGCAGCTAGCGGCGGCATTCGATTCTAGGGGTCTCGACACATGCGTGCAAATCTTCGTCGGGATTATCTTCTGCACCTGCATCCTCTCAAAATCCATGGGCCAGCTATGCAAGAGAACTTGTGCGAACGAAAGCGCGATGTTCGCAACGGAAGGCATCTGACCTGGTGTTGCTCAATTTCCAAAACAAATAGAGCAGATCAAAGTTTATCTAGCCCTGAATCGGACGATCCGTACTTACTCAGAGCATCTCGCGCTTCCTCCAGTGCTTGGAAGCCTGCTCCTGTGCCGGTCACGAGCCCAAGTACTAATTCCAAAATCTCGAAGACCACGTCAAAGACCATGCCAGAATTCTCCAAGAACTGGATGACTGTGGCCTCCTCCTATACGACCGCCATCGCCCGAGTTCTCTGGGCACGTGAGCTCGTTTGTCCCTTAGATATGTCCCGAATTGCTTGCTGCATTGTCTGGCGATCTACAGGCGGCGAGACACCTTCGATGCGTTTGATGTTGCGGCTCTCAAGGTATCCCACGATCCCGCCGATAATTGTAACGATGACTGCCATTGTGATTAATGAACCTGTGGCCCAAGGTGGGCGGTTGAAGCGATTCCAGCCCCACATGAAACCACATAAGCCGCCTTGGAGCAGAGTGTTGACGGTCTGACATCCCACCACAACGTCAACCTTCCATATAGATGTTCCCGGTGCTCGAATTCCCGTAGCGGGCGGATTTGGTTGTTTATTCACAGGCAGAGGTATTCGTGTATCCGATTCTTCCTGCATGATATTGTCCCTCATGTCGCTCGTCGTTTGCAGTCGATTCGACTGGTCCTTGGTGCTGGGTAGACTCGAACAATCCAGGGATTGTGATCCAGGCAGCCTGATCCAATTACGGTATTGACCTGCCAATTTGCGGAGACCGTACATCTTTCGTACTTTGCCATGCTTGGCCTCGGCGATGAGATGATAATCCAGGATGAAATATTGATCGCGAAGTCTCCATGGAGCGAGTCCGAAACCTGTGATGCAGAATAAAGCATTCAATACTTGCGAGTTGATCTCGATCCATTTGAGTCGCGGGCTTTGCATGCTTGTACAATCATAATCCCAGCCTTGATTGTGATTTGGAATCCAACACATTGCCGATATGAAATTGCAAAGAAGCAAGAATAGCATGGTGGCCCAAGCGATTATATTGACGGTGAAAAGGCTGACCAGGAAACCAAATGGTGTCAACATCCATGAGCCGATAGTCTTCAATGTTACTGTCCAGGCAATTGACATGGGTAATGGAGCAGGTCGAACATATGCATCGAGATCAGGTCTCTAGCCTGCTGTCTCCACCAACAGCTCGATCGGAACCTGCTTGCACTCCGGGCCCTGCTCACTATCACTTGCGCTAGCCTTGTTGATGGTAATGCAAGCATCCATGAGTTGGTCGTTCCGATCGCATGATGGACGTACAACATCGTCCTGCTTTTCTTGTTGGAATTTGGTACTGATATCGCATCCACTACGTTGGACGTGAGTGGCACCACCGCTGCCTGTTTTACGACTATCATCGCCTCTGCACAATTCACCTCTGGTTCCAGCTGGTGCGGACTGCATCGTAGACTTGGATTCTACACTCGACTGATTATGAGGACCGAGCTTCACGTTCGCTTGGTGTTGGAGTAGACTATCTTCAAGATGGATCATGATGTCTCTAGGTGTATAATAATAGTCGAAGTCGAGCTTGCGACTCCTTACGGAATCGCTCTTGGTTCTGGGTGGCCAATTTGGCGTGATCGGCTCGAAGAGCGGCGATGTGTGTGCAGGGTTGTTCTCGTTGCCGACTGTTCGATTGATAACAGCGCCGCAAGTATCTAGACACCGCGAGTATCTAGACGCCGCGAGAATCTGTTGGCTGCCGTCCGTTGTGACGAATGTCAGGAGCGCGTTATCAAAAATCCAAAATGACCTGTCACTCCTTCCTGGTCGTCTGGACGCCTGCTGAGTAGACAGGAACGTGGGAAATGCATGCGAAGCCTGCCGGCCACTTTTTAAGTTTGTGCATGCCCAGGTGGCTTTGACGCATGACTCTTTGGCTATGTTATAATACCATGACGCGGCTACATTAAAGCACAACATCGCCCAAGAGCCGTTGTAGACTTGAACAACCGTGGCAAATATGGCGCTTGCAATGTGAAGCAAGCATCGTAGATATCGCACTGAAGATACATCCCATGGAGGTTGTTGCCAACCCTAGCGATCGTTAATTCCAAGGTTCCAAGGTTCCAAGCCTCAAGTTTGCGATGACTGCTCAATGCCTGAGGCACCAATACTGAACTCCAGCCCACTCAGGCTGGGTAGCGCCAAGACTTCGACGCACCCATTCGATACCCTTACGATATGGACGCATACCCCACTGAATTTCAATCGCGAATTTGTGAACTTTCCACGACACAACCACAACAAACTTCACCACCCAAAATCAATTGACAACATGGCTGACCGAGGCGGACGTGGCGGTGGTGCATCGCGAGGTGATCGAGGCGGCGACCGTGGCCGTGGTGGTGACCGTGGCCGAGGACGTGGTCGCGGCCGTGGACGTGGAGGTGCGAAGAGCGACGAGAAGGAGTGGCAACCCGTTACCAAGCTTGGTCGTTTGGTAAAGGCCGGCAAGATCAAGAGCATGGAGGAGATCTACCTTCACTCTCTGCCCATCAAGGAGTACCAAATCGTCGACTTCTTCCTCCCCAAGCTCAAGGACGAGGTCATGAAGGTGGGTGAAAACAATACATGGGCGACTTTTGAGGAACCAGGTTACTGACTTGGCTCTCCTCTACAGATCAAGCCTGTCCAGAAGCAGACCCGTGCCGGTCAGCGTACTCGTTTCAAGGCCATCGTCGTCATCGGTGACAGCGAGGGTCACGTCGGTCTCGGTATCAAGACCTCCAAGGAAGTCGCTACTGCTATCCGTGCCGCCATCATCATCGCCAAGATCAGCGTTGTTCCGATCCGTCGTGGTTACTGGGGCTCCAACCTTGGTGAACCTCACTCCATCCCCGTCAAGGAGAGCGGAAAGTGTGGTTCCGTTACCGTCCGAGTATGTTTTTGGTTAATCACATGCACCAATGGGAACATTGCTGACAGTCAATTTAGCTTATTCCGGCTCCTCGTGGTACTGGCCTTGTCGCATCTCCCGCTGTCAAGCGTCTGTTGCAGCTGGCTGGTGTTAACGACATCTACACTGCATCATCCGGTTCCACCAAGACCTTGGAGAACACCCTCAAGGCCACCTTCGTCGCCATCACCAACACCTACGGTTTCCTCACCCCTAACCTGTGGAAGGAGACCAAGCTTATCCGCAGCCCGCTCGAGGAGTACAGCGATGTTCTCCGTGACGGCAAGCGTTACTAGATTCTCTTTTCTAACGTGGTTATGAACTGGGGATGAATGCAAAATGAAAAAAATGCCGGAAACATGATGGGATACGTGACATGTCTGAATTAGGCGATCGTTGTGCTTCATGCACCACAAGATGGGCGCGTTGAATGTAGTGCAGCTTGAGCCAAGACAAGAAATCACAAACCATCCTTATCCTCACATGAATGACTTTGATCATTATATTATGATTGTAGAGCCTACGATCTGCGATTTAGGAGATGATATCCGCAGTCAATGACTTCTCACGCCTTCCTCCGGGGTATCAAATCAGCATAGCCACAAAGTCTCCCTTACTCCCCTGATCACAACCTCGCGCTCACCGCTATGCCTTCATGCTACAGTAGGACATCCCTATGACCGAGCCTTCTCAGCAAATCTTGCATCACCGTCATGATGGTGATGCAGGAGCTTCATCATTCCATGTTTCGTTTTACTGTAGCACTCCATGCCCAACAAAATCGCATACGCCTTGGAGGTTTTCATGTGGGAAAGGTCCACACCCGAAGCCCTCAGACTGGCCACAAACGAGCGGAAAGATTTCGTCGTCGGTCGATAGTGTCCGCTTAAGGGTGAGAGGTAGGTCAGTCTTCCGTCGACGATCCCGATGGATCCTGCGCTCGAGATCCTCCCGCCGGAGAGGAATGAGGTGTGTTGGAAGGCTCCGCTGGATTTGATCCCCACGTATAGACGGCCTAGCGTGTCCGCGACGTAGATCCATGTACCCGGACGGACCGTCGCTCGGAGAAGATGTTGCAAGATGGTGGCGGGGGAGACGTGGTGGTGGTGTCGATGCGAGGTAGAAGAGACGACGCTATCTGTTCGTTTGGTGTCCTCTCTGCGATCTTCGCCATCGTCGTGGCGCGTTTCATTATTGTCGAGATGTTTCGTCTCCAGAAGTGATGTGAGGTGTTGGTCGTCTTCGTGAAAATCGAAATCAACGTCATCTTCACGATGGTCATCTTCCACGGCCAAATCTGATGGGACAATGCCGTGTCTGGTGTCGCGGTACAAGTCGGCGCTGGTTGTGATGAGCTCGCCATTCTTCGCCCAACGAAGTCTACCTTCGTTGTCGACCTCTACGAGGTAATTGGCCCGCTCTTCTCTGCTGAGATACCGGACGCGCTCCTTATCCAACCGTTCGCGAGAGCAGCCAGGGAGGTCCAGAGTTCTTGCAGATCCTTGATCCAGCCAGTCGAAGAAGCTCTGGTTGATCTTGGAGCGTTGCCATTCTTCGTGGTACACAGTCAAATTAGGCCCGTAGCGATGTTTCCGATCCACCATTTCTAGAAAGTACCGTGAATCCAGGTGCAGACTTTCCTTTTCCTCTTTTCGGTGCTTTGCTGTGAGCACATCATGCCGTGGCTTCACATCGGATTTGCTTCTGCTAGATCGCGGACCAGTGCCAACTTGTTCGGCAACGAATACTGCACGCTGCCAATGCATCTTGGCAACATCAGATTCGGCTCGACTTCGTCTCCTGTCATTTCCAATTTCCCTGTGCTCCCGCGGGAGAGACAGTGTCGCCCTCCATTGCCATTCCCGAATAAACTCGGCCCACCTTTCTGACGGATCCAGGATGAGTCCATTCTCATGTCGCCTTTCGCGATGACCCCGATAAGCCCGTTGGATGATTCTCGCCGCTTGATCCTGCTCTCTGTTCCGATATTTTTGCACAATCTCCGCTTCGTGCTGAAGCTGTATCTCGTTGATGTGTTGGATTTGAGTCGAAGTTGGGGTCGGCAATTTCTCAACATATTCGCGATGACTCTTCGCATTTGAGCTTCCGGGCTCGCTCGAGCGACACACGAGCATCTTGTCGGATATGGTCTTTTAAGATAAAAACACAACCAGCTTTAGAATTGTTGTTGATTGGTTGGTCCACGATGGCCGATCAGGTACAATTGTTCACGGTGGTCGGACAAGCAGATTGCCCATGATAGAGACACTCTGCACCAGTCGGTAAAGTGCGTGTTGTCGGCGTTGATTTCAGTGTTGATCTATTAGCCGTGCATAAGAAAAGGTAAGACATGTTGCGACAATGTTTGACACTGCATGGGCGGTACCCTCCACTCTTGAAGCTCCGGCGACAGTGAGGGCAATGAATGGACTGTGTAAGAAGCTGCATTTTCTTGAGTCAATATGGCTCATGCCGGAACGGTCGGAAATATCGCATATGCACAATCAATCAGTCAAGGCTGGGAGTAGTTCGGGAATATCTCAATCAGCTGCGATACTGCCCTGGAACGCGTCATCAGTACCTGACTAGGGACCGCCGTCAGGACGACCCTGTACAGCAGCGGCATTCCCAAATCACGTGTCGCCATCCACCCTACGTCCACAGGCGTAGGCGTGGGTCAATTTGTTTCATCACGTCTCACTGTGTGTACGTCTCGCTCTTTCAGGGCGAGTGACCCATCATCACCCTGAAGATGACGTTGTAATTTGTCGCATCGCAAAACCACGATTCTGGTTAAGAAGGACGAAGCAGTTTGCAGTAGCACGATTCTAGTTTCCAAAGAGATTGCATGATTCCATACTTAGCACTCTAGGCTCCTTGGTGTCCCTGGGTGACGTGGATTGCGGCGGAACCGCGGCGGCTAGTGAATCATAAATCCACTGACTGAGTCAATGCCTGCGGGGCGCAGTCTTGTCGATCAAACTGCGCGCGACTTGGCGAAGCACTCGAACGCGTAATCGTGAAGTCCTGGCTGATGGTGATGAGTTTCCGTCCTCATTTGGTGCATCAAAGACCGTTGATCGTGATCATGAGCAGCTGTCGGGACGGCGGGTGGACATCATTTTCACGAGGAGAGATTTCCGCACTGGCGCGGACTTCCGTATCTTTGATGGCGAGATAATTAAAGTCTTTATTCATACACCGAAGAAAAATAGTCTAAAAAGTTGTTGCATACAAAGAAAATCCACTGGTTTTAGTTCTCGTGGTACAATTCTGGCCCGATCTTTCATACTTTGGTTTTCCCGTTCTAAATTGTAAGCGTCGTGCTTCTCGCGTCTGACTGTGCTGCTCTGCTTGTAGCTGGGTATATGAGCGTGGCCTGGTGTGATGGAGCGTATATTCGCAATCTGTCTGCCTTGGTCCGGCGCTGGTTGATGACCAGAACATTTCCGAGTCGGAATCAGGTTCAGGCCGATTCGCCAGGAAATATTCATTAAATCTTCGTGTGAGCGATAGAAACTTTTCGATGTAGCCCGTTCAAGTTTCGAAGGCTACGACTGTTGGCTGAACGACTGAGCTCGGCAAAAGGATTGGCGTTCGAAGGATAGCCACTCGGCGCGTCCTCGAACGGTGAATCTGCATATGAGATCTGTGGTTGCCCAACGCCTTTGCCTGGCATCATGACTCAGTGCCAGATAATCACTCTCATGACATCGCTAGCCTGTATACTGGTTCAGCTCTCAACCGCGGCGGATGTATTTCCCATATGTCGAAGAAAGGCATCTTCATGTGTTGATGCTCTGGTCGAACTGATCGAGTCGTCGGAACTCGCGGAGATTGTCCCCCAGAACGGCCGTTCCGTGGGTTGGCAGGTTGGTGCCGTCTTGAATAGATGCATGGAAAAGCTCCGCAGTCGTGCGATGGTCTGGACCACGGTATTGCTGCAGTCGCAATGCACATCGTCGAGAAGAATGCCAGATGGGAAAAGCTTTGCGGAGTCAAGCTTGCACAGTATAGAAAAAGAGTTTCCCAGAAAAGATCAGCACAAGGGCTATTGGCAAATGCTGTTTGTTCTCGCCAGCCATGTCGTAAGTCGTCGCTCATCAAGTCATCAAATCCCGTCGCATGTACTTGTCTTCACGCTTCGGAAGTGATTGAAGACATGGGATACTTCTGCGTGTAGGCCTGACTGTCGCGTTTATGACCATACGTCCGCGCCAGGTCATCTTGGTTCCGATTGCGTACCACGCGCATGTACTGTAATTGCGACATGCCGTCATGGGCCGTTGCAGCCTCGAGGTTGGCTTGGGGCTCGTGCTGGCCGTAATAGTGGCGGCCAGCAGCGTAACAGATGAGCACCAAAGCTCCAGCTCCGACCAGACAAAGCACAATAATGGCCGAAGGAGGGATGGTTGTCGCACCGGAATCCGACATGTTGTTGTTCGATTAATCGGATGTTGAAAGAGGTGTTGATTTGAGTATGAGCTGTCGTGAGCGCAACACGAGAAGAGTGGGACAACGATTGTTGTATTTGTTCCAGAACTTGGCAGCTAGGGTCGATGACGCTGACCGTTGAGAATGCGCCCGGACGTCCTGAGGCCGTTGACGAAAGTTGCGAAAAGTGAGAGCGGATGCGATGGTTTCCGACCGTGAGAATTGGGCCGTGAGAGAGAATGGAATGGTTGTATGTCGATGATAGCGAAAGTGCGATGTATTTGTTGTACAGGAATAACACGAGGGAGAAAAGATTTTACTGAGCGAAGACTATTAATACATACCTAGGTACCACCATGATCGTAGAGTTTCTCCCTGCCCAGGTGGGTGGTGGTGGTGGTGGGTCCCGTAACATCATCGACGAGCGACAAGCACACCTGAGGAAGCCCTGCCTAGGGTGTAGAGGTAGGAAGGAGGGTGCTCACTCAACCATCCTGGGCGGGCGATGACACGAGCCAACAGAAGTGTACACGCGGCCCATCTGCTTTGCTGCAAAAATGCCCACCTGCATAAAACCCACGCCTATGAATGTCCTTCCCACCTCCATCTAGATAGAACGGAGGCATCGGCAAGGAGACCCGTTGTCAGCCTGCAGCCGAGAAACGCAAACCCATCTTGGCAGTCGCATAACAGAGTTGAAATATCCTGTCACGTGTAAAGGGCGCTCCGCCATGCCCTGACCGAGTTGGGCGTGGGCGGCACAACAACAACAACGTCAACAGCCACAGTCGCGCCTTCCAAACATCACCTGGACAATGTTTGTTTACCATCATGACGAACACCGCCATCATCGTCATCTTGCTCGTGTGACTGTCGGTAAGCATCGCAACAGAATTGATCCCGGCGAAAGCCAGATGAGGCTCTCTGTCTCAACAGGATCACAGGCGATCGCAACGAGCAGTATCTTCGTCAGCCGTGTTCCAAGCTTTATATATTTTGCGCAGCACCTCCAGCCATGGTCCCGTGCCTGCTTTGGATGTCAAATTGCAATCCGCGATTGGACATTACAAGAAAAGGTGGGACTGCGTACGCTGCATTGGGACTAGCGCCTGGTGCGGCCCGCACATCCGCGCTGACGGCATTTGCCGCGTGCTAGGGTTCCTTAGCTCAGTTGGTTAGAGCGTGGTGCTAATAGACTTCATTGAGAGGTACAGTTAACGCCAAGGTCGTGGGTTCGACCCCCATAGGGACCATCGTTTTTTGTTTCACCCATTTTTGGTGGAAATGACTGGCAATTTTGCATCACGAAACAGGAGGGTCTTGCTTCGCCGCATGATGTAGGCTCAGCAGGATCAATACACGCGCAAGATCCATCGGAGGCGTTTCAACAAGGTATTTACCCTTGAAGTGTTCACGAAATGGGTCTTTTACGCACTCTCGCCATCGCCATCCTCACAATCTCATTCATCACGTTTGTTGCATTTTTCGGCCAGCTACCAGCACTGAGAAAGACTCCTGTGGGATGGCTACAGCGCGCCCTTTGCGTTCAACTTCCAAATGGCCTGCGAAGGGTGGACAATGTCCTTAGTGGAGGTAAAGTCGCCCAGAGATGCACCCATCTTGGCCAATATCTTTTCTACGAGAGGAATCCGGTCGTACTGGTATGTCATAAAGCGAGGCTGGAGCGACACTGCCCGCACAAGAAGACTAAAGGTGAGGATCTGTAGTTCATCTTTCTATTCCTCCTGACGGGAAGCGCAACGATCTTCCTCTATAGCACGATTGCACGCCTTCCATGGCGGCTCGTGTTGCCTCTGTTTGTGCTGCTACCTGCGCCGTACATCTTCACGTTTTGGTGTGCCTCACATACTGCCCATTACATCACACCCGCCAATCACGCCCTCCGCATGAACGATTATCCCTATGATCACATTTTGTTCCGGCCCAGTACAACGTGTCCGACATGCCACATTCGCAAACCACCTCGGTCGAAGCACTGTAGCTTCTGTGGCTACTGTGTGGCGAAATGCGACCACCACTGTCCGTGGGTCAACAATTGTCTCGGCCGTGGGAACTACCGTTGGTTTCTGGCTCTACTGCTGAGCATGACCGCACTGCAGGTCTATGGCGCCTATCTCAGCTGGTGGATCTTGCGTCCGAATTTCCACTTCAACCCTCAGAATTCCTTCCTGTCGCCTGCATTTCGGCAAGAAGTGGGGGATAACTTCGTGATAGCCATCAAAATCGGTGGTATCTCAGTCGCGGGTGTAGGGCTATTGGCAGCTGCGACTGCGTCTTTGCCCTTCGGGCTCTTCGCTTATCATTGCTATCTGATCTGGGCGGGCATGACAACCAACGAGTCGCAGAAATGGACGGAATGGAAAGACGACGTGGCGGACGGCTTCGTGTTCAAGGGCAATCGCAAGGAGTTACAGGATCATCATCGTGCAAGGCGCACGGACGGCTCAAGAGCGACGGTGAACCCTGCTCTAGCGGCGTTGCTCGAGGAAGACGAAGTACATGTTCCTTGGCCCATTTCAAACGATGAAGTGCTTGTTCGCACGAGAGACGGTAATGCACCGCGCGGGCAGGAGGCACTGTGGAAGCCTGTGCGCAGCTTGGATGATATTGTGAATGTGTATGACCTGGGCACACTGAACAACCTGAAGGAGGAGATACATGGACGATAGTGCACCATCAGATCCATTTCAACCTGTCAAAAAGGGTCTTGCATTCGCGAACTATAGGCTCTGAATTCTCATTCTCGCGATGGCTGAAGTATGCCGTTCAGTCCCGCGGCTCCTTGTGCGGCAACAGCCACATGCACAGGTAGCAAAGCAGCGGTTCCAATATCCAGACCTCTCGCCTTGGTCAAGACCGCCAAAGGTCGATACATCCTCATCACTTCCCGCAACGCCATCTCGGCATGCTTCGGCTGTCCTGCCTCCATCATACCACCAGGCTTCACTTGAATGGTCCAGTAAAGACTAACGCCAACGCGGGGGAGCATCGAATCGCCGCCAGCCGAGTCGGACTCTCCACGTCGGAACCACACTCCTGTTGCCATAGCATGACGATTGACCATCTGTAACAATTTAGGGCAGAGCAGCATAGCCCAGCTCTCATCTGCAAGGTCGACAAGATGCGCATCAGGGTCAATGTCGTTCATCGACATTGCAGGCTCACTGGGTGCTGGCGTAGGCGGTGCAGTCGAATGGCCAGCGACATCGGGGGAATTCATATTGTTGGTCGCTTGTGGCGTGGCAGCAGGTGTAAACGTACCGAGGTCGGCTCCATTCATACTGCTGATGTCGGCTGGAATAGGCACCGCGAGCATCAACGCTGGGTCAGCACGAATAGTAAGAAGGGTGACACACAAAAGTTGTGATCGGGGTTTAGAAACAATACTCTGCCAGAAAGATGCCGTTGCGCGTTCCAATTCTTCGTCGGTAACGATGTAGACCCGCCACATCACCTGTCTCGCATCGAGGATCTCTCGAGTCCGGTCCCATATCGCTTGTGCTGCATCGGCGAATGACCTGCCTCGGACGCAGTAGACCGCGCTACTTTGGGACTGCCCAGTATTGTCCATCCAGACAACATTGAGCCAGTGTTGATCAGCGCTTCGCGAGTATGCAAGATGCAGTAAGGAGCCCTCATGCATGAGATCCTCAGACGGATGCTCTGTCAACTGGAATTGAACTCTTTTGGATGATGGTCCCGCGAGCTCAATTGATGGCGCAGCAAGAATCGGAATTATTGGAGAGCTCGTGTTGGGGGCAGACGGCGAGGGAGGACATCGATCGTACACTTCTCGCGCAAGCAGTGCCATTTGACGGTCCTCCGGGATACTGATTGCATCGAACGAGGCGACAAGGCTGATGGGTACCAGCTGGAGTAAAATGTCTGCGCCTCGAACGGATTTGTCGGTCTTGGGAAGTCGGTCGCGATATGACTTGAAGAGCCTCCAGAAGCAAGCACACAAATGCTGAACTGCTTTTGTCGCAGAGAAGGGATTGATCATGTATACCACTATTGTGGGGCTAGTTTCGTCGGTAGCCATGGTCGCCAAAGCCTTTCCAAGCTTTGCGCAAGTCCGAGAATAAGCTTTCATAATTCCATTCATCGAAGAGTCCTCTTCAACAGTCACTGGTGCCATGCCATCGTCATAAACGCCCAGCCCGTCTTTAGCATTCGGTTGGCGCTGGTACGCGTGTGTGCCTAATTTGCATCGTTCGTAGACGGAGCCGAGCTCGGCCATGAAACGCTTGACGGCATTTTCCAGACTCGTATTCGATGGAAACACGCAGAATGCACGTACATCCTTTGCGCCGCTGGCAGGACCAAGTCCGAGTGTTTCCCAAAATTGTAGGCAAGTGGGCAATAACTCCCAGTTGTCTGCAAATCTCTGGATCCTGATATGAGGTGTGGGCAAGTTGAACAGGTCGGGGCCTGTGATTGCAGTTTCTGACCTTTGTGGAGGTCGTGGTGGACCCGCAGGTGTTTTACCTTGATTCGTCATAGCCCTATTGAAGGGCTCTCGAACCAAAGCTGATTTTACAATGTCCAATTGGTCGATTCCGGGGAGTATGGCCTCCACAGCTCGGCTCAGTTGATCCGAAAAGCTCGGCAGATACGCTTGGTTGCAATTCTGCCGTGACTGGTCACCATAGTTGTCGACTGGACCAAAACACGCTGCACTGGTGACTGCCTGTTCGCCGACAAGCTGTGCTACAAACATAAGATCCTGCTTGCTCAATGCGTCCGACTTCTCCACAAAATCGGAATCGTCCATGTATGGTTGTCGAGGCCTGATGTTCCTTCCTTTTGGGTCGGCATGTTGCCCATTCCCCGAAGCACTGGCAGTTATTTTTGCCAGAGTTCGGAATCGTGACAACTTTTGCACAAAATCGAGAATCGTTGACTCAGGAAGACTGCGATCTGACATGCGTTGGTTCTCCTCTTCAATCCAGGCATTTGCGTGCGACTGTATCGGCGGCTGCACCAACTCATATAGAGAACCGCGCTTACGTTTCCGATCCTCTAACAGCTTCATGGGCTCCACACAAGCCTCACTCTCGCTGAGTGACGAGCTATACGAGTCGGCATCGCTGCCGCTGTCATCATCTTCGTCATTGGTATCACGCTGCGATTTCGGTCTTCCATTGGAGTGATTTCGCTTGTGTGGCGGCAGTGCTATACTTGGGACAGACGAGGAGATACCTGAGTTAGACTTAGTAGACGCGAGATCTCTCGGCCCGTACTTTGTAGCAAAGCTAAGTCCCTCCCGGAATACGACAGGGCTGTAAGTGCCTTCCCTGTGTGCATTAGATTTCTCGTGCCTTGCTCCGTGTGCTAAGCTCGCAGGGATTGGGGGTGGGAATAGTCGTTCTTTTACGCCAAAAGGGCTCAAAGGCTTTTTCAGCAATGGTTCAGAACAACTCCCGTTCGTGCCATCTTCCTTGTTTGCGTCGACAGATTCCGGGCGGTCTTGATCTGTTTGAGACTCCAGTCTCTGTTCGACAGTATCTGGACCTTCATTGACGGGGTCTGAAGGTACGAGGGTCTCGCGACGGTCGGGAACAAGATCGTCGGACAGTACGTACGTCCCCACTTGCTCGTCAATGGCAGTAACAGACTCCGACATGCTGACGTCGTGCATTTGGGCGACGGTTCTCTCGTCGTCAGGCTCGTCGAAAAAGTTGAAATCGGCATCTTCGATGTCATTTTCTGCAAATTCAATATCCTCGCGAGTCCCAAACGAGGACACTTGATCCACGGGAAATATTTGCTGACTAGCAGAAGAATCATATCGTTGGATCCTGTATTGGAGGTCATTGCCGTCTAATCCCGACTCTTCTAGAGAGCCATCAATCTCGTTCTGAGTCTCTGATGAACTGTGATCTAGTCCAAATTGAGCAGACGTAGAGGTCTGAGCAAGACCATCCGGTGGCGTTGGATATATCCCGCTCAGTGCTGCTTGCTGCTCTGCTAAACGCTGGTTGAAGGAAGGAGATGGGATCAAATCGGCATTAGCGATCTCAGCCTCTGACGAAGTCTTCAGGGAGAAATCCATGGAGGCATCGTTGCCTGGTGTGGTGTTTGATCCGACTATGAGTGAAGGGTGCTCCCTTGTTCCTGCGGATTGCAGCCAGCGCTCTGCGACAGACAAAGGATCTTGGAAAGCATGTCCCTCGTTCAGCTGGAACCAGTTCCTCCAAGTCTGAGAATCCTCACCAGAATCGGAGCGTGAGTTGCTATTGAAAGCCGATAGGCAAAGTTGTTTCGGCCATATGAATGGCTTGGGAAGTATGCCTAGATTCTGCACAGTCAACCAAGAAGTTGTTGCGGATAGCTCGATACCTTCGCAAGCAACGATCCGTCCAATGTACTGCTTGAGGCGACTATCTTCGCTGAATGAGGTGGGTATGTCAGAGACTGAGGCCCTGATACCAAATGGCGCAAGCATTACAATTTCGCCTGTTTGAGCGGAATCCAGCGTGGGAACCCAACTACCGTAAAGCTGCAATTGATGCAGTAGGCAGAGCGATCCGTCAGGCCATATGCGTGATTTCACCTCGATGCAAAATGGTTCTGGCGATCCAGGCGGCGCGCAATTACTGGATCCCGTCCAGGTCCAGGGTGCTATGCGCAGCAGCCCGCCTTCTCTGGCGAGTTTAAACGCAAGACTCCCTTCGATACTCTCAAGGAGGCAAACATCCATCCGACCAACTCGTACAGAGGAGCCAGCAGGGCCTTCGCGCATAGCGCCTTGGGTCTTGAGAGTAAACATGCATGGCCACGTTTCGGGCGGAGGAATGTCCCGACTGTCAGGGAGCTGGAAGCAACAAAGATCGCCGCCCAAAGACGTGCAGAGCACGTTTCGTTCTCGGAGAGCGGCAATGGTCTTGTTCAGGCCCGTCCATTTCTCCAAGTCATCAAGATCCACGCTCTTGTGTTCATAGATGTAGTAATGTGAGCCCAGCACATCAGCTATCATATGTGCATTCGTCGTACACGATTTAGGAAATTCCATGCTGAACGAGATCAAACGCGCAGCTCAGCAACTGTCCGATCCTAGGGAATATATCGATGGTGAGAGTGCTGTCGCGGAAAGGCGTCGACGGGGAATGAAGGTGTCATGGGCTTTTGCTGATCGAGGTGATAGAGAGACGCTTCGATTGTCCGAATAGATGGGCGGACGGCAAAAGAGAAGGGTTGTTCGAGAAGCAGAAGTCGGGGGTGGTGATGTGTAGTGTGTATGCAAGATCGATTAATGCTTGTGTATGGAGAGATCACGTATGTCCGTGGACGGATTACACGGCTGCACTACAAAGCGTGTGTGATGGGAATGTACGTCAAATCCAGCCCTTGGAACCCATGAAGATCAGGCGCATGTCACCTCCGGCACTAGACCGAGTCCTGCCCGCAACGGCTCGAACCAAATTGACGGAATTTACAGCAAATACTGGAGCGCTATGCCAGGATCAGCCCTAATCGCAACGATGCTGGGCAACCTGGATCGCTGCGCTCACGAAATTTCGTTAAAATGATGAGCTTGATCGTCGTCGAATTCCACAACGACAAACACCACTTGCGGTTGGGTGAGATATTATTTTGCGGGTCACCGTCATAATCCAGAAGATATGAAATTAACCACACATGGGTCTGTTCCGGTGTACACGATAGCTGGCGCATCCACAGCGAGACCGCTCCCAGAATGGCTCGCTAAGAAGCGGAAACGAAGCCTGAAAAAAGATTCTGAATATGCGAATCGAATCGAACTTCTTCAAGACTTTGAGTTCGAAGAGGCCAGTGCTTGTACGCGTGTAAGCCAGGATGGCGAATGGGTTATGAGCACAGGCACGTATAAACCTCAGATTCATGTCCACTACTTGCCACATCTGTCGCTCTCTTACGCTCGTCATACCAACACTATCAATCAGACCTTCATTCTGTTGTCTTCCGATTACAGCAAATCTTTACATCTCCAGACAGATCGTTTTCTGGAGTTCCACACGCCTGGCGGTCTGCATACAACTTCGCGAATACCACGCTATGGGCGTGATCTCAAGTACAACAACCGCTCAGCCGAGGCTCTCATACCAGCTGTAGGTGTGAACTCTGACGGCCTTGGTGAAGTGTTTCGATTAAATCTGGAGCTTGGAAGGTTCATGAAGGCATATGAAGTTGAAGTGGGCGGCGACGACTTTTCCTCGCTTGGCGGAGGCGCATTACAGGGAGGCATTAATGTCGGAGCTGTCAACTGCGCAGCAATTGCAGAGGAGAGTCATGGGCTCTTGGCATTTGGGACCTCAATAGGTTCAGTCGAATGCTGGGATTCGAGATCACGGAATCGAGTCAGCATACTAGGGCCTCCTGCGGCAGCATCGGACGAGGAGTTCAGCCAACGGCCAGAGATGACTGCGCTTGCATTTCATCGTTCTGGGCTCAACCTGGCGACAGGAGACAGCAACGGAATGGTCCGAACGTATGATCTGCGATCACCGGTACCACTCTCACAAAAGTCTCAGGGCTATGATTTTCCCATACAGAATCTCGCGTACATCAACGCGCCGCTGTCGTCAAGCAAAATTATGAGCGCAGACAAGAAGTGTATCAAAATCTGGGATGTCGAAAGTGGCGAATTGTGGGCAAACATGGAACCTGCCGTGGACCTAAATCATGTCGAGTGGGTACCTGATAGCGGCATGCTCTTGACGGCGAACGAAGGACGCCAGCAGCATTCATTCCTCATTCCCCAGCTTGGTCCTGCGCCGCGATGGTGCGCATTCTTAGACAACCTTGTCGAGGAGATGGCTGAAGATGCCGAGGATCCCAACGCTTTCAAATCGGCAGGTACCGGTGGTGGTGAGGTTTACGACAACTACAAATTTTTGGACATGAAGCAGCTGCGTGAGCTCAGTCTCGACCACTTGGTCGGCACAACCAATCTCCTTCGACCTTACATGCACGGATATTTCGTAGCACAGCGACTTTATGAGCAAGCCAAATTGCTTACCAACCCTGACCTGATGCAACAACAAAGACAAAAAAGCATTCAGGAGAAAATCAACAAGGAGCGCGAAAGCCGCATTCGTGGCCAAAAGAAAGTGGCTGTCAAGGTCAATCGCAAATTCGCCGAGGCACTTGCTGCCAAAGAAGAGGCTAGGGAGAATCGCAGGGCGCAACGTCTACTTCGCAAGGGGCAAGCCGAAACATCTGCAGGAACCGAGGATCCCACGCAGGTCGATCCCGAGGCCGAAAACCCAGTTGCGGCCGGCCTGGTCGACGATCGTTTCAGAAGCGTTTTCGAAAACGAGGATTTCGAGATCGACGAGAACAGTCGAGAGTACGCCCTCAGCAAGCCGACTGCTCCAACTGTCGGCAAGCGTGGGACCGACGATTTCGAGGACGATGCCTCGGGCGGAGACAGTGCCGAAAGCGATGCAGACGGAGATGGCGAAGACGTCGCGATGCAAGACGCACCCCATCGACAACGGTCCAGACGGACTGTCGACGATATCGAGGCAACCAAGGGACGAATCGGCTCGTCGTCGTACCACAAGTCCGGGAAACGATCACAACAAAAGGACGCTGGTCCGACCATGCGCGTCTCGTCATCTTCCCGAAAAGCTGCCCCTCAGCGGGATCACAAGGGAACTTCCTTCGGCGATCTCAAGTCTTCTCTGCCAAGCGATCGGGGAAATACAAATGGCTCTGCCAAGCACGGTGATGTGTTCGGCGAGAAGGAAATCACTTTTGCGCCATCGAAATCGCAGAAGAAGACCAATCGCTTCCAGGGAGAAAGAGAGGACGATGTCGGGCGATCAAGTAAACGGGGCAAAGAGCGGCGAAGCGCAAGCGGTAATGTTTTCCGGCGTATGTGAAGCAGTTATCTCCGGGAGTTATGGGCTTGTGAGTAGTATGTGGCGACGTTATATTAAATGATAGATCATTTGTCTGTAGAAAAAAGGTCTCGTCATGATTTCTAGAATTTACATATCCATATAAATTTCAAGGCTGAAGAAAGGTAAAGGTAGGGATACAGTACAGCAAGAAGGCAGCGCCTGTTTTTCCTTGCTGATTTTGCCGGGAGTGCAGCGGCCAAGTGGAGATCTAAAGCGCAAAACCATTGTCATCGAATAACGCCCGCCGCTATGCCCACACATCTCGAATGCATTTACTTCGAGATGAATACTCCTTGTGCCTCGCGTCAGTGTCCCAGCTCATCAAGATTCCGGAGATATGATGGCGCAGATTTCCGACAAATATCCTCCCGCAAAGGTAATGGTCGTGTCATGCCAAGTCGACCAGGTGACGATCGTCATCGGAAACAGTCGAATAGCTTATGCGAGTGCGAGCTTGCCCTCGCTGCCGGCAGACGAGTTTGATGGCGGTGGTGGTGGCATCTCCAATTTAGTTCCCTCTGCCATCATTCTTTGGAATCCGATGCTAACTCCTTCAATAACGGCAAGCAAGACGGCACATCCGATTGCGCCGTTGCGGATAGCTCGAGGTCCACCACGAACAGCGAGCGCACCACCGGTGAAGAAACCGGCGATGATGGCGTTCCACGGATCCTCCTTCTTTCGTACGCCCTTGACTGCGCAGTCGAATGTGCTGAACATGCCACCCCAGACACCAAAGTTGCCGCCGAGTACAGGTGCGCGAGCCTTGATTGCTGTGAGAGCTGTGAAGGAGTCAGCAACGACATCTAGTAGGTTCGGTCCGTGTGTAATAAACCCATACCTCCTATCCGTCGTTCACCGTATGGGCTATTGCGGAAACCTTTGATGCCGTGCCATACTGCGCCTCCGATCGCCTGTAACCATCGATGATCAGTTATGCCCTTTTAAGTATCCGATTCTTCATCGCGTCCATCATTCAGGTTGTAACGTACTCCCATACAGAACGCGCCACCGAAATCTGATAATGCTACCCAAGGGCAGGGATCTCTCGAGTGGTCGAGACCGTGTTGCTCTTTTGACATTTTGAATGAGGGTGATGAGGAGGCGGTGTCACGACGGTGCTGACAAGCTGGCGATCGCTAGGCGCCTGATGTGAAGTCTCAGACGATGATAGATGCGGGAGAATCCGGTTGTAGGTGTATGATGTTGTCGCGACTGTGAAATTGATGATGCACGAGCGTATTGGGTATGGCAATAATTGTTTCAAAAAGTCGATTCTCATAAGCGGGAGTCTCGAGAATGATTGCGGAGGTCATCCGCAATTCTCAGCCGGCAAAGCCGCGCTTACCAATTCAAGTATATCATAGCTAGCATTTCGCACATCAGTGCATGCATTATTTATTCTCAACATGGTTACAGCACATGTCTCTGCTGTCAAACCACGAGTCGCGAACTGAACATGTTCCGCATATGAGAGATGTAGTCACACCGGAACAATTCGTTGCATTCGGCCGGACGGAATCTCAGCAAATCATTTCACTTCCGCCATCTCGACATGTCTCGCGCCGCTCAACCAGGCGCTGCGCCTCGGGATTCGCGATTGGGCAATGGCGAAGGGAAAGATGGTGAGAGCCAACACGATGAAACTGAAGCTTGTGAGGAACAGGATGTCTGACGAACGATGGCGATTGCAGATATATGCCCGGTGTGCAAAAGTAGTCGCTATATGAATGTCAATCTCAAGCTCCTCATCAACCCAACATGTTACCATAAAATGTGCCAGTCCTGCGTTGACCGCGTGTTTCTCCACGGTAAAGCGAACTGTCCGATCCCAGGTTGCAAGCACACCCTGAAAAAGAGCGGCTTCCGGACGCAGACTTTCGAAGATCTCAAGGTCGAGCGCGAGGTCGACATCCGGAAAGAGGTAGCCGCGGTCTTCAACCGCCGTGAGGACGATTTCGAAAGTCTGCGCGATTACAACGACTACCTAAACACCGTAGAGGACATCATCTTCAACCTCGTGAATCTCGTCGATGTGGAAGCTACAAAGCGCAAATTCGAGCAGTACAAGGTCCAACACGAGAAAGAGATCAAGGAGAATGCATCGTTGGCCGAGCAGGAAGCTCTGCAGAGCCATGCCCAGCACAAAGCCGAGCGCGAACAAGCTCGACAGCGACGAGAAGCGGCTCGGAGGGAGGAGGCGGAAGAGCGCAGGGAAGTAGAGGAGAACCGGCGAGACGTCTTACGACGTCTAGAGAGAGGACAAGATCCCGCCAAAGTCGCCAAGGAAGGCCAACAGATCGCGCTCCGGCGACGACAAGACCGCCAGATCGGCGCGGAGCCGAAGCCCCAACCCCACGGCGACCCATCGTCTCACGTGGGCGAGGATGCCGGCGGGCTCGCATTCCGGGGTCTGCGAACGAGACAGAAGGCCGAGCCCGAAGGCCCGGTCGACCCCTTCGGTGGCATCACCTTCCACAAGCGAAAGTACTTCACCCCCCAGGACGACTACGTATGGGACGCGCTGCAGGTCTCGAGGAAGGACCCGCTCATCGGTGCAGGAGGCTACAGTATACAATCCTATACAAACCGGGCGTTGTGCGAAGCATTTCTCGGACTCGGGGTGTTTGTCGCAGACGAGGCGTCCGAGCGGCAGACGGCGAAGATTGACGGCGGCGCGGTCGGGACGGCTCGGGCGCAGATTGGAGTTCGGACGATGCATGTGGAAAATCAATTCTAGGAAGGTCTTCTCAGCTCCGGTTGAGGGAGGATCGTGTGAATTTTGGAACGAGCATATGAGGCACCTTGTGGGGTTAGCGTGGCGTTGGTGGTTTTCAGGGGCTGGGTGGTCAAGGAAATCCGGATGTAAACTCGGGAAGGTCAAGCGGTCTGCTCAGGCGAGACATCAAAGGATAACAGGCTTGAGGAGGGAGAACCTTTCAGGAATGGTCTGGGTAATTCATAATTTTATTTTACTAAGTGCAATGACCTTTCAATACAATGAGCATCGTTCCCGCCTTAGCAGTGGCAGCTTTCGGACTCAATCTGGCATGCCTTCATAGCTTTCACACAGTCTTCTGCCCGTGCTGCTCTCCGGTCCTCTCTCCAAGATGCAATTTGTACATCATATAGTCTGAACACCGCCTCAATGATCATCATGATCGGATTCTCGCGGCCTTGAACCTGCTAACTTTCTTCACTCTGCCATCCCTCTCCTCCATCAGCTCGCCTAGCTCATCGTCTTCGTCGGGGTCGGCTTTGAATCCTCCTTGCTGACGGATGATATTGTTGCGGCGGGAATAGTACGCCTCGGCGAGTTCGCGGCGTTGCATGACGGGATCGCTTCCGTCTGCAGATGGAGCAGCAATTTTCTTCTTAGTTGCCGGTCGTTCGGTCAACTTCTCGGCGATGGTCTGGCCTGGAGGTCCGGATGGCGCCTCTTCCTCATCTTGACTTGTTTCTGAGTCATAAGCCTGCCTCGTGAATTTGACACCTACAGACGGCCGAGGGATCTCGCGTGGAATGGAATGTGACAGGGCAGTCTTTCGCTCCACAGGTTCGCCAACGATCTTCGAGTCGGTGTTCTCATTCTGCAGGGTTGCTTTCGTGGGGGGTTTATCGCTAGGTGCGACATCCAGAGCCTCTGCAAACTTGACGTGCTTCGATGCACTCTCTCGTCTCGCCGTCTTGGGATCCTGGTTGTCATTCGAGGACGCCGTATCTCGGATGACCAACCTGCGCGCATCACCGGGATCAATATCGGCAGATTTCTCAATGAGAGCAGGTGTTGGACCAAGGTTGCCGATGAGCCTGGCTGATAATTCCTGCATTTTGTTGTGGTATTCTTTGCTGATCGCAATTCTTGATCGACCGAAATCGTCCTCTTCTTCATCCGAGTCAACGTCAGAATGTCCGCTTGTGTAAGGTGTATCCTCATCAGGGTGCTCCGAAGAGGTGAAGTCCGAGGCCGAAGCGCTGTCGTCTGCGTCGACGTCATCGTCTTCTAGATCGAGCTGTGCGACAATGTGTCCGACTTCGTTCAAGTTGTAATCGATCATCTCGCGGCGGGTTTGTGCTTCTTCTGCCGTCTCGCCTTCGGGTAGTACAAAGTGAGTTGCAACTAGTTCATCATCATCGTTGAGCTCATAAACTTTTTCGCCTGGCTTGAAGCTGGCCCGTAGGTTCTTTTGTATCTCGCTTTCTGAATTTGCCTCTGGAACCGCAGCTGGGGGCGTGACGGCGGGGATTTCAATTGGTTTCTCGGCAAAGGATACCGATCTATTGTCCGGAGGCGCTGCGGCAGGTGCGATGGCAACCTTTTCCGCGAAAGACACGGACTTCTTGCCGTCCTCAGAATCTGCGCGGAGGGGTTCCGAGGGTCTCTTCGTGTCGGCTGTGAAGGATACGGACTTCTTTCGGACAGACGGCCGGTCGAAATTCTGTTGCTCGTCGCCGCTTGTGTCTGCTTTGGCATCATCGTCAACTGATGGCTGTCTGCCTCTCACAGGCGAGGTCGAAATAGGCGGTGTGCTCAGAGCTGATTTGATGGGCTTTTGTTCGGGTGATTTGGCTTTCGAGTCACCACCACTCGGTGACAGGTCTTGCGTCGATAAGCCTGCTTTCTTGAGAGAATCAAAGAGCTGGCTACTGGACTTTTCCGGGTGAGTCACGGTACTCGCGACAACGTTGTCGTTGTCATCGAGCTCCTCGCTGATCTCAGTGAGAAGCAAGACATCGGCATCCTCACGATTCGCTGAGAAGGCAACAAAGTCGAACTCTTCCAATTTGGCCTCGGCATCCCAAAACTGTCGCTGAATTGTCTCGATATTCTTCTGGACATATTCTTGCCGTCTTGAGATAAAGCCTGAGATCTGCGAGGCAGTATATGACTTGCCTTGGCTAAGGCCGGATAGATCCCGGATTTCCTTTTCGTCGACCAGGTCGCCTTTGTATGTCTGACTGATGAGTGTCAGGGTAGGGACGTCGACCGGTCCCACATGGGCGTCGATTTCCTCTTTCAGTCCTTCATATTCTGCTTCCCAAGTCTGCCAGTGTCGCAGGTCGGCCTTCAATCTCGATAGGCTGAGCTCCAGAGCATGGCGTTCTTGATCGAGCCTTGACAGCTCCATAAGTCATTACTGTGAGATGAGTACTACAAATACACGAGAAAAGGAAGTAAGGTTGAGATCTGGGGACGAGGACGTGATCTGAAGCGATCACGATGGATGTGCGGTGAGCATGAGCGAGCATATACAGGGGCGTGTGTGCAGCAGGCGGCGTGGGCTTTGAAGTCAAAGTGACAATCCGGCTGCTGTGTGTGTGGCTGGCTGGCTGGCTGGCTGGCGACGGAGTACTGTTTTAAGAGTGTGCTATGATCAACAAAGAATCTTGGAGTCGAGAGAACAGCAAGAATAAGAGCATGCGTTACCTGCACCTAAAGATACTAGGGCAACACCCTTCTGCAGGTTTGCTGTTAGGCACCACTTGCCGCATACGGGTGGATAACAGTGTTCACGACAGCAATCGTCACAGAACCGTGTTCCAATGTCCGGGCCGGCGTGTGTATGACCTTACTAAATTGGAGGATGACACAAACATGCACCGAAATTCTCCGGGCGACCTCACGATGACGATGATGAATTTCGAGCCGATGTGCTGCTGTATGCGATCTGCCGAATCTGGCATTGCTTGGGGAGGGGCATACTCCTTGACGATCGATGCAGAGAGTAGTGGGTACTCTACCCCGATCTCCTCCGTCAAATCGTGTGTTTATGCTGAGCGTAGAAAATTATATCAACGTCTATGCACGGTGTGCTATGGAGGTAAAATGACTGCGACCCACAGTGGTATGTACCTACCAAGGTAGATCGCCATCGTCTCATCGGCAGAGACATCGTCGACGGCGGGCGGACTGCTGCTGCACCGTAAATGCTCACGTGGCACCGCTGAAGACCCTTCGTTTCCTCGTTTCCATAACCTTGGAGAAGCCCTCCGCCAATGGGACAGGACAGGACCAGCAGAGTTGCGCCGAAAGTTTTTCCTTCACCGCCGGCGCTATTCCTCCACCACCCAAGCACTGTCTGACAACGACACCTACTTAGGTAGCGGGTACGACTGCTGCTCCTGCACGTCTGCAGACGTTTTCTCCCACGCCTCGTTCGTTTTGTCTGCCATCATCATGCTTCGGGCCGCCATGCCGACTTTCCGCCGTCCGCTGCGCCAGACCCGCCGAGGTTCGTCGTTGCCCGTCATTGGCAGACGCTGGACGTTCGTCACGAAGCAACGCTGCCCAAATCTCAAATCCCGTGTGACGATGCCGAAAGTCGATCGTCAGTTCGGGAAGTGGGGATCCCGCAGCTTTGGACTCCGGCGTTGGCATCACTGCTCCTCACAGAGGCTTCGGCCTTGACTACGATCATCATACCGTATTCACATTCGCTTCTGATTGTAAAATAGAATCCAAGTTGACCTCCATGTGACAAACATGCTACGCTACCGTAACTCCACGAAATCGAAGACGCAACACCCACATCCAACTACTGCAGAAGAGGATCGCGGTAATGCTTTTGAGCATTACCTCTCTTATCATTGCCCCATTGGTAACGTGCTTGATCACGCTGCTCCTGCTTGCGAGCCCGCTTCTCCACCGCCTTCACCTCGCGCTTCTTTGCTTCACTGACACCCACCATGCCCAAGCCACCCTCTGCACGGCTGACGATTTGGCGGCCTCGTCGGTCATCATCGCCTCGCTCTGTTGCAGCATCGGCATCTGAATCATCCGCGTCTGAGTCATGTCGGCTGTCTTCGAGGGCTTTCTGTGCGCGTTCTTCTGCCGAGGGATAATTCCGCAGGTTTTGTCGGAAATACGCTCGCAGGCTGCGGTGTCCAGCGGTACGTCCCGATGGTAGATGAAGCTCGAAATCGTCGTGGTAGACGGCGTGGGCGGTGGAGTGTGCATGAGAGTGGAAGCCATCGCTGCTCTTGTGCGGGCGAGGGTCGTTGTGCGAGTGATGACGATGCAAATCGAGCTTGGCGTAGTTGTGTGCTTGATCGATGGGCACAGATGTAATTTCATCAGTGGGTACCGACGACAAGGACCCATCACTCTCCCATCCTTCGTCATCCTCCATGTCGACATCTTCGCCCTTTGCATTCTTCACCGTAGTCTTGACTGGTCGTTTGGCTCCTAGGCTTACTCCGCCGCTGGGACCTTCTTCATCATCTTCAGTGTCCTCGTCGGAATATGTCGATCTGAAATCGTAAAACTCGCCCACATCCATTTGCTCGTCTTCGGTGCTGTATGCGATCATGCAATGACCTCTGTCACGCATGTGTGTCTGCACTCCACTTGATGTATGCACTGATTTGTGGCAGTACAGACATTGATGTAGAACGGTAACAGTCTCGTTCAAGTACGTTATGAGGCCAGGTAAATCGACAAGGTAGTCCCGTTCCGGAATGAAAAAGCTGTGCTGCTTGGACATGTGGTGAACATTGAGATCCATAGTTGGCGATATGTAATTGCAGAACAGGCACTGCTGAACGTCGGCTTTGTGCTCATACTCTTCGCCGTCTTCAGCGCCTGCAGGCGCTCGCTGCTGTGCAGATCCGGTATCGTTCGAAGTTTCAGCAGGCGAAGCAGTTGGTGCAGACGCGCCAATGTTCGTGGTGCTCATGCTTTGGACAACATCGCCCAGCTCTTGGTCGTCGTCACTCTCGTCGCGAGTCTGTGTGCTTGCAGTGTCCAGTGTCTCTCCGAGGGTGAACGTGGAATCTGCCATGCTGTCCGTCTCCATACCGTCCAATCCTCCATTCCTCGCGTTGTATTTCGCCTCCAACAATTTATGTTTCTGGCTTCCCAGGTGGTTGACGTAGGCGCCCTCACTGAAATATGTTTTGTCGCATGCCTCACATCTTTGCTCGAACTTGGCGCGAGCCGCAGTGGCCGCAGCAGTGGCCTTGTTGGCGAGGACCTTCTCGGCGAAGACTTCTGATGTCAGAGGTGGCAGAGAAGCTACACGACGCTTCAAGTTGTAGCGATGCCAGTCTGACTGCATGTGTGTACGCTGTAGATCACCCGACCTGAAGGCCACCTGACAAGTGTTGCAGGTGAAGGGATGTGAGGAGGCCGCAGAGCCCGGCATTGCAGACGGTGCATTCTGGAGAAGCGTTGCCATGATGACGGCCACCGAGGTGTCGTTCTGTATTGTGAGTGAAGGAAATCTGTGTCTTCAGCGAGTTGAAACTGAAGTAATCGCCGCCACCAGGATGACTGGTTGCAAATCTGGCTGGCAATCTATGGAAAATTATTAATTCATTAGAGCATGACATAATTACACACATCCCACCAAGGCGCGCCCCGCGCAGGAATTTAACGCGCGGGCGCTTTCCGCCGGCTCATCTCTATGCGGACTGGAATCTGTAATCCACCATGTCCTGCTTCACGTGTGTGTGTAGCGTAAGAATTATTCGCATTCCTCGCCTTGTGGTGTACTCTTGCCTACCATGTATTGAATGGCCTCCTGTTGTTTGGACTTGCATTGCGTCTAATTCAAACGTGAGTTGTGAGATTCGCCGAACTTGTGAGTGATGGAAATTGCAGCAAATTATGAGTTGGGATTAGTCCGCAGGGTGCGGCTTCAACCGCCAAAGGTCATCCGGGCCCCGTGTAATTACAGTATTCAGACTCGAGCATTTCAAGCTGGACGTTTCAAACGTGTATCAACGCGCGAGACCAGGATATGCTGGTTACTGACTACCCGGGTGTGTCTCGATGAAGGACATGACCCAGGCATGGCCGGAGCTGACTTGGTGCATTACTTGAACTTGGTTTTGTTGTGTGACCTGCACATACCTGTGCTACCTTTGAAATCGCCACGATGCAGGGTTTCAATATGGGACGTTACGTCCCTCCGGACTTGGAGGGGACGACAAGCGGGAACAAGTTGAACAAGAAACGTGCGCCAGGAACTCTTCGCAAGGATGGCACGCAGACGGTGCGCTTCGAGATGCCATTTGCTGTGTGGTGTACGAAATGCGAGCCGCATGCAATCATCGGCCAAGGTGTGCGATTCAACGCCATCAAGAACAAAATCGGCAATTATTACAGCACGCCGATATGGAGCTTTCGCATGAGACATCCCGCCTGCGGTGGAACCATCGAATTGAGAACGGATCCGAAAAACACAGCTTACGTGGTGACTGAAGGCGGTAAGGCTCGTGATTACGGGGAGACCGGCGACCTTGTGCGAGAAGGCGAGAATGGCGTGCCCATCCTGAGCCCAGAGGAGAGGGAGCGAAGACGTGAGGACGCTTTTGCTTCCCTGGAAGGCAAGGTGGAGCAGAAAGAAATGGTCAAAAGCGATGCGAAACGAATCGATCAACTTCACGAATTCCGTGGAAGGAATTGGGATGATCCCTGGTCGGCCAACAAGCGTATGCGAGATTCCTTCCGCGTTGAGCGCAAACGTTTGGAGCGAGAAGCGGGTGCCGACGAGGAGCTCAAACAACGCTTGGGAACAAATATCGAACTTCTCGCAGAAAGTGAAGAAGATCGCGTGCGTGCCAGGTTGGTGACCTTTGGACTGGATCCAAGTAAACCTCCCTCCAATGCTGCAGATTCAGGCCCTGTGTTCAGAAGTCCTCGACATACGACATCGTTACGACACAAATCGGCCAAGAGCGCCAAACAAGGCCGAGCTGACATTCTACGACGACAACTAATATCCAACACAAGGGCTACATTGAACCCCTTCGGTAACTGAAAAGTAAATGGTTATCCTGGAGTTCCACGATCGACTATCCCACCTCTTAAATTTCATGAAGGACTTATATTCTCATATCTCGTTTGCTCAAGCACAAATGTGCACGTCACAATCCGTGTCTCGCACTGTAGAGCACGATCACAAAATGACGCAGCCTCCCTTTGAATCACCGGCCTGGTTTCCGCCCACGGTCACGGTGAGCACTCTCGGGTTGCCGCTGGATACCACACCTGCCTGAGAGGCACCGCCATCCGGAACGACGTCATCGTATGGGTGGGTGTATCCAAGACCATCAATATTCGCATCGTGAACAATCCTTGCATAGTGCTGCCGAACGTCAGTACCATATTTCATGATTAGACCCATGTAGAGACTTACGTTGGTCACAGGATCCTTGTAGTATCTGAAAATAGACATGTCAGTACTCCAACTCAACACATAATGATTCGCAGGGGCAACCTACTGGGAAGCATTGGTTCCGTTCGGCGTCTCGTTTGAGAGCAGCAGAGTGCTTCGGTTGAACGCGGCGGCCAAGCGAGGAATGATGGTGTTGGTCTCTGCATTGCTTCCAGTAGCAAAAGGGCCTGAATTACTGCTGAAAATGTCGGCCGCAGTAGGTTTAGGGAAAGTAGAGCCATTGCCAAAGTCCATGACTCCATCTCCGTTGACTTGACCGTTCACGTTCCCGAAGCCCGCTTGAGTGTTGACAATGAGAGGCTGGTTGGTGTGTTGGGAGTAAACTGCAGCAGATCAGCATGAATGTGTGAATCAACTTCTGAGATGGCGATCGCAGCCTCACCCTGGTTGACATAATCGTTGAAGTAGTTCTGGAAGTAGCCGTTGTTGATCGTTATTCCCGAGTTGGGACTCAAGACTCGCAGGTCCTGGCCATTGCTCTGGACGATCAAAGAACTCCAGGCCTGGCCATCTTTCGCAGTTTGATCACGCAGACCTCGAGCAACCGTTGATAATCCATCAGCTCGCATACCCAAAATGCGCTGTGTGTTGTTGTTGGTGTCCATGAGTGTGAGCGCGATGGGAATGTTGCTCACGAAGTCAACGTAGCTAGTGTCCACAGAATCAGTATCGCTTGGAGTCGCACGTCACACCATCCGCCACTCGTCTTCTAGCATACCTGATGTTGACAAAGACCTGGAAAGCATTGTAGGTGAACTCGCAGAAGCCGAAATTGATATTGTGGTTCGGATCCGCAGGGTTGAAGATCGAAGGCTCGACGAGACCTGGTCCTGGGTTCAGCGCGAAGACAAGCTTGGCGCCTTGCGAGAACCAGATTCGTCCTCCGGCGATGCGTGGAATGGTCGCGGTCACGGTGTTGCCCGGCGCACCAAGCGGGATGGCAATATCGGCACCGATGCCAGCGCCCGTTGTACCCGGGCTGGCAGGGAAGTATGGAGTGCGAGCATCGGACTGCAGTAAGAAGAGGCCATAGTTGCTGTCGATGGCTTGTCCAGCTATATGCTCGATGAGCGTCTCGTCAGCCAACGGCGCATTGGACGTGAACTCCACTCGAGTCAAGAGCAATGAGCCGTTCTCCCACGATCAGAAGACGTACTGATATAAGCATAGAGCTGATCAGAGTTGGACTGATTCACCAATGCAATCTGCAAAGTTCCATCCGTTGTCGCTGCTTGAACATCTGCGACCGCCTTGGATTGGATGCCAATGGGTGGTGGTTGTGAGGAGGACGGTTGCGCAGCGGGCGCAGGAGCTTGCGGAGAGGTCGCGCTTGTTGCCGCTCGAGTACCAGAAGCTTGATTCTGCTGCCGCTTCCTCTTGTTCACCAAATCCTTGATCTTTTGCTTCAAAGATGACATCGTGGACGATCAAAATCTTATTCTTACTTCAAACGCTTCACCGACGACACGGATATAATGCTAGTGGAGGATACATGCGCCCATGCGACGCGTACATGATGGTTATATGAACTACTGCGAGGGGTGGCTGGGCACTAGATTGCACGTACTAGCGAACTGTAGATTGAGCTTTATTTTGGTCAATGTGTTGTTCGCTGCCCAGGTGGTGGCTTCTAGAGTGCGCGCGATCATCCTACGAGCCGCCTTCCATCATCCAATCCTGCGAGAGGATCGCAATCCTTGCACGTAGTGTAGCGGACGACAAGGTGGTCGTACCCTGATGAGCGTAAGGAAGACCGACATATCGGTCATGTGCTGAAGCGCAAATGATCCATTAGCTTGCGCGTTCTGCCTCAAGATGGACATGACTAGTACGGTATCGCGCATGTTGTCACTGTCGACATCTGCTCTCGTGAGACTCGTGATGGACCTACAGAGACAGCAGTGCCATCCTGTCTGCATGTTCAGGTAATGTACCGCCGCAGCGCAAATGGGCTTTGGTGTCGCATCACAAGCGAACGAAGCAGTCACACCACAAGGCGTGATGTGAGCACGTCCTCTCCGAGCTTTGACGCAACGTGACGTCTGGTAACAATTCACAACCAATGCGATGCAGCGCCAACGAACACGGTGCACGCTTAGCACCAAGTTGAGCATCGGGACGTGTCTGCCGGCTTGACTCGGTGACAGATCACAGAAGATCCGTGCGTCGGTTGAGAGCGTCTTCGAGATGAGATTGGCGTTCGACACACCCATCCAGATTCGTTCGGAGATTTCTGTGGTGTTGCCAGACCCTCCAAGGCTTGTGGGCTGTCATATGTCAGGTCATTGTGTTGGCATGTTCCGACGCCAATATGCTCTAATAACAAATTTCCAGTATCGGACGAATTACGAGCTTGACACTTTGGATTGCTAGCCAGTGAGGTGACATATACTGGCTTGACCTTACCTTGATATCTATCCCGTGCACCGAAACTGATCGCTGCACCACCTACTGGACCACACGTGAGATATTGGCGAGCCATGGTTGATATTCGGTTACTGCGAGCTGCCCACCTCTTGCTTCCGGCTCTTCGGCGCGTGACGTTGGGACCCGTGTCGCACGAAGCCACAAAACTTGCCGTTTCGGGGGTCATGCCGATCTCACAATGAGAGTACATACAGAACATTGGTACCGCCGTCCCTCTGACTGTGATTGTGATCGTGGGTGAGACAAATGCTAGAGATCTTGAGCATGTGGCCATTGTGAAGGGCGCCTCTAAGCCAAGAGATGCCAGTACCATCGCAGTACCTACAGGGACAATGCTCGCTGGGATGATATTCTCGCAAAAGTTCCAAGTTACATTATTACCTAAATACATACGTGACCCTCCAAACCCTCGCAACGAGTGTGCGCAGGTGACCTCTATTACGAGACCAAAATAAAGGAGAGAGAATGACAAGCCAATTCAGTGACATCGACAGGCGACAAACACCCGGCCACTGCCATAGACATGAACGGCCTCCAAGGTTGGTTTCTGCGGTCGAAAGCCACCGAGGACCCGTGATACACTCATTCAAACCACACCGAGTATCTTCACGTTACGCCACACGGACGACCGGAAATCCACGGTTCACCTATGCTCAGTCTTATGGAAGCTATCGTGCAGCCTTGAATAGCTCGGTGCCGGGTTTGCTCTTCGTCTCAGCTTGCTTGCGGCATTTGTCCTTCGTCCTCCGTTGTTTTGATGATTTGTAACCCTAGTGTAGCATCAGGCCTGAGAGCATGACTTCCAAGGTTCTCAGAACCGCGCACATCCATTGCGTTCGCGCTTCGTACGGCCAGGAACGAGGAGGACGGACGTTATATCGTACGCTAGTGATCAAATTGTGCATACAGTCCGCGATTATGTTGAGACGAAAGGCAGAAGACAATGAACACATCTGATAATAGACGTGTCCTGCGGAGCCCAAGCCCGAGAAGCACAGTTGTGTGGGGTCCAACGTGTGTGTTCGCCTTGGGAAGGACAAGAATTTTGACGCGTACTGTACGACAAACCATGTATTCGTCACGACACATCCTGATGAATATCTCGAACTACATGAGCAGGTGCCTGCGTTGCCGCAATAATCTACAATCCGCGAGAATTTAACGTTCTCTGAGCACCTCCGACATCTCGAGAAGAAAGCTGGTGGAACGGGTAGCGTGATGGCTCCCAGGAGTAGATCTGGATGGTAAGTTAGGCGAGAATACCAGAATATTGTAATGGACCGCCGGCTCACTTGCCTTGTTTTCATCGAACCAGCTTGACCTGCCGATCACGAAAGGTACGCAAATGAATGATCACGAGTCGCAGATAACGCTGGTGTTGATATTGTCGCTATAGCTCAAGTGTAGCGAGGAGAGACCCATCTGCGCACAATGTCTGAAAGCGAATCGAGAATGCATCCCCAGTTCGGGAATTACGTTTCGTCATCAGCAAAACCCATCGATGAATGGAGGCGACAAGGGTGACGGGAGCTTGAAGAGCTTCTACGGCTACAAAGAAACGTTCGACGAGAGAACGACCTGGGTGGCCATTCCAAAGGACTTGACGTTCATACACACGAGCAACCCTTACGAAGACGAGGATGGAGAGGTCATCCGTGATGATGCGCTATTCAATCAGACATCAGATTTCAACACCGGCCGATTAGAATCCGACTTCACATTCAACCAGGCGTCATATCCTGCCTATGCTACTCATGGGCTCGAAGCCTTAAGTGCGGTCGCCAGCCAAGACCAGTACAGCTACGGCCCTACTCCACAGGCTTCTATGGAAACCAATCAATCCACTGCCTCACTGCTTGCTCAGGCCGCGACATCCATTGCCTCTCCAGAAGCGACTGATGCACCACCCCCGAATCTGGAAGACATGCTGGTTTCGACATCACACGTACCTTCGGACGAGGCGAATATAGATCCCCAGCTGCACTCACCCAAAGAAGAAAACCCGACGTCGCCTTTGCAGATGCGAATCCTATGATCTATGAAGAAAACTGTTCGAACAAAGAGCGGCTTAGGGAAATCACGAGTGCCTCGCAAGTTCTATTGTTGACGAGCTCGAAATTCTGCAACTTTTCATTGTATTGAAGGCCGTAACAATATCTTTGCTCTGACTCTATCACTGCATTTTAATATATGCATTCGACACGGATCTCGACCACATGTCTTGCAACTTGCTCCCGGGCCGGACACAAGCACTCTCCGATGACTGCGCGCTGTGAAAAATCCTCGTTGGAGGGTCCGCTACAGAAGCCGAGAAACGCGGAAATCTCCCTTCTGTTGTGCGTAATGTGGTACTTGCGGCATTCGCGACTGATGCGCCCCAGTCGAATTTGAGGAGACCCAAGGTCCGGTATCCTCGCTGCGCCGATGACAGTACTGGTCGACGGCGAATCCGTGGATGCTGGACTTGCTGCTCAATTTTCGGACAGACATCTCTCCGTAGCAAGCCGGATGCTGTACCATTATGTATAACAATACCGAACTCACGGTCAGTCGACCAAGCTGATGAGCGCCATTGGAGCATCGGATGCTAGTAACATTTCAGGCTGTTGGACTTTGTTGGGAGCGGAGCAGCAGGATTACATAGGCCACAAACCTGCGTGTGGCGCAATCCTGCTGGCATGCAGAGCAAATTCGCTGTGTTCGATTCCGAAGCCCAGACCGATGCGGGCAACTAGTATAGGGTCGATTGCAGTCGGATTTAGAAGGCCGAGATTGCTGATATGATTGGCAGATTACAAATTCATTTGTTCCCGTACGTCTCACGTTCCTTGGTGCCATGCAGGTGTCCAAGTCTTCTTTGTTGCATTTCCTTCGTTGGAAGCTAAAAGCTCCTTGATGGAATCGTCGACCTGCGCGTGACCTCGGCGCAGCACCTCCTTTTGGATCTTCGTCATCATGTCGAGCTCCCGCAACATTCCATCGACGAGCTTCGAGCAGGTTGTAAGAATCAGTTGTAGGCTTGAAGGGTTGCCTGGCTGGGTCTCCCGAGGCAAGGGCGGGAATTGGGCAATATCTTGTTGTACCGACCGCAGTTTGATTGCTAGCGAAGTATGAGCCGTCCTCCAGGATTCCGAGAGCGGCTCGATGAAGGATGTGACCTGATCGCCGCCCGTCAAGGACTTCTCTGCAGCCATGATCCAGTCCTCAAAGGTTGTTGCGAGCTCTTCAAAGCGACTTCCGGGTTCCGTCAGTGAGTGCAAATCGGCCACGACACGGTTTAGGATTTGCAGGTGTTCGACCAGAAGCTGAGAGTCCACACACCAAGTTTCCAGGGCATCCAGATTTATATGCCTGCGCTGCTCGCGTTCCTCTTCCTCGATAGTGCTGAAGGCTTGCTGAAGTTTGGCATGCCGGTGGCTCAGCTTATGCTTGGCGCTATACTCGTACGCTCTCAAGGTCGAGGCCGAAGTCTGATGAAGTAGAGACAGCTGTAGCAGTTCGATCTGGTCTTTAGCCACATCAAACGTGATTGGGACCTCCTCCTCTTCCTCCTCCTCAGGCGCAACCGCAGGCGCTACACCCTTGGCGATAGGCACAGCAGGCTTGGGTTGTATAGACTTCGCAGGGCTGTAGTGCTGTTGGTACGTTGAGAATGTAGGGCGTGATGGGGGCGGGAGCGCGGATTTGCCAGTCGATCTTGATACAGGACGTGGTGGAGAGTGTTGGCCCGAAGCCTTGATCGACCCTGATGTGGGCGGCCGACCGGTGCCCAATGTAGGTCGTCTGTCGCCTGCAATGGATGCCGTGCTGGCTGTTCGATTATGGTAACCCTGCATACTCATAGAGCTAGTGGTCCGCGCATGGCCTGATTTTCCAGGTATGCTCGAGGTGCGCGGACCAGGGATACTCGGCATCTTTGAGGAAGTATTGCGCTTGTGAGCGCTGTCTGATGGTAGTCCGACAGTCGTGTGCAAGGGAGTGCTCGGTTGGCTGTCTTTGGAACCGCTTGCGGCCGGTGGTTTCAGTACTTGCTTTGCAGGTTTCGCTGGGGGAGGCATTGCCCTTCTATCCTCCTGAATGCTGTCTGTAACGGAGGAGCCATCTGCACTCTCGCTTTCATCCTCTCTGATCGCAGCTACCACATCTCGTGTATCGGCCGAGCCCTTTCTCGAAAATTGTGGAAGCAAACTTCGTCGCTTTGATTGCTTGGTCGAAGTATTGGTATCGCTCGAGGATAACAAATTCGAGGCTGATTCTCCCAAAGATCGCAATCCATCGGCGGACATTTCGAACATAGACAGAGGCCGCGATTTTCCATTGGTGGACCCCGATCCGCCAGGGCGCCGAATCGACGGCAGACGGCTCTGCGAAGCCATGTTCAGGGAATTGGCTTGCGATTTTGGGGTGTGAAGGTTATTTCCAAGCAAGGTATTGCATATCCATGGGCGCGCAATTGTGTGGATTTCGAATGCACGGCGGCAGGCGCATGGTGCGGTGCTGCTCCCCTTAAGACGTGCAGCCAGCCGTTTGGAGGCGTCGCGAATCCCAGGACGCAATATTTGGCGGGGCAACCCGAGCGGCGCACCGGGGGTGCGATCATCGAGTATTGGGGCACCCTGCGGGCTAAAACAATCCCGATCCTAGCTTTTGCATGTGTTCCTGTGCGATGATCATGTATTCTCACCCTGGTACGCTCTCAGGGTTTCATTAATCAAGTGGCCTTTCCCGACGATTGAGGCGAAGGAATCGAGGTTCTCGTCGCGTGTCATGTATTACTCAATGTATCAATCGTGAGACATCGGATTACATTGAATTGTCTTTATATTTTGGTCCGTAGGGCATAGGGCAACCTCAGCTCGAAGCGGTGGTGGGTGCCAGCAAGCATTGGATTCGCTCAATGACTACCGTCTTCATACATCTCCATGTTCGCTCGAAGTCGCGTGGCGAGGTACGCGAATACAATCGATCATCATGACATCTCCGAGAGGATACGTGCTATGGCGCAGACAAAGAATGGCTGGTCAGATACACTAGCATTACCAAAATCAAAATTTCCGGCTCGGCCATCCGGCGACGACATCGAGAGGTATCGCAAGAGATGTGCCGACGAGCTGTATCAATGGCAGCGATCACATCGGAGTTCCCCCAGTCGTGTCAATCGTGACGCAAGGGATGGCGAGAATGATACGACGGCACTGGGCAGTGATTTCGTGCTCCACGATGGCCCTCCATACGCGAACGGCGCCGTCCACGTCGGACATGCGCTGAACAAAATACTCAAGGATCTGATTGTTCGATCGGAGCTTGCGCGCGGCAAGAGAGTGCAGTATCGTCCGGGATGGGATTGTCATGGCCTTCCAATCGAATTAAAGGCGTTGCAGCAGATCAGCACGGTTCCATCAACTTCGAAATCGTCAAAAGATGGTGTCAGGAAGGAGTCCGAAGCCATATCGGCTACCGCCAGTCGAATGAGTTCAGCTGAAATACGACAAGCTGCACGAGCGCTCGCAAATGCGACCGTTGATGCACAAAGAAAGAGCTTCAAGGGATGGGGTGTCATGGGCGAGTGGGAAAGTCCCTATCTGACCATGGACAAGGACTTTGAAATCAGACAACTGGGCATCTTTCGCAAGATGGTGCAGCAAGGCCTCATATCTCGTCATCGTAGACCTGTACACTGGTCCCCGTCCTCGAAGACCGCTTTAGCGGAGGCCGAGCTCGAGTACGATGATGATCATAGGTGCATTGCTGCGTTTGTTAGAATGCCTCTGCTCGGGCTTCCAAAAATTCTCCAATCCAATTCTGACATCCACCCAGACAGGCTGAGCGCTCTTATCTGGACAACGACACCTTGGACACTTCCCGCCAACCAAGCCATTGCGGTGCACAAAGATATCGAGTACTGTGTTGCGCAAGTCAATATACCCGACGCTTCGACTAAGCCCGATCAAATCATTCTCGCGAAAGCAAGACTTGAGCATGTGTCGTCACATCTGCCCGAAGGTGCCTCCTTGAACGTCGTAGTCGAGTCTGTGCTAGGTGCTGATCTCGTCACGGGAGACGCTGCATGCTACAACATCTTCACCGCATCACAATCTCCCATTGTAGAAGCGGCATTTGTCACGGATACGTCCGGCACTGGTGTCGTGCACATGGCGCCAGGCCACGGCATGGACGATTGGTTGGTCTGCCAATCGAAGGGAATTGGGCCAGCTATCGCCCCTGTAGATGACGCTGGTCGTTACACCTCAGAGGTTTTTCCTGCAAGCAATGGTCGCGTCAATCTTCCGGGCATTGATGTGCAGGTGAAGGGCGTACAGGCTGTGCTAGAAATCCTACGTCAACCCAAGGAGCATGTGAACAATACTGCCGTTGATGTGGATCGAAGTCTTTTGTTAGCTTCGCATTCCTTCAGGCACAAGAATCCAATCGACTGGCGTACAAAGCAGCCCATCATCACAAGAGCCACAGCTCAGTGGTTCGCAGACACGCACGCCATCAGGGACCGAGCTCTTGGTGCGCTGGGTGATGTTCGATTTATACCCGAATCGGGTAGAAGTAGACTTCAGAGTTTCATAGGCGGTCGGAGTCAGTGGTGTATCTCTCGGCAACGCGCCTGGGGCGTTCCAATCCCTGCTCTCTACAACAAGGAGACTGGCGAGGTCTGCTTCTCAGATGAAAGCATTGGACACATCATCTCCGTTGTCAAGGAACGCGGCACAGACGCTTGGTTTACAGACCCAGAAGATGATGCTGCGTGGTTATGTCCAGATCTCGAGGCCGGGAAATGGGTACGAGGGAAAGATACCATGGATGTGTGGTTTGATTCAGGGACGACATGGACCTCATTGCACTCCGATTATGATACCTTTGCTGGGAGTGATGTCTGTGTTGAAGGCTCCGATCAGCATCGAGGTTGGTTCCAGAGCAGTCTTCTAACAAAAGTGGCTTCCGGTGATGCGACGCAAAGCGCTACTGCTCCTTACAAGATGTTGATCACGCACGGCTTCACGTTGGATGGCGACGGGAGGAAGATGAGCAAGAGCATTGGCAATGTCATATCGCCAGACGAAATCATTTCCGGCAAATTGGTAGCGCCGTCAAAGAAGAACAAATCCAAGGTTCCAGCGAATCCCAGCGCTAGCACGAAGACTGCAAGCACGCTCGGCCCAGATGTGCTGCGTTTGTGGGTGGCATCCTCTGACTACACCAGGGACGTATCCATTTCGCAGCCTGTCCTGCAGAACGTACAACAAGCTCTGCAGAAGTATCGTGTGACTCTCAAATTCCTGCTGGGCGTTCTCCACGATTATCCCAGCCCAGTCCTCGATCCTCAACATTTGCGTCAATTCGGCTTTGGTGATCAGGTCGTCCTTTCGCGTCTGGCACGGTGCAGCGAGACTGTATTCAACGCCTATCGCGAATACAAATTCTATTCAGGTGTCAACGAGATAAACAAATTCGTCAATAACAACCTCAGCGCATTCTACTTCGAAATCATCAAGGATCGACTTTACGCTGGTAACACGAGTATTCGGCGCCACACACAATCTGTTTTGGTTCTGATCCTGCGGGAACTGCTCCAGATGCTAGGGCCGGTCACACCCCACCTGGTCGAAGAAGCGTGGGAATGGATGCCGCCACAGATGAAAGGTCTGAACACTCAAGATGGTGATGCGGCATTGCCAAATCTTGACCTTCACCCCTTGCGTCAGATCTGGAAGGAACCTTTCTCGACTGAAAGGGTCGGTTTCAACCCAGCCGACACGTTCGAAGACACTGTAGTGCTGTACGAGACGCTCAGCTTGGCTGTGAAGGCCGCGCAGGAGGAGGCTCGTGTTGCAAGGCATTTGGGAAGCGGCCTCGCCTGCAGCGTTGAAATCTACTTGCCTGAATCACCATTGGCCCAAGCTAGCATGCGTCTCTGGGCTGACGAGCACGAGCTGGCAAATTTGCTTGTCGTCAGCCAAGTCAGCATTCTGTCAATGGCGGATAATGTCCCAGAGCAGTCGACTCCCTCCGATACGTCGTGGTCCACCGAGGCCGAGGTGGCATTTCCCCGGTCGGCATCGGGATCGTCGAGTGCGATGTCGGACTTTTGGAAGGGCAAAGTCGTGATTCGCCCGCCGACCGCGAAGAAGTGTCCACGTTGCTGGAAGTATACCGCTCACAGCGAGACCATACCTTGCACTCCGTGTCAGGAGAGCATCGTCGAGCAGCTGGACAATTGAGCTGCGAGCATGTATTGTGTAGAATAGAAGCATGTACCATAGACTTATCCTCCGCTCCACTAGCGTTGTATCATATTCAAAATTGAAGCCATGTATTTTACCATGTCACGCACAGAGATCCGATTTTCTGAATGGACATATATCCATACAGTACTGACAGCATGTATAAATGTCGAATCAGCTATATTGATTTAGACAGTACCTAGGACTATGTGCTGCACAATCTTGATGCGCACCATTGATGCGCTCAGGCTACCGACTCCACCCTGACGCCTCGAAGCGCTGCTATGTGACACTATAGCATGATCTCCCCAGACCCATTACTTCCGGTTCTTCTCGAGATATGAGGCGATCCACTCTAGGTTTCCGTCATCGTATAATTTCTGCGCAGGTTCCTACGCAATCGTTAGCATCCAGGATCTTTGAACAGCGCTCGAGGGAACGGACACATCACCTACCATATCGATATCATGTGTGCCGTAGAAGTGACAATTAGGGGAGTGGCAATTCCCTGCGAACTTGCAGTTGTGGCCGTACGTGCAGTCGATGTCGCGACAGTCGAGCTTCTTCGGGCACTGTCGCCCACGAGACTTGTGCTTCAAGACCAGCATCTCGCCTTGGGTGAGCTTCTTCAAGTGCGCGTAATCGCACCACTCCCCGGCCGGGCAATGTCCGGACAGGTGATGGGCGTTGCAGAGATTCTTCCCATGTTGCTTCACGGTGTCGGCGAAACGAGCCTCCGCGAGTGGGTCCGGACGAGGCAGTGGTTCATCGAGACGCTCGTCGTAGGCGTTAAGTAAAAGATACTTGTTCTTCTGCGGCTTCTGCGAAGAGATGTCGATAGTCTTTGTGGCGGCTCCGGACTTCCCAACTGTCGCCCACGAGCCTGTGGCGCCGTTGGTGACGTTGTTGATTGGCGCCGAGCTCGCCGACTTCTCTGAGTTTGCCGTATGTGCTATGCTCGAAGGAGGAGTCGGCCGGGTCGCTAGAGCTTTTGGGACAGTAGGCATAACGATGCTTCGTGTTGGCACCACTATATCATCCGAACGGAAGACGTTTGGCATCGAGATCATGCCGAACCCCAGCTTCGCGTAACCCGGCTCACGAGGTTTTGTCTCGACAAGCGTGATACGAGTCTTCATGGCCGGATCCATGCGATAGGATTCCAGCACGGGTAGGTAGCCATTGTCATGACAAGGTGCGAATAGAACGTGTTTACACTGCGAGATAGGGAGATACAGTCGAAGCGTCTCTCTGATCTTGTGGTCGGCACGTTCTTTACCCGTCCCGACATCGATGAAATTGAAGAGTGGTCGAGCGAGTCCGAAAGATCTGCCGAACTCGGACAAGTCGGTATGGTTACTAATGATACCGGCTCTCAATAGAGCCGCAGTCAATCCCTATCGATGCTTTGTGAGCTTGCGTCGCTTACTTCGATCCCACCTTGACTTACTTGTAGATTACAAAAGACCTGCACGACGATATTCCAATCGCCAACATTACCATCAGGATAGATGGTCTGGAGGTGGCTCTGAATTTCGGTATGCAGAAGACCTGCAGCTTCCGCGCCACCATTTGTACCTTGTTTATAAAGATAGTCTTGAAACTACGAAAGATTAGTAAAAGCCCATAAGGTTACATGCGTATTGCGATGTGACAAATATTATCGGAGGTGACGATGATCACGCTGAGAGTTGCAACAGCGCGCTCGACTGGCTCGCGCGCTTATCGCGTGACGGGCGAAGATCAAGGGTCGGGACTTACCAACGCCCCATCACCATCGATCAAAGCCACAGCAAAGTTACTCGTGGCCGATTGTTTGTTATGCTGATCTAGGAGCCTCTGAGAGGTGTTCGCTTTACTCTGCCATAAGCGACGGGAGTCCTTTTCGTTATTGTAGTCGGCGGTCTGCTCCTAGTATTGGATCTTAAGTGCTTCATAGGCTTGAACGACTTCTTGGAGTAATGCATCGCGCTCGGCATCGCTCTTGCGGAACACCTCAAGGCGCCCGAGATAGTCGCTTGTATCAATTTGACCAAGCATTCTATGTGTTCAAGGGAAGGGTGATTTGTCTGCTAAGCAGATTGAAGGTGATGGAATTCAAGTTAGTTTATATATTCAGCATTTAAAGATAACGTAATCCATCAGCGAGCCGGCCACACCACCGAACCCGCCACTTTTCCTTGGCATTGTAAACATCATCTTTCCTTTATAATATCTCAACAACAAGACATGTTATTAGATAATCAAGAAGGCAGAATCGAGCTTGCTATTAATGCCTACAGATCTGGTCAATTTCGGAGCCAACGGAGCGCAGCTGCAGCTTTTGGTGTTCAACATCAGAAACTCTCTACAAGACTGAATGGAACTAGCTCTCGCGCCACTATGGTTCCAAACTGTCGAAATCTCACGCCAACAGAAGAAGAGACGCTTAAGCGACATATCCTCGACCTTGACGCGCGAGGATTTGCGCCCCTACTCTCTGAGGTAGCAGATATGGCAAACAAACTACTAGCTATA